GTTTCTGCGTGAGGAAGATGTGGGAGCGCTCAAGTACCGGCTACCGCGCCAAAGTACGAGACCTGCCGCCGAACTCGAGGTCAACAGAACATCCAACATCAGGCCAAAACGCATTCACACTTCACGGTCTGACCAGTGACGTCGTCAAAGGCGTCTTTTGGCTTTCTGCTCCTCTGTTATGCAGACATCGACCACCGAGCCAATGATGGGCAGGCCAACTGCTCTTACGCTCAACTATAGTTAACTACTCGCTTCGGCCGGGGGGAGAGGGGCCTGTTCCTCTCATGCCTGGTTGTACTGCAGATGGCTACTCGTCGTACCTCTGCCGAGTTCTCGAAGTCTTCGATACATCTCGCCAGTTATACGGTCCAAAACACTGTACGATGTACAGAACGGCCGGTCTTGGGACTTCAGTTCCTGCTACCGTCTGAAGAGTCGCCGCCTCTCGCTCTCTCGCTCTCTCAATCACTCACTTACTGGAGCCCGGCATCATCTCCGGCAGTCTTGAGAAGCTTTCTGTTTTCCTTTTTGCCTTGCAGCAGCAGAGGGCGATCACGACCGGGAATAGACGGACGCCCTTTAATGCTGCTCTCGTCAGCGTCAGGGTTTGACTTGGGTAGCCATGCTGGTCGTGATGGAGCAGCCCAATGCCATATATCTATCTACTCAATGGCCATCCGTCCTTATGCTGTTGCCACAACATGACTGCTGCTAATGGCTGACCCAAGACTCTAACCAAGCGGAATCTGAGGATCTCCTGCTTCACTCCCACCGCCTCCGCCGAACGCCCGCAGACGCTCCCTTGCTATCGTCGCCGCCATGCTGACCTCTTCTTCTGCTCTTCTGCTTCTGCTTCTCTACTGCTTTCTGTCTGTCAAATGGGAGAAAGCAGCTTATGTAAGCATCCGTCGAGCCTCGGAACATCGGGGACCTCGGGACTTTCCCCGCAAGATCTGAGAGCCGCCTCCGGCATGAAGAATGATTGAAGATCCAGGAGAAGCGCATAGTAAGAAAGGATTAAATACGGATGAGTTTCTCTCTTTCGGTGGGTTTGAAACTTATGAACAAGAATTCATACCGTTTTAGGACTATCTACTAATTTCAAACCAGGCCGTCCTATTTACCTACAATAACCATGGGCAAACGAGCACAGTCGCCAGCCTACGTCCTCGGCGTTGGCATGACCAAGTTCATCAAACCACGTGGAAAAGTTGACTACCATGAACTGGGCTTCGAGGCCGGTGTCAAGGCTATGCTGGATGCCCACATCACTTACGACGACGTCGACCAGGGAGTCGCGTGCTACTGCTATGGAGATAGCACCTGCGGCCAGCGGGTCTTCTACCAATTCGGCCTTACCAAGATCCCTATCTATAATGTCAACAACAACTGTTCTACCGGTTCAACGGGCCTGGCCATGGCCCGTACCATGGTCTCACACGGTGCTGCCGACTGCGTTCTTGTCGTTGGCTTCGAGAAGATGAGCCCCGGTAGCCTCTCCTCCAAGTTCGACGATAGAGAGAATCCTACCGGCAAACTGGGAGAAATGATGTTTGCTACCAGGGGAGTTACCAATGCCCCCGGAGCAGCTCAGATGTTTGGAAATGCTGGTGTCGAGTATATCGAGAAGTGGGATTCACCCTTTCTTTTACTTTCAATGCTTGAGAGATCAAATATTCTAACAAAGGTACACGAATAGATACGGCGCAAAAGCTGAAGACTTTGCTGAGATCGGACGGATCAACCACGAACACTCGAAACGAAACCCATACTCCCAATTCCAAACCGAATATACCCATGAGCAAATCTCGAAGTCGCCCATGATCCACTTCCCTCTAACCAAACTCCAGTGTTGTCCAACTTCAGACGGCGGTGCCGCAGCCGTAGTCGTCTCCCAGGCCTTCCTTGACGCCCGACCACACCTCAAGGACCAAGCCATCTTGATTGCGGGCCAATGTCTCGCCACAGACACTCCCTCAGTGTACAACGAAAGCTCCATAAGTCTCATGGGCTTCGAAATGACTCGCTACGCATGCCAGACAGCCGCCGCTGAAGCCGGTATCAATGTCAAGGACGTCAAAGTCTGCGAACTACATGATTGTTTCTCAGCGAACGAAATGATCACCATCGACGCACTGGAACTTTGCGAGCCAGGGAAGGCCCATGAGATGGTTCGAAAGGGCGATATCACATATGGCGGCAAGATGGTCATAAACCCATCCGGCGGTCTGATTTCAAAGGGCCACCCTCTCGGCGCAACTGGTATCGCTCAATGTGCAGAGCTAGTCTGGCATCTTCGCGGCTGGGCCAACAATCGCTTGGTCAAGGACACTGATGCTGCCTTACAGCATAATCTTGGTCTTGGTGGTGCCGTCGTTGTTACAGTGTATAAACGTGCAGATGGCAAGGTACCACAGGCCGTGACAAATGAAGAAGTGGGGAAGATCAACCAGCTTGGATATAATCCTGCTGTTGAAGCAAAGGGGTTCACAGCTGAACAGGCGGCCAGAGTGCTTAGCAAGGAAAACCGCAGTGACTGGGCCATGGGAGATACCCAGGAGAAGGTCCTTGCTCGGTTTTAACGGGTTTAACTTACCCATTGGTTTCCTCTGATATATTCTATACCCATAATTTATTTCATCAAGTAGACTTTGTCCATATCTTTCCCGTCTTGCTGGCCCAAGACGACTCCTATCTCAGTATATGACTCTGTTAGGCGTCAACGCTGTTAGCACGGGACATGACGGTTGATTAAGTTCAGTGTCCAGCCGTCCTGGCAAATGGAGAATGAGAGATGTCAGATAACTTGTAACTTCCAACCCTAACTAGTTCGATGGTTTCATCTAGATAGGAACACTAGCTATTATTCAATCTCCACGAGCTGGTACTCTTATCTCTTCCAATTCTCCAAATCAGTACCATGTCAGTAATGATTTCTCTATCTACTGTCTGGGGGAAGTATATTTCACGTGACAAGTGAATTACCTAATACATTCTAACCTAAAGAAGCTAGCGCTTGCACACAGCTACACTTTCGCTTTTTTATTCTGATTTCTCTCTCTTTCCTTCTTTTCTTTCCTCAAACATATTTCACGGTCTCAATGCCCTTGTCGAACGGTACACGCATCCATTACCTCTACAAATTTGTCAATATGAGACCCAGATAGATCTCACTTTTGCCTGTTCTAATACTCATCCGCCAGTGGGAGTTCGGCTTCCACATCTGGGGCGATTGATGGGCTTCGCTTTGGCATACATCACCCTTTTATTTCACAGCCTTAGTGCTGTTCAACTAACTATCATAGCAATATGACCGTCATACTGAAGCAAGATCCGGGATACAGAGTATCGAAAGGCCTGCTGGAAAAATGATTGCCCTGGACCTTTGACGATAAGGTCGCGTATCGCCTTGGTACATGCGAATGTATCTTCGCCGCATCTCTCTACTTTGACCGGAACTCGACCAGTTCTTATCCCAATATCATATTCATACTCACTAACACTCCACTATCATGGAGCCACGACATTATAGCAGCAAAGAAGATTTGCAATACGGCATAATCGAAGTCTCGTCCGTCCTCTCCATGATGGGTTCTGCGTTCGTGCAGCGAGGTCAAAAATATTGCCAATATCAACCAAAAAAGTTATCAACTTGTCTCGCTCGTGTTGCGCCCGCCTTCCATTCATTCTATTAACATAGTTTGTTTCATAGGGCTGAGGCGTGTCAAATAGAGTTAGATACATCTCACCATCACAACCAACTATTTTGTTATTTATTTATTCGAGCAAATGGTGAATATCAATTGATTCCTACTGTTAAAATTCATACTGTCCCCTAGACTGGAAATGAGCAAGTTATCTGGTAGTACTCCGCATTCTGACCATCCTTCAATAAGTCGGGTTAAAATCCTAATTATCCCCTATCCCAACGTCACTTCTTTGCCGCGGCCTGTCGTTGGCCTTCGTATAGTCCCGTGTAGTAACCTGCAAAGTACCACGACATCATGAGGTTCTTCAGCCCTTCGTCTTGAACTATATTCGGTGTTAGTCTTTAGGCAATTGTCCATGGGTACTTTGATTATGGATGTACTCACTGTTTGGCAAGCTGGGTGCGCCGTTAAGAACCTGTTGCGGCATATTTGCTGAATTTGCACTTTCTGGTGCAGCAGAGTAGGTCTGACCTGTCTCTGTGGCTAATTCCGGTGCAGTTTCATCCTGTCGAGTGAGGCGCGTTAGTGAGCAGCTTGTCGCAACCTGGGTATATCCATATATCCAGAAAAGGAGAAAAACCAACCTCAACTTGGCTCGTTGTGCAGGCATCTGTCTGTTTTAATTTCCCATCAGACTCATCCATAGTGACAGTCTGGGAGATATTCACGGTGGGCTCTTCTTGGGGCTTCTCCGTCTCGGTGTTGGTCTCTAGCTGCATCTCATCTTCATTCGCGTTGGCCGCTTCAGCTTCTGCTTCTCGGAGAACATCCTCGACTTTCTGCCCTCTGGCCTGAATGCTGTGATAAAGCTGTTATAGAAAAGAAAAGCGTTAGCAAGTCCTCATCCATACCGCAGTATTCGAGTAGAACGTAATGTACGTACCCTGTATTCCTCTGCAGCCTCTTCCCAGGACTCAAGGAGTGCCGAGTCGTCCCATATTTCTTCTTGAGTTAGAGCTTTGTTTTTGCTAGAACGTTTTCTCTTCTTCATAGCTCTCACCTCGAAGCAGCAGCTGTGTCAAATATATCGTTGGACTGAGGATCGAGTTGCGCCGTCTAGCTGTTAAAGCTCAAAAAAGGCTTTGCTTTGCCTGTTATCGATTTCGCGGAGAAGCTCTCGAAATCTTGGCGCTGATCCACAACGCAAGAAAAAAAAAATTAGGAAAATAGATAGAAGTTCACAATTCTTTTTACTGTGCACAATTGACCACAACTAGACACGCAGAATGGCTCCAGAGAAGAAGGCCACCAAGCGCAAAGGTTAGTATTTTGTTCTTAACTCCAAATTTTGCGTTGACGCGTTTCTAACCTAGTTGCATAGCGCCCGCGACGGCCACTGCTGCTCCTGCAGTGAGCGAACACCCGCCGTCAAAAAAGTCCAAGAAGACACAGGAAAAGCCTGTAAATACGGAAACCATTAAAGTGAAGGCCTCCAGCTCCAAGTCTAAAAAAGAAAATTCCACGGTCAATGGAGCCAAATCAGAGAAATTACCTGTTAAGGTCGACAAGAAGCCAGCGAAGGAATTGAAGCCCCGCAAACGCGCCGCGGATTTCTTGAGCGATGATGAAGAAGAGGCTGAGAAGGAGGTAGTCTCTAAGCCTAAGGCTGAAAAGAAGGAAACGCAGCCAAAGAAGAAAGCCAAATCCGAGAAGCCTGCTGCCAGTGCTGAGCTCAAGGAGAAAAGCTCTGCTACCGCGGAAAAGAAAAAGAAGACCAAATCCAAAACCAAGGAGGTTGAGAAGGAGCCTGAAGAAGTTTCCGAGCCTGTAGATGAAGAGCAGGTTTCTCCCATTTCTGATGCGGACTCGGACGACGAGGTTGAAGATGACCAAACTCTTGCATTGATCCGTGGATTCGAGAGCAGCGGAGACGAGGATGCGTCAGAAGACGAAGGCTTTGAGCCAGGCCAAGAGGTTCCAAAGATCCCTGACTCTAAAAAGGCCATGAAGGCAATTCGAAAGAAGAAGAAAGAGAACTCTGAACCGGAGGAACCTGGCACCGTATACGTTGGGTATGCTTTATTGTCCCTTCATTCCACTCCACACCTGTCGAAATACAACTAACTCGTATGTGCTACGTAGGCGAATCCCACATGGTTTCTACGAAGATGAGATGCGCGCCTATTTCTCACAGTTCGGAGAGATCTCACGCCTACGCCTCTCGCGCAATCGTACGACCGGTAAATCGAAACATTATGCCTTCATCGAATTCACATCCACCTCAGTTGCCAAAGTTGTTGCTGCCACGATGCAAAATTACCTCATGTTCGGCCACATCTTGAAATGCAAGTACATACCCAACGACAAAGTTCATCCGGCAATGTGGAAGGGAGCCAATCGCCGCTTCAAGAAGACACCATGGAACCAGATTGAAAAGCGACGACTTGATGCCGGAAAGTCACGCGACGGCTGGTCAAAGGCCATTTCCAAGGAGAGCTCTAAACGAGCTAAGAAGGCTGAGAAGATGAAAGCTTTGGGCTACGAGTATGAGATTCCGACTTTGAAATCTGTGGAGGAGGTTCCGGTCGCCCCTACTGTTCAAGATCAGATCGAAGAAGGCACTACTGCTCCCATTGCTGCGATTGAGGACAAGAAGGACGAGACTCTCAAGAAGAAAGAGTCAAAGAGCAAAGCTGAGGCTAAAGATAAAACCGTGACAAATGGAAAGGCGAGCAAGGAGAAAAAGACCGAAGCTGAGCCTGCCGAAACAGGAAAGAAGTCTGCTGAGAAAAAGGAGGCGAAGAAGCCTAAGAAGAAGGTCGTGAACGACACTCCCGCTACCTCTGAGAAGCCCACCAAAGTCGAAAAACAGCCAAAGAGTGCCCCCAAGGCTAAGAAAGTGGAGGAAAAGCCCAAGAAGGTGAAGAAGGCCAAGGCGTAAAACTGGAACGGCAGGGAGGTGATTTACGATACAAATAGCCTTAGTCTGTATTTATTATCTCTTTCTTCCATTTCCATTCTGTCATGTTTTGTGTGAGTCGGCGTTCAGTTGCAAGACCAAATAGCGATATCGTGAAGAATCAATTCAAAAGAAATCCAAAAAGGAAATAGGCCTCTCTCTCTCTATTTGCCCGGTAGCCCTCGCACACCTCAGGCACCTCAGGCACCCAAGTTACAAGTTGGTTACACACCTGGCCCCTGGTTATAGGGCTGCTTAAGAGTCCCAGGACCAAGGAACCAACCGGCCAGCCCCTGTGGCTTCTCCAAGGCTCGAGCCGCGCGACTCAACCTTCCTTCGTCAAAATAAGGATAAAGCCATGCTCAGCCCTAAAGTATCCTACACAAGGTTAACGAATTACGTCACTACCAGCGGCTTCCCCTGATCAATAAAGGGGGCGCCAGCTATGTATATTCGGCCAACCAGGTATCAATGCGAAGGAAGAGGTATTATAAATCGTGGTAATAAATGCAGACAAGCCTTAGGAGGTGCCGTCCATGAAATCACATTATCCCGGGTATAATATGCAGTGTATTTAAGCATCAAGCAGGGAAGATGCAAGGGAGACAAAACATACATGCGGAGCTAAACCGTCGGTTGGTATGGGGATGGGAAACAAACATGTAGAAGTAAGGGAGATCGTTAACCTGTATCCGGTGTTTCTTGGTTTATTCAGCATAGGAAGAATGGAAAGAGGATAAGTGTAGATAGCGAATATTGACAACGGACAGTAGAAGGCGTAGCAAAGAACGGGAACAAACAGGACAACCATCTAGATATCATAACGAGGTTCATGGTATTGATTGCCAGTCGGAATCTCACTCTCTCCAATCTTTTGAGAGAGAAAAAACGAACGGTTTCGTATGTATAAGCAGGCAGGCATGACCGGTGGGGGAAAAAGATAGAGCAAAGAACGAACAGATGCAACAACGGGATATATTCTTTTGATTTTGGCAAGAAAAAGAAGAGAAGGAGGAATGAAAAGAAAAAGGGAGATATATTAAAAAAAGCTTTAACCGGGCGTGTTTATGGGTATAGGAAGGATAATGATAGGAAGTTCTTTCAAGACATGCCAGTCACCGTCACCGTTACTGCCATCGTTACCAGCAGGGAGGGAAGCATCTTAACACAAAATCAAACCTGATAAACGAAAAAGAGACGTGGAGCAAAAGCGAAAGAAAAATAAGACGTAGATGGGAAGACGAACGCGGGGGGAAGATAATCAAGCTGCGAGACGACGGGAGAACAAAACGCCTTAGTTTTAGTCCCATTCTCGGATCTATGTTGGCTTGTCGCAGCCAATTCTACCAAGGAGGGTTTTTCGATCATTATGGTCGCTTAACGTCACTCGCCCACGGGCTGTTCTTATTCGCACCGGGTGGCTCTGGTGGTTCGAGCCGTTGGGCATGACCGATCGTGACCAGGCGGTGCCTTCTGAGCTCGACGGTGCGCTAGTGATTCTTGCCGAAGAGGTGCCGGCCTTTTCCTTCGGCTCGCCAGCGTCAACTTCTCCCTCGTCATCGCTTCGTGTGTCCTCTGCACTTGAACCAGTCCATAAAACGCCCAGCGCTACTTTGATGATCATTCCGAGCCAGATGAGGGAGAGAACCTGTAGGAACAGTAACATTCCAAGGAAGATCACCTTGATGGTTCCGGTCATGCAGATTGGGCCATCGAGGTCGAAGAATGGGTTGAAGATGTGGAATAGGAGATCGGGGGAGCCGGTTGATAGCTGCTTGCCTGTGGTGCCGGAGTAGCATCCGAACGGCACGTCTGCAGGTACCGTTTGGTGGATGGACCACCATAGGGTCATGTAGATGAAATGACGAGCAACGATCCAGGTTGCGACGAAAACGCCGAAGGCAACTGTGCAGGCTCGTTCGAAACCAAGGTATTTTAGCATTTTGGCAAACTAGCACATTAACGTTAGCTTGGGGTGCGCTGCAGAATGAAGGAAAACAATCAAGGGTCCATATATACACACCGGTAGCAGGTAATCAACGATATCCATGAGGCAGAGGACGACATTGGCGACGTTGTAGAAGCTATAGACATATGCGGATCCGAGCAGTGTGCTGGTGATGATATGATGGACAAACATCTGCGCGTGGTCCTTGCGCTTGGCTTCGATGTGAATGACAAATATTTGTTGTACCCAAAAGGATAGCTGCAGGAGGCAGTATAGCTTGACGCTGCCGCTAACCTCTCGAGTAGGCCAATCAGCCCATATGGCACGGAAATTGTACCAGTAGCTAGAATGATACCAGATGTGCTGGTGGTTGTTAGTACAGATAACGATAATTTTGTATTGTTTAAAAAATGAGCATTTCATAGTAACAAGGTAGCTACTAACCATTCCATAGGCCCAGAAGGCTAGGTAGTAGACCAAAAGCCATCCCTGCTCAGCAAAGCGTATAGATTGCTTGTGTCTCAGCCCCAATTGAGAAGCAATGGGGTAGAACACCCAGTCAATGACGATAGCTCTGGTAGCTGTGAAGCCTAGCATGGAGCTAATGATGAAGTAGACATCATCCAGCCCCTGAGTGTACTTTCCAGTCTCGGGGTGGTAGTGAGGCAGCTCGAGGTACGGAGTCGTGTATGCCCTTAGGGACGGAACGAAAGTGTGAACGGCGAGGATAGCACCGAGAATGGAAAGCGAGCAACCTGAGCAGCAGCAGCAAAGTCAGTAAGGGCATTGACAGCTACACGGAGCTTGCAATCCTGGTGTTTACGCACCTATCTGGTTCGCAACCATCCATTCTCGCCAGGAAGCGCCGTCCTTCGACGCCCTGCTGGCCTCGGTCGTCGACACACAGGCATTGACGTTGGTTATCCCAGGCTGGCCCCGAGCAGCTACGGCCAATGTCTCCTTGGCCATTGTGTTATTTCTCTCGCTTCTCTGGTCTCGGCCGCGTGATTCGGCAGAGCAGAGTTATCGAGGACAAAGGATGCACCGGGCGACGGTTGAAGGGTGGTGCTGACGAGGAAAGGTTAACTAAGAGAGGATCGCATTCAAGCTATGAAATCCGGCTCTTTGCAAGTCCAAATTGGCCCCAGCAGATGAGCTGTCCTCGACCAGAGAAAGGGATTGAGACCAGTCGAGTAGCTGAAATCTCTTTCCTGCTGCAGCAAAGGGGGGCAAAGGGGCGAAATGTGATTTGGTGATGGCGTGTATGCTCCCTATCTCTCTGTCCTCTTTTTTTTCCGTTTGGGTCAGACTAGGGACTACCGACTTAAGTTATTTAACCAGGGCAGGGTTTTTGTAACTTACTACCTTAATTACTATAAAGTAGGCGGTGTCGCAGGTCGCCAACACAACGCCAGGCGAGAGAAGGACAGCAACAGCAGGATGTCTCTTCTTCTTCTTCTTCCTCTCTTGTTCTTCTCTTCTTCGTCTTCCGTCCTTCGTCTTCCTCGCTTCTACTTCTGCTGCTTCTGCTTCCTCGTCCTTCTTTTCCATCCCGCGCGCATGAAACGGCCTCCTTTTTTTGGGTGGGACCACGTGCTTTGCTGAGTCATGGCTTAGTAAGAAGGCGGAGATGAGACGAAGAAGATGAAGGCGACGACGACGATGATGATCGCAGGTAAAGATGAAGATGAGTAGAAGAAGAAGAAGAGAAGAGAAGACGATGAGAGTCTACTTGAGGCTGTACATATTATAGTTGCCGTGGATGAAGGAAGAGAGCTTCAGGGATGGCGACCCAGCATCACACCACACCACACCACAAGCATAGCCAGCGATCAGCTTATACGTTACAGACGGATCCCAGCAGTAACCCTCCCTCAAGGTGCAGGTAGTGTCCTTACGGAGTATATCCATGGGCTTTGAACCATGCATTGACACTCGAACATGCAGGAAATAGCCCTTCCCGACGGGACACTCCGCGGATGCAACAAATGTTCGGCTCTCAAACGCCACGAGAAAGCAAAGAAAGACCAAGACCACCGTCGTTAGAGCCACGGCAGCGGCCCCAGAAATTAAGAAGTTAAGCAGATAGTATACGAGCGCCAGAAAGATCTTCGATTGCAAATCCTTCGCGGTTAATGGTGTATACACACACACCACACCTGCTAAGCCCGGATATTGCTCCCAGTTTGCACATGTGTCTCCGAACACTCTTCAGCGCCCAGCTGCCACCCTGTCGGGTTTACCCTAGCGTAGAAAACCCAAATTCCGGATATAAATATAAGTAAATAGAAGCATGGACAAACGACGGCTGCGTACGGACTTTATGTCAACATCTTCGGACTTTTGCATGTTCAGCCTCAGGTGCCGTACATAAACCAGAGACCTCACCACCACATCTATGGGGTTCGTACATGATGGCGGGTCGCTGGCCGGAGAGTCTGACCGTGAAGAGCTCCGCCGGTTAGGCAAGAAACAAGTGCTCAGGGTGAGTGTTCGATATACATGAAATTAAGTTGTATATAAACAAAACCACAGCAAATTGCTAATACACCAGCCAGAGAGGTTTCCGCTTTCTCTCCATCCTAGGCTTCAGTTGTGCCGTCCTCATCACTTGGGAGGCCTCATTGATTCTGTTCCTTACGGGCCTTCGAAATGGTGGCCATGCAGGCATCATATACGGCTACATAGTGATATGGGCCGGGAACCTGGCAGTCTTCACCACCCTCTCGGAGCTCGTCTCCATGGCCCCAACTTCTGGTGGCCAGTATCATTGGGTTGCTATGCTGGCTCCAAAGTCAATGGCGAAGTCCCTAAGCTACATCACTGGCTGGTTAACCGTGGCTGGATGGCAGGCGGGTTTCGCTTCTGCTTGCTTTTTGACCGGCTCCATGATCCAGGGACTTATCATCTTCACGAATCCGTCTTATTCGCCTAGCTCGTGGCATACCACTTTGCTTCTCTGCGCCGTAGCGTTGTATTGCGTCTTTGTCAATGTTGTGACTAGCAGATTGCTGCCCGTGTTTGAAAAAGTAGCATTGGCTCTCCATGTCATCGGGTTTCTGGCTGTTTTGATACCACTCGTTAAGTTTGGGGTAAAGAATGATGCAGATTTGGTATTCAAGAATTTCATCAACGGGGGGAACTGGTCCAGTCAAGGTGTCTCCTTTTTCGTTGGGTTAATTGGAAATGCATTTGCTTTCTTGGGTAAGTTCACTACTTCCTCTTATTGATGTAACCTCTTTTGCTAACTGCGTTCATAGGACTCGATGGCGCATACCATGTACGTCTTGCTCGCTTTTTGCATTGATTCTATGCTACGGTCTACTAACCCAAGCTAGATGTCCGAAGAAATCCAAAATCCGTCCATCACAGTTCCACGCTCCATTATCCTTACTCTATTCATCAACGGCAGCCTGGGACTATCGATGCTCATTGCGACACTATTCAGCATAGTTGATTTAGATGCCGCTCTAAACTCGCCAACTGGACTCCCATTCCTAGAGATCTTCCGGCAATCAACGGGGTCCACCGCTGGCTCTGCAACAATGGCTGCAGTCATCGTTACGTTAACCCTGTTCGCAAACTGCAACTACCTAGCTTCGACATCCCGTATGACCTGGTCATTTGCAAGAGATCGAGGCCTACCAGGCTGGAAATCACTGGCTAAGGTCCGTTCATCTAATGATATACATTTTATTGGGTGTTATTGAACTTTACGAGGGCAATATTTAAATGCTAACGGTGGATCTCGCAGGTTGAGAAACGCACCGAAGTGCCATTAATGTCAATTCTTGTCACAGCTACCATAACCATCCTCCTCTCCCTCATAGTTATCGGCTCAACGGTAGCTTTCAACATCATCGTCTCCTTGACAGTCGCCTGCTTATACCTCAGCTACCTGCTAGCTACGGGCATGCTTCTGTACCACCGATGTGTAGGGAACGTCTCATACCCTTCTAATAATGCAGGAACCGGCTCGACTCTTGCCAATACTACCGGCGCCCGTCTTGTTTGGGGCCCATGGCATCTCCGTGGCGTCATGGGAATCGCAGCAAATATATTTGGATGCATATACCTGACGGTCATCCTGATATTCAGCTTCTTCCCTGCTGATGCCTCCCCGACGGCAGCAGGCATGAACTACAGCGTCGTCATCTGGGCGTTCGTGATTGTGCTTAGTATTGTATATTATCTTACATATGCGCGGAGAGTGTACGATGGTCCGGTTGTTGAAATTGACGCCACGCCGTCGATTGAGCCCAGCATCAAGGAGTAGCCGGAAGTTAATATATTACTTGAAATATACATACAAGTTTAATTAGTTAGTTTAATATAATAATAAATGTTCACCTCCATTCAAGGCAGTTACTCCAATTAGTATTCGGTCTATACGGTCTATTCAATATATATGTACATGGCAGATGGTTGTAAAACGGCAGCTTAGATCTAAATACGTCAACTGCTGACGGGGTACTCCAATCCATCAGTGAGCTTGTCCACGTACTCATTCGTATCTATCACTTCGTTTCCGTTTCCGCTCTTGCGGCTGCAAGCCTGCAAGGCTCTATCATTCATCACCTTCGCAACAGCGTTGACAACATCCTCCTGCTGCCAAACCCAGTCATCATCATCTTTGTTCGCCGCGCAATGGTATGCATCATACTTCGCACTCAGCTCTGGGTCTCGTGCAATTACGCTTCTCGTCACACTCAGAGTCTGTAGCTTCGACATGGCAGCTAGCATGGTCGCAGTAGATGCAGATAGAAGCTGCTCCGTGGGCGTGGGAAGGGTATAAAACAGCCTATTGGTAGCTGATAGGTAAATAAGGGCAGCGCAAATGGCGTCAAATATGGTAAATGCCAGAGGCCGTAGCGTGCTTAACTGGACATGTAGACTCGCCGGGGCATCTGGGTGCTGAGCGTATATTTCCGTCCACTTATTACGCTGGCCGCTGGCCGAGCTCTTCGAGAGGGAGAAAAGCGGAGAAGTTGCTCGTAGGATAACACATAGTTCAATAACCAAAAGCACCACGGAGCCCAAAAGGAACTTCTTCCTCCATGTAGCTATCTTGGTCCCGACTATTGAGCTGGAAGTCGCTATGCCGATGACAAGGAAGTGGAACAGATGCGGCACAAGCGTGTTGAAAGGCAGATAGTAAAGAAGGTACGTAATCGAGCTATCCAACGAGCAGAACGGACAGGCTATCAACGGCTCCGATCCAAGTTGCAGATACACTCCTCTCGCTGTGGGAGAGACAAACAGCTTCTTGAGCGTAGAGTCATGTTCGCTTTCCACCTCGAAGCGTCCACCAAGGCGCCTCAGGCGGGTGAAGAGCAGCTCTGTCGGCGTGTTGAAGCGCGAATCCGTGAGTTTGAAGATATCATTTGTGCCAGAGCTGGTGCTGGAGAGTATATTGCTGCCCGGCGTGAGACTGAAGGCGAGAAAGAGAGCGGTTGAGAAGAAGAGGATATTGAGCGCGCGAGAGGCGAGTGTAGGGAGAGGCTGGAGAGGCGGACGGTTGGTGAAATGCGAGCGGACTGATCGGAAGAGAGCGATGGCCTTGGGTATTATGATCGGCGCAAAGAAGATGGCTAACGCCTTGATGCTGTAGTGGGTTGGGGATAGTCAGTGCCTAAGACTTTGGCGGTTGTCTGGACGGAGTTTGGAGACGGCGCATACTTATCGTAGGAGAGCATACTTGGGAAGTACGCTTGCCCACTGCTATGGTAGTATGAGATCTAGATATCGGTAGTATCACACATACATCCTACGCGGCATGTCTTGGGTATGTATATGACCCTCTGTTGGGGAGTTGTTGTAAGTAGTTAACTCTCTGCATATGTGTTCATTGAAATATTTTTTTTTAGGCGCGGATCTTCTTTTGCTATCCGCAGGGATGCCTATGATAACGATTTAATAAGTGACTCCACCGGGCACAAAGACATGGACAAAGATATAGTCATGCATAAAATGGTATAAACAGCTAAAAAGACAGTACAGTCACCGAGTAAATACATAATAAACAGGTCAGGTACATATGTTCTTTTCGTGAGATGGCTCGAGAACGCTAGACGCTCGCTGATTTCGATGGGAAGTAAAAGCAGGGATCAAAGACGGAGATGGAAGTCCTCAAATATAACATCATGAAACGGCGCCGCGCCCGAAACACCAGCCAACCGTGCTAGAAAGTGAAGAATGGGGCTTGAAAAATTAAAGGCAGGAGAAAAGCCACAATACGAAATCCGGTCGTGTAAATAAGCAGGGCAAGACAGAAATAGATAGGGAAGGAGGGAGAGAAAGGAGGCTGGTTTCCGGAATGCAGACTCCACAGATCATCCGGACTGGTATCATCAAATATAATTAGAATACATTGCAGGATGGTGAGCTAGATCGGGAGCGGCAATCTCTGAAGAAGGCATGGGCATAGGCATATGCATTGGCACTGGTGACCTGGATGCATTTGTGGGCGGCGCCGAGAAGGCGTCCATCGGAGAAGAGATGTGCACTGGATACCCATTAGGGGGCTGGGGATGCCGTGTTTGTCGAGTTGAGCCTAGCCGGGAAGTAGTAGATGAAGATTTGTAGGTATTCAGAGAGCTCTTGTGTGAGAGCTTGAAGGATCTGTAGCTGTCCTTGCGGGAGACTACGTCTTGAGTAGCGACGGCTCCTCGAGCACGAACATGGCGTGCAGAGATTCCAATATCCGAATCCCGGAAGACGTAGCTCTGTTGTATCAATTAGTATTTATTGACAAGCAAACAATTAACATTGACGGGTTGGAAAGGAGAATACTAACCAGGGCGATATTGAGACTCCCGATGACAATTGATACAACACCAGCTCCGAGGATGAGTTTCCAGAAGGGCAGGCCTATTTCTTTTTGGCGACTGGCCGGGCTATTCAGCTCTCCCAGAGTTGAGATGCCGAGTAGCACCATGGCACTTCCGAGGGTGACAAACCCGGAGTCTTCGCCCAGAAGAGGCCAGTTTCGGTCAAAATACGCCTTGAATATGCTGAGTTCAGAGACAATAAGAAATGCTAGGTCAGGCATGTTAGAGTAGGGGGTATATTGGCATATGTATGTTGTTTTGGATGGGATATGCGGAACGTACAGCAGATAGATGCATACGCAACGTGAGTGACAGCTTCAAAGAAGAAGAAACTGGCAGCAAGGACGATCTTTATCAGCAGGATGATGTTTGCGGCGATGACAACGAGGAGGCTGATGATGTTCATGACCCGAACCAGATTTAATATCACATACCCCGGGCCGGCCAAGGGGAACTTGGGGGTCTCCATCTGCATGGGGTGCTGCTTTTCTTCTGTGATGTTGTTGTGAGTGTAGGAGCTGTAGTGGGAGGAGGGAGCGAGCGAGTGCGCTGCGAGACTTGGTGCCTGTGACGGCATGTTTGGAGATGATGATCTTTATATCAGAAGCAGAAAAGAAGGAGAAGAAAAAGAAGAAGAAGATGGTATCAAATGAAGGTAGAAGGTCGGAGAAGAAGAGAAGCCTGGCCGGCAGGACAGAAGGACTGTCAATGTAAGTAAGAAGAATATAATGAATGACAGCAGCTTAATTCAGCAGAGAGCGAGCGATGAATCAAACATCTCGTAAGTCAGCCATTGAACATTTGGCAGTTGGCAGTTGGCAGCTGGCAGTGGTTAAGACACCGTAGATGTGTTGATCGATATGACAAAGTAGCAGAATTAAGCAATAAAGGAAATATGGACAGACGAAAGCTGAAGAAGGAAGACGAGGGGAGAAGAAGAACACGACGAGGAGGAGAAGGAAAACGCTGGAAAAGACAGTTTAAACTGCCTCCTCGCCTTCTTCTTGTTCTTCACCCACTTGCCCATCCTTCTTACTCCATAACCATATATTCGTGATATATGAATAGCATGAAACAGCATGGTTGAACCATGTCTGCTCGGTGTGCCGGCAGGAGACTCCAACCGCCCGTCAGGGGCTCCTCGTACGGCCCTGAGAGGCTCTCCTCTGCCTCAGGATGGCCCGTCTTCACCCTCAGCGACTGGCCCTCGTCGTCCCTCCTGCGATGCGTCTGCGGCCCAGGGTGATGCTGAAACACAGCGTCTCGACCATCTCGAGCACCTCCCAACCAACCATCGTTCGTCTCTTCTCCCTTCAACCTTCGACTCGTCTTCTTCGTCTCCTTCTTTGCTTTTTTATACATGTATCCAAGCATAAACGGGCAACATCATGGTCACATGACCCTGGCGCCAAACCACCAACTTTTTCTCGTTCTTTCTTCCGCCTGTTTTTCCTTCTTCCTTTTTGCTTCATCGCGCTGTTGACTCCATCGCTGCCTGCGTCTGCTTGTCCAAGTGGTCTTCGTTGCTTCATCGTCAGAGTATCGTTCTGTCTAGAAACTAAGTTAATATAGCACCATGGCTCGCGGTAACCAGCGCGACAAGGCGAGAGAGAAGAACCTGAAGGAGGCAGCCAGCCAGGTATGTGCCGCCCTTTATCGATAACCAGGGCGAAGAGCTGATAGTGGATGCTCTGGGTTGAACCTCCCCCGCATGGCTTTTTAAGATAAACGATGATGGCTGACGGCGGATACACCCATGTGCAGAAGAAGAAAAACGAGATGAGCGGTACCGAGTTTGCTCGCACCAAGGAGGCTCAGGCTGACATTATGCGGAAGAAACAGGAGGCTGGTTCGTGGACCTTTTGGCGATGGCGTTTGGACGTAGCCGTTGACTGAGCGACTAACTGACGGTCTTTTGTAGCAAATGCGAGAAAGGCTGCTGAAGGAGGAAGCGCGAAGAAAAAATAGTTGAGGCCATACTATGCCGTCCTCCGTCTTGCGTCCCTGCGTTAGTCAACGGATGCTCGTTGCTTACTCCGTACTCTTTGGCTCTCTTCCTCTCTGGCTTTCTCTCTCGGGTTTCCTCGGTGGGGGTATTTCCCCATGAAAATATAGAGGACCATAGTTGAGTGTTGGATGTCCTCCCGGGTTAAGATATCACCTAGTCTTTGATCTCTTCAACTTTGCATCATGAGAGGAGATAGCTTGGTGTTACGCTTTACGATGATGATAGAGAGCCTCCTTGGTTCAAATGATAGCGTTACAGCGTTTTATTTTTTTGTCTTATTTTAATCCATTTTTGATACTATCTTTTTGGTAACAATCTTATCTAATAGTTAATGATTCAAGAGCCACCTGGGCAGCTTCTCATATCTTATCCAATTGTTATCACGGGAGACCAACCTGACGAGTCCACCTCTTCCACGGCCTCGGACCTGGCGGCATACTAGTGAGAGTCTCATTTGCCACAGGGCCATCCAACTCCAACGCTGCCGGTCCCTGGCCACGATCCTGGCCCCAGTCATGCCAGACATGTAGCCCACCTTCTGCTTGTCCTGCTTCCTCTTCTTCGTTGGCGGCCCCTAATCTCGACCTGGCAAGCTCAACAAAGGTCCACAGAGCCTCCCTTTGCCACTGCACTGCACGGCCAAACTGAATAACTCGCTGTACAACATCATGCACCACATCGTCATTACCGTCGTCATAATTGTTACCGCCATCACGGACCAGCGTAAGTACATGAAGGAGGAACATCCACCCGGAGTTGTCGCCCGGATTACGTAGACACCAGTCCCTCATAGTAGTGATCAGATGGGCGTCGGATATTAGGCGGGAGTTACCACCTCCCGTCTCTGGAGCCGTCGTCGCAATATTACCCCTGTCATGCTCGGCTTCAACCTTGACACCAACCTCGTATGTGGTGATGAGCTTTGATCGATCGTCAAGACCACCATCGCTACCACTCAACAGCGCCAAGTACTGCCGTAGATAGCTAAATGCATAGTAGTTCATGGGATGATGCTCAGCGGCCCGCAGGACAAGCTCAACTTCTCGCTTTAGCATCTCAGCCTTGGGCTGTTGGTAGCTGTAGTGGTGCTGATGACGAAGGTAGACCTGCATGAGCCAGAAGCGATGGTACCAGAGCGTCGGTGACTTTGCATGGCGGTGTAAAGGCGATCCAAGCAAGGAGGCAGTGAAGTTGCACTCGGCACAGAGCAGTGGTAATGGCGATGGCGATGGTGGTGGTCGATCAATCGCATCTGAGCCTTGCTTCGAGAGTGATCTGACAATCCTTCGTTTTCGCCAGTTGCAGGCCGTCAGGTGCTCCGAGTCGAACACTAGGATGACCGTCGATGCCGCCGCCACCACATCGTCGTCGCCCTCGTCTTCTGGCGTGGGATTGGACGCGAAGAAGACCCCTCTAGCGGTGATAAAAGCCTGGATGAGTGCCTTCTTGGTGATACCTATGGAGCTAGAGCTGCCATCGTCATCTGTGAGCAGCGGCCCCAAGGCACCAGGCAGGATCTCAATTTCGACTGTCCTTTCGCTCTTGCCTATGGAGGCTAGGGTATCATATATGTGCGCATCGAGCGAAGACGCGCTGTCTGTATCTGTGGCTGGAGTTGACATTGAAGGGACTCTTCATGGTTTACTCCGTAGTTATTCCTCCCTTCTTCGTCTTCTTCAACGCTCTTCATCCGCCAAGCCTGCGATCACGAGATACACCAAAGCTCGACTCTCTTCTCTTCTGCTCTTCTGCTTCGTCCACTACTGGAACTGTTTTACCAATAGTGGTAGAACCATTGTTGAGACGTCTTCATCGGTCTCAGGTAATATTTCATGCTCTGTCTCATCAATGCTATGTGATGACATGCAGGGTCATGAAATACGATTACATGATCATCACGCGTGCATAAAAAAAATAAAGACTTGATGAAGAAGAAGCAAAAGTAAGTCCACCACCCAGAGACACATCATAGCAGCCGCCAGAGATAAGTAAGTACCAACTCCTCTGTCTACATATAGCTAACCGAGCCCCTCAGGTCTCCATTGATGTCAGGGCTTCTGTCGCACGGTCATAATACAGAAGCTCCCTAGCTATAGCAGATATCGGTTCATGAGACATCATCTGCCACCATCAATCATATTATCTTAAAACTGCCATTGTAACGACGCTCCCAGCTCCTGGCTCGGCTTGGACCATGCACAGTTATTAATTATACATCCACTATTGGGACGAACGCCGGAAGAACAGCGGGTTTACTTTCAGTACCCTTAAATTGATCACACCTTTTCCCCCGGAGCAAAGGACCAGAACAAGTTAAAGCCAAAGAGAGCAGCGAGAAAAACGAAGAGGGGAAAGAAGAAAAGCCTCCGTTCTCGTTGTTATTTTCTGTGTCGTGGTTGGGTCGTTCGATTTTGATACCGACCAAAGGGCTTTTTTTACTCAATTCCTCTGCTGGGTGGAGGGAAAAAAGGGGAAAAAGAAACGACAAAAACACAAAAACAAAAACAAAAGGGACTTGACCCTGCTGCAACATCCCTGTTTGTATGTTGGGTAATGTCATGGGAGTGAAAAATACAGGCCTGAATCTGTTTTTCAGACCAGGTTACCTCTAGCGCTCTCTCTATGCTACTGGGACTGCAGCCGGTGTTGAAACCCTTAACGAGTCAGGCTCTGGTGACTGGACGAGCAGCTAGAGGGTAAAAAGAAGGGACGAAGGAAAAGACGAAGAAGACGATGACGGTGATAAAGGCCGCGCCACGTTTTTGGGCTTGACGGTACAAGCTTTTTTACATTATACTATTTGGGTGAGTGGTGAGATAACTGCTTTGAAGCAAGCGTTGACAAGAGCGCGAGCGAAGTCGGTAACTACTTATTGATAGTGCTTGCTTGGTCTGTGTGACCGATAGCTCGCAGTCGGTAACTCGCTCGTTAGTCAGGACGGGTGCCTGTGATCCAGCGGTTACAGATAGACCATGCGATGAAACGGGGGGAGGGGGCCGGCGGTTTTGCAAGGCAGCGAAGATTTCGATCTTGGATGCTTTAATGTTGGTGACGAAATTATGATGGAAGGTAAAACCAACACAACACCCGACGACGTGGCTCTGGGAGTCTCTTGATCTCCCTCTTCCTTCTTCCTCCTTCTCCATATTCTTCTTCTTCCTTCGCTGGGGCTGAAGAAGGGAGGCAAAATACTCCTCAACCGAACACGAAGAGAGTTCAACCTGTCCCATGGCTGGACAGCCGAAGATCGAAGGCGACTTGGAAAGTAAGAAGGGTACGTAACTCGATGGCCACGAGATGCTCCGTACATCTATCTTTCTCTCTGTTTCTGCCTGCTGCCAGGTTTCTGACGTCTTGAGTAACGCCTGCGACTGGTAACTAACTGACGACCTACCAAACAGGGGAAAAACGTAATAATACTTACGAATGGAGCATATCAACTATTATAAGTATACATAAGAACGCAGCAAAGCAGAGGCAGAAGAGCAAAATCGAACCCAGCACTGTGGTTCCAGACCCCGAAAACAAGCAAAAAAACAAAAAAACCAAGCCGAGACGGCATGAAGACAGAGGGAGATCTGCCGTTAGCCAGTGTATGGGACACACTTTCTCGCACCTCCATCGATTTTCTGGTCTTGCTTTCTTTTTTGTTTTCCTGTGGTGGGTTGTCTTGAGCGAAGAAACAACAGACATCCTTGAGCGGAGTGACACAGCTATGCAACTTGTGACTCCAGTGACTGTTGCTCAGGACATATAACATAACAGTTATTTATATACACGTCGCCTGCATCCCCTGAGACGACAGACACAGGCGGAGGAACCCAGCAACCCAGCAACCCAGCAACCGAGAAACCAAGAAACCGCAGCAGAACCGCCGCCATGGAATGAGGACGACCAGCAACTGCATCCTCCTACTCTGCTCCCACCCAGATGGACGGGCGAGAGGGGCGCGAGGCTGGGTCGGGTCAGATGGCGTACGCTGTTTGGATGCAGCGTGTGGCAGGTTGCTGTGTGGCAGGTTCAGGTAGTTGGGCTCCTTGCCTGTCTGGTGGGAGCAAGACCCAGCCGGAGGAAAACCCTTGCATGCTGTCTGCCATCGTGCTGGGAGAGAGCAGTCATGCAGGACGTCTGGCGGGTATGGAGTACTTCTTCATCCTCGTTATGTACAGTAAGTCTTGAAGCATTGAGTACTCCGTAATAATATAATTCATAAAATGATATTGTCGTGACGACGAGCGAGCATCTGTCTGTCTTGTCTGTGTGATAAGCGGAAGTGCAAGCGAGATGGGACGACGGGCGGCTCGAGGACGCCACGTTTACTGGCTTGCCTGGCTGGCTGGGCAAGGCAAATGCTATTTTATTACCCTTTTCGTCGTGTCTTTTCTTGGTTTCTTCTTCCTTCGCCCTTTGTTCATTAATTATTCATCAGTTATTCATCGTTCACGATGGCCAAGGGGGGCATTTTATTTACACTTACATCTTGCGTTCACTTTCTCCGCGGCGGTCGCATGGTGCATGGTGCTTTAGGGAAGCAAAGCATTTCCGTACCGTCTGGTGGCGCCCTGACCCGGGCAGATAGATAGTCTTCGCCATCGCGCCGTCTTCAGTGTGCCTTCTGTCTCTTTGATCATAGACAGACTCTCGTCTCCTGCTGTCTCCATCTATATCGTACATCTCCTTATCGACCGAAAGTCGTCTAGAACTGCGCCTGGCTGCGCCCTTGCCCGTCGACACCACAAGTGTTACTTTTACTCCTCGCAAGATGACGAAATACGAAAACGAGAGGAAAGAACAACAACGGTAAGTTACGGCAAGGTAATGGCGCCTTGCCTTTCCGGGCCTAGTACTACTCCACCCCTGTCCGGCCCAGCCCGTCGGAGTGGTCCAAAGGAAGTGCGCCAAGCCAGCCAAGCCCACCACCATCAAAATCTTATTTTCCTCTCCTCTGCACTTCTGTCGCCTGCCAAGCCAGCCAAGCCCGATCCTTTTAGGGACAAATCCCTACTGATTTCACCCACTGTGGGGCCCACCTTGTCTTTTTTTAGGTTTTCTTTCGTTTTTTTACTCTAAACCTTCTTTTTTACTTGCTTGTCGTGTCACGCCCCCGTTACCGCTAAAGAACTGAATCTCTCTCTGTCTTTCTGTGTGTCTCTCTCGCTTTTTCTTTTTTACTTTCCTTACCTTACCCATACCTTACCTTACCGTACTTTACCAATACGCCTGTTCCCTCCCCGGGAATCAGTGCGGCCCCAGCGCCCCGGACCTGGTCCACCCTTTTTTTTGCCTTTCCTTCTCGTCGCTCGCTCTTCTTCTCTTCCTTCTTCCTCCTCGCCTACACACAAAAAGACAACCTCGACACCACCAGCACCGTCCAACCCACAGACGGAAGATAGACATTCAGACATACATACACACAGACAGAGAGATAGCAACAGAGAGTCTGAACGGGAAGTTGCTGTCGAGGGCCGAAGACGGGTAGTCGTCGCATGGTGAGTAGCAGGGCGAGACGGGTCGCTGGGATGGATGAGAGACTGGACTGACGGCTTATTAGGATACCAGCTAACCGCCTGATCTCGACTCTTTTCTTCCACCTCCAGCTTCTGGGCCATAGCCGTCGCCCAAGATGGCTTCCAAGTCGTCCATCCTGCACCCTCCAAATGAGACGGAGCACTCGTCGTCCAGAATCACCCGCGAGGGCAAGAAGATCACCTACTCGCTCAGGGTGATGCAGCAGCCCGAGCGTGCCAGAGCATGCGGTGCCGGCGCTAAGTGTACGTCTCCTTCATCTCATCATCCTCATACTTCTCTTCTCTGTCTTGTAGAATGAGCGAACTAAACAAAGAGTTTGTAGCCGCTGCGGACCGTCGTCCTGTCGACCCGCCACCGATCGTGGAGATGCGCATCTTCGAGTCGGACCCAAACAACGACATGCAAAAGACTGACATCACCTTCTCCTATAACGCCAACTTCTTCCTCTTCGCCACGCTTGAGTGGGCTCGCCCTTATGCTCACGGCAGAGTCCAGGGCCAGCCGCCAACCTGCCCTGTCCTGACCGGTGTTCCAGTCGCGGGCATTGCCTATCTCGACCGTCCCAGCCAGGCCGGCTACTTCATCTTCCCAGACCTCTCCGTCAGGCACGAGGGTCTCTACAGACTCAACTTCAGCTTGTACGAGGAACCAAAGGACGGCAAAGACGAGGACAAGGTGCCTCCAGCTCCCATCGGTACGGTGTCTAGCACGGGCATGACCATGCCAATGAAGTCGAGACAGCCAATGAAGAACATGTATTTCCGTCTCGAGGTCAAGACCGTTGCTTTCACCGTCTTCAGCGCAAAGAAGTTCCCTGGTCTGTCCGAGAGCACGACTCTGTCTCGTATCGTCGCCGAGCAAGGTTGCAGAGTGCGTATCCGTCGAGATGTGCGTATGCGTCGACGAGAGCCCAAGTCGAACAAGGACTACGGCGGCTACGATGAGAGACACGTTACTCCAGATTCGTACCATCCGGGTACACCGATCGAGCGACCGAGAAGCGCCAGCAACTCGGGCATGGATGGTGGTTACTACTGTCCCACACCACAGCGCGCTCAGTCCGTCGCTCAGGGGTACGGCTATCCTCCTCCTCCTCCACCACCACCGGGACCACCAGGCCCAGTGTCCCAGCAGTACCAGCAGCCTCCTCCTCCTCCCACCGGCCAGATGGCTCTTCCAGGACCGCCAATGCAGCCTCAGGCTCAGTCACATCTCTCCTTTGGTGCTCCACAACCGCAATACTGTGCTCCCCAGCTCCCACCACAGCAACCTCAACATCAACACCAGCAACAACATCCACCTCCACCTCCACAACAGCCACCGAGCTAGATGCCATACTCCTCGCCGATGCCCGGCTACACACATCTTCGCCATCCATCGACAAGCGCGGAATACGAATCGCACGCCAAATACCCATCCTACCAGCAACCACAGCAGCCACAACAACAGCCATCGAGGCAGCTCTCCGACCCCAACGTCAAGGCGAGTCTACCACCAATATCAATTCCACACGACACCGCATCGAGTGTACCCCGCTACTCCTCAGATCCAAAGGCATACCAGTCGACCACCTCCCAAACACCTCACATGCCTCCTCCATCATCTCTCACTGCTGCCTCGCCATCGGCTTCTTACAACCCGCACTCATCTAGCGACGTCGTCGAACCAGCCGCACCGTCAGACCAGACACAGCAGTCCTCGTCCACTTCAACATCACAGGCAACCTACGACCCTACGCCAGGCAAAGGCTGGTCCTTCCGCCCGGAACCCTTACTCTCCTCTAAGCGAGGGCACGGCGACGTCTTTGGCACCGCCCAGCACACCCAGCCGCTACACCATGGCAAACGAGCAGACTCGATTGCTACGCCATCCTCCAGCTCTTCGTCTGCTGGTGGTCGTGGCAGCCTGCTATCTCGGCTCGCTCGTCTCCAGGATATGGACGACGACGAGAACGGTATTATCGGCATGACCTACAAGCGAGCCGATGGCCGAGTAGCTACCAGGATGGCTGGACTAGCACGGGCGTCATAAATCAGGCAAGCATGTTTTATCTATCTTTTTTAAAGCAACCCGGAATTATCCTGGAACGAAATGATAGCATTTTGTGTGTGTTTCGTGATTTCTGCATAATGTGCCATATCTATCTATAACCTGCCACAGCCATCTATCTATCTACCCGCCAACCCGACCCAGATCCCTTCCCCCTTTCCTCCCCTTTCTCTTCATCATAAACTTCTCTTCCTTTATATCGTTTGCTTGAGACATCAAAAAACCTTTGGGAGGATGGGAAACCGGTGGTAATTTGCCCTTCAGTTCCCTTTTGTCTGCCAGATGTTTGTTTTATACGCTTTTGCTGCCTGTTTTTCTCTTCTCATTGCTCTTCCTGCTATATATCTGGTATTCTTTCTCTCCCCCTTTTTCCCTCAACGATCAGCCTGTTCTTCCCTTTTCTACTACTTCTTCTTCTCTGTTTCTCTCTTTCTCTCGCTATTTTTATTCCCTACCTGCTGCCAGTCTATGATATCCAACCTCACCAACCCCCTTTACCCTCCACACTCTAACCCCCGTTTTCTACTTCTTTTCCCCAGATGTATTTGACACCCCTTCTCGCAGCACCCTTTCCCCCTCTCTACATGTCTCTATCTATATTACAGGGGCAGCAGACAACTCGAGTCCAATAGAATGGAATGAATAGTGAAGAAGAAAAAAAGAACCAAAAATGCCATGTTGGATTGGACAGATGCAGCCGGAGTGCCTTTCCTCCCCTTTTCTTCCTCCCCCCCCCAGGTCGTTCTTCATCTTTATTTTAATACGAATGAATATCTATATCTGTCCATCCCAGCTCTGCTTTCTGCTCCTTTCCCCAGACAGTTCTTCGGTCTCTGCCCCGTTTAATACCCTGTTTTTTTCCTTCTTCCCGTCCATGTCCATCTCTTCTGTGTGTGTTTAGGTATATCTATCCTCTATGTCGTACGTATATTGAACAAATGGGAACATAAAGATAAGAACCAGAGAAGACAACAGAACAATGACTGTTTCATTACAAGTGCTCCGTATACTCCTTCCTCGTCACCACTTTATCTACCTATATATATCCAGCTGTAAAAAGAGAGAAGACTCTCCGGCCGTGTAATTGGCTGCCCTGTCTGCGTCTCCTGCGTCCTTGCTGTAACTCTGCTCCCTCTGTCCCTGGCCCAAACGTCCAGCTAGCCGCGTCTCCGCCGAGGGCTAACCTTCTTCTCGTCTTCTGGTCTTCTTCTGCTTCTTCTCTGCTCCTCTTTTTCTTCGCTTGTCTTTCGTTTCTCCGAGCGTGGGGGAACGTATCGTGAATTGGGCGTCTGGCCGGTGGACTGCAGCTCGCCCGTTGGAAAAAAGCTACTTCTTCTATCGTTTGAGCGTTGGATAGTCTAATAATATCTTCTTCTTCTCGTTCTTCTCTTCTTTTTGTTAACTGGTGGAGAGCTGGACGTTTGACCTGACGCCGGTTCTTCTCCTGCTGCTGCTGCTGCTGTTGTCTTGTTCTTCTTTCACCTTCATCTTCAACATCACCAACTTCAACCACCGACCTCACTATCGTACTCTCACCACCATCGTCTTATTCTTCTTCTTCTTCTTCTTCTTCTTCTTCTTCTCTTCGTCTTCAGCATCATCTCGCTCCAAAGTCGAAAGCCGACAGTCGACAGACGAAAGACACTGCCGGGCCCCCTGTGTTTCACAAAGCTGCCACAGCCCGCCAGCAGCACCAAAAACCGGGCTGGAGAGAGGCGCAACCTCGAGGTCGAGTCCAGTCGGCCGTTCACCAGACAGAGCAAGCAAGCAGTTGGAATTGACTTAGCTCATCTCTTTACTCTACGATAACATCGCCTTCTATCTGTCTCGTCGGTGTCGTGTCGTTGCTGGTAAGTCAGCTCTCTCGCCCGCAAACTAGGTACTTAGTTACGCGTTGCCGTCTCTCCCCCAGACGTAAACAAACAAACAAATAAACAAAAACCCACCAGGCCCAGCGGGTAAACGGGAGTGACAAGTTTAGCTAACCAGCAAGCTAGACGGTACGAGTCTGTTCCAGTCGATGTTCCTCTAGATAGAGAAGAGCTCGAGGACGAGAGTCACGATGGCTCGACGGGCAAAGCAGAGCGATGTAAGTGACCATTTTATTGTTTGTTTACCTGGGCTCGCGTTACCCGGCCCTTTAGAGAGGCTACCACAGAACCAGAACCAGAACCAGACGGTGAGATACGACTTGGAAAACATGCACAGAGTTCAGTATAACTTGCATAATGCCAGGCTATGCTATCTCCTCCGTCCTGGTATCTAGGACTCTAGGTCGCTTTTTTGATTGTTGTTGTGACTCGGGTGGTTGCACTGGCTACTGGTACATCGGCCAAACGTAGCTGACTATGGAACGCAGGGAGATGAATTCGCCGTTGATCGCCAGCTAGAGGACACTCTACAGCAGTCAGCTGCCCAGGCTGCTGCTGCCGATGTCTTGCTGGCAGAGTATGGCTATGGCAACCCGTACTACGATAGGAAATATGGTAGTAGTGGCCGTGGGAGGTCAGTCGTGACGGGCCCTTCAAAACGCAAGCCATGTCCATACCCATACCCAGAGACTGCTGCTAGACGTGATGATACCCTTACTGCTTCCACCTCATCGCATCGTCGACGCGAGGCTAGCAGAGACCGATATAGCGTTGACGTTGCCGGTTCATATTCATACAAGTCGTCGTCGCCTCAGAAGCCAGTTCTCCCTCGCGAGCTGCCTGAAGAGCCGACTCTTCGTTCTCGCAGAGGCCAGGACGTGGCGGAGTTTAGGGACAGACAGGAACGCCAGTCCCGGTTCCTAGAAGGTAGCATGAATGACAAGGTCAGCAAACGTCCGCCATCCGTCTTTATAGGCGACGAGCAAGAGTACCTACTCTCGGCATACATGGACGAGCACAACGCCCATTCAAACGGGTGGCAGCCTGCTACTTGCAGCCAGACACCCGCGACGCCCACGCTGCATAGCAAGAAAGCGTCTCTTTCTTCCGTCAAATCTGCCAATAACGCTGATGCAACTGAACCCAGACCGTCAGGCGTCTTTCGCTTTGGAAAGGCTATCGTCTCCGCTATCAACCCTCTGGGTGTATGGGGTAACGTCTCTGAAATCTGGAAGGGCCATGATTCGTCGTCCAAGGGATCGGCTTCGAGAGAACTACCGGTCGACACTGCTCATGCTGCACGCATCGAGAAGGCGTATCAGGAATACAAAGCGTCTGCAGCCTATAGGAGCACCACCCCGTCAACCGCTCCATTACATAGATATGCCTATTCGAGGGAAGGCACTGCCAGCCCAACAAAATTCCTGCCTGCTCAAACACCGCAGCCGCAGCCATCTCATCGCCCAAGTGCTTCAATCCAATCTAGCACTAGCAAGGAGCTGCCTCCCACACCACTTGAATGGCAGGGTGTGCCGGCTTCTACCGTCTCCAAACGCTCTTCGCTCCAGACAATCAAAAACTCTCGATCATTCCTCAATCTCAGCCAATCCCTCCGGAAGGAACAGTCACACAAGGACCTTGCAAGAGAAAACAAATTGAGGAAAAAAGTTAGCAACCTCGAGGAAAAGCTCTTGAGATATAGACGCGAGCTCAGCACTTTCGTGCACGACGATGATAAGCAGGCGGACGAACTCGAAGGAGATGCACATGCTGTTCACCCTGTCCAGATTAACAATCATGCAACACATCAGCATTATCTCCCTCCTACAGCTGGCCCCTCGGTTCCTTCAGCTCCATCTCCAGCTCCTGTTCCTCCAAGCCATGATAAGAGATATATGCGAATGAGATCCAAAAAATTCGTTCCAGGTGCCCTGCCTTCGCTTCCTTCAGAGAGACTCCTTTTTGACGGTGAAGAGCCTGCCACCATTCGTGAGTTATCGGAGCAAGAGTCCAGTCCTGAGAAGCCTATCTATACGAGAAGATCAGAACCTCGACTGAGACGGGCGGTCCCGCGAATTGGAGAGGAAGACCTCATCCAGACTCCTACCGCCACAATCGCCAACCGGGCCGTAGAGGGGGCTAGCACACCTCCATCACGGAAACGAAAGTCTCCTTCCCCCGATCCTGGAAGTATCCGTCGCCGCCGGATCTCTGCCACCTATAGCAAGAACATAAGAAGCAACAACAACAACAACAACATTGACAATTACAATGACAATAACAATGGCGCCTCACCTTCGCCTTCACCGCGGCCCAATCGTCATGCTTCGACTGAAAAGCTAACAGGACCCCGTCCCCGCCCTGTCAATGCACACACAGAGGCCGAAGGCCGGCGTAATCAGCCATCCCGCAGAGCCAAAGACACCAAGCCAGTTTACTATCCAAACTATGATTTGGCCACACGCCCTGTCCCTCTCCCCGAACGATCCGAACCCAAACCCAAGCACAACCAAACCCCAACTCCTGCCCCAGCCAAAACGCCAACGCCCATCTCTACCCCGGCCCTTACTCCTCGTCACAGTAGCTCCAGCGTATCGGTGGAAGTAGCCATCCCAATTTCGGCCCCCCCTCCCATCCCGTCTTCTACCAAACCGTCACGGACACCAACCTCTAGGCAAAAGCCGGAGCAAAAGAAAACTGCAGATGCAACCGCAAAGACTGCTTCAGTTCCGCCCCCACAGCCAGAGCCTGTTCCAACAGCGAAAAGGGACGTCATAAGCCGATCTGGCAGTCCAAAGAAGCACCACAACATTCCACCACGCCGTAAAGCTGTCGATAAACCTATCACTATTACGCCAGGGAGAGGGGATGACGAGAATATCCCGCCTGTTCCTCCGTTGCCAGTAGAACATGGAGGCAGCCCGTCAATTGAGGACGATGAGTTCGAGTGGCCTGAAGGCATTTTCTAGCTTCCGAGATATGAATGATGATTTTATGTTCAACTGCCTCCCTATTTCCCCACTCTTCATACCCGTCGGATCAACGATCATCTCCAAATGCCCTTTGAGTTATTTTCTGTTGGTATAAGTACCATGATTTCTCGTATTGATGAACAGCTTTCAAGTTTGCATAATGAGATATGATTTGCTCTTTTTTTTTGCTATTTTCTTCTGCCTTGCTTTTCCTTTCTTTTGCTAGGTTTATCCGTCGCCCTTTTGCTTGCTGTTTATCCCACTTTTACCTCTTTGAAAGTACCTGCTTTTGCTGTATTAGCATTTGGAGTTTGAACGATTGGAGTTACGTCTTGATAACGTGTTTTCTGCTGCGTGTTTCCCTGATCAAGGGTTGGAGCAAGAGCGAAATGATGGCAATTAACGGAGTCAGTCATGTGTAACAAGTCACAACAAGTAGTCAGTTTTCATTATGTTCTCTTTATTCCGAAAAGGCAAAAAACAAATAAAAAATAGATACATTGATAGCTAATCATATAGTTATTGCTCTGGCAGTCCTGGTGCACCTTACCGTCGCCACGACTAGGTATAGACAGAACAGGATATACCACGGCATAGAAAATGCCCCAGCCCGTACGTTAATAATAGTAGCACGTATATATATATAGAGATACACACCTAACATGTGTTATTGTCCGCCCATGCCATTTACCACCCTCTCCAGCTCTGCCAGACATCAACGATACGATCCTTCTCACTTCCCTGGGCTGCCGAATCAACAACAAGTACATACGTGAACCCTGCAAGGCAAATGCAGCAATGATTCGGCCAAACGCGCAGCTTCTCACCAATTCGCAAAGGCCGCATATTCTCTCGTGATCCATGCCAGCGCAAGATGCCGTGCTCCTGGCTTACACGATCTAGAATCCATCCCGTTTTGTCTCCGTCTGGGTCATAAAAGCCGATTTCTTGACCCGCTGCAGGTGCTGCATCACCAGCTTGCTGCTCACGCCAGGGTGTGACTACACCCCAACCGTTATAGCTACGGCACGGTTCTCGTCCTAAAGCCAACGAACCGCATGCCACTAGAGCCTCTGGGTGTTCGCGGTGCATGTACAATGACCCCACTTCCGCAAGAACAGTAAGCGCCAGGTCATCGAATGATAGATATGAGCTGTTTGGCCGCGCACGGGCGGCCAACTGCTGCATGTCTAGCGTCACATAGGCTCCCGCGTGCAGCTCAATGTCATATTTCTGCTTGGTCTGGTCAATGAGCGCCTTGGCCTTGTCTGCTCCCGGAAGGGAAAGAGTCTGATTTTCAGTCAGGTTCTGTGCTGCTGTTGTGCTGGGCGTTGCGCCAACGGAAAGAACGAAGCGTCTTTGGGAGTAGTTTGACTCTCCGTCAAAGGGAGTAGGCTGTGGGATTGCTGCAGCAAGATCTGCGGCCTGTTTGCATCCCTCTATCTCGGTTCGGAGGTAATCCATTGCCTCTGAGGGGCTGTTGGAGCCATAGCTGTGTCCCATGTGAGAGTAGAAGCCACGGAGAGTGAAGAGATGCGGCTCCTTGCCTTCCAGGGCGTAGAGCTCACTGACAATAGCATTGAACTGTGCACTGCTGTAGGTTACGCCAGCGCGACCATAGCCAGTGTCCATTTTGATGAAGATGCCCAGCCTTTTACCGCAGAGGGCATGGTAGCGAGACAGAAACGGGATTATCTCAACGCTGTCCACCAGGCATGTTACTGCCCCATGACCGAGCGCCTTGCCTAGCTCAGCTAAGCGAGGGAAGCATGACGGTTGAACGGGAAGACCGTAGATCAGCTATGTCGATACATCAGCTAACTGCCCAGGTAGTTTCTCCTTCCTTTTTTAGATAGAGCAACGCAACCTACATCTACCTTCCGCCCCTTTGTTTGACATTCCTTCATGAACGGAACCAGCTGCTCAGCTTCTACCAAAGTGGATGCCACCAGTCGTACCGTATCCGACTTGTCACCAACTTGGAAACTTGTTAGTTCGGCTGTCTAGTAACTTGTCAGTCGGACATCACGGAAACGGCCCCCACCATGCTGATATACATATGTAGGTTTCTACTTCACCACCATATACATGTATATACCGTCATTGCATGTATAACTCCGTGTTAGGCGCAAATATATAGGGTAGATGGAGATGTAACGGTACCTTATGTGTCTTGACGTGCGCCCTAAAGTCTACATTCAAAGAGAGTGCGGCATCGAGCATCACCCGGCAGTTCCGGCGTGCCACCTCGCGGTCAATAACTGGCTTGGGACCGTCAACATCTTGCAGCATACGGCCGACGTACAAGGCCTTGAGTTCGGCCGTCTCGTCAGCCGATTGATAAGTGATATTCGACGTCATCGTGTGAGTTGTTTTGAGCAGTCCGTCTCTTTCTCCTAGCGTATACAGAGTTGGTGCTGGTTGGTATCTTTTCAGAGACAGATATGTGATTTCCGGTGGTCTTCTCCCCACGCAGCTCTGACGTGGACCTCAGGCTCTCTCTGTCCCTCTTCTCTCTCTAGGCTGTCTACCTGGCCGCTGATGGATATATCAAATATGTGGACCAGACGGCGTATATGCCTCTAACCCCGTCCCCGCTCAATCGTTGGCTGCTGGAGCGCCCGGCTTGACTTCCGCAGGCCAACAGCAACTTATGTAACTAAAGGAGAAAAAGAAAAGAGCAGCAAGAGAGCAACCCCTGCTCTTGCTCTGCTAGTGAGCTGGACAGTTATCAGGCTTTTCGACGGGCGGTTTGCTGTTGGACAGTTGGCTCGTCACTTTACTTTGGTACCTGGTGGCGGCGGCGAACGAACCTGCGCGGCCCCCTTTGGAGATGGTTAACTAGTTGGCTGGTTAGTTAACCATCCTATCCAGTTGTTTGCCGTGGAAATGACAAAAGAGGGCGCAGACTCGCACGTCCGGATATTTCTCTCGGCCAACAGATCCTTGCAAGGGTTCCCTGCAGGGCAACTGGATGTATCAACTTTGCTTCCTGCCGCCGCTGCTGTTGTTGACAAGGTGAGGTCGTCTGGCTGTGAGGGGGAGGGACGAGCTGACTAAGTTGGTCGACCAAGTAAGTAACTGCCGGGCAAACTGCCAGCAACGACATCTCATCATCCCCCACGCAGCGTTGGCAGTGACAACATCAGACGAGAAGAAGGGAAGAAGAAGAGAAGAGAAGAAGCAGATAGATAGCAGGGAGAAGACAGCAAGAGACCAGAGAAGAAGAAGACGACGAGAAGATGTCTGCCAAAAAAGCTGTGCTCACGGACAAGGCCCCCGCGCCGCTGCCAGTGTTCTCGCAGGCCATTATCCACAACGGCATCGTGTACTGCTCCGGCCAGGTTGGCACTGATCCAGCTACCCGTGAGCTGGTCGAAGGAAGCGTCAAGGACCGCACTGTACGTGTTTGCCTTACCCCTTCTTCTCTGCTAGAACGGGCGTGTCTTCCAGTAGGATGGGCTGGAGGGGCCGCGGGACTAGGGAGATGGGGCACTTGACCGGCACTGCATGACATGAAATGGTATTAATGTACTTACACACCACAAACAGGCCCAGATATTCCGCAATATCACTGCAGTGCTGGAGGCTGCAGGGTCGAGCCTGGAGAAGCTGCTTAAGGTCAATGTCTTCCTCACCAACATGGATGACTTTGCTGCTGTCAACGAGGTCTACGCGCAGTACCTTAACTTTGAGCCCAAGCCGGTAAACGATAGCCTTATCCTTCTCCTGACTGCCCTCGTTCCTTTTTCTTTAGCTGCCTGTCTAGATGCTACTGGCCAGTCACTGACCCTTGAGCACAGGTCCGAACATGTGTTGCGGTCAAAACCCTTCCACGAAACACGGATGTCGAGATTGAATGTTCAGCTTATATTTAAACAACTAGCACTAGTTATATTCACACCCTCCCTTTTTTTCCCCTCCTCCTTCTCAACTGGAGAGTAGGATAAGGGGGTGTCAAGTACAAATGTACAAATGTATCTACGGAGTAGCTAGCAAGCAATCAGACGAAAGAAACAATTAAGCGTGCGTTGTCCTGCTTGTCAGACATGAACTGGAACAGAAGCAAATATCTCACTAACTTCCACGTGGAAAATAGCAAAGAAATAGGGGAAGAAAACGAAGAAAAAAAAGAAAATAAGAGGAGGCAAAAACGACAAAGAAGGTAAAAAAAAGAAAGAACGGCTGGAAGAAAATCTGATTTAAAAAAAGAAATCAAGCAAAGGGAGAATAGAGAGGGGAAGGAAGAGGAACCAGCGCTTTTCTCACATTGTTCTAGACAAGGCCCTGACGTCAATGATGATGCCTATGAGCCACCAATTCCGCCTCCAACTGGGCGGTCAAAGACATGGCTATGTCCACGAATAGTCATCCCGAAACGGCCCGTTCATCTGCTCAGCTGCCTTAAGGATGAAGGACTCGGTAAATCAGGCCATGGGCAAAGAGGCAACAAGCCAGATTGCGCCAGATAGACTGGCAGGCAGACACCCTTGCAGGACCCTCCGATCTCACTCGCTCCGCCCATCATCATCCTTCTACTCCGTATCTCAGCTTTAGAGTGAAGCGTTAAGTACGATGTGATCACCCAACGCTAATTCTCCCAACACCCCCGATCCATGCCTGATGCTGATGCGATGCTCCGCTCGCAAAAGAGGAAGAAGAAAAGAAGAAAAGAAGAAAAAGGAACGACACAGAGTGCAATTCCCCGAGAGCCCCATCCTGGCCATCATGAAAAAATACTTTGTGTATCGCATCCCACGCCCATGGGTTGGATGCAATGATGTCCTAATATGGAGTAACTCCGGAGAATCCTTCATATTGATATACCATTTTTTTCTAGAATTCTTTCTTTCTTCCTTTCTTTTCCTTCGCCGGCCTTTCAACTAAACAAGCCCCTTCCGTGCAATACTTATTAGCTAACAAGATTTCTCCAGCAAGCACTAAGGAGGGAAAAAAGAAAGAAGATACGGGAGCCAAAGATCCTTAACCGAGGCGTTTGATAAACTAAAGGGACCATTAACTACTTTAACTATAGTTTTATGGAGCCGTTGTTTGTCATGCATCGTGGAACAATCGTACAGCAACCGAGAAGTGATAGAACGATGTACCCGATGTCTTATATGGATACTTCGATGGTATCATACATATCATGGGGGTCGCCCTCGCAGGGCGGGCTGGAAAAAGAAAAGAAAACAGCAAAATTATAGAGGGTGGAACAACTGAAAATAGCCGTTTCAAGCTCATTTCCTCGTTTGATTCGACGAATTGGACATCGGCCTTCGTCTGTATCTTGCTGTTCTCCCTTGGCCACTATGTTATTCTCTCGATGATCAGACCTAAGGATTTTCTCCACGGTGTGACTGTTTGCTTTTTTCTTTTCTCATTCTCCTTGTCTACTCCAGCTCTGATTCAGAGTCCTTTCTTCTCTGTCTTGTTCCCATGCCCAGCTGGATATGCAGATGCTAATTAGAAACAACCAACTATATCATAGGGAAGAACCCGAGGAAAAAGGGGGCGAAAGCAAACAAAGGGCAACGTCAACAAACAACCAACGGCTCCGAAGCGCAAAAAAACGGCCCCGTCCCTAGCAAAGAAGGGCTGTGATGGCCCCCGAAAAATTGACTGGCACGGTATCCAAAAGGGGTACCCACAAGCCGCGCGCACCCCACGGACGCTCCGTATATACGGAAGGTCCCCAACCATGTATGTAGTTTACACCAAAATAATGACAAAACGCAAACTATGCCAATCAACCGGGTCGTGAGCTAAGGTTGGCCTTGACAAGCATGGCCTTCCACGCTATCCTTTCACCGATATTTTGGCCTTGTGATTCGCTTCAAATCTCTCTCTCACTTTACTCTTTTCTTCTTTCTCCTTTTTTTTTTCCACCTTCCTTTAGCTGTGTCCCTCGTTTTCGGGTCTCATAGTTGGGCATGACATGTATAGGGCCCGGCAGCACTCCGCAATACACGCCTCGAACGCCGATGTGGCCTCTCTCCTTGGCCCGTTGCCTTCAAACACTTTTGAATTCCCGAGACCTTACCTTTGACCCTTGCTTTTATTTCTTTTCTTCCTCCAGGGTTGTTGCCATGCGCACAGAGTGGATGCATATATAACCAGGGGAGATATCTTGATCTTTTTATTTTTTCCTTTTTGGTTCCCTCGATATTATCATTAGTTATTACCTCCATCTATACAGACTCCTTCGCTCGACTTCCTGTGCCAATTTTTACTCACTATCGCAACGGTTGACGGGCCCGGCTCCTTTGATACCTTTCCCGACTCCCTCACACACGCACATCAAAGCCCAACCCTTTTGTTGTATATTTTGATTATCATTACCCTCTCTCTCTACTTATAAGATATAAAACTTTGGAGCCGTGTTCAGGTTTGGATGCCGTCCACTCTACCTTCTGCTTCGTCCCCTTCATCCTTACCAACAATGCCTCCGATGCCTAACGGTGACAACGTCATGGGCCGGAGTAGCCTGCAGCCGGTCACTAAGGGGATCCGCACCCTAATTCCTGGCTTCTACGTCCCAACAGTTTGCTTCTTTGACCCTAGCACAGAGGACGTTGACCTCTCTGCGACAGCAAAGCATGCTGTAAGACTGGCTGAGGCTGGCGTGACGGGCATTACCGTTCACGGTTCCAACGGAGAGGCCATACATCTATCCCTTGAGGAGCGGAAGTTGGTCACAGAAAATACCCGCCAGGCTCTCGACAACGCAGGCTACACTAGCATGCCACTAATGGTTGGCTGCAGTGCCCAGTCAACCCGCGAAACTATCCAGCTCTGTTGCGATGCATATGCAAGCGGAGGAGACTTTGCCCTTGTTCTTGCTCCCTCGTATTACCGGGGGCTGTTCGCAGCCGATACGATTATGCAATTCTTCACCGATGTAGCTGATGCTTCTCCAATACCGATCGTGATATACAACTACCCTGTTGCCGCTTCAGGCCTCGACCTGGACTCAGATACTATTGCCGCTCTTAGCAAGCATCCCAATATCGTGGGGTGTAAGTTTACCTGCGGAAACACGGGCAAGCTCAACCGTGTTGCCACAGCCCAGCGAGCAACGCACCAGAGCGCCAAAATGGCTAGCATCAACAATGGCAATGCGAACAGCAACACATTCCTCTGCTTTGGAGGATCCGGCGACTTTACGCTCCAGACCCTGATCGGCGGGGGGGCCGGAGTCATCGGGGGAATTGCAAACCTGGCACCCAAGACATGCATGCTACTGTTGAGCCTGTATGCTGACGGCAAGATGGACGAGGCCCGTGAGGTGCAGGATGTCCTTTCCAGAGGCGACTGGGCGGCCATCAAGAGCGGCGTGGTCGGCATCAAGTCGGCCATGCAGTCACATTTTGGCTATGGAGGATACGCGAGGCGCCCTCTTCCACGGCCAACTAAAGAGGCCAGGGACTCGTATACTACACAATTCAAGGAGCTAGTTGACTTCGAGAAGGCGCTGTAGCTGTACTCGTCACCCCTTTCCCTGGCCAATATCAACACCCATTAACGATCTATGACCTCTCTTTTGTCTTTCCTCGGTCTTTTTTTCCTTGTTTCTGGGCCTCCATTACTTCACACCCTTCTTTAATATCTCTGTCCTCCTTGAGTTGGCTTTCTGGTCCTTTTTTGTCCGGTGTCTGGTTCGTTCTGGCTGGCTGTTTTGGAGCAATAGTTGGTAACTGACTAGTTAGTTAATAGACATCCTTATCTACCACCATTCCCCTGTTTTCCCCCAATATTGGTTCTCCGTGTCTGTAATCAGAAAATCCGGCCTTTTTGGTCCCCCACGCTATACTCAGCGGCCCTCTCATGCTCAGCCGCTCTACCTACTTGTGGTTAAGCGATGTAAAAGAAAAAAATGCCACATGAAACTCAATATCCAACCTGAGGCCAACAAAGTTTGCTGGGAAACCCGCAGCTCTGGCTCTGTCCCGCGTTATGTGGGGGCGAGTAAAAGGTAAAAAAAAGGGGGACAAGGAGTCGATGCAGAGAGAGAAGCCGAATGCAGAGCTCAGTGCAGCTCAGCGCAGCGCAGGGGGTTAAACGGGCAGAAGACATGGAGAAGCGAGGGAGGCCAGGCTTTGGCGAGAGCGTGCAGCAGCGGCGGTGACGACAGCAGCAGCAGCAAACATAGCCCGTCAGCTTAGTTAACAGCGTCACCAGGCCAGGGCAGGCGTCAGCAACCCAGGAGAGGCTAGCTGAGAACAAACAAAGAGAGAAGACGAGATGAAAAGTACATGTCCGTATCTTATGCATGGGATCTGCAGCATCCAGAGCAGTCACAGCGGCCTTCTCACGAAAGCCTACAGCAAGTTTCTCGTGCGTCAGACCCTTTGCCGACGACCATGGGGGACGGTCCCTTATGCCAGGCGCAGCATGTTGCTGTCGTGCTCAGGGAGGACCATGGTGGGCCTGGTCACTAAAGCGAAAGCCAGTGAGATGAGCTTTTGCATGGATACAGACAAGGGGCCCTGTGCTAGGTGGCCGGCGGGTACCTCTACCTCGAGGCAGCAGGCATACATACACAGCAACTACAGCAACTACGGAGTACAAGCGCCGATGCTGGGAGCCAGGATACAGAGAGCATGCATGATGCACTGCACGAACATCTGCAGCAGTGCTCCACGGGAAGTAGGTGGGATAACTATAGGTACATAACTAGTTATCCATGTCTTCCCCCTCCCGTAGCAAACCACAGTATCTATAGTGGCTAACCATGTGCCTCCTATAGGCTGGGCTCCAAAGACTCATTTCACGCTGTGACCACTATGATGCATGAGAAGTCGTTGCTGGTTCTCATCAACTCAAATGGTTATGTTACTCGATGTACATTGTGGTCTGATTTGGTACTATAGACGCAGCCATTCTCTGTCGGCTCCATAGTTATCCTGTTCCTTGAGAAGTGGCCTTAGTCGGCCCCCCTGCTGACCAGGTTATCCCGATGGATAGCAAAAGTGATACTACCAATAGTCCCATGTACTGCAAGTATGGACATGCCAACACATCTCACAGCAGCAAGGTATTAGCATCCATTACTCCGTATATTATACCCATATTTACTGTCCCCTAAGCAGCCTGACTCGCAAAACCTTGAAACCCATCCCGCTGCCCTCTCACCTTGATACACGGGATGTTCAGCCACCTACGCTAATAGTAGTCGATAAAGCTTGATATTCTTGCATCTGGAGGGATCAAAGAGCACGCTCAGATGCTGAGATAGGCTGGTTCTTGGGTGTTACCTTGTCTTCTTGGAGGGAGTGGCACACATGCATCCCCTAGCCACGGGATGACAAACGGGCTATCATGGGTATAGTTGAGATTCCTAACTGTAATCGTTGAATACTGATAATATCCTATTTGTTCATGCACACTTTTTACCTGGCCAAGAGTCACAGGAGACGAATATATTCGTTTTCAATTCATGACTCGCAATGCAGTGTACCTGGGCTTATTTGGTGTAGGGACCAGCTTTTCTTCCCCTGCATACCCTGGATATCGAGAGATACTCGCAGAAAAACGTGAGATCGGGCTAGTTCAGAGTAGCTGTACTACCTCTTAAAATTGAATGACGGGAAACGAGACAGCTAATTTATTCGACCTATCCTCTTCCCAGTAATCTGCTTTACCTTCTGCTGTCCAACCTTCGTGGTAATTAGGTTATCCAATCTATGGGCACTTTGAGAACTTTATCTATAATAGAAATTATCTATTCCAAGGTCTCTAAGAATTAAAATAACATACTTCTCTTTACTATCGTCAATGGTATAGTCAGAGTACGCCTCTTCAAAGAATCATATGCGTGGCTTCAATTTTCTATTCTTAGTCTGTCTTCTTGAAAACTCAGGGCTATAAGAGCGAAAGCTACAATGGGCGGATAGGCTCTATAAACAAGTTCTTTACATTGATAGCCTATCCAATCTGGAACAATGATGTCTGACAATGGCTCATGTCAAGACTGGAATATCAGTTGGGTCTTCCAACAAACTATGTAACAAACAAAATGGTATCAACCTTCTTTTCAGGACCACCACCCACCTCCTGGACCAGAGATACTCTTGTCAATCAGGCTTCTTCGCTAAGCCACCTCTTATTCTCCCAAAATATCATCGTCCCTATGTGAGCTAGAGAGAACGTCATAAATGGCCGATACTATGCCGTCCAGACACAGCCCCAGAGCAGAAAACATTGAGTCAGCCAGCCACTGCTACACTGAGAAAAGCTGTGAGACCTCAGCCAAGCATGGCCCTACCGCAGGTGATGATGATAATAGAGGTGATACAACGGCCTATGTCGCTGAACGGGAAGAAGAAGGGGCACTCTGTTTTCGGTTAGATATCCGGCTTCTGCCTGTGCTGGCGTTGATGTGTATGTTTGCTACTACCTCTGTTTACTCTGCGAGCGAAGGCCAACTGACCGAGACAGATCTTTTTAACGCACTGGATAAAGCAAACATCGGAAATGCGCAGACCAACGGGCTCAGCAACGGTACATATTTCACTACTATCATCAAGTACTTACCTTCGTTTTCTCAGAACTGACCTATTGAGTGTTGATAGATCTCGGTTTCGCAGATGGAGAATACAACTTATTGCTGTCGATATTCTTCATACCTTATGTTATTTTCGCGCCTCCAATTGCCATGCTGGGCAAGAAATACGGTCCCGCTCGCGTCCTACCAATATGCATGTTCTGTTTTGGATCCCTGACTCTTCTCTCTGCTGCCACCCGCAACTTCGGTGGTCTGTTTGCCATCCGCTGGCTATTGGGGATGTCTGAATCAGCCTTTCTCCCTCTAGTTATCTATTATCTGACAACCTTCTATCGGCGGGGAGAGCTAGCACGGCGCCTCGCCATATTTTATGCTGCGTCGAACATAGCAAACGCATTTTCCGGTTTGCTTGCGTTTGCGGTATTCCAACTCCCCAGCACAAAGTTGGAAGGATGGCGTTATCTTTTTCTTATCGAGGGAGCATGCACAGTATGCTTCTCAATATTCGCTTTCTGGTATCTTCCTCGGACGCCAGCTGAGGCAAGGTTCCTCAATGCAGACGAAAAGGCTCTCGCATTCCATCGAATACAGGTCGACTCATCGTCTGTTGTCAATGAAGAGTTTTCTTTCTGGGATGCACTTGGGATATTGAGACAGCCAGCTTCATACTGCTTTATCCTAATTGAGATCTGCATCGGTGTTCCTTTGCAATCTGTCGCTTTGTTTTTACCCCAGATTATACAGAGACTGGGTTACGGAACAGTAAAAACGAACCTTTACACAGTGGCACCAAATTGTACTGGGGCAGTCATGCTTCTCATCCTAGCCTTTTGCTCAGATGCCACTAGACTGCGCTCGCCGTTCATCGTTTTGGGTTTCCTCCTCAGCTTCAGCGGATTCATGATCTATGCCTCAATTGACGATATCAAGAACAACATACAGCTCGCCTATTTTGGCGCGTTCATGATGACATGGGGCACTTCTGCACCTTCGGTGCTGCTAAGTACATGGTACAACAACAATGTTGCTCATGAGGGGCGCCGCATCTTGCTCACCTCCGTGGGTGTCTCGTTGGCCAATCTCATGGGGTTAGTGAGCAGCAACATCTTCCGTGAGAAGGACAAACCAAAATATGAGCCAGCATTAGTCACCACCGCTGTCTTTGGTGCAACCGGTGCCTGCATTACTCTTCTTCTCGGCCTCTACATGGCATGGGATAATCTGCGGCGTAACCGCCGAGCTGGCCACAAAACGTCAGCGAGGGATGTGCCGACAAAGAGACTGCAAGACGGGCCAGGAGCGGAAGAGTTTCGGTGGATCTTATAAGGCCTTCTCGTTTTTGAAGATCTCTCGACAAGTCTCGGGCCATCTAACGCATCACAACATCCTCTCATGACCCCTCTGCTCCTCGTATTATTGATGTTTGATGTTGAAATTGCCGAAAAAGAAAGCAAAAAACCAATTAAAGGCCCTTGTCCCACGTGATATCGCGTCCCATTCGCGTTCCACTTTTTAACTGCTTCAGCCACGTCGGTTTCTGCAGGGAAACGAACACAAGGGCGCGAGAAGAAGGAGAACGAGACGGACGGCGGTGGAGGGATATGAGAGTGAAGAGAAAAAGAGGTGCCGAGTTCCGGTGATGTGGAGGCCGCGTGAGTCACCTCTGTTGATCATTTGTTGCTGCAGATAATATCAGATGGATGAGAGCGTCGGCAACGCGGCTGCCTTAAGCATAAATAGACCCATCATCCTTTGATTGAAGATGGCTCCTTGTTTGTACTCAATTGACAAAATCACTTGAATCCTTTGTTTCCAAAAGAGGCTCTAAAAAAAGATACCACCCCATCTCCCCCATATTATTTATGCCCGCAGCGATGTCCCAGAACGATCGTGCACTCTTCCTTCGGAGCCTTCATAAGAAAGGCGACCCACTGGTTCTCTGCAATGTCTATGATGGTCGAACAGCAGACATTGTCCTTAGTCACAAGGGGAGCAACGGTGAACATTCAGCAAAGGCTTTGGCAACCAGCAGTTTCGCCGTGGCAGCAGTACACGGGAAGCCAGACGAAGAACTTGAACCAGAGATGCTTGCCATGGCGGCCAAAGATATTGTTGGTGTCATTAACCGTCACATATCAGCCAGAGACAATAAAGACCCCATCCCACTTTCCGTCGACATGCGTGACGGATGGGGAGACAGACTCGAGGAGACAATCACATCACTCATTGAAGCTGGTGTGGTAGGATGCAACCTCGAGGATGAAGATAATGAAACGGGAAAGTGCATGCCTTTAGCTCAAGCCGTGGACCGTGTTAAAAGAGTCATGGCTAAGGCAGCCGAGCTTGGTGTCCCTGATTTCGTCATTAATGCGCGAACGGATGTCTTGGGGCACGGTGGGACAATAGAAGAAGCTATCTCAAGGGGCAAGGCCTTCCTGGAGGCCGGTGCGTTTTGTGTCTTCGTCTGGGGTGGTAATCATGGGCGTGGAGTGTCAAAGGAGGAAGGGCAGATGTGTGTTGATGCATTCGATGGACTTTGGAATGCGAGATTGAAGACCGGGCCAGGTTATTTGACCGTGAAAGAGTTGACTGATATGGGAGTTAGAAGGGTCAGCTTGGGAAAGGAGTTGGGTGATATCGCGATGGATGCGTATCGTGCTGCCATGGAGAAGGTTTTGGCTTGAGAACGCCTTGCTCCAATGGAGAATGCTGGACATTTTACTGCTTATACAGTACCTAGTTATTCGCGAAGGAAGGCTGTGCAATAGTGAAAAGCTTCACAGTAATAATGTGTACTTGCAAATAATCCATGAGAACAACTGTATGTATTTCCTATTTTCTCTGCAGGGCATCTAAATATACTGGTTCTGCTTGGGTGGAACTAGAAAATAGCTGTTGAATTCGACCTGGTACTCACTCCAGCTGAATATCACCAAGGGTTAGCTAGGAGGGGATCTTTTCCGAAGAGGAACGGGGAATAGAACAATATAAAAGGGTGTTTGTGTAACTCACCTGGAACATTAAAAGGGGCACTTGTCAGGAAGAAAAACCAACGACCGGTCTCACGACATTTCTTCGCAAGTCTCTCGAGATCCCACATCTCACCAAGTGGCATCCCCCACAAGGCCAGTATGTATTCATGCAGATAGTACGATACGGGGGTTGGCCAGCGCTCAAAGGCCGGTGCGTCCCCGGCAACAGCCGCAAAGTAACAATCATGCAGCCAGTCGAGCATATCATCTTCTTGTGCAACACCAGCGTACTTTTGTCCATCGCCTGGCCCGGCAGAGTGTGGCCGGAGAGCAAGAGCCTCGCGCTCTTCCGGACTGCGTTCGTGATAGCTTTCAACCCACCCTGATCGGATCAGTAGGATGTCGCCAACTTTTATATCTCCACCTTGGGCTTCTGGTCGGATATCGATGCCTTGAGCTTTCCCACACTTGACAAGCTCCTCGTAAGTAATGGCATGTGGGGTATAAGGGTCATAATCGATCCCGTTGGCTTTTGCATAGGATCGATAGTCGAGCAGAACTCCTCGGCCAGTAATACCGTGCTCGGCCCAGTGATGTATACTGCATTTATGATTGGCATTTGGTCCTTTTATGTCTTCCCCTTTTGTCTATTTGTAGAGTTTAGTGGTCGTATCGTTAATATTATTGGGAGAGGGTATACTCACGCCGTTATAAAAACTGGCAGAAGCCAGGTGAGCAAACTGATGGGGAAAAACTCATTAGGCCAGGGTATCTTATACATCTAAGGAGATGAACGGCACTCACATGTCGAAATCCGTCCCACTGTGTCCCAAACTGGGTATTTAATTCGTATAAGTCGTCATATGCAATGCCTTCGACAATCGTCTTGATAGTATGCACGAACTTCTCTCGGGCGAAGCCTGGAGTCTCCGGAACGTTGAACGGTAGACTATTCTACAGCATTATTTCACTTTATCCTTCGTATATACCGCATTTCAGACACTCACTCTAGAGGAATAACTTCTCCAGTTTTGATTTCTGCGGCCGCTGCCTTGACACGAGTTGGAGTGAGCAGGTTCAATCTTCCAATCTATGATACTGTTAGTATTATACTATACAAAAGTAATGGCAATACACCCACATTGTCATCCTTACCCCAGACCCAGGCAGCGCCTTTAGGAGCTCCAGGGATATTAGGAAGGTTTTTGCGGGTAGGGAATTTGGTATTGTTTGGATCCCATGGTAGGTCATTTGAAGGCTTAGAACCTGATTCCATGATGCCGGTTATTTGGGAGACTCTTTCGCGGATTGGCATGTAGAGGCGCTCAGGTTTCTGTGAATATTCTTCCTCTTAAGAAGTAAACGGCCGTAGAATAGAACAGTGACGGGAGACAGGAGCTGTCTGCATGATATAAGAGCTGCTGTTCGGTACTCGGCTGCCCCCACAATTTGATTCGGCGTTGAATACCCGAGGACACAGACATGGCGCTTCTCCTTTGATACATATACGTGTCAGAAAGAGTAAGCTAAGTGGAGTTTATTTGCCCCTTTCCAGGGTCTGGAGGCGGACGGGAGAGGTGTTGGTGTGTGCTATATAGTGGAGGAATAAGATATGCATAGTAACTATTAATGTCGTACAGGGGCTTAAGAAAGCCGCGGCTCGCTCGTCGGCTTCAGCAACCCCTGCCAACCAAGACACACCACAGCATTTTATCTCCGCGGTGCTAATACCGTTAGAGCTTTCGGTCTCCATCATACAAATGGTTGGACGAGATATAAAAGCGTGAAATGGACATTTAAGGGGGTGTATGACTGTTAGATATTTTCCTCTAATTCTTATTTTCTAGGAGCGCTGGCGAATCACTATATCATTAACTGGCGGCGATCAATGCAACATAATTAAATAGATAAATATTCTCTTCATTAACATTATCAACCTGACTTGGTTTGATGTTCCACATGCAGTTCCTCGGATTTTGGGTTATCCAAAGTCATAACTCCATCCTCCATATGAGGCACTGTTGCACCAGACAACACACCAGCTTCGTCTTTCCCGGCTTCATCCATAGACATCGGAGGGCCTGTAAACGCCTTACGTGCCCTAACAAAGTACCATACCACGCTGATAGTGGCAAACCCAGCGAATACAACACTAGCATAGTTCATACTGGAAGGCGTGACTGGCAAGGACACTGGGAGACAGAAAAGAAAGGTAGAGAAACATATCCAACATATGGTGGTCATGTTTATCAAGTATCCGAATTTCCCTAGCGAGAAAGGCGCATTCTTGAACATTTTTCGACGGCGGATGAGGGAGATCAGAATTGGTAAGCCATAAGACGTTGAGAGGCAGATGGTAGCCACACCGGTGAAGGAGTTGAATGCTGCAGCAGAGCCAAAGTAGATCAACCCGAGGAGACAATCCACTAAAGTAGAGAGAATAATTCCCCATAGCGGGACGCCAAAACGCTTACTTACCTGTTTCCAGATCCGAGACCCTGGGATAGCGCCATCACGAGCAAAGGCGTATGTGCAACGGCTTGCCGCCGTAAGGGCGCCAATTCCAGCAAATATCTGGATTCCCATGATTAAAAAGAGCATGCCAAAACCACCTGCTGCAGAGCCGGTGACAGTCTTGAACAAAAGGCCGATTGGCTGGCCATTAGCAACTGAAAGGAGCATTTTGACATCCGGGAGGACGAAGAGCAAGGTGATGAGGTACACCAGGCCGGTTATACCGGCTGCGACAACGGAAAGGACGATCGCCTTGGGGACTTCTCGGTGTGGATTCTGCGTTTCTTCGCACATGGCTGCAACCATCCCATAGCCAGTCAGTGTGTAAGCGGGTTGCAGTAAACCGACGAAAAACGCCCATCCCGTCGGCCTAGTTTTGGTCAAATGAAATGTCAGATATAATGAGCCACAATCAACTGTCTAAAAAGGAGCAAAGAGAAGTGCGTGCATAGTTACCATCCACTAGCAGACGCATCGTAGTGCGTAAAAACGAATTTCCCGCTCCTCCGATGATCAGACAAGGAGAGCAGGGTAACCATGATTATCAACACACTGGAGGCAGTCCAAAAGATGCATATTTTATTGATGAGATCGAGATATCGCGATCCAAAGATATTTACCAATGCGCACACAAGCATTACAGCCCAGAACGTCAAGATCGTCTGCCACTGATTCGGCACGAAGTCCTCCTTCCAGAGCGAAATCGCACTCAAAATCAACTGGCCCCCAGAGAAGTTGATGCTCAGCGTTACCGTCCAATTTCCCACAAGAGTCAGCCAGCCGTCAATGAAGGACATCAACGGCGCCCACTCGCGGGTGGACAGCATCGCGCTCCAATAGTACACGCCTCCAGCAGTCGGGTATACGGAGCAGATCTCGGCGAGTGAGGCTGCGATGGCGATCGAAATTAGAGTGACAGCCACCCAGCCCCATATTATAGTAACTGATTGCCCGTCAGTTAGAGTAATATATAGCGTCGTACTCAGCCCAAAGGGAGCTGCCATGATAGCGAAAGACCTATGTCACTCGAGGCAAGCCAGTTAGCTGGGGGAATCGCATGGCAGTGTGAAATAGAAAAGACGGCGAGGATGGATGAGAGCACATACAGTCCGAGAACGCTCATCATCCCCAGGTTTCGAGGAAGCTCGCTCTTATATCCCATCTTCGCTAAGGCAGCGTTCGCAGTTGCGTCCTCAGACGCCCTCCGTGTCCTCCCTCCATCCTCCTCCACCGGCGCTTTCGTCATCTTCTGGGGAGGGCAGAACGGTCAAGCAGGCTGGTTAACTGGGTGTTCCATGGATGGAGAGAGCAAGGTGTGGGAGCAGTGCGCCAGACGATGCGAGCGGCTTGGAGGAGGAGGAGGAGAGGAAAGAGATGCTCGCCTGCTCCTCCTCAAGGGCTCCTCTTTACCGGCTCGGTAAAAACCCGGGGTTGTTGGTTTTTCTTCGCTTCGTTTTTGCCAGCTCCAGGGATGAGGCCTGCAGCTGAGTTAACAGGCTGCTTATTTTATTCCCAACCCCACAGCTACAACCTGGCTACGTCCGACCAACACTGTTTTAAGAGAAGCACAGAAGGCGATTCAGACCTGGCTATGGTGAAATGTTATTATTTGTTGCTGTTGTTAACTAGTTAATGGTCCCAGCCTTTTGAATTCCCCTTCCCTCCGTGCCTCCAGCCCGGTCGGAAGATAACAAGATACGAGCATTCGTATAGCCAACAGAGTTGCCGAGGAGTGGCGGCATCGTATGGAGAACTTTGAGGTCACATAATTCTTTGGCAAATGACAAGGAAAAGGGCGATACGCAGATGTCCGGTCACATTTGAATGACAACAGGGTGCGACTTAAGATCGATTATTCCTGGCTCCTGTTGTTGCGCTGACCGCCAACGTCTCTGACCACCGCATGAAGAAGACTTGCTTCAGTGCTTCTGGGTTTCCTTGTGCTGAAGTGGGCGTTCTAATACTAGGTAGTATTAGCCGTGGAGTACACGCTTAATATGCAGAAGAGATCACCTACTGAGCAGCTGTTTCTTCATGTTATGGCGCATGTTACAGATATCCAGCGCTACTGTGAAAAGTGAAGATAATAATCCGACTAGGCTCATGGCGGTGGTGGCGAGCGTCAAATAATCGTCGTCGCCTTGGTAAATTTTAATGAAATATCCCAGAAGTATAGAAAACCACATAAATGTCATAGATAAGGAACAGTATAGAATCTGTTTATCTCTACTTGACACCTCCATTGTAGGTAGCGAAACTTCGGGTGAAGGATCGAATGTCAGAGCAATTTAAAAGCAGGATATGACGGTGATAGGCGCGTATACTTCGTTCATCGGCGGTGGTAAGCAGGATATGTAACTAAGAGTAAATAATACTGCAGTTATCACTAAGGAACGGTTGATAGTGTTGTTATATAGACAGTAGGGGGTAGATGCTTTAATTTCTCTGTTTGCTTAAGAAGAAAGAGAAGCTGGGAAAGGGAGGCTAGGCTGCATGATGGTTTCAGTAGCCACTGCTTGAATGAAGTCTCATCTCAAAAAACCAACTAACAAAACAGAATCCACGTTAACGGCATCTTGCTAGCCTCTCGGAATCAGACAGGAGAGAGAAATGAAGAAAAAGAAGTAAAGATGACCCCCAGAATTCCCATGGCCATTTACCTACCTATAAAGAAAATTGAAAAGGCTGGAAAGCAAAGTAAATACGGAGTATAGACACCATCATATTATCATCAAAGGTATCTTTTCAACTTGCTGGACCACTAACTAAACTACCAGATGTTCTTTTTATCTCAGCCCTTTTGATAATTATTTAACTTTAAAGATAAATTGTTAAAGTTATCAGCCCCACAACCCTATTTTTTTGTGGGTATTTTCCATAAATGGACTAGTGCTGTAGTTAGTTTATCTTGCTACAAGCACCAAAATCTGACGAAACATTTAGACGTTTTGCATTAAAAAGGATCAAAAGAATCTCAGATCAGTAATAATACTTATACTCAAGATGTCGTCTGCTATGCTTCAAATTTGGGCAAATTTTTAGATAACCTAGTGTCAAATTATATGTATTAGTCAGCCTCGCTACGCCTACATTTGGCCGCGCACAGATATCTCAATCAAATCATCGATCTCCGTTTGACACCTAGTTATCAAAGACTACCAGTTTCATCCAGTCAATGTCGGTTGATATCCTCTATCGCTAATTTTAACTCCTGGACAATACCTCGAAATTTGAGCACTGGGCTTTCTTTCTCCCACTTGTCCACCTTTGCCAATATATTTGATTTGTTATACTTGAAATGCGCTCGAATCTCCCTTTGCCAGATTCCATGTCGATGCCTGGGCTGTGTCAACCAGTTTAACATCCCAGCAGTGACTATCTGGGGCTGAATCTTCTGCACGTATCGCTGGGCGCGTATATCAGCCATTGTGCCCACTGCACTGGTGTAGGCCGGCTCATTACGCCAGGGGTCTTCTGTGAAAATCATCGCTTGAATGCTAATTAGCACGGACAATATTGTTGACTTGCCTGGTTGACATTGCGCCGCAGCATCTCCATCACGCCATGTCCCGAGAAGCGAGAGACATACTACTCAAGCGTTAGCCTTATATCCACTAGCTTTCTTCTAGTTGACGGATTCTCTGTAAGAGTAAATTCCGTCGACATTTCCTAACCTACCTTTGCCATCTGGGTGGAGATTTGGGTTAATTGTTTTACCGACAGCTGTCCTGCAATGCACTTGTGAAGGCTGATTCGGGTACGCTGAAGTACAAAACAAATCAAAGCTAGCCGCCGTCAGTTCCTGTTTCGAAGTTATATGCTTGCTATAATCGGGGTTATGGTCAGGGCTTACTCAAAGAGCGCATATCCATATGGGCTATCGGGGGGCCCCATTATGAGACATTTCATCACATCCGGCCGACTTTCACTAATTTTGACAAAGATCCCAATTGGTAAAGATGTTGACATGTTAGCTAACTCAGTCACCAGCCGTTTGATTCGGCCCGGGCTAGAATACGTCATAGCTATAGCTTTACTATAGTATGCATGAGTCCGGTCAAAGATTCCCTCATTTCGGGATACCCCATGCTCCTGGTGAAAAGATTCCCACTTTTCCTGGGGACTTACTCTTGAACGTATCTCAGAACTGTCCTGATCTGCTGATATGATAGTATAAAGCGAAAGAATGCTCTCACAACAGAAAAGAAGATTCTCTCCGCTTCTTGTGTAAAGATCTTGACTTTCGGCAGATTCAAGGACAATACTGCTTTGTCGTGCTAGCTGTTTTAACCTCTCGCCAACCGAAGCGATTTTTTCTCCCAGTATGAGTGGGGGACTACCATGCTGATGTAACTTCGGTAAAGAAAGGATTTCAAGGCCGGGGGTTTGTTGTTTATAATATCGAGCACATTTGACAAGGTCGATTAACTCTGTATGTGAACTCAGCTTCGAAACAAGGCCAAATGCTGCTTTATACACATGACTGCGCTTCGTTACGTCGTCTAGGGAATCGTTTCTCAGTAAGTCCGCAACCTTGTCCAAAAGCAATCCAAGCTGTAACATTGCATGAAGTTCAGCAGGGAGATTCTTGTTTCTAGACCCAGGGATCATCCGAGCAACGAAGTCGAATACCTTGCCTACGAACTCGTCTTCTTTTTCACCACTGCCGTGAAATTGCAACGGCCTATTTGAATATACCGGCGGAAACCCTGGCCCATCATAAAAGAAGGTTGCAAAGGGGTTATAATGGCCAGTGCGGTCATCTGCATACCCGATACCCCTGGCATCTTGTGTCTTTCGATTGTTTGGGCTATGACTAACCCTAGCTAGGGATTGCTTACTCTCTGTCGTTGGCGAGGATGCCTGCCAGCGTATCTCGACACAATCATATCTTGCCAACAGAAGCCATATCCCAAACAATCTCCCGTCACGGCAACACCAGTCTATGTAGTATCCGTCGATTTCAAGGGGATTTTTAGATTTCCGAACTTTGTTGCCGCAGCCAAGGCATGTCAGGTCTTTGCAACTAGAGCATGTCGCAGCACAAAGGTAACATCCTTTCGCGGGATTGCCTTGGGCCCCTTCAGACCAACGACGTACCCAGTCCCGGACAGAAAAGTTTTCTGTAATGTTTGATGCACATGAGTAGCATCTTATAGCCAAACGTGCGGCTAGGAACGACCGTACAGCGTCGATGTTTTGCTTGATATCCTCAGGGTGTTCCTTCAGCGCTGTGGGAGCTGACTCCTTGCCCCCGCCTCCGGTCGCCACACGATATTGATTTTCAAGTGGGTTATTCTTGTCGTTATTGCCAGGAGGGTCGTCGTTTTTACCGTTACCACCTCGGCGTCGAAAAATGGTGCCTTTGAGGAAGGACATCTTCAAATGGGGAACTATCAAATAATGAGGGCTGATGATAAGGGAGGTTTGGTAGAATGAGAGCGTTTTAGAAGAGGAAGGGAGGGTGATTTGAGGCAGGGGTTATGTTTTCAAGAGGAGGGATTTCCTTCTATTGTACTGTCACTAATCTCGGTCTCTCAAACAGAACTACCAATGGTGATACTAATGGTCAAGGTCCCTGTTCATCGTTCACTGTCCCTGTAAGTACTTGCTAGAGACTTTAAATTTAGATAAGTAAACCTAAGTCTTAGCTAAATTCCATAATATACGGTTAAACATTCCTGCACGCCCTATTTGATACCCTAGTTAATGTGTAAACACTTAGTTGAGCTGGTGTCCACGGCTAGATAAAACTGTTAGGCTTGCAGGGGATACTAAGTGCATTTACGGGTGAATTGCTTGAAGAAAATTTTATTGTTTTTTGGTGTGCCTTAAGAAACAGGCGCTTATTTTGACAAATCCCATTTCCTTCGCTGACGGCCTTAGACATCATCGTTACTGTGCTCCAATCCCCATATTACCGTTTCAGATTCATCCGGCAATGGATATGCGGAAGGCAGGAGAAACAGATGTAACAATGAAGAAGAACCACAAGCCAAGGAAGGGACATAGAATAAGCAAACAGGGTTTTGGGTGAAATGGGAGAGGTTCTAGGGTAAATCGGCGGAGAAATCAAACAGTGCGAACCAGCCAGAGAGGACGGGTGATGGATATAGCATCGCCGAGCCACCACGGATTTGCAGCGTGTGTGGCCACCGGCGAGTGGAGGATCAGTGGAAGGTAGGGGGTGTAGACCGTATGGAAAATACAACAGGAGTCATGGAAACAGGCTTTTTCTCTTTATTTTTGGGGGAAGAACATGGGCTTAGAGACTTTCGTGGGAATGAAACGCTTCAGGAACACAAATGTACACAAGGGGCTAAAGGGGACTTTGATATTCGTAATGGTATTGTCGTGCGTTAATTGGTGGTGTTGGCGGGAGAAAACAATAGTTATCATCGTCGTGAATGAGTTGTGCAGGCTTTAAGGATTTTTATTCCGTAGCGTTGTTGAAGCTGATTGATCAAGGTGGCCGAGACGGTAACCGGGTGTAGAAGATTTAGACAAGAGTTGTTGAAGCTTTGCTTTCTTCGCTATCGGTCGGTATAGGACGCAGGTAAAGGAACCAAAGAGTGGATAGGTTTTTGGGTGTGTTGGTTTAGGTATAAAGGAAATCGCAGGCAAATGGGAATTATCCCGCCCAGCACCACCGACAGAGGTAAAAAGACGATATTGTCGAGATTAAGCCAATTGGCGGTAGGCAACGCATAGAATTCAAAAAGGAAACAAAAGGGCTCTATCGTAAAACATATTTAAGGAAGGCAAAGAAGCACCCGTAGGATAGGAACATGCGCAAGGTCCGAGATATATGCACGCCATTACAGGCAGAGAGTAATCAAATACAGCGCGAATTGCCAGGTAGCAGGTAGACAGATTTATGGGCTCGGATCCGGAAGAAGATCATCTGGCCCATCAAAACCAAATCCAGCCATATCCATCGAATGAAGTGACCCAGGTCCCTTGCCAAACTCCATGTCCGAGGAAGCGTACTCATGCCCAGGAGGGCGTAGATGAGGACCAAAGAAGGGCCTATGCTCCTCATCATGGGATGGAGTATCAACATCATTCCACGGCACACTCCTCTGCCAAAACCGCGTGTTAGCTTGTTGGTCGCCGAAAAGATCGTGGTGGTCGTGGAGATGGCGTGGAAGTAAGGAGGACTCGTGGTCTAAGTGACTACCAAATTCCTGAGGAGATTGGTAATGGAGCGGGACACGGTTGAAACTTGAAGCAGGAGAGTCGGCGCGGAGAGTCATGTCGAAGGCGGATAGAGGGTGAAGATGGCTATCTGGGATCATGGCCGCGGAAATATTAGGCGCAGCAATTTCCGTCGAAGGGAATAGGAGGTTTTGATTTACAGGGCCATGTGTTGCTATTATCGAGCCATCCAGTGTTGAGAAGTTTTCCGAGGATGGGGGAACCGGCCCACATGTCTGGACTATCTTTTCCTGGTCTTCTGGAGATAGCTTAGCAAAATAGTCCGCTGCTAAAGGCTCTTTTCGAGATGATTGCGGAGTTCCTACTAGTCCATATTCCCCTTTGGCATAATCAGAAAACCCAAACCCGGGTGCATATGGCGAGCAGTAAACGGGCGGCGCCTGACGTCGTTGCAGCTCCAGGTATGCCCATCTTCCGGTAACCGGCTGGGCGACAGGCTCTTGGGGTTGGGGCTGAAGAGGCTTTACAGGCTCAGGAGCCACCACCACCGGTTGCTGTTCAGGAGCCTTGGGTTTCTCTGGCACATTAACGACACTGGTGAGGCTGCTCACGGCGAAACGAAGCATTCGAATCAGATGATCGACGTCGTCGGCTTCCATGTTCAACGGTTGGTAGGAGACTGTTCCATCTAGGGATCTGACAGGGACCTGCGATTCGGACATGGAGGTTCTAAGCTTTTCCAAGCCGTTCTTCGGAATTGGCGAGGTGTCATCGCCTAAAAGAGTCTGCACCACAAAGTCAGGATTAACAATAGTGTATCCAGCAGTTGCATTGGCATGTTCAGTAATGGAAGCAATAAGTCTACGGGCCATGGTAGACTTCATTGCACTATCACTTGGGCTCCACACGGGAACGCCATCGTTAGTCTGGGGGTTGGAAGTCTGAGACTTCGCTGGAGACACCGCCCTTGTGGACTGTGCTGGCGGGGGTATAGCTGCCGTAGTTGTCGATCCTAGAATGGGCCGAGCAACGGAAGGGGGTCCGGAAACGACCGGGTTCGAATTATACACAGGACGGCCTAGGGGCTTAGTCGGAACGGTGGATGCTCTGACCGTCCTTACACTCTCAAGGAAATTTGACCTAGGGTTATGAATGGAAATATCCACATTATGGGTATACTGGGCACGGCAGTCCGTGGAGGTCTTGCCAATATAATACCAGAGGGTCTCCGGTTTTGTCAGATCAACTGTACAGGAATCCGGATTAATTGGGGGTTGCTCGCATATAAAATCCTCCCAGCGGTAGCTGGAAGAAGTATCACCGAATATCATTCCATGAGATGGCATGGAAGAATTTGAATCGTTTCTCGAATCGGGCTTTCGGGAAAGGTGGGCAGGGAGAGGCAGGATATTTGGGGGTAGTGGGGGGAAATTCGTCTTTTTAACTATTAAGGTCCAGCGGTATGGAAGCTCAATCACGTCACTGGAAAAGAAAGAAGAAAGAGAAGGTGATTAGCGAATGGCGGCAAACGATAAACTGAAATAATACTTACCCTCGTGGAAGCACTTTCAACATCAATGAGCGCTCCGATGGGCGGTTTTCCAACACCACAGCTCCGTTGATCTCCTTATCAGCTTGAAATTGCATCAAGTCCCCTGGCTTCAGCTTGAGTGCGGTCTCCAAAACCTTCGAGTCCATATCAAGCGCCTGGGATGGGAGAGAACCAAATCTCTTCTGTCGATGGTACTTGCACTTTAAGTCGATAGCCGGGACTGAATACTCTTGGCCATCATCCGCAACAACGGAAGTTTCACCAAATTCTACCTGGACACCTGCAAGCAATGCACATGTAGGGTGGTATGACCTAGCACACTTCCCATACATACACTGGAAGCAGGCACCTTTTACCTCACGACAGAACAAGCATTTCAATCCCATTCTTGCTTTGGGAATCTTGTCAATATCGCAGACGATTTCACGTCCTAAGTCGTCCTTAAGAATAGAGGTCTCTTCGATAAACATGGCACATCGTCTATGTGCCTGTGATAGACCGCCTTCGGTCGGCAAAAGCTCCTCGTAATCCATACTATTTGGACATAGTACACATGGCGGCTTCTTTGGCGAATCTAAATGCAACCTAGCACGCTTGGATTTAGGCTCGACACCATCAACTTTCCGTTTCCTAGGCCGTGTGGATTTCTCTGGGACGCTTCGAGGCGGAGTGAGAAGGTCAGAGGCACCTTCATACTGCTCGCTTCTGGTCTCATCGTAGTACTCGGGAGTAGATTCGCCCCGTAGCTTCCGTTCGATCTCTTCGACATCGATCCAGACGGTATCCGTTTCGCAGTGGCATTTTTTGGCGATACGGGCATAATCGAGCCAACTTTCTGTAGCAAAATTGACTGACTCCGCACAGTTGTATCCCAAGTTGAACCCGGAGTGGTATCCATACGGAAACGTGATAACGAACTCGCCTTCATAGTGGACTAGCTTATTCGCGGTGATGCCGTACTGAGACTTGAGGACGGTAGGGGAAATAAGGTAGGTCTTATGCCGTAAGAACTGGCTGCAGTTTTTCGAGTCCGTTGGCCAAATACCTACGAGAAGTTATGCTAGTCAGTACTTTATGTTGCACATCCATGTATATATTAACCATCTGAACTTACTCCGCATCGCTGCCTCGAAACGTGGAAGGTCTTCCTGTGAGATGCTGTACCACTGTTTAGGAGCACCAAAGTGGATGTAGTTTATGCTGTAGAGGTCAACATCCTCAAGATGCCAAGCGAAAGTGGCCTTCCACATGCCAAGGTAAACATAGGCGGTGTTCACACCAGGGACTTTTTGGCCGAGGACATCCAGAATATTTGGCAGGTTGGCAACATTCCATGAAGTTACGGCATCATCAAACAAGGAGCCCGGCATATCAGCACCATACATGGGATTGTTATACATAAGAGATTTCCAATAAGCGGTTTCGAGTTCTTCACATCTTTCAGCGGTGAACTCTTCGTTACTGGAGAGATGGTAGTCAAAATCGATGAAAGCTTCTTCATCAATGTAGTCATCTTGCTCATCCCGGTTATTTTTCCGTCGAGCAGAGACGGACTTGGGCTGTCTGCCCTTTGGCTTTGGGGCAGGTAGGGGCTCTCCATCACTTAGTTCCTCGGACTTGGCTTTGACAGGCTTGGAAACCGGGGACACAGGGGTGGGAGGGCTTTCAGGCTTGGATCCTTGACCATCATCCTGGCGTTCAGGCAATTCCTCACTGGCTTTACGCTTGCTCACAGTTGTTTTGCGTTTCTGAGGTTCAGCTTTGTTACCGTGAGCTTTTGTTGTACCACGGGTTTTCCCCTGGGTCCAACGTCTCTCTCCCCGTCTAGCCGGAGGCTGATGACTGATTTCTTCAGACAAAGCTTTCCACTGTGGAAGATTGTATGACCGCTGTTTCTCAATGTTTGCCTGGGTAAAGGTTCCGTGAGACCCTGTAAATTCCTGGACGATAGGATTCTTGATGCGTATGGTCTTGACAGCCTCGTCTAGGGCAGGAAGCGAGTCCGTCCTATTGTAGTTGTCAAGAGTCAGCATGACAAGCTTCAACACTAATCAAACGACTCGTGGTTCTAGATCGACTTGCAAAGCCAATAATATGTGTCATTAAAGCCTGCAGTACTCACCACTCCTTTGGAGGAACCACTTTTACAATTCCCGACTTCATGCCATATTTGTCAATACAGCGAATGAAAGCTCGAAAGTCTCGGAACTGGTCCATGGTCTGGAGAAAGAAGCATTCAGAATTAGTGCCTTGTGAAATAAAAAGAGGGCCAATATATGATAGCTATGATATGCAAACGAACCGGCTTAAAGACCGGTACTCTCCCGCCCTCATAATAATGATCCGGTTGGATATCTTCCAGAATAGGAGAGGTACCGTCATCTTCGATGGAAGGACGAGGTGAAGTCGAGCAAGAATTGATCCCATGAAGGTGCATCTTCTCTCCGTCAGCGCTGGCAGGTGGGGTCATCGATGCAGCAGTGTTGCCGCCTGGAACACTGTGTTGTTCCGCCATGACTGGTAGATCGAGCTATGCGAACATGTGTCGCACCCTCTTCTCTCCACTAGATATTTTTTTTCTGTGTATTTCGTTTCTCACTCGCCGAACGTTGTTTTTTTCCCTGTTTCTTTTTTTGTCTCCTACCCTCTTGTTAGCCTTGACGCTGCGGTAATATTGTTGAGAAGGCGATTGATGATGGACTGATGGATAGGCGCCAACGTACGATGAGGGCAAGGGGGTGAGATCGATTCTCGCCTCCCCCAGGAAGGTCTTGGAGGTGACAAGGAGAGGCAAGAAAAGGAGTTTGACGAACGGCGGAGGATCCGATATTAAGTATGGATGTTGGAAGCAGCGAAGAAGGCGTGTGGTGTAGTAGATATGGTTGGGCAGAAGAAAACGACCAGGATTGATTAGCGGGTTACTTCCGGGTGTTAGGGGTCGCTTAGTACGTATCGTGAGCGTAAGGGAAGAAGAAAAATAGGAAAAATAAAAGGGAAAAAAACAAGAACTCGAGACAGCCGAGCGATAGAGAGTGGTATGACTAGTCGAACGACGAGGTTTTCTGTCTTCGAGCGAGGACGTAATTTCAGATGGCACGGCGATGAGTGAGCGGCAGAGGCACCATTGGAAGGACACTCGGGCGAAATCCTGAAAACCCAACGCAGCTCTGCTCTGCTCTCTGAATGTCTGAGGACGAAATCGAAGGTCCGAATAATAGATCGGTCGTGCTGGTTCCGACAGGCCCCTTGTACGGAGTAAAAATATGCGGTTTTTGGTGCTGGTTTATTGTCGCAGGGTCTGGAAGTACCCTTTTTCCGTAGTGGCCCCTGCCCGGGTCTGGCAGCAAAACCAAACTAGCAACAGCAGCACCAGCAGCACCGGCACAGCGCCCCGTCTCGTCCCTGGATCTCTAGTCCTCCGTCAGGCCGCAATTTCGAGTCTTCTCACGGCGAAGGAGGAAGACGTTGAGGTTGGAAGTCGAAAATGAGTCGCAAAGTCGAAGTTTTCGAAGACGACGTCGAAAAATACCGAATCAGGCAATTGGCTGACGAGAGATGGCGCTAGGCCGTGTTGGGAAAGTATCAGCTACGCTAGTCTTCTTTTGAGAGGATATGTGGCCGCTTTAACAGTGACGTAATATATGTCATGTGATGGTTCTTTTTTGCTGATTAGATAAGAGAAAAAGTTTAATTTGTTTATCAGATTTAGAGCGAAGAAAAAGGGGAAAGGACCAAAAGGGACCAAAGAGGACTAGAAAAGGCCAGGAGGAGAGCAAGAGGAGCAAGGACAACGCATCAGAGCCACACCTTGTGGTCAGATGGCATGCAGGAAAAGAGGAAAGAAGAAGAGGAAGAAGGAAAGAAAAAAGGGCCCCTCATGTCTTACAGTTTATATCGCGGGGAAACAGACAGAAGCATATGCAGCTCTCTGTGGTAGTTGACCACTCATGATTTAAAGCATTTACCCGCCGTCTCCTTGGTCTTATTTCCACCCGCCATATTGACGGCTTAGTATTCGTCGAATTTCAGGCTTTTTCCTACCAGGCGTCGGGGGGAGGACGCCTTGCTGTCTTCTCTTTCGCCCGTTCTCGCTCCCTTCAATGCATGCAGAAGCATTCCTGCATCAAAGAACCCGTCTAGACGCTCAAAGTTAGTCATCGAATAGTTCAAAAAGAAGAAAGAAGAAGGGAGGGAAAAAAAAAGAAACGAAAGAGGGTGAAGAACTGCACATACAGCCGCCCATTCCATCGTCGTCACCACTCTCGCTGCCATCCATGTTACTCAGGGATTCCGTTCGAATCACCCGTCCTCGTCCCTTTCGCTCAGACTTTGCTCCAGCCTGTTTCTGGGTGGAGTCGGAGACAGCCGCTTTGGCCTTGACTCTTGACTGGTCTGTGGCTCGCAGCAGTTTGCGAATCTCGACCAGATATGAATCCAGCGTATCCATGAATCTGCTCGTCTGTCGATGCTTAGAGGATGCGCAGATAGATATCGTGTCATCCTTAATGATATAGCCAATTCCAAATCCGTCGCCGGACGTCGGCCCAAATCCAAAATGGCGCAGTGCAGGGTTCCCGCAGTTCGACGTCGAGAGGATGGTGTTGTTGATTCTGTCCCATCCTGGGTCGCTAAAGAGCGCTGGTGTGGTTGGCGTCAGGCGGCTGCGAGAGTTGGGCGTGCTGCTCTTGCTCTGCACTTCCTCCGCAATATCAGCTGCTGCAGGCGATTCGCCGTCCCAAATTAACACTGCTGCGCCGTCACCAAGGGATCTCTGCCATAGGCAGTAGAGTGCATAGAGGTGTCTGTCCTGGCCCAGTCCCTTTGAACATGCCCTCGTCATATCTACATGCTTCTCGCAGGCTCTTTTGAGAGCCCTCACCTTCTCTATCGCCGGGTTGTCGCCCCAGAATGTCTTAACAAACTCCGTCGATTCAGCGGAGACAGTACGGATGGCTTCTGTCCTTCCGTGTAGGAAGAACTTTGTCATCGCAGGCTCATAGGTCGTTTCGATACGTCCGTATAGGCCATAATATGCCGCCTGGAACGCCATCTGCACGAACGCATCTGGAGAAAAGCCCATGCTGGTAATAAAATTCTTCCCGTACCCCGCAAAATCCAGGGCCTCGAACTCATGTTGACGCAGCAGGTCTGCTAGATGGGACTCTGCAAACCGCAGCGCCGTGCTTAGCTCGGGTCCCATTTCCCATTCGAGTTTGTGAGGCGTCGTGCTGGCGTCGTCCAGCCTGTTGGATGTGTCGCGTTTGCATGGCGGAGGGCTGCTGGACGCCCACAAACTCGGTGCCTGGCCATTGATGGTCCTGGCAAAACGGAGGATGGTATCCGTGTAGACATCACTGGCAAAGCGAAGGACCGTATGCCCATCCACGCCAGTATGCTCAAAATTGATACCTGCGCTACCGTTCTTGCAAACAATAATCTGCAGTTTGTCATACCATCTGTTCGTGCATGTTCCAATCTGCACCCCTCGAACGATTTGACTTGTACCGCAAAGCATGTTCCCGCAAAGTTCTGCCACATTGGATGGCTCAGTAGAATCCAAGCAGAGCACAAACAATGCGGTGTCAACAATATTTAGGCACTCTGCATTGTTTGAGCTGCCATCTTGGGTCAAAATGTCTCTCAGTTGTGACCAGACTTTCCTATTCTCGGTACTCAAGACACCAACAGCCCCTTTGGCTGCCTCCTGGGCTGGCGTTTGTTCCGCGTCGTCAATAATCACCCGGAGATTCATTGAAATATCTTTTTCGCTCATCAGGTGGTTGTTGTCCTCGTCCAGGACATCGAACCAGTAGAACTGACCCCGGCATAGCACAACGAGGTGTCTCGATGCGGAGTCTTGACCAATTACACAACCATTTGGCGTAGGTACCCGTGCTGTTCCAAACAGCCGCGAGTACTGAAACATGCAAAGCGGCTTGCCGCGTACTGTGTCAGGTGCAAGCTCCTCTTTACGTACTGCACGGACAAATGACAAGGCAGACACGACCAAAGAGGCTGCTCTCGTTACCTGGTTGTTCCTTGCTGGCGTTGGGTCGTCTGCCAGCAGGAAGAAGGGGTTCAAGTTGAGTACGACAGCTAACCAACGTTTTTAGTTACCAGGTCTTGCCTTGTACAGGGTTTAACAGAAAAGTCGCTTCTCACGGTTGTCAAAATTCAGGTAAGAATCATACCCTGTTCGAGGTCTATGGTCAGCTCAGCACAGACTCTCACGGTGCGAGTTCTTACAGAATTGCTCTATGTAACTAGACTTGGAAGTAGCATATTTCTCCAGTCTTTCCTGAAGGCCAGGCCCTTCAACCTCCATGAATTCTTTCACGGCAACTTTCGTGGCCTCGTGTTCCTTTGTGCTCTGTAGAGGAGTTAAAGCCTCGAGATACTTCGAACAAGTCGACTCAAGATCAGGTATAGGCAATTTCGGCAGTGAGTTCTGGTTGGCGAAGGTAATTCCTTTGCTTTCAACTGGCTTATCTTCCTTACCAACGTCTCCATCTGGTGGGATTCCGTTAGATGTTGCCATGTTTTTGCCGTTACTTGCCAGAGATCTAATGGTGGGCGATAGTCTAGGTGAAGGGGAAGCTGAGCGCGTCTTCCTATTGTCAGGAGGGTCTCGAAGACGCTTTATGCGGCTAAGAACCTGGAACGCCATAGAATAAGCACTGCACAAAAAACGTAGAGTCGTAGAAATCAAGGATATAACACGGATTATGTATCAAGTGAATCGAGCAAAGCCCATAGTAGGTAGGGATGAGAACCGTAAAGCACTGCGGTAGAAATAGCGGCAATCATGAAAGCGGTAGGGGGGCGTAGAAATGGTAGTGGCTGCTGGATATATCAGGCTTCATATGGAGCAGGCAACATTGTTAACATGAAGCCACAGACATCTGCCAGAAGATATCCACGACATGTCTCTGATAAAGTATGGGGTTTGTAGCTAGTATAGCAGCCTTGTCGTTCACAAGAAAGGAGCTCGCAGCCAAACCCCGCGGCGGCCACGAGATAAGATCACGAGCTTCATTTCTTTGGCCGTGCATGTGAGCAGAAGGCAGAAGCTATAAAAGGGACTAGAGAGAGTGTAGGGTATATGAAAAAAGTGACACAGCGTGTTAGGTAGTTCAAAGCTGAACATGCAGCGAGGGCAGAGGCCACCAAACCATCAAGGCTCAAGCTTGTTTGAGAGAGTAGTGATAGCAGGTAAGTAGTGGGGGGAGACCCCTACCCGGTAAACAAGTTAACCAAATAGCCACACTCACTTTGATAAGCAATACCGTATAGTTATAGAGATGGCTACCGTATCCAAGTACCCCCGCGTTAGTTATCTGTGTCCAGAAAAGAAGCAGAAGAAGTTATGCAGCTCCTTGAGGATCTATATATCTTCTCCGTCTCGGATGGATGTGCCGAGGGTTCGGGTTAACTAACTTGGCAGAGAGCTTGGAAACGATCCATGGAGGCAACTTTCAATCATATCGACAGCCACCTGGATGGAAAGATTGACACTGGCAGGCGTAACTTGGCACCGTAACCCTCCCTCCCCGTTAAGTAGATGTTCTAGTGTTGGGTTGCACCTGTGCCTGGCTCGTCGTTCGTCATTGTAGCGATGGAGATAACCATTAGTTACATAGTTAGCCCCTGTAACCTTTCGTTAAATAGTTACCTGGCGCCCTTTCAGTAAAAGCACAGTCTTCTAAGGCATATAAATGAATACTGGGCGAAGGGATAATAAACTCTATTGTAGTTTAGCTATTCGTTCATAATTTCTCTCTCCGCTTAAGTTCTACTCTCTCTCGTTCTTTCATCAGCCGTTCTGCGAATTCCGGCTTTGCCGGAGTGGCAACCTTATGGTGCTCTGCTGTTGCATACACGATCTTTCCGTCCACCGACTCCATAACACCTCGAAGCATAGCCATCGTCCTCCCATGTTGAAGTGTAGTACATTTGATCTTAATAGTAGTTCCTGTAAAGGCCCCTTACGTTGAGTGACTTTCTCTAGATGCTTATGTTCTGGGAGGAGGGGTATATATCATTCATGATGGCAAGACATACCAGTAGGTATTCCCTTAAGGTAGGATAGGTTTAATGAACGTGAGACACCTTGTAAAAAACTATGTAATATTAGAATGCGGCCAAATTGATCAAGACGGGGAGAGAGACGCACTACCAATAGCCAGGCTTAGTTACTGGATTCATGGATATGGCAGTGCACATGTCTTTAGTTCGATGGATATTAGCAAATTGTTTATCCGGGAAGTCCTAGAAATATAGCAGGTGGGATATTGGCATACCGAATACTACAGCACAAGCGCCTCCATGCATGACACCTATATTTTAAAAATCCCGAGTGTCATTTTATGTTGTTATTGGAAACGTTTCAGGAAGAATAGCGGATTGAATACCATTCAAGTTTGACCAGTATTCAGTTACATCCATCTCCCATGTTGCGCCACCTGAGGGGTCGGCATCAATGAGGCGGATGTCCTCAAAGAACCGTCTATCATAGCCCTGAGGTAAAAGACGTCAGCAACTGACTAGTAGTTATTCGTCTTCTACTTCACTTCATAAGAATCTAACGAGCATGTTATAACATACCTGATAGTTTTTCTCCACAGTTATTTCCCCATAGCTACGAGGAGAGTGTTAGAAAGCAGGGCGTAGTATTAAGGTACAATATTTCGTTGGGAGTCCTAGTAGCTTACACCTTAAGAAAAGTTTCGATAGACTCCCTTGCTCTTTGCTTTGCTTCGGCGTCCGCCATTCCCAGAACAAGTCAAAAATGCAAAATATATAGATGGTAATATATGGAGAGTCAACGAGAATCAAGAGAAGGGTTCACAGCTTAGGGATATAAGAGACTGGTTTGCAACGATAACCCAGTCTGGTGAATCGACATAACATGGTAGAAAGGTTGGAAGAAGGCTCTAGCCGCGGCTAAAGTTGACCGAGGCTAGCTGGTTTGTTAACCTCCTACGGTGTACACAGACTATCAATAATAGGTTCTAAATTTGCCTTCAACATCCGCGCATCAAGGCCAACTTATAAGCGATTTTTACCATCCCATCGTAGCTAATAACATATAGGAAAGTTCCGGTAAGAATTCGTTACAAGCTCAGTGCTCCATGGAGTGTGGAAAACATGATGTGCCTTCCTTTGATCAACCAAAAAGGCAGATAGCAAAACGGCCACTTTTCCAATTATCCAGTCGTAACTCGTAAAACTGACCCTACCAGGTCATTGTTCCGCTACTTCGAGCTTCCACGTCCTCTCTTTGAGGTTGAAGTTTTGAAATTTTGATATCTTTCAGGGCGGGAGAAAAAGGTCACATGTTAGACTAGTCCCGAAAGGGACAGGAACGGATTAACTTTTGGACCGATGCAGGTACGGGCAATTCAATTGATGACTAAGCTAATTTAAGGGGCCAAAAGCTTTTCTCAGAGACAAAAAACAAACCACAAACTACGACGACGACGCAACGAAAACAAGCAACCAAGCAACCAAGCAAGCCACAGAAGGAGTTAATGTGGCAGCGAGTTGGCCCCCGACCTCAACCTCAATATCCAAGTGGACTCTGTTCCTGGATCATGGATGTCAACCTGTCAACCCTGGGAACACAAAGTGGAAGGATAGAAGGAAGCCACCCGCCTCTTGTTTTCAAGCTTTTTATGCCTATCCTGAACGCCCGAAGAATAAACAGCTTCATGTAGCACTCTATTACCCTGCACGGGTTTTACCAAGGTTCATCAAGTATACCACAACATTGTTGTATTACTGATTCACCCCTATCGCCTTTGAGGTTGACCCAGTCAAAGCCAATAATGCCGCATGTGCACAGCCGTTAACTGCGGTCTACGAAAGTCCACTGGTGGATATGATATTAGGATCCCTAACTTTTAGATTGATCCATTACCTGGGGCGAAAGGGCCCAGGGGTTTTTCGTCTATGGAGTACAGAGTAACTGGGGTTCGATGAAGTCGGAAGAGAAAATGCGTTGAGAAGCGGCAACTGCTTCTTTGCCGTCAACCTTGGAACGAAGATGACCCTTCGGTGCCTCTCCCGCCTTCCCATGGTTTCCCAAGACTAGCTTGGAAGTGACTCACTCCTATGCCACAATGAGTAAATGATGGGACGGAAACCTGTGGCACAACAGGAGAAAAAACCTAATGCAAAGCCGCTAATTGAGGCTATTGATAACTTAGTGGCGAGTATCCCAATCGGTAAGTACTGGTCAGTCATCTGGAGAATATCTCCTCCCCACTCCCTCAAGAGACGCACCTTGAGCTCAGTGAAAGAAACGCCCAGGGCGTTCGGCCAACCAAGAAGTGGAGTGAAAGAGCTCGATCACTGGGGAGTTACGAGAGCTATGCTTTTATCCTCGCACATCACGCGTTTCGAAGCTTTCCCAGTGGAGCGAGTTGAAAGATTGGCTGATTTCAAGCTTCATGATTGGCTTTCTCGACTTATGGACATGTCTACCCGGTAACAGAGCGCAACAATGTCTCGACTTCAATCGTTCGTTCTGGTCATTCATTGGCAGGAGCGCGGAAAATTAGAGCAGCGGGACGTTTTCTGGTGTGCCCAAAGTATGACGGCTCTCCATGACTGAAGGTTAAGCAGAAAAAGGCTGGCATTACTTGCAGAGGTAGAAAGCAGGCTTGAAATGGCCTTGTACCACATCCATCATCGCGGCTCCCTTCATTATTTGCTATATAGAGAGCACAATATGGTATGTACTCCGTATGCATTTCAAGTTATGCACGAAAAACTGTGCAATAAACCTTGACAAAAATTATAGAGGAACTGCTCCATACTATGGCTCAGTGCGTCTACAAGGTATCGGTGAAGATGGACTTGTGGAACTGCCGAGCACATAATCCAGACGCAGGTACCCAAGCATCATCCAAGGAGTACTCCGTAAGGCGGGAGAAATCACACCCTTTGGCATGTCCATGTCTATCATCGAGCCCCTTGACCAACATCTCCTTTTTGATAGCCCATGTTGCCTGAGGTAACGATTCTCTCACACAAAGCCGGCCCGTCCATGGACCCAATAGCTTTTACCCCCTTTTGCCCCACAAACTCAATTTTTCCATAGATCGCAGATCGACAAAGCCACAATATTCTTTTGACCTCAGGTCGAAATGACGATGTCAACGGGTACAGAGAGACATCTCACAAGCTGTGATGAATGGGATACAGGCTTGAGTGATACCGTTGACTCCGTGGTTGGAGTGGAGTGTTATGCAGTCTACATACAAATCCATCACATCTACAGAGTACTACGTACCTGGGGATACAAGATCGGGTTCAGGTCAGCAGCCAGGCTTCCAGCTCTGGGATCAAAGGCCCCTCCGCAGAAACCAAGACGTCTCGGACTATTGATGTGGAAAGTGACAAGCGGAGTGGAGCAGATAGTGGAATCTTGCAGATATGACCATCAGAGTTCCGAAAGAATGTTGTGTGCCAATGCGGATCCATTATACGACGAATAGCACGGAAGGCAACAGTTATTCCTTTTACCTGGGCCTCACTGGGAGATGCGCCTCCAAAAGGAAACACGAGATGGTGCCTGGATCTGCAATGACGGGAGAGAGAAAAGGGTGACATCTCGAAAAGACGGTTGTACTGAGGAGGACAGAGAGCATAAAAGGACGCCAAATCCCTTCTGGAGGGCTGTTCTCTTTCTTTTCCCATCCAGCAACCAACTTGAGACAAAGTCATTCATTCATTCATTCCATCTCTTCCAGTCTCTTCAGTCATTCACCTTGCTGGTTCTCACTCCTTCCTTTCGAAACCACATTCCTTCGAATAAACTTCAAAATGCGTTTCTCCATCGTCTTCTCTGCCGTCATGGCCGGCTCTGCCATGGCCGCTCCCACCATCGTCGGTGGAGTTGGCAACAACGTCCCTGTTTCTAAGGGCGCTGTTGGAACTGTCAACAACGTTGCCCCAGGTGTCGCCAGCCGCGACCTCGTGAACGGAGCTACCGGCGGTGCTGTTGGTACCGTCAATGGCGTCGCTAGTGGAGCTGCCGGAATCCAAACCGGTGACGTTGTAAAGCGTGACGTCGTTAACAACGCTGTTGGCGGAACTGTTGGTGTTGCTGGTGTCGCTGTCAACCAAGCTGCTGGCGACGTCGTCCAGGGTGCTACTAAGCGTGATATCGCCGGCCAAGCTGTTGGTGGAGCTACCGGAATTACCAACGGTGCTGTTGCCGGAACTGTCGGAGGCACTGTTGGATCTGTTCTCAACGGAAAGCGTGATGTTGTCAACAACGCTGCTGGCGGAGTCCTCACGGTTGCCGGCAGCGCTGTTCAAGGCGCAGCTGGCAACACCGTCGACGGAGCTACCGGCGGTGCTATCAAGCGTGATGTTGTTGGTCAGGCTGCTACCGATGCCACTGGTGTTACCAGCGGTGCCGTCCAGAACACCGCCGGCCAAACCGCCGGCCAGGTTGTTGGCAGCGTTAAGCGCGATGTTGTTCCTAACTTGGGTGGTGTTACCGGTGTCGTTGGAACTGCCCAGGGCCTCGTTGGTGGTGCTACCGGAAACGTTGCTGGTGGAATCGTCAAGCGTGTCGAGGGTGTTAACAACATGGTTACCGGCAACGTTGATAGAACCGTTAGTGGAGCTGGCAGCATCACTGGCGCCAACCTTGCTGGACAGACTTTGACTGGTGCTACCGATATCGTTGGCGGAACCATGGGCCTTGCTCGAGGTGTGACCCAGCACCAGAAGCGCGTGCTTTCTGCCGTTGGAGGAGTTACTGGCACTGTCCAGCAGCTCGCTGGCGGTGTTGTTGGTGGTGCTACCGGCCCTGTTGGTGGTATCGCTGGCCGCCGAATCTAAATTTTAAGGACAAAGTTGTTGGCATGACAAATTTCTGTTGAATATTTCCGTGAGTGATTATGGCTTATCATATGTTTGATGCAACAAGTTACTGACCAGCTGCTTTTAGTGTTCCACCAGCGATTTGCCCATGCCACCAATGATTCCCAGTTGGAAGAGTCTGCGCTCGGAGACCGTGCTTAAAATAGACGAGGACGGCATGATATTTTGATGTTTTGTTTATACCATTTTCGAAGGGCCCTCTGGATTTTTGTTCTTTTTATCAGCCTCAGGGGTTCAGCTCATTACTCGCTTATTAATTCTTTCATTTTTTATCAATGACACGACTCATCTATTGTGTGCTTAACATTCTTGTACTTGTTTTTGGTCGTCGGGATCGTTTTTGGATATACAAAAAAATCGTTCTTGGTGTACATTTATTTATCTGGAAGTGGCAACGACACTGTTTTGTATTCTTATTAATTAGACCTCAGTTCAATTTCATGATTATATCAATACTTTCCAGTACTTCACTTGTCATTATTTATGCGCTCGGGGTATGTGGACATATGAAAAAGATGTTTACACGTCCTACGGAGTGAGAGTCCCCCTTAACGGAAAAAAGCTTGGGCAACGATCAGCAGGTGGTTATATCGACTTGCACAATTAGGAATACATTAAAATACACAGGGAGTTGCATTTGTTTCAATTGCGAGGAGGCTGGTATCAGAAGGTCTGATCGTCTCATCCGGGGTATCGCTCTGGACCATACAATAATGCGGAGAGAAGTATGGACAGGGAACCTAGCAGATCTCAATTGTGACTAGCCCCTGTCTATCCGGAACCTCAAAGCGCACACGAAGTACGAGTTAAGCCATCAGTATCATCCGAGAATGAGCAGACATTCCCTACGGAGTATAGGGCACCTGTATTTTGCCATGCCACGTGGGAAGTAGGTGACATATTAATACGAAGGAAGCAGCCGTGTTTGCTATGGATATATTGCACCGTCCTCAAAACTACTCCGTAGTTGAGCAGTTTGTCCAGGCTGTTTACCAGGCCCGAGCAAAGCAATCTCGGCTGGATGTTTGAGAGCCCCATGTCCCACCGCCGCATCGACGCCTGCTCGCACAGCTATTCATATCGCTCTGTCGTAACCATGCCGGGTGCTTGCGAAGTGGCGGACGCGAGCGTACTCGGTGGCTCAGGGGTTTGCTGGCCTGAGATGATGATGGTGCATGCATGCATGCATGCATTCTCCCTTAGTATCAACCTTTTCATGAGAAACTGGGTTTGACTGTGCGACAGTGACAGCCTCAGATACTACATCTTTCCATCACACACTCCTCTCTGCCCTCGCTGCCCTCGCTGCCCTCTCTGTCCTTCCACATCGCCTTCTTCCCCCTTTTTTTCTATGCACATTTCTTTTGATTATATAAGCGATGGTAAACAGTGGTAAATCAAATACTGTAATATTACATAAAAAGCACTTCATTTCCATAGTAAGTTATCAGTGAGTCTAAGTCGAGTCCTACTTAACACTCGTAATAATACAGTACGATACCAGATCCTGATCTTCGCTTTGGCCCAAAAGGGACAAATCAACGACCAACCTCGAACTTCACCAGAAAAAACAAGTCGCACTTCTTCAACGATCCAGCAGAAAGAGACAAGGGACAAGGGGCCTTCGGGTCGGCAAAAGAAGAGACAAGCAAGCAGCAATGCCGGGTTGCTAGCCAGTGTCGTCTCCCGCGCTCTCTTCTGCGCTCTCATCCTCCACGGTAGGCGCCTTCAGCCTTGTTTCTAGGGGGAGGGACTGCAGCTTGCATATCATCGGCCATCCAACTAATGCGGAATGGAGTACGAACAGGATTAAAGTAGCTCTATACTTACGTGTTCGCGGTAAAGTGCTGCTGCTGCGACCCCAGCCCTGATCCGCCGTCCACTACCACTCGCCGGGTTCGATTAATGATCATATTGGGTCTTATACGAGCGGAGACATATATGGAACATTGCCATCTATATGTTCACCATCCCTTATAAGACCAGCGGCCTCCGTACTGGGCATGTATATACACTTACAAGTCAAAAGGAGGAGTAGGTGAGTTTTCTGTTGGAGTCTTTTCTTTTTCCCCTTGCCTTTCTTTTCTTTTTTGCTGCCCCCTTTCAGGAGATTCTGGTGTGTTTCGCATCTTCTTGGTTCGCTGTGTTTTTTATTTTTACTCTTAGTTTTTTTTTTCTTCGCTTCGAGTCCATCCAAGACAGCTCGTATCCCTCCTCATCGCTCCCTCTCTCCCCAGCTGGCCCCCTGGTCTGCTTGTCTCTCCTGTTTGTTAGTTAGTTATATTGTGGCTGAATAGGCCGCCGTTGTTTGCGTCTCCATATTATTATTTTTAACACAGCTGCAACTCTTCACTGTTGACCGGAAAGGGTGGCTACTAATCTGTACACTTCAAACAACTCTGAACTATCTATCTACTCGGTACCACGGGTCATATTGCAGCCCTGCTGACTTTGGCCGCTGAGGAGCAATTAGGAAGCACAGCACCAGAATAGCCATACATAAGCTCCCTGAACCTCACACTGATACATTCGCCCATACTCCATACGGACAACCATCGACGTGGCCCTGCGACCTTGCCCCCGTCCCTGACATCGCATATTGATCGCCCTCCCCGCTCGCCGCCCTCCTTGCACCGAAATACTTGAGCATCCTTTTGCTTTTACTTTTGAATACACATACGCAGTCTGAATGGGGGCCGTTTAAGAACCAACTGTTGCCTCTCATTCGATAGAATATCGGTCTATGTTTGGGGCTACACCTTCGTTAGCAGTTTTGCGATAATATCTGAAACAAGTCACTGCCCGGATAATTCTCACCATCAAGGGGGATCAAAAGCTTGGACGTCCTGCTTTGCTCCTCAGATGCTTCGCATCACGGCCTCGATAGATCCGCCTACTCCCATTTTTGCCAGATCGGATAATTCCCCTTTTTCTCAACTCGAACCCTTGTCCTTGAAGAACTGAACGTACGGTTGGAATAACAGTTGAGTCGGACTTATTGTGAACGATGGATATGGATGCCTCAGCCTCTACTGAGTCGCCTGACGACCAAGATGACTTTCCCATTCATTGCAAAGGATGCGGCGAGGTATGATGCTGTCCATGGAGTTCTTCTTTGTTTCCCTTTTATCGTATGTTTTGCTAAGATATCTTCCGTCCATTCCAGATTCTTGAGGAAGGGAAGGCTTTCGAACTTGGTATGTGAATTCGATCCCTCAGCGACCAACTTTTGTTAACCATAAAATAGCCGGAAACCGATGGCACATAGACTGCTTCCGATGCCATACCTGTGGCGCCTACCTCGATTCCGATGTAAACCTCCTCATGGTTGGCGATGGTTCCCTGGTGTGTCGAAATTGTGCCTATAGCTGCAGTTCTTGCGGCTCCAAGATTGACGACGTCGCCATTGTAACCGGTGAACAAGCCTTTTGTGCTGGTTGCTTCAAATGCCGCAACTGCAAGAAAAAGATCGAGAATCTCCGCTATGCGCGAACCTCCCAGGGTATATTCTGTATGGATTGCCACGAATCGTTAATGTCGAGAAGAAGGAAACGGACAGCCCGGAATGCGGCGCAACGGCAAAAGCTCCCAGCTCCCAGCATGCATCTAGACAAATCACTTCCATCACTGCCCCCCTCTATGGTGGCGCCTGACAATAACGCTCCCCCGCCGTCATCTTCCGATATTTACTCCGATTCCACATCAGAACATCTCCCTCAGTCTAGACAAGAGGATGACCGGGCAGCCAGGTCATATTCTTCACATCAAGGTATGTTTGCAAATAACCCAGGAGTCCAGAACGGGAACTTTGACTTTGGACGGTTTGGCTAAAGCGTACATTTCTTCTAGATAATAACCAGCTTCTCCCTTCGAGTACTTATAATAGCAACCGCCAATCAGTAGCAACCCACCGGTCAGATGGCTCTGGCGGTGGTGAAGAGTTCCTTATACCTGTTGCTTTTGACCCTACCCCTTCCGAGCATACTTCTCCACACTTGGGTTCTCCGCACTCTTCCATGACCCCGAGCGATGGGCCAAAGGATTATTTTAGCCGGGTTGGCTCCAACGCTCTGGGAATCTCAGCAGACGGGTCATCCGTGTTATCGCCAACCCACATTGCATATCAGGATAAGCGCCAAATGAACCCCAATTCACAACAGTGGATTCAGGAAACTATCACTCCGCCTCAATCTCAAACTACAAATAATGCTGTTCAACGGACTGGGTCACACAGTGCTCGAACTAGTATAAACATAGATAGTTCCAGATTATCTCAGGAAGGGTCAAGAAGTAAGGATCAAGCCACTTCTGGTGGTAGCATCCACCTCACCCCGGGTGAAAGGTCATCTAATCGTCATTCTGTCCCAGGAAAGGAAGCCTTTACCTCCCAATCATCCAGCTTTAACCCAAGGAAGAAGCCATTCAACGAGCAATCCAACCCTGGCACAATTTCCTCCTCCTCCAACCAGTTGCAATACCCGCCCAAGAGAGGAGACTCCCTGGAGAGCAGCAAGTTGCATCATAACATCCAAAGGAAAGACGTATCACAATCCGCACAGGACCATGCGGAGAAGCCGGAAGGCACTGTCAGATCCTCAACCAGTTCCGACTATGCATCGGTAGCTTCGAAAGCCATTGAAAGTACTCCGCCAACTCACTCCAATGCTGCTACTTCTGCTTCTGCTGCCGTATCACCGTCCCATACCAGGTCTGCATCTGGAGGGGTAGGTGGTTATGCTTTACCACCGGACTCCCAGCGTCAAGCGTCATCTGGTTCCTCTCCAGGTCTTCTACGTTATAGTGCGGTTGGAGACTTCTCTCTAGACGAAGATATGGCACGAATTCTTGGGGATGACCCGCAAGCCCAGGATTCGTTCCTACGTAAAGTGTCAAATTCTGTTCGACACGGTAGAAGCTTCAGTGACAAAGGCTCACGGCTATCCCGAGACAGCAAATGGCCTGCTAAATCTCCTCTTGAGACAGGGAGCTCTGGGAATGATATTAGTAGCCCAACTTCCAGCGGCGTCGACTCCAAGGACGAACTAACGTGGCTCAAAAATGAACTAAAACGGGAACGTCAGAAGGTCATTGAAAAGGATCAAAAGATTTTGGAGTTAGAGACCTCGCTTAATGCTACTGTAAATATTAAGCAGGTCAATACAGAGTTACGGGAGAAGAGATCTACTATGATCTTCTTGGATGCTCAAAAGGAGATTATCCTCCGGGAGCTGGAAGTATGGAAGGAACACATTACAGCTGAGAAGAAAAATAATAAGCCGCTTGACCTGGGAAAGATGAGCAATTCGGTTCTCCGAGACCTTGCAGAATCTCTGGAAAATTTGAAAAATACCTTCGCCCCGCAGATCGAAGATTTGATCCAGAAACGCAATGATCTGGTTGAAGAATTATCTAATCTAGGGAAGATGAAAGACAAGAGCTTCCAGGAATTCGAACAATTGTCACTGAAGAATGCCCAGTTGGCAGAATTAAACAACCAGCTGGTCCATCAGATTCAAGAGCTATACAAGGCAAACTCTAATACATCTAGCGGCAGTAGTCGACAGCCTCCTAATGGGCTAGGAATATATTCTCACCAAAAGGACAAACCAAGCACGTCCTTGGAGGCACGCTCAACCCCCTATGAGGCGGTAACTTCCAGTTCCAACGTTACAGTGCCGGAAGAAGCCGAGCCAGCTACGGTCATTCAAGGCCCTCATGTTGTGAATATCCGCAAAGGACAACCCAAGAAATTCACCTGGAAAAAGGGCCAGAACGTTGCAAAGGGAGTTACAAAGGGCCTCAAGGGGGCATTCTTATATCAACGAGATGGCCAGCTTAATGACAATTCTTCGTTTGTCTCTACCCCACAACACGAAAATAACGGTTCAGCTATGCCGCGTTCTCAAACACAAGACCCCTCCCGGCAAGGGTTCGGATTTTTTGGAAGCAACCAGAAGACCAAACCCACTCCGTGGAGAGGGCAGTCTAATGGAAGCTCACCGGGTTTGGATACGCCAACGAGTATGTTGATAACACTCCATTTCTCACTGTTTACTTTACCGACCAGAACTAACATTCTATAGGTCTCTTTGGTGGCGAGCTAGAACAACGTTTGGAGATTGAGAAGGCTGTCATACCTAGTGTCGTTACTCGTTGTATCGAAGAAGTCGAACTTCGAGGTAAGGACACTGCTATTGACCAACTATTATTTAAGCGTTTGCTAACCTATACCCCGCAGGAATGGATGTTGAAGGAATCTACCGAAAATCTGGAGGCAGCTCTCAGGTCCAGGCTATCCGTGAAGGTTTCGAGCGTTCTCGCGATTACGATATATCGGATCCTGACCTTGATATCAATGCCATCACTTCTACCCTCAAACAGTATTTCCGAATGCTCCCAACCCCCTTGGTTACATACCCAGTGTATGATATCCTTATCGAAGCAACAGATGTGACGCCTGTCTCAGCGAGAGTTGAGATAATTCAACAGGCCCTTCAGGAACTTCCTCGCGTGCACAGGGACGTTCTAGAATTCCTCGTCTTCCACTTGAAGCGCGTCGTCGATCGCGAGAAGGAAAATCTTATGACCAGTCTCAATATTGCGGTTGTTTTTGCGCCTACTATCTTACGCCCCGAGAGCTTAAGTCGTGAAATGACAGATGTCCAGAAGAAAAACGAAACGATTCAGTTCATGGTAGAGAACTGTCAGGACATATTCATGGGTATTGAGGAGTGAAAATGTCGCTTACATCGAAAGCAGGCTGGAATTCCAGAAACCCAAGGCTCAAAATTTAACCTCTGTTGACAAACCTTTGTTTTCTTGGAAAATAAAACGGCCACAGAGGCTACTTTTGCATTACGTTGTTCTATTTCCTAACATGGCTATATCTTTGCTCATTTCGCAGCCCGTTCCCTATTCTCAATTCAAAAATTTCGCCTGTCTGCTTATTCGACAATGGCTACAGAGCGCCACTCATCCCTCTATTCACTCTCCCACCAATCCCCCTACCTCGTCTTTTTCTATATCATCAATTTTGAAAGGGAGAAAATGGAAAGAAGCAAGGGGATTGAAATACGAGTTGGAAATCATACCAACGTTCTGCTGGCCCAGACTGGAATGTGATTTTTACCTTCCCCTTCTCTAATATCATTTATTTAGCTCCCCCTAATGTCTTTTTTACAGTTGTGATGATTTACATGTTCTTGCGCTTATTCGTGTGTCATTTTTGTCACTTGTTGCGTCACCCCTTTTTGCGCACTCCTTGTTTATGGTTTCCTATCCAAATACCCTTTTAACTCATTACCGGTTATCTAGTCGCTAGCAAATTAATAGCAAGCAAGAATGATTATGATAGTAGATATACCGTGTCTTATTACTCCGTGGACGTTACATACTTGCGTGGTGAAAGTGGGTTAACTAGCAGTTTATCAGCGTTATGGCTACGCTTTGACCTATTACATCAGGCTATATGGACTGAAAACCACATTATCATTTATGATTTAGATCAAAACGTCTCATCATCTAGGCCAGAGCGGCGAACAATGCTTGGGCTGCTGTTAGGGTCGTCATAAATATCGTCCAGGTCATCAGTCAGTTCGCTCGCACCAGCAGTGTAGAGTAAATCTGAGACAATACGTTTTGATGCTTCTTTCGCTGTGGGTTGGTAGCATATGTGAGCATGATCCCATAGCTATAAGGAAGCCGAGAGTTGAGTGGAACATACCAGGAGTTTTCATTAGTCGACTCTGTGGCACATGAAACTGCATGGTCTTTGGTGGGCTAAAGTCAACGAGTGCCGAGTCATCTTCATCATCGTCATCCACAAATCCACCTTTCTTGATTTCTTCATCACTGTCCCACTGGTTTGGGCCTCCATTGAATTTATTTGAAGGTGTTGCTAGTACGCTAACACCAGGAGTTCTGGTCTTGCTGTTATTGCGCTTGATTGCACTTCGTCGAATCATAGGCGAGTCGAACAGCTCTGTGTGCAGTTTGGGCGCCTCTGGTTCTGGACTTGAAAGAGGGGAGTCATCCAACTTATACCGGGAAGTAGGTAAAGTAGTGACGTTGAATTTATTACCCGCCTTAGTGGTAGTGAATTTCCGTGAGCTGGTCAATGGAGTTGCCTGAACACGATATGTTTTATCTAGTACCTGGTGCATAAGAGGGTCGGCCTTCTCCCCCTTAAGAGCCGTAGATAGTGTAAACTTAGATGTAGGATTGAACACAGTAGATGAGGAAGTATCGGGTGTCACAATATCGTTGTAACCAGACTGGTTTCCTTTCCTGGGAGTCCTTGGGCCTGGATCACAGAGCTGGAGGGGTGATTCGATAGCGGGCAAATCATCTTCATGTTGGTCAAATGTTGAAGAGTATTCCATTTGCGGAGTTGTAGTGCTATCGTCGGCCATGGCACGAGAAGGTATGCTTCTTGCACGCGGAGTGCTGTGTGAAGGGGATAGCGAAAGAGTCGAAAGGTCAGGGTCGTCTTCATCCTTAATTTTATGGTTTATTGATATATGCTCTGAGGAGGGTGAAGCATATGATTCGGATTCTTCCTGGTACGTTGAATCAACTGTAGCGGTTGTATCGGCATTTATAGTAGTGTCCTGTCCATCATTATTTGGCGGTTGTTCCTCGTAGCCAGACAAGGAAACGTTGGCGCTTGCTTCAAAAAATTGTTTCCAGAACTATTTCGTTTATTAGACGAAATGCGTTGAGCGTACGTGTTGGGGTATACCGCGACTATACCTTTGAAGCCTCCCACACGTCTTTAGAATTTTCTGCGTATTGTTCAACTATTGGTATAATGCTAGATGTAACGATCCGGTGGGCTCTATTAAAATTGGAATCGATTTCTGTATTTCAATAGACATAGCACATTAGCGATAGCTGTGCCATATATTGAGCCGTGAAGCCACTCACCTTGCAATGTCAGGGTGATGGACTGTTCAAGCTTCTCTAGCTCCTCCGTAAGAGTGAGATTGCGCTGTACTGCCGGGGGATGGGACATTCTGTCGGAGAGAGACGCTGGGCTGGTTGAGCTGGTTGTTTACTTGTTGACGATCGCGCGTCAAGGACCAAAAAACGTTGTAGATAATGTTAAGGGGGTTGGATTTAGAGTTTAGCGTCTAGGGCGAGCGATAAGGGCTTATCTAATCGTGACATAAGCCGGCTTCGTTATCGGAAATGACGACGGACTGCGAAGGCGAAGGCGAGCGAGGGCAAGGCAACACCATTCCACAGCCACTGGAGCCCGTATTTTGTTCATGCGAGTGACTGGTGAGATCAGGCTCTGAACATATTGGACGGTTGCATTTCGGCTTTCCCACGCCTTTTTCTCAATAAGGAAGAGAGCATCGAGCAGCCTGATATATAACTGCTCCTGTCACACTCAATACCGCCCCTCAAGGCGCCAATATGGCAGCCCCTTTGGCAAAAGGTTAGCATTTAAGGATGATCACCCCTTGAGAACGTTTCCCGTCACTATAGATGGTTATAGATGATATATGGAAGAATATAGTAACACAAAATCTGGATTTAGGCATCGTGATAACTGTCACAGTTATCGTTGCAGCAGGAATTGCAGCTTATGAGAGTCCCGAGATCCAAAGATGGCTTGACACCTCTCGACGAAAGATAGCCCTCGCTTTACATAGCCTTGGAGACGGCATTAGTCCAGATAAACAGCGTACAGCTAACAAAGATGACATATCCATGGTGGAGGCTACTGGAACAGAAGCAGAAGCAAGAAGACAGAAGGCAAGGGAAGACATTATGAGACGTCATGCTCTACTAACAGCAAAAAGACGCACCGCTTCAGAGGGTAGCATGAACAGTTTTGATAAGCTTGTGGATAGCGAAGGGCGGCTAAAGGACACTACAGTCTTTGATAAAGAGCCCGAGAACACAGTCTCCAAGTCTTCAGGCATCGAACTGCCTGATTTGTCCCGGGTGGTGCCTGTGAACGTACAACAAGGAGATACAAACGCTACTTCTCATTCGGTGTCCATGGTTATCCCAGACATTGATCCAGACCAACGCCGTGCTCTTATTGAGAAATTGCAGTTGAATACATCTTTTGCGTCCACGCTGGACTCGGAAACATCCTCCCACCATCCATCCGAGTCTCTAGTGAATTTAACCCCAACTTCCGAATTCCCTGATGCGGATTTCCAGGCTTCTATTCACATAAGCGAACCAGGTATACCCGCTCAGGGAGGCTCTCCTTCAGCATCACATACGGAAGACGGAGAGCCGGATTTCTACTATGCTCACCCTGATCATCATAACCAAGCGATTTCCCAGGCTGGCGGAGTAATTTTTGATGCTGACGGCAGTCATACCCCAGTCACTCAGCCATCACCTGCACCTTCGATTGCTTCTAGCCTCAGCCACATCAACAACGACCCCTTTGAATCTGTCTCGGACGACTCGATTAGTGATATTGTTCGATCGCGAGATGGAGTTTACACACCTGTCAGCTGGTCTGAAGTTGGGAGTGTTACTAGTAGCAATGATGGAGGTCATGCATGAACAGCATATTTGTTTAAAAAAGGATATGGACCAACAAGACATATCATTTATTTTTATTTCCCTTTTCAATCCCGCGTGCATGGAAGACTCGGGATTTTTCAAACTCGTGTCAACTGTCCCTTTTTGTTGATTTCAACATATTCGGTGTCCTGGATTTAACAGGCGCAACACTATAGGATCAGTCTTTATATTTTTCGTTGGAGTTCAGGAACTACTGGTTTGGGAGGATTTTGACCATATCTTTCATCTTATCAATCATAGTGTTCATTAATAGCATCAGCCTAGCCCAAGTTTTATTTATTACCACATACCAATGGTTTTTTTCAATACAAAATTTATCTTATTGAATTCCCGCCTGCTGTCTCATTCGAAAAAGAAAGTGATCGCGGAGCTACATATATGCCGAGGAATATAAATGCCCAGAAGCTTTAAATAACCACATACGTCAGTGACCAAGATTGTCTCACTCCGTAATCAAGCTTGTAATAGAAGCTACAGCTTTGAGTTGTGCTGAACCATGGGCTAAGAGCAGCTTATATAGGCTCAGTGGCAGTAGGGACAGCACGCGACCACATAAACCATTGCTGCTGACGGTATGGAAAGACAAAGCACATACGGCAGACTCTATTCTCTAGCAAATATATTGTTATTCACTGCTTGTGTATAATATCGATAGGGGCCGGTACCCAAAGCCATTATTAATTGAAGACAGTCAATACTCCGTACAACCATCCTTGGGAGCAGCCCAAGGAATCAATTTGGGTGGCACTACTTAGGTCATTCGGCAGCAAGTGCCTGTTTGAGAAGCCAAAGTGTGACAGCGCAGGCGGGTATTTGCTATGTGAAAATGAAGACCTTCAGAGCGTTCATGTTTCTAATGTCGTTCTTTATGACCTATGCTACCATGGCTGTTTCAAAATCCAGCTCCGGACCGGTGAAAGGGAGACTGGGTAAATATTTCAATGAGCCTGGAATGGATGACAGCCTTCGTCATTATGATATCAGGTTCTTTAATGGGGTGGTGAAGTCTGCGGACCGAGTGGAGATCTTGACAGATATGATTCGAGCATATCTACAGTTTTTCCGGGAAAATGGGTTGGAGACCTGGATAGCTCATGGGACACTCCTAGGCTGGTGGTGGAATGGAAAGGTAAGACCTATATCCAGTGCAAATTGTTGTGTTTATATGGGTTGGATCTTCCGTAGTAGAGGCTGACTTACCTGGATGTTGATAGATGCTTCCTTGGGACTGGGACCTAGACACGCAGGTCAGCTCTGACACCCTTATATACCTTGGCGAATATCTAAACCAAACGGTCTACAATTATACTGGTATCAAGTCAGACAACAGGAGGAAACGTCAATACCTGCTCGATGTCAACCCGGCCTCATGGGACCGGCACCGTGGTGACGGCCAAAACGTCATTGATGCTCGATGGACTGATATTTCAAGTGGCATCTTCACTGATATCACAGGAATCAGCGAGCTTAATGATACAGAGGCAGGAGTACTAAGTGACAAAAACTTCCACCAGTACCGAAATGCGGACATTTATCCTCTGCGTCAAAGCACTTGTGAAGGGGTCTCTGCAAGCGTTCCATTTAACTATATCGATATCCTTGCCACCGAGTATGGCAATGCTTCTCTCTGGAGAGTTACATACGAGAAGTAAGTTGGTGCCTTTAGCAGGTTGATGGTTAACAGACGGGTGCTGACCTGCCATACACAGCCATTCCTGGAGCGATGTATTGCAAGAATGGATTCCATTTTCTTCCTAGATTGACCGAAGAGCCATCCAGCAAAGGCATTAAATAGCCAAGGCCTGGGAACGAGGTTTTGTAAACCCACTAAGCTCTTTGGTGTATTTCAAGTGGTACGGCTTAATGATGGTGGTATTTTAGCGACGTTGATATATCTCGTAGTCTGGAATAGTGGAATACATTGATTTTATCGGTACCAGGCCTAATATCCTGTACACCGTACACCGTACAGTTCTTCTTTTCCAGTGTATATTCAGTCGTTCGTTCATTGGAATATCGATGGATCTTTACCCTGACTTTGGCTAAAAATAACAAGGTTTAGCTTTGAGCCTCGGCAACCCTTAAGTCCACCTTAAAACCGATATATGATTACTAAGCCAGGCACTCAACGGAACGACCACCAAACTTCGATATCTTTCTACAAACGAAAGCCGACAAAGCGTTAGGATGAGACGAATCATCCGTATATAGTTGATATATTGATTGCGGGACAGCAGTTATCTGCAACACTTAGGCTTATTATAAGACATCCATCCAACTAATCGATAATGGACTTCAGTGATACGCAAAGCCGCTCAGACGAGCAAGGCAACATCAACATAACAGTGCACCATCAAAACAACGCTCACTCCATATCGTTGCCATACGGCTCGACGCTTCAAGATCTTTCAGATGTACTTTCAGAGAAATTATCCATTCCATCGCAGAATCAAAAGCTACTTATCTCACCGAAACCAGGGCTACAGAAGCCTCCGTTTCATCCAACGTCGTTATCCTCCTTACCCTTAGACTCCCCTCGAGCGAAGATAACACTTCTGGGTAGTACCAGCAGGGAAATAGAGTCCCTAAAGCGACCTGTGTCTTCATCTCCGGTCCGGAAATCAATAATAAAACCTGCGAAACCATCTACACGCTCGACACAACCGTCTTCTTCCTCCCATTATACGTTCCATAAGCTACTTCCACTTCCCTACCTACCCAACCCCGAACGCAGCTATAATTTCCTTGCGCGTCTACGAGATGACCCTGGAATCCGCACGGCGATGGCTCGCCATCGATTCTCGATACCTTTACTTACTGAAATGGACCCGGCACAGCATACGACGATGTCATCTCGTACGCTTGGTCTGAACCGGAATAAAGGGGAGGTTATTGAACTTCGCCTTCGAACGGATGCATATGACGGCTATAGAGATTATAGGACCATACGAAAGACACTTTGTCATGAACTTGCACATTGCGAGTTTAGTGATCATGACCGAGATTTCTGGAACTTGACGGGACAGATTGAGAAGGAAGTAGAAAGAGCGGATTATTGGGGGAATAAGGGCCGAAGCGTTAGTGATCAAGAATTTTATAATCCCGTTGACTGGGAAGATATGAATGCTCAGGGGGTCGTGGACCACGGCGGTTGGACTGGAGGTGAGTTTGTCCTTGGTGGTTTATCTGGGGAGTCGAGTGAGACGCCCTCGACAAGTTCTCAAAAGGGTCTGAGTAGAAGAGAGATTCTGGCCAACGCCGCCGAGGCTCGAATGGCGAAGATGAAGTCTCCGGATCACTCTGAAGATAATTCCGACAATAGGGACGCAGGAAATCCCTAATAAATATAATTTATAATATCCATATTGTTGGAGCGTGATTCATGAATTCTATATATCCAAACAGCAATACTAGCCATCCTTAACATTTAATGGAAAGAAGATAAACGATTTACTGCTCATTAACAAACAAACCAGCCATTCCTTGTCCAGTTCCAATGCACATACTGGTAACCAGGATCTTTGCGTTTTGTCTCTTTGCCTCGTTCATGATAGTGCAAACTTGTCTTGTACCTGTGCAGCCAAGTGGGTGGCCGAGGGCAATGGCACCTCCGCAGGGGTTAACCTTAGCGTGGTCAAGGCCGAGGGTATTGATGCAGTAGACAGCCATGGAAGCAAAAGCCTCGTTGATCTCAAAGATATCAACATCTTCCTTGCGGAGGTTGAACTTGGAGAGGAGCTTGGGGATTGCAATAGATGGGCCAATTCCCATGATGCGTGGAGGGACACCGGCAACGGTAGCACCGACAAATTTGCCGATGATGGGCTGGCCGAGTTCTTCAGCCTTGGAACGCTTCATAAGAAGAACAGCAGCGGCTATTAAACCATCAGTATTTCAATCTTAAATACGATGCACAAAAAAATAGCTAAGTACTCACCTCCGTCAGTAATTTGACTGGCGTTACCACCGGTAGTTCTGTTACCGAACTGAGGGAAGGCTGGGCGAATCTTGCTCAATGCCTCGTAGGTAGTTCCGTATCTTGGACCTTCATCCTTGGTCACAGTGACCTGCTTAACCTCTCCAGTCTTAGGGTCCTTGACCTTGGTAGTAACTGGAATGATCTCGTTGACAAAATTCCCAGCCTTCTGTGCAACTTCCGCACGACGGAAGGACTCAACGGCATATCGGTCCTGAGCCTCACGCGAAATGTTAAAGTCAGCACCAACATTCTCGGATGTCTGACCCATAGGCTGAGAGCAGTCGGCAGCATCCTGGTTGGCGAGAACTTCAGGTGCAAATGGAGCGGGCTTTCCGGTGGGACCCTTGGTCATGGACTCAGCACCAACGGCGATACCGATCTCAATGGATCCATTGGAGATCTGGTTGGCAACATCTTGGATGGAATAGAGGCCGGAAGAGCAGAATCGGCTGACGGCTGAGGCACCGGATGTATAGGGAATTCCAGCAGCGAGAGAGGCAGCACGGATGATGCTGGATGCGCGTTCGTTGTTCGACTGTTAAATCACAGATTAGCTGCTCTGACCAGGCCGTAATGTATGATATAACAGCAAATTGAAAGTTGGCTTCCTTACGCATCCCATGACAACATCCTCTATGACGGTTGGGTCTAGCTTGGAGCGAGAGACCACTTCCTTCAAAAGAGAGTATACGATATAATCGAGTTCCGTATCCTTGAAGCTTCCCTTGAAGCCTCGGGCCATGGGGGTTCGTGCGGCAAGGGTAATGACAACGTCATCGGGGTTCTTCTGGGTACTGCACGGGGTATGTTAGTGAAAATTCAAGCTCATGAACCCATATTCAACCTGCACATGCATATAACAGCCTAGGGCGTAGGGACCTACATTTTCTGAACAGCGCTGCTTCCGCCAGAAGCAGGCTTGAGCTGAGCTAGAACAGCGTTTAGTCTTGCAGTAGCCATTTTGATAGGGATATGTTATATATGTATGCCGTAAAATAGAAAGAAAAGTATGTAGGTTCCAAAAGGCGATGAGAGAATGGAGAAATAAGAGAAATGGAGGGGACCTCGGAGCTATATATGCAGCTAATACGAGCCGAAACTAGTTGAAAAGCCAGGGATAAATTGCGGAGCGCCGTCGCCTAGACGCCGTAGAACCAGGCCGGTAGATCAGATATATCACAGAGAGTGCGAATATGTGATTTTTCAATCTAGAGAGAGTATAGAAGGAGGGAATGTGGCCTTGTTGGTGGTGCGATATTTATAATAACGAAGACTGAGACTCGAAAGGGCGGAGGTTGCTTTTGATTGCCGCGAAAGAGCCGAGGTAATTACCTCTTTCGGCCATCACCCTAAACGCCGAGATAAAACCGGGAAGCGCAAAGTAGAAGAAACAAAAAGTATCTACGAAAGCTGCTAAACGATAAAATTCTAGTGAATTCATTCTGTATTCCTCTATCCGTGTAATTAAAAACGATTTTAACACTTTTAACCCTTCTGTTTGTTTGTTCATTATACCTGCCAACCAGGCGAGAAATGGGCAAGAGGACAGACGACCTTGGTATTGGAAAAAAAAAGAGGAAGAGAAAACAGCAAATGAAAGCAAAGCCGTAGCGAAAAAAAGCCATTGCATTGTAGGAACATATGAAACATGGGAATGGCAGAGGGGAAGCGGTAGGATGTGTTAAGTAGTGCAAACAACAGCCTCCAAGATGTCGTGAATGCTAAAGAAAAAGTGGAAAGGTCATCCGTCTCATAAACATTTTTCTCATATGCGTGCGTTTGTGCGTGCGTCCGGTTTACTCGACTTCCTCCATCTTGGAGTCGCCGTTCGCATCAGCATCGTCCATGCCGGTGTCACCCTTGATTTCAATGTGCTTCTTGGGGGGTGCTGCTTGTCTTTCAGCCTCGAGCTTGTCGAGGTAGCGTTGCACAATTGGTCCAGCAAGGAAGCGGAGGTCATCCATCTTGGACATGTAGACAGCCTTAGTGGTGTCTTCGCCTTCCTCATAGAGCCAATCCTATAAACCCATGTTAGTAAAAATGGTCTTATAGCTATACTTTATGAGAGCCAACATACCTCGGTGGTGGTGAGTTTGGTTTTGAGCTTCTCTTTCTCCTCCTCACTGGCGTGCTCAGCATAGGCGCCATCAATCTTATCTCTAAGCTCATAAATGAACGATTCAAGCTCGTTCTTCTTGTCTTCGGTATCGGCAACGAGCTTGTCCTCCATAAACATGGCATTCTCCTTTTCGGTCAGCTTCTCACGGACAGCAGCATCAAGTGAAGCAGATCCGACAACGACCGGGAGGTCTCCCTTGCGGAGCTGCTTCTTAACCTTGCGCGTCTTTGGTTTGGCTTCCGCCTCACCGTTGGCATCGTCTGTATCCATGGTCTGTTTCCATAGTTTTCTTATGTTAGAAAACACGCTCTTTGTCGTAATAACCGGAAGGGATATGAGTTAGCGGCATGGGGTAACGCCGGCATAATGGATGTACTTACCTCGCCTTCTTTCTTCTCCTCAGGAATAGGTTCCTCAACCTCAACATCCTCAACGTAGTATCCAGATTCAATGTTCAGGATACCGTGCAAGTTAAGTCTAGCCTTAAGCTTACAGATCATGAAGTCGGAGTTGGCATCAGCGGTAACACCCTTAACGGAGAAGCGTCCAATCCAAGGGTTGGTCTTGCCAGGAAGCATGTCTGGCTTGGAGTAGCGGGCTTCTAAGTCAAATGGCTGCTTTCGGTAGAAAGTAAGGATCTTGGTGGAAGGCATGATGTTGCCTTTGTTGAAGACGGTGAGGGAGGTTGCCTCGTCTGGGATATCTGGAGATTGCTCCCAGGTAAATTCGATGGGGTAGTTGATAACGTCGTGCACGGAGAAGTCACGGACACGGAAAACGGGAGATAGGATAGCACAGCTGAAAGCACAGCCACGGGCAACGGCCTCATCTTGGTTAAGGGTGAAGGAGAGCTGCTTGCCGAAGAACTTGCTGATGGCATCCTTGATAGAGGGGACACGGGTACATCCACCGACCATCTCAATGCTATCAATCTCCTCGGGCTTAAGGCCAGCCTCGGCGAGGGCCTGCTCAAGAGGAACAGTGATACGGTCAAGGAGTGGCTTGATCATCTCTTCGAGCTCCTCACGCTTGACCATAGCACGGACATCGACATCGTTCATGATGGACTCAATGCTGATGGGGGCTTGGGCATTAGCAGACAGGATCTTCTTTAGCTTCTCGGCAGCTGTATAGGATCGTGCCATGGCCTTGGGGTTGGTCTTGATATCAATCTTATATTTCTCCTTGAACTCCTTAGCAAGGTGATCGACGAGGGCCTTGTCCAGAGCTCTGCCTCCGAAATGACGGTCCCAGGCGGTTCCCTTGACGTTAAGCTCTCCCTTCTTGAACTCAACTATGGCACAGGAGTAGTTGCAGTGGCCAATATCAACGAAGGCGACACGTCGAGGTGTCTCGCCCTCAGCTGGAAGATCCAACTTTGTGATACCATAGCCAAGTGCAATGGCGGTAGTGTCGTTGATAAGACGGAGCATGTTCAGGCCGGCAATCGCGGAAGCATCAATGAGTGCACGGCGCTGAGAGTCGGTGAACCATGGCGGAACACTGACGACGACATCAGAAACAGGCAGCTTCAGCTCTGCAGATGCGGTGGACTTGATCTTGGAGAGATACATGGCAGCAAGCTGGGTAGCAGAGAACTGCTCCTTCTTGCCCATATAGGTAACCTCAGCACCAGCCTCGCCATCAACATCAACCAGCTTGGAAGAGCAGAATTCCTGCTCCAACTGGACATCTGGGTCGGAGAATTGTCGTCCAACGAGTAGCTTCAAGGAACTAACGGTGTTCTTCAGGTTGGAGATCTCTTGTGTTTTGGCTGATTCACCGATGTATCTGCTCTTTGGGCCAAATCCAACGAGGGACGGGGTGGATCGGTTGGAAACTTCATTTGTGACCTAATGGGGTTCGGCAAGACAAGGGCCTTTGGTCAGTGAGAGATGAACCAAGATTTCTAGGAGGGGGACAAGCGTACAATATCAATACCCTTATTCCTGGCAACACCGATTTTAGTGCTGAGGGCACCAAAGTCGATACCAACGACACTCATGATGGCGAAATGTATGCGTTAATATTCGTGTATTTGAGCTATCTGTAGTTATAAAACAGTTAGCAAACAATGCATTCCACCTGCATTCACAGAGCACATAAGATAGAATTATGCAAGTCAAGAGGGATGGGAAGGCAGTAATCGGTGTGAATGGGAAGAGGTGAGTTTTAGGTATGGTCACAATATGGCAGCCCCTTTAGGTGCAAGTGAAGTAGCGCCACACACACAGACACACAACACAGGGCCGTAGATAATAGCAATGGCACTCTTTCTTCACATTCAGGCTTCTATCCTTGCTCTTGGTTTCCTTGGTTTCCTAGTTGATATGCCAGAAGATTGGTAGGGGACGTGAGAGAGGTGGGCGGTTGTTGTTATATCAACGTAGGATATAGCCGTGTCTCCCTCCCCCTTCACCTTGAACCATGCAAGTTGAAGCCATAATGGAAGAATATACTTGCACATCCCTTCTCAACACCTTTTAGAAGCACCCAGGGTCGCAGCAAATACGCCATAGAGGGATGTCGACAGCCAAACTGCGCTTCAGATAGCGATATCAAAGTCGATAGCTATGGAGGGGCAATCTCAAAAAAAATATGGCGGGCGGTGGACAAACAACAAAAAGCAGATCCCACTTACTTTTCCGTTTTCTTCTGATTCTCTTCTCTCCGGTCAAAAAGAGATAGCGAGTCCAACTGTCTGTGACGGACACTCGGTAGGTCGACGCTCTCTAGTACAAGACAAGCCGTTGCGTTGCTGTTGCTTCTTGGGGGGGAGTCCTTTTTATGGGCGCAGAGAAACAAAAAGGCGGCTTTTTTTATTTTATTTTATTTTATTTTTTCTTTTTTTTTGTTCGTCACAAAAATTTCATCTTTTTTACACTTTTTGCTGGCACTTTAAGCTTGGCATCACGTGATCGAAGGTTCTGGTTTTTACTAGAAGCAAAAGGACGAAGAGAGATTGATAGAGAAGACGTCGAGGACGCCTGGTTTTGGTAGATGAAGGAGATAGACACAGAGACGGTCAGACAGGCAGGGTACTGTAAGAGAAGGCATCTATGATAAGTCTACTTTTAAGTATCGAACAAAAAAAGGGAGAAAGTGAAGAAACAGAAGGTGAAAACTAAACATCCTGTTTACTGCCATATGAATCTAGTTAGGTCATTTCTTCGTGATGCCGCCTGGCGGAGGCTTGCTTAGGCGCTTTCGTTGCCGGCCCCTTTTCTCCTCTGACGTCCCTTCATCGTCAGTCTCCAGTGCTAGGCTCTCGCGGACAAGGCTGGAAGAGTCACGGCTGCGTGTTTCGAGGACAGGGCCGTCCGAGCATCGTCTGGTGCGTGAACTTCTTGCTGTACGGGCTCGGCAGGGGCGTTCAGGGCTGGCAAATGGTGCGTTTCCCAGTGGGCCGTCTGTGGTAGGGAATTCGTAGGATTGTCTCCTTAGACTCGATGGGGAGCTACGGGCAGGTGAAACTGGCCGGCTGGGGAAGTGGCCCAGCTCCGAATCGCTCATGGAGAACTCACGGTTGCCGAGAGCTGCGCTCCGTCGGGCTATCTCTATCTTCTTATGATCTTCGGCACCCATGAAAACGCTATCCTGATTCTGGTCAATAAGATACTCAACGCCACATGGCCAGCCTATAGACGTCGCCCTCGAGCCTGTAGTAAAGGTAGAGTCCAAAGAAAGCCGGGACTCCAGGCCAGCACCGTTGGTGAAATGTGTAGGGAGGGTGAGCCCCGATGCATTGGTATTCTGGTAACATCCATTTGGACCCAGTATAGGGGCAGTGAATCGACCTTCAGCACCCTCAGGGGGCTGGACTGGAACTGGATCTTTGCCTTCAGCCGTAGGGGGGAACGTATCTAGGTCTACGTTAAGCTCATCTCCAGCAGCCTCAGCTTTGTCAGCTGCTTGAGTTGGCGATGTGTTGTCGTCAACAGCCGCTGCGTCTGCTCGTGGGCCACCCCATGTTCGTTGCCCAGCTGTGAATATACCGTTAACCATGTAGAGCCAGTTGAAAAATGGGTTTAAAAGGAACATGATTGGGTATAACCAAGCCTTGAAACGGCGAAGCTTCAATCCAAAGTAAAGCATGAGCAAGTAATTCAATCCAAGAGATACCGCAATGAACCCAACAGGAAGATTTTGAATCTTATTAGATGTGGTAATTACCGAGATCACCATTATAAAGAAGAGTAAAGCCGTGGTTCGGATCGTGTTCTGCATGAATCGGACAATACATAGCAGTGGATATCGATACCATAGCCTCGCATCCGTAAGCATGCAAACTTCGTTGGTAATAAAGCCTAAGAACCAACGCCTTCGCTGCTTCAACAAACTCCTGAAAGATTGAACCGCTTCCGTTTTGCAAAATGCGCTGGTACACATCTGAATCTGGTATCTCTTTCTAGCCCCGATCATAAATAGATGCGTGAGCCATCGGTCCTCTCCCAAATGGCATTTTCCAAAGTCAAATAGATCGGCACACTGCTCGGCTTTATCTGCAAAGTAGTACTTTGCCATCTTCCGGAATGCGGAGAAACGAAGCATCGTGAGAGCTCCAGGGAGGCACGTAACGGCACCGCATCCAGACTCCACAGATCGTTCAAACAGTTGTCCATGAATATATTCCATGTCTTGCAATAGTGTGATCAGGGTGGTCTTTTTCGTTGTTGATGTAATCACACCGGTCATTGCCAGCATATTGTGTTTGCTCCCAGGCTTGAGTTCCATGTCATACATAAAATTCTGCAGACACACACGGTCGAGGATACAGTCCGAGTCAATAAATAGGACGAATAGATTGTCGTTTTGCAACAGATATTTGGCGTAGACTTTGTCGATCAGTCGAAATGTTTGTTTCTGACAATGACGCTTCCCTCCATGCTTGAATCGGGATAGCGTGACCCTGGCACCTTTGTATGAAACGTCTATACTGGTTGGGTATTTCTTAAGTCCAGATGGGATTCCAAGAAAGCCTGCAACAGCGAGGTACGATTCATCCACTTCGTCACCATCATATGAGAGGAACACATGGATGCATTGAGGAGGGTAGTCACAGTCGACGACGGAATTCACAGCTTTGAGTAGAACTTCAGGCTCCTCTTTGTACACTGGCATAACAACGACAGTTTTGGGTGCAGTCTTATCATCGAGGACCTCCTTGATGCGTTTGGTTCTACCTAGAGAATTCGTAACAAGTCTATAGACACAGAACAGCCACGGAACGATGAGCAGGACTGCGAAAGTCCAAAAGGCAAACCACTGTAGAAATGACACCAGTTCATGAGGAAAGTACTGAGTTATCACAGGCGGTAGCGGGAGTGTGACGACCATGACTGGAAGGAAAATGCCTCTAATTCATCCTTATTAAATCTGGCAGCCTAAGGGGAGCTTCGAGGCGGAAGAACTAACCTGAGCGCAGTGAAAGCTATCATCATGATTATTGCGAGGAATTTCACACTGATATGTTCTGCTTTCACGAAGACTTTGTACAGGCAGTATAAGAAGGCCGCAAGCCATAGAAACCATTCTAGGAAGGCCGCAAGCATGACAGGCCCTATAATTGCCACGTATATGATCTAGATAATGAGTACAGCATTAGCTCATACAATCATCTCTTCTTGAGAGCCATGGGACAACTGGATAACATACGTCCTTGATAGGCCATTCTGCCAACAGCTCGTCAGAGTTTACCATCGTAGCGTGGATGAAACGGCGAACCTCCCGCCCTTCCTTTCAACAAATCTCGTGAACGGCTTGCCAAGTGAATATATAAGAACGCTGTCTCGCTTTCGAGGTTCAACAGAGGGCTCGACTCCCACCCGTTATTGTAACAGCTCTCTCCTCCCAGGTATTGCAGTCTCCCCTACAGGAGGCAGGAGACGTGATGGAGGGTCTCAGGTCTTACGCTACGATTGGTAGCTAAGCTTTTTGGCGGCGTATCTTGGTATCTTTGTCACTTGCGTATGGTGTGTGTTGGTGTAGTTCTTTTGGCGCTGGGTGAAGAAGCTCGTCCCGTTTTGGTATCAACATCGACACACCTCAAAGGACGACTGTTGCAACCACCGCCGTCAACTCTCAGAGCAAGAAGAATAAAGAAGGATAAATAAAGAAAACAACTGAGCGCCGGCCAACTAGAATCACTAACTAGCCACACTTCGAGCCTCGAACCGGCGGCCAGCGTGGTAGATGACTACTAGGTGGTTATTCCAGCAACTAGCACAAAGAACACCGCCAGAGGAATATCCACTGGTGCGGGCCAGCAGTCTGAGTTAAATAGTTGATATCAAGGGAGAGAAAGCGCGGGTCGCACCGCGCGGGTTGCAACCTTTTGAAAAAGAAAAAGAAGCCCAGAGACAGAGGACATGATAAGTACAATTCCTTGGGCAATCGCGATGGAGATGTTTCACTTTCCGCTGGCCAGCACGCCGTTCTGGGGCTGCAGTGAGCAAAAAATAGTATACAGCAATGCTAACCAGGGGGCTTTTCTCTATTCTTCCAGTCAGACATGACGGATCTCGTTAGCTGCTTGCGTGACAGCCATACCCAGGCATTTTTCAGAGCCAGGGTCCTCCCCACGAGCCCTGATCAGCCCACAGATAGAGCCAACAAATCATAGGACATTTTGTTCTGCAATTGGATTGGGGGAGGGTAGATCGAGGACAACTTGTCCGTTGCCACTACTAGTCCGTATAACGCAGAGTCGGAGGGCATGTCTCAGATCGATCTTTTAAGACAAACGGCGTTGGCGAGTCATCCACGTTGGGCTTTGCTGGCTGTCAAGGTTCCCTCCGCCAGCCGGCCGGAAAGCCCAATCAAGAGCAACGGTCAGGTTGCAGTGCATCATCGCAGACGATCGGTGCATGATTCCAGAGTCAAGAGTCAATTGCTTGATTCTGGTAGAAGGGCGTCATCACCAATCAAACATAAGTTATGCCAGGCCAACCCAGTCGCCTTGAGCATCTCGGGGCATTTGCATCTCAGGAAATATATGCATGGCTTTCTTTTCGTATCTCCGGCTCTTTTATATTTACTACTTTAGTTGCTTTATTAACTCCGCGCAAATGGAGCCTTTTATCGATAAACGAGATAGGGAGGGAAAAATACATATGCGTCATGTATTGTAACATCCAGCAATAACACGTGTTTACCTCCGGTGAAATATTCGTATTGATATTACAACACCCAGAAAGAACTTTGTGTGTCATTCATTTTTTTTTCTTCGCAGCTTCAAGCGCGAAGCTTTTTGCTCATCTTCAGGCAAGACAACTAACTACTGGAAGGGGCACTGAGCGATCACTTCGACTGGGAGACAAAACAATTTCGCAACAGGTATCTATATCTATTCTGGTTTATTTCTGTGCCCTTTTGAGTGTCCAGAGCCCCGCACAGACGGTGGTAGAGACGTGATATCAGTTTTCTAGTCTTTGAGGCTCAAGCAGCTAACTGGATAACCATTTCTACTGGACCAGCACCAGGCCTATTTCCAGGATACAGTTAGAATGGCAGAAGAGCAGAAAGTAGCCGCGACCGTGGACGCTACCGCCGAAAATGCGGCTGCCGAGCAGGATGTGAAGGAAGTCCTGGCTGAGCTCAAGGACGACGCCAGCAAGCCAGACAGCGCTGACGCTGAAAAAGCCGAGGAGGACAAGATTGTTGCGGCTGCTAAGAAACTAGGCGAAGAAGCTCTGTCAAATGAGACTGCATCAGAGACACAGAAGGGACGTGGAAGCGGCCGTGGTCGTGGCCGTGGAGGGGTGCGCATCAATTACCGTGACAATATCAAGTCGGACCCTTCCTCCCTGGAGGAGACAGATGATCCGACTGAGATTAGAAAACAGGTGAGTTTAGCCATTGCCTTTTTACTCCCGCATGCGGTTTTGCTTTTACTAACTCTTTGGTAGGTTGAATTCTACTTCTCTGACTCCAACCTCCCAATGGATAAGTTCCTCCTCTCCAAAGTTGGTGGTAGCGAGAACAAGCCCGTCGAGCTCGCTCTTCTTCATTCCTTCAAGCGAATGCGCCGCTTCCAGCCTTTCAGTGCCATTGTCGAAGCCCTCAAGACCTCAGAGCTCGTCGAACTGGTAGACGACGACAAAGCTGTGCGTCGCAAGGTTCCTCTCCCAGACACCATTAAGGAGACGGCCGATTCATCAGCTGTCAAAGTCTTCGAGGATAAAGCCATGCATCGTAGCATTTATGCCAAGGGATTCGGCCCAGAGGAGCCCAGCACCCAGTTCGATATTGAAGCCTTCTTTACCCCCTACGGTCCCACCAATGCCGTCCGTCTTAGACGCGCCATGGATAAGACATTCAAAGGTAGCGTCTTTGTCGAATTTGAGACCGAGGACCTCCAAAAGGCATTTTTGGCAGTTGAGCCAAAGCCAAAGTGGAAGGGGACCACAGAATTGCTTATTAAGAGCAAGAAACAGTACTGTGACGAGAAGATCAAGGAGATAGAAGCTGGCCGTCTCAAGCCTAGTGACCGGTCTGGCGGAAGAGGTGGTCGGGGAGGCCGTGGAGGCCGCGGAGGTCGTGGGGGTCGCGGAGGTCGAGGCGGTCGTGGCGGTGGCCGGGGCCGTGGTGACCGAAACAACGGTGACCGTAACGGAGAAAGAGAGGAAGCCCAGGCAAAACGTCCAGAGCCTGAGAAGGACAGCCGGTATGTTTTTTCATGTTCACAATTGGTGTGTTACAACCTACATAGACACAATTCTGACTTGGTCTTTTGTTATAGCGGCGTCCCTGTCATCCAGGTCTCTAGTGACAAGACTGAATCCCAACAGAATGGAGGTACTAATGGCCAGAAGCGCAGCCGTGAAGAAGACTCCGGGGCAAAGGCCAACAGCAATACCGAGGAGAGACCAGCTAAGAAGGTTGATGCTAAAGACAGCTAAGCATTGTTCTTCTCTCTCGCCATTTGCTTCACATCAAGCCTTGATCATACCATATCGAAGATATCAGTATATCTGAGAATAATTTCCAAATTACATTTTCCTGCACCCTACTGCCAAACCTTATTCATTTCATATTGGCAGGTCTGATTTATTTGCATTTTATGTCAATTTCATTACACCGGCGTGACGGGGTTAACTTGATATCCAAGATGAAAAAAAGCTTACACAAAAATATCCGGGTTGGATCTGGCATTTCTCTTTTCTACAACGATGTATCTGTTTGTCCTCTTATCATGTATCTATATGACTAGGCCTAGTGGCATACAAGTGGTACCTTTGTTTCTCAGCTATCTAGCTATGCGTATCTACTGACTTAGGCGAGACTTTGTGACTTGGAAGGCGATTGGGAACCAGGTAGACAAGGACGCCCTATCGTCGTTGTATAGTATGCTGGTAAGTGCCTTTGCGCATAGAAGGCACATTACCATACCTGCAGAGAATATATTAGAAAATGGCAGGTAACAAAAAGCAGCCGAGACAGAAGAAGAAGGCATTACCATGTCCTTGAAATGAAGCTGAGATGTATAGGCCAGGTTCCCCCGGGATGTCACCAACCCACGGAAATCCATCGGTACTATATCCCATAATGCCAGCCCACTCCCGCCGTACTCTACCTTCAGTGTCGTCTTCACCCCAGTTGTCGCCAAAGAAGCTCTCCGTGCTGCTAGCTAGATAGCCGCTGATCTCTGGCGTAAGACTGGTATCATCTATTGTCCCATACTCATACAGGCCTCGACCTCTTCCTTTGGTGAACCCTCCCCCTATCACTATATCGCCGGGAAACTGGGAATCTTGGGGACGAGGAATCATGTAATCAAATCCGCCAGCATATACAAAGGAATACGAGCGAGGAAGTCCATCCTTGGGCATGCTTGCTCCGGGGCGTTGTGCTGTGACCTGACCCTTCAATGGCACAATCCTGCCCTGTAACGGCGGGTATAAGGCAGCCGTGTACCCGTTAGTCGCCATTATGACTTTAGAAGCCATCATCCGGCCTCGCGGAGTCGAGATGGCCCAGCTTGGTTCATCATTTCCGCCAGAACTCGAAGTAATTCCGATAACAGGAGTTCCAGTCTGCAGATTTACACCCTTTGCAAGACATAATTTCAGCACTCCAATAACAAATTTATATGCATTGATACTTCCAGCTTCGTAGGTAATGGCACCGACGGCTCCTTTGCAGAGAAACCTCTCTTCCGCGTCTTTGCTGCTCCAGAGGGTATATTTGCTAGCAGGGTCATCCTCTCCCATGGTTTTTCGCATTACATTAATGGTTTGCACCGACTCATCCCAGGCCTTTTGATCATAGATGATATCCACAGTTTCGAGTTCACGGCTATCACAAGGAATGCCATGCTCCCTAGCAAAGGCATGTACTTGCTTAATAGTATTATACTCGAGTCTCGCGATTTTGACTGCTTCATCTATGCCCACGGCAGCCGCATGTGTAGCAAACGTTATATATGAAGCTGCTTTTGTATGGCCTCCTATGTATTGTTAGGGGTTAGCATGGCTTTACTTTCGACTGTCTAGCAGGTGCCATGGTTGTATGTATACCATTCCGTCCACTTGCGCCGCTGCATGCTTGTCTGGCTTCAAGAATGACCACCTTTGTGTGCGGTGACCGTGTGAGAATGTTATATGCGATACATGCACCGCTGATACCGGAGCCGATGATAGCTATATCTGCATCTGGAGGAAGTTCAGCTGTTGAACGAAGATCAGCAATCCCATCTGGCGGGTCTTGCCAATACGAAACAGTCGGGTTTTCTCGTGGAAGCGTCACCGGTATCAGGGCTCTCTCTTCCATTTTTTATTTGAATATAGGCTCTGGGGATACACCTGCTAGTTGACTATCATGAGAATTTTGATGGACATATGGAGTAAGGTCTGTCGGGTTGCTAGATTTTGTTACCCCATGTTCAGCCTTTTCGGATTGCCATCACGAGTCACTTTATCGCCCAATTGGTTAACGGCCGAACGACTCAACCATGGCAAGAGAAAAGTCGCTCCAAAGCTTCTGGTCATAGCAACGCTCTCAAATGGTTATCAGCGAGCGGCCCAAATGATACCTTGAACGTATTAAACAGGGTAAAAGCACCGTCTCTGGTCGCTCTGCGCATGGAGTTTCATTACAACAGTCTACATTAGTTGGTTAGTGGCTTTACTATGGAAAGATCTGACTATGCCAACGGTACTATATAGACACAACTGACATCGACTTTGAGCGCTTGTTACGCCACTTGAATGTCTTGTCGGCTAGCTACCGACGAGCGGCTGCCTGGCTAGGCCTCTCAGCCCCTGCGGTAGGATTTCAAACTCTGCTGAATTATACATTGGATCAAACGCTGTCTTGATAGAAGATTGTCCCTCATCGTGCTGAGTATCCCCGTCCCTGCCACCAGAGACATGGCTCTGCTCTGGGTTCCCGGAAGTCCATGGCGAAAATACGACTTGCATCTGTCGTAGTCGTCCTCTATACTGGGAAGCGGGTATAAGTGTGTAGTCACTCCAAGACTCATCTCCCAAGGTAGCAAAGCTTTCCTGAGAGGAATTTGAGGACGGCTGGGGCTGTGTAGAATCCTGTTCTGTGTTTCGCTGAGCCTCATTCTCTTGAGTATTTCCAGATGGATCGGGGTCGTTTCGGTCGCTACATGTAACTGTATCCTTTTCATTCGGAGTTTCAACGATTCTGTTTGGAGCGTCATGGTTTGTCCTACGCATATCAATTTTCGAATTTTGGACCATTGGCATCGGTGAATAATTATCTGCTGGTTGAAACGAGTTTTTCGATTTCAGAACGATTCGACAGCCTACCTGGTTAGTCCATATAAGCCCTAACGCAGGGACTTTGAACCCTCTCGGCGTCCCAAGTAGTCCGTCACTGAGATATGAGCGAGGGGTTTGTGCCCAACCGGTAAAAAATGGCTGTTGGTAATCGAGGCTGAGAAGCAGATTAAAACCCGGGATATTGCAGATATCCTCTTTACTCTCACAAGGGCCCAAGTTTACTTGGGGCGAATTGGCAGAAGAGCCCCGTAGTAAATTATTCTCAACTGATTTTGGTTGCTGATAAGGCTGAGATGCTGGGACAAATGGTGGAGTAGCACTAGCAGAAGGCGTCTCCAGAGGGCTCCCAGAGCCGTCACGAGCTTCCTCTGGAAAGGGATCGCTAAGTGTACTTTCAAAGCCATCCGATATCTGATTAGCCACTACTATCGCAATATTATGTGTCACGGCCAAGGTGCGGAGGAAGTGGCCCAGCTTCTTTAATTGTCCAGACCGCTCAAGAAGCCCGGATACGTTCTCCGTAGAGCTTTCAGCACGGTAATTCGCTGTTATTGAGTCAATGATCACAATTCCTATGTTATAGCGTGAAATTGCCACCGGTATTTGATAGTTGATAATGTGCTCCTGGCTTTCAAGGTCGACGGTAGTAACAGAGTATATGTTATCCAGGGATGGACGAGGGGTATGAGGATGAAGGGCCTGGATAGTCCGGTGCTCATTCAAGAGTTGACTCAACCTATTTGTAGCAAGGTCTGACTCCGTTGATATATATAGTGCATTTTTTGACAGGCCATGGGGTGCGGGCAGCTGGACAGAGAGAAGCAGGTGGAGCAGAAACTGAGTCTTGCCAGCACCACTGTATCTGTGTTAGTTGTATTGCCTTGATTTGCGATAATAGAATAGTTCCCTTGGAATTGAGGGCGGTCGACGGGGTTTAATTCACCTTTCTCCGGTCACTTCAGTCAAATATCCAGTTGATATGCCTCCATTCAAAGCAGCATCGAGTACTGGATCTAGAGTGCTGATTCGTCCTGTTGCAGGTGGGTGAAGCACCTTGGGCGCGCTATTTCCAGCTACTGAAGGGCGGTCCGTCTCATCCGCGGCTCTGTCATCACTGTCACCTCTCGGCTTCAAATGGTACGTCCCATTATTATCTCGATTCTTTCGTGAACCGGCTCCTAATCCAAGATCCTGGCGGAGAGCATCAAGAACATGTGCCGTTAACTTTCGAATATCTGTCACTGGCGCGCGACAAGCCTTTGCAATCTCGAGGGCGTCAAGGACTAGCAGTTCCTTGAGCGTGATGCCAGCCCGGTCAAGCAGTGGTAGTAAGTGCGTGTAAGACTTGGTTGGGAAATCAGGCAGCGTCAGAGATAGGTCCATGGGCAGGCTTGAGGAGTGGGCGGAGGGCGTTTGAAGGCAAGCAGCTGTCCGCCGGAGGCTTGCATCATTCACGTACACGTCGTCTTCGCGGTGGTATAAAGTATTATTATCATTCGCGTATTGAAGCTATGGCTTGCTCAACGGTTGGCTTGCTATTTGTAATTGAGGTTCGAATTTAAACTCTTTGTACCCGGCTTGGCGGCCACAGAAACCTATAAAGGGTCATTCGGTCATCGTTGATGCCTGGTTGGTGAATAAACCGGAGCTTTTGAAGAGCTGGAGCTACTATACTTTGGAGCATGGTACGAGACAGATCGAATCAAAATTATATTTGCATAACTTGAGGAGCGCCGAAAGGGCCTGCATCACTCTACTGCTAGCTGGATTAACATGGCTAATATTTGCATATCAACTCCACAACGCCTGACTTGATTTCCAATAATGAAAGAGTCCGGAAACAGTGAAGTCATGAAAAGAGACAAAGAGAAAGGAGAATAACACATATGGTGACATCTCTTTTTTTGGCAGACAAGGGCTTGAACGACAAACATGTACGTCTATCAGGCAACTCAGTCTGCTCCACTAAATGTAAGATGATCCCTTTCATCACATTCAAGGATAGGGCGTTGCTATAAAAAAGAATCATTTTGGCGTCCAGTTATTATTCATTTATTTCAGTTCGTATCTTGATTTTGGAGATTCGGCCGTTGAAGCTTTGTTGGCTTGTGTCTTCAGTTGCTGACTGGCTTGAGAGTAGCAGGCTTGAGGCCGATGCTGTTACGGTTTCTGAAGAAGAGGACGGACTTGCCCTCACCCTTGGCGGTCTCGCAGGGCTCAACCCACTGGCAGCTTCGGAAAGAAGTCCACATAGCTCGAAGGAATCCAAGACTGCCATCCTTGGTGTCTGCGCGGTAGTGACGGCCCATGACCTTCTTGATGGCTTCGGTGGCCTCGTCGGCGTTATAGAAGGGGATGGTGCTGACATAGTGGTGAAGGACGTGGGTTTCGATGATACCGTGGAGGAGCTGACGGCCGATGAAGCCAAACTCACGGTCGATGGTGGCAGCAGCTCCACGGGTGAAGTTCCACGCCTCGGGCTGGTAGTGAGGGAGAGTTGGGTCGGTGTGCTGCAGGAAAGTGATGGCAACTAGCGAACGGTGTGTTAGCAAAACAGGCGAAGCTAAATCAGTACGAGGAACAGGAATATGCGAACATACCGAGCCAGTGGTTAACCCAGAGGTACGGAACGAAGTACCAGACGAGCATGTTGAGCCATCCGAACTTGTTTCCAAGAGTGTACAAAATGGATCCGACAATCAACAAGCCGAGATCGCTGAGCAAGATCAGCTTGGCGTCCTTGGACTCGTACAGTGGGCTGCTGGGGTTGAAATGGTTGACACCGCCGAAGAGGCCATTACTCTTGCCCTTTCCACGTCCTTCGCTCTGGCGTTCATGGCAGTTATGGCCAGTAACGTTGGTGATAAGGTACATGGGCCATCCGAAGAGCTGCTGGAGAACCATGTCGATAACGGAGTGGATGGGAGTCTCCTCAGTGAGTTCATTGAGCTCGTGGACCAAGCGGCCAACGCGAGAAGCGTATGCATCTCTTGTCTTGGGGACAAAGACCATGTCACGCTGCATGTTTCCAGTAGCCTTGTGGTGCTTTCCATGGGAGATCTTCCAGGAGAAGTATGGCACGAGTAGAGAGGAGTGCAAAACCCAGCCAACGGTGTCATTGAAGACCTTGGAGGTTGAGAAAGATTGATGGCCGCACTCGTGAGCCAGGACCCAGATACCGGTTCCAAACAGGCCCTGGATGAAGGTGTACAGTCCCCAGAGGACATAGCGGACCGGGGTCGAGGGAACAGTCTCGGGAGTGACATAATTGTGGAAGATATAGAAGGTGGTAGCAAGACAAGCAATGTCTCTCAGGACATACTGCATGCCACGGAAGCCATCACGCTTGTAGCAATGGGCTGGAATGGCTTCACGGATCTGCTGGATGGTGAAGTCTGGCAGCTGGAACTCGTTGCCATAGGTGTCGACCAACTTGCCGACTCCGGATTCCTGCTGGTCGTCAGACTCCGACGAGAGGGAAGTGTCGGATGCAGACATGTGCTGGGGAGTGTCCAGAGGCGAGACAGAGGCAGAGCTGGCGGAGGAAGAGGCCGCCATCTGTCTGCGGGTGGCAGCTTCAGCTGGTAGGGCGGTGGTGGCCATCTTATCAGCGGCGCGAGGAGTGGGAACTCAGTTAAAGAGATGAAAGAAGGTAGCGAGCCTTCACGTTCCGGAACAGACAGCTAAAACAGCTACTCCTTTGAAAGAGCACTCCGTCTTCCTACTATAGATTGGTTTGTTAGCATCTGCCGCATATCCTATATCCTCCTCTTCTTGTCGTTCACCCCCCTTCCTGGACTACTAGCAAAGGGCAGCCCTAAAAGAGATGGTGATAACAAGAGTCCTCCTGCTAGCAGATTGCACTTACAAGGAGACAGACCGTTACTGTGGGTGATAACGGTGAAGTTGCTAGTAAGACACCACTGCTCAATGTGTGGGAAGATGAGGTTGGTGTCTTTGATATCTTTCTTATTTATTTCTTCTCCTTCTTTTTCTTATCAAAAAAAAAAAAGTTGCCAGGGAAAAACTCTAAGTGGGCTCGGGTATTTTTGGTATTCGGGTATTGATACGAAGCATAATACAGAAGGACCTTCTCGATCGCCGCAGGGAAGGCAAAAAACGAGCGAGCTGCAGCTTTGTGCGACGGGCAAGCAAGATGCACCAGCTTATGCATAGCACGGAAAATTGCCATTACCCAGCCCTCAGTTTATTTCTACTTGTACGGCGTATGGTCTCCTCTATCCACAAAGTACTCCATCACTACGGAGTACCGCTTCTCGAGGGAAGTTGATGTAGGAGACACCTGTGTATTATAAACTGTTACAAGCATTACAGGCACAGATGTTTAATTCGACAACAAGCAAACCTTGTTTTGACCTCCGAAAATCTCTTTAATTTTTTTTGCACTTAGCGTGTGCCCCAAGCTGAGGTGTCTATGCTCAACCATGGAACCGCAAGAGGAGCAAGAGGAACAAGAGGGAAACGTACAGGGAACAGCGAGTCTTTTTCTCTCTGCCTTTTCCTCTGCTCGCCTCTTGCCACGCTTTTTGCTTCTTTCTCTTCTTTCTCTCCTTTCTCTCTGTGATAATCTTCAGCTGCCGTCGAAGTAGCCTTTTTTCTGCCCTCGTTCAACTCTTCACCGCCTTACCACCCCGCTAGTCAAGGCACGGCAGCTGCTTAATCATAGGCTTTTGCGATAAGATAATGTATTAATATTACCATCTTACAGGGCGCTTTCGCTTATGCATGTACGGTAACTTAGTATCTGTATGTAAATATCCAAAAATTGGATGTAATAGCGAGCTCTGATTGGCTCATTGTCGTATTGTTGGGATCTGTACTGCAAATACAGTGCGTGTTTTATTCAACAAAAAGCAGTGGTGCCCTTACTTAGTGCTGCAAAATAGCACTACAAGGATGCGGGAAGAGAAGGCGCCAATGGGCGTTTGGCGATTGCGCATCTCGAGGCCAGCAATGCATGTGGCTCCGAGGTTAATTTCTATATAAAAGACACAGGTAAAAAGTGGCATGACCTATGGATATCCATGGATGGCATTCGCAGGTAATCACACGTAATCGCAAGTAGGGAAAGGGGGGATCAGGCGACGGTAGCGTCGATTTTGCGCTCAGGGTCATGCCAGCTTCCTTCGACGGCATCGCCAAAGCCATCCAGGTTGATGGTCGTCATCTGAAGGTCGGCGCTGACTAGGACTGTCTCACCGTGGCTGCGGTAGTCTAGCTCACTCGAAATGGCCCTGCGCTGGCGAGGTGCAAAGCTACTGTCTGATTGCAGGTGATCACCTCCCGTAGGCGACGACAAGCGCTGCTGCTGCTGCTGCTGCTCCTCGTCTGGCCCGGCTGCAAAGGACTTAATGTCGACAGAAGGGAGGAGCAGATGGCCAGCTCGCTGGGGTAGAAGCAGCAGTGGGAACCGTTTCTCTTCGCCCTCAGCACAGGTGAAGTTTCCACGTCTCCGGCCGCCTACAACCCATACGTCTGGGCTAGCTATGATCTCGTATGTAAACTCGAGTGACGACTGGGCCTCCCGTTCGGCTGCCTCACACCAGCGTCTTGTGTGTCTGATTATCAACTCCGCAGGTATCATGTCATCCACGCCCACATGCGTCTGGCCTGGAGAAATATCCTTCAGCACCATTCTTGCATTATGGACGACCTGTACATCCGGGATGTCAACCGGGATGGTAATGTGCCGAACGGCATTCGCTGGTCGGTCATCTGGTAGGGGTATAGTCTTATTTTTCTATTTATATCGGGAGAAGCTCTCAATTAGCATGTAGGTCGCTTGGCTACTTAGCTGGGGGTAGGGGGCAAATGGAGACTTACATTATGCCACTGGTTAAGCCACTGCACCAGCTGTGTCTGTGTGCCACCGTCCATGCTGTCAACGGCCTCTCTCCACTGCATGCGTTCATAGCTATACACTTCTATTTCTCTCGTCAGGCCAATTGTTTCTAGCGTATGAGCTGTCCAGATAGCGCTAAAAGCTGTCTGCAAGAATGGTACCAGGAGCTGCTTCATCCCTGAAAAGGGACTTGCTTCGACATCCTTCGTGAACCGGTCTTCTAGAACCGACAGGCATTCTTCGTTCAAACAAGCAAACTCTATTGAGAGGCTCAACGGTCGAGTGGAGCCCGATCCTGTGTTGGGTTGGAAATCCTGCCGGGGTGTGATTTTGTACAACAATGAAGCTGGCTGTTTTGGGAACACGTCCATTATCTCACCCTCCTGGACACTCGTCTGTACTTCATATTTGTCAGAGCTCTCCATTCCACAGCTAAACACCCGAATAGGTATCAGCATTCCGGGACTTATGCTAAACCTAGAAAATAGCTGCTCATCCTGGAATAAGTCTTGAACGTTGACACTGACGGGCAAATTTGCTACAACCGAGGATGAGCCAATGTAGTCGAACTGCCCTTTGGAAGTTTCGTATTCAACTTCCACCGAAACTGAGAGTGACGTCTGGGTTCCTTCCATGCTATATGGCACCCGCAGCGTAGCAGTGGAGTCCCGGGCAAAGGAAGTGAAGCATATCTTGCTTTCCTTTATCTCCTCAGACAGCGTAAGAGGTCCGTCTATAAGTGAGCTTTCTGAGATAATGAGGCGTAGTCCGGCAGTCGCAGGCCTCAGTCGTAAGCAGCCAGCCAATATATCGTTCCAACCAGAACTCAATTCAATATCCAGGCTTCGATGGCCTACCAGGTTGATAGCTCTTGACTGGGAGACTTTCCCGATAAACGCTTCGACAGCAGGGAAACAAACCACGTATGGGCGGTCAGACTCAGACATAAGTGATTTGCTTGTCGTGTCCTGTAGTATATGTGATGTAGCCACCTGATTATCATAATCATGTGTAAAGACAATGTTCCCGGCTCGCATCTCAATTCGGTCAACATAGTATTTCCCATTTACTGTTGTCTATGGTTGCAAAACAAGAATTAGCACTTTTCATGAAGAATGACAATACACCAAAACTTACCGAAGAGTCAAGCAAGACTTTCGTTCCCTTTGACTTCACGACAATCGTTTTAGAGCTTTCCAGCCACAGTTCACTGTTTGGAATTTCTAACGCATTGATAAGCCGCATCTTAACATTGTCGATTTTTATCTTTTCCCCAAGAGCATATCTCAACAATAGCTGCGCCTGGAATCCATCTCTATCCTTGAAATGAGAAATCCCGGGTTGAACTTGGATGTCTCTAAAGAAATCTTTAATAAGAACTGGAAACGTTTTCGAAAGTGATTGTGAAACCTCAAAAAGATCCTCAACGTATTCCTCGACTTTGCAACCTATGGTAGGTTGCAATGTCAAACAAGGTTGGATGGTCGAGGAATATATTCCAAGTAGTCTTAGGAGGGCATAAACGAACTCGTCTTTGCGGTCCAACTGCTTCAGGCATCGACTATATAGCTCTACCATTGTGCCCTCTAACGTCTCCCAGCCATTGCTGCCGTAGAAATTGGAGAGCTGGTGGAAGTACGATGCAGCCAAGGCGTAGTCACCCATTTCATACTTCAGCAATGCAATATCAGCCATCATTATTTCCCCAGACTTGAATCGATTCGCCGCAACATTGTAGCGGAATATTTGATCTGTAGTCCGCTCAAATAGACAGTTGAATTTCTTCTTTGATTTAATAGACAAAGCCAGGCAAGGCGTTTCTACACCTCCTGACGTTGATACTACTGCAAGTCGTTTTTCAACTGTGGGCTCGTCATTCAAGGAAACATCAGTGAGGTCGTTCTTTTCATTGAGCAAGAGTGACATGTTATGCCATCTATTTCCCCATCCTCTCCTTCGTCCCAGTGCTCCCAATTGGCATCTGGCAAGGTGGTATAAATCTGCCTGGGCCGCAGCCAACTCAATACCGCCTGCTTTTTGTGGTGCAGGCATGATGGATCCCAAGGAGTTTAAGGTTAATGCAGAGCTAGGCCTTGAAGTAGGAGACATTAATGAACTGGTTCGCTGAGGAACGCCTGGCCTTGCCCCCGTGGCGAAGCTCGTGAGAACGGCCGCATCAACAAGGTCCTTGCCCGTTCTTAGCGAAACTTTGGGAACCTGGAGGCTCTTTGTCGATGTTTGGATAAGGACCTGAGAAACAGCTGCATATGCCCAGGATGCAACGATATTTGTGACAATATCCTCCTTTCTAGAAGGAGATGGGGTTTTTTCTAGTTGGGCCAGTCCAGTTTCAACATCTTTCCGCAGAGTTCGGCAAGCAAGCGTGATAAACTCGCTAGCTCTCTCACAGATCTCGGCAAGAAGCGCCAAATTATGCTTCTCCGCATTCTTGTATGTGCCGCTTTGACGATTTGATGGGGGAGATCGAGCGGCTTTGAGTAGAAGCAGTAACTGTCTGGAAAAAATGTAGACGCGAAAATCAAAGACCGATATGTTATTTGCGAGGATCATATCTCTGTATGGCTTTTGCTGGGGTTGGAGCGGAAAGTGATCTTGATCCAGTGCAATAGGGTTTGAGAAAAGGTCATCACGGTCTCCATTCTTGTCGTCTTCTTCCTCGTCGTCCTCATCATCCTCATCCTCCGATGAACTGGACCCTTCTTCCTTTTCTGACAATTTAGCAGCCAGAAAAGCCTCGGCTTTCGATTTAAGGTCTTTACTATAGCTTAGGAAGGTGCCTCCGTGTTGGTCTCCTGCGCCGGAAATGTGATCTCGCAGCGCCGAATCCAGTCCGACAGCAAGCTCATCATAGCCTATAAGAGCATCCTCGAAAAGGCCAACATTCTCAAGACCAAGCGAAAGGCCTTCCTTTAGTATAAAGAAAGTGCAGAAATTCCAGCCCGGCAGACTCCTCTGTGAGTCTTTCTCTCGGATATCAGCTTCATATTGACTCACGCGTAAACCAAAGGACGTGAGGATGAAATATTTCAGCTTCGCAACTAGGTCATCTAATTGCGCCGCTAGTTCAGGCTGTTTCTTATCCGCATCTGCCTTTGGGATTCTCAGCTGAGCAACCCGGTCAACTGCAGTCTTTGACGATCCGTTGAAATCAGCCTTTACTTTCTCAAGAACCGAAGTCGAGCCTCTCCCTGGCCATTTTGATGGTGCTGCCTTCTCTGTCACTTCGGGACTAGGTGCCGTCGAGGGTATGACGTGAAGAATCAACCATTCAAACGCATCATGGTTATCAGGCCCAGTCGGGGCAGCGGATACCCTGGTTTTTACCCATTCACGTAACGTCTTTCTAGAGGTCGTTTTATACGTCTCATTATCATCACATCGTAATAAATATATCTTCAAATATGGCGTCTGCAATAGCCCGGGTATCTGGTGTCGTCTCTGCGACACAGCTCCGGTTGCGCCATCGCTGAGTCGCTTCTGATCATCTGCTGCTGTGTGCGCGGGTTTGAAATCGATTTGCAGGGAGTCAATCGAGCGAACAGGCCGAGTCGAAGATTTCCAGTGTAGGTTTCGGAGAGGGAGGACTTGGGATAGCAGTGGCTTGACTTGAGTGAAGAGGCCAAATGGGTCGGTATACTCGACTGCAAGGATAAGGAGTAAGTTATTAGGCTTCCTCGTAGAGCTTCAAGTACTATTGCATACCGGTTACATTATTCGAGTTTAAGTGAGGGGTGGCGTCCATGACGACCGAAGCTTCACAAGTAACAGGAGTACCATATTATTCCACACTCATAACCGCATCCTGCTCTGCGTTGTGAGGGCGGCTTCGGGTGATTTGCGCTGTCGAGGTCAAGTTTAGCTGGATGGCGGTTTGGAGGGCCATGTCTTGGCGTTGCTTTTAAGTCAACCTCCACCCATATTCGCAAGGCTAAGGGAGATAAAACATCCAACATGCTAAGATGATAGTATTCTATTAAAAATATACTCTTTAACTACCCTAACTAATGTGAGACTTTAGAAAAAGAACCTAGTGGGAAGATAAACCGGTATGCCACCCCAATTTCCACAGGGAACAAATGTACAATCCGAGACTGGAGTTTGTCTCAACTCGCAACCGCGTAACAGCAAAACCCCAGTCGCCCTCCTGAAATACAAACACATAAAATCAAGCGCTTAAACAAAATAAATAACAAATGAACAAAGTTGTGCTACGGAGTGATGCCGCACTAAGTAGCGATAATGTTCCGGTTAGAGACCGGGGGATTGACATGAGACATTACAAGATCATATCCGTATGAGACGGCTTGCCAGATATCAGGAATGAGGTTTTTCAGCATCGCCGCAACAATTATTATCAGGAGAGGAATCTAGAAAGGTAGAGGTTAGCTATAGATACGAGGATAAAATAGAAATAGACTTTTGAATGACTTACCCAGATAATGAAGAGATTACGATCACTGCGGAATTTCTTCATCTTCTGTGCGTGTGCTTTTCTGAGCTGATCCTGGTGAACCTTCGAGATATTCCTGCTGCCTATGGTCACATCACCAAACTCCTCCTTAGAGGAAGAAGCATGAGCATGTGACGAGACTTCCGTCTCCGCAAAGTGTTGGTCTGCCGCAGCATCCAGCGCAGCTTCGACCATTGATGATTTCTTCTCGGCGTAGCCAGAGTCGGTTTCATGGGGATATAGCTCCTCGTATGCTGGCGGAGATGAATTGCCAGTCAATCTACCCCAGCCATCCTTCATGATATTGGTAGACCAGGCGGTTGTCGGCCTGTGTGGAACAAGGGAGCTGATACGTTGGATCATCGGGTGAGTTTGGTAGTCAGGAAGATTCGGAATCTGGGGAAGAGTTGGTATCTGAGGCAGCGTAGGCATTTGAGGCAGTGCAGGTAACGCTGGGAGGTTTGGTAGATTTGGTAAGTTGGGAAGGTTGGGGAATGCTCGGTTAACGTTCTGCTGGAACTGGTTAATCTGAGCTGCCAGTTGGTCTCGCCATGCAACTAGCGCCACAGGAGGTGACGGGCTGCCAGCAACAACATCAGACTCAGGAGAAGCGAGCGTAGGCGCCCGAGAAATGCTAGATTTCCGTGGAAGCGAGAAATACTGCTTCTTCTCCTTGCGGGATTCTGATTTAGTGCGTTTTAGTTGACCATATAGTAACTCTGGCACATCCGGCGTACGTCCGCCATCAGAATCCTCCGTGGAATCTTCTTCAGTGTCAGCTGCATCGCTGGAGGATGTTGGCTCCCAGAATCCATCGAGAGAACCAGAGCTGGGTCGGCGGCGCAAGGGAGAAGTTGATCCCACGCTTCTTGAGCGGTAGTGATTTGTAGAGGCAACCACAGCACGGTGTGTTTCCAGAGTGGTCGCAAGATCGGCAGGAGTGAAGCCGCGTAGGTTAGGTGCCGCAACGTTGGCACCGGCAAGTCGAAGACGGTGGACAATATGTGTATGTCCACTGAGAGCAGCCAAATGCAAGGGAGTGTTATGGTTTTTATCCTGAACATCAGGGTTAGCCCCTCGAGCAAGCAAACCTGCCACGAATCTAGTCAATCCTAGTGAAGCAGCCAGGTGGAGGAGAGTCTGCCCAGATGGTGAGCGGGTGTTATATTTTGTAGAGCCAGGATTGGCATCCAAGTCCATAAACTCAAGATATACGAGCATTTTCGCATCAGTGTCAGTGATGTTCGCGCTCTGGTTGTTGCCTGGTGCTTGTCGCTGCTGGCCTCCAGAACCGCCATCACCCTGGAAATTATTTTGAAGACTCCACAAACTATTCCCGTTACCGCCCATAATTTGTTGTGCAGTTTGATAGGCATCAGCAGGGTTATTAAGTTTCTGGCCTAATATTCCGAGCGCGATCCTATACATTTGCAGCTCACGATCATCTACATAACGGAAGAAGATTTGTGGTTTCGGGATTATGGGCTGTCCAGGCTGCTGTTGACCCAATCGAGGATGCTCATGCTTGAAAACAACTGGTACTGTTCCCGGCTTCACTGAAGGTGGAGTAAGACAGTTCAAGCATTTTTCACCCCAGAAAGTGGTGGTAGTGGCTAAGGTATCACCGAAGACGACTTCCATGCCCGGGTAGAAGCCACTACCTAAAAGAGTCACCTCACTTCCGCCAGTGGTTGAGCCCTCAGCTGGGACAAGTTTATGGATCATTGAGGGTACTTGTGGTGGAGGAAGTCCCGTTGGCACACTCCAGGAGTGATTTTGGATTCCCATATCAGGGAGCGCGGGAACTTGATCCTGGGACCGAGTGCGAGGGGAACCAGGACGGCTTGGGTGGGTCGAATTGGGTGCGGAAACCAGCGACGCTTGTCCCAGGCTGTCCATTGGGTTAGCGGCCTCAAGTGGGCTAAAGAACATTCCATCATTATTGTTTGGCGTGGGCGGCCCATTGATAAATTGCGGGTTGAGCATCGCAGGTGTGACATAAGCCTTATCTGTGCTTCCATTGGCAGTCGGGAAGTTTGAGGGCAAGGGGGAGTTGCTGGCGATTGGTGACGACCGCTGAGTCTCGATTCGCGACATCGTTAGTCCTGCAGGAACTTTCCCAGATCCGCTCTGCTTCCGTCGCTTAGCAAGAGGGCCGGTGCCGTCCGAAGGAGACGCTTGACGAGAGAGGTTCCGGGGGGTAGTGATAGGAACTGTTGCAGTTGTACTATTCTGCGACTGATTCGATGAAACGGGAGTTAATGGGTATTGCCGATTTCGGAGTGCTTGCAGGTCGTTAGCGGTAGGAGACATTTTATAAGGCACTGAATGCACGAAAGGCTTTGACAGATCAATTGCCGGGTTCCCAGGAAACATTGCTGCAGGAGGAAACTGCGGATCTGTCACTGCAGAATTGGAAGCTGCAGCATAATTTGCGGGCGCATGTGTCTTATGGTCATCGGTGATCATAATGGAATTGGTGATTGCTTGAGCTATTGGGTTATCCAAGTAGTCAAATACAGTAAAAAGAACCCTAAATTTCAATTAGTACCCAGAGAGTAAAATAAACCAAGATACATGTAATTTACTTACTGGAAGCCCACTTTCTCATTCTGATGTCTGCAGTAGCATGCAATTCGCATTGGCAACTCTACTTGCATTGCACCAAGGGGCGCAATGGGCAGAGAAGGGTCACAATTCGTTGAGTTAGGGGTTCTGGGAGGGTCGGTCCAGTCCTTGATCTCTGTGGTGTTGAACACAATAACCCGTTTATCCTCGTCTCTCTGGAACAGTTCATCTTCTTCTGGTTTCCGCTGTTTCTTCCGAGAGGCACGTTTTCGTTCTCGCTGGATGCAGCCAGCGCATATTTTGACTTCACCTCCTCCTAGTGGAAGGTCTTCGTCTCCCTGGCTTTCTTCGGAGTCCTTTGGAGACTTTGCACTGACATCTTCGCCCCGGGCTCTAGCAAAGGCCCTCTCCCGCTTCTTCTTGTCCTGAATGGCACTTGTGCACAGTACGCTAGCTCTGAGTTCCAGGATATCCGGAGAACATTTGATATCAGGCTTGGCGAGGAACTTTGGTTTCGAGATGGCGTGGCTTGGGAGGCGTAGTTTCTTAACCCCAGGTGGCATCGGGTAGAGGGTTAACTTAATCGGGATTTGCGTTTCGACGCGAGACTTCAGGGAAGTGGGATGAACAATGAGGCGGGGACGAATATAATTCTCCATGCTGATATTGGGGTGGAAAACGGCAGAGTTGCGGTCGTTCAAAGGGAAAACCACTCCGGAGGGACATTTCAGAGTTTCGAAGGTCTGGCGCGGTGACCTAAACGTAGAAGTGGGAGATAATGTCGTCGAAAGAGGCGAGCCACTGTTCATACCGATCCCCCCGAAAGCATCTTCTAGAGCGGATTGTGAGCTTCGGCCATCCCAGAGTCCTTGTCCGGTGTAGAGTGATGTAGAGTCACCAGGACTTTGGAACACAAATGGGTTTACGACAGTCGGCTGCTAAGAGAAGAAGATTAGTGTCTTTGAATATATATTTCTTTTCTTGAGAAAAAAAAAAAAAAGATATATCTGATAGGGGTATACATACTTGTTGCGATGAGCCTGCATCACTGGATGGTCCGGTAAAGGTTGTGGAAGAAGGTGTGCGGAATGATTGTTTGAACATGGTTGGTTTACTCTTTTCGGTGTTGAGCTCCATCTTGAGTGGGCTAGGACTGCTCGCAGCACTATCAAAATCAAAGGCAGAGGCCATCGCCTTGTTGCTTGACTCTACATCATGCTCGATGGAGTCAACCCGTGTCAAGAGGCTTCCGCCGTCCTGTCCAAGAAAGGACGCTTCGTCGCCTAGAGAGAGCTGGTCGGCGTTCGGCCAGCCAGGAATATATCGTTCGGTTGTGGTGCTGTCGGGACTGAAGAGTCCAGAGTGATTTGAAGCCAGAGAGGCATTCCGGAGATGGCCTGTAGGCGAATCCATCGAGGAGCTATGACTGGAATCTTCTGGAGAGTCTGATCGAGTGTCTGACGGGGTTGAGCCCGCTGGTGGAACGTCATTCTGGGATTTGTTTGGCATTTCGGAAGGGGATAAGCACGACATAGCATCGGAAAGCTGGGGAGCACTGGACGGCCGGAAGAACATGTCTTCAAAGTCCCGTCCCAGGCTGGGAGTCGAGGCATTGAGAACTGAAGGGTCGAAGCATAGAGTGTCTCTGTCGTCCATGATATTGTCCATATCTCCGTCCATAATGATGGGCTCCATCTCTTCGACCCTTGGCTGCCTCGAGACCAGGCCCCGGAAGAAAAACGGCAACTAACTCAACAACAAGGAAAGTAAAAAATAAAATAAAATAAAATAAAATAAAATAAACAGTCAGGTCTGTCGTTGGAGTCCTCCGTATGTCCCTTTCCGTCGCGTGCTCGCTCTCTCCCTCGAACGGACGGTGTGGTTAGGTATGCCGGTTCGGCGGGTTCGATTCGATCCTCTCAGGGGGGCTCGCTCCCAGGACAAAGCTGGTGCCTTAGGGACTAGGACGGGCGCTGAGCAATGACAATGCGCCTATTAACACGGGGGCCGGTCACGCAGCTATCGATAGGAACGGGCGAGCAGTCGACGAGGCCCTCGGTGGCAGCAAGGACGAGATAGCAAGGCACAGACACAGGCGAGAGCGACGTCGCAGTGGCTCGTGTAGACGAGATCGAAATTCAGGGATGGCCGCCGACTTTTCGTGAGTTGTTCTGTTCGCCTGCCTTTGTCGGTGAGGTTCTTCGTGCTTCCTGGGCTGGCGCTGGCAGGGGAGCGGCAAGCCACAGCGACAGCTTGGCGCGCTTCAGCTAGTTTGCAGCTGAGCGCATCCAAGCTGCGTGCTCGTCCAGCAAACGATAGTCCGTAGTCAGTCAGTCCTCGCAGCGGCCGTCTCTTGAACCTGCTTCTTCTTCTTCTTCACTTCTTCTTGACGGTGTTTCTTTTCTTCCTCGCCTTCCAACGTCGCAGAAAAACGAAAGAAACAAGAAAAAAACGAAGAAAAAGCGAAACGTTTTGGTTGGTGGTTATGACGCTAAACTCGTTTTGGACATGCCGTAGGAGCGACGTTTGAGACGAGAGAGACAGAGAAAAGAACAAAAGATGCGAAGGACAAAGACGGAGACGAAGAGGAAGATGAGGTTATATGGGACGGTGGTGAGCCTCGCCTACGCTTGGAGCATGAGGCCGTCTAGCAGCTGAGCGAGCCTTCAAGGGAAGACAGCGGCTTCGGCCCGGCAGAGGGACCTCTTCCTGGGGAGTCGAGATGTATATTAAGACCAGCACAGCATCACCAGTGAAAGGAGGAGAAGAAGAAGAAGAAGCAGATAATACGATGCAATACTGTGAAGAAGACGGCCTGATACAGTTACCTCTGAAGGAGTGGGATGAATTGACCTCCTGGCCTCTAGTGCTTCAGCCTGGTCAAACGGTTGCTTGGTTATACCACCAGTGTTGGCCCCCCTTTATTCCCCCATATACGGAGTACTACCCTCTCTCTTATGTCTGCCTCCAGGGCGGATAGGCAGGGTTAGATTTGTCTAGCCTACAAGTCCTAAGAATAACAGGCGTTCGAGCGTTGTCTAGTCTAGGTAGACCTGCTCAGCTACCGGATGCTGATGCTGATATTCCCCGGACGCCTACGGAGCCTACCGATGGAATGCAGGAGCGCTAGGTTAGAATACCTACCTGCATAGATGGATAAGGACATCTGCAAGCTGTGCAGGATATGCATCAGTTATTATTGTCTGCAACAATGGAACGCATGCATGCATATATAAACCCACAGCAAGGGAACGATCATTAAAGGACAATAAAGGCAATATATATCTACACACACACACATTTTGATAGGAACTGTGACCACGCCTCCGATGCCAAACTAGAGTTTCTTCTAGTTGCTCCTTCGAATCTCTTCCTTCGTTCAGGAGCCGGGACCAGACATGAATAGATGAACGAGTCGTAAAACATTCCGACGCTACAGTTGTTTATTTGCTGGCCATCGATTGGAGGATTATTCGCCTACCGCTTACATGCTGTCTAGATGGTTCTTCAGCTCAAAGGATGACGGCCATTATTATTGAATCACCCTTTTTCTCTTTTTTTGATAAGGCGAACTATTAATACTTTACACGTGGTTACATGGGTCCTCGGGGCCGCTCTACCCCTGCCACTTCTTAGCATGTGGACGACGGGTATGCCCCATACCTGTGCTTATGCCTCTTTCCAGGCATATTCCTGGATATCAGAGCATGGGGATAGCGGAGAAAAATTAAACATGTTTGCCAAACTTTCAGTTGGCCTCCCGTCAAGATGGACTAGAAGCTGCCTTCTACTCCTCGCCTCAGAAACATCAACATGATGTTTGGCCTAGATGAACCAAGCAGATGCCAGTATGAATACCAAGAGTACTATTAATATTAGGTAGTATATAGGTGAACGCCCTATGGGTGGGACCCGCATCGTTATGACCAATGCATTTGTCCATACCGAACAAGTTCAGTCATGAGTCTACCGCCAGCAGATACATCGTGGTACGGGTCAGACAGGTTTGCCATGAAGCAGCCACCCGGTTGCTCACTGCACGCTCGCTCTCCACCACTACATATACCAACGATTGTAGCCTGTCCGTCAACGTACTCCCACATAGGCCCGCCAGACCACCCAGAGGACGCAAATACCTTCGACTCGAGCTCAACTCCAATCTCTCCATGGGGGTCAACACCGTCAAGTGTTATATTAGTGACCAGCATCTGCTTCATGCCCTTGAAAGGTTCAATCGGGTATCCAGAGCTCAGCCACGGCCGGTGGACATATGCCTGTGTATCCTTCCACCAGGCAGTCCCCATCCATCCCACTCGCTCCCCCAGGGGCTCACACAGCTTGCATATCACATAATCCAACCCGGTAACGTTTAGCGTGTTCTTCACACCACGGCACTGAGAGACATATGAGCTTCCAAAGGGCTCCGCGTGTTTCTTCCCATGGCCAAATCCAGGTACAAACCGCATCCACCTTCTAGGCCCATAGTTCCACGGGAAACAGTGGCTTGCCGTAAGAAGCAAATTCTTTCCAACCAGCGTCCCCGTGCACCACCCCCCTTTGTCCCCCCTGAACCGTCGAAAGAATATCCTCCCAATCGTCGACCATGGATACCCTATCGTGGCCGTGACCTGGAACTGATCGAACAGCGATCCTTCTATGGCCACGGGGATGATGTCGGTGCTGTAATTTCCGAAACCAAGGGGATACAGTGTGGTAATGTTGTTTTTCTCGCTGGTGTTCGGATTAAAGCCTGGAGTGCTCCCGCGCTCACTCTCCTGTGTCCCTTCAAACCCCCATGCCGTCTCGAGTAGATTCCATTTATCATCCACCGTCAGCGCCTCTACTCGGAGATCCGGAAATGCCTTTCCGCACAGCCCGCCTTTAGGCTCTAGGGGAAACACCGCTGTAACGAGGGAGTTTTGGAGCAGCAATAAGGTAAGGAGTGGCCATACGAGGTACATGATAACAGAATATTGAAGAGCCGAAAGAAGTGAGTGTACACATGGGATAGCAAGCTATTCTGCCGTGCTTCTTGTACTGTTTCTTCTTGGTATAATATATAACTATACAGTCCATAGGGCTTGACATAGGCAAGCACACAAATGATATTTTAATTCTTTGGCATAAATAGTCAACCCAGCTAGCCTAACACAAAAATACCCGACTGCATACCACCTTCCTTTGCCTAGAAGGAGTCCCAAAGATCACTTGTTGACATATAAGCGGAAGGGGGGACCTTCTCTCTTTCCTCCATGGCTTGCTGTTCAGTTTGCAATTATAGGCGAAGAATGCTCTATTCAGGGCCACCGTCTCTCTCCTTCCTGGGTGTCTGCTATATCTCGGGCGCCAGAACTACCTAGGTACCCAGGTGGTTGGGCAGCATTTACTTGACAAATAACAGTACCAAAGTTGCCAAAGTGTTGTGCATACAATGCATTCCGAGTTGCTAGATGTTCAGCATAAGGACCTTTGCTAGTCCTTTGAGCCCTAAGTTTAGCTAGCTAACTGCCCAGTCACCATAGTTGGTTGGGTTACCTGGGATCTACCAAAAGTGTCGCGTGCCTACGTAAAAGGGTCAATTTTCCCGTTGTACCTCCCATGCCAGTGTCCGATCTTACTCTAGCCAGCAAGATACTCACCCAGAATTCATCTATATGATGAGCCACCCAGAAGCTCAGAAAAAACCACCATGTTTACATAGGTAGCAAAACTGGTAGCCGAGAGATACCTGGACTTCTAAAGCTGACATCTAGTTAAGAAACTCACAAGTGAAGCTTAAGTTGAGAGGCATCTGCTTGGTGTAAGGTACAGGTGCTTCGATAAAAGCCAGGGATGATATTGAAAACGTCATTACCGGGAGTAGATCTGCTATTTCCTTGCTTTATGATGGATATATTTGATAGTCTGTCTATTAACCTACTTAGTGCGCCTAAAGCTTTTGATACCTTAGTTAAATATTTAGCTAGCTAATTACTAGGCAACTACCTAGCAACTTGTTACTCATAATTACTATTTTACTCCAAGCTGAATCAACCCCGCAGCCTCACTAACAACACCTACATTTTCATTTTGGAGGATTATTCTTTTCTTTGCATCTGTACTTGCTTTTTAATACTTTCTTTGCATACTGCATCTTTAGGGGTTTTCTAGTGCCGAGTTCGAGCGTTGCTGCCAAAATGTTCAAAAAAAAGCCATCGGTTTGACCCCCACACAACAGCTATCCATGAGCCATCAACGACAGCCATGCTAATTATATGGTAGATCAAACCGCTTGCACCACTTCGATCTTCCGACCGGAGGAAGATTGCAGACAAGATCATTCAGGAATACAGCATCTCAGTCCCGGAGACACCAGCAGCTCAGCCTGAAGTTGATGAGACATCAGCTCAGCCCACCACAACCGCACCCAGCCTTTCATCTATCCGAAACTCGCTTCTACCAGAAAACACTCTAGCGGGACGATTTTCGACAACGGTAGGGCCTGACTTACGGCCTGTTCACGGTACTCTATACGTTGGAACGCACCCAGACGGCGAAGAAAGAGTATTATGGATCAAACTTGAGCAAGGGCCAGGAACGGATGGAAGGATATACCCTACTGTATATTCACTATGGCACAACCCGGGGCTGGTCCCCTTGCTGTGCACAACAGGCCATGTTATGGAGAAGCTCTACAACGGTGCAGATCTTATGACGCCAGGCCTTACAAACGGGCCACCATTTCCGAAAGGGGCTGTGAAAGGCTCTGTTGTTGCTGTTTCGAGCTTGGATAAGCCCAGTGTTCCTACATTTGTGGGCGTCTGTGAGATTGATGTTGCTGGGCTAACGCAAGTGCAAGGTGCAAAGGGACATGCCGTCAGGGGAATTCAGTGGGAGGGAGATGAGCTATGGGGCTGGGGTTCGGCTGGAAAACCTGGCCAGCCATCACCAGACCACCTAGATGGCTGGATTGGTGAAACGGAAGAGGCGGAAGAGAAGCTCCAGGAGTTAGAGCTAGGTGATGACGAGGATTTATATGGAGGCATGGATGGGGGTGTTCCGATCAACGAGGCTCAAGAGGAACAGCAGGCAGAAGAGGGGGAGGAGGAAGAGCAAGAGGAGCTCCCACCTCCAACCACGAAAGGTAAGGATTATCAAGTATTACATTCCCAAAGCAATTCTAATAAGGCAAAAATGTTAGAAATCGACGATGCTTTCGAGAAGGCGTTCCTATATGCGCTCTACCAGCACAAAAAGGACCATCCCGGGGACCAGAACCATGGCTTGTCATTCCCCATCCAGCCATCGTTTTTGATATCCAACCTTATCACTCCATTCTTGCCAATATTTTCGCCTAATCAGGCACAATATTACCAGATCAAGAAGACATCATGGAAGAATGTTAAGAAATTTGTGAAGCACCTCGACAAGATAAAACTATTGAAGTCAAAGGACAGAGGCGGGGAAACAATAGTCATGGATGTTGATTTTAATGATATGCTTGTCGAACAGTTTGTCCCTTACCGGTTGCCCAAGAAGACGAGCTCGGGAGGCGCAAAGCCAAAACCTGCCTCTGAGAATGCCGCAGCAAGCATGTCATCCGAGCAGGTTAACGTCAAAACACTCTACCGTCCAAGCAGCAAGTTGGTACCTGATCTGTTTCCACCCCTATCTAACACCGACGTGAACAACTACTACTCGGCTTCTGACGTCTCCAAACGCCTCAACGACTACATCTCCTCACAGGATCCGTCGATCATCTCTCCCTCTAATCCTCGAATTCTCACACTGAACGCCTTCATCAGCAACAAAATAATCTCTTCCAACGACATCGGGACCCTTTCACGCGGGACCATCCCACGAGATGCTCTGTTAAAGAAATTACTCGATGACCCTTCATTATGTGCACCTTTCCATGCCATCCTTAAGCCTAACCAAACTCTCTCGGATGTGAAGCCCAAGCCAGGTGCCCTCCCGAAAGCAACGATAACGATTGAACGCCGCACAGGATTAAAGCTGGGTACCAAAGTAGCTGGGCTAGATAGATTTGGCATATCGCCTCAACTACTAGCAGATGAGCTGTCGAAGAAATGTGCGAGTAGCACTAGTGTTAGCCAGGCAGTTGGTGGTGCAAAGGGGGAAATGGAGGTTTTTCTTCAGGGTGACCACCGAGGGGTAGTAGAGAAACTGCTTGTAAGCAGGGGTCTCAAATCCCAGTGGATAAGCATCGTGGACAAATCTAAGAAGAAATGAGCCGCTCAGTGTTAGTTAACCTGAGGGGAAACTGTTAGCACTACTACTGGGTCATTTGAAAGCCTTTGAAAATGGGTAGCTAGTCATAACGATTTATGAACCATGCTAGATTACTACATGGCAAAAAAGACGATGCCCTGCCCCCCTATGCCCTGGTGAAATAATTTTGAAAGAGTTCTACTATTAGTTAGCTACTTGGAAGTAACAACAAGGGTTAAGTTCAATATCAAGGCAGTTAAGCGGCTGCAAGCACCGGCATGACAGCCAGCTGATATTGTAAATTGGTCGAAGATCTAGATTGAAGCAAACAAAACAAACATGACGGACCACACCACCCAGGGTTGCGGCTTTCCACAAGAAATTATTCTGGAGTATCGCTCTACCTCGCTACCTACGTTTGAAACACGGAAACACATATCTCGGCCACTTGTTGTCTTTCCGGTAGCTATACAAGGCTGTTCGCCGGGCTCTTGATATTGACACATATCCATCGGGCGAACCACAACCTCGAGAAAGCTGGCGCTCGGCCATCGTTGATCATGGCAGCACTACTTCTTTTTGTCCTTGCTGTTCAGATAGTCACTTATTTAATTAATACAATAGGCGCCAGTACTATAGATAGCCTGGTATTCATACACCCTCCCCTAAACAGTCTACTCCTGCTAATGTTCTTATTATTATAGCTATGGCTTCTGTATATCAAACTCCCGAACCAAGCGTCACGCACGGCTCAAGAGCAACGACGAGCGAAGCTTGAAGCAATCCAGCTTAAGCGAGAGATGGCCGCTACCAGCTCCCAAGACGAATTTGCGAAATGGGCGAAGCTACGAAGACGACATGATAAAGCTATGGAGGAATATGACGTTAAGAGTGCGTATCCCATTTTGCGAAGAACCGGCAATCTGGCCTATACAAATACTGGGGAGATATTTGGTAACTAACGTTTTTTACCTACCATACAGATAAAAAGCTGAACACGTTGAGGGTTTCCTTTGACTGGACGATCAAGACTGTCCGGTGGGTTTCCACCACCGGTATAACCCTCATCCTTCAGTTCTGGTTTTCCAAATCACCTATTTATGAGCTGCCCCGAGGGTGGTTTCCGTGGCAGGTGGAATGGATCTTATCTTTCCCCCGTGCTCCTTTGGGAACCGTGAGCATACAGGCGTGGGGAGGAGCCTGTGGAACGGTTGTCGCCTTAGTTGGGGGTGCTGTTGCAGCTGTTGCACCGGCTCTGAAAAGCAGTAAGCAGTCCAAGGAACCGGCTGTGGCTCAGAAAACAGGAACTCCAAGAGGGAGCAGGGAACAGACACCCACGAGGAAGACGCAATAACGGGTGAAATGAACGGAGAAACGTCTATTAATGCTATTAATGTGTAAAACTCATGCTATGATACTGATGATAAGTGTTAATATTATGCCTTGGAAGTTTGATTACCGGTATATAAACAAGGGCAAAGTAGAAACATTGGAATAGAATTGGGATGGGGAGGGGAGATGTTCATCAGATAAGTTTTAAAATCTTGATCTTCAACAGCCATTATATGGCCTCTGTGCTTGACTCTATGATTTGTATATCATCACCTGAACATGTATGAAGTGAAGAATCTGGCCCTTTCGAGGGGGCTTCTGCAATCGAATCTCTGCACACCGCGACAATCATCCAAATAACGAAGAGCCGAAGTAGGAGAGACACAATCACCGCTTTCCATAAGCTACAGGTTCGGAAGTATGAAAAAAGTGTGAACTCCTCGTCGCAAGAATAAGCCCCATCGAGTTACTCGCCCAGCCCTGAATATTCAGAACAGGAGAGCAATCGCATAGCTGTAGAATCTCGACGAATGGCAACCTCCTTAACCAGATTCCCACAGCTGACTCCCATTGTTTCCCCAAGAAACCTCCTCAACGTTAACCCCCGAATCAGTTCACTTAACTCCAAAGCCAAAACGTGAGACTCATATCGTCATCCCAGAGTTGTCCTGACATTGAAAAAGAGACCGAATAGCGGGAAAACCGAAGAGTGCAGACGGTTCAACGAGGGTCGGACCCAGCGGTAGGTGGTTAAGAGGGCTTTAGCTGCTGTGAAGTGCTTCTATGGCAGCGCGTTTCCGCAGTGCCTGGCACGAAGCCAGGACGTCCGGGGACTTTCTCCCAAAGCAAGATATTGGTACGAGCATCGAAATGCCCAGTTCGTAAGCTTTGAATGCGATTCTTTGCACGAGGAGTTGAAGAAGAGAAAGAAGAAAGCAAGAAAGAAAAAAAGTCGCTTAGATTTTAAGTGTTGAAGATTAGTCAGCTAGGATGACAAAGAGTAGTTTTTATCTTGTACACGTGATAAATTCGTCATGACTAATCAGAAATACAGCATTTCTTACAGGCTATCTATCTAAATACAGTATAATATCAAAGTTACAATGAAATAGCCAGTAATATCATTAGAACCTGGTATATTTGGTTATTACTGCACCAGAAGCCTGACACTGCAGCTCCAGCTCCTTCAGATCTTCGTTCAATTTGCTTGAGCAAGTATTTGCAATATTGATAGTTTGTGGCCAGTCAATACTCAATAGACTTCCATCATGACACAGAAGCAATCGATAGCGGGGAAGCTTTCAAGTGGGAAGAACAAAAGGGTTCGTTTTGTCGCACTTTTGGTGAAGTTAGAGCCTCGATACTGACATCTATCAATCCAGTCTCTCAATGTGCCGATAGCCGCTTTCACGATGGCTCTTTTACTTACAGGATACTGTTACCGAAGTATACGATCCGCGCGCGATAATGCTAAGCGCACCTCTATATATACCTCCTCCGGCCGAGGCAATGGTCTATAGTGACAGGTTGTTTTCCGGTACCATTGAAAATGGGATTCAAACGAAGGACGGGGAGTTCTCTCTATGGAAACTGCGCAGGCTGCGATACACAGGTTTATCAGCTCGGCCTACTTTGTGTCTAGGTCATTATGCTGGAGAACTAAGGCGGCTTGAGTGACGATACGCTATCGATTCGGTCTATGGGTCAAGCGACATACCCACCAACCGATATTAAACCGGCTCCTACTAGAACTTGATATGGGCCTCTGGACGGAGATAATGCAGTGCCCGGACGACTCTAGGAGATATCTGTCTGTCGATAGTCAATATGGGCATGCACCTATACTACCAAGAAACTGGAGGCGAGTGCAACTTGGGCCGTTAACTATCATGGAACGCCGACCTGTGGTATAGAGAAGAAATTGATTCGATCTTATTGCATCAAGCCACCGGTCCATTCTGTTTACCAAAGATAACTTCTGTATTGAGCGGCGATATGACTTTATTCTCTTCTAAACATGTACATACGAAAAAACATGATAGTACTCAAACCTATTAGAAGCATGTGTATAGCGTAATTACACGCTGAAAAGACTGACGTATAAGTTCTGTATGCTAATATTTGACTGAATCAACAAGACAAATAGCCAACCCATAATCAGAGACAGACAGACTGCACACATCCTGACCTTTGTTTTCCTATCACCACACACATATAAGCTGAAATTAGAACAACGTATACATAAAACCATTCCTGGTGGGAAGACGCCTGACACGCCATATTCTTGCTTTGCTAGACACGAGTAAATCCATCCTTTTCTTTAGGAGGAAACATTAAGATAGTAGATAAAGGGGAATAGAGACAGGAGAAGGGAAGGGAAGGGGTGAGGGTGGGCGGGTAAAAGAACATTTGGATGTTTTTGACTGGGTATATTTATCACGTCAGGGGGAAGGAATGCCGCTTCTGTAGCAAGCAAATCTGGTATCATTAAATAGGGGGAAGAAAAGGCTGAAAAGGAATTTCTGGTGAATATGCGTTGTGTATGTGCATATCAGTCACTATTCACAGAATACCACAGGCTGATAGTGGCAGCTATGGCCAAGAACAGCAGTGCATTAGTAGTTAGCGGGATGTTGAAATCATAGATGGTGATTCTCCACTGATGAAGCTAGTATTATTTCTCCTTCATGTTGACCCCAATGTATTATATTACGTAGGTACTCATACGTCAACATGGTAGTCATAGCAGAAGGGACAGCTCGGAAAAGGTTCGTGCCTATACCGGCATAAAATGCTCTCCATCCTTCCTCTTTCAATATCGTTTGGAATGTTCGAATAACTCCCCGATAACGGGGCCGATTGGGCATTCCATCGGAGGATGCAGCTCCAACACCGGTGGCGCTGCGGTATGAATCATCTGAGACCCGGAATGAAATCCCTTCTGGGGATGGAGCGGGGCTGATTCTCTGTTGCGTTTGTAACCTGGTGCGCAGTACTTCATGCGGGTATGTAGCCGTGCTGGCACAGATTTTACTGAGGAAAGTGGCAGCGCCAATGCCGACCCAATGTGGGTTACCTGCATCGGGATGCTCGCCCATCATGAACCCCGTGAACGCGAGTTTGAAATACTCGTACAGAGGGAACTGAATGGCGACGTGAGAGAGGCCGAGAAGTGCGGGTGTGAGGCCAGAATAAAACGCCCGTATCCCTTCACTTGCATACATCTTGCGTGCGGCGTCCAGGGTGTTCTTATAGTACCATGGAGCCTGGAATCCGTCATTAGACGGCCGTATGCTCTGGGACATGAGTCGAGTTTTTATGACCCATATAGGGTTGGTTGCAATGGTTGAGCAAGCTCCGGCAGTCAACGATGCATATGTTCGGGCAAGCCACCAGTTTTCTAACCGTGGGGTAGTACTACGTTAGCAAATTTGCTCTTATTAGAACCTGCAGAGGAGTTTCAATACCTGTCTGAACATAGAAGTAATCTCTTGCTCTATCGTATATGGTCAAGTAGACAGCCCATGTAGGAAGGTAGCCCAGAAGCATTGGTCCCAGGCCTTTGTATAATCCACGAAGACCTTCATCCCGCCAAATGGTCCGCCCAGTCCCTATCATCCCCTTATACAGAGCTTCTGTCTGTACTAGCTTCCCATTTCGCCGCAAGAAACCTCCCTGAGCTTGTAGTTTGGTTTTGATAACGTCCAGCGGACAAGTGATAATTCCAGAAGCAACTCCCGCTCCAGCTCCACAAAACGGCGTCACATAGCTCTGCGGAATACGGGTTGAGTAGACTTGCAGCCGTGTGAGTAATGTTGAGTTTGGAGGAGGCTGAGCTCCCGGATGAAGCTGTGGTATCGTTGAGGTCTGTGACTCGTGATGCTCTTGCTGTTGCTGCTGGTGTTGCTGCTGGTGTGATGATGATTGAGTGGTGAATGTCTCCGCCGGCTTGGTACGGTCCAGAGACATCCTTGACGGCTTTGATGGAGCGGAGTCTCACTTAGCAGGACAATCGATATCGCTGCATGGGTGCGGAGGGGGATGTAGAGACGAAGAAGGCAAATGCGGAGCAGGAAGACCTATGCAAAATGAGGGACGTGTTGAACTTGATATATTTTGGATGTATCCCTCGTTTGCCCGGTTCCTCAAGGGTACTTTCTGTATATCGTCTTTGGAGCGTTGAAAGCAGAGGAAATCGGCCGGTGGTCAAGCCTACACAGCTCCAAGCTGGAGCAGGTGGAGGCTAACAAGCGACTCCAGGCATGGGCGGGGGGAAAGGCAAAGCTGGCAGTAGTCTTAAATTTCGCCGATAGACAGGGAGGTTAGTCCCAAGATGTAGTGTGTAGAGGTAGATATTGCAGTGTCCAACCGTATCAAATGGTGACGGGATAAATGACAAGCTTCTGCTGGGCGCTGTCCCTGTGTTCCTGGTGTCAAACCGTCTTGATGACGTAGAAAAGAAAAGATGTTGAATATATTATCCTCGAAAGAAGAGGCCGCTTGGTTCATCCCATCCGCGGCCCAGAATATGCGAGTTCAAGTTACTTTTTTGGTGGTTGAAATCACGAGATCCGACGACGCCGAATTGGTCCGAGCGTTACATTTTTGCACACTCTCAGCAAACCTCAGCAACATCACCAACTCAGTGATTGGCCGACCAGGACGACCGCAAGAACAGACAGCCAGCCCGCCAGCCGTGGAAAGTCGCAGCATAGCACACCGAGAACAGAGCGAAGAGCGTCTCGAAGTCGTTGAATAGTCGAATAGTCGAACAAACCCGAACCGGCGCGATGGTTTTGACGTCAATGGTTTCCCGGGCCTTTGAGGCGCCGTGGATCAGAAGTGCGATGAAGCCAGTTGCCAGCTGGTACTGCAATGCCGCTGGATACAGGAAGTTGGGCCTAAGGTGCGTTATATCAGCCATTGATGCGGATGGGGGGAGATAGAGGCTGTATATATGGGGATAAATAGGCGGAGGGGGATGCCGTTACCAGTGGCTTTGCCTGTGTCATCAGATAGGCAGAAGAAAGAGAGGCTGTGATAGCCAGTGGCAGGCAGATAAAGAGGAATGTGAAGAGAGAGAGTCTGAGAGAAAGATGCTAACGTTGTTTTATTGGATATGAACAGACTTGATGATTTGATTCCAGAGGACAATGACACTGTTCAGTTGGCGTTGAAGAGACTTCCTCCCAAGGAAGCCTATGACCGTCTCTACCGCATTCGCCGAGCCGTCCAGGTATGTGCCTGCTTAGACATTTGCACTTCTCCTTCTTTATTCTTTACTTTCTGTTCCTTCTTTGAAACTACAGACTGACAAGTGAACTTTTTAGTGCTCTGTGGAACACCAGCTTCTGCCAGAGAAGGACCAGACCAAGCCAGAGGATGTATGTCATACCCATTGTCTCCTTCTCTTGCTTGTTGAGTCGAAGAAACCGTGCTAACTGCCTGTCACAGGACGTCCGATACCTCTCCCCCCATCATCGAGGCCATCAAAGCGTGAACAGGCCGAGCGTGCCGAACTCGACTCCCTCGTCATCAAGCGATGAATTCCCACCCGACCAGCCAATTCAATTCATCCCGTTAGCCTGTCAAATGCCAAATGATACCATGTACAGAGGATGGTATGAAGAAAAGACTTAAAAAGGAAAAGGGCCTAGATCAGAGAAAAAAATCCCATCATTGTTTAACTATTACATTCCTGTCTACACTCTTGACATCTTTTTCTTTTTTTCCCCTTGCGTTTCCAATTTTGATAAACATGTACAGATAGTTAGATACGGGGGAGAGAGGAAGTCAATTGCATTACAATCACTTCTCATACAGTAGTATATATATATCAGAGGTAACTAGGTATATCAAAGTAAATGGGAGACGGGAGGAGCATCACGCCTGCATGACGGTAATATCTACGTTCTCCCACCTCCACATGTACCACATGAAGAGACTTCTATACGGCGAGAAGGGCGCTGCTATCTCTACCATGTCCTTTTCCGACATGTACTTGAACTTACCTCCTCCCTTTGCCTTGAGCTTGCCTACATCGCGTCCTGCAAACGCCGCCATCCCACGTCTACCTCATTAGTACTGCATATACCAGTTATCACAGAATCGAACTAAATAAAAAAGGACAAAACTCACTGAACACCAAGATCACCCGTCGAGAAGACATCCATCCGCTTGAGTCCAAAGAACAAGAACATCTCTACCGACCACTTCCCCAGTCCCCGCACGGCAATCAGCTTTTCCAGCACTTCCTCGTCACTGGCCGTCAGCAGCATACGAGCAGACAGCTCGCCCGAGACGAACTTCTCCGCCAGGCCATGGATGTACTCTGCCTTGCGCTGGGAGAGACCCGCGGTCCGTAAGGTAGGCAGGTCCAAGGAGACTACCTGCTGCGGCGAAGGGAATGGCACAGGCCTGTAACGTAGTCCTGCATCACCGACTTCATCTTCGCCATCTTCAGCTTCGGCTCCAGCTTGTTCTGTGGTAGCACTGAACAAAGAGATGAATTTATTCTTTATCGACTTTGCTGCGGCCCCGGAGACCTGCTGGCCTATGATGCCGCTGACAAGGGCCTGGAAAGGGTCTATCTCGACTGCGAGGTCTGCTGGTCTGAAGGGGGCATCCGGGAACTTGTCGATGACTGGTTTGAGTCTGGCGTCGACGGAAAGCAGATGGGCAATTGCTTCCTTGAGGAGGTTCTCTACCGTCGTCGTAGGAGTTCCAGCAGTAGCAGCAGTAGCAGCAGTGGATGGGTATGCTGTGATATGCGAGCCACGCGGGGTGAGGAGGGGAGCCGCTGTGCGATGAGGGTCGACCGGCCTGTCGAGGTTGTTGTTGCCTGACGTGGTGCGAGGTGTTGCTGGTGTTGCTGGCGGTGGTAGAGACGGCGGAGGAGGCGTTGAAGCTATCACCGTAACGGTTGTCTTCTTCTGTGTCTTCGTCTTGGTCGTCTTCCTCTTTGGCTCAGCTTTCGCCTTAGTGATGCCTCTAGTCGTCGTCGTCGTCGTCGTCGTCTTCTTCTTCTTCTTCTTCTCTTCTATCCTGTATGTCTCCTTCGTCTCTTCTGTCTTGTACGTCTCCTTCTCTGTTGCCTTCAACGCCGCAGCGGCACTGACTCTGGCTGACCGTCGGGGAGCCATGGGGGCCAGCAGCAGACGACGCGGTATCCAGCACCACCGGCATCCAACGCTCATCTATCTGTCACTGTTGCATGTCGCGTCCAACGCAACGTTCTACCTGCAAGGTTAGTCACCTCCGCGCCTTGTGGCAGGATTAATTATTAATACGAAGCCTCTAACTAATTACTGTAAGTACTCTGTAACTACTCTGCCTCCATCATCATCATCATCACTAATATCATGCCTCATAACGTACTTGCTGCAGCTGGCTGACTCAACCAACCAAGCTTCCTCGCTTTTCTTTTTCCCCCAAACTCGACCAGGCAGACAAGCCTGCACTTCATGTGCTTGCCTCAGGGGCAAACTTCAAGGTCAAGCAAGATCCAGGGAGTCAAGGTCAAGGTCAAGGCAGAGGAAAAGAAAAGAAGCAATAACAACAAAAAAGCAAAAAAAAAAAGCCTCTTACCTCTTGCCGCTGTGGCCAAAAAGAAGAGCTGCTATAGCGTTCCCTTCCGTCTTATAAACCACCCAACCAACCCGGCACATCCCTCGACCGACCGACGCCCTATAAAACGACGAAACGACGGGGACCACTGCTCAACTGAATCTCTTCACGGCCAAGCCACTGCTCGATTCACCCGCGATCGACAAGCCTCCCACCGTCCTTGGCTCACGATGGCCTGACATCACCTCCCGCCCATCATCGTCACCACCACCCCCCCAAAAATCTCATGCGTTTCCCCCCCTGGCAAGTCCACGCAACCTAGGCAAATCTTCATTTTGCAGCGGCAGCAGTGAATAGCTCCTTAACCTACGGAACCAACCCCAAAGAACCCACTTTATAAGTAATAAACCTGACTTGAGAGGAAACAACCGTGGCGAACTTCTGGCATCGGGTCTAACCTAAGGAGTAAGCTGTCGACCTCTGGCCTGCTTTAAATTTCGTCTTGGTGGAGAAGGACAGGTGGAAGTGGAATGGAAGTACGGAGTAGAAGTACTGGGTACCTAGGTCGGAGTAGTCAGAGCAGAGTAGCAGAGTAGCAGAGTAGCAGAAGTAGCAGCCATAGCAGTACTCCGTAATAGTAACAGAAGAGTAATAGAAGTAATAGAAGTAGCAGAAGTAGCAAGTAGCAGTAACATCCTCTCCCTTCTCTCTCTCTCTTCCTCTTCTTCTTTTCTGTCTCTGCCAACCTTTTCTTTCTCCGAAGATCGCTTACCTAAGCTGCTGTCTCAGGTTCGACCCCCTGGCAAGTCAAAAGCCAAAAGTTTCTCCTTCTTTTCTTTTTCTTCTTTTTTCTTCTTTTTCTTCCTCCCCTTTTTATTTTCTTGCTCGTCCGCTTCGTCTCTTCCTCTTCTTCCTCTTCTCTCTCTCTCTCTCTCTCTTGTCCCTTTTTAAAGTCTTAAGGTCTTCCTCTTCCCCTTGACTAGTTAATTTCAGCCCGGTTCGTTAGGCCGCTCCCTGATTTGCTGGTTCCACTCTCGCTTTTTTTTTTCTTCTTTCTCCTTGCTTCGACTTTTCGCGTCCCTTGAAAAAGTTGACTTCGTTCGCTCTTCCTTCGCTCTTTTTCATCCTTCTCGTCCCGTCAACCAGCAAAGCTTCCTCTCTCCCAAAGAACTCAAGCAAGCTCGTCCAGGTAAGACTCCTTCTCTTATTCTACCATCCATCGTCTTATCATCGCAATTGGTATCAAGAAGCAAAAAGAGAGACACTCCCTGCTGGCTGTGTGACGGCTGTGGCACCCCTTTTTTCCCTTACTGGAGCACCCTTGAAACGCCCTCACTTCCTTCCCTCGAAACACGGGCATAACAAATAAACAACAAGGGCTTTAAGAAGGTCTCGGGGACTCAAGAATTACACAGACTCTTCACTTCTCTTGACTCTTCTCTCCTCTGCTGTTCTGCTGTCTACCGTCTACTGTCTGCTAGTGCAAGCTTACTGACTCGACCGTGTCCAGCTCACGTTCTGACCCAACCACGAGATGGCCTTCACCAAGTACCTCGTCTCGGCTCTGGCCGTTGCCAGTCTGGCCTTCGCTGACAAGTGTAAGTAAAACGGCGTCTGATACTGCCTGTGGAAGAAGACATGAAGTTGTATGGATATATATGGATGAATGGTGCTGACGGATGACTAGCATGCGAGGGAGACGTTACCATTGAGAACCAGCAGGATGCCGGCAAGCTGAGCAGCTGCAAGAAGTGGGATGGAGACATCACCATCAGCGAGAAGATCACTTCTTCCATCTCCATCGACGGCGTCGAGGAGGTCACCGGCTCCGTCATCGCCAAGAACTCCAGCATCACCGAGTTCTCTATCTCCAAGCTGGCCACCATTGGTGACTCCCTCAGCCTCAATGCCTGCACCTACCTGAGATCCCTCGACCTCCCATCTTTGACCAAGGTCAAGTCCATTAAGCTGGAGGCTCTGCCCAAGCTCCAGACCCTCGGCTTCACCAAGACCGTCTCCAAGGCCAGCACCATCTTCATCACCAACACTGACCTGACCTCCCTCACCGGTATCAACCTCGAGACTGTTGTTGACATGATGGTCACCAACAACCCTCACTTGACTGAGGCCAACGTCGACAAGATCACCAACGCTACCGGTTACGTCAACTTCGCTGCCAACCACAAGGACCTCTCCATCAGCCTGCCCAACCTCGAGGGTGCTCACAACATGACCTTCCGCAACACCAGCGGTGTCTACATTCCTTCCCTCGTGCAGATGGACGGTCTCCTCGGCTTCTACTCCAACTTCTTCTCCAACTTCAGTGCCCCCAACCTCACCTCCACCGGCGACCTGGTCTTCACTAGCAACTCCATGCTCCAGGAAATCTCCTTGAAGTCCCTCAAGTCCGTCAAGGGTGGCCTCCAGATTGCCAACAACAGCGCCCTCGAGGAGATCAACGGCTTCCCCAAGCTCGCTACCATCACTGGTGCCATTGACGTTACCGGAAAGTTCAAGAAGTACGTTTCTTCCTTTCTCCCTTTTTTTCTATAACGAAGTATCACCTGCTAACATATAATAAATAGGGTCGAGTTCCCAGCTCTCAAGGAAGTCCGTGGTGATGCCAACTTCCAGAGTACCGAGGTCTTTGGCTGCGACCCCTTCGACAAGGCCAAGTCTGACGATGTCATCCGCGGCAAGCTTACTTGCCGTGAGAAGCAGGAGAAGCCCAAGACCGGTGACGACACCTCTGGTGACGGCGGTGACAGCCACACTGGTGCTGCCCCTGCTTTCGCTCAGGCCCCTGCTGGTCTCTTCGTTGCTCTCCTCGGTGCTCTCCAGTTCCTCTTGTAAACTAAAGCATGTCCGAAAACCTCCCACTTTATCTCCAAATACCAAAGTACATGATGGCGTTGTTCTCTTTTTTTAGCCCTCCTCCTCCAACCACTACATCAGCTCTTGTACCGTTCGCCTTCCTCTTCTCTCTTATGACACAGTTTTACCCTCCTTTTTTACCTCTTTGTGGCATTCAATTAAATTGTATCTCTTTGCCCCCCTTATGTCCGCTTTAATGGTTTATTAGTCCAAGTCGAACGGTAGTAATTCAGCATCTCTTACTCTTTTACCATCTTTTTTCACTATCTTTTTCTCGCGTCGTACTCTTGTCGTCGTACTCTTCTTGGTCTACTCATCTTGGTATTTTCTTCTTGGTGTGCTCTCTCGTGTAGTCCTGATAAGCCCCCTTTTCGCCCGTTTTGATACAACGTCCTGCTTATATAATACGAGTCCACGTGACCCCTTACGCAAGTCGCTTTCCTTTCATCTCGCTCGCTCAAGAAAAAGTTGCCCCTATGCAGTATCACCTTCGCCCTCGCATTTTCTTCTCTCTCTCTATCGCCTGCGTCTTCGTCTTCGCCTTCGTCTGCGGCGTCCCATTGTTTCTTTGCGCCTGTTTTCTTCTTCTCTTCTACTTCTTCTTCTTCTTTCGGATACTCTGCTCTCTTCTTCCCTCCGCTGTTGGGCGGCTCAAGGTTAGCCTTTCCAGATAATCAAAACCGTTCTTCTAAGACATTGAGCTGACTGACATGTCTAGAACTCGGAAGATACTTCTCATCCCTTCTCTAGCCGAAAGGAAACCAAGAGAGACCACGCGTACACAGTGTTCGACGTACAGGCGCGCTGTCACGTCACTCGTTTTCACTGCCGGACGAACCCCATAGCCTGATTCCACTTCTCTGCTGGATAACACCCGTCTCAGAAGGGAGTACTTGGAGTACAAACAACACAAGTACTCGAGTACATACCGGAGTCAGAGCCGAGTAAATCAGGCGTGAGAGAACAAGATCGTGAAGACAGAATACACACGCGGCCAAGATGCTTCTCCCCAAGGGCGGCGTTACATGGAAGTCGGCAAAGTCCAACCTGCCGCCATGGAAAGCGGTGCTCATGCTCCTTTCGAAACCCCGATTCATCATCTCCATTGCCGCTGCGGGGCTGGTCATACTGCTCTGGGGCGGCGTCAGCCGGTCGACAGCGGAGATGCAGAGGTTTGTAGCCCATACATACATCTCCAACAATAACCTACATCCATACTGATTAATTGAGCGATAGATATTACTGCTTCGGCCCATCAAAACCTCCAAACCACATGTCCGCCAACGAACTGGTAGACTGGCACTCCCATCTCCAAACCCCCGTCATCTTCAACCACCACGAAGCCTACCAAATAAACAACACCTCCATCCAAAACGTCAACCTGAACCTTATCAAGGCAACCCCCAAAGCAGCCGCAATGGAAGAACGCATCTTGATCCTCACACCCCTACGCAATGCCGCTAGACATCTGGATAAATACTTTGACTTACTTTCTATGCTCACCTACCCACACCATCTGATCGATATTGCCTTCCTGGTCAGTGACAGCAACGATGAGACACTAGCCGATCTAGCTGCGAACTTGAACCGTGTGCAGTCGATGCCGGACAACATCCCTTTCCGCAGCGCGATGGTCGTAGAGAAGGACTTTGGCGCTACGCTGGATATGAATGTTAATGCGAAGCATGGATTTGAGGCGCAGGCTCCCCGACGGAAGACGATGGCTAAGGCCAGAAATTTCCTGCTGGCTACAGCGTTGAAGCCAGAGCATTCCTGGGTTTATTGGAGAGACGTCGATATTGCCGATAGCCCGCCTAAGATTATCGAGGACTTCGTCGCGCATAACAAGGACATCCTTGTTCCTAGTATGTGCTTTTTCCCCCCAGCTAGCTAGCTGGCTAGCCACTTCATTGTGGATACGTGCTAACTGTGTTTTACAGATGTATGGTTCCACCGATATGTCGATGGCCACGATATCGAGGGAAGATGTAAGTCAACGAACGAATGCTTCCTAACTTGGGCGTTCGTCAGTGCTAACACTTTAAATAGTTGACTACAATTCTTGGGTTGAATCGGATAAAGGCCGGAAACTGGCTCAGAGCCTAGACAAGGACACCATCATCGTCGAGGGATACAAACAATTCGACACCGGGCGCCGATACATGGCTAGAGAAGGTGACTGGAGAAGAAACAAGGACGAAGAGCTCGAATTGGATGGAATCGGCGGTGTCAACATCGTTGTCAAAGCTGATGTTCACCGTGCAGGTACGCCGCCTACCTACCCACCCACCCACCCACTTACATAGGATATATCGACTAACGTCACCTTTAACAGGCATCAACTTCCCCTCATACGCCTTTGAGAACCAAGCTGAAACCGAAGGTTTCGCTAAGATGGCTAAGCGCGCGGGATACCAAGTCGTCGGCCTACCGAACTACGTCGTCTGGCATCACGATACCGAAGAAAAGCCCGGAAACGTCTAAAGCTCAAAAAGCGCCTTTCACTCTTCTTCCTCGCCCACGCATACTTTTCTCACAACACATTAATGACATCCCCCGGAGCCACAACGTGCGCCCTCCTCCATGAAAATCCCCAACTTGCATACCGCGACAAATACCAAAAGCCACGTTTAAATCACATAGGTACCTTCCTCCCATTAAGCGGCCGGCCTAACTCCCACAAAGTGCGAAACTGCTCGTCTTCCACTTCCCGCTCATTATTTATAGACCAACACCTGCCTACCTACCTGCCTTACCTTACCTTTCCGTCCATGATTTCGCTATGTCTTTTTCTCATGTTTGCTTCCCTCTTTTTTTCTTCCTTTTCTTTCTGTATTATCTTCTACCTCGTTTCGTTGTCTCTTCCCTTCCAGATCCCCTTTTTTCAGGATCAGCACATATGGTATACAAGCTAACCGTGCCAAAAACTCGACCCGCCAACGTCAATGTCAACATCAATCCTGAGTCTTGAGTCTTGCGGCCAAGTTGCTTCATCCATACATATGCTTGAGGTTCAACCAACAACCTATATCACATTCCCGTGCAGGAAACCAACCCTTTTATTTTCATTTTCAATGTTCATTTCTCCACCAAACACTCTTAATCCCCCGCCTATTCTCTATTCCTTTCATCCTTGTTTTCCTTGACTGATTGACTGGTTGTTTGGTTCCCCTTTTCTCCCGTTTCAGTTTCAGTTTCACACTTAACTTTTGGGCTAGGCGTTTCCTCCTTCCATTCCGCCTTATATCTCTAATTTCCATTTTGACAATCAGGGGGTCGCGTGCCTCCGTCTTCTACTTTTCCTATCCTCTCTGTTGACGGATTACTTTTCTTCTCTTCCCTTCTTGATTTTCTGTTCTCCTTTTTCTCTTATCCTTTTTTTTTTTGATGATGAATGTGTGTGTTGAAGTAGTGGCTAGGTGGTTGAAGTAAGGAGGTAGGAAGGGCGGGGAGTTAGGTCGTGGTGTAAGATTTTACTTACTTCAATGCATCCCAGGTGTTTTATCTTCTTTCTTCTTTTCGTGGTGTAAGATGTGATAGATCGTAGAGGTGAGGTCTATCAATATATCAAGTACCAGTATATATTACATATAATATATATCCACCTAACTCTTTAACAGACAATGGTACAGCCCCTGGTGGCAGCAAATTACTAGATTAAATATCAACAAGACTAGAGAAAAGAAAATAATATACAACATCTATTCTCCAGCTTAATCAAACAAAAGGGCATGAAGACGAAAACAAACATCTAAACGCCAGGTATATGTGTGATGCACAATACATGGCACCATCTATGACAAACAAATCAAAAGAGACGTGCCTTAAGGGGGAGGCGAAGGTATATTTTGACCGATCACGGCGCGAATCAATGATTCGTTAAACCAAGTCGGTTCCGCAATGATAGCCAATTCTCGTAGATCTCTAGCTTTATCTCAACGCGAAGGTAGCTAACCCAGGCCTGAAGGAAGCGAAGAAAGTTCGGTGGCCAGAATATGCTTCCTTGCTTAGAGATAAGCTCCATTTCCTCCGAGAAGACAGCGCAGGTAGCGTATTTGGCTAGAATGAGAAATGTCCGTACGGGGCCGTGGCGGGTATGCAGATTCTCATCAAGGTTACGAGCTACAGAGATTATCCTGTTAGTTCCCACCCCGAACAGCAAGAACTAGTAATTCAATTTAAACTTACTGAGATCGTTTGTTTTGAGGATCAGGAGCATTACACGCGGAACTTTGCCTAGCAGACTGACTAGTTCCTGTAACATCCCATCTCCCAACGCAGTGGTGATCGATTCTTTCTCCTCCGATGATCGAGAAGATGCGACTTGGTTCTGTGCAAGGACGGTATAATCTCTTCCGGTAATGGCGCTTGCAAACAGAGGGAATTCGGCGTCTGTGACGCCCGCAACTTCGTATGCGTACTTGCGCATCTCCTTTTCATCTGCGTTGATCACAGCAAGCCAGAGTTTGGCGTAGTTGATACGCATTTCCTTGGGGATGGTTCGGTATAGGCCGTGGTCATATAGGACGATATCGAAGTTAGGCCCACGTTTTCTGGTGTTGTTTTTGCAAATTGCAATGTTTCCTCCGTGAGGGTCACAGTGTAAAGGCGCGCCATCGCCGAAGATCATTTCGTTGAATATGTGAGCTAGCGAAGCTGATACCTCATCACGGTCGATGTTGTTTGAGTCAAGGAACTCAAGGTCATCTGGTCGATGGCCCGATATGAACTCCATTACCAGAAGGCGTTTCTTCGCCCAAATAACTATGATGAAAACAGTGTTAGTGAAACAGGAGATAGATAATTTTGGGTATGGTTCAACGGGTGCCTACCTTTTGGAATAACGAGTGGTGCAGTGGTCCTTTTGCTAAAGTATTCACGGGCCACTCTCGCATTTTCGGCCTCCATTTGGAAATCCAGCTCCTGAGGCAATGAGAAGTCCATCTCCCTGGCCAGCCATTCAAGGTCATATTCCGGAAAGACTCTCTTTAGAGACGAAAAGGTGAAACGTGTAAGGCTCAGATCCAAGGGAGCCCACTCCTGAAGGGTAGGGTGTTGCACCTTGACAGCAACTTTCTGGCCTGTTTCTCTCAGGACAGCCACATGTACCTGCGCTAACGATGCAGCTCCAATGGGCATTGGGTCAAAACTAGAGAAGATTTCGTCTATCGTGTGGCCCGTATCTTTGAGAAACATTTCTTGAACGGACTCAAATGATGAAACTGGGCATTTGTCCTGGAGGGGGATGAAGGTGGTTGTCCATTCTAATGGTAGTAAGTAGCCTAAGCTGCTTAGATGCTGACCCAGCTTGATGAATATCGAGCCGTTCTTTTCAAGGACCTTTAGTGTTCGGTCGGCGCATCTCTGATGGCATGCGTTTAAGAGTGCGGTTCTTTCCTCCTCCGTATCTGTCTCTTTATTCAGTGTTACCCGGTAGCTATTGAAAGGTCAGCAACTACACACGCCGCATAAACTGTCGGTTCAGAACTCAACTCGTTGATGCAAATCAGCAAACCAGCCACAACTCTTCCCGTCCGCTCTGCTGCTTGGTATGCGTGCTTCACATCGTCATAGAAGAAGAGTAAGGTCCCTCCAAGAGTGCCAGTGGTAGCCGCCAGTATGAACCCCTTTCTTGACCTTATCCTCCCCTTAACCCCGGAAGCTCCATCATGCTCGCTACCACTTTTCTGTCCATAACGCAGGCTCGTACCATGGTATAACCGTCTATTGCCCAGAAACAGGCCCCTAGAACTCCTGTTATTATCCCACCGTAGGCATTGCTGGTATGGCCACGCTGGTATGTTTCCGAGGGCCGGTTTCAGAGTCAAGAATCGAGTCGCGATCCGGGCAGACATGGTAGGCCAGATCACGGAGCCGGAGACTATCTATCTGTACGCCAGATTCTGAATTGACCATCTCCCATTGCGACTCAGCGCGGCGTCGAATTGGATGTTCGAAGGCGAGAGTTGGTACAACAAGTTCATCTTCGTGAAGGTTTTCTTGTCTCGGTAGCTTTTGACTTTTTTCCTTATCGATAAGAATTTTGCCTCCTTTCGCGGTTACTTTATCAGCTAAAAAGACGTTAAATCATACGACGAAAGATGACAAGGAACATGCGATGTTTCTCTTAAATGGATGGTTTAAGGTGAAGCCAGGGTAGACGGATACACGGGCACACGGTTGTTTGATAGCGGGAGGCGCCTATTCGCCCTCCCTGTGGATGGAGGTGGATGGTGGCTCGTTCCTGGCCGTGGCGGATCTTGACCCCTGAGCCAGCGCAGCGAGTTCCTCGAGTTAAATAGTTACGCAGGATGATTGATAAAAAGTAGATGCCTTAGAGAGATGTTTTGAAGTAGAAGAGAATAAAATATCAAGCAACGAAAGAAGGCAGACCCTGATACTGTGTCAAGGAAAGCAGTTATCGTCTTGAATTATCTCCTTAATCCTTTTTTAAGGCCTCGATCTGCTTGCTGGGTGCCTGAAAAAACAGTGAGTGCAGCCATCTCATTAATATTACAACACCGCTGCTGTTTCCCGCCATGGGCCCGAGAAACATCGTCTGATCGTCTAATTGATATACAGACTGCAGAACACCCATACGGCCTAGAAATCCTTCTTTGCGATGGCTGTTACCGAAACCGCTGCTGGGCGAGCAGCGTCGAAGGAGCAGCCTGGCTCTGGTGCTACTCCCCCAGATAGCTCAGTCGAAGACCATTTCTTCTGGACATACACCGAAGAACCACATAGAACACGGCGGCAAGCTATCATCAAGGCCCATCCAGAGGTGTGTTATCCCCGTTCTGCTGCTCTCAATGGGCTGGTTTTGAGATCCTGTTGTGTGTGCGGACTGCGCTGACCGACTGGACTTGGACAACCACACAGGTGCTGAAGCTTTGCGGTCACGAACCTCTTACCAAATATCTCGTCCTCGCCGTCGTCTCCCTTCAGGTTGCATGTGCATACCTCCTGCGCGATACCTCTATTTTGTCATGGCAGTTTTTTGTCACTGCGTACGTCGTGGGCGCTACCGCAAACCAGAACCTGTTCCTCGCAATACACGAAATATCACATAACCTCGCATTTAAGTCGCCCTTAGCCAACAGACTCCTGGCCATTGTTGCCAATCTGCCCATTGGAATACCATACTCTGCTTCGTTCCGAGTCAGTATTCCTTGCTATGTTCAAATCTGGTTATCAATGGGAGTGCAATGCTAATACTTACATAGCCATATCATCTCACACACCACAAGTCCCTTGGTGTAGCCGGTCTGGATGCCGACCTTCCAACCGCCTTCGAAGCACTCTTCCTTGATTCTTTACTCGGCAAAACATTCTTCTGCACCTGTCAAATCCTCTTCTACGCCATCAGGCCCATGTTCATCTATACCCCCAAGTTCACGTACATTCATCTGATCAACATCGTTGTGCAAATCGCATTCGACATTGCTTTGTGTAAATTCACCGGTTCCCTCCAGCCACTCTACTACTTCATCCTAAGCTCTTTCCTGGCTGGCTCATTACACCCATGTGCCGGCCACTTCATTGCGGAACACTACTTCTTCTCTCGCATCAAGACTGGTGGCACTGAATCCCTTCTCACCCTCAAACAGCAAAAGGAACAGCAGGCCACAAATACTAAAACTGTCGACCCTTCAATCCCGCCGCCAGAGACATACTCTTATTACGGTATCCTGAACATTCTGACATATAACGTCGGTCTGCATAACGAGCACCATGACTTCCCCGCCATTCCATGGTCACGTCTTCCCAAACTGCATGAGATTGCAAAGGAGTATTATGAAACCCTTCCTTGCCATCGTAGCTGGGTCTGGGTGATCTGGATGTTCATTCTAGACAAGGATGTTGGTATGTGGTGCCGTGTTAAGCGTGCTGAGGGCGGCCGGATCGTTGGCGGTGATAAGAAAACTACCAAAGCTGACAGCGGGTGGGCTGAAAATGAGATTCAGAACTGATTTGTGACTTTTGCTACTTTTGAAAATGATGGATTTTGGCCTTTTTTTATCTTCGGCATGTTTAGATATTCGATCCTGTTTAGAGATGGCCATGTTTCGTGTCTACCACCTTAATTCTGCACGTGTTCCCCAATTCATAATCTATACCGTATACCAATACCAAGCAATTGATATAAGAAAAACACGGCGAAGTATGCATTGCATCATAAATGTATTTGGTACTATCTGTATGTAGCTGTTGTCTGTCTTTCGGTCTTTTTTTGTCTTCTGAAGGTAGATTTTTTTGTAACTCTATTTTCGGCCGTCGAGTTGCAGATATACCACATAAAAAGCCAAAAAGCTGTGTAGTATCTCACCTGCGCTAGCTGTCATCATGCATCAAGTTTAAGTAGACAAGGGGAATGAAAGAAAACCTGGTGAGCCAAAGGAGGGCGAAAGAAAGGGGGTACAAAAACAAGGGGAAGGGAGGGGGAAATAAAAGGCCCAAAACACAGAGCGGTAAACAGGACGCCAAACCAGCCCATTACTTTGCATCCTGTTCCTGTTTCTGTGTCAGGAGCACGGAGAGGCTGGTTAAAGCAGCCCGATTCTCGACGCGATGAAACAAGAGGATGCAACAAAAACCAAGGCAATAGAAAAATTGCACCAAAGATACCCCCCCATTTTGTAAGTCAAAGGTAAGGAAATAAGAAAGCCGAATAGTCCTTATGAAAGCAAAGAGGAAGAGAGGAATAAAAAATTCGCCAAGGAAGCGGTAGTAGTAAACGAAGAGAATGCAAAGGCGGCAATTGCATCTTTCGTTTGTTTTCATTATTCTTCCTTGATTTATTGGCTATTGTCACGACTCGCCATCTCCGTCGTGGCCCATCATATCCGTTTCCATCTTGCCGTCCGGAGTCTCACCTATACTAGGCAGTCCTGGATCCGCTATTGGTTCTTCCCTCATACAGGCATTCTCTAGAATATTGGTCCATTTCCCACTCGAGCCAGCGTGAATATGTTTCAGGTGCTGTCTGAGATGGTCTGCTCGCCAGAACTTCTTGGACTGGTTGCACTCTCCGAACTTATGGACAGATGTTAGGTGTTCGATTCGAACATCCCACTGCGGAGCTGGCAGATTAGGAAACTCCATGCCGCAGAAGCCACATGTGTCATGGGTCGACGTGGTAGAACCAGGGAGCTGGCCGCTAGATGATGAAGATGAAGGATGAAAGGCGGATTCATAACCTGCTAGGGATCCACAGGACCAGGAGTGATGACGGATATGAAGAGACGCGCGGTGCCGCTCCGCTTCATTTTTGTTCTTGAAGCGCTTGTGACAATAGTTGCAGTTATATTGCTTTTCCATTTCATGGGCTCTAGAAGGGGTGCATGCAGTATTAGCCTTGAAATTCATATTGAACAAAAGAAAAAGCAAATACCTGCTCGGAGTCTGGGGCGCTCGAAAAAAGAAAGGAAAAAAGTTCGTACCTGAGTTCTTCAAGGCTGTCTAGCTTCTTTGGTTTTGTATGACAGCACTCGCATATATACGACCGGCCAACACGCTGAGGGTTCTTTGATGAGTTCGGACAAGTGTGGGATCCCTTTCGGCCTGACGCCGCCGAAATCGAATTCTTCTTCATATCCGCTGCTGATGTAGACAATGGTTCAGGGTAATGTCCTGGTCGAGGCATGCTCAGTATTGGAGCAGAGGTAGACTGCTTTTGGGCAGGGCTGCTCGTAAATCCTCCTCTGTCATAGTGATCCACATCAGTAGGGGAGATTCCACCTGGGGACGGCCGATCATAGGAGGACATGCTGCTCGCCCCAACTGACAGGCCAGTTGAGGAGGCATATGATCCGGTACGCATGCTTGCTGATGAAATGGACGATATCGAACCATGGCTAGATTGGTATCGAGCTCCGCCGGGAGATGTGCATATTCCATTATTAAAGGGGAATCCCGACATACGCCTGTCACCGCAGCTTGTGCTGAGCCCTACATCCTCATGTCGTGCTACCTGTGGCGGAGAAGAGGCCCTTCGCTTCATACCACCATGGTTTGATAAAGGGGATAGACCCTCAGCATATGATGGCATCCGTTCGCCCAGACTTCGCTGACGAGTAGTTTTCGAATGCATACTGCTCGAATGCGCGTCGTCCATTGATATATCTGTGTCCAGGTCGGGGAAGAAAGACCGATCATGGCTCCTTCTCCCAGAGTGTAAAGGTAAGCTATGTGCGGCTTCACCATATCTAACCGGGCCACTGCTGGTTCCTCCGGAATATTTCTCTCGCGCATGGCTGAACTGGTCCACTTCCATAGGCGAGAGACCGCTGGTACTCCCCTCACGTTGATTCCGGAATGCAAGGTAATCTGAGAAGCCACTCCCTCCAGTACCCGGAGATATACCAGCAGAAGGAGGGCCGCTGCCCCATCTCATATCCTGTGGACTAAGAGTCTCGTCGGTGAGGGTGAGAGCAGAGAAGCTCGTCTGGACTCTGGCTGGGTCTCTTGGTGTTGTAGCAAGTCCTAGTACTGCGTTCCTCGGCGGGGACGCTGGGCCACCAATTTTCGATAAGAGATTTCGATCGTAGGCATTAATGGAATGTTCAACACTCTTTTCCGAGAGCGGTTTTTGCCTATTCCTGAGCTGTTAGTCTATCTATGTATGGTTCTGCTGTAAGAATACGTCATGAATCACCTTGTGCTAGGCAAAATCCTGGTATCTAAAGTATGAGATAGCGATCCAGTCTGGGAAAGAGACCTGCCCGGCCGTGTTAGAGGGCTAGCAGGAGAGAAGGCATTCCCATCACCAAAGGAACTGATCAAAGGTGCTGATCGCGGCCCTACAGTGGTCTCTTGCTCTGATATAGAACCTGAACCAGGTCTCCTGGCATCGGCAGCCCTTTGTTCTTCTGCATCCAGGCGAAATGTTTCGTCCCGTCTACGCAATGGTGGCCTGGCATGGCCTCCTCCAAAGAGACTTGAGCCAGGGTTGATGGGCGGCAGCATTGTTCCTGCAGCAGTGTCTCGACTGGTGGAGGTATCTCTAGTGTCCATTTCCGTACCTGCTGCGCCCGGTGCTGCGCCTGATGCTCCTGGTTTGCCTGGGTAGAAGGTGTTTCCCCATCTCCAGCCTGAGTCGTGTCCGTTGGCAAGTTCTTCTATAAACCGTGGCGGTGGAAGAGGCGGCGGGGCGATTGTTTCTTGCGACCTGGGGATGGCCATTGGTCCATAGGAGGGTGAGTGAGGCGTAGAGTCAGTATAAGAGGGCGAGAGCCGGGCCTGCTGTCCACCGGTGCTGGAGCTGGAGCAGGAGCCAGAGCTGTCGCTGTTTCTGGTGCTGTGGTAGCGGTGGCGAGTAGGAAGCTGTTCTACAGCAGAATCAGAGACGAGAATCGAAGGCGTAGAGGTCAAGGGCATGTCCATTCTTTCAACCCATGCGTACGGCCCACGACGTCCTGGCTGACGCGCATCCAAAGGTCAGCCCAGGCAGACGAAATAAAGGGAAAAGGCGAAAAAAACGGGGATATCTCAGGTACGCTGAAGTTTAGCAGTTCGAGGACGCCTATGCTTGTTAGCCGGTGGCCATGTGAGAGAAGAGAATATCGAAGGCCGAACGGTGGCGGCGGTGGCAAGCCAGATACGAGCTCTATATATACCACAGTGCAACAAAAGGACGATGGAGACCAGGCAGCGGGTGTGTAAAAGAGCCTGGCTGTCCGTCTATCTGTCTCTGTATATAGGTATATGGGGAGAGGTGGAGGAGGAGGAGGAAGAGACAGCAAGGACGGCCAGCTCGAGCGCAAAGTCCCAAGCCAAAGGGCGAAAGTTGAAGGAGGAGAAATATGGGCGAAAAGGAAGTTTTGATGGATCCCTTGGAAAAAGAAAAGATAGACGGCCAAAACGCTAATCGTAGGGCTGAAATTACGATACTTCTACATGTGCATACTTCTCATATAACTGCTCCCAGTCTCGCCAGCCCTGAGACAGCGGCCCGAGAGAAGATGCAAGAACCAGCGCCAGGAGATGGAAGACGCAAAATAGAGAAGGAAGAGAGTTGTCGTTGAAAGAAGGTACAGAGTAGCTTAAAGTTATAAATAGAAAAACAGCAGAAAATGGAAGGAACGAAGATAAAATACAGAAAAGCAGGGCAGAATAAAAGGCGGTGTATCATGGGTATTGTAAGGTCGATACGCCTATCCCGAGTTGCCGTAAGATAATACCGGTATGTTACAGTAAGTTACAGCTTATTAATAACACTCTATTAGTCAGTATTCTTTGTCTCCATTTGCTCTTTTTTCCCTTTCCACAAGGCAGGCATTAAATGCTCTGTGCAAGCTTGAGCTGCCAGCTCCCTTCTCTCCTCTGAGTAATTGGTAGACTCACCTCGAGTGTCGAGCTCCAGTCGCCATGCTTGCTTGCAGTGAGACATCGGGTGGCCACTTGGTAAAAGCTCGCCACAGTGCCTACATGTCCGGCTGGTACGGAGTAGATGGAGGCATGGTCAATTGATTGAGTTTCTATGTATGTTCTCATCAGACTTTCCAACCGTCAACGGTAACTTTGCTCCTTGACCAACGCTGTTTGCAGTCCGAATTCAATCCCATCTCCAGTTCCATGGAATCATTCCAGGGCTTCTCTCAAAGTTGAACCATGAACCACCATCTATATATCATATAAGGAATAGACACAGGCTATATAATGCCAAAACACCACCCAATAGTTTCGGCCAACTCTATTATTGTTACTAGTTATCCACTCACGTGACTCTCCTGTAATTTACGGGGAGCGACAAGGGTTGAGAAGGGAAAAAAAGATAGTCACAGGAGGTCGAAGCAGAAGAAACAGACGACCAAGAAGAGAGGAAGAGCAAAGTCGACGGGCTGGCTGGCTGGCTGGGGGGTACTTGGTGCTTGGTGGCAGCTGCAGGCGACGTCCATGTATCCCGGTTGATGGGTTATTCCCTGTAGCGGGCCGCCCTTTAGGTCTGCGAATTTCCACAAAAACATCCCCCGAGAGCGGCAGCTTCCTTAGGCTCTTCTTTCCTCCTGTCCATCGTCTTTCTCCTCGTCCTCTTTTCCTTCTCCATTGTTTTGCTGCTTGAACAGAGGGTCTCTCCGCGGACTTACTCCTGCAGAGAGCCACATTACGCCCACAAAAGCGTAAAAAAGGAAAAGGAAAAAGAAAGCAGAGAACATATTAGTTATCCTCTCGTTATTTTCTTTTCTAGAAAATGCAGGATAAGGTCTCGATCAGGGCCTAGCGGAGCTTTTCTTGACATTCTGGTAATTTATCTTTTTTGCCCGTTCGTTCCACAGCACCAAAAGGAGCAGCAGCACAGCATTGCAGCACAGCATATACATACATACCACACTGTTCCCCGTACGCCATCCAGCAGAGTGAGCGCCGAGCTGGATAGCTGACGCTGGGCGAGGAAAGACGGGCGTACCCCACCTTCTTCTCCCTATCTCGATAACACAGCTGAAGAATGGCGTAACAGAGGAGACCTGGGTTGGACACGACTCCATACACGATCTGTAACCTGTACTCCGTACGGGGTACAGCTATCACGGTGTAATGTATAACTATATGTATCGAAATTAGCCCATGAAATCGCCAGTTTATGTGGATGCAAGCCTTTCCGTGATAAGTAAGGCGTCGGTTGTAGAGGAGGGCCCTGTATAATAGTATGCACTTTCGTAGACTAGACGAATAATGGTGTTTCTGCGCATGGAGTATGGAGATGCCGGGGGGAGTGCGTTGAGGCGCAGTCCTCCAGGGATCCTCCTCCCCACCACCACCGCCGCCGCCGCCGCCGCCAGTAACAGCAATTCACATCGCAAGCAACGCACAGAAGCTTGCTTGCTAAGAAGATCGGTCCAGTACCCTGGCGTTCTCTTCTTCCCTTGTCTGCAGTGGAACGATCCTACTTGGCGGGGCTTTCAGGATCAAACTAATGCACTGTTAGCAGATAAGTTCACTTGCCTGGTTACAGACAAAAATGTACGTGTATACTTCCCTTCGCGAAGGGGAAGTTTTCATCTCGCTCTTCGTTGCCCTCCTGGCCCTGTCTATTCTCCCTCTGCTCCTCCCCGCATGTCCCTCGAAATATACTAGGATTCGCTAAATGATCCCATCGTCTCACACCAGACACAACCCGCCTCTGCTGATGGAGGAGGGAGCCAGAAACCTAGTTCCGATCGTGTGATACGTTTGGTCATATAGGGCTGAATTCGAGAACATCCTCTCTCTCCTCTTTTACATACTCTCGTCTCTTTTCTTCATCCAAGGATGTGTGTCTCGTCATGGTTGGTCGGGCTGGTATTCACGGGAAAGCAAAACGAAGGTTGACATTCAGGGCCACAGACCGTACCATGTATCGGCCATACCAACCAAAACCACACGGCCGGTACAATTTCCCTGGCAGGGACCCACGGGCGGTAGGTATGTAGGTAGGCGGATGGCCTGGTTGAAAATGATTTGCCATGCCCTCCCATGCGACCAACTGCATAAACACACACCCACTCGTTAGTGAGGTGGATGAAGATGGGAGTGAAGGAGGAGTGATGCCAGCGATGTCCTGGACCCTTGCCGTCTCCCTCGCCATCAGCCCTTACATGGGGCTGGCCACCGGCATCGCGGTACGCTTGGAAGCTGAAATTCATACTCCGTACATATAGCAGGAGTATTATACTATACGGAACGCCCTCTGTATCGTAAAATAACAGCCTAACAATAAGGATACTGGAAAATAGTTCGGTCGTTAGCAGAGAGCCTAATCTTCAGCGAGTCGCATCTTGTTACCACCAGAGCGTCCTTGCCCGTCTCCCCTCAGCTGCAAGACTCAACCCAGGCATCGGCCTCACCGAGCTCCCTCCTCATCCTCCACCCTCTTCGTCGTCCCACTGAGCAGCACCTCCATTTGCCGTTGCTTCTTCCTCTTCTTCCTCTTCCTCCTCTTCTCCCGTCGACGTCAGTCGAGGTGAAGTTCCTCGGCTGAAAGGGAAAAGTCTTGGCATCAAGTTCTTTTTTCAACCTTCCAAACATTAAAAAAACATCAACTTTTTTTATCTTTTCTATCAACCAATTCTCAGCTAGCCATCGGCTGAGCCCCCCGTCAGCGCAGGCAGCTGTTTTATATATAGCTCCTCTCCGGATCTTCTGTCTTCGGTAGCCTAGATCCTTCGAGCCTCTGTCTTCCACTCGTATCCTTGGGCTCTTTCGTGCATACATGATCGCATGATTCCCTGTGCGTCGTGTCCAAGATAAGCTGCGAATCTACCAACCCACCTCAGCCGCCATGGCGTTGAACAGGGTCGGAGATGATAATCTCTATATTGGAGGGTTTGTTTATCCCTCTCGTTTACCCGTTTATACCCCTCAGTTCCAGCTGTTGCTTGTTTCTATCTATGGCCATACCCCTGCCTTGCCTTTTGGGCGAAGCTAGCCAGCAGAAGGATAAGCCATCCACCATGCATAGCACATATAGCTAATCAGAATATACTGTATTGTCTTGCTACTGCGTCCAGGTTAATGGCCCTGAACAATAAGCTTGCCATTGAAAGAGAAAACATTACCCATACAGTGACGGTATTACGCATAAACGTAGACGAAGAACGGTTTAAACCCTTCAAGGAACACTTGCATATCCCAGTTGATGATGTTGAGGATGAGGATCTCTTGCAGCACTTTCCAACCACAAATGCGTTCATTCGGTCAGGGCTCGAGAGTGGAACTGGAGGCGTGCTCGTTCATTGGTATGTCACTTTTGTTTCCTCCCTTTTTCATGTACATATGTTTTCTTCTTTTCCTACACTAGTTATAATTTAACACTCGCTGTCTGGCTGGGCTGGCTAACGGCGCCTATCTAGTGCAATGGGCAAGTCCCGCTCGGCGACTGTATGTATAGCATATCTCCTCCGCAAGGACCCTGGTGCCCTGACGCCCAGAGAGGCCTTGGATCTTATTCGCTGCTCCCGGCCGCTTTGCGAGCCGAATGATGGCTTCATGGAGCAATTGGAGCTTTACCACAAAATGGGATGTCCAGACAACGTCGTTGATCATCCCGTCTACCAGCGTTGGCTATATCAACGAGCCGTGCAGGACAGTGTAGCTTGCGGAAAGGGGCCTGAGCCAGATGAGATCCATTTTGAAGATCAAGGGATAAAGAGCAACTCCGACAATGGTATTAAGGACCCCGTGGGTAGAATGGAGATTAAATGCCGAAAATGCAGGTTCGTGGCTGAAAGCTATTATATCCCTTACTACTCGGCGAAGATAGTTGCGACTAATCAGATATTTAGACGGCAACTCGCCACACTACCATTCATCATCCAACATACCCCGGGAAACAAAGGCGTCGCGTCCCAGGCGCAAGCTATTACTCCGATATCATCTCCGACTCCCACGTCCTTACCGCCATCAACATGCGCCCACATCTTCCTCCACCCACTCACTTGGATGCGTCCGTCGCTTTTTCCGTCCTCTCCAGAACCAAAATCTCCTAACTCACCATTGGATCCAAACACTAACCCTCCACTCTCCGGCCGCCTCACATGTCCATCTAAATCCTGTGGTGCGAATATAGGTAAGTTCGCATGGGCCGGTATGCCTTGTAGCTGCGGAACATGGGTTGTGCCAGCCATAGCACTAGCGAGGGCGCGAGTTGATGTATTGGATGCGAATATGACGAAAGGCAGTGCGGCTGGTGGTGTGGGTGTTGGGATTCGAATGCCCCCTGGTATGATTCGAGCGCCTGTGGCTGACGCTAGGGCTGAAATGGGAGATGATGAGAGTGGGAAGGGGCTTTTATGATCGTTCATGAAGTACTTGGAATACGGAGTACGCTTTGGATGAACACTTTCAAATAGATAGATGACTAGATACCCTTTTGAAATGATCGAAAATAAAGGTCTCATGAAGTATAGCAAACTAGTAAAATGATCATGTCGATTTACTCCGTACTGGCTCAAACACGCCACCTGTCATGGAAGAAGTTTAATGGTTATGACAGATCTGTCTTCGGCACAGAAGGGAACGTCGACGGGTTCTGCAAACGTTGGCGATCCCTCTTTGACTTCTCAATAGCCTTCAGTCTATCAACCCGCATTTGATAGAAGTTCCTGCAGAGGCGGTCAGCATGGAACTAGTAACAGCCGTACATACGCTTAAATAAGAGGCATTTAATGTCGCACATACTTATGGAGCGAGTATATTCGAGGCATGTCATCAGTACTAGCACCCCCAGAACCGGCTGCACTCTGTATAGACTTGATCTGTTCCGTATGTTAGAAACAGTCTTCACCCGTGAAATATGGGGAAAGGGGCGCCACAGACCTTGTCATCTTTCTCTTTCTCGTCCTTTTTGCTTTCCTCATCGTCGGCTTTCTTCTTGTCTTCCGTCTTGTCACCGTCTTTCTCCTTGTCCTGGTCTTTCCCCTTTTCCTTCTCCTTTTCTTTCTTCTTCCGCTGCTTTTCTTCGTACTCTTTCTCCACTTTCTCGATCTCCCGGTCTATCTCCTCCTTTCTTTTCTTTGCTGCAACTTCCTCCTCGTCTATAAGCGGGGAGCAAAAGCTTTTGTCTTTTAGATGGATTGGGCAAATGTAGAAGAAATCCTGTTCCGGTCTTAACAAATATTTCTAAAGTAGGGATTTATATTGAAAGGCGATATTCTCTTCGAGCACCAGCTAGTGACGTAGGTCTAGCACTAAGCATGTTGAAAGATGTAGATTTAACTGACCTTGCTGTCGGGTGTCACTAGTACGCTGGTCGATGGCTTGTAGCATATAAGACATGATTTAGCACTGGTGTCTGCAACCCGGCGGAGGTGCCATCTATTTTGTAAAAGATGGGCCATTTTTGGAATTTTAGATACGGTAGGACAATGGCACAGGCAGTCAGAGGTATCGGATATGAACAGAGCCTAGCATGATATGCTCCTGGAAAAGTTATCGGGGTATTGTTCAAGTAGCCGTGTGGTTTGCAAATCCAGCCATATTGAGATGTAAAATGCGAGGTTTCTTCTCGATGACTTGACCATGTGATCTGACTGTTTTAACTACGCAGCAGACACAGGATATCTTAACGCATTCCAGGGGGTTTATTCAGATACTAACACGCATCGCCGTGAAGACTCAAGAATACTCGAAGAGACAATGATAGTCATGATATACATGTATTCTATAACTGGCTATCTACGACAGACAAGTAACTAAAACACTCATGCAAAATTGCTCAGAAAGCAGGCCGCCCTCCCAAAAGATTCATTGTATGTATGTAATCACTCAGTGGCACCCTCTTTATAGGTAATGGCAACGTTTTCCGGAGAGGGCAAACTCGAATTCATATTCTCAACGTTCCTTCTTGCTTCCACCCAGATCATGAATTCATCATAAGTTTGTGGCCAGACTTCATGCTGGCCCTCAACCAAGAAGGTGTAGTTGAATGTTCCTGTCGGATTGCTGGTTCCATGGTCGATGTTCCTGGCGGTTGTATCGACTCGAACTTGGACCCTGGTAAACTTTTGCCCGGTCGAGGAAGTCGAGGGAGAGTCCTGAGTATATGATACTACGGCGTTGAGGTATGAAACGCAGCCGACCGGAACTGGGTTGTCGAAGGTACTGGGTTCAAGACATAGGAAAGTAGGTCTGCTGCGTGAGAATGAGGCAGCGCAGCAGTAAGCTAGCTCGAAAGTTTGCTTGAGAAGATAGCCTCCGAAGATCATGAAATTATGTCGGTTGCGATCATAAGGCTGCATTATCTGGGCAGAAGAGAGGCTCGTGTCTTTCATATTCGTAGCTGAGATTCCAGATAGTTTAGGAGGCGTTTCACGGCCTAGAGTGTGTTAGCGAAGATACCGATACAGAGATACAGGGATAGCAATCTAGAGCCGATGGGTAATCTAGCCATACCTGCTCTCTTCGTCCACATCGCGTGGATAAGGTCACTTTCCTCATCATTAGGAGTCTGAGACTTCAGGCTTCTCTGCCTAAGATCCTTTTTGGCATTATAGTTGCGCTCTCCCTTTTCAAACAATCGACGCTCTTCAGGCGTCTCAATCAAGAGAGGCGCAACAGAGGCTGGCCTGATAATATATTAGCGATGATTACCCCAGACTTGAGAATGGCAAGCAGAAGCAACTCACTTTTTAGTCTTTGGGTCTAGAGCCACCATGGTAAAGGCACAAGTAATTAAAACATCTTCAGCCTTCACCACTTCACCCTCAGCTGGCGCCTTAGCAACCTGTAGGGATACTTCCATACTTGATCGGCCTGTAGAATAAGTAACCTGGCCACTCAATTCCAGATCACAGATCTCCTTCAGCGGATTCTCAATCGTGATCCTGTCAACTGCTGCAGTAACAAGCGCGACATCATCCCCCGCATGTCGGTAACTGACAACGCCAGCAAGGGCATCCAAGTCCATCAATAACGAACCCAGCCTGCGCTCATTAGCCATCTATCATTGTAATATTATACACGGAGTATCTGTTTGATGAATTACCTGATCTGCCCGGTTGCATTGACGTACTCGTCCAGAAGCCATGGGTCTTTACCAAGAGGTAGTATCTAAGATTCCCATCAGTTTAAGTAAGAAAAATACACGAAAATGAATGCAAAAATACTAACCGATCGATAAAAGCTGTCTTTCATTCTCTTCGGTGCCATGTTACTGGCTTGCACTGATCCTCCCGTCCTGGCCTTATCGGAGGCGCCGGTAGTTAGTCCCGCGCCCTTTTCCTTGAGGCTGTTAGTCAATGCCTCAATATATGGCATCTTGACTCTGGCTTCCGTCCATGCTGGATGAAATGTCTGCCTGGGTAGAGTAGAATGGAGCCCTCTTGACTGGATATCTGGACCCAGCGTTGCTTGAACACAGCTTCGCTGGATCCTTCGATTGAGGCATGACGGGAGGCTTTTTCTCGACGCCGACGCTATCAACAAGGATAGCGGACGGTAAGTGTGAGTATGCATAGTTATGATGCGAGATATCGCGAATTATTCGCATATATCCCCAGGCTTGAGTCCAAAGATGGAAGAGATGTAGTCGGAGATTTGGCGATGGCGCTAAATAACTAGCTGACTACCTAGCTAACGAGCAAGGGGCAACTCTTTAAATAGCTAAATACGCCTTGGAGTTGCAGTCTCAGTAGTGGATACCCGTGGTCGTGGAGACACGGGATGTCAAGACGAACAGATGAAGAGTTGGCTCTCCTCTGTACGGAGTAATAGAACTACAGGACGCAGCATAATTTATTCAGTCACTGTGGCCATGGTTATATATATGATGGCCGCCGCAGGAACTAAAATCACATATTTATCCTGAAAAAGAGCAACGCCGCGGCAAGAAAGCTAAGAAGTAGGCTAGATGTTTTAAAGACAGTAACGAATGAAATGCTCAGTGCGCTGATAACACCAGAGGAACGTATATAATGTAGAAATAAAGAAAAAAAAAGACAAGCAACCGGGTAAAAGCTATTCAGACTGAAGTCAATGTCCCAAAAAAACCTCCTAGAAACGCCGGGTAAATGCAAAGGACATGACAGCGAGGGACAAGAAAGTAGCAGGCTGTAGATACAGCCATGGCTTAACCATTGATAAGCCGGAGAAAAGTGGTAGTAGATGCTGGGTATAGAAGTGTAGATGGCAATGGTGATTAAAAGAGTAAGATGTATGAAAAATGAAGTTCATAACAGTGTGTTCGGGGAGATGAGGTAGATGACGGTTTCAGTACGGCAGCAGCGTGCTTCAACTCCAGCTACGAAGGGTGAGCGAGGAGGTAGCGGCGAGGAAAACAGCAAGGGAGAGCCATGTTGGCATCAACACGCTTGACGCGGCGTTGGGGGAGCTGGTGGGCTTATTGTTAGGCTCGCCGGTGGCAGAAGTTGGGGATGAGCCCGAACTAGACTCAGCTGGTAGACCAGGGGAGCCACCAGGTGCTTTGTTGGAGGTAGGAGCTAGAGATAACGTTAGAATGAATGTAATTTTAAGTTTGACCGATAGTTGTATAAGAACATACCTGGAGAAGGGCCGGAAGATGATGGATTCTTAGTCTCCCCATATTTCCTTGCCGCCAGCCCGACTTGCCTCTTGTCATAGTCGTAGACAGAATAAACGTTCTTCAAAAAGACATCGCCAACAAGCCACTGCTTAGGTCCTAAGAACTGCTGTCCGACGATAAGGGAGTTGCAGATTCCTTTGGTGGCAGTTTCGTACCCCACGTAGTCCTTGGGTTGGATGGTGTACTTCACTCCGGCAATTGATAGTTTGATGTCCGTCTTAGTAGAGCATGGGACAGTGTAAAATGGCGAACCCTTAACTGCCTGAGGTATCTTAGAGTGAACCAGTTCCGCATCAGCGGGAGGGAGTATAAGAAAGGACGTTCCAGTATCTATGATACCAGATCTTCCCTTGAAGTTTAGAGGCTCCCCATCCATTATGAAGTCGTCTGCTGCAATTTCCCATTGATAACCATTCGGGACGACACTCGAGTATGTCAACTCGCCAGAGAACTTGCTTGTGTCGATATCACCAAAGGTGATCTGGCCATCTGTAGCACCATCAGAGCTTCTTTGGAGGTTAATACCTATAACATTTTTCTTCATGTGGTTCTGCTGCATCAAAAGCTGTAGGACCGTTGGGAACTTCGCATTGGGATCCTGTGGCCCTACTCCTAGAATTCCATCCATGGGGTAGTTTAAGAAATCCTCCGAGGCAGTGGAGGCAGATCCAAAGGGAGTGACCAGCTCAAAACCCGCAAAGGACATGGTATCATTAACCATAACTCCAGAAACTTTCCCGGTGCCGTAAGTGACGGCCCATTTTTCATTTGTGATCTTGATGGTCTTCGAGTCCTCTTTTCCAAACGTATTGTGTGCTTCGCAGGCTTTGCTAGTGCAATCTGATCCAAATACCCAGGAAGACGATGCGCCGGTGTCAATCAACATCCACATCTTCTGTCCCTCTGATCCGATTTTGATTTCAGAGAAATATGAGAAATCAAACCCATCATTGTTGATACCGAGGGAGCTTGGTACTGTTGGCGGAGAGGCAATGAGAGCTGGGTAGTTGTTATCTCGACGATACTAGAACAACAGATCACCAAATTTGTTAGCAACTAACTGGACAATGGAATAGAAATTTTGAACACCGGCTACTAACATTACTGGGACGTCTCTTTATGTTTAGGGTTGTAGACCCGATGTGCGCATGTTTATACAACCCCGGGAAGGTGAAGAAACGTCTGCCGACATGGCCATGGTTGGATGTAAGATGCTGCGCGAAATCAGGCAACTTAATGGGATAGAATGCCAACGTGCCCGTGGGGAGAAAGTGACTGCTGATAGAAGACATAGCCATAGAAACTGCATGATCCTTTGGGGAGGGGCTCGAGATGTTTTGAATCAAGCGATCGCAGTCTTATCTCCTCATTGGCAATAGATATCTAGATATTGCAATGAAGCCCGGGAGGTTTCTCTATTTCTTTCTTTCTTTTTTTCTTCCTTTCTTTGGTAAATCTCCCAAGCTCCTAGGTGTTAGGAGCCTCTAATATAATTGCAATCTATAAAACGGCGGCTCCGCAGATAGGGGTGAAGAAAGGGACGTTATTCGAGATCCAAGAGTTCAGGGTCAGGGGAGGAAGCTCTTGAGACAGCCGCTGAAGGAGCGAATAAACAGAGGGACAAGCAGATCTTCTAAAAAAACGCAAAGACTGAAAACGACAAAAAAAACGAACAGTGAAAGAGAAAAGCAAGGAGTGAATTGAGTGAGGGAGAGTGACGAAATCCCGTCCAGACCGAGACGACGATGCAGATGCAGGAGTTCAAGTACTTTGCCCGTTTACGTTTTCGTGAGGAATAGGAGGCGAGAAGGCGTGGAATAGACCAACTTGGCTTGCGGGCCAGATCGACACAAAAAACGACCGCGGCAAAGGCCAGCGACGGTCTAGTTGGCTGAAAAAGGAGGTAGTGCGAGCGCATGCAGCCAGTAGGTGGAGCGGAGCGTATGCAGGACACGCTCCCTCGTCCACGGCAAGGAACCCCCCTGGCCCCTGCAGGGCGCCACAGCAAACATGGCACTTCCGCTTCCGCAAGTTTTGCGTCCGGGGACAGTGTGATGCCCGGATGTTTGTCGTGGAGAGGCATACTCCGTACTGGATGCGTAATTGTTCGAATTGGAGAATGCAAGAAATGCCTTCGAGTAAAAAGAAAAGAAGGCAAGTTCTTCGTGATAGGCGCTGAGTCAGCGATGATCTGGAGGCGACCTGGTTGATCTTGTGTGAGCCAGCGCTTAATATCACACGCTGTGCTGTGTGGTGCGTATGGAGTGTGCAGTGCAGCGAGTATGGGCGGTTAGAGGGTCAGGGGAGCAGGCGACTTGCAAATCCAACTTTCCCGGCTAGGGAATATTCATTCCAAAAAAAATAGTACATAATATAACTACATGCAGGCGCTAACACAGATGGGCATGAAAAGCAGTTTTGGGGGCTATATGCAAGGGTGCAATCAATAAAGGAAAGAGGATGAAGAGAGAGCCGTCCTCATCGTACAAGGGAGAAGACTCAAGCAGTTTGTTTGACAAGGAACGACAGATACCAACACCTTGTCGTGCGACCAGTATTTTTTTTCTCGGATGAGCACACTTGTGTATAACAGGTGGCAGGGTATTCGTGTATCCCTGCCGGCCCAGCGTGCTCGGTGTTGGTTTGCTTGTCAACGGGCGTTGGTTGCTTTCTGGAGACAGAATCTAGATGGGGACCATGGTGGATCGGAAGAGACAAGTCAGAATGACCAGTGGAGTTTGCTTGGTTCCTTGCCTTCGTACATAGTTGGCGCGTTTCGAAACACTGAGGTGGCCGCCAAAGATAAGAATAAGAATATTTTTCAGCTGAGAGATGGATCTGATTCCAGATGTTTGTCGAACCATCTGAAACTGAGCTGTCGTCTGCGCATATACGAAGCATTCAGCCTGTACTACAGATCGGACAATGGTTTCAAATCTAGCAAGCCATAGCCATACGGGGAAGGGCACGTCTTCTCTGCTTCGGTTCACAGATGTCCCTCCACGCGTCATCAAACACCGTCTTTTTCTTACCCACATGGCTGTCAAGAAGCTTCAGGTCTCGAACAACCTCCATACTACCTGTGCCCAATGAAATCGTCTTGCCCATAATGATACACTCAGACACTCCTTGGACAGTGTCATGTCTGCCCGCACCACCCGCGTCAAAGAGATGATCCGCCGTCTTCTCGAAACTTGCCAGCTGTAGAACTGAGTCGCGAATCTTGGCCAATCCGAAACGGGTAATTCCAAGCACCTCGCCTTTATATGTCATAACATCTGCAAGAAGCTGCATATGTCGAGGATCGATCGCCATGCCAGACATGACAGAGCTGATCTCGTCGATAATCGTCGTTCGCGCCGCCTCAATACCAAGAACGTCCCGCATCTCCATGACGTGGTTGGTACGGGTGCGGTGGCCTTCGATTCCATCAGTCGTCATGCAAGCCCGGAGGCCATATCCTTCGACCAAGAGAATGTTAGTGGCAACTTTTTCTCCAACACGAATGACTGCTCGTGTGCAGTCCGGATAGCCGAACACTTGGATGTTCGGGAGAATTCGCCTCAGGTAATTGATTCGAATGTATGGGTCTGAGCCAGTTATCTTTTGCTCAGAAACTGAAACGCCCGCCATCGACGCACCCTCATCCACATAGATGTGGATATGCGACTTGAAGGACCGGAATGTCAGATCAGTAGCCTTGAATGCTTTGTGTTTTTTAATGGCAAGTAAGATTTGCCGTAGTGTCAACTCAAGCTGCAACTTTTTAATTGTTGAGAAATCAACCTTGATGTTGATAAAAGAGGACGTCTGAGAGCGGTTTTCTTCAATATAGTAGACAATGTCCTTGAGGAACAGCTTCTCAACACGGCCTTTGACAATCTCAGCAATACGCATGTCCGTCTTGTTCACAAGCTCGCAAGTGATAATCGGCGTACTGATCTCTTTCGATGCGTTGATAATTTCCTTGATACGCGGCACACCCTGAGTAATACTCATACCAGCAACACCAGCGAAATGGAAAGTCTTCAGTGTCATTTGTGTGCCAGGCTCACCGATTGACTGCGCACCAATGGCCCCTATACTGTGGCCAGGTTCAACGTGTGCACGCATGTACTTATCCAAGCACGACGTGATAAAGGCTTTGACCGTCGAGCACTTGGATCAACAAGAAGAAGTAAGATAAATGGAAATGGAATATAGGAAATCAGAAAGGTCTGCTGCGCAGCCTTTGCTGCCACATACTCTTCAATCGAACTTAGGAAGTCACGGTTGCTTTCCCACTGGTCGGTATCGAAATCGTTTCCAGCCTTATAAGCGAGCGTGTTGCCGAGTAAATCGTACCGAACCAATTTCTTGCGCTCTGGGGCTATGAGTTCTTCACACAACACCAATATTTCATCTGCCGAGAGACCCTTGTCATTTCTGTCGTATGTAGTACTCTCTGCATGTGTAAAGGTACGGTCAAAGTGAACGGGCTTGGCCGAAGCTTCCATATTGACAGGGTCTAGCTGATCGTCTCCATACTGGAACTGGATGATAAACGATGATGAATCTCGGACAGTATTATCGTACCGAGTAGATAGATCCTCAAGCGATTTCATAAGTCTTCGTGACATGTAGCCTGTTTCTGCGGTTTTGACGGCAGTATCGATCAAACCCTCACGACCAGACATAGCGTGGAAGAGAAATTCAGTGGGAGTAAGTCCAGAAAAGAAACTGTTTCGCACAAAACCCTTCGCAAGAGCATGTTGGGAATGGCGAGCAAAATGCGGTAGGGTTCGGTCCTGGAAGCCTTTGGAGACACGAGCATTCTCAATGGATTGTTGTCCGACGACAGCTACCATCTGGGACACGTTGATGTTGGATCCCTTGGAGCCGCATGTTGCCATGATAAGTGGCGCATTGTGCTTGCTAAGCTCTGATATACAGTATTCACCAGCTTGTTGACGAACTTTGTTAAGAATACCAGTGATTTCATTCTCTGCTGTTTGGCGACTATCCGATTTACCCATTTGGGGTTTCTCTTTGCTGGCGGCTGTGATTAGATCATCACATTGCTGGAAAGCGGTGTTTATCAGGGTATCTTTTAACCTGACCAGGCTTTCTCCTGGATATACGTCCGTTATACCGATGGAGAAGCCCTTATTTGTCAACCACCTAGCGGAGAGTTTCGACAGCCTATTCATGGCCTCTGCGGCGGCCGCATAGCCGAAATCTCTTTGGATGACGAAGAAGATATTATCCTTCTTTCCAGCTCCAATTGTTGATTTGTCTGCAACTCCACATAACATTTCTGAATTGCGGATACAGAGCCATCCGTCATTCTCACACAAATCCCTCGGCTGGCCCTTGACGAGCTTGAGTTGACGACATGCTGCATCAAGGTTGACTTTGACGGGGCTGTCTTTGTTTGGTCTCATGAGAACGCTGAATACTTGCTTGCCAGTCCAGAGCATTTGTGGTTTAATCGTTGCTGGTGGTGGGAGCTCAAATCGAGTGCTGGAGTCTAGCATTGAAAGACATATCTGAGTGAATGTTTTTCTATCAAAGAAATTATCCTTACTGCTGAGCAGGTAGGCAGCAGTAATAAAATCCTGAATAGCAGCAATGATTGGCTCTCCGTTCTTTGGTGTAGCCAAGTTGCTCTTAACTCCCATAAGTTCCATGGCTTCAGCTCTCGCTTCCTCAGTCTGTGGAACGTGCAGATTCATCTCATCACCGTCGAAATCGGCATTGTACGGATTGCAGACACACTCGTTCAGCCGGAAAGTTCTATGGGGCCGGACTTTGACAAAATGCGAGAGGATACTCAGTTTGTGAAGAGATGGCTGACGGTTGAACAGAACAATATCTCCATCTTCTAAATGCCGCTCAACTACATCTCCTTCCCTAAGCTGGTTTGCTATCATGTTCAGGTTACCGTACTTCAAGAAGAGCCTGAACGAGTTGCCTTCTTTTATCAGATAATTTGCGCCAGGCCAGGTCTTTGTGCCATTCCGTATACACTGACGTAGCTTTTCCTTGTTGTATCTTGTCACCCGTTCTGGGTAGGTCATGTTCATTGCAACCAGCTGTGGAACGGCAACTTCGTCAATGCGCAAATTAGGATCCGGTGAGATGACAGTTCGTCCGGAAAAATCAACACGCTTTCCTGACAAATTTCCTCGGAATCGTCCCTGCTTGCCTTTTAATCTCTGGCATAGTCCTCGAATGGTCTTTTTGGAATCCGTATTCTGTAAGCCCGGGATATCACTGTTGATATAAACGGCAATCTGAAGTTGCATGTAGTCCCAGCATTCGATAATGGTCTGTACGGGTGCTCCTTTATCCAAGGCCATTTTCAAATTGAGATTGCTTTGGACGATGTCTCCTAGCTTTGCAGTGAGGTCATCTTCTGTACTCGCCCCCTCCTGACCGACAGATGGCCGAATAGGAACGGGAGGAGCAGGAATGAACTGCCAAAGGAAATATTCAGGCCGAGCCCCATCAACATTCAAACTAAGCAATTCGCAATCTTCATTGGAAATGCGACGAAACAGCTTCAGCACGCGGAGTGGATTTAGGTCGTCGAAAACACGTCTATAGTGTTTCTCGATATCCGGATTTGATTTTTTCGCTTCCTCAAAGGACCGATCAAAGGCAAGTTTGCTTGGTGGAGGAATCTTCTTCGCCGAGAGGGAGGCATTGAAAGCCCTGAACTTGTCGTGCACGATCTTCAAAGCTCCGGTGCTCGCTTTCTTGACGGTTCCATTGATTGCGTTGCAGTAGTAGCATATGGGAGTCTTCCGACATCTGACATTAATGCGCTTATTTATCTGCATGCGCCTTAAATTGTCCAATCCCGGTCGTCGTAGTTCTTTCAAGTATGATCGTCTCTCGTCCTCTGGAAGCAAAATCTTGGAACAATCCTAAACCGCGTAATAGTAAAAACAGACTATTAGCGTCTTCTCTAAAAGAAAAAAAATATCTGCTGTAGCGTTTTGGGCCTACCTTGCAAATATCTTGTAATATCTCAATGGTGCGCTTAAAATATCCGACGTGGAAAGCCGGCAGGACGAGTCGAACGTATCCGAAATGCCCGTTACACTCCTGTAAATCACCGCCGCATGTTTCGCAAGTATCTGACTTATTAGATATACCGAGACGAGGGTCCATGGGGCCATTTCGGGCAACCGCGCGATTGTTATCGAGATCGAAAAGCTTTCTGTCTGAGATTTCAACGTGCGCCTGGCTGATGATGTCTTGATTTGAACTGTATAGACGATTCGTTAATTTCCGCTTAAAAGACCAAGATACGTATGCGCGCTTACAGGACACCAAAATTGATCTCTTTGATGACTTTGGGCACCCGGTCTATGACCTGGGCCTTGCCCGGGTCAACAGGCAGAGCATCTGTAGCCATCACCGCGACGGCCAACTACTTAGTCCCGGCTATCTTTTTTCACAAACAAGCCAATGGCTCCAAATCCCCACTTGCTATCGTACTGTGCGTCCCATGAGTGAGAAGAAAAGAATATATGCGCCGTAGCAAGCAAGGCAAGCAACTGTAGTAGTCGACCGTCGTTGATATGTCTTTGCACCCCTCTTCGACTCATCTTGAGCTTCAAAACTTTTTTCGATTATCACATACACGTGACTTTATCTGACAGGTGATCACGTGAAGATACCTTATCTCGACGACGTCGTAAACGACAACACCATCATATAAAAAGAACTGAGAAGAAGACGAGATGAAGAAAAGAAAAGAAGAGGTACATCGTATAGCTCGATAGACCGGTATAAAGCTAATGGTAACATGCCGAAGTCGAGGCTTGTCTGGTGGTGTGCATGCTCTGTGGGAGTGAAACTATATCTGGTACGATGTTCTATAGTAGTCCTATCAGGCCACTCACAGCAGTTCAGCATGCGGAGATGCAGATGGCTGCGTCAACACGGCATGACCTTGGAAGGATCCAAGCCGTTTCAAGCTCGTGCTGGTACCATCGAGTGTCGATAAAGTGCCAGGAAACTCGATTTAGCCAATCGGATCAGATCTATATCTGGTCCATGCCTGCATATCGATATGTTGATTGGCGAGAGCGTACCCCATTCCATATTATTCCGAGCTAGCCATGCATAGCGTAGCAGTTGCAAGGACCGTGTTGCTTAGATCCCTCCCCATCCGTTGGTTTCCTCTTCTTCCCTGCAGACGGACAGAGAGAGAAAAGACATCCTTCTACATGGAAGTACCGAAGTTAACGGCGTCTTGTATGAGATGGCCCGGGAAAAAGGAAGACAAAGCTCACGCCCCCCGCAGGGTCCACGAATGCTTGAAACCGTTACTATGGACAAAGGAGGGTTTGTTTTTGTTTTTGCTCACGAGACACAGTACTCCGTAAAGATGTTAAGATGCTATAGAAAGAGGCAGGACAAAGAAAGTCGTTAATAGTTAAAAGTAGCTATGATAACTGGGGACAAGTAAGATATAAGAAATGAAAAGAGACAGTCGCCTGGTAACATATAAGACAAGGGGGACATAGAAACGAAGTCATGTTCATCCCAAAACAAAAGACCGTCAAAAAAGGTAAAAACAAGAAAAGTAAGAAGTCGGTTATTGGGATATACTACTCTGACTCGGCCCCTTGATGTCTTCTAGCATTCCTTTCCACAAGTCTCTGACAGCACCACCAACGGTCTCTTGACTGGAAGCACTAGCCCTGGCTCCATCTCGAGACCTGCTAACGGCTTCAGTGAGGTTGAAAGGGTTGAAGTCCAAGGCATGGTTATCTACAACCTCACTCATCGGGCTGGGTCCATTGGAGCCCATGTCGCTGCTGACAGTGTAGATCTGAGGCTTCATCACATTGGCGCTAGATGGGGCCATCTCATAGTGAGTGAAGGAGTCTGGAGGGGTGGGGATGCGAGGCATCGACTGGCTGGCGGAACTAGACTCCATAAAAGTTGGCATGTAGGCGAGGTCGACGGGGGAGGAGTCCTGGGGCGCCCTGTTGGCTCGAGATGTGTTGAAGGGTCTGGAAGAACTCGACTGCTGGCCAAAGGCGTGGCGATCGATACGCCTCATTGCAATGCTGAATGCACGAGACTGGAGAACATCGTGGTTTGAGAGGCGGTCAACGAGCTGAAGAGACGTTAGCAAGACGGTCTATTGAATCATAAGAGGAGAGAGAGAAAGGAACTGACCTCTGATTTACTTCCAGAGGCGCCGAGATTCCTCTTCTGGCACTCTGCTCTGAGGTCTGCGATGGTCCTAGAGTGGTAGAGAGTGCCGACATCTGGTCCGGTAGCAACCTGGGCCGAGTAGGCACCGGTGATGTGAAGAGAGCGACGAGGTTGTTGAGAGAGAGACCTGAGGGCCTTGAGAGAGGTTGAACGAGGAGCAGCCATGGCGAAGTTGGTGCTGGTATGTGGAAGAAGGTGAAGCGACCAGGCAATTGAGCGAAGAAGTGTCAAGGAAGTGAAGCTGACCAAGGCGAAGAGAGGCCGGAACAGGGCGGATATAAACTTATATAGCTGCACCTGCGCTCTGCTGTCTGGCCGTGACCCCCAAGGTGTAAAGCAAGTACTTGTAAGTGCACGACGTGCTTCGTCTCTACAAACTGCCAAGTGGAAAAAGCAATATAGTCAAACAATAGAGCTGACAGGCTAAAGGAGAGAGAGAGAAGCGGTGGCAAGTTGTTCCTGGATGGTGCAGGTAGGTTGATAGGTAGACGATGGTGGGAAAAGGAAGGGAAGGGAAGAGAGTTGAGTCCTTCCTTAATATATAGGGGAATTTACAGTGCGATATGGACTGAAGCAGCTGAGCCGGCGAGGAGGAGGAAGACTCGACGCAGGGGACCAGGGGACAGACAAGATGTTGAGAGGTGTTGGCTGTTGGGGAAAGCTATGTAAAACAAGCCCAGGCGTCGCTTGCTTATCCACTTGCTTATTATTATTAGGTGCGCCTTCTCCACACTTTCGGCAGGTCGGAGGGTCCAGCCACAAGGTGAGCGCAGGCAGGGATAGGCAGCGCCAGAGACAGCGCCAGAGTGAGGCGAGTGGAAGCCGGGAAAAGGGACAAAGGGGGAGAAAGCGACTCCCTCTGTAGCTGGTCGACTGGACGTTTACCCGACTGGCGAGTCAGTTATGTTACTTGATATCTTACTATCTAGAACATCCAGCGAAGTCTCCGAAAGCGACGGAAGCGACCAAAGTGCCGGCCAAAGGCGCATGACAGGGGCGCGTCCTCCGACCTCGGCAGCTTTAGTCCACTTTGGTCGTTGTTCTCTCTTGCCTTTGCGGATAATGGAGTGAGTAAAGGGGAGCCATAAGATGTCATTTGATAGCGGGCGTATCCACATGGACTACATAAGCAGGAGAATAGGAAAGATACGTGTACGTGTACAGCAAGGAGGAGATCACAGTTTAGACGGGCGTTTGCTGCACGAAACGGATCTCGCATACGGATGAAAAGCCGCCTTGGGCACCAGGTGGTCGATGTCGGCAGTGTTGACGTACTGAGGGCCTGCTTGGTCGAGAGAAGTAATGCCGATGTTTCTCATGGCTCCCTCCAGCTCATCTCTCATGACTGCAGGATATTGATTAGCCGGGGCAACGGAAGACGTACCTAGTGGTCAAGGGGAAGGAAGAAGCAAAGAAAAAGGGTGTTGTGTGAGAAATAATACATACTATCAATCAAGTGCTCGATACCCTCCTGGCCATAGTTTGATGCAAAGAGGAAGCTTCTACCCATCCCGACGGCAGTGGCTCCAAGACAGATGGCCTTGAGGATATCGGTTCCCCGCCTGATTCCCGAGTCGATGTAAATCTCCATTCGGTCAAATATCTCGGGACATCTGCGGTGCAACTCGAGCAGCGTAATGATCGAGGCCGGGCTGGTGTCCAGGTTTCTACCACCATGGTTGCTTAGCATGATACCATCGATACCCGCCTCCATAGCCATCACTGCATCGTCTGCAGACTGCACACCCTTCAGCAACAATGGGAGATGTGTGTGCTGTCGTGCCCACTTCAGGTCCTCCCACGTAAGCCCCGGGTCAATAAAGCCAGCCATAACTCGTCCCAACCCACCACCCTTTTTGTCGTTGTTGCCCTTCCCCGGAACCATGGGCAAGGTGAGGTTTTCGTCTGCCTTGACGCGCTCATCGGCCTCTCGCTTACCGGGCCAGGCCGCGTCCACAGTGATGCATATAGCCTTGACCTGTGGGTTGGCAGAACACTCACGTAGCTGAACAGCAGATTTGGCACGATCGCGGTTCACGTACAGCTGGAAGATAAACTGTGTATCTGGCGCTGCATCGCTGATTTCCTTCAGGGAGAAAGATGCGTTATTCGAGATGCCTTGCATGATACCCTTTGACTGACATGCGCGTGCAATTCCTAGCTCGCCGTCAGGATGAATCAGCTTCACCATTGCGCTGGGTGCAACAAAGAGCGGCATGCTCACGCTACACCCTAGGATGTTAGACATTGTGTTGACCTCTCGTACATTGCGCAACACTCGCGGACGGAACCAAATCCGGTCAAAGGACGACTTATTTGCGTCGCGAGTGATGAGATCGTTGGCCGCACTTGAGTAAAAGGCCCACGTTTTCGCAGGGGCCGTCTTGGAGGCGACCAGCTGGAAGTCGTGCGCACTGATGAGGGTATGCAATGGTGGCTTTTCATTCTCCCCAACAGCCCGAGTAGCTGTCTGGACAGGCTCCTTCAACCACTCGGCGTCAAGGGTAGACTGGTCAAGAGTACCCTTTAACTTATCAGCCGGAAGGCCCTTGCGGATAACGCTGGGAGAGTGAACGGCCGAATATGCCTTTGTAGCATCACGCCCAGCATGTTGTAGTATAACTAACGCATCAATTAGTAACCGCTGCCTGGCATTCACCACAGAAAATTTTCCATCTCTTTTCACAACAACATGCGAAAACAAGTAAAAAAAAAACATCACGAACTCGATGGACCACCAGGATGCTCCTGGAGAAAGTCGGTAATATCCCAGACCTGATTGTCTACAACAATCCAGCAATCGGAGGCTGTGTTGTGTTTGGCAATTGCTTGCGACGATACCAATTTCGACGTAGGCATCTTCTATCGAGTTGGAGGGCCGCAGAATAAAACTCTTTGAACGCTTAATGCCGTTGAAGTATGGATTCCCCTTGGCTCTTTATAGAGAGAAGATATTTTATTTCCAGGCAAAACAAAACAATCAATTGACCCAGTCGCGAGTCAGCAAACGAGAAAATAGTACGGAGTATTCCGTAACGACAACCAAATAAACGGCAGCTGTAGACAACGAGTCTCAGGATATTTAAAACAGCCAATGCGGGTGCAGCCTCAAAGTCACTGATTAACGAGCTTGCATTAGGTCATAAACGGTCGTAGTAACATTTATATCGTTTTGATTCTTCCCCAGAAAAGAGGACAGCAAAGGCGTTTTTGTTTGAACATGGCGAGGAGTTGAAGCCGCCAGTCCATCGGGGGCACCCCGTGGAGCTCGAAAATCATCGCGCCCCCCAACCAGTCAGGGGAGGGCTATAGAGTCTCTGAAACAGAATAAGCTCGGTCGACAGGGTTGGCTGGCTGTCTTCTCGCATCGCCAAAAATCAACTAGCTCATCAGCTAGTTGGTTCTTACACCTATACCATTATAAGTATTACTGGTGCCGTGGGGACTTCCTCGCCGTTTTGTCTGCTCTGTTGTCTTCAAGCTGCAGGCTTGGCTGTGGCTAGAATTTACTATGGAATTAAGACTGAAGAAAAGGTGTCAAATCTCCAGTTTAGTATTTGCCGTCCATAGATGGGGCGAAAACTACCCATGCTGCTGTGGTATGATATTGAAAACCTGACTGGTTGGTTGCGTGTGAAATCGTTCTTAGGGAAAAACTGATTGGTTCGCTGTGGCGACGCCCTTCGACTTTGGGCCTCTTCCGGGAGGACACTGTGCACCTGTCGAACAGAGTAACTCGCTCCGTGGTAGCATGAGTACCCGTAAGAGCCCTGTAGCATCCACAGCGATCAATGTAACCAGTCAACACTTACGGCTCCGTAACAATTGGTTTTGATGTCGTCGATATAAAGTGCACAGTTAAGGAGGATGAGTCGGGTTGACCGTTGGCACGTGATATGTGAAGTTTGATCAGACTTCGCAGCATTCGAGAGTCATGAATTTGGAGAAACAGTCATCGGGCCATTCTCGTTATTGAGTCAGGACGTTCTTTATGTTAGGACACAGCCTAAAGAAGGCACTTCCAACATCTATACCACAATCTTCGCGATATTGCTTTTCTGACGGAAGTATGTTCAAAAGTGACAATCCCTTGTCGGACTGCCTCACCGTGACCAGTTATTAATGATATCATGCAAGAACAGCCCGGTCCATCCTCTGTACGATTTATGGGAGACGGGATCTGTTCAACCAACGACCTTTTATACCTATAATAGACGTCAAATCGAGCCGCAGTCGCCACTTTTCGGTGGCCACCAAAATGGGGGATTCAGCCAAAGAACGAAAATACATTGACGTACGTGTGCATACATACACCCCTACAACAGTTGTATTTACGCATATTTTATACCCGTTGATCATAGTGTTAATGTCCTTAGCTGGAATACTAAACATTATTCTTTTACTTGGAAAATTAGATCGGTATCAATCTAGGAGACCCTGTGTTCAGGGGCACGTACCATGGCAAAAATGTGCACGAGAATGATCTACAAGATATAATCGATCGAGCCGTTGAGGTTGGCTGCCGAAAGTTCATGATCACTGGCTCAGACTTGCGTGAGTCTCGGCATGCCGTGGATCTGGCGCGGGAACACTGTATGCATACACCCGTCCCTGTTACGTATACACCAACTTAAGCTACTGGGGCTGACAAGAAAATTTTATGCAGCAGGATTATGCTATGCCACTGTCGGCGTACATCCATGTTCCGCAAAGCTCTTTGACTCCTACGCTGGAGGACCCGAGAAGTATCTGGCCGAGATCAAGGCCCTGGCACTATCGGCCAAGGAGTCAGGCCATGCCGTCGCCTTTGGAGAGATAGGTCTAGACTACGATAGGCTATTCCTCTCGCCCAAGGATCAGCAGCTAAAGTACTTTGAGGCTCAACTTGAAGTAGCCGTGGAGGTCCAGCTACCTCTTTTCTTACACTCACGAGCAGCAAGTGAAGATTTTGAACGGCTGCTCTCTGCCCAGCTGCCACAGTTACCCAAGGGAGGCCTGGTACATAGCTTCACCGGAACCGTCGATGAAATGCAACGGCTTGTAGCCCTCGGGTTGGACCTTGGGGTTAACGGGTGTAGCTTGAAGACTGAGGAGAACCTAGAAGTCGTCAAAGCCATGCCGTTGGATAAGATACAAATCGAAACTGACGGGCCCTGGGTATTGCACTTATTATCTGTTTGTTTCCGGGTGTTCATTATTTGCTAACCGATGGCTTTTTGTTTAGTGTGAAATTCGGCCATCCCACGCGAGCTACAAGCACGTCAAGTCTACGCTGCCTAAATCGTGCAAGAAAGAGAAATGGCAGAAGGGATGTATGGTGAAAGGAAGAAACGAGCCGGTTGCTATCGTTCGTGTCGCCGAAGTGATTGCTGCGGTGAAAGGGATAACGGTGGACGAAGTTTGTGAAGCGTAAGTTACCAGAAACCCTGCCTGCCTTGCATTAACTAAATCGTATCTCGCTAACAAAGGCTAACTCTCTTCTAGCGCATGGAACAACTCGGTTCGCATGTTTGGACTTGGTGAAGTGGCCTGATTGCAGAGTATCCATGGATTAGAAGAACGATAGAATGCGTAGACTGTTATCTCTTTTTGCCTTCTTTTATATCGCGTTTTCTGCAGTACTAGTTCATGTATATGCCTGACCGGAGGAGGCGTCGGCGATAAGACTCATGCTGCAGGATCTTGCCCTACCATGCAGATCGGCGTTCTCCAGGACAAGGGATCTGCACCCGATCCATGAAGAACTGTGCTGCAGTTTGTACACGTAAAGGACACTTGTCGACGCAGGCCGCCGCTCTCTCGCTCCAACTCGGTAAAGGCGAGAGCCGCTGTCTTCTCTGCTCCTCTGCCAACCAAGGCCAGCCGGTGTTGCTTTGTGTCTTGCTTGTCTTGCTTGTCTTGCTTGCCTGCTTGCTGCTTCCTTCGTTTTTTCCGCTGCATAAAGTGGAAGCCTTGGCAGGAGACACGTGGTGGGCGGCCTATCGGAGCGGAACATCCATTTCCGCCTGATGATGTAATCGACTTTATGCCTGCAAAAGCCAAAAGGAATTGAAGGGAAAAAAAAAAGAAGCAACGCAGAAGCAGGCATCTTCATCATCAACTTCTGTGCTGGTTGACAGGAAAGTAAGGGGAGTCGATAGAGTCATCGGCAAGCGAACTGCGGCAGTGGCGGATAAACCGCTACATCCCGCCATCCGCCTGGGTTGTAGCATCTCGAACCCTGCGTTTCCTCTCTCCTGCATTTCCCGCCTGCTTTAAAACACCTTCGCCTTGCCCCAAATCTCCTTCACCATGGATCTTTTATGCAAGGCCAGTGCTTCTGACTGTCCCATCGGCGGATAAGCAATAGGAAGACTGAGAACAAACGGCCTTCGGGGCTGCTTCTTTGCTCCTCCCGACCGCTGTCCTAGACACTAGAATATCATCACTATATCCCGTCTTGCCTGCGTCTGGGCTGGCCAACCTGAATCTCTGTACACTCCATCTCCCCTCAAAACGTCTTCTTCCGTGGAGCCGACATCGTTCTGTTTGAAGCCCATATACCCTCCTAGGTACCGAGCGGTTCACTTGATTTCTTATTCAGGAGGGAGTTCATCCTCTAGTTGTCGTTTGTTGCACCGCTGCTCCTCCTTTGCCCGTCTTTCCCTTGGATAGCTAGCTTCATACCAGATATCCCACGTAGACTTTTCCTTTTTGGCATCCGTTTGGCTGCTGTAGTGACGGCCAGCCTTGTGTATGCCATAGCGAAAGGAGAAGTCTATAAACGCAAAAAGTCGCTGTTGGAAGCTCTATCGTCGAGCCTGCAAAACAAGTCCTCCCCTTTTCGGTTCGGAGTCTCGTGACCGAAGGCTTGAGGTCCTCTCTCCCTCCCTCCCTCCCCCCTGAGAGAAACCAGAACACACACAACGCCTTCCCTTGACCTCTTTCACCTTTTCACTCTCCCAGCCAACACGTCCTCTTCAACGTCTCAAAGGTCTACCACAGTCTCTCTCCTTGCTTCGACTTGTGTCCCTCTGTTTACCCTATCCACCGTCTCAAACCAGAAAGCAAGGGAAAAAAACAACGCGCAGTATTGCTCGATATGGGTGATAAACCTGCGGTAAAGGCGAACGGTGTTGAAGATTCAGCGTTGACAGTGGCATCGAAAAAGAATGGCAAGGCAAAACCAGGTATTTCTCTCTCTCCTTGCCTCTATCACTATTGTTTTGGGTGATGGAGATCCTGGTGATGGCTCCACGTAGCCAGTGAAAAGTCGTTACCTGCACTTCAAGGACTGGAGAGCATATGTTGCTTGACTGCGAAGTCCTGCCTCTGATTGTCTCTAACGATTCTCTCTGTCGTTTCCAGAGCAAGAAGTTTATGGCTGTGGCTTTGAAAGCGGACCCAGCCGTCCACCAACCCCCCATGGCATTGGTATGCCAAACAACTTCGCGGAAGTTGTCAAGGGAGTCTACAGAAGTAGCTTTCCCATGTCCGTTCATCTCAGCAGCCTCGCGCAGCTTAACCTGAAGACAATCGTGTAAGTACGCCCCTGTTTCTGCATCCGTTTGAAAACGACGGTTCCCTGCCCCTGGACCTTGCTGACCCTTTATATAGTACTCTTGTTGAAGAAGAGTGGTCCCCTGAATATTCGGCCTTTGTAAGGGAGAAGGGAATCACCTCTCGCATCATCCCTATCCTTGCAAACAAGCAACCCGATGTCTTCACTCCCTTCAGCACTATTGTCGAGGTCTTGACCATCCTCCTTGACACCAGAAATCACCCTATCTTGGTTCACTGTAATAAAGGAAAGGTATGTTTCTCGTTCTGCTTTCATTGATTCTTCCTTTGATATATGGCCTTGGTGACCTGACAGAGGGTATCATTGAATATAGCATCGCACTGGATGCGTAATGGCGTGTTTCCGTAAAGCTCAGGGATGGAACTCTGTGTCTGCCATTGCGGAATACATCTATTATTCGGCCCCCAAGACTCGGACTTTGGACCGTAACTATATCCAAGAATTTGACGAGAGTTTGGTAGCCGACCTCGTCAAAAAGGCCGGTGCTCAAAAGTGGATTCCAACCTTCCCACCCGTTAAATATTCTCTCGATAGTGGCGAGGAAGAAAATTCTCGTGTGAATGGTAACAATTTGAAGAAGCCAGAACTTGGAACCAGTGCACCCCCTGTTTCATTCCATGGTGCAAACGGACTCCGACATACCCACAGCCTCTGATGAAGGCCGGGTTTTCCACCTTTTACCTTTTTTTCCTTCTCTTTGTAAGTCTTGACTTCTGTTTTTTTTCATGCCACGCCTCCCATAGCCTCGTTTTAACATATTTGCCAGTATCGGTTTGAAATGAACGGAATTCAGATTCGGAGTACTGGAGTCGGAGCACGTCTTGTACAGGTCCCCAAAAAATAGACGTATTAGTGGGCGGAAACCCTGGATTAACCGGAAAAGGAGCATTTTTTTCGTGTTTCTTCTTATGGATCGGCGTTTGGATATTTTATCCTCTTTATGACAGTTCTTGTTAACTTCTTGCTTCCTTCCATCTCACAACAGACCTCTCCCCCCTCACGTCTGGCAAGCAAACATGATGTCAGGGTGCCTACCAGGCAGTCTTCCATGACAAAGCTCCGGATAAACTCCGGTAGACACCCTTCCAACGTCAGGGGAAAAGATCAGAGGCCCAATAAAAGTTGAATAATGTGAATCTTTAAAAGATAAAAAAAGGAGTGGGAGAGAGAGGGTGTTTTCTTCGTTGATGTCTCTTCTTCTGATGTTGTTTATTTTCCATCACCTTTATTGCCCTTTTTGTCCTTTCCTCCTTTCACTTGACGACTAATCGTGACCCTCCTCACTGTGCATGGGCATTTCTTTCCCGCTTTTATTTATCCTGAATACTCCTTTTCTTTGCATCCCCCGCTTACAGCTTTAATGATTTGTATCCATATGGTGGCAGTCATGTTTCCCTTTTGCTGATAATCTTCTTTACCTCTGCATAATGGGTGGGATAGGGCCCAAGGCAGGCATTCCTGGGGTATGGTATTAAAAGGACAAAACAGGTGGCATTGGTGGGACTTTACTCAATGCATTTATGGAGGGCTTTCTGTTTCTATTACTGCTTTTTACTAATAGCTATAAGCCCAGGCAGATGGTTATGGTAAATGTTCCTGCCTTTATTCTCATTCTTAGTAATATATGTAGACACAGGTTTTATGTAGATGAAGACTTATAAATAACTATAGTAACATCATCTCAATATCACTACTTTCTAAACTAGGAAAGGTATATAACTCCGCACTTCTATCAGTTTCAACATTATAAGGGCTCTCCTCGTTCGCTGATAAAGGTAAAATCATGGGAGATGAGGATTGAAGCATCTCCATTTCAGTGTCAGTTTCTGCTCCCAAGTCCACTGCTACTTTCGTACGACTGCCAGGTTCATCTGCTAAACATTGATCGGGTATAGAGTCCATCTCTACTTCTGCCAGTAAACATGGAGAAGATGATAAGATACCGTCCGAGTCAATCATCTGGTCTGTTACTATCGGCGTAGTCTTGGACCAAGAATCGCCCATATTGGCAATGGATTTCGGTAGGGTGGGCGGATTGTACCATTCTTCTTGTTCTTCGCAGTAGGCTTCATCAGATAAAAGGATGTCATCTTCCTCGTCGTCTTCAAATATATACCAATCGGAATCAGGGCAAATACTGGTACCGAAGAGGGTATCAATTGAATCCGTCTTTTGTTTCGTAATCATTGGTAAACGCAACATTCCTTGCTGATTGGGGATAGCGGTTGCAAAATGGTGACGTGCTTTTGGTCTCTCATTAGTGGAATAAAGTGAATTCTGCGTTTGAATCCATAATATATATCTTAGCATGTTTTGTATATCAGGTTCTGCGATCTGGCTCTTGCATCTATATATTTCATGGATCTTGGAAGCGGCTGATTCACATGTATCGGAATGCAAGGTCTTTATCATAGAGCTCATTCCCTTAATTATCAGTGGTATAAAAGCAAGTCGTTGAAACATAGCCTAGAGGAATCGGGGCATGAACAAGCCTTTCTTCACTTTATTTGAAAGAAACTACTCACCATGTTGTATCCTGGACTGAAGATACATGGAGACAACTCTGCAAGGCTAACTTGGGGCTCATTTGAAGACACACTGCTTAAGGACCTGGTATTGGACGAGGGTATATTTAAGAGAGTGGAAAATCCGGCGTCTAATAGGGAGATAATTGATCGTATATGGCCGATGTTAAGACATTTAGAAGTCATGCTCTTATGCATGGAAGATTCATAGTTCAAATGTTCAGAGTTGCACGTAGATATTGACCCTTGACTGGAAAAGGGAGAAGAGTCGTCCAGTGATTCCCATCCATCAGAATCGGATAGCAGCACATCGATAGGTGCATTGTGATCGTCATTATTTTCTGGTAACAAATTTGAAGGGCTAGGGTCATTTGAGAACTCAAGCAGAATATCGACTTCATGGATATGGACCGTAGGTATCTCTGGGGGTGGTTGAACATATAAGTTTCCATCAAGCAACGCACAGAGTGACTTTGGAAACTTGTTCAGTCCACACCCAGTGGCTTGATTTCTGGTTGGCTTAGCATGTAGAATTATATCGAGGGTATTGGTTCCGTTTTGGAGAACTCCATTCTTTGTAGCAATAAGGCCATAGCAGGACCACACCTAAGAAAGTAAGAAAGGTGATCTATAATCAACGGATATAGACTGGATAGTGCATACCGATGGCAGAGTTAATAGCTCTAAAATTTTCTGCATTGTATCTGGTAAAGAAAAATTCCTTGTTAGTGAGGTTTGTATTCTAACAGAGATGTTAATTCGTAGAGTAGAATTGGAAGCCCAGGATGCCCAAACGTCTCGTCTTAGGAGATGCTCTAGAGATATTTCTTCTCCGAAATACATGGAGCTGTTGGCATGGGAGATTTGAACGGAGCTGGACATCTTAAGTTGGATATCATGACTTTTCTGCGCATGAATGGCTGACCCCAGGTTAATGCGATTATAAGGCATTACACCACATTCGACTTGGGCGCTACTTTGGAAGCCGGTCAAGAATGGAAATAGCAATAATAACATATAATAAGAGAGATGGTGTTACTCTCTGGGGGGAGAATAGTAGGTGGTATTTAACTGCAGCTCGAGCGCTGTTATTGAAGTGGAGATATATTGCATCCAAATGTGGAAATATCTGACGTCTTCTCTTCGTATCGCACAAACATGGCCTTCCATGACCACATCTTTTCGACTGTTAGCTAGTATTAGCGACTCAGCGGGGGTATAATCAGGCGCCTTGGAGTTCTAGGACAATGTTTATTCAATATAAATGGGGATCCCCGCCTACTGGTGAGTTACTGGCTGCGGTTAATGAAGTCAACTGCGTCTCAAAGTTAGGGGTACCCAATAGTCAAATGTTCTACAACGGCATACTCATAACTGATGCTGAAAAGAAAATCTTAGACAAGAACTCATAATTACTGCACTGCATGAAATTGATTCGATAAAGTCCCTCAGTCGACATTGAGGCAAGACCAGCTCTTAATGCGCTTAGTGACCTAACTAGGTACATACTTTGTTGAACAAATCAACAGAGAGGGTAAGAATAGCAGCTGGTAATAGGAGTAGAAGTATTTGCTGGCTTGGAAATTTCAAAGCAGCATCGCATACTTAAATCCTGACGTCACGACAATTTGTCGCCTGTTGGACCACAAGGGACAAAAAGGCCTAATACCTCAAGGAATCCTTGGGTAATGAGTGCGAGTTGTAGCTAAAGTGGAGTATCCCAACATCACCCTCTTTATGTCTTCGAAAAGCTCCTGCGCATCACTGACGAGGCGGATGTTTCTACCACGATTTCCACCAACATAAAGACCGATGAATCTGCCTTTGTGGTCCATAACAAAATTTCCTGGGTCGCGTGGATCACCAAAGGTGCTACATTTCCATGGAAGAACAACTAATGCAGTTCCCCGAACACACATTCGCTGGCCCTCGGAATCTGTAATCCATCCTTGTAACCTAACCAAGCGAGGCCCCCCACTGCGGAAGTCTTCACTGTACATTTCTGAATCACCTATGATAGAATATGCTCCGTTTTCGGAAGACGAAGAGGGTGGTGGCGTGGAAAGGGCACCTGCATAAGCGACCTCCACGTTGACGCGGCGCATAGAAGAATTGTATCCACCGTCGGGGTAGGCCATATTGAGTAATAGAGAATTAAAGACAATCGTGGAACGTTGCGGTTACTGGCAAGGTAAAGTATTGGACCACAAGGTCTAATGCCCCAAGGATACCTTGGACAATATGTGTGAGTCGTAGTTAAAGTGATAGCAGGATAGGATGAGGACAGCCTTCTTGATGAGATAGCTTAAAGGAACAGAAAGAAAGGAAGGAAGGAAGGAAGGAAGGAAGCTGAGCAGGATGAGGAGATTAAATATTCTCTGATAAATCATGACGCCAATGACTTGAGGTGAATTGAGAGCATGCCACAACTACAAACGCGAAAGTGAAGTAAATGATATTCATATGGGCTGGGGGAAAACTACATACTGTACTCTGCTAGTAGCATGAGCACTGTACTAGGTATTTCTCAATGAAGATGTTGTATTGCCATAGCTGCCAATATCAACAATCATGACGGGAGGGAAGCTCATCGAGCTGAGAGGGTATATCTATGCTGGGTATATAAGCGCGAGCCGCCCAGGAACTGCGGGTATCAATAATGGACCTCAGATATCATAATATCAATTCGGTATATATGGAGGAGCGAAGGTGGTCCCACAGCCCCAGCTCTGTCCCCGGCGAGTTTTATAACCGCCACTTGATGCGCTCTTATTGGCCAAAATAGTTATAGAATACCATTGGCTCATATTGCTCCTTTAATTCTAAACTACATTTATTTCATTATTGTAATTGGATGATATAATCAACTGTCGTTTTTAGGCACTCTCGACCAATCAGCATCTCTGTCCCCTTATACTGCTAACTAAGCAGACATGCGCCTCCTGCAGGGGCCTTCTCGATCCCTTTTTTCAAGCCTGGGGGTGTTTTGATATCGTGGTGTCGCTCGTTTTTCATGCCCAAGGAGAATGATTCCCATATGTAGCTATGAACAGAGGAGACAAACGAGATGTTCGCACAGCTGAAGCATCAAAGTACAGCGAGGAGGAAGGACGCTCCCTTCTCTCCCACGGATCTCACGAAGATGACGACTATCTAGTTGTGGACGAGCCCTCGTCGTCTTCCGGTCCGCCGTCTTCTCAGTCAGCCTCGACTCCCAAGATACCTCCCTCTCTTTCGACCTCTCCTACCGGCCAGCCTCGAACGGGTCGAACGTCGAATCGCGTCAGGTTCGACATCCAAGACGATGGAGACGAAGATACTAGCCAGCCCTTTGAGGGTCGCGGTGATATTGACTGGATTGCGAACCAAGACTATCTCGACGAAGAGGCAGCTCAAGCGCCAGGGGGCCGTTCTCGTCAGGCAATTCCGCTGCTTACGAACATAGAAGCTCCAAGCGTCACTGTCGCTACCTCGGACTTTGTACCCGAGGACCACCTTGAGAGTGCTCGTCCGAGGAGTGGCTTGGGGAGTGCCTTTATGAACATGGCAAACAGTATCATTGGCGCTGGGATAATTGGACAACCGTACGCTTTCCGCCAGGCTGGGCTGACCACAGGTATCATTCTACTTGTTGTCCTGACGATCACGGTCGACTGGACCATCCGTTTGATCGTCGTCAATTCCAAGCTCAGCGGAGCCGACTCCTTCCAAACCACTTTGGAATTCTGCTACGGAAGAACGGGATTGATAGCAATATCTGTCGCACAATGGGCATTTGCATTTGGCGGGATGATTGCATTCTGTATCATTGTCGGTGACACTATACCTCATGTTGTGATGGGAATAGCTCCGTCTATCAAGAACATGCCTGTTCTATGGCTGTTGGCAGATAGACGTGCTGTCATAATTATCTTCGTTCTTGGGATTTCCTATCCGCTGTCATTATACCGTGATATTGCTAAGGTATGCATAAACCTTCCCTAGGCTTATTTTGGCTCTTTCATAATTCTGACTATTTCTATGTAGCTGGCAAAAGCTTCTACTTTCGCATTGGTCAGCATGTTAGTTATTTTGGTCACTGTCATAATAGAGGGTTTTCAGGTAGCCCCCGAAGCTAGAGGAGAAGTCAAAGGGTCTCTCTTTGTCAATAGCGGTGTGGTTCCGGCTATTGGAGTGATTTCGTTTGGTAAGCCTATTTCAAGAGTATTTGTCTCTAGTCAGTTCGTTGCTAACTATGGAACAGCCTTCGTCTGTCGTATGTTCCCATATTGATGTGTATTGATGGCTTGGTGCCGTTACTAAATCAGTATCTTAGATCACAACAGCCTCTTGATATACGGTTCTCTGAGGAAGCCTACCATGGACAGGTTTGCCCGTGTCACCCACTATTCGACCGCGATATCTATGGTTATGTGTCTAGTCATGGCGGTTGCCGGTTTCTTAACCTTTGGATCAAAAACAAAGGGTAACATCCTTAATAACTTCCCTCCGGACAACGTCATAGTGAATATTGCAAGATTGTGAGTCATCCTTAGATTGCGACCTTGCCCCTGGGGTTTTTGCTAACCTAACTTGAATAGGTTTTTTGGGCTTAACATGCTGGCCACGTTACCCCTTGAGGCGTTTGTCTGTAGGTCTGTCATGACCACGTTCTACTTTCCCGAGGAGCCTTTCAACCTCAACCGCCATCTTATTTTCACTACGTCCCTGGTGGTGACATCAGTGGTCATGGCTTTGATCACCTGCGACCTGGGCGCCGTACTGGAGCTTATAGGTGCAACAAGTGCTTGTGCCTTAGCATATATTCTCCCGCCACTCTGCTACATAAAACTGAGCAAGCAAGGATGGGTGGCAAAGATCCCTGCAGTTATTTGCATTGCGTTTGGTACTGTGGTTATGTGCATTAGCGTTCTTCAAAGCGCAGCTAAAATGATTAAGCGTAAGTCTTACCCACCTCTGGAGGGAGTAAAATCGGCATGTATCACCTTTTGCTAACGATATTTTACGATACAGATGAGGGAGGCGCGGTGACTTGTTGAAATATTAACTGTTTTAATCAAGATGAGATGTGTACTGTTTTCATTTTTCATTCTACCTTGTTATTACTAGATGCATAGATACATATTTTTCACCCTATTCCGAGCCTTAGCCAGGACGTACGCTGACATCGAAGCCAATGCCAGTTTCCATCCTGTCTCTTCCAGGAGATCCATTTCGGGACCCTTTACTATGCCAGTTTCGGTTGCACGGCCTGTGGTTGGAGATATAGCATCTGCAATCAATCGGGTCATATCTTTGTAATTCCTGTCGTTTTTTTTGGCTTCTTTTTACTCTTTTCCAAGCTGCGGCTATCCATATACCATCCATCCTTTCATTGTCTGCATGTCTCAGCAAAGAGATTTGAGCATTGAATATGATCTTTATCATTTTTCTTCAGTTTCTGCCATACACATACCTGCTTTTATTACCTTTCCACAGCTTTTCTGCTATCTATTAGTGGTTTTTGATATAGATAGAAGTGGGACTGATTGTGATTCTATTTCTTCCACTTCAGCCATCGTATCTCTATGGCCATCTATTTCCCTCTTCGCATCTAATACCCAGCCGCCATAGGCCCTGGATACCAGAAGGACCGGAAGAAAAACCCGTGGATATTTTTATTGACTCTGTTGCCCTGGTATCCAACTCCTTTCTATACTTTTGTTGTTGGTGCCCTTCCTTCACTGTCGAATACCTGGCAACAGTATATTAAAGAAAGCCATCTTTACCAGTTCCCAGAGACAATTTCAATCTCCTAAAGACTCTTTCTTCACTATATACGGTATCCGCTTGTCCCCTTTTACCCCCCCATCCTTTTTGCACTACTTGGGAGTTTGTTGCCTGCGACGACCAAAATTCTTTTATACCCACAACATTCAATTTCTCACAACCTCATCTCTTCTACTTCACCTCATCATCTAAAACTCCTGGTGGCCTTTCTATCCTGCTGAAAAAGAGCCCCTATTCTTCTCCCTGTTCTATCAAGAACCACAGCAGTTTACTAGGTGTAAGTTATATCACCTTTACTGCCTCCAACATTACTTTCTGTAGTGCTACAAGGCTCCTGTGAATATCTGTTGTGCCTTTGTTTTGAAGCAATTCACTTCAAGTTTGCAGATATAGCCTTAAATAAGGCTATGGTTGGCTTTGTACTGCTACATATCTACATATCGGTTTATTCGAGTGATATAGAATAAGAAACTGGTGAGATTCTTGAGTATTGGTGCTAACTATCGAGAATAGTGATCTTTGCCTTTGATAAGATATCCGCTTTAGAATTTCTTCGAGAACTTGTATCTCAGCCTACACGCGGGGCCCAGTGGAGAGAGTTGGATCCTTGAAAGGAGTATCAATTTGATTCGTTATAGACGCGTCTTTGACGCGCTCAATACTCTAAAATGGCCGAAGCATCGGATACAGGTAATGAGCGTGCCCAGCGCATGAAAGCCCTTCAAATGGTATGTCTTCTATGGTGACCTTCATATTGACACTATAGAGTGTTTGGCTGACTGTATTTTTGAATATAAAGGCTGATTTGGGCACTGCACGTCGTGAACACATATCAACTGTTGATCGCCCAAACAAGCTTCATCGAATAGGTATTCGGCAAATTGAAGCTACTAGGGACTCCAATCGAAAGGGGACTGAAGCGTACAACCTTGCCGAGACTAACAGAGAGAAATTAAATAGCTGGGCGAGTCAGTATACCCCAATATCTTCTTTTCGTTCTCTATCAATACTGACTGTCTAGCTCAGCTTATCATGAAACGCTTGAGGAGAACATTGACGCAGAAAATCTTGAGCCATTGCTAGATGGACAAACACATAGAATGGCCCTTGAGGCTAGGATCAAAGGAACTAATTTAGACTATCCTGTTAGCGCAAGCAGAGGAAAGAAGGCCACTCGCGGAGCTCTACACAGTGGACGTGGAGGAGGCTTCGCAGGAACTCGTGGTCGTGGAGGCACAACGTATGCATGCAGCCTACACATGCACCTTAGTGTGATAGCTAACATACCCCCATTTAGACATTATCCCAATACCCGGAGCGGTGACATAACAAGATCGGACCCTAATCGTTTGTCACCCCCTTCAATCCCAACAGCAAATAAGGCAGCTCTTGCACCTCTTCCACAGAAGCCTTTGGATCCATCTAAAGACTGCAACAACCCCCCTACCTTCCGTGGTAGAGCAGACAAAAAGAGATATGGAGTCTCAAGAAACGTACCTCCAGTTACAAAAGCCAGACGCCCTGTCTTCGCTGCTCCTCCGTAAGCTCTAACAATCTATATGTCTTTAACCAGATTAGCTCTTTTCTTATTAAAAGTATTTCTAGGAGCATCAATTTCGAGTCCCTGCTCGCAGATGGGGATGACTTCATGGCAGCTGTTACTGGTGTCCAATTTGCTACAGTTGCAAAACCAGCACAGTCGCCAACCCCCTCCAAAGCCACTGAGGCGCCAATTAAGGACCTGGATGTATCTCCCGTTCCCCCTATGTCCCAGGGCTGTCCAGAATCCTCTACAGATTTACCGAAGGATGCGACAGAGACTTCTCCGCAACGAACTCAGTCAGAGGTAAAGGTGGCTGCACCATTCAAACCAAAAGTTGGTGCAGCTGCCTCAGCAACAAACCTTATGCCAGTTGCACCCCTGAGAATAGATGTATTTACAAATCCTTCTGAGATCCGTAATAGTCAGGGAGCTGACGCTGTACCACTAAAGACAGACCATGGATTCGGCTCTTACCTACCACAACCACAGCACCCAACAGGCACAGACGATCATGATGCTGACGACCTTTTCCTGTGTGCATCACCTGAAGCCCCGGCTGCTGCTCATATTGAGAAAGACAACTACAAAACCAAGGGTTCCAATGTTGGAACAAGCCTTCTTGATATCAGCGACGGGCCTGAAGATACGATACCACTGGCTATACGATCTGTTCCCAAGACAGAGCAGCCCCAACGAGATGAATCAAAGGATGAATCAAATGCTCTCAAAGAAAAACTTGCAAAACTTACGAAAATTCTCCTTGACCAGTCCTTACTCGACCCGGACGTTATTGTTTACCTCCAAGAAAGAAAAGAACGCCTAGAGAAGGAGCTGGCGGAAAAGGAGCTAATCAGCCATCCAGAAATTTTGAAGGCTCCCAATCATACCACCGAACCGGGGAACACGAAGCATATCCAGCCCGGCCCACCAAATCCAGGAGCGCCAGTAGCTGCACAAAATGCTCCACCTACTGTCAATCTTCTCTCCGATACCACTAACGGCAATGCTGGCGAACCAGTTAATCTCCGCTCTAGGTAAATGAATTCTCATGTCAAAACCATTCAAGCAAAATACCAACTAACCCTTAGTAGTCAAAATGCCAAAAGCGAGCCAAACCCTGTTGAAGTAAAGAATCCAAGTGTGCAAAAGAGTGCTGGTGACAGTGTCGGCCAGACAGCAATCCATGCAACACCTCAAGGCCCTACCACCAAAACTCAAACCACATCTATTAAAGAGGTTCCTCTAATTATAGGTGACCATCTTCTTCCTGGAAGGCCTATGAAAAAAAGTGAACCTCCTCGGCCCACTGCTCCGGCTTATGAACCAAAGGAGCAACACCACTTTACATTTTCTCACGCTCTTACATTCCCAGGGAATTTGAACCACAACAGCAACCAATCTTCTACATTCAACCAGGGCGCCCAGTGTAACGAACCAGTGGCTTTCACATACCGCCCTACTTCATGTGGCACTGCGCCTATGGCGGCGTCGAACATGGGCAATCAATCCGTCAATATTATGCACATTACTCCTACAGCCCATGTTTCTCCAGTGGGCCCAGCTGGCTCCAATGCTCCCAAATCCCGCTTTAAAATGAGAGATACCCCTCAGTTTCCAATTAGCGCCGCTACAATGCAATATTACTCTGGCTCCTTGCTAGGAGAGCAGATAAAGCCACTAACATCTCCCATCCGCAAAACAAACGAAAACATAAGCCCTGCAATGAACTTTGCTTCTCCACAGCCCATAGAGCCTGATCAGAAATCAAGTGGCCATAGCCGAAACCAGTCTTCCTCTCTTTCCCCTGTTGCCAGTACCTTTCGACCGGTTTCACAGAACCGTAGCCCCATTCCAGCCGCATTTGGTGCTACTCATACTGGCCGTACTACAACCAACCATCACTCCAGATTTTCATCTACTACTTCTGAAACATTCCCCGAGCCAAAAAGCATCTTTGTTGCTGAGATGGCAAAGCGTGGAGTGTCTGTTTCTGGAGCCCCGGCCAACAGTGCGCTCGTTGAACGGAAGAGAAGCGGAATGGAGGGCTCTAAGTATGCTCACTAAACCATAAGAAGCATTATTATAGCTGAAAATCATTTAGCGGTAAGAATGGGGCTCGGTTGACATCATCTGTTGATTTTCTCCTGTCGCTTCCGGGCGGTCGCTTCCGGGCGGTCAGTTACGGCTGCTAGTTCTATCATTCAGCTCAGTGATGCTTTGGATTGATTGCATATTTCAGATGTGTAGAGTGACCCTCTACTTTTTCCACTTACTTCCACATTTCGTATCCCAGCAATCTGTGGAAAGTTTCATAGGTTCGGTTACCCCCCTACGACGATGTCGAGAATCCTAAACATCACAGGCTCGCTGTCAATTGCACATCTGCCAGTTTTCTGAAACGTTTATGAAAATATCAACTCAAAAAAAAAAACTTGATACTTCTTCATTTGTATTTATTACTCTAGCCTACGGCAATGTATTACCAGACAATAATCTAGAGACATTACACCATGCAATTTTTCAGAAGTTTGAAAATGAAGCCGATATGGTATCTTCGTGCCATACATAACCTGCTCAGGTAATGAATATATACATGACCTGCTAAAATGTGTACCGACCACCCTTTTGAAAAGAATGAAGAATAAGAACAAGACGGAATCCCAAAATATTTCCCAAAAAGAAACAAAGTGCCTGAACTCCGTAAAAATACTGCCTATAACCGCTGCAATTTCATAAAAAGTCGCTCAAAATTAAGGGTTAACGGGTGAAAAGATTAAGAATCAATCATCATAAGTCTTTCTTTACTTCCCCTGAGTATAGCAAGGCATAATGCTATTGTTGCTCTTAAGGGTTTGGTTTGGGAGCATTGGCATCTTCAACTCTGGTTCGTTTCGCAGTATCTGTCTGGTTCTTTGTCCTCTCATTGCTAGGAACATTCGTGGTATCCACCAATGGTGGTCTTTTTCCATGTTCGTTTTGCTGGTGGCCGCCATTGCCAGGGCTGTTGTTATTCCTTATAGGTGGTGGCATGTTGGGAAGGTTATTAACGTTGCCGGTGGTCGCTGCTCCCATGGATCGCCGTATTGGCGGTCGATAGGAGGAAGTCATGGGCGGTCTGCCTGAGGGCCCAGGGCCGTTAGGCCCTCCGTTGTTAGATGTCGCCGTATTTGCTCTAGCACCTGGTGACGGAACCTTGCCAGCCTGTTGTTGCAGGGCCTGTAGAGACTTTCTAACGATAGGTGAAGAGCTAGTATGGTCAATACCTGCGGTTTTGCGTATGGATGGACTGTCAAACTGAGGGTCAAACACTGGAGCTGATTTTGCGGCAGTATGGGGATCGTTTATTAGAGCCTCTGCGGCCCGAGCAGAGAAAAATCCAACGACGGGGTCCTCTGGCACCTTTTCTTCATTACCTTGGGCGACAGAGGCCTTATGGCTTTCATTATTTGCGGCATGATCAAGTTTTGGTCGGCCCTGATCGGTGGAATGAGGCAAGGGTGGACCATTTGGTTGCATTGCTTGTCTCCCGCTGGGTTGTCTAGGGTCAATATTTCTATCTTGTGCGAATCTGCTCGGAATCGGAGTTTTCGGGGCGGTCATAGTGTTCCTATGGATTCCATCGGCTGGAACAACGTGGGAAGGAACAGCGCTGTTAGCCGAAACCGAAGCTATGGGTTTTCTTGAGTTAACAGGCGCTGCTGTTCTGTTTGTATATGCGGAGTTCCCTGGATCTGCTGATTGGTGACCATTTTGTCCAGTTGGTCGTCTTGAATAGTCGGGTTCTTCCAAAGCCACTTCATCGGGGTGTAATGAAGTATGTTCCGCGAAATCTGCCTCATCGAATACATCACCTTCTCAAAGTCAGCGTCAACTAAGATGAAGAGAATACGTGGAAACAATCTTACTTCCAAACTCGCCCTCAAATTCGTATGCGAGAGAATCTTCCGCTGTGATACTCTGGATATCAGGGATTCGTGCAGGTAGATTGGACGGGCCATTACTCTGATATTCATGTTTTACAATCCTACTCGTTGGGGCTGCTGTTGGTATTTTGGGAGGCACAAAGTCTACATGACGATGGAGATTATCAACGTCAAACTTTACCTATTGCAAAGATATGATTAGCGAAAGCCTAGGGACCTCACGGCAGTGACATAACTCACAGGAGTTGCTTTAACTTTCACCACTTTGGAGAGGTATTCTTTGTCGTATATGCAATTTCCGAGTACATTTCCGAATGTCCTTAGGGTGCGCTTTAGAGCGTCTGTTGTCCCTTCTTTCTTGGCCTTTTCGAACGCAGCAGCCTTTCCTTTGCAGTTTTCAATATGACCATATCCTATATCCTGTCCAGTACATGAGAATTAGTCCGTAGCATAAGAATCTGCATACCATGGAAAGCAAACCTCATGATATGTTCCGTCTTTCAAAGTAACCCTCACGATTACAGATAACCCCACCGAGACCTTGCCAGTGTTAGGGTTCTCATCAGCCTATAATCAAGTTAATACTACCAATCATATAAAGGGAACCCTCCATTGAATGAATCCCGACTTACGAAATCTTGAGTTATATTCTGTATAGAGCTCGACCATCCATTGAACCCGAAGACTTCATTCGCAAGGTTGATACACTTATCTGCCGTGATATAATGTACCTTTCCTCCTCCCGAAGGTCTGGATGAGAGAAACTCTGGGCCTAGCTGCTTGTTTAGTCTCTCTTTCAGCGAGGCAACCTCGGCAGCTGTGTATTCTTCAACTCGTCTAGTTCCTTGTAAATATGGATTCGCAGAGATCGCGGGATTGTCCCCTGGCCCAAGCCGATGTTGGTCTCCGATCCTATAAGAGTTTGTTAGTGAGTCTGTCGTAGCTTGCGATTAAATATGAAAAAATAAGAGAATACTTACGCAGGCATAGTGGCCGGCAACGTCTAGTATAACAAGTAACACCGGGTAATTTGATGATTCAACGTCGGATAATGTTTTTCTGGTATCCCAAACTAGCACACCCATCAAACGCGTCGATGTTTGCCTGGACGCGTCTAATTAAGCTCGTTACATAAGCCGTGGTTTTATATCACGTGAAGATAACGACCCCCCACAGCAGAGATAACAAAGAGCCTCAATATCAACATGCTCGCTGGTTCACGAAAGGACACCTTGTTACGTAGTATATACAGAACTGCCTGCCATACCGAAGCTATTGCCATATGGTGTCTCCATAAACTGATTAACTGGGTTAATTATACGGACCTATCTAGTTATGCTATGAATCGAGCAAGCTACCACCATCGAACCAGCCTCTTTAGACATTCAGCCCACAATCAGACTTCCACTTGGTACAAAACCCAACTCCTTGAGCGTAGCTCCAAAGTCTTCCTGATTGAACACCTTCTTTGGGAATGTCTGCGTAAAGCTGTTCACCTGGTTACCTTCTTGTTGTAGAGCGGCAGCAACCTCGAAAAGGGTGGTATCAACGGGGAATGACTTGATGACGTTCCCAGATGGTGTCATCAATCGTAGTCTAGCCTCTGTGTATGCTGAAGCAGGCTTCGAGGCTACGGGAGCTGCGGCTGGTGTAGGTTGTGTCTTTTGTTCCTCCAATACACGACCCTCTCGTTCTGCTTTTTCTTTCTCTGCCTTCAATTTTCGAGCTTGCTTGTCTGCTTCGATCTTGGCTTTTATCCGTGCCTTTGCTTCGACTTCCTCTTGCTTTTCACGCTTCTTTTTAGCTGCTTCCTTCAATTGTTCTTTCCGTTGAAGCTCCTCTTTCATATCCTGAGTCTCCTTGGTACTTTTGCGGCGAATTTCCTAATAATCAAACCTGGGGTCAGAACTTGAAACAGAATTCCCAGGCGGAGCGATTGCTAAAGCTAACCTCGTTTCTTTTTTGGTCTTGCTTATCCTGTTCAGACATTTTCTGCCGCTTTTCTGCCAGTCTTTGGCGCAGGTCTTCTAGCTTAGCCTTCTTCTCTTCTTCGGTGAGTGGTGCGATCTCCTCCGTCGACTCCGAAAAGTCGACATGTTCTGTTTTAGAAGCATGGAATTCGGCCTGGGCCTGACTTCTGAATCGTTTCCCGCACTCATTACAGACCAGGCTTTTTGGCTCTTCTCCAGGTTTCAGATCTGGAGGTTCATCTGACCCTCCAGCTTCGGACTGTTTCTGGGCCGCTTCCTCTTTTATTTCCTCCAGAGACTTGTCTTGGTTCGCTTCTAGCCACTCGAGTGCACCCTGTACTAAACAAAAAAGATAATACGTCAGTACCAGTTGTATTAACAAATACCGGCTAAGATCCCGGGCCCAACTTACAGCCACCAGATTTAGACACAGCTATCTTTGCGCGCTCAGGGTCAAAGCCCATGTCGGCTAGAAGTTCCAGGTCCGAAGGCATCTTCAACGATGTTGTGGCAGCGGAGAATGTATAGCAGAGGGCAGGCGTTGATGTGTGGAAGTGAAGCTCTTTTGATGACAAAATCGCGGGTGAGCTATTAATAAATAACTGGCTAACTAACGGAATAGCCCCACTACAGAATTTCAAGCTAACCTTCCACTCTGGCTGTGATGATTACTCTGGAGCTTTTCTATGGTAAAATAAAGAGAGAGAGAGATAACATACGTTTCTGGAGCTTTCTAGTTGCTAGTCAGGCATTGAAATATTTACTTCACCATACCACCAGTCTGCTCTTATTAGCTCTGGAGCAGCCGCACCAAACTGACGCTTATCTAAAGGCCACGAAGGCATTTGTACTGCTTACATGCATGCCCTTAGCTTGCTCCAATAACGTTTTTTGACCATGTTGGAATTACATGGGATAGAGCCTCTTCAGGCAGCTTATCACCACCAAATCACAGGCCATTATTGATCTAGCTTATTTATATAATCCCCATGTCAATATAGGCGCTCGGGTGTGGGACACAACGCTAGGATTGAGTGGTCTTGCATGATTACCGCATAAGTATTGTCAAGGCGATGGGCGGTAGGAACAAGATCTGACTCCGTTGTATCGTTTAAGTAACGGTAAAAATTAAGTTGATTATTGCAACGTCCCCTAGGTTGCGGAATTAACAAGGCGTTATATCAGGCTTTAATATCATAGCAATGGTCCGTATTAATAGCGACAGGTTTCACGAATTGTGCATTTCATCCAATAAACTAGGGAATAACAGGGGCAGGTAGACCTGTTGTTTAGTCCCTTAGTCGGGGTAGATTTCCCGTAAAGAGAGGCATGCTGAGAAGGCGAGCTGTTAGTTAACGAAGCATGGTATGACTACCGTCAAGTGGTCCTAACTGCAACCCTGCAGGTCCTTATGCACGACACGAACCCTTTCCCATCGCCGCCTATTTCTCACGCCTTCACTAGTTGCGGCTTGAACGTCGTCGTCGTCGTCGTCGTCACCGTCGTCGTCTTTGGCTGTCGGTGATTTTTTTTGTCTCTTGCTGCCCGCGGCTGGCTGCCCAAACATCAACGACGTCACGCCGCAAGGTTTAAATAGGATCACATGACTTTCTTACATAAGCTGCTTTTAAAGACATCTCAGGCTGTCTATCAACTTGCCAGCACCAAAGATTCCAACAAGGCCGATTATACCTGCATCGCTCGCTACACCACCGCTCTCCAGTCTGCGTTTCTCAGTAGAGACCATATATTCTAATCTTGCTATCACCGTCTTCTTACCGCAGCCACCATGTCAGTTGAAATAGAGCCCGGCGAGCTCGGCTTCAAGCGTATGTCTTGCCCTTTCGCATGTCTGCTATAGCCCGCGATTCGTGCCTAACGCCTCTATAATATAGGCCCATTCACTAAAGAAGTCACTGAGATTCTCTACTTACGGAATCCCAACAGCGACCCCGTTGCCTTCAAAGTACGTGCTCTGCTGTTCCAAAGTTGACCGTTTTGGTTGAGTTGCTTACCACAGTCCAACGCCGTAGGTCAAAACTACTGCCCCCAAACAGTGAGATACACCCATCACAGTCGCATGCTTTCTTCCAGTGGTATTGACCAGATGGCGCCAGTTATTGTGTCCGCCCTAACTCCGGCCGCATCGAGCCTGGGAAACAAGTTGAAGTCCAGGGTACGCATATCCGCAAACCCCCAGCCCCCCTCCCCCCACTGTCTTGGTTGTGGGCAGTTATTAATCCGCGAACCGATAACAGTTCTTCTCCAGGCGATGAAAGAAGACCCTCCGCTTGACGCCAAATGCCGCGATAAGTTCCTTGTCCAGTCTGTTGCGGTCTCCGCCGATAAGGAGTTCTCGAATGTTGCCTCTATTGTGTGTACCATACTCTCCGAACCGAACCTTTTCACATGCCTGGAATTGATGGAGGTTTGGTCGCTTACAATTTAACAGTGGCAGGATGTTGAAAAGAAATCCAAGTCTCTTATTCAAGAGCGCAAAATCCGAGTCAACTTCCTCCCAAGTGATGACCTGCATACCAATGGAGTGGTGCGTTTCCCCCGGGCTAGCGATTATCCTTTCATTATGCCGCTCCACTACGCCCTGGATAAAGATACCTGACATTTACCATGTACAATTTCATGCGAAAATTATATATACTGACTGCGATACGATAGGAGCCTGATTCCGAGCCCCCGGCACAATCTTCTCCCCAAGCACCTCAGTTTACTACCCCTGTTGTCCAGCGCACCACTGGTAGCAGTACCACACCCTCCAAATCCGAGGACATGAAGCAGGAAAGCCCGTCTGAGCCATCAGCTGAGCCCATCAACTCTTTTGGCATGGCCTCTTCGTCTTCTCGCATCGAGCCCTCGCAATCAAGTGATGACCTTCTGTCTTCCCAATTGGCGGAAGCAAGACTGCAGATCAAACAGCTACAACAGCAGATAGCTGACAATGAGGTGAGGCAGAGAAAGAAGCCCGTAGAAGGTGGTGAGGTTTCTACAAACCAATCCTCTCTCAAGCAAGCGCAAGCTCCTGCTCAATTGGCCGCAGCGGGTGGTGTACCTCTACAAGCTGTGGCTGGTCTCTGCCTTCTTAGCTTCCTGCTAGCATACTTCTTCTTTTAGAACTCTACCCATCCCCCTTAGCCAAATAACCCTCCCGAACCCTCTTGTTCCTTTGACATCTCCAACTACAGTGCATGATGATTGATAGCCCCTGATTTCTCTTCTCCTGTCTCTTCCACACCCTTTGCTTTCCATTTAACCTTCCCCCCTCCCACCACTAAGTTTCCAGTTCTGTTTTGTCGGAGTCGTTATGTCTTTCACTAGTACCCTAATACATCTCGGACCGAAGAGGTTGGCCATGCATATGCAAGCATTCCCTTTCCCATTTCTCTCCAGAGCCGCTTCTGCCCCCACATTCGGTGTATCATGGGATCCAAATGTTTCCTATGTCCGTTTTCCTTTCCATTTACTACCCACTGTCCACTGTCTACTCCCTATTGTCTAAATTTCCCTGCTTAGTATATTATGTTTTAACGGATCTTCTTTTTCCCCCTTACTTCATTTCTATGACCCCCTTCTCCTCATAATCTGAGCGAAAGTCCTAAGGTTAGCCATTTTAACATTAAAAACAAATCACATTGATAACAGTAATATTCCGCCAAATGGTCTGGTTCACTTAGTTACGGTATAGTGACGATAGGTGACGAAACAAGGACTCTTTTTTATCGTGGGATTTCTTTCTATTATGTCTATCTGTATAACCATAAGGGCTATAAGGTGTACCACTAGTACTAACTATCCTCCCATCAAGATCTTGATGTGTTTACGAGGAGGGAGCACCAACCGAGTATGCAAACGTCTATCAACGTCTCCAAGCACATTAGCTGAGTGACGAAGCCTTTGCAGCTGTTTCAGGAGAGGCGTCCCAAACAAAGAGTAAAAAGATAAAAAGCTATTAAAGAAAACAAGGAAAGTATGAGAAAAACGAGAAAGCCTCCCCAAAAATGAGCACCCAAGATAATTGATAAAAAAGACGGACAAGTTAAATGAGTATCATGAGACCGTTAGAAAGTAAAGGAAACATAGGAATCTGGATGGGTTGCCGGAGTGTATTTGGATGATAAATAAAAAGGAAGAGTGAGAAAAAGGGGCATCGAGTTGTCGGGAAAATAAAGTTGTAACATGATATTGCCACATTCGAGGGCAGGAGTGGGAAGCGGAAAAAATTTATGTGTCCACAGAGCAAATGAAAAAACTCGATCTAGTATTTAACAGATGGGTATCGTAATCGTTTCATTAAAAGATTGCTCAAAGGTTGTCTGCTTTGACGATGCGGTGAGGAGGCAAATGGTGGAAGGCAACGCCGTTCGGAAAGGATGGAATGGCCGTAACCCCTAAAAAGGGAGGGAAGGAATTGAGCAGGATTGATTACCATGGCCCGACTTTCAACGGTAGGCCAGCTCCGTAAGTGCCTGACATGAGTTGTTGGCGTATTGACATGTCACCTTGAGAATTGCTACCACCGGGATAGCTTGGGTTGCCCACATTGCCACCGATCCAGCCAAGGCTCTGGTTCAGCTCATTCACAGCGTCCTGAAGTTTCCCTCCAGCAGTCTCGTTGTGCTTTGCTAGCTTTTGATCCCATCCTCCGTACTGTAGTTGGATACCGCCACCACGCTTTGCTGCTTCTCTGATCACTAGACACCATGCTTTGCTCATCTCTTCATACGCTGCGTATTTCTCGAGATTATGCTGTGGCGTCGTCCACCGTGGAAGTCGGTGTATGATGTCTGTGGCACCGTCCAGGTAGTTTAGCGATGTTGAAGGCTGCGATTCATTTGGCGGGAGAAAATGGGGCGTAAAGTCGTTCAAGGCTTCAAGGAGGTTGGTGAGATGCTGACGGACTCGATTATATGCATAGTCGGAGGAAGGGTTCCCGCCCAGCGGGAAAGAGGACTGTAGAGTGGATTGGTAGTTGTTAAGGACTTCGAGGGCAGCGCTGACGCTGGGCCGGGGGGCAGTATGCATGACTTCTGAGGCTATCTCCGGATGACGGTCACAGAGAGACCTCAGCACCGACCGCAGAGCATCTGTATCGAGCGTCTCCATTAACCGGGGGAGTGACAACGGCCGGCCCGAAACGTTTGGTCGTGATCGTTTGAGGTGACGGGGAGCTAACGGCCGTGGATGGAGAGCAGGGGACCCAGAGGGCGAGGCAGACATGCGAGTGTCATCACTAGGGAGGCAGTCATCTTCGGCCTTTCTCTTCCGGTTCACTGAGGCGTTTGTCGATGACACTATAGGCAGTCAGTCAGTCAGTCAGGTACGCTGAGCCCCTTCTTATCGCCTTTCTTGCGAGGCCTGGGGTGGGAAGGGTGGCTCGGAGTTAGTCCTACTGGAATATGATGCAGAGCGACAAGAGGTCTCGTAAAAGTGAGGAGGAACAGGCGGTGTGGCTACCAGGCTGTTCATGGTCACCGAGAGCTGCTCGGCAGGGAGTAAGTGCTAGAGAGAAGTGGTGATGCGGATGCTTGGGGAGTCTGCGGGAGTTGGCCCTTTGGTAGAAGAAGTCGAAGCGAGGGAGGGAAGTCAAGCGAAGAGAGAGAAAGAGAGAGGCAAGTCAGGCGGTTGAGTTGGCAGAGAAAAAAAGGCGACAGGACTTAAACTAACGCTAAACTAACTAAGGGGAGAGAAGGCCCAAGCTTAGCTCCAGCGTGACCATACATTACACAAAGGCAAAATTACACACACAAACACATCCACACACACATACATGCGTACATACCTAGGCACACGCTGCATAGGGAGACGGAGAAGGAGGCCTGCTGCGGCTGCTAGTATTGTTAGTACGAGTATTGGTGGCGATGGGTGGTGATGGAAGGCTCAGGTCTTCAGGGTCGACTGCAGAATGACTGGAGGGTAGCGACAAAATGGCTGGTAGCCATGGTTACGGCTTTGTTTATGTCTTTGGGCGGCCATAGGTTAACTACTTACCGACCGTGTAGAAGGCCATATGAAAGGATTTCAGGATTTTTACGTTCTTTAGAAGGAGAGTGTGGTCACTTAGGTTTCTTACGCTACCGGGATGGCTGGTTTGCCTTCTATGGGGCAATTTTATCCACGGCCTGGCCAAAGAGGCTGCAGAGTGTTATTCATGCGTCTATCCCAGCCCTTAACAGCCATTTGGTGATGATGCGATCCACGAGTATTAGTAAACCTGCAGCAACGTAATAGCTGTTCTTGCTAGGCTTCAATTCCTTGCGTGTCACAAACTTCCTCGGCAATCACAGCAGCATATACGCCTACCCGGTTCCAGTAATATTACACTACCGAAAAGATAGGAGTCCCCGGCTATATGGACTCGTCTTTGTCCATGATCCTTTAATACTGCAATTATGGCAAGCTCTGGGCCGGCCGGGTAATGTCAGTCCCGCTAGAACAAATCTATCGCCACCAAGTATTACGCATCGGGGAATTCTTGAGGTTATAAAAATGCTTGTGAAACATAAATCAGTCTCAACCATCTTAGAATATATAGACCTTACTTTTCTAGAATATTGTCACAAACAATTTACACCCATTTCTTATTTATTACTCACTCATCTTTCTTTATATAGATCTGGTTTCCGTATTCATAGATCTATATAAATACTCCCCGTTTGTTAACTTTCTCAAGTAGTACTTACTAGATATGGGCATTGGGTAAATCATATCAGCATTACCCTGCGATGTCTCTCTACAATATTCCTAAGCGGCTTCCCTGCTCTCTCCCAGGACTACAAACATCTGCTTCTGCTTTGCTCTTCATGTGCTAATTTAACTTTTTGTGATACTTTTTTGCGTGTTACGTCATAACCTTAAAAAATAAGCTTTTCACGGGGTCCTCAGCCCGAAAACTTATGACTAAGCAAGGTTATTTATGTCTCTTTGGCCATTGTTTTGCCTTTCTGCCCCTGAAAATTGTTTTAAAAGGGAAAGCAGAAGAGAGGAAAAGAAAAGAAGAAAAAGGTAACCGGGTAATAACTAGGTGATCATTTTGCATTGCTCGGGGAATAACAGGTTCATTCACTTTTGCTATAATACGTGGAATACCACACACCCAACGCCACACATGTATCATCCTTATACAGTCACAGAGACCACTCATAGTCGCAGTAAATACAAAGCGAATAGACAGCCAATAACGATATATGGTAACAATCAATCATAGATAGAGAGACTGTGCAGCAACAATGTCTCGTTTTATGAGTGTAAGGGATGTTTCGAACTTCGTTTCAAGGTCGCTGCTTCCCATCACTTTGGCAGCCTGCGCCATTTGCCGCATACACTCTTCAAGGCGCCGGAAAGCTCTGATCAAACTTCCCTCGTACACTTCTGTCATTTTGCTTTACGCGAAAAGGATAGTTAGCAGTCTGATTGGATTTGGCAGGCGGCATAAGTTCCAGGGCAGGTATGGAGCAGCTTACCAGATATCAGCAAAGGATTTGCCCTTTGCCCACTCGAACATAACCTCCATAAGCTCCCATCGGAAGCTTTTCACATACTCGTCTTCATTCACAGGCAGTTTGGATTCTTGGGAAACTTTCGCAATGATTCTAGCCTGGGCCTGGATATCTCTAAGCGGTTTGGCGAGCTCCTCGTTGGTTATGGCTGGAGTGTCTTTAGCATTTTCCTCGAAGACAAACACGCTTAGTGCTGCGGCGCATTGCTCGGGTGTGAGAGTGTTGAAGAAACCGTTGAATAGCAGTTCGCTGAGCATGAGTTCGTCGCCACTGCTGATTTCACAAGCAACTCGAGCCTTGAGCTGCACAACTTCATCTTCGTTGATGAACTGGAAACGGCGGAGTACTCGTTTGCGGCACTTCAACTCGTCCATCTGGATTATTGACATGGCTTCGGTGATCTTCTTCTTCGTGTCCTTGATTTTCTTAATGAGTTCCACTTTTGCGGCATACTGGTCGTACAGCTCTGGAAGCCGAGGAGAGTTGTGTAATGGATTGGATATCAGGCGAGACTCCAAAACCTCGATTTTCTATAATTTACTTTAATCATGGGAGTCATAACAAGAAGGGGTGGAATTATTACATACCCTTAGTAATCTCTTGAACGAATCGTCGGTAATGTTCATGTTTTCAATAGGGTCAAGGAGCGCCAGGCCATCGGGGAAACGTTGTTGGATTTGCGTAATCTGCTTCTTGACAGCCTTCCTGCTATCTTCTTGTTTTAGGTCGCTGGGCATTTTGATTTTCACCATAGAAATTGTCTGTATACAGTTAAGGAGAACGGGGACAACTTCCAGCTTCGAAGGCTCGCCATTCTTAGCTGGCTTGACACCAGGTGGTAGTGGTTGAACGCCCTTTGTTTTCAAGAACGAATCCTCCGAAACTGGCAGTAGGACGTCTACTATGTAGCTCTCATGAGGCTCGTACTCTTCACGCGGGGCATGCTTTGGCGGTTTTCGTGCTTGGCAGTTGACAACTACCGACCATCCGAAATCATAGTCCTGGTGTTTGATGTGAACCAGACGTCCGGGCTTGAGGAACGAAACGCAATAATTCGGATGTGTTATCACGGCTCTCATATCAGAGTTGTAGGTATCAATCTTCTGTCGAAGATCATAATACTCCCGGATTGTGCCTTCGTCTTCGATTGTCATCGAATCCCTAGAACTTTCAAGCTCGACCAGTTCTGGTATAGTTAGTTAGCATATTGTGGCCGTAATAGGTAAAATGGGTCTGGGTATACAAAAGCCTTACCTTTTTCTAAGCCAGAAACACTACCAGTGTTTTGAAACTGGTAAAAACACCGCTCAAGCATGAACTCAGGTGATATTCCTTCCACCCGCAGCAAATTCAGGATCATGTTATAACCAAGATGGAAAGCCGAATTGAGCTTGTCCTGCTCTCCGCGAACAATATCCTTGGCAACCGGAGGATCCATCTCTTCATCAATCATCATGATGACAAGACCACGGTCATCGAGACCTCGACGACCTGCACGCCCGGACATTTGGACAAACTCTGAGGACGTTATCCATCTTGAGCTGACGCCGTCAAACTTGCGGACGCTTGTAAAAACAACAGTCTTTGCGGGCATGTTAAGACCAATAGAGAATGTTTCAGTAGCAAAAAGAACCTTGATAAGCCCTTCTTGGAAGAGGATTTCAATGGTCTCCTTAAGAATTGGAAGGAGGCCGGAGTGATGGACACCGATACCACGTCGAAGAAGAGGCAGGATATGCTGGATCTGAGGTAGATCCCTATCTTCTTCTGAGAGGATCTCAATGGCACTGTTGAAAACTTTGGAGACCATCTCCTTCTCAGAGTTATCATTGAATGCTAGTTTACTCATCTGTAGAGCAAAGGATTCACACTCTCGTTTGCTGAAACTGAAGACGATGACTGGATGGTAGTTTTTCATCATGATCATCTTGACGATCTTGTAGATATCCGAAGGACCATTCTTGTCTCCTCCTTTGTTTATCTTCTTGTCTTTCCCTTTCCCCTTCCTTTTAGCCATGGCATCCGCAGGGTCTGCTCCCTGCTTCTCCGCAATCGAGCTCATGGCTTTCTGGAAGTTTTCTTCGCGGAAAACACCCTTCTCATCAACCACAAGATGAATGCCTTCGGCTCCGGCGGGGAAAAGATAGTGTTGAAGGGGGGTGGGTCGGAAATCTGTGTATACGACGTGGCATGGCTGGTTGTGCATTTTGGTAACCCATTCTGCAAACTGCATCGCATTGGGGATGGTAGCTGAAAGGAACACATATCTAACTTTGTCCGGTAGAAGGATAATAGTCTCCTCCCAAACAACACCTCGGGCTTGATGGAATGTTAGCGAACTTGTAGCAAGAATCCGGATGAACGGTTGTTGCTTACTCTTATCTCGCATATAATGAATCTCGTCAAAGACAACCCAAGCAACCTCGCGCATAATCTCGGAGCCTCGGTATAACATAGATCGTAGAATCTACAAGCTTATTAGTTAACCTCCCCAACCAATTCTTCAGAACATGATCCTACCTCAGTAGTCATAACAAGACAGGTTGCCGTTGGATTGATGGTTACATCGCCGGTCATTAGTCCAACATCACCAAACTCAGCAGCGAATTCTCTGTACTTCTGGTTACTCAATGCCTTGATCGGACTTGTGTAGATCACTCTCTGATTATTCCTCAAACATTGAGCAATTGCATATTCGGCGACCACGGTTTTTCCAGCACTAGTATGCGCGGAGACGAGGACACTCTCTTCTCGTTCGATAGACGCAATCGAGACTTGCTGAAAGGGATCGAGGGTGAAAGGCCACACCCGCGCGGGTTTCTCTGGCGGTTTGTGCTGCGAGATGGGAACGTATTCGTAGCCCGCGGGTAGAGCAACCTGATGTCGAACTTGATGGGACAGCACGACAGCTTTCCCATCCTGTTGGCCCTGGAACCCAGCAGACGCGGCAACTTCACGAGACTGTTCGGTTTCAAAGGTATCTGCCACAACGGGCTCCGGCTCCTGGTCAACCCGCAGGCGCTTTATGTCTGGCTGCTCTTCTTGAACATCGGCCTCTACAGCATCACTCTTTTCACCTGCGGCCTCGACAGCCTCTGGCGACTCTGCTCCATTCTCTGTCTCTGTATTATCTATCTTGATGTCTCCGTTCGCTCGTCGCTTCTTGTTCCTGGCTTTTCTCGGCCTGGGGGGTTCGTTGGTGGCATCACTCAAGGCCGGCTTGTCCTCGAACACGTCAAATAAGTCGTCCATTGCGCTAAGAGCCCTACAGATTCTGTGTCTGTGGATATCTCTAGAGCTCCCTGGCTCCCGCTTTCGCCCTGCAGCAGCTTGTCAATGCTTGCTTTTCCTTCTTCCTGCTCACTCTTGTCTACTTCCTTCATAAATTTTAAACTTAAAATAAAACAAAAAATAAAAATAAAAAATATATCTACCGGACTTAACTTCCTCCGCCATCCGGCTTATCTCATCTTTCACGTGACTATGCCAAACTTGCCTCTTTTTGGCGAAATCGTTCGATGCCTTTGACGAAGCTCACCAGCATCTTTTTCACGTCTCCGAAACAACGAACGACACCAGCACCGTGCTACAGTCAAGGTATGCGGCCAATTCCTAACCAGGGCCCCAGGGACGACAGCTGACGCCTTTTCCAGATGTTTGCCCGTTCTGCCTTCCGCGCCAACACGGCCGCCTCCGTCATCAGCCGTCGAGGCTTCCACTCAACTCGCACCCAGCTCGGCTCTGGCTTCCATTACCCAGAGGGCCCTCGCTCCAACATCCCATTCAACCCGTTGACCAAGTTCTTCTTCGTCAGATACTGGGCCTTCATGAGTTAGTATCCCGTCCTCGCCTTCCTCGACGTTGACGACTATTTCTGACTAACCACTTGAAACTAGTTACCGGGTTCGGTCTTCCATTCGCCATTGCTGGTAAGTTTCGACATATTATATCCGATAACGCCTCTCCAACTGCTTATCACCGCATTTTGTTTAGTCTGGCAAACGAAGAAGTCTCGTTAATCGCATTTTCCCTCTCTATTTGTCCGCCGAGTCCTCGTTACTACCCTAGAATCCCTCCATACCCATTGAACCATGGATGGCTCGGAATACCTGGTCAACCTGTATAAAGATTAAATCAGAATCAACACATTGTATTACTTCCGATATCTTTTGCTCTCTCTCTATATATACATTTATCTTATCTTTATTTTATGTCATCTCGTTGGTTGCGTGTAGTTGACTCTCGGCTCTGCCCGTTTGTAGACTTGATCTCTTTGGAGATTAAATCATTGGTTAATTTTCATGGACACAATAAAAAGTAAAAATTTACCATGTCAGCAACCAAAAACCTATACAAACCACCAACTAGAATGAATATCAATATAGCCAAACGATAAGGCTCTGCAGCATGACTACTTGCTCGATATTGATTACTGCATGGTAACGATTCATCTCTAGACACGATGCGCAACCTTAGGAATATTCGCTTTTCGGAAGTCCCACTGCTTGGTGGGCTGCCTTTGGCCGCCACTGCGTGGGATGGCACCACAGACTCGCTGATATGCGCATTTGGTCCTGCGGAGGATAATGCAGTGATCGAGCTGAAGAGAAAGCTGCCGCATGAGGATGTAAGTCCCGAGGCGCTGTCTGGGGACATGTCCCTAATTGCATCCTGGGACGCGCCTTGCCCAAACCCAGACATGGAATGTGATCGCATATTGTCTCTGCAGTACTTCCCCGACACCTTGGTAACATGCTTGGTGCTAGAGGGCGGAGATATTATTGTCGTCCGTGAAGAACCTCAGCCAGGAGAGGACAAGATTGAAATCGTCGGCAGCGTTGATGCTGGTATATCTGCTGCCACTTGGTCTCCCGATGAGGAGTTACTGGCTATCTCCACAAAGGCAAATACTTTACTTTACATGACCAGGGACTTTGAAGGTGCTGCGGATATCGCGTTAAGTCAGGAAGATCTCAAGATATCCCAACATGTCTCCGTGGGCTGGGGAAAGAAAGAGACTCAGTTCCAGGGGAAACGAGCAAAAGCGCTGCGTGACCCAACAATGCCGGAGAAAGTCGACGAAGGCAAGCTAAGCGAATTTGATGATGGGGAAACCACTCTCAGCTGGAGAGGTGACGGTGCATATCTCGCTCTCAATAGCATCGAGGATGGCATTCGTCGAGTTATCCGTGTCTATTCTAGAGAAGGTGCATTGGATAGTGTGAGCGAGCCGGTGGATGGGCTAGAGGGTGCTCTAAGCTGGCGGCCGTCTGGGAATCTCATTGCTGGAATCCAACGACTTGATAATAGAATCGATGTCGTTTTCTTTGAAAGAAATGGTTTACGGCACGGCCAGTTTACTCTTCGATTAACAGAAGAGGAGCGGCTGAGCTGGGCATCAAACATTAAACTGGCCTGGAATGTTGATTCTAACGTTCTTGCAGTCCAGTTCAAAGATAGGATCCAGCTTTGGACTACAGGAAACTACCACTACTACCTCAAAGAAGAAATTCCACTGTCAATCGACGGAACATCACTTTGTACGTTCCGCTGGCATCATGAGAAGTCTATGCGTTTTACCACAAGCTCACCAAGTATGTATACTTCAAGTATCCAATTCTCCATGTCAGTATCTAATAATGCTCTAACCACTACTATAGCCTCACTGCTTGATACCGATTGGGTTTTCGAAGTTGCCGCCGGTTCGACTATTGTTCCTAATGACTTTGGTTCTATCGCCGTAATCGATGGACGTAAGTCAATTCTTCCAACATCCTTTTTTAGAAGATAAATTATTGACGGCCTTGTATAGGCACCTTGAAACTTTCTCCATTGAAAGTGGCAACAGTGCCTCCCCCGATGGCACTTTGCGAGCTTGCCCATGATTCAAATGTTATCGACGTGGCATTTAGCAAGACAAGCGCGAAAATTGCTATTCTCAGTGCAGCTTCCTTTACCATATACTCTTGGGATCTCAAATCCACGTCTCCCCTTGAAGCAAAACTGTGCGCCACACACGCCATATCTCCATCTAGGCGCCCTAGGCTAATCGCTTTCCTCGGTGAGGACGATATCTACGTCGTGACGCAAGACGAATTTGGTGGGGGAGTTTGTCGAATGGACAGGGCTACAGTCGAATGATTCTAAACTTGTCTTTCTTCCTGAAGAGGGAGTTCATATATCCTCCATTTTCCCTGATTCTGGGCAAGAGAAGCTTTGGATTGCTCAGATATCTCAGAATAATAGGACGAGAACTTATAGCTTTATTCGAAGGAGCAGAGCTGAGGACTCCTCTGTTATCCCATGGCAAGATGGGCCTGCAACCGACACCAGTTGGGCTCGTGCCATCCAGCTTCCTAGCGGGGACGTGAGTAAAGACACACAATCCAAATCATTTGAATATTTTGTCTAACTTAACATAGGATATCTTATTCACGCTTTCTCGATCCGGGGCCCTATATGCCAATAAGCGCTTACTCGCCAAGAGTGTCACCTCGTTTCTCCTAACCTCCGCCCACCTTATCTACACAACCGCGCAGCATCTACTTAAGTTTGTTCACATTGCTAAAGTTGATGGTATACTATATCTTTTATTCCAGTCGCGGTGTATGGAATTATTGCTAATTCATGTACAGATCTCGAAATTCCTGGGGATACTCCAGAGGAAGACGAGAGATGTCGAAGTGTTGAACGTGGAGCCAAATTGATTACTGCTATGCCCTCGAAGCTTGGGCTTACCCTGCAGATGCCCCGAGGAAATATAGAGACAATCTACCCTCGAGCTTTTGTCCTGGCCGGTATCCGTGGCTATATTGAAAACAAGAAATACAAATCAGCCTATCTGGTTTGTAGATCACAGATGGTGGATATGAACATCCTTTATGACTATATGCCTGAGCAATTCTTGGATAATATACCGCTCTTCCTTGATCAAGTGAAACGGGTCGAGTTCATCGACGAGTTTCTATCTCGCCTTAAGTAAGTTTAGTATCCATCTACGTTCTTCACTACATAACCCGGAATATCTAACCTTGATAATAGAAACGAAGATGTAACAAAGACTCTTTATAAGGATACCCTTAAGCTTTCACAGCCTACAGAAGCCTCGAGGGGAGATGGCCCGGGCTCAAACCAAGCGCCGGCTGGCTCCTTTGGTGTGGCTAAGGCTGAGAACAAAGTAAACAAGATCTGCGACGCATTCATAGCCGTACTTTCCAATCGAATCGACACCAACTTACAAAACCTTGTTACTTCTCACGTCTGCAAGTCTCCGCCGGATCTTGACGCTGGGCTTAGCCTAGTTGCTAAATTGCGCGGTACGTCAAATCGCTCCGTATAGGGTTTTGCAATATCTTTTAACACTCAAACAGAGCAGAATGCAGAACAGGCGGAAGAAGCTGTAGAGCACATGTGTTTCCTTACAGATGCCCACCAACTTTTCAATTATGCACTAGGTCTCTATGACCTTGAACTTACGCTGATGGTCGCTCAGCAGGCTCAACGAGTGAGTGAATACCATAGCCTGAAAGCATAAGATGCTATACTAACAACGTTACAGGACCCAAGAGAATATCTCCCATTCCTTCAAAAGCTACACGGTGTCTCAGAGCTCCAACGAAAGTATGAGATTGACAACCACCTTGGCCGTTTCACCAAAGCATTGAAAACTCTCCATGCCTTGGGCTCATATGATGACCTGAAGTTATACACAATCAAACATAGCCTCTATAAAGACGCCTTGGTGTTGTATAAGTATCAGCCGGAGCTTTTGCGGGATATGACCCAATTGTACGCGGATTACTTATATGACCAGTCAAACTACAAAGAAGCTGCTATCGGTGAGATATTATTATCCGCTATTTCCTAATGTATTCTCCTGCTAATTTGGTTTGCTATAGCTTACGAATCCCTTGAAATGTTCAAACCCGCTTATGAATCATACAAGCTGGCACACATGTGGCGAGAATCTCTCTACTGTGCAGCCTTGGTTCCACTATTAGAGACCGACCTGAACGAATTAGCTACTTCGCTATCCTCCACGCTCATTGATGAGAGTAAGGACTATGTCTCCGCTGCCCGTATCCAGTCTGACTACCTGCATGACATTCCTACTGCTGCACGGCTACTATGTAAAGGCACACAGTTTGGGGACGCGTGCCGACTACTCGTTTTACATGGCCATCAAGATCGAGTCTCCGAAATCGTCGACCACGGCCTTGCGGAAGCAATGGGAACCATGACCGAACTTCTAGCAGACTGCAGAAGCCAATTACAAGCGCAAGTGCCACGGATTCAAGAATTGAAAGCTAAACGCGTCGCCGATCCCCTCGGGTTCTATGGCGGTGATCCGACTGGTGCTGGCGCTGGAGATGTAGATATCCCTGACAACATTTCCCTCGCCCCAACGGACGCCAGTACAATGGCTGGTAGGAGTCTGTTCACCAGATATACTGGGGGAAGCAGTACGTCACGGGCCAGTAGCCGGATGCGGAAGAGAGAAGAACGCAGACGCGCAAAGGGGAAGAAGGGTACAGTTTACGAAGAAGAGTACCTCGTCAACAGCGTGAGACGGCTGATTGAGAAAGTCAACAGTTCGATTGAGGAAGTGGAAGCGCTGGTCCAAGCAATGCTAAGAAGAGGAATGCGGGAACGAGCCGCGGTAGTGGAAAAGAACCTTGATGAAGTTTTGGGTATGTGTAGGGACTGTCTGAGTGATGTCTTCGAGACCCCTGCCGAGACCAATTTGGATGCACAGGACAAAGAAAATGAGCCTCCTGCTGGCGCAATTTCAAGTGGAGAACGTGTTTACCTGGAGAGCATGGAAGCTCTCAAGGGCAAGGGGAGAGAACCGCCAGTTGTCAAGGCTTTTACGAAGCTGTCTTTATTGGGTGGTTAAAAATCAAAAATCAAAAGGATGTGCAATGTATATACGGCTTCCTCTTGTACGTTATGCCAAATAACATGAAAAAGCGAATATCTCGATGTTTACCTTCTTCATTACTATATTTATTTTCTTTTCTTATGGAAAAAATACCCCATCACTGAAGGTATGAGAAATAACGAAATGCTCACGGACTCATGCAGCGGTAGCCAATATCTCGCCAGACTCGCTAACAAGGTGCTCTTTTTTGCTAATCGGGCCGCTACCAACGCCAGTCAAGAACACTCTTCCTACACCCTTGGAAAGCAGCTCGGCAGCCCGAGAGTCGACAGATTGTTGGAGCGAGTTCACGTTCTTGATGTTTGATGATTCCCAACCCTCATTCGCGGAAGTCAGGATAGACTTGAAGGTTCCCAGGACACAGTCAGTGTCTTTTTCCAGGTAGTATATAACGGCATTGGGACCAGCATCAAAGGTATATGCGCATACAGAGCGTCCAGCTGCACGATTTATATCATGGACTGCCCTGATCGCTGCACGGGAGGTATCGTTTAAGTAGAAGGTTGGTGGCCAGGTATCCAAGTTTGTGGCATGGAAACCGTTGCTGTCTCGCATAGTAATTTCTGCAAACGCCTCGAAATCGCGCTCTTGTATAGATCTCTCAATCGCAGTCATACGTTCTGGCACAATTGACTGGGCACGGCGGGGAAACAAGGTCGACGTAGCAACGGTCAACTGCATTCCTTCTGTGCTTGGTACCTCTTTCTGGGCACCACTGACAACCAGAATGAGAGCGCGCATCTCTGGCCAATGGCTCTCAGGAGCAACTTGCTCGGCTATACTGTCACTACCGTCCTCCTTTTCGCCAGCTCTCCAGGCAACATATCCACCCATCAGCGAACGGCAAGCAGAGCCAGATCCCTTGCGGGCAATTTTGCTTAATTCACTAGCTGACTGAGGTAATTGGTATAGGTTCGCAACGGCACGTACGAGAGCAGCGAATCCAGCAGCTGAGCTAGCCAGTCCAGCCGCCGTGGGGAAGTTATTTTCAGACACAATGCGGAGAGGATAGGCGGAGAGTTTGGGCAGGGATGGGTCGGAAGATTCAACTTGTTTTCTGAGGGATCGTAGGTCTGCAAGACAGGCAAGAGTTCTCGGTGAGCCTTGGACGCTGTGCGGCTTGTTATTGAGGGTAAGAGTGTCGCCGTCTGCGGCGGGGTACTTTGCAGAGCATGACGCAGTCGTGTATGCGCGAAGAGAGCTCTGGGACAAAGTCACCGAGAGTGAGGAATTGGTAGGCAGATTGAGAGTGGCGTCTCTTTTTCCCCAGTATCTGTACAGAGTGGAAGACGGTCAGCTCAGGTCTATGAACAGCTCATTCTATTTCCCCCCTTTTGGCGGCGTCTCTGCTTACTTGATAACAGCAATATTGACCGGCGCAGTCGAGCTGGCACGGTAAACTATCTGGTCATTAGCAGCAGCCATCTTCAATACCCTCAGCGTGTGTGTCAATCCTGCGTGTAAATTGTTAGAAGAAGCCAGGGGGCAAAGCTGAAGTGGTGAGCTTGGTTGGTTTTTGTGCTTTTTTTTGGCGGGGTTGGGGATGGAGCAGTTTGGAGGGAGCAGACCGACTCTTAAATATGGACGGATCTATTTAAGTGGTTACTGCAGCTACAGCTACTATTGACGTACCCGCAGAACGCCTCAATTATTGAGCAAGCGATGAATCACATCTCTATTGGTCGATGGGAGAGTGTCTTGATATACGCTAGTTAGAGATATTACATTAGACCAGGGAGATAGATGGATTTCGGTAGTTACTGTTAACTACTCCGTATATCCACGTCGCAAAGGCTCACCAGTGTAAAGTTGAGGTATTCGCCTGAAGAGGGAATGACATAGTTGGCATGGTAGTTATAGATATTTGGACGACTCTAACTAACTACTGCGGCCACCGTTAAGCAGCGATAGATCTGACGAAAGGATGCTCCAAAGCCATCTCTGTTATTGGACGCTTGGATGGGTCAATGATAAGAAGACGCTCTATGAAATCAATGCAAGACGCCGAGCGTATCTCCCGAGGAATTCACGATAACTCTTCTCTGGTGGTTCTAACACTGATGTATGCCTTTGCTTCACCTGTTTTAGGGTCGAGATACCCGCCACCTTCTATGGCCTGTGCAAATTCAAACTCACTTATAAATTCAGAATTTTCGGGAAATCTTATCTGATGAGTCGAAGTATCTTAGCCAAACACCATGCGGCCTGATGACCCTGGAATATCTTATTCCGAGGGCCAAAGAGGGTAGCTGACATGAGCCAATGCGTGATCTGTATTAAGTCCTTTAGTTATACAAGTTATTATTGCCGGGTGTTCTGGGCAAGATGACCATACGGTGACACCCAAAGACCATATATCTGACGAATACCATACCCCAAGTCTCTCCGTACTTCTGGGGCTCGACTTTCCTGAGTTTGAGCGCCTTGGTGGTTTTTGGCAACGCCCTCAGAAAAGGCTGCTAGGAAGTGAGTGACTTGATGTACAAGAACATATATCTCCAATACCTCAAATAATATCGTTATCCAGACCGCCCAGCTTCACCGTAGGGACTTAAAGCTCCAGGTTTGGCAGAAATATGTTATTTGGGTTCACATCTATTTGCATGTTGTTAGAATCACATACGAGAAGACTGGTGGGCGAAGACACAAACCGGTGTGAACTCCTCTAGTTTTCTGGAAGTGCTTCTAGAACGGATCTTGGTAAAAATTGCTGGTAGATTAGGGTTCGAGAACGGTTTCCTGTGCGGGCGCAAGCGCCAAAGATCTGTGTCTATCCACTCGAGAGCCATACGCTTGGTTACGGATGGTTGTGAAGGGGACCAATATTCAATTTCACCCTTCTCAGTAACATCCACTGCTTGGCGGATAAATCTGCATTCTTGTATTGCTGGATGCTTGGTGTCCGCGTAGCTCCATTTCCGACACAAGCTCCTTTATCGCAACATTACTAGGGATATCAAGTATAACTGACCAAGGAGTACTTTGATATACAGTTGATTAGTATGCTTAAGGTTTGATTTATTGTCAGACTGGGGTATAATGGCAGTTTTGTAGAGTGATGCCTCTTTAAGGATCTCAGGGGGCTTGTAAGATGACTTGTGGCTGGTCAAAGTACGGCCAAGCAAATTCGCCATATAACAAACCAGTTTATGGGAAATAAACAAACAAGAGACTCTTGCGAGCTGATGTTCACTTGCCCATTGCGCCCACCAGCGATCAATACTTGGTCAATTGCCGGAGGAGCCTAGGACGTAAGGGGTACATTTGATAGTCCAGGAAGTCAACACCGTGAACAAAGTTTGGGATTTAACCTTTTTTACCTAAAAAGGTTAAACCAGCGGCACGGAACATGCATAATCCGAGAACCGCTTGGACCCACTCTCAGCGCTTCCTTCGGTACTTATCATCAAGAAAAGATTGAGCTTGAGCGTTTCCTTCAAATTTCCTGTTATCGGCATGGAGTAGTTGATTATCATCAAACGCAAACTCTTAGTGTCTGGTAAATACTGATTGAAATTTTCTGGTGATCATTCTAGCCATGGGTGCCAGTGTCAGTACGCCCGTTTCACCTCCGGAAACCAAACCGGCAGCCGATGGCTGTCCAGTCGACCATAAGACTCGAGAGATCTGGCTAGCTCAAAATAAGAACGCCTCACCACACAATATTCCTTCCCAGGACTCAAAAGAACGTCCGGCTAAGCTTCAAAGACCCCTCTCTACCGATCGCGAAGTCAGTAGTATCCCACGAGCATTACCTTCTAGCAAACCAGTTTCTGAAGAGCCACCACCTCCTACGTCCCCATACGCGCAACAGCCTGCAGTACCGGTTGCTTCACACGGAATACCCTCGAATGCTGAATCCGAAACCGGCGCCGACGGCAAAACCGGAAACTGGATATATCCATCGGAACGACAATTCTTCGATGCAGTACTGCGCAAAAACAACACACCCTCATCTACAAAAAATGCGACTGAACTAGCCACATCCGTGGCGTCGATAATACCAATACATAATGCTGTGAACGAACGAGCTTGGGCGGAGATATTAGACTGGGAATCAAAGGGACCTACGTCGGATCCTGGAAGCAAAAAATGCGGAGGGCCCAAATTATACTCTTTCCGGGGGTTAGGGGCCGAGAGCCAATATTTGAGTCCGCGTGCAAGATGGAATGGCTTTTTGGGTTATCAGCTTCCCTTTGACCGGCACGATTGGGTTGTTGAGCGATGTGACGGCGCAAGGTTAGAATATGTTATTGATTTCTATCAGGGCAAATCCAACCAAAGAGGAGATGGAGGCAAGTTGAACTTCTTTTTAGATGTTCGGCCGAAGTTAAACTCCTGGGAAGGTATAAGAATGAGAGCCAGCCGGTTCGTAGGCCTGTAACTGGCTGCAGGGTTTACGGATAACGATAATATGGCAAAGGTGTCGGAATTGTAAGATATGTGTAAGATATATGTATATGCACAAAGAACAAAGCAAAAACAAAAACTTAGATGCCTCCACTCTCGTCATATCTCCGCCAAAAGCGGCTGGGGTATTAATATAGCTGGTGAGCTCTAGATTGAGAATAAACTGACAGCAGAAAAACATATGAAATAAGAAAATAAGCAGTAAAAAGAACGCATTCGCCGTAAACTCCTCGAGAAACAGTAGGAAGAAAGAAAAAAAAATGATACAAGTCGGCGGCTCAATTAGCCCGTTTACCTCAATCTCAACATTGGTTAATCAACTTAGCACAACTGCCAGCACAATAATAACTAGGATGATAGCCATGATGACTAGGAGGCAGCACATTTTGTTCCGAGCATTCTTCTGATGCCTGCTCGCAGTTCGAAGCTCACGCTCTGCTCCTCTTGTGTCATCTCTGGTGTTGTATACGTTCTCGCTGATGATGTCTATTTGTCCGCCTTGTTCTCGAACAATATGACCAACGTCTCGGAATAGCTCGTTGAGTTCCCCGACGCTCTGTTCAATATTTCGGATTTCAGCTTCACGTTCGATAATGAGCGCTTCTTGGAAATCAACATCGTCTTGCGAAGCGAGACGAGGTTGCTCCTGGAGTTGCTGTAGACTCTGGCTTTCCTCGCCTTCGGGGCCAGCGCGTGCAGTGGATTCCTCTATGGCCGTTCGTGCAGCTGCGGTGGATGCGCGTTGTTTTTCAAGGGCCCGGCGCTGGACGGCTTGAAATTCGTCAAGGGTAGATTTGAATTTGGATGAAAGGTTGTCTTGCGTCCATTTTTGAGCAGGCTGGGCGGCGTTATTGTATTAGTAAAACAAAGCACAAGCATGGAATTATGAAATGCATTGCTGATTGCACTCACAGTGACATCCTCCCATGCCTGAATCTTCTTGACCCCTTCCCCGGCTTCCCGGAACCCCTCTCTTGTCTCCTCAAGAAGATTGTGTACTCTCTCTCTTGCACGGTCTGTATCTCGCTTTGTCCCAAGAAGTGATATTTGGTTGGATAGCCGAGTAATATTAGAGGTCAAAGTGAATATTTTATTAGAAAGGAAGTCGGTCAGGCGTTGAAACTCCGGATCATCATGATACTCAGAGTCCGCTTGGCGCCTGCCTGATGGCTGCGCTTCCAGGGACGATAGCCTATCGAATGACATCCCAACTAGTATTCGAGACCAAACAGAAGCGCTGATATGTAGAGAAACAGCTAAGAGAAATATGAGTTCTGGTGTATATTAGACATGGAAGTGAGTGAGATGAAGGCTTGTTGCTTGTTGGTCGTCGTTCCTTGAGCTGGAGAAGAAAGCGTCATCAGGGCCGATCGCCGTGTCATGTGATAGCTCTTCATTGGCTGGAAAAGGCAGGTATTCCGCCGCACAGCTTTCCATTATCATCTCAGGACCGGCTTATTATTCGCTATCATAAGCGCAACGTTTGCCGCTAAGCGCGACTGGCTTTCAAAGCTGCTCATACAAATGTAGCAGGTACGGAATATTCGTTTATAGAAGTAAATTCGAGTTTATGGAGTGCTGATATTATATGACAGTGTCTTGGATTTGCATCTCTTTGCCCTTAAGGGATTGTGGAACTGGGTATCCGCGATGGCAGCTTCACCCTTTTGTGTTCTTGTAGCCTATAGCTTCTACTATATAGCACTAGAAATAAAAAGTTAATAATGGACGAATTCCCTCTATGGTGTCTAGTAATGGTAGCCTGTTGATGGCCACTTCGACTTCGTTCCCTCAACGATACTGAGCATGCTGTAACTTCTACTTACATAATCAGGTACCAACTGCGCCACATGAGGCTGGTGGCCGAGCTAGGTGGCTTTGCTTGTTGACTTTCTTCAGGCGACAAAAAAATACAGCGAGATAGAGATTAAAGAAAAGCAAAGCTGTTGAAGCAAGAGCTCACTGTCAATTCGAATTCCTCCCTGCGCGTATACCGACGGGTATTGTCCACGCTTCCTAGTCGCCCTATGTGGACGTTTCAGTGGGCTAGATACAATTAGCCATCCAGCGCCTCTCGGCTTCCAACATCACCAAGCTATGCGATAACCACCAACTACCTCCTGCTAGAAGCTCTCTTATCATCCCACCACCATGGCAGCATCTGTCAAGTTGAGGCCGTATAGACGGATATTGACGTCTACGCTTCATAGAAGATTTGTCCACGCTTCAGCTTTTGCGCTTCTGGCGTGTTATGCCGTTTCGTTTTTCATTGGAGTCAAGACATCCGGTAAGTGTCAACATGAAATACAACATTTCTAAAACTAGAATCCTAACTAATTACTTTAATTCAAGTGTTTTGGTCATGGTTTCCTATCGGGCCTTGCGGAGTTCGAGCTCTGCTTCTTTTTATTTCTGGGCTATGCATTTTTATACTACGAGTCGGGCAGATGCACGTCGGCGCGCGTATCGCAACATCTCATTTTCACAACATCAGACTTTCCGCCCTGTCTTTTAATTCCATACAAACCGTTGTCTGGTACATGTTCTCAGCATGGTGGTTTAGTGAAGTTTACAAATGGTCTTCCTCAGCTGATGCCCAATTGAACTGGGTGATTCCCGGAAAGTAAGTTATGCGAATGGTATCTTTGAGTTGATTAAAACCCGAATCTAATACGCTGGAATTAGGTCATATGAACGATCACACTTAAACGAACGACCGATATACCTTCACTGTTTCTTCATTATGTTAGCTCTTGTCCAATCATCACTGCATCTGTACTTCGACATGGATGAGGTCCCCGTCCCAGTCACAAAGCGAAGTCCTCTCACAACCAGCCGGAGAACACACCGCCTAGCTCCGCTTTCTGTGCAGTTTAGCAATATTGCTCCTAACATTATATTTGAATCGGTTGTTATTGGCTTCTCTACTGCAGTTCTCGGCCCCATACTCTATATGCTCGTCTTCCGTCGAACCGCGTGGAGCTGGACGCTGTACTTTGCAAAGCTTTTTTGGAATTTTCCACGGTCCGCAGCTGATCCGCCAGGCTTGCTTCCACCTTCCAACATAATGTTCCATCTTCGATCCGCAACATCTGGCTCTCTGCTCGTTGTGCTATGGCAGATATCAAATTTCCTGTTCTCTGCATTCCTCGGCCAGGCCCCGCTTAAGAAGGGCAGTCCACTCACAACTGGTGTTGCGGACCCTAATGGAAGCCTTATTAATGGACTAAAATCAAAGAAGGAGACAGTGCTAGCCTTTGCTTTCTGGGAGCTTTGCCTTATCAGCCAAGAATTCCCAGACAGACGGAAGGAAATATTCAAAGATATTGATAGAAACGGAGGTTCAGCCTGGAGCCAGATACTAAAAGCATCAGAGAATATTCTTAACGGTATTACAACGAGAATACAAGAACATCAAAACCCTCAACCACAAGCCAAGGGTACCGCCGATAGCCAACAAGAGTCTGGATCAAAAACACAGGAGATGGTACAAACTCTGCCTCGAATTACACAACCATCTAAAACTGAAAATATTCTACTTGCCTCGCCTAAACCTAATACACGTTCAGAAAAATTTGAAGCTGCATTTGGCACCGTGGCTAAGTCCTATGGGCAATCGCAGGATTGGACACCTGCAGCAAAGGCCAGAGCTCGTGCAGCTATAAATCACGCCTCTAATTCTCTGTTAAGCCCAGAGCAGAAGCGCACTATATCCAACTCAGCACAGGAACTGAAGCTCCTAACGAGCCCCCCGAGCGCAAGCGGTCCGCCTAACCCTATAATACAACAGTTCATGAAATCCCCGGTCGGGTTTCCTTTCAGGCAGTCATTTTCCAATCGCCTACGAGGGATTGTACTGGGCTCCCCGCATTCGAAGCTTGCAGCTATAATTGATGCTACAGAGTCTCTAAAATGCCTTTTGATAGCAAGTTTGGAGGAAGATCAGTTCGGTAAAGTCCAGGCCGATGTCCCTTCCGTGGTTAAGCTGTTCACTAGAACGATCATGACGCTTGAATCATTTGTTGGCAAGGATGGCCTGAAGCCACATTGGAGCGATGTTGACTCAACAAGCGCGGATGGGGTGCAGCATTCTCGATCAGTAGAGCAAGTTGAGATTGTGATTGACACCCTTAAAAGTGGGCTATCGGAATTACTGGGGGCGTTTAGCTTATATTTGAATGAGGTTGGTGTTGTAGGACAAGATTTGCAATTAGCAAGAGAAGCAGCGAAGAAAACCGATGTATGAAAGAGAAAAATGCTAGATAGAAGTCATAATACCCTTTTAATCAAACTATCAACATGTTATTGTCTTTTATCATGATAAGACTGTTGGTTTCTGCGGAACTTCGGAAGAGATTGCAGTATGTGGTTGAATAACGGTGATTTCGTTTATTACTATATCTTATTTTCGCCAAAGGCAACTAATTTCATTATTTACCAGCAGTAATCGAAGGCAACTATAAAAGTATTTTGGAAAGTGCCGCAGGGTGTCTGACTGGGAATTAGATTTGCCATGCCAGAAGGTGTGAGTATTATCTACATAACTAAAGCATTTGAAGCCACAAATGAGTATAAAAAAACCAAAATTTATAATACTGCATTACCAGCAGCACGTAACAACCATCTTACGTCGTTTGTCCACCCCCCCTCTACATCTGCAGGGGCAATCTTCATGGATGTTGATAATATTTCCGTATCGGTATCGGAGCCGTAGTTTCTTTCGGTTCCAGAGTCAGATAAAGTTTCTAACTGATCTGTAGAGCCTAGCTCAGTCGCTCCTTGTGCGTTGCCATCAGTATAGAAATGTGCTCTCTGTCCAGGTCGGTAAGTACTGTTCGCGATAGGTGGCTGAACTGATTCGTCCTCGGAACCAAATACGGTCCATTCAACCAATCTATCTATCCATGAGCCTAGGCCAAGGCCACGTTCCCGAGTGAGACGATGCACCTCGACTTCACTAAACTCTTCATCATCAGAATCTTCTTCGCTTGAGTCGGAATCATAGTATTCCTGATATGCCATGGGTAGTGTGCTACTTTGTCCACTTTCACGGCTTGCAGTATTTCCAGCTTCGGGCAAACGAGTCTGCAAAGCAGCTAGTTCTTCTCGAATTGACTCATCCAGAAAATCAGGAACTAGCCCAGGAATGTCTCTTGACCGCGGGGTAACAGCACCAGACTGGAGAGATTGTCCTGTAGGGTGGTGAGATGGTGTCATAACAAGGTCAACTCGACTGGAGCGTTTGCTTGTTGCATGGGAATGGGAACCCCTCCTTGATCGGGCCAGAGGAGTCGATATTCCTGACCGACGACCTTGAAATTCTTGTCTCCCGCGACTATGGGGTTTCTGTCCATCTTCGTTATGTGAAACGAGGCTGGTGGAGCTTTCCCGTTTGACTAACCATGACTGGCCCTTTTCTTCACGGGTTGATGACGCCAGCGCCAAACCGGTCCGTAGTATCCATTCATCGTCTGGCATTCGTGGTGTAGATGTTCCGCTAGACCCTACCTTTCTGCTTCTCGGATTATAGCTTTTAGATCGTTTGTGATGTCGTAGTTGCTGATGGTGTAGCGGTCCTGCAACATCAAGGGCATATAAACGTGATTCGCTCATCAGCGCCCTTTGAGCGTCCTTCTTCTTTCTCGCAAGATTCGTCTGGGACACATTTCGAGATTGAGATAGCAGTGATGGGGTTGCAGGCACAGATATACTGGAGAGATATGAGCTGGTCATATTAGAAGGTTGGTATGTACTCTGCTCAGGACCTATTCCAGCTCTATCTTGGTCGATGGAGAGATCGTAGTTTTCATCCTCGGCATCATAGTCAAGAGGCAATCGGGAGCTTAATGGTGCCATAGAAATGTGCTGCAATGACGTGTGAGAACGGCGGGGACGAAACCCGTAGGACTCAGAGTTGGCTAACGACTATTCAGAGGTGTTAGATGTTAGATACTCTTATAGCCGGTGGTATGTCCATCACGAACCTCCATAGTAGTAGCTACGAAGAGCAGCCTGAATTTAGCGCTTGGCCTAGGGAAACAAAAACACCCTCTACAGCCTCTGCTAACACAGACTTATCAAATTGTCAATAACCCATGTGTTGTTCACGTATTGAGCCCTGGCTGGCCGCTGTATCGGTGTTAAATGAAGTCTTCAGGACCTTCCGATCCAAGTTCCCGTCGTGGGGAGAAAGCAATGGGCGCTAAGCCTAGAATGGATAACCTCATGCAACGCACAGACCATTCTACATCAGTTATCGATAAGGCATGTGGACAAGAGAAAGCACGTGAAATATAGGCTTGAAATAACGTAAGAGGTCGAAGGGTGTAGAAGTTGTACCAAGTCAATAATGAGAGCCCAACGAATATGGGCCTTTTAGATTGTGATATTTCTATAACATCGCGCTTTTTGAAACGGTAATTTGCTACAGTAAAAACCCAAAATGAGAAAAGAGCTCTATGATAAAAAGGGTAGGACAACGCTCAGACAATTTGCCCCTTCTGCACCACGAAGGCCTGAATAGCCGATATCGCAGCCCAGAGTCTGTTCTCAGCTTCCGGGAACACCAGAGATCGTTCTCCATAAAACACCTCATCGCTGACTTCCTCAGGGTGCCGGGGGAGGCAGTGCATGAAACGCCAGCCTTCATTAGCCCCTCCGCGTTTTGCGAGCTCGGTAGTAACTTGGAACCCTTCAAACGCCCTCAAGCGCTGTAGTTTCTCTTCCTCTTGCCCCATGGATACCCAAGTATCAGTTACAATCACATCTGCTTTCTTGACCGCCTCTTCAGGGGAACAGGTCTGTGTCAGTGTACCGGGGCTTCGGGTACCCTCTTCCGCACTCTTAACAAGGTCAACAATATGAGTGGGTATCTCGTAACCTTTGGGAGTGGCAACAGCGACATCTACTCCCATTTTAGTTGCTCCAATGGCAAGGTCAAACAGCACGTTGTTTGCATCGCCAACCCAGGCTATCTTCAACCCTTCCAGCCCCAGGGAAGACGATGCACTCTGACTTGAGATAGATTGAGGTGCAAAGGTTTCTTTTATCGTGATGAAATCGGCTATGGTTTGTAGGGGATGGAACGTGTCACACAGAGCATTTATCACCGGAACGGTCGAGTGCTTGGCAAGGTTGGCCACGTCGGAGTGTGGCCCAACACGGGCAACAATGCATGATACCATGGAGGAGAGAACAACCGAAGTGTCGTAAAGAGATTCATTAACACCTAATTGGATATCGTCTTTCCCAAGAAACATCGGATGACCACCCATGCGTGTCACCGCTCCTTCCGTAGAAACTCTGGTTCGCGTGCTTCGCTTGTGGAAGACCATGGCAACTGTCTGGCCAGACAATGCGCCTCTGAGAGTCTCCGGAGTAGATCCAGATTTGATTGCCTGTTTATGAGACAGGCCATTTCGGACTAGAGCGGTGAACTCTGCCGGGGTAAGGTCTGCAATGGAGAGGAGATGTCTTGGTGATATGGCCGAAGGAGTAGCGTAATGCCGAGACTGGAGCTTTGCAATGTGCCCAATGCATCTTCTTCGAAGAATGGAATGCATCTTATTCGATCTTTATGTCACTGGGTACAAGTGGACGTCCCTGGCTGCTCACGTTGAAGCTCCAGTTATTACTGCAGGGGTACGTAAAGTCAATAAATTAGAGCAACAAAAGGCGAACAGACGCCGACCAATTGAACCAAAGGGCAGTTAAAAGACAAGCAGAATATTTTACCTTGTTCAGACTTTCACAGATGTGTTAGTAACTCTCTTCCTTTTCTTTGTCGCCGTTTGTGCTTCTTCACAAGAGTCATCGACGGCTAAAAAGAAGGAACAACGGAACAACTTAATACTGGGTTTTATTACATAATCAAGTGGATGCGGAGCCCCGGTCACGCTCGCGCTAACGCAAGCAGGCAACGTCAGGCGGCGCTTCCAGGCGCTTTTCAGTCGTCGTCGCTTGACATCATTGCCGGCGGTTGAGAGAGACGACATGCAACCCAGGAACATCGAAGGCTATGGAGATTTCATTGTGGTTCTCGCTGTGATAACACGTACCCTAGACCGCTGTCAATTCAGACAGGATGACCAATAATAGTACCACCTCTTCACCGGGGAAATGGCAATCCTCACGGCCGTTTAACCACCCGGAAGACCACGATCGCGACCAAGGCTTGTCGGAAACAACGCCACTACTTGCTCATAGGGACGAAGACCTAGAGGATGATGACGATTCCGCCGACTCGGTAGCTCAGCAGAAGAAGCGTGGGCTGCGATGGCCTACGGTGACCGCACTCGTCGTTCTTTGTCTCTCAGTCATTGCCATTTTGATCCTAGGATTCGCTGCCCCATCGATGATGAAACAATATGTCCAAGAAGCCACCACGTTCAAGCCAACCGGTCTTTCTATTACATCTTTTACGCCCTCTGGAATAAAAGCGAGGGTGCGTGGTACCCTAGTTTTGGATGCATCTCGTGTGAAGAACCCTACCATCCGGGATCTGGGCAGATTCGGCACTTGGATAGGACGTGAGGTTGAGACCGAAAACTCGATGGTGGAAGTATACCTCCCAGAGTATGATGATGCACTGCTGGCCACTGTTACCATTCCTCCGATCAAAGTTACTGTTCGAAATGGATATCTTAATGAGATCGACTTTATTGCAGAGCTGGCTACGGGTGATCCGGATGGAATCAAGGGAGCTATTAGTGACTTTATTGAAGGGAATATCGCTCAATTGAGCCTTAAAGGAATGGCGAAGGTCCCATTGAAGTCTGGTATTCTGTACTTAGGATCACAACATATTACAGAGACTGTGGTACTTCAAGGTCCGGTTCCCACGCCTCCTCTGTTTTGCTCTCATCTCACCCCTTTAAAGAAAGAATACTTCTATGAAAAAGTGCTAATACTCTTTCTAGACTTCTCCTCTCCTCCGGATTTTAACATTACCAAATTGGATGTTCATGAGCGTTCGGGTCCCGGCAAATCAAAAGCCATAGTTGCTGATGTGTCTGTTGCAATCTCGAATCGGTACCCTGTCCACTTGACATTACCACCTGTCGAGTTCAATATACTTGTTCCTAGCTGCGCTCCTGATGATGCCTACATTATGGTGGCGAATGCCACAACAGACTCAGTGAGTATTGAGCCGAGCGAACCAGTAACCATATCTATGCATGGCTTTGCACCCAAGGTTCCGCAAGAACTAATTAGCAGCTGTCCTGGAACTACCACGTCGCCACTTGATTTGTTGATCAGTAAGTACATTCGTGGACTCGTTACCACAATTTATGTACGTGGAGGATCCCTGGTCTCTCCGGCTGTCCCTCAGTGGTTACAGGAACTGCTGAATAGTGTTACCATCCCATTCCCTTTTACTAGCCCAGGGTTTTCACGATTAATTAAACGCTTCTCGATGAAAAATGTTCAATTCTACCTTCCTAGCCCGTTTGCGAAACCAAATACCCCAGAATCTATGCCCAAGGTTTCAGCATTGGTACAAGCTGTTGTTGATTTACCCAGGCAGCTTGATGTCCCTGTGAACGTCTCACGGGTCCGCACCAATGCTAATGTGTTCTATCATGACCACAAACTTGGCATTATCGACATAAAGGAGTGGCAGAATGCAAGAGTCCGACGAGTCGTAGATGACTCAGATGGAAAGCCAACAATGGTAGTAGAATTCGATATTCAAAAGGCACCCCTGCAGGTAACGGATGAGGATCTCTTATCTGAAGTCCTACAAAAGATGCTTTTCGAACGCCAAGATATCCCCCTTCGAGTCGATGCCCATGTCGACGCAGAGCTGCAGTCAGCCCTTGGCGAGTTTATCGTCCGAGACATTCCTTCCGGTGGAAATATCATCGTTCGACGTGAGTCTAATACACTCCAATAAGAGGCATAGGAGTGATACCTGGTACTAATTGTCCCAAAGCACCATACGGTTCAGGCGCTACTTTTAACGATATAAATCTTCATATGCAGTCTATCAAGGTTGTTGAAACCACGAAGGATAGCGTACTTTCCCGGGTTACTGTGGATTTTACCAACCCGACCAATTACACTGCACATATGCCTTACTTCGACATCAAATTGGTTCATAATTCTAGCGATGTTGCGCATATAATCGGGCATAACCTTCATATTCACCCAGGGCAAAATACAGGAGTCAAGATCGATGCGTTGTGGAGCCCCTTGGAATCGGGCAGTAAGGAGGGCGCGACTGCAGGGCGGGACCTCGTGTCGAAATGTGTTTCGGGTAACGTCCATAAACTTTCAAACTGTTTCTAAATAAAGAAGCTAACAGCTTTTCAGGGAAAAACACAACCGTTACCCTCAAGGCATATACAAACACTATCCCATCACTCCCTCGACTTGGCAAAGCATTATCCAAGGTTGAGATTGAAGTTCCTCTCCCTAAGCTACACCTTCCTGGCCAGGGGGATGGAAACAGCGGATCATTGATCAAAGATGCAACGGTATTATTGTCCCTTCTCCAGAATTTTGAGACTTGATCACCTACCCTTGGCTGCGGGACTATTTCCGTTACCGAGCCGGAGTTCGGGTTGTGCTGGCTCAGCACACTATGCCGGCCCGTATACCTTCCTGAACACGTTTTCACCTTCCCTTATTCTTGGATGGAAATTCTGAGAAAGCAAATGTTTACTTCGCTCTCCTTCCGAGTAGTTACATCTTTTGACGTCTACTGCCGATTTTACAATTATGTCGCCGCTCTCGTCAGAGACTCTTTATATCACGCACATCAACGCCACGTCATTTTTCAACCACACGTCTCCTGTTGGTACAATTCAATACGATATGTCTTTCGCAGTCCCGCCAGGGTCGTCTCTCTCTCCGAGACTCCCTGTCCACCCTGACCTGACCGGTGCAGGCTACCAGGCATTAAAGGATGCTTTGGGTGGGGCCCTGCATCTCGATTTATTGGCTGACATCGGAGTCAGGCTGGGAGAATATAGGCAAACTGTCGATTACACGGGCCAAGGAATAGGAATAAATGTGGGCTGGTAACCTGCCGTGACCCTTTCTTTCTCTATGTTTTGATCATTTCGTTGCATACCCCCGTACGGCCATTTTGAGGAGTCCTGGTGGTTGGGAACAACTTTGCGTTGGGCTTTTTTTTTCGCTTTTGAGCTATATATGTCCGACGAGGTCATTTTGTACTTTGGATACTGTTCTTCGCATAGAGGAGCGAGTTTAGACGTTAGTCCTGACTGGATGTGAATAGAATCTCGGTTAGGGTTCATGCGATTCATGAGTGCATGATAAGAACATGCCACGCCTGCCACACCGTTACGTCGAACTTCCTTCCATGCAATGCCGCTTGGCTCCTCATAATCGGTATCATTCGGATAAGCTGACTGCCTGGCAAGGGAGCCCCTTCGGCCCGGTGATAATCGCCAAGCATTATCCTTGGCATCAGTATCAAAAACACCATGAACTCCGAACTAGTTGAGGATCCTGGACTCTTGGATGCATCGAACTTTAACCGTTGCTTTCCACTGACGGCGTGTTATTAGATGACAAGAACAGGGTTGGATTCGTTCAAGCCACTGAGAGAGAAGTGCTTTCAAGTCCAAGAAATACAAGCAAGATGCACGATGCACGCCGCAGGAAACAAGCATGGCCTAGCATGCGCTGCTATATTTACGACACAGCGTCCGGACCAGGACATCAACGAAGCCCGAGCTCATACGATCGATTGAAGTAGTCTCTGTATTATATATTGTTCCATGCATCGGTTGTAAGCCTGCAGCCGCTAGACACCTTCGGTTTCCGGAGACTATCCGCGTCCCTCGATATACCACCCCCGAAGGAACAAGGTTTCGAGTTCCGAGCGCAGCTAGCTACAGAGTCCTTTGTCAAGGCTGATTTTATTATCGAGTCCGCCACCTACTATTATTTCACTGGGTTGTGTTTTGGAAGAGTCCTGGACACGGCATTGTGTGTCCAAACCGGCTTTGAGTTCTCCACCTGGTATCCTGCATGTTCAGGGTATAAAAAATAGAATCCTGGGTTGCCGAAGCAATGGCCTGATTTCGAGCATCGACCGAAAATGCAACCGAGCTCTGTGGGGTTACTCCTTGGTGAAAGAGTCGCCTCTTCACACCAGCTAAGCTGAAAAAACAACGGAGAGGATAATCAACATGCCCTCTAGCTCGTATCTGCACAAAGGTGGGAATATCAAGAAGCTTGACAGCAAAGGAAATGAGTATAACAATTTTAACTAAAGTACTCCATACGGCGATTAATCTGGATCCTACCAAGAGAGATTTCTCTTTTCATCGACAACAACAATCCGTCGTTGATGAAATACTATCTATTAAGGAAAAAGGAACATTTCCATCGTATATCGCATTCTCAACGTCATCCCAACAACTGGCTACCTACGGAATGGCATCCTGCACGTCACCCCCGGTAGATGGAATAATATTGCTTTTCACACTTGCATGCTCCCCTTCAAGAAGGTAGGCGCTACATCTACCCAATGCATCCGTAGACTCACATTCGGTGGATCGGCACAGCGCAGTCAGCGAGATTTGGCTCCCGTTCCCACCAACTCCGTTGAACATGTGCCCCATGCATGGAAGACATATCCCAGATGGAAGGACATGGCGGCCCTTGGTGGCACTCAGACATCAAGGGTATCATCCTAAGATACCTCTTTTTTCTCAATTTTTTAAAAAGGAGATCGATTATCGTTGCCTACCACACCGAGTTTTGTTTCTCAGGAAAATTCTTCTCAGTTGGTTTCCCGATAAATAACTGCGTTTCGGAATACGCATACGAGATATCGGTTATCCTCTACACAAGGACATTCATCCACCACATTTTGTTGCGGCCTTGATGATTCTACCATGTTGTGGCAAGAAACCTTCCAATTAGAGAAGTAGTGGGACGATACCCCTGGAATGTTCATGCACTCCCTTGCATACTTGAAAGCGTGGGAATTCTAATTTGGGACCACAATGTCTTAAAATAGAAACCTGTACGGTTTACAACTCCCCTCCATTGGTCGCGTGTTTCGAGATCATGACCGCGAGTCAGCTCACGATTATTCTCTCTCTAGAGATTCTGGGCAAATCCCTGATCGGCGTTATCCTAGCAAGCCTTCAACAACCTTTCTTGATATGAGTAGGCATGGTATGGATTGGGATGCTTACTCGGAGGCAAGATCACCACGAAAGCATTGACATGCACGTTTACGGGGTATGGCTCGTAGGAATGCGTCGGGAAATTGGTTTGTTGAGCAGGAGAATATCCTCTTCTCCATTGACGGAGATGTAATCTCTGTCTCACTCGCCCTTGTTCCCCGTCCTGCATTCGAGTATGCAAGACCAGGCCTGTCGTTTAGGTACAACTTCACAGTTCCGATTAAGAGCTCGGCCATCCTGCTTGTATGCGATACAATCCGCCACAGGAGAGGCCGATTGTGGCCTTCAAAGATGGAGATGATATATCCCTATCCACTCGGGGCTATGGAGGGTTGAATGAATATAAATATCTTGAAGATCCACCTTCATCTCTCAACCCAAAGAGATCAAGATCACTGATTCTCACAGCAAGTTATTCTTTAATCCACCCTAACAATGAGGCTAAATAATATTTTCAATGCTGGCTTCTTAGCCACTGCTGCCACTGCCTTATCCATTCCCCGCGGGAAAGGTTCCCTTCCTGGTCCCTCATTTAGCCCCCCTCCAAATGTTGACAGCGACAGCCATGTTATTCAGTGCAATTACCCTTCGATGAAAGGTTGGGCAGCCGACAAGAGCAGCAAAACTGGTTGGCTAAAGTGGGTTGGTGATGGGCCTGCGCCGGCTCCAGGAGCTTTCAACATTACTACAGATTATGAAAAAATATTCCCGGAGGGTGTGACGAGGAAGGTAAGATTTGCCGTTTATCCTTTTTCCCTCTTTGTGTTTGAAGATACAATCTAACCTTCTGGCTGGGAAGTACAATTTGGTGGTGGATGAAGGCTCTGTCAATCTCGACGGAGTGGATGCAAACCATGCGATGCTCTTTAATGGCCAGTATCCAGGCCCTTGGATTCGTTAGTTTTCCTCCCACTATTTTGGTCCTGGACGCCTTATTAACATATTAATTGGCTAGAGGCATGTTGGGGTGACATTGTTGGTTAGTACTTCCCAGAAACCCCATATACTACTGTGATACTAACTCAGGTCAGAAATAACTGTTACCAACAAGCTGAAATACAATGGAACTGCCCTCCATTGCCATGGCCTTCGAATGTTCGATAATCTTCTCATGGACGGTGTACCCGGTGTTACACAATGTCCCATTGCACCAGAGGATACCTTCACATACAGGTTTAGAGCTACTCAGTACGGTTCAACGTGGTATCACAGCCACTATTCTCTACAGTACTCCGACGGCTTAGTTGGTCCTTTGACTATTCATGGCCCTTCAAGTGCAGAATATGATGCATCCATTGATCCTCTCCTTTTGGGTGACCATCTTCATAGGAGCGCTTTCCAAGACTACTATAAAGTGCAGACCAGGATACCCCCAGAAATGGACAGCCAAATTCTGAATGGAATTGGTATGTGATAGTTTTAACTTCCTAGGAGCCTGATGCTGATGGTAATTATAGGGAACTATAACAACGATCCAAGCCGGAAGCCCTATAGCACACTTGTGAAAGCAGTAAGTAACCAAATGCTTGTTCAGAAAAACTGTACGCCCGGAACCTAACATAAATCTTGTGAAGGGCAAAAAATATTTAATGCGGCTGATTAATACATCCACCGACACTACCTTCATCTTCTCCATTGATAAACACAATTTTACTGTCATTGGTGCCGATCTTGTTCCATTGGAGCCATATGACACTTCTCACATTCTAATCGGCATTGGTAAGTCACAGCACACTTTGACTTGAAAGCGAAAAGAGAGAGAAAGGAGATCTAATGTGATTAGGCCAACGCTATCATGTCATTCTCAATACCCTACCAGACGTACAGGACGGGGATTCCTTCTGGATTCGCATGGCCCCTGCTGGAGATGGGTGCAGCAGATTTCGGAAAGATCATGTACCTGATGAAAGGATGGGAGCATTATACTACGGAAAGAAGACCGAGGCGCTGCCCAAATCTGAAGGGGGAGGATACGATATAAGTTGCCGCGATGAACCATATGAGCGACTGAAACCAATCCAGAAATGGAATGTACCAGATCCACTATTGGCACCAGGCTTGATGTCAAAGACTCAGAAAATCGGCATTGATATCTGGAACCCCCCAGGTCGCCCCGCCGATGCACCAAAAATTGCAAACTGGGGAGTCGGGCCGCAACCAATGTGGCTGAACTACTCTAAACCCATCGTGAAAAACATGAACATAGAAGACTGGCCTGAAACTTGGTCCGTTTACCGAGCAAACGACTTTACACATGAGCAGTGGGTATACCTTGTTGTTACAGGGCAAGAAAAACAAGCGGAGCTGGGGAGAACACAGGCTCCAAATGCCCATCCGGTATGTTTATAAAAGACAATTGTTCCACCACACAGTGTGGTCAAACGCTAACACTATCAAAACAGATTCACTTCCATGGCCATGATTTTGCTCTCCTGCAGCAGTCTTACGAACCGTTTAACAGCAAAACCCTGAACCTCAAGCTTGACAATCCACCTCGCCGGGATGTCGTTCTGCTCCCCAGCAACGGCTTTGTTGTCCTTGCATTTAAGGCTGATAACCCTGGTTCCTGGCTTATGCACTGCCACATCGCATGGCATGCTTCTGCTGGCCTCGCTCTCCAAATCTTGGAGGATAAAAACGACGTCATAAAGTATCTCAAGTCTCACCCTGAAGATGTCAAGGAGATGCACCGGGTGTGCGACAATTGGGATAAATGGTACGGCAATGCCGACAACCATTATCCCGCCGACTACTTCCAGGAAGACTCTGGTATATAAAGGTTAATTTTCTACTTTCTTTCCTTTTTTTATATATTTCCTTTATTAATATATTGTACTCTTCTATATATCCCTTGATGTTATAGTGTTACTGTTAGATACCTAGATGACTTGAATACATCCCATCTACTTTTATTGGTTTGACTGATCATTGGAACAGTATATATATTGCCTGTCCTAATTATGCGACTGTGAGAGTAATTACGGATGAAATAGTTCTTATATCTAGAAGGCAGAAATGGGAAGGACTCTGCGGCAAGGAGAATATATTCACTTGTGAAATACATAGGACATAACATCAACTCGTTATAAGCATAGAAAACTGAAACATTTGAGGCTCGTCGTTAACATAATCATCAATCATCACTTTGGTTGAATACATCAAAAATGAAAGGAAGAAAAAAAAATACAAAACTTAATCCCACCGGTTCAGTTATACACGTATGTAGCTGGTAGAGGACCGGTATATTCAAATCCCGCCACGTCTGCCCTATAACAAGACTTTGAAGGGTCTTGGATTCCGGGAACTGTGATATTGTTGAAGGGGCCAAATAGCTGGTAGTAGCCCTTCCGCAGCTCGGGATTTGGACACGCCCACCACCATGTTCCTGGTTGATTTGGCACAAAGACCCAGTCGTATGCGTAATTCAGGTTCGCTGTGTGTGAGCCTGGAGGCATTACGGGGTCGGATGGCGATGTATATCGCAAGGCACCGTCTGCGTCGAGATATATACGCTGGCCACCTTCAACGCCAACACTCTATTCCAACAATTAGCACTGGAGAATCTAAAAAGAGGGAGTGCAAGGGGTAAGGGTGTAGAAAAAGGACCACTTACCAGAGAATCCATTTTGCCTCCATTAAGAACTGTCTCGTTTATTTCAGAGCACTTGTTGTCTGGACAGGACGTCGAAGGCTCCCCTCCAACCCAGAAGCGTGATTCGTATGCCTGGAGGTATTCTTCTCGAGAGGGATCCTTCTTCATAACTCTCATGGTGACGGCCTTAAAGGGCGCTTCCCAGCCTGGATCCCGCTTCTGTGTAGACTCATGGACTGGCACAGCGGCACTTAGGGCCAGGAAGAAAGGTAGAAGTGATATTGTCTTCATGGCTAATATATCTGAGGCTGTGTCTCAAGATTTAAAAACTGCTTGCTTGGGTATTAAATCAGGTTCTCGATAGCTTGATGCTCCAAGGCAGATGGACACTGCGGTGATATATATCCCCAACATCCATGCCATGTTGCAATACCGGATAGATCATGAGCCCCGAATTACTAAAAGATGGAATCAGAGAATGTCCTAGACCGAAGTCGTCATTTCATCTCGTGAGGAGAAGTTGGGGCATGGTTGTTGTTTGCCCCTGTCATCACCGAATGAACATGCGATACAGCGGACATGGGCAGCGGCGATGGTAGGCCGGGGGAGAAGAGGATCGAAGAAAATGCCGACCACAGGGCATAACTTTCATTGTTTTCTGGAAAGCTGTTGGGAAGTAACGCGCTTTCTAGGTTATTGAACGATGGAAAGCATCTTATACATGGCTTGAGATATCTAACTACTCTGCTTTGCATTTCCCGCATAACTAGTTAGTTATCAAAAAAAAAAAAGAGACAAAAGCCGCAGGGTCAAGAGCATTGAAAATGCTTAGCCGGCGTCGTCCCCCACAGAAAGCAAGGGTCAGAGAGCTCCGGAAAGACGGAACACATAGCTATCTCTTGTGCATACTTCATGTGCATATTCTGTTTAGCCCCTGAAGCTGCTCGCAGGTAAGCGTTCTCTCTGCCCAAGGCAGCCTTGTCCTCCGGTTGACGACAAAAGCGCCGCATTAGGTCACTTAGGTTATGCGGATCGTTTATCGGCTCGTTCAAAGTAGGCTAATGGTCTCCCTGGACGCAGGCCATACGCTGCTTCTCTCCAGTCACTCCGTACATGTTGGTGAACAGTTCATTGCCAGTCGTACAGAACAAACAGCGAGTCGGCCGAATGTAGTTGACATCATTGGTGACCAGCCAGGGGTGATTTTCGTATACCACTACCATTATCCCTGGCACAACCGGGGGTAAAACTGGCCCCAAAGCGCAAGAGTAAGTTAGCAAGAGGACTAGCCGAGCTGCGAACAGTCTCTTTTGCGTTGGCAGATGTGTTAAGGATTGGAGGCTCGTCTTCCCCTCACTCGGAGCTCAATGCCTATGCGACGTACGGATGATACTTGTCCGGAATCAGCGATGCTTGCAGGGGAGAGAGCCTTGCCACTGTATGACGTGCTTGGGTAGCAAAATTCTGGTGGCATCGGGAGTGCATGCGCGGCGATAATCCCTCCCTGGAGTGCGTTCAGTTCTGGGGATGTTCCCCCGTCCATTTCTAGAGCCAGGACCGAGCTCGTTGCTTCCCCAGGTATTATTAATTGACTAAGGCGCGCGCTCGCCTTAAGCTGGCCTAACAAAGCCACCCAGGGACACATAAATCTGCCTAATCACTCTAAGGGTTGCGGTTATGGGTGATACTCCGTAGAGCGGCCTGGATCTCCCCTGCTTAGTTATCTGGCGGTCCCTCCCCCATGTATGAGCTCGACAGCACATCATATACCATCTTGAAAATGACTTGGGCACAGTTGTGATCAGTGCATCAAGGGCAAGCGGAAGTATATGCTGCTTAGCATCGGGCATACAGCTGGATATGGTGAACCAAGGAGCGTTTCTTGCGTATGCACCTTCTGCCACGCTCCGTACTCGGATGACATTTTTGCCTGGCGAGGCCTTCTGCATATTGAAAATACTTATTTCCTTCGAACAAACACGAACTTGGAGGTGTGTAGGTGTACCAGCTTGCGAAAGTGATATTGGCATGGAAGAGAAAAAGCGGTTGTGGCTGAACAGGGTATGCCGGCGATCAGCGGGTGTTCTCCCTCTTTGTCACACAGCAGATAATACCCTTCCATGAGTTATTTTATTCAATGCAGTTTCCAATTTCTCGCAGGCAGCAAGGCAGTTCACCCACAGAAGAGGTGGTTGTTCACCATGCAGGGGTGTTGTGTAGAAGCATGCCATCCTCCAACAGGTAGACGAATACTCGACTGGGGGGGGGGGGGGATGCAAGGAGAGTATCTCCGATGACTTGAAGGAGAAAAGCGATATCCTTCATATCAACCCGGCCAGGGATATACAATAATGCCGCTGGTACCTCCTCAATCATTCTAGGCGGGGGATACAACACGACTGAATGTAAGGTGCATATGTATGAAGGGGGTTGTAACGACAGCCAGTGATAAGCTGCATGGAATGAACGCAGACGAAGATGAGATGAGAGTCCCAAGCCTGCAAAGCAAAAGAGCGCTTTCGACTGTTGGTAGTAACCCTGGCGTCTCTCAGGCATCAATCCAGACATCCAGCGCAGCAAATATACAGCCTGATGCTTCCGCCATCCTTTGTCCAGACGGGAGCCGGGAGCATGGATGGGTATCTTGCAAGCTTGGCCTCATCCCCCGGAGCTGACCTGATCGTGCATATGCTGCATGCCGCATACGTGGGTCGAATCAGTGAAGAGGAAATTCGGCTGCTGCTGATGGCGATCTGAGCGAGCGAGAGCTGATGGTCATCGGCCTTCATGTCCGCCTGCTGCTTCAGCAACCTTGCGCAAGTAGTGACTTCGTGGTTACAACGGACATATGAAGATACCAGGCAAGCGAGTATGCGTGAACCACTCCTCCATCCTTCGCTCGCAGCGGCTGCACATCACATGTTGAAATAAGCACGATGGCTGTTCTGGTAGCCTCAAACCCGGGCTTGATGTCATCGTGCATTTCGCCGCAAGTTGGCAAGCCACATCATCCCAATTGTATGTTTTCCCACGCGAGAATACGAGTATATCGACCCCGCCAGCATGTATGTCTCTGGCATCTTCCAATGGACCGAGAAAACATAGCATCTTGGAGCCCTTCAAAGGGCCCAAAAGTATGACTGACCCCTTCAGCCTTGGGCGGATGCTTCCGGATGCGTTTGCTGAGTTTCATGAAGGCCCATCGAGTGACCCTCAGTTAACTTATCTCAATGATTAGATTTGAGGCCTCGATGTATAGAATACCATTCAAAGATGTACAACACGGCATTCATACATAAACGAGGAGAACCTATTCTTAGATTCGTCAATCCAGAGCTCTCTCTCGCTGCACTGTATGTTTGGAATAATTAGATATGCAACCTGCAAGTCACCAGACGGCCGCGCAAGCAGAGTAGCATAACCATGGCTGACTAGTTACCGCAGGCGGCGGACAAAATATCAAAACCACTTCACTGGCCCTCTGGTCCATGCTCTCCCGTCAATATGATACCATGGCCTGGGTAGCACACCAGGGTACCTCGCGTCTGCCGCCTCACCGCATGGTGGTCATCTTTTGGGCTCACCGATATTGTGGTAGGCGTCCCCTGTTTAATATCTGGCAAAGTGGAGTGTTGAGAGGGCTCTCAGTGGCCGGTTAACTAGTGGACGGGATACATACTTTGTCCACTCGATTGGATGGCCAGCTAAATATTGGATTAACCGATATAATCACAATTGGCCATGGGCTGTATCTCCGGTCAACGTATGCCCTTCGAGATAGTTAAGGAGACAGGGGGGACTTACGTGTTGACAAAGTCCACCAGAGCGGAATATCATAATAATGATAGAATGAGATGAAAGGAATGAAAAAGCAAAGAAAAGGACGGCCAAACAGTGAAATCCACTGCTCAACCGTCCCATCGGCCCTGGAGGCGCCAATCATGCTCGGCTTCAACGCTTGTGGTCACGGTCGAAGTCAAGGTCCTCTTCTCCTCCTCTCTTCTCTCCTCGCTCTGCATCCTCCGCCTGAAAGAGAGCACAAGGCTGACCCCTAGCTATCGAATCTTAGCTTCTGTGCGGGCTGAGTGTATATGTACAGAGCATGTCTGTCTGTGTGTATGTATCCTGCATGTCACCGCACGGCATCCCCGGCCAGCGATCCCTCGAAACGCATAATGCATGATATAAAAATAAGGATGCCGTTGAGTGGAGTAAATCTCTAACATCTGTTCGCCTCCGATGGCAAAGCGTAACTAGTTAGCTAGTTAGTCGATGTAGTGAGATTTTAATGCCCAAGAAACCGGCTTTCTTTTGCTTCTTGACGCTATTCTCTATTCCGTACGACGCATGACGTTTCTTGCTCCATCGTATCGTGTTTTTCTTTTATTTTCTAGTCCGTAGTCAGTTGTTTTGCTGCTGTTTGGATGTCCTTCTTCTACCATGGGGCCCCTTTTCTACCCACTCACCCCTGTTTGACTGGGTGGTGAGATCCGCCCTGCCCAGTAGTGTACGATTGAATATACGGGGGGAGTATCTGTATGTATGGATGACATGGGCAGAGATATATAAATCTGTATATCATCCCCCGGCCCACCGGAGCTGGTCTTCTTTTTTCTTCCATGCTTCTTATCCGAGTCATTCGCTTTAAGAGAGTCTAGATGCCAGTTAGTTGAGAATATCAATCTGTTTGGAAAGACTATCTGGAAAGACTATCAAGTGCTCGCAGGTATGACTTCGCTCAGGGAATATACCGTGGTGTGTACTGGCTAAGAACTGACCTGGGGCTCATTGTATACCTAGGCCTGATCCATGAGACACTCAACCGAGACTCAATATTGATATTCCCAGGAGCAACCAAACACGGCCTGCTCAATAACTAGTCGGCTTGATCAGGCAAAAACACTGCCATCCCAAGGCAAAACAAAACCCAGGCCTGGAGAGAGCAAGATATCTCCTATATCCTACCAACCATGTGCAAAAAGTTACTATACTATCAATGCGGCGCCATCGAGACCATTTTCTCTCGGGACTGTAACTGCTCGAGGAAGGTCGGAGAAGAACATTCCCGTCTACACTGTGGGATCTGCTCAGACTGCCAACCCTGACAACTCAGACGGCCACTCAGTCCGAGGTGAAGACTGTTTGAGCCTCGCGTTGGGGTTGTTTGATTAACTATTAAATATGTTTTTGATGATTAACGACTTTCTTTTCTTCTTGACGCTGAGATGGGTCCCTGATGAGTACCCCTGAGAGCGAAGGGCCTCGGGCTTCATATCCTTCTGCTAGAACATCCAACGGCTGTCCCTTTCATAGTTCTCGTTTTGCGCTTCCCATTCATTTATTCTGAGCCTGCATCATTTATACATCTTTCTCCTTTTTTCTCATTTTCCACTACTCGATATACCCATAGTGTGTCTCGCATGCAGATTAGACCGGTCAGTGTTTTCTCTTTGCTTATAATTACTTCTCGGTCTAGAATTGCGCTTCATATAACATATGAAACATTTTTTGAAATGTATTAAAACTTAATATGTTTTGGTTCAGCTTATGTTAATCAGCTGGTACAAGTGGCTATACGCAAGAATTGTAAAAATTGGCTTGCAGTATAGCAACTATACTTCTCTCTGATCAAGGAAGCCATGAAACATGAGACAATTCAAAAGCTCACGCTAACCCGACCTTTTAAATCTGACTGGGAAGATTTAGATATACAACTGGTTGCAAGTTTCCAGTGACATGCTCGTCAAAAAAGGGGAGGAAAAAGAAGCTCCGGTAAGCACAACATGAGATCCAAGAAGGGAAAAGGGGGGGCTGAACATAAATGGGATGTTGATTAGCCAGGTGGTAGGGTGCTTGTATCGACTATATCAGCAGCCTCCTTTTCGACCTCCTCAGCAGGCGAGGTCAAGGGAGAACGGGGTAGAGCCATGAGACCAGTTCGAGTAGACTCGAGGATGCCAAAAGGCGAGATAAGCTTAAGGAACGAGTTGATACGGCTGGGTTTTGCGGAGCTAATAGGTAAATAGTTAGTCATCAGACCAGTTTTTCGATTGCTCTGCCTACCAGAAGGGAGGGAAGGGGAAAGGCTCGGCTTACAGTTCAACGATGCAGTTATTGGTGCTAATATCCAGCACCTTTCCTCCGAACTGATGCGTCAGATGAGTAATAGCCTCCAAGTGCTCATGCTTGTGTCGAAGAGCCTCACTGGCCGCTAATTTGTTTGGATGATAGTCTGCAATTTCTGAAAGAGATCCGTCCACTTTGTGCATTTCTCGATGTTGAGCTTCTTCTGAGGATATGTTATTGGTATCACTTTCGGGGGTAGACATTTCCTGGTGATGCTGAAGCAGCTCTTCAAAGACCTCAGGGCCCAGAATGCTGACCTTCGCCAACAGTAGCTCACGCTGGACGAGAGCAGAGTCTGTATAATCGAGGACAGCCCAGACCGGAACAAGGTCATCCAGCTGACGACGAGCCTGCTCGACAACACCATCCAAGCCGCGCAACACTATGGTCATTCTTGACAGGTCCTCAACTTCAGTATTACATACGACAAGACTGTCAATGTTGAAGCCTCGCGCTGCTAGGATACCGGAAATTCGGGATAGCACACCGGGTTCGTTCTGAACAAGGCAGTTGAGCACATGGCGCTTCGGAGGTTTTGTCGACGGAACAGGGGTCTCGTAAAGAATGGAGGACACTGCGGCGGGAGCTGACCATTGCGGCGATGTATCAGAGACCGGGAGCGGAGGAGGCGAGCGCCTGTGAAGAGCTTTGTATGCAAGGGCAGATGTCGAGCTGGATGACAGCCTGATCTGCCGCTGGTGCTGATACTGGTGCTGCTGCTGGTGGTATCTTTGGTGATGATAGCTGTTTAAGCTTAGACGCTGACATGGATTCTCGCCTGCAACCCATGCCCGGCGCAATTGGCCGCGACAGAGAGCTTTGGAGGCCATAGCTGCGATGCTGGACAGGTCAGCAAATTCCCACTCGTTCTCCAAGGGGAGTGAGAGCCCTTTTTATCTCTCTTCGTTTCGTCGTTTTGAGTCAAGCAGCTTGTGAGTAATAACAAGTTCAAGCATCTTTTTTTTTATTTCTTTTTTCTTATTTTAATGTCACCAAAAAAAAGGCCCGGGCGGTGATCACGTGAAAAGGACTGAAGCCGAGATCGGAGAAAGTAAACCTATCCATTTTAGGACTAGTAATTAAATCATGTGATAATGATAATTCACGTGATAAATTATGACTAAGCAAGTCCGGCCCCCAAAAAAGAACAAAAAATAAAAAAAATAAAAGAAATAGAAACATCCAAGATTTGATCGCGAGAGATCGAATTGATCGGAGAGAGAGGGACAGAAGAAGTTGTTTCGCTGGAGAGAAGAAGCATTTCCCTTGCTACCTGTTGGACAACCTATACCTTTTACCCTGTCCCGGTTCTCGAGACAGCCAGGATGTCCGATAGTGACAGGCGAGCTAAACGCTCTCGGTTTGACCAGACAGAGCCTGAACCAAAACGCCAGTCTCGGTTTGATAGACGCTCGCGCTCGCCGTCTGCTCGAGCTTCGGAGGCAGTGCGGGATCGTAGCCCGATAAATCGTCGATCCAGCCAGGGTTCAGAAGATGCGAGCAAGCCCGCTACTCCCTCTGACCCTGCAGTCGCTGCGGGTGAGTTCGATTTGATATTGGCCTATTCGCTACACGAATTATATGGATTAGAAGCTGGATGGCTAATTATTATAACTATGATTCGATAGCTGCCGCGGCCGCCAGGATAAAGGAGCAGATACAAGCAAGACAGGGCTATCAACCATCCACCACTCCGCCAGGACGCTCTGTATGTTCAAGCACTACCATTTGCTCCAACCCTCGCCTGTATTCCCTGCCTGACTAACAGCCGGCCTAGATTTCCAGTCCTTCCACTAAGGCATCGTCCTCGGTTGCTCATATAAATGGTGAAGTATACATGGCAGACGGTGATTACATCAAAGACATCGAAGTCAACGATCTCCGAAACCGATATACAATTACAAAAAGCACTACTCAAAAGATGGTAAATATCTCTATAATATATCCGCTGATGTTCCCAGGCACTGGTGTGGCTTGAGATATTATCCCCCCCGGAACTAACTCCAGTAATGGGATGGAAGATTACCGGCTACTCGCTGGGGGGATTATATTCTCATTTTCTATCATAATTGACCTTTGATCAGCACGTCGTTGCGTCAACTTTTGTGATGATGGATGAAGCTTACCCACAATTCTTCATAGCACCTAACTCCCGCTATTTTGCATCTGCTGACCTCCGCTGCGTGATTTAGATTAAAGAAGAAACTGGCGCCGGTACGACAGTGTTCCTTCCACCCCGTTTTTGCATTCTAGAAACAAACTTTTTGATTAAGAGAATATGCTCATTATTTTTGAAAAAGATGTCACTACTAGAGGAAACTATCTTCCGGATAAAAGCATGGCGACCCCTTCGGTAAGCCTTGATGCTATTCCCCTTATTCTCTCTAACATTCTATATATTCCCTATAATTAACATTATGCATTAGAACCCTCCGCTTTACCTGCATGTCACCAGCAGAACAAGAGAAGGCTTGGACAAGGCTATCAAGAAAATTGAAGAGCTCATGAAGCAGGAACTTCCTGCTCTTGTTGATGAACGGAGATTCCGCCGAAGGGAACCGCCAGAACGTGTCGAGAGAGATGAGTTCGGTCGCGTAAGTTGGGCGCCATTTCAATTAATATCACCCTCCCAGATTAAGCGCTAACTATGGAATGTAGCCCAAATGGCCTGAAGAACGGATTCCGATTGACCTGGAGCCTATCCCTGGCTTCAATTTGCGCGCACAAGTTGTTGGTCAAGGGGGTCAATATGTCAAGCACATCCAGCAAAAAACTCACTGCCGTGTCCAGATTAAAGGTCGTGGATCAGGATTCAAAGAACATGGCACTAACCAAGAAAGTGATGAACCAATGTATTTGCATGTCGCGTAAGTTTTTCTATCAGTTCTTGCCATTTCATCTTTACCGTTCTGACGTCTCCTTAGTGGACCTGATCCAAATGAAGTCCAGAATGCAAAAGCCTTGTGTGAGGACTTGCTTAGCAATGTCAAGGAACAGTATGAGAAATTCAAAGAAAACCCACCACCACAGCGAGGTTATCACGGTGGCGGAGGCTACGGCCATCGTGACCGCCATCAGTATGGCATGGGCTATTCCTCTGGAGGTGGACACCATAGTGGCGGGGGATATAACAACCATTCCTCCCCTCAAACACCTTCAGGGATGACTCCGCAGTCTGGGCCTGGGGCAACGCCTACCCCATCTGCAGGTGGCTCTCAGCCCGATTATAGCGCCCAATACGCTCAATATTATGGTGGCCAAGACCCTTATGCGGCATATGGAGGCTATCAAAATTACGTTGCTTATTATCAATATTATCAGCAAGCTGCACAACAGCAGCAGCAACAACAACAAACGGGATCTACCGCTCCTCCTCCACCTCCCCCGGAGTCCGCAGCGCCTCCACCCCCACCGCCTCCGCCTTCATCAGAAACCCCTCCTCCACCACCGCCGCCCCCGTCTGGCGGGTATAATTCAGTAAGTTTTCGCCAACCGCCATTGGTTTATATGAGATTACTTACTAACGTTGTCTTCTAGGTTCCTCCGCCACCAGGTCTGTAGCAGCCATATTATTCTATTCTAGATAGGCATCTAGAATCTGCTAGGGTCTAATAAGATTGATTATTGCATCTTTGGGATAATACGAAATATAAAGATGCGAACAAAAGCCAGGTTCATTTTGACAGTACCACCTTTTGAAATCAGCTCGTTTCTTACACCCTTAAAGTAAAAGGTTTAATATTCCAATAAGCACAATTGACAAAACCAATAGCTATTATCTCGGCGGATGGGTGTACTTCTTGGTACAATAGATCTAATAATTGTCTTGGATTTTAGTAGAGTATATGCGTATGGAAGAGGTTATTTTGCAACTCTTTCTCCTAAAGTCCTCGAGTACATTATTTTAGATCACACAAGATACATAATTCGGTGTATAAAAGGTATGGATGGACGGCCCTATGGACAAGAAATTAGTGGACAGGCTAGATAAAATAAAAGGCCTATAACTAAAGCCTACTCCCTAGGCCACACCCCCCCATTCCTACATCCTATTTCTATCTATAGTGTACTATCGCTTCTTATGTAAAGAATAATAAAGCAACTCCGTGTTACCATGGGAACATATCGCCCAGGAAGGCGGGCTCGCGCCTAGCCAGGTACAGTTCCATAAAGTGCAACAAGTTTAGCTTAGTATAAGCGGCGTCTTCTCCCTCTCCATTCTCACACAATTGTTTAGAGATTTTTAACTCGGCTTTTTTCTTCTGTGCTAATGCAGCAGACCCTTCTTTGCAGTGGTCGCATGCATAGTCGCACACAGCGAGGCTCTTCGGCTTTGACTCAAATGATCTGCAAGCAGTTTGAGAGGACGGCGGGGGTCTATCCCGAGAAAGCTCTAATTCAAGGTCGTCTGAAAACTCTCGAATCATAGCATGTCTGCACCGCTCTGTTGTTTCGCAATATTTGACCACTTTTGCAAAACTTCTTAAACTAGCCTCTGTATTTTGGGCCTTTGCTTCTTCCCGAGCCTTCATCTCAGCAGCAGTGAGGTGCTCAAACGTTCTTTTACTTGTCAATCGGACTGTTTCATTCGCAAAGTCTCCCGTTTGGCGAATACGGTCGATTATTCGTATGCATTCAGACGGGTTGTAATAGACGAGAGAAATGGCTGCACAGCCGTCTCTGCCGGCACGCCCTGACTCCTGTACAAAGCTTTCAAAGGTACGTGGGGGAGTCCAGTGCACAACAAAGCGCACATTAGGGTTATCGATGCCCATTCCAAAAGCGTTGGTAGCAACGATAATGTAGAAAGCGGGGGGTGGAGGTTTCTGATTGCTTGTATCAGTTGTCCTGGTTGGGTCTTTCGGCGGCATTGGGTTTTTGTGAGGTGCCGCCCACATTGCTTGGATCCTCTCCCTTTCTGTAGCTGCAAGCCCAGCATGGTAAGAGACAGCCTTTATCTTAATACTCGTCGATGAACTTAAAATGCTGGCTATAGCACAACACAGTGCTCTAAGAGGCACGTAGATAATTCCATACATTGGAGGAGGAGCAGCAGGACCTGAATCCGACTCGTCCTGTGCATCCTTGGTTGGCTGTGATAGTCGAGATAGACGACGCTGATTTATTGCATTTAGCCAGGATATCAAGTGATCTATTTGGTTATCTTCAGGTACTGTTAGATCGTAGGCGCATTCCGGAAGATACTTCACTTCATAGTGAATGTTTGGTCTGGCTGAGGATGTGCTAAATTTCTTCAAGGTGCATGTATCCAAACCAAGTAGTGTGAATATGTCATGACGAACACGAGATGTTGCCGTGGCTGTCAGCGCAGTCATGGGGACAATTGGATCCTTTAGCTCGCGCCTGAACCAAGAAAGAGCCTTATATGCAGGTCGAAAATCATGGCCCCATTCGCTAACGCAATGGGCCTCATCAATCGCTACTCGTGTGAGCTCCCCCTGTTGATGCACGGTTGAAATACTGCGCCTGAATGTTTCAGTCTGACAGAATTCTGGGGTCACATATAAAAGACGAGTTACTGGATGTCCTGACAGGATATCGGCAAGAATCTCCTTGCGTTTTGATCCCGGGGTTGTAGAGTTAATGGTTGCAACCGGTATTGCTCTAGCCTCAAGGCTCGCAACTTGGTCCACCTAGACGGTGTCAGTAATGAACTCATCGCATTAATTGTTAAAAATTATTTCAAGTCTGTTTGGTATGACGTACCATCAACGAGAGGAGAGGTGAAACTACGATTGTAACTTCAGAATGTAGGTTCAGCGGCTGTAATCAGCTGGAAATTAGGGCAGTACTAACCTCCATGGGCAACTACCGCTGGTAGCTGAAAACACAGGCTTTTGCCAAAAGAAGTTGCTGCCTGGAGAAAGACATCATGTCCTTCGATGGCTGCCTGGATAACTTCACGTTGAAGGGGCCTGAGGGCAAGTCAGAACTGATGGTGGTAAGATTAATAGGAATATAACCAGTTACCTAAACGACTTTTTCCCAAAAACTCGACGAAGAGTTAAGTCGATATCAACAGGCTGGCGACTCATCCCGTCGCCATAGCATCACTCTCAGTGTCGTGGCTTTGGCGTGGATCTCAGCGTGGAAATTTGATATAAATTCTGCGAACTAACGCGACGAACTTTAAATTTCGATTAATCGCGAATCCACGTGATGTTCAACTCTGGGCAGGGGACCCTTAACTTCATGCTATAAGCGCGCGGCTAATTTGAGCTTGGATACCTTGCAAAACAAATTGAGATGATATGTACAATGTTCTTCAGGCGATTGGTATATAACTAAAAGGCTCATTAGGCGCTGATGAATAATACGTATTATACAACATGGTAGAATGGGGTATCGAGGTAATATCCTCCTAGGCGAACAACAAAGCTCTGTGATAAAACTTCATTCAATGATGCCTGGGCGGTACAAGTTCTCGAAGAACTGCCCGCACTGCATCAATATCTCGCTGCTTCAAATTCCCTTGCCACATTTGGTCGATCTGTTCCCATACTCCAAGAACAGCCGATCTTCCACCACAGATAAAGAAGGCACGAAGACATGCAATAATGACTGTTCGGCCGAGGTAGACGCTATTTTCGTATTTCCAGTCATCCTCGAGTTCTTCGCGTGCGTCATAAAACGTGCCATGGAATATCTTTGTTGCCTCTTCCTTAAATTCCTCCTCGGCTTTCTCCATTTCCTCCACCGTAGTTTGAGTCTCTAGTTCCTTGCCTTCAACAAAGGACGTTTCGGTGAACCAAGTGAGTTTCGCTTTTCTGTTCAGAGTGCGTGGTTTTGTCTGAATAGATGTATCATAATCACGAACTGCACGGAGAAAGGAAAGCCAGGCACGCTGTAGGCGAGGATATGTCCATCGGGTGTTCTTCTTCGACCCGTGAATCGCAAATCCTTGGAATAAAAGGATATACACCATACCGTGGGAGGGAATTGACAGAGTTCCTTCCATCTCACTTAGAAGAGATAGAAAGCGGCCCAGGTCACCCGTAACATGTGCGTGGTAGGAAAGAAGTATGTGAAATGTCTTTGCATCTGGCGTCAAAGGCATAGCAGCTTGAAGAGCCCGATGATGGTCCGGAAGCTTGTCATGCAGATAGGATGTCATTCCAAGAACCCTCCCAAGCTGTTTGCTTGCTTTACGATATGCAGAGTAGTCTTGGGAGGGCAACGGATACATGACAGCTTTCTCACTGGCATTATTTTTAAGTCTTTCATGGGCTTCCTTCATCCTTTCGTACATGATTTCTGCAAGCTTAGCCTCCCCAGAGCGTATGAGAGACGCAATAACGCAGTTTAAAACCACAGTGTCCACAACTTCACCCGCTTTGATGAAATCATCGTATGCTCGGCGAACTCCCCGGGCACTCCCCTTTAAACCATTGAAAAATATTTGCGCAACCCTACCAAATCGGGAAAATTTGGCTTTCCGCTTCTTCATGTCAGCGATTATCCGTTCAGCTACTCGAAACTGCCCTGACTTTATAGCTAGATCAAAGAGAATGTTGAAAGCGACACTAGAGCTAGAAATGTTGCCTTCGTGTTCCATTCTCCGCCATACGCCAATGGCGGCGTCTAAGTCCTCTCGTTTCACGGTAGAGGCGGATTTTCCTGCAAGATGGATTGCTGCAGTCCAAAGAGATGGTGACATTTCAAGGGAGGCGTCACACATATCATCAACCAAAGTGAGGTAGTAGAAAACTCCAGTTCGGCCCTTACGTTCGGGTTTCGCAAATCGATGTAATAGTTTGCCCCTTGTCTTTGAACTGAGATATGATACTCCTGGTGAAGGGATCCGTCTGTAGGCTGCAAACAGCTCCTGGTCGCTGCAGTTTTCTTGATCGAGAAGAGAGATAAGGTGAGAAACTCCGTTGGCATCTAAATCATCATTTCCAGCTTGTTTGCATGGCCGAGATGACACCAACACCTCTCTGTGCGGGTTTGACAACACAACCTTCAGACTCGTAGTTCCTTCAACATTCCCAAGCACACCAAGGTATAGCCCAAAAAGCAACTTCGACTCCTCGGTATTGGCGTGTTTTGCTCGGTGGTAGGTTAAATTGTCCACGTTAAACTCCTGTGGGAGAGAACCCTTTGACGGTAGGCCATGCTTAGGCCCTTTAACTACCACCGCAGGACTCCTTCTGCCCGAGCTATTGTCATCTACTCGTACAATTTTTGGCCGTTTCCGTTTGTTATTTCGTTGTTCATCTGTTTCTGAACTCCGCGCGTCATGGTGTACGGCCGTATGCTCGTTTGATTCTGTCCGTAAGGCGTTGTTCAGAGTGCTCTGTAATCTTTTGGCTGCGGTAGGGAGAAACTGTCGAGGCACTCGCGTTGACGATGTACTCCTGTACGGTGCATGCTTTTTGCAGAATCCTGCTGCAACTAGGCAACTTATGAAATTGTCCATGACAAGAATGCTGTTGGTGCACGCAGGCAGCGTCGACAGAGGCCGCCGCATGATATCTGAGTGATTTGCTCGCGAAGATCTCAAAGTATCAGTTCGCAAGCAACTGTGGCCCACGTTAATGATATACTGGGCGCTTGCCGGCCTTTCCAAGCTTCTAAACAGAGACATGAGATAGCTGACATGGTGTCATTGAATCAAATTGCTGGTAGCAAGGGAGAGCTATGCGCAACGAGAGTCAAGTATCGGATGTTGTAGCGCCGGCTCCGTTGATAGGAGCAGAAGGGGAACAGGAGCAAGTAAAAGCAAAAGGAAAACAAAAGGACCTAGTCAAAGACAAGAGACATCAAGGGTGGATGCGAAAGCAGTTTTGATTCAGCATTTGTATTTGAATAGCGTTGAGTTGGATATATTCAATTTTTGCTTACGCCGAAGAACCTTGCATGCTGATTGGACGGAAAAGGCTCTTGGGAAGAGTAACCTTGCAAATTCCTTTTCGCTTTTTCTCACGATCAGAAGAACCAAACCATTCCAAGCGATACTTACGGCTTCGGTACTGGGGTTACCAGGGCGTCTTGCTATATTTCTACTATTCTGTCTATGTGAACAGGTCCGCTGTCTCTCAATTGACTGTTCGGTGCTTTTTGGGTGCACCTGTTCCGCCTATCTCCCTCCAAACACTCTAGCAGCCATGGGAAAGCTCAACTTCGCGGCTCTCCAGGTACGGAAGACGGCAATTGCACAGAAAAAGGCTGGGAGAATCCAGCGACTACCATGCTGGGCAAATATTATGGATAGCATCCCGCCATCGAGCGTGTTGGTGCGAAATCTACCACAGCAGCATACTCTTACGAGAGAGAGAATGAAGACTCTACCTGGAAAGGCGGAGCCCCGGGCTGTCATCGAAGCTCGTCCTACCCGCCGTCTACAGTCGAAGAAGCCCAGTCGCATGTTTCAACCGGTAAAAATGGAATTTGAGGAGGACCAGCTACGAAGAGAATTTTATCGTGACCATCCTTGGGAACTTGCGCGGCCGAGAGTGGTGTTGGAGAACGACGGAAAGGACCACATGAGATATAACTGGGAGAATCTACAACAGCAAAGGAAACGCGTGGATGGAGAAAGGTATTTACTTTTAAGACTTGTCAGCTCAAACGGAGTGGCTCTTTCCCGCCTCTTACCATGGCTAACAAACAATATCAACTTGCAGTGTTGTTCAGAGACAGTTGCATCTTCTCAATACGGTACCTGACATAACCAAGGAGCAAGCCTATGACATTGCTCGACGTGAATTCTACAAGCTTCGACTTCAGGAGGACGTTGAGAGGAGGATTGCTCAAGAGGAGGCCAGAGCAACCGGTGCATACTTCGGCCTTGACACAAACACTATTGGAATGGAACTCGAGAACCAAGAGTATGACCGCTGGAAGAAGTGGGCAGAGACTGAGATTGTGCTGCAGCAGAGCAGCAGGGCAGCCTTCGCTGGCACAGAGATCACAGAGGCTGAGGCCGAATCATCAATGGCCGGCAATGAATTGAGTGCCCCGGAATCCAAGTTGTTGGACTCTATCAAACCGCTTTAATGGTTGACGCTTAGATATATGGTATCATATTGGACGGCAGGATACGCCTTTGTATATTATCATCTGTACTTTTTACCTTCACCTACACAGTCTTCTTCCTTTCTTTTCCCCTGTACGGAGTACTCCTCCACGAGCTGAACCCGCCACATAGCCATCACATCAATCGCTTCTGTATTCTCGAACTCGCCCGTGGTTTCAACTGCTCCGTACAACCTCGCTCCACCGTTATTGAAACCAAGTCCAGTTTCATGGCCGGCTCGTTTCTCGCTGGCTTCCCCCACATCGTATTGTTTATGACGCCCTCAAACAGACGCAGGACAGTATCAGTTTCGTCTCACCAGCTCGCGTAAAAACGAACCTGCCTCTCCCACACAGGACGAGAAAAAGAAAAAGGGTGGCGGCGTTGTAGATAATAGTTAAATGTTGGATCCAACTGCTCGCTGCTGCTGTCTTCTGCTTCGTCTCGCACAGCGAAAAAAACCGACCTCGAACGCCGTCACCCTCACGTGATGTGTCTGTTTCATCTTGCGCCAAATAGAACCGCGGCGACGACGTTGGCGACAAGAAACCAAAGAAGCACTCAAGACAGTCAAGACAGCCTGGAGGAGAACGCAAAGAGCTGCTTTTTGCTGTGAATAAACGGCTCAAAGCCGACCAGCACGACGGGAGACGCTGATCAAACCCGCCATCCGGTTCCCCTTCTGGTGAATGGTCATACGAGCCTGGCCATCGCCCGTTACTGCCCTCAGCACCTCCGAATTCCGCGCCCTCAGAAAGCTCCAAAGCGAAGTATACACGATTAGCCACGCATATTTATACCCGCCTGTCACCCGCCGAATCCCAGAGAGCCGCCGAATCCCCATGCTTGAGCTCAATTCGCGGAGATAGAGAGTCTCATTCTAGAGCAGCATTGCAACATCCTCCAATAACGACAAGGGAAAACTACGTAAACGATGTTTGATTCTTGTCAATCTGCAAGATTCCTAGTGGAATTCCATACAAATTAAGATTGGCTTTTATAAATCCCTGGATACGACTTGAACTTTTCCGTGAATTGCCAGTTGCTGGTCAACCGGGAATACCCCCCTTCCCCCCGTTGGGAGTGCACTATCGATATACAATGAGTCGCATGGATGACACAGTGCGGCCGCATCGGCCACACAGGACGGATGCATCAAACGAGATAAAGGAACCGGTATACACTAGAACGGGCTCACCGAATAATGGAAACTCTGCCCGCGATGAAGTTTCTACACGGCCACATAAACCAGCACCGTCAAAGCTGCTGGCTGAAGACTTGATAATAGAGCTTGCCCAGAGAGCAGTGGATAGCGGTATTCAAGATACAAAACGTTCGTTGGCTGGAAGTGAAGCCGTAGAGGATGTTGTTCGGCCAAAGCTTACGATCGACCTGGGCCACGCAAACATTGCTCGTGTCCCAGAAGCGGTGGTTAATATAATAAAGGACGAAGTTGCCAGGTAGGCCTCCTTATTTCAGTTGATATATCAACCCGTTGCGGGATGTCCCTTCTATCTCCACCTGCTATGCTCCATTCCATTAGTATTGGTAGCAGCTGGTTAACAAAAAAATGCTCTCAGGTTATCACTCTCCAATAATCACATTGACCGCATTCCAAACCGTTTCTCGGAATGTATTCACCTTCGATACCTCAATATCCGAGCAAACAATTTCACAGAGTTCCCGCGAGTTGTACGTCCTACATTTTTCTTTACTTTTTCTTTAGCCACCTCCAAGTACTGACATTTCCTAGGTTTACAGTCTCACATTCCTGGAAATCCTCGACCTAAGCCGGAACAAAATCACAAAATTGCCTGAGGAAGTCCGCAATTTGTCTTCATTGCGGGTTTTTTCCATAATGCAGAATTTCTTGGAAGACCTCCCAAGCCAACTCGCGGACATGAGTAAATTACAGGTTATCAAGGTTTCCGGAAACCCGCTTAACAGCTCCTTGAAAGCCGTTCTGGAACTCAGAGAAGCGGATGTCAACCATCTTGAGATGGCGGATAATGAAAAAGACAGTGCAATTACCACGGAACTCAAAAGATTTTTGAAAAGCAGGCGGGCCGCAGCATCCCCTGAGCCTGAGTATAACGACCAAAGGTAAATATGTTTCACCCGTTAAAACTGCTCCCATAAACAAAAGCCACCGTTTTAACGACATTTACGCAGTGAAACAACTGAACCACCGAGACCGCCAAAGAGAGGTAATCGTTTTCCGGTGATACCCAGATCTAACGGAACCGATTCTACGTCTGGTTCCAGGTCTCCCTCGTTGTCAAGACCGCCACCGATACCCACTAGATCACATCATAGAATGGCATCTGGTCAAAGTGGACTTATTCATCGTTCGAACACTTTGGCAAGTGTTAGGAGTGCCAGTGAACGCAACCGAAGCAACAGTGAAGGCTTTATCGCCGGCTCAGGAACGTCACGCAACAAGAGGATGGGGCTGGTAAGTAGGAAAAACACGGATCTCGGAACTCTGGACGAGATGCGCCCATATCGTAACAGCCATCTACGCGGTCTAAGCCATGGCTCCCTTCTCCGGTCCCAGCGCGGTGGCATGACAAATGACGGCAGTAACTCATCTAGCCCAAGCAGCCCAATGGACCGGAGACGCCTAAAAGATGGATTTGTTCACAGACTTTCAAGCCTTCCCGAGCAGAGAGTAAAAACCACGACTAAAAATCCTGTGGTCAATTCTGCAAGAAGCGTGCTCTATGCACTTTATCAGATACATCCTCATATCTCCTCCCTAATCAATGTTATAAAGGCGGAAGAATATAGGCGAAGCAGCCTTGAGATTGTTTTTTATAATGCGACAACGCATCTCGATCAACTGAATGAAGCATTACAGAACATTGGTGATGCAGATTTACAGGATAAAGAGGTTGCCAAAAGAATTACCGAGTCTGTCAAGCACGAGTGTGCAACCTGCATCACTGCCTATACACACGTTGGAACCCAGCTTCGCGCAAACGTTGCCAAAGCTGTAGCCTTGAGCGACCCAAAATATATCCGGACTCTCCTCCTCATGATATACGGCAGTCTAATCGAACTTCGCAATGCTTACGCTGTTTTTGACGTGAAACCGAAGCTTCGAAAGCCAAAAATGACCAAAAAACTATCCATTACTACCACAAGCCAACCTGTGAGTAAATTCATGTCCGAGCGCGAGCCTGAACCGTCGGTTACGCCGACGAGGGAAAGACCACCAACTTCTCGCCGACTACGGAGCGAAACTACTGTGCATCTCCCGCCTATCGCACCATTCCCTACTGCCTTACCGTCATTCGCTCCACATCCACCCGGTCATCCATCACATTCGAACCATCCAACAGCTCCGCCACTCACCATTGGAGGCAGAAGCCGCTCAAGTAGTCGATCGAATGCGTTTTTACATTCAGGAACCTCGTCTATTGCAAACACCCCACGATCAGGAGAATCTTTTAACTTGCTCCAGACTCCGGTTAACAATAGGATTAATCCTGTCACTGGTCTAGATGAGATTGAAGAGGACCGTATTTTCGAGAAAATTTTCATTCAACTCTCATCGGCATATAAGGCTACACTCCAATCCGTTCCCTTGGCTGCGCAACAGTTCTCCCAGTGTCTCAAAGCCGCCGAAGAATCCAGAGCTCCCCAACATCTTCGAAACTTGTGCCGGAAACTACTTGTTCGCTGTCGTTCATGTGTAGACGTTGCCGATGCACTAGATAACCGACTATCCAACATGAAACTCAAAGAGCCTGGCGGCAATCTACGAAACCAACGTGAATTCTGGCATCTTTGCAAGACATTCATCCAAACTTTCGTTGAGCTGGTTCTCGATATCCGCGAAGCTAAAACTTTCTGTCTACTTCCCTCTGAGATCGTTGCTACTCTTCGAATAGTACAGAAGACGATAAGGGAGGCCGGACGCTTAATTGATACCTCACCTTGGTCATATCTTGCTGAACTTCATACCTCAAATCCCTCTAATGCGGTTTCACAACCCCATCCTAATGGTCACCTTCATTATTCGAACTCTTCCACGTCAATTGCATCGCAATCTGGCCTGGTCAATGGATCTTCCCCGCAGTCAGCCACCGTTCCGGCTACACCTTTGAGCGCTGCACTTGGTCCTGCGGCACAAGCCACTGTTCCTTCAACGACCACCTCCACAAATATTTCCAATACATCTGGTGATCGCATGTTTGCTGGAGACGTCTTTCAACGGGCAGATCTCTTGCTTTCTATGGCTCCTTCCGCACCATTATTTTATCGCCGCTAGAATCTATACTAGCATAGATTTCAAGTTTCCATATTACTACCGCCCCCTGCAGAATATACCGTCATATCTTTGGCGCCACAACCAGCATTCGAAGCTCTATATCCCATATAGAACTAACTTATATTATATCCATAATTTCCTTATTTTTTAACCGCATATTATTTCCGTCTATGAAGAAGCATTCTCAAAATTGTCTGTCTTATTCCACGGTTTCGAGATTATATTTGGGCTTTATCAACTCTACTCTTTTTGGGGGGATACTGGTGTTGATTGATTGCATGGTGAAACACGAAAAAGGATTGCAAGCGCTACTGGTTCATTGCCATTTATTTTTGGCCCGTCATTTAGGAGAAATGGGGTTTCCCGGTTATATTGCACAGCGAGTTACTCAGTTGATAGTTTTATTTTTATTTCCTTTTACCTGGCTGTTTTTATCCTCTTTTTTCCGTTTATATGTTCATGGATATGATGATGGATTATAATGTTTAAAACTGATGATACTCTCCTTTTCTTCGTTTCCCTCTTGTTCTTTATTAGCATCGGGAGAAGGGCCAGTTGTGTTTGATGGACAACGCTGAATATGGGATCATACACAAGCGAGAACTATGACTGGTAGGTAGACTGCTACTGTGCCTAGGTGCTGTTTTATGCCATGGCCACATGAATATTCCTGCTACCTATTTCTAGATACCAGATCACCTCGCGTATTAGTGGTTGAGGTGAATCGTATTGTTGGTTATGCATACGCCCTCGTATATGCGGTCTTTGTAATATTTTTGGAAAATGGAGGTTTGTTTGCTCTGGTTACAGCTGGATTGTAAAGCGGACGGAGCAGAGCAATGTGAAAGCGAGAGGAATGCAGCCATCGGCTGGCTGCAGTCCCCGGGTTCTTTCTTACCGTTTTAGTAGCCTGGACTTTCAGTATAGCCAATGTAATACGACTAAATCCAGGTCTTATCAATTACGCTATGTAGTTATTGGATGTAAAGCGCCGTGTTAAAGACGATCAACCCCGGACTACCCTAATTGTCAAAACCTCCAATAATCAATCACCGTAGCGAGCCAGGCCCATTGAACAGCAGCTGATCCTTCAAATTCTTATATTTCCCGAGGGTCGATCCGAGTTCACTGTATTAAAACGACATCTTTGACATAATCGAATACCTCTTTTGGGAGATCAGCGGGTAGGAAATGCCCACCCTCAAAGAACAAATGGTAGCTGAGCCCTCGTTCCTCGTTCCACAGTCCAACAGCTTTATCCTTCTGTCTGCCAAACTCAAAATGGAGTGACTCCTGGAATCCCTGGGCGCCATTCCAGGTCATATTTTGAATGGTGGCTTCGACCCCAACGTGGTTTATGAGCATATCTAAACGTCCCTGGTAAATATGAACAGGCAGCCGATGAGTCGTAAGAAGATCTGGAAGGATTTCGAAAGAGGGAGGAACTGGTCGGTTGGCTAGAGCCATTAAAGTCTCAAGAATTCTAGGATTGCAGGACTGGAAAGGGCGTAATTGATCCATTGGGTGCATTAGGTTTAATGCGATTTGCACATCTGCTCGGCTGAAATATGAATCGAGAGTGGATGTGGGATTTATGAAGCCGCAGCCATAGTCAATGTTATATATGCTGAAACATTTCCGGGAGCTGAGATAGTCCGCCGTAGTGTCGTATACCGCGCATTGGCCATAACATGTTGAGCTGAATATGGATGATTTAATACTTTCAGGGGTAGTAGGGTGAATGTTGCACAATTCCAAACTCTCATCAGATATACCTCTATGTAATGATTTGCTTGCCCTGGGTTGTTTCGCATTTCCAGATCCTCCAGGTAGATAAAAGTGTCCCTTAGGGGGGTAAACCTTTGCGCGTTGACGAATTATGTCGAATCCGCAAGCATGATCCCCAAATGAGATCGCAGTCATAATATCCTCGGGTACTTGGAGCTTTGATGCATATTCCTCGAGGAATCCCACAATCCCAAGAGAGGACATTCCGGTATTTGGCCCAATAGTTCCATCACCAATGGCGATCGACACTAGGTTAACTGGTAGCTCACTTTTGCGTTTCATGATCTCACTGGCAATATACGGGATATAGATGCCGGCATACGATTCACCCATAATGTGCACTTTTTTCGTACGGAGAATGTGATCAAAGGTGGTGTCAAATAATACTAGCCACTCATAAAAGTTTGATATCACTTCCTTATTCGAGGTAACTGGAATTTGTTCAGATGCAAAGCCGGTTCCCACAGGCTGGTCGATATATAGTACATGGCCAAGCTTAGTCCATGAATAGGGATTCCTCTCGGGGGTGGTGGAGTTACCCGTGAATCGCAAAGGGCCATTCTCAAGGAAAGCTCCAACGAGTGAGGAACAGCCTGGACCACCATTCAACCATACTACGAATAGCAAATGATTTTAGAAGTTGTCCCATGAGAGCTGTACCACTTGGTCTTACTTATGAGATTGTCATCATATGCTTTGTCCTCGGCTGAGAAGAGCCAAAAGAAGAGCGAATTTCCCCTAGGTGTTCCAGGGATGTCAAGCCGCCCAGCCCAGTTTTTGGGTATTTCAGGGGTATCTGGCAACGGTCTAGTTTCGAAGTCGGCCTTTCTGGGTAGGGAGTGAAGAACTGTATAAGTTTTCGTGGATGGAGCAGCGTATGCCAGCGATATTATGAATAGTAGAGCAGTTAAATCCATATTGGACGCATATGATATGGAATTGAGAGTTGTTTCCCGGTTAGGATAAAAAGTGAGCTGTAGAGAGAGGTGCGGTGTAAAAGGTATACTTTCTGTAAAGAGCAAGGAAAAGGTCTCGCCGTGAGATCAGACACGTATTTAAAGAGCAATTGGGGATGGCATAGATAACAGAGGTATAAATCATTATTAGGGTGCACAGCCTGAAAGAAGGGGCAAGGGTATATATAGCAGTACTCCATATGTTCTGGTTGGACTTGGCCATCAATGAATCAGAATTAGCAGCATGCAATTGTGGGTAGTACTTCATACTTTGACCCCTGTAGAGCGGCGTTTGTTCGACAAAATCCGCTTAGACTTTCGTTCATTGGCGATAGAAGAAAAGAAAGTTCTTGGTAGCATTTATCTGCCTCGACGTAGCTTCGAAGGACAATACGTAAATTAGGATTCACTGAATGCTCGTAGATCCAGATCCGTAGGCAAGCGCCCAGAGTACCGCGTTCACCAATTGTGGGGAATCTAATAACTGGGGAGGTTCCATATTGTTCCATGGAACGAATCTCGAGGGCCAGGAACAGCGCAAATCATATAGATCTACCCCATGCTTCGCCATCAGCGGCAACATTATCGGGCTTGATGAAAGAAAAGCCGACTGCAGGTGGTACAGGCATGCGGCACAAAGGCCGAGCGGTTGGTCATGCTACAGCCTCTTTGTTTTCCACAGATCTACTCCGTATGGCTTCTATGGAGTCCAGAGATGGCCCTAGCAAGGTGTACCGAGTACTCCGTAGAGAGGGCGGATATCCAAGGTTGTTGACCATGTTTACTCACAACCGGCCCATGGTCAGCTATGTAGGTAGTTAGTCAACCAGCCACCATTGGTTAGACAACACAAGCTAATTAGCTAGTTAATTAGTTAGTTAGTTAGCTAACAAGTAGCCGGAGAAGAAGTCGCATTGCTCCTCACTGAGAGCCATGGGTCGAAGGAAACGCCATCGTCCCGTCAGCGCTGGCTGTCAAACCGCATCTCCAAATCGTCGCTGTTCGCTCGCAGTTGATGAAGAGACGTTGAAGTAAAAGTCGACGAAGCCCTAAAAAAGGTTTAACCCTAGATTACCCGATCGAGTTACCGCCTTCGTCTGCCTTCGTTTAGTTATATAATAAACATCATCAACTCGCGACTTCATGTCTCCTTCTCCTCCGCCGTCTCCTGCTTATTCTTCTTTCAACGCCAGGTCTATATATAACTGCGACAGACGCCGCGAAGCAGGATGATGGATGATGTGCGCCACACTAGCATTAGTTAGGTATTCGGCTGAAACGATGCGCGCGTCCATGTATCCTGCGAAACCAGCACCGTCACCGCTCTTTTTTTTTTTGGTGAACCGCTATAGCCTGCTAGCTAACCCTTAAGCCATATACTTTCCAGTGGTTTGAAAGTGAAGCGAACAGCCCATGGCATTTCTGCTTCTTAGCCCACGCTGTGATGGGTTCCCCGGGTTTGGAGCTCACGAACCCCTCCAAGTCCCTGTTTGGGGACCCTGCCAGAATGAACAATTGCCCACCTTTGTGCATTGTGTGGCTTGACAAGTAATCGGAATGGGCGGTTACCCCCAGCACTTCCGTATGGATGACGCCCGGATGTTGTTCGGCCAGCGTGTCTTGCATGCAGATGAGCGGCCAGCTGCTTGGTCTTGGGGACACTGATGCCCCCAAATAACTACGGAATACCCAGGAACTGCAGATTTCCAAGGGCGACTGACAGCAGCAGAAGCCACCAGCCCCAAACCTTCAGCGATTCCCTTCGACCTTGTTTTACTAATTAATACAAGAGCGTGAGCAGTATCATGGGGACCCAAGGGACTCAAGGGACTTCCAGTGGGCTTTTATCATCCCCTGGGCCAGATTACACTGGGCCATGGACTTGTCACAGCGGTGACACCACAAGATAACAGGACAGAGTACTGCCTGTGGTACTGGCTCCTAGCCTGACACGAAGGCTCCCGTCAAGGAGTCTTGATCGTTACATCCCGGGCAACTTTTTCGCGCCAACATAATGTGATCTAGCTGAAACTGGTTTCCTACCCGCGATGCATTTCGCATCCTCGCTTTTCTTGGAGACACAAACAGAAGGCGGGAGGCGACTGGTTGCCCTCGTTTGCCAAAGTAAAATAACAGAAAAAGAAGAAGAAGGATTTTAAATCTAAGGCACATGCATGACCCCCAACACACCACTCATATTCCTAGGCCTTGCGAGAAGAAAGCTGGAGAAAGTGGAACTTCATTTATTCCAACTGCACGTTTCCAAGCGAGCTCTTAAAACTGCCTGGCCACCAGATGCCTTGCGCTAGTCAGGCAACATGTAAAAAGAGGACTCCAGCGCCGATCGACATATCTATGATATCACCTAAGCGGCAAACCGCATGATGCGGAATTCCATTTGAGGCTCCTTGCCGGGCGCAACTCATCCAGGGTGGTGACAGGTGCTTCATTTTCTTTCTCCTCAACTCAACTATCCCTTGCGCAGTCTCCTTCATCTCATGTACTTGAAGAGAGCTCCGGGTCAGTCAGAGCTAAAATGATATTCAGGCAAGGCACCAAATACCTCTCGCATATACTCTAGACAGCAGGGAGAACAATTATGCAGAAAATATCACAAAATGCCACGATGAAGAATTCGCTACTTAACAATGTACGGAGCAGGATCCACCTCGTTGAAAAGGTAGTTCCACCATCACGCAATTCGCCTGCAAACCTAACATCGACTCGGGTAGCTCAATCAATTTTTTCCTGCTGATGGGAGTTGCCTATCCTTTTCAACAATTTTACCCAGCGAGCGCCAATAGCTGGGGAAGAAAACTCTTTGTTAAATTTACCTGCATATTGGAGGCTGCAGCTGATTTGCTGGGGTTTTCTCGCCATTTTTTAAACTCCGGCCAACCACTCTAGTGCCTGTCGCCTCACTTTTTGAATGCGAAGATCCCTTGTTGAAGGGGAAGGGATACGGTGGAGCCGTGAATAAGCTCCAGGCAGCGTTTTGTTTTCAACTTTCGTCCTATACAAAACTGCCAGCTCAATCGTGGGCAAAAATAAATGTCTTAAAACTCCTTCTCTACTCCTGACCTCGTGCAGCAGCACTACATGACCAAGAGAGACGTCAAGGGCGCCAGCTTTCCGACTCCACACTACTCAGCAATTCATCTTCGCACACAAATCCATTGCTGCCGTGAATCCCTTCTGCCTTGAATCGTGGACTCATTGGTCCTTTGCCAGATTTCCTTCTCCTTCCTCTCGGCCCGCCGCCCAACCATACCTTCATACATACAATGCCCAAGTCTGCTTCGCTGTAAACTGCACTCGGTTGTTTTTGTTTCTTTTTTCTCTTCTCTTCTCTCCTCATTGAAAGCAAATCTCTCTTTGCTCGCCTGACTTATCCCCTCACGCTGTCATTGTTCCCTCTGACGAAGGGCCTGTACGTCTTCTATTCCCTAGCTGATAGAGACGTTTCATTCTCGAAAACCCTGATGAACGACGCACTCTAATTGCATCACTCATCAAGACGGACATGAATAACAACACCATTTACACTCTTCGAATGGTATTGACCCTAATAAATCCTGCATCTTGACAAAAAAGAAAGGATACATTTCTTTTTTACCTCTTCTCTCTACGAAAAGCTATTCAAATCACCGGAGGGGCGAAGTTGGTTTTTGCACGAGGGAAAGTGGTTCTATTGTTATCCATCTTTCTCAAACCTCTTCCTTTCTCCCTTATCTCCTTAACATTCTTCTTGAATCTTCCTTTTTTTACTTTCTACCTTTCTTTCTTCGGTTCTGTTTAAGGAAGGAGGGGAGTGAAGGGTGAGGATGATGGATTCACCGCATAAGGCAAACCCATCAAAGGCAAGGCCTCATGGGAAAGATGGTGAAGACTCGGGGTACTGCCTATCCCACTCCTCTTGGATGGATAATGATTCCCAAAATGTTCCCAAGCAAGAGTCGAGAGAGCAATCGAAAGCTTCTTCACACCACCATCACCACCGGCATAGTGGTGATTCTTCCATGAACAATCATGCAATATCACAACACCCTTTGTCACCGCAATACAATGGTCTACGGTCCTCTCTTCCACCACCATCTCCATCCCCACCACCAAACCCTTTCCCATATCACCATCCTGAACTACCATATCCTACCTTTGGGGAAGCTACTTCCCAGGGAAAATCGACTGCTGAAGAGGCTGACGAAATCGATCTTGAGAGAAACGACGACAGAACAACCACCGCCATGCTTGTTCAAATTCCTACGGACATGCAGCTTACATCTCGCCAGATCAAGATACTTCAGAAAGCCGAACGGCTACCGCCAATACGTACAAGCACTCTCAGCGAGCTTGACTTGAACCACATCATGAGAAACATCAACCTGAGAATAGATGTCAACTTTGATCGTGAACTTCATTTCCAACCTATTGCAGGCGAGAAGGGTCATGAAAAGCGAAGGTTGGCGGAAGCTTATTGGGAGGCAATAGCGCTGGAAATTTCCGTGCATAGCTATCATTCTACCAGCAAAAAGCAACAACCTGTCAATTTGTGGAGTCACAAGCGCGTAGCCAGTGATTCGGTAGCAGTTTTTGAACAACGCTTACCAGCCATGCTTGAAACCTTAAAGGATGTCGTGAGCAGCCTCGTTCCGGAACGGGATCAACAAAGCGTGATGCAAAACCTAGACGTCCCGTTTCTTTTGCAACAGGTGCATAAAGGTGTGCTAGATATGGTTAATCTTACCAAATGGCTTGCCGCTTTGTTGAAAACCCATTGCGCACCAATGAGAGATCCATGGGCTGATAGAATGGTGGCTGAGATCAGCGAAGGCTGTGAAACTGGCAATATATACAAAATGGTAGAGGGGCTGAGAACTATGTTTGGAACGCTCGAGTCCATGAAACTGGTATGTCTTCTTTCCCTTCAATATGTTATCCTAGTAGTTTGTGCAATAGCTGAAACAGGCTCTTTTAGGATGTTGCAAATCACCAAATACGAGCATTTAGAGTGATTTTGATAGACGACACTGTCCGATTTCTACAAAGCGACTTGAAGAAAAGAATAGCAGCAAATGCTCTAGATATTCAACAAGCAAGGCGGTGGTATCTCAACCTCGGCCACCAACCGCTTTCCAAATCCCCATACTTGCAGCACGAACTCAGAGGAAGCTATGCTCCCATCGCTCCCCTTTTTATTGGCCTTTTTTCTTTCCTTGTACCATTTGAGCATCCGAAGAGACTCGAGGACATATTTGAATTTGAAGCCGATAGACTTTGGTTTATACGGACTGATATACAAGACCTGATAGGTCTTGAAATATGTTCTCGAGTGTTTGAAATAGTTGCCAAAGAGCAGGGTCGACATAGAAATAGTCCCTACTACCTGCAAGCAAAAGCAGCAATCCCATCCCGCATTTGTTGCATACTCGACAACTGCTCTGACGGTGTCTCTGTCGGATACAATGCTCGCCATGTTAACCTCAGCTCTCCAAATGCGAACGATAAATGGGAAAACAACATGGGATTGGTCGCGTTAGAGATTGCACACTGTATTTGTTCACTAAGTGGCAACCTCAAGAGCAATACATTCCCCGACGGAGAAACCTTGAGTAATGTAGAGCGATACCTTGACTCCTTTTTCTCATCTCCAACCGGTCAGTTCCGCGAATTCAACCTTTCGATACAGGGAGAACTCGAAGAGGTCACTTTTGGATATGTTAAAAAGTACTTAACCATGACCCCCCTTGAGATATCCGAAGACCAACGCCCGAGAGAATACCCCGAGTCAACGAAATACGCCTACCCCCAGAGACTGCTCCCGGATATCGATGGGATAGCTAAACGTCTAGCTCATGTCGGAGTCTTACACTGGCGTGTCTGGGCTCCAGTGTTATACCTTCACGAAGGCCCTGGGATATCATTTGCTCCAGGAAGCAATATCAGTACAATGTACGCGACTGAGTAACATCCAGCGTCCATGTTATATTTCCCATGGAAGTCGCGTCGATAATACCTTTCTTCCTTATGCTTGCTTCAATTGGTTTGGAGTACCCTCAATACCAATGACTACCTCTACAGCCCCGAAAATATACCTGTTCCCTTTGTCCTATTTCCAGATTTACTATAGACTTCCTTTGTCTTTTAATACTCTCATCTTCATTAATATTCTGGATAACGCCGTTCTGCTACGATATTATGTTTTTTTGGGCTTGTCATTCGATTCTGTTTCCTTGTTGTTTAGCGATTTGCTGTGGGAGCAAGGTGTGGGAGTTTATGTGCTATTTCTCCCTTTTTACTTGCCTCAATGTTCCCCTTATTTTTGTTTCTTTTGTCACTGGCGGCTTTCTCGGACATAAGTTTAGTTTGATGTTTATGAGAGGTATGTAGCATGAGGATATCAAATAAAAATTTTCAAATAAAAATGAACAAGATCTTCTTGATTCTTTTGTATACTTCCTAACAGTCTATATCACACGCTCAATTATGAATAGGAAACAAATAGGTTGGCTGTATGTAAATAATGTTAACTTATTTTAGGGAGATCTTCGATAGTTAATTAAAATCTTTTCAAGCATCACCGCTAAACCATCAACCAACCGCAAAGTCATCACCAGTTACATGATGAAAGGAATAACATAACAATACCCCCTCGGTCTAAGGAACAAATCGCCCGTTACAGCTATCTCGTGCGTCGGTTAGCCTCACTCTCCCCGGTTCTGGATCATGCCATCCATCGTCACCAAGCTGCAGACCCTCAAAGTGCGACAGCTGCAAAAACTGGCGCTTTCGATAGGGATATTATCATCCGGGGCCAAAAAGGATTTGATCAATCGTTTAACTGAGACATTCCAAACGTATGACCGTCACGGACGCGGCCAAAGTGACTTAACGGCGAGACATGAGTCCGCAAAAGCCAAACTACAAGAACAAAGGAACCCAGCACTTATGAGCATCCTGAGCATTGATATGGGAATCAGAAACTTGGCTTACGCACATATACTTGTTTCCTCCCGTTTCGAGACTGATACGAGTCTTGAAGGGACGACCCAACCTATATCACAACCTCTCTCTACGGCGAAGATATCCCTAAATGCATGGGATCGACTTGCAATCTCTTCGTTCCCATCACATGAGATCCAAAGGGACCCCTCAGCAATGCCGATTTCAAAATTAGGCGGGCTAGGAAAAGTTGTGTCTCAATCTTCGTCTTACCTGCAGGAAGGAGAGGAGCAAACTGAAAGGGATCCCAAGGAGCACTTTGCACCGTACCTATATGCTTCTCATGCGTATACGCTTATCACCTCGCTCTTGGAAGCATATAAACCGACACACATCCTAATTGAGCGGCAACGGTTTCGTTCTGGGGGTAGTAGTGCGGTTCTAGAATGGACTATTCGCGTTGGTGTGTTTGAGGGCATGCTCTATGCCGTTCTACATACGTTACGGCAACAAGGGAAAGGGGGGCTTGCCAGACCCTTTGTACAAGGAGTTGACCCACAGAGGGTGGTGAGATATTGGACAAATGATGAAAAGAAAGAGGACATAGCAGCAGATTCGAAAAAAAGAGTCAGCTCCAAAGAAGGCAAAAAGGCAAAAATCGACTTAGTTGGGAGATGTTTATCTCGAAGCGTTGGTGTGGACCTTGACATAGCCTCAAAGGCGGAAATACCTCTAGAACTTGGCCTAATTGACGGGAGCCAGGCAAGGGATATTGTTCAAGCATATCTCAATAAGTGGAATGGCGGAAGCAGAACCTCAAAGAAAGGGGCCGTTAGGGTCAGTACAGAACAAAATAACGAGAGGATCGAGAACATTGGAAAGCTCGATGATTTAGCGGACTCTCTTCTGCAGGGGATTACATGGTTAGAATGGCAAAAGATGACCGAAAAGTTACTGTATAGCAATGCAGCTATTCCTATCTAGTTCTCAAACCGGGGATATCTTGTCTAGTCGTTAAAAAAAATGTGAAAATAATCAAAAGACAGAATTTTTGAAGTTATAAAAGGTTTAGTATCAACCAAGAATCGAAGTGAATAAAAAGGGTAAACAAGAAAGTGGCCTGTGTTGCGTAAACCATGCAACATAGAAGCGTCTTAACAATTCTCCTAACTTCCCCAAGCCATAATAACGTCAAAAATTTAACAACATAACTCCCTTAGAAAGCAACCCCGCTTGGGTAGTGGTAGGCTGGAGCGCCGGTACCGTGGGGCATACCCTGGCTGGGATGGCTGGGATGGGGAGGGTGGCTAGGGTGGCTAGGATGGCCGGTCGTTGTAGTAGGGAATGGAGGAGTGACTTGCTCAGGAGCCTTCACAACTGGAGTGCCATTGTTTCCACCTTCCTGGGTTGGCTGGGAGCCCTCGGGGCTCTTTAGTCGGATGTTAGTTCGTGCATGATCAAAATAGCTTGCTACGGGGATTAACTTACGACAGTGACTGTTTGGGTGACGGTGGCAGTGGCCTGAGTGACAGTGACGGTGGCAGCAGAGGGACAGGTGTTTTCACCGCCTGGAATGCCAGTTGGGGCCTGAGGAGGGTTGGTAGGAGCGGTCTCGGGACCACCAACTGGGCCACCTGGAGCGTTGGTAGGGGCGCCGCCGGGGCCACCCTGGGGAGTGCTAGTGGTGCAAGCTTCGGTAACGGTGATCCAATAAGTGGATGTAGATGTGCTAGAGACGGTGGTGGTTTTGGTGGTGGGCTCGTTATCCCCAACAGGAGTCTGAAAGGTAAGTGTTAGCCTTTGTACTTCTAGAGGGGGCATGAACATTTGAACTTACAGGATTAACGGTGCGCGTCTCAATAGCTAGAGGAGCCGTGGTCGTGAAAGTGTATGTGGTGACACTGTTGCTGGGTCCCAAGGTATATGTCACAGTAGAGGTAATCACAGTAACACTTGGATACTCAGTGGGCTTAGGGTTTGTTCCTGTGCCCATTGGGACGGACGAGGTTACGACTGGCTTCTGAGCAGGAGGCGCTCCAACAGTGCTGGTTGGGGCAGGATAGCCAGTGCTGAGAGGCACGGTGACACTGGAGCCGACCTGGCGATTGAAATGGCGATATCTGTGGCGTCCATGGGAAGCAGCTTCAGAGAAGGCTGCGAGAGCCACGGTCAGGGCGACAGCCGACTTAGAGAAGAAGTGCATTTTGGCTGGTCGGAAGAATCGGGATTCGCAAGTTGGAGATATAGATCGAAGTAGAACCTATGGATATGATCAAACGAGGGAACGTCGACGAAATCAATTCGTCTAAATGGCTCCTGTTAAAGAACGTCGCGCACTTCTCAGAGAGAGGCTATATGGAGCAAAAAAATGAGGGTATGGCTCTGCCAGAGATGAAAGGAGAGACTGAACGAGGAAAAAGACGACGTGGGAGAGCGGATAAAGAGAAAAGGAAGGGATGCGGCGAGCGTGGGCATCGACGCAAGTATATATATATATAAAGGCGTATTTGGCTCAGGGGGCCCTTTTCTTTCTCCTGGCTTGGGCGGCCTTTTCTCCCATTCTCCGTAATCCTAAATGACACCCCCTTGCTAGGACCCTTGCGAGGCAGTTCAAGTACCCTCTTCTCATCATCCCTCCCGTCGTCTTATCTGGTTCGATGGTTGTGTCCCGGCCGTTCCACCACTCAAGCTGTTCAGCCAATTGGGGGATGGCGTTTCACGACTTCCCTCATCTTCCTTGCATGAAAGGGCCAAACACAAGCGGCCCTGGGCAAAGGAATGAGGGCCAGACTATGACGAGGAGGGTTACGACCAACCCTAAATTTCCTCGGCTTGCTTATCGCTGAAACAAACCTTGGGTGGGTACGAAGGGATCTGCTTGTTGTCAGTATTTAATCTCCTCCATCCTGTACCTTGCAGCCATTCAGCTAGAGGCATTTCTCGCGCTGATGCGAGAGTAAAAACCATATCATAGTACAGTTACAAAGCCAGCAAATCAGGGCCGCCACAGCCGCATTTTCATCGCGCACACACCGTCTTGTGTGGTCAAATGTCGAGAGTGAGTTGTGAATGCAAGGGCCGAAAACATCAGCCACTCAGACGTCAGTACTACGAAGTGGGTAAGCTGGTATCGCTGTCACTCCACCCAGAGGAAAATGGAAGGCGCAGATAGGCTGCGGAGAAACGAGGCTTGCCTGTAAGGAGCCATGGCACCAAGTTTTTCCGTCTTCTTCGGCTTTCGTTTGATTAAAATCATGCATGTTGGCATGAGAGTGGCTTACTTGTTGTTGCGTATATGGATGATTTCTCATCCTGCTTGACATGCCGTTTCCGCAACTTTTGGATTTCAATTGTTCTCTTCCGATTCAATGTCGTGGTCAATAGGGAGGTTTCTCCATAGTTGGCGAGGAAAATCTGAAACGCACCGTCGACAACAAAGATACAAAGAGCTGTGCTTATATGTAACGAGCTATACAAGTGTAAAGGTCGGGAGTATGGAGTCGTATGCTTCATGCCGAGTTGCATGGACGTTGCTTGGTAGTCTATTCTCCCTTTCTTTTTCTCGTTTGGTAAAACTGCCAGCCAAGGTTTGCGACAAGAAGAATTTTCCGTTGGATGGGAATAAAAATCTAACATAATCGGGCAACCCAGCCGCAGTAACCTGGCGTAGGAATTCCGCGGTCGTGGCAAGGTATCCCTGGGGAGTCGGGCTAACCGCCCAAGTCATACTCCGTCCCGCTGAGTGTAACACCCGCAGCGTGATGGTTTTTTCTTTTCTTTCTTCTTCCCTCTTTCTTTCCTTTTTTTTTTTTTTTTTTTGGTTCCTGACTAGAATTTAGGCCTTGTAAAAGAATTGGGCTGGGCTGTGGCTTGTTTGTTTCCTTTTTAAACATGAAACGACTAGCCTGGCGGTTACAGCCTCGCAAAAGGCTTCTCAGTGTCAAGCGCCCAGAGTCCGTGTGTTGTGTCACGATAAGTGGCGGCCATCATGGCCATTGTTGGATTAGACGAATATCACGGCAAAAATGGATTACCAGGCCACCACATGTTGGGTATCCATTATCTTGATATCGGCGCAGTGATAATGACCAGGTACCTAGCGGACTTCATCTGCCTTCGCTTCGTCATGTGTGGTCCTTTTACCCCTTTTGCTGCCCTTCGTAAGCCTGCTTTATTATTTTATCTCGTTATCCCAAGGGGTGCCTCTGCCATTAGATGTCGCCACCATGCTCCGTCCAACTTCGGTAGATAAACGCTGCGGTGGAACGGCCGATGGTGTTGCCCTGTCGATCGCATGGCTAACTCCTGGGATCCTGCGATCGCCCCCAGAGCCAGAGTCGTTGGCTAAGCATGTGCGACCAGCTCTTTGGTTCCTCCAGTTTCATCGGCCTGAAAGTACGGGAGTTGCTATATATTCATGTAACTTGTGCGCGGAGTCGCAGCCGCACCAGCAAACTTGTCTTTTTAGCTTAGCGCAGATCTCCGGGATAATCCTTGACAAAACATCCAATGATCTCAAGCTGTGCTCCGAATAGAGATATCTTGTCCGTGGGAAGTGTTGTCGGTGGTCGTTTTTTTGTGTTGAGTGACGAAGATCGAGAGACGTCAAAAGGTCCCAAAGAGGAAAAGTCGACGTCAGGCTTAACAAAAATATATCGAACGTCGCCAGCAAATATCAACACACATTCATATTAATTACTATCCATCATTACTGTTACTGACACGCCAGTGGCGACGGCAACGACATAATTGAATGACGGCTTCAGCTCGTGTTTATTCGTTGCACGTCGGCCAGTCGGCATCTCAAACATGGCAACGCAGTTCGACTCTCTTCGCTCGCAGTACCGAGAGTCACTGCAGGCGTTCAACGCTGGCCCCGATGACTTTCGGCTCCTGGACATCGTACCCCCTGAAAGCGAACTGAATGCCCGGCCAGGGAGTCTTTATGTCCTTGACTCTTCGTTTAACCCCCCGACCATCGCGCATACCCAGATGGTGACCGCTGCAGTGAAAGCAGCAAACGCAGAAGGATCCCCGCCGTCAAGGCTGCTATTGTTATTAGCGATTCAAAACGCAGATAAACAACCGAGGCCAGCTTTATTCGAAGATCGTATTGTCATGATGCGGCTGGCTGCAGAAGATATCCAACAGGCTCTAGCCCAAGATACCACCCGGGACGAAGACGGGCGAATCTGTAACGTTGCGATTGACATCGGGGTTACGAAACGCCCATACTTTGTGGATAAAGCAGTGGCCATCGCAGGCGATGGCGGTATCTATCCCAAGGAGGTAGAACAAGTCCATCTGACGGGATATGATACACTGGTTCGGATTTTTGAACCAAAATACTACCCTTCTGGAGATCTTAGCGTTCTGGGCTCCTTCTTTAGCTCAAACAGGCTCAGGGTAACCATACGGCCCGGTAGCAGCTGGGGATGTACGGAGCGGCAGCAGTCCTTTCTCACCGACCTCGCCAGAGGTATAGCGGAGAACCGGGGCGCAAAGAGGGAATGGGCAAGCCGTATCGAGCTTGTAGGGAGCAATGCAGTTGGCAGAGAGCCAGTAAGCTCAACTATTGCCAGAGACGCAGCCAAAGGTGACCTAAAACAACTCTTTAAACTTGTCACGCCGCGGGTGCATGAGTATATCAAGAACCAACAACTCTATGCCACCGACGGATAATCACTTGTATACTCCGTATATCAAATGCACTTGTACTCCCGTCGCATCTTACAGGGGAGGATAATATGGTATCCTACTATTACTTACACCCCAGCCATTCTCATAGCTACTAACTTGACCAAGAGAAAAACCATTGGTTGTTTCGTTACTCTTCATCTTCTCGTGTCCCAAGAACATACACCATTCCTCCACTAACCAAATTTGCAAGACCGACACCTATAGCAGCGCCTCTCACCATGCCTCGAGCACTCCATTTCTTCTTAAACTCCTGCTTTCTCCTTCCGGCAAGTAGTATATATAAACCAGACCACGCGGCGCTAGCACCTGCAGCATCCTTCTTGAATCCGGCCAAGTTCATGTAGGTCGTGAGCAACAGTACTGGTGGAAATACCATTGGCATAAACTGGAAAGGGCGGAAATGGAGGGCGGTTACGAAAGTCGCGAGTAACGTCGGCGGGAACGGTGATTCTATTTGCAAGTTAGATCACCAGCGTGTCAGTGAACAGCTTCACAAATCAGCCTGGCGGTTCAAGCTGTCTTAAACTGGAAAATGTCTTCTCTGAGACGATCAGCTGGAACCAAGTACCTCCCCATGCTCGAGCATACTGTGCCAGTGTCGGCTTTGGCTTCCCGGATGTTGAAGTTTCGAGCTCTCCAGCCATGCTGTATCACCGGCAATGTTTATAGTTGGAGCGTCGGGAACAATGATCACCATTCAGCGGAATTTTCCACAGGTATCAAACAGGTAACAAGATAGCTCCGCGGCCCAATTATTATCATCAAACGCGAACCCGGCCTTGGTAATGGTAATCCTGTCTTCGTTGCCTGGAATATCGTCGCCTCTTTCGATGTTTTCTCTTCTTTCCTTCCGCTTGATATTTAAGAGAAATTTCAAGGTAAGTATCACGTGACGCATCTTCGACCCTTGAACGTCCTGCTGGCAAGAAACGAAATATCACGATTATCATTATTTTTTGGGAGAATACATCACCAACACCGTCAGAGACTTCTCTCCCTAGAAAAGCTGATAACTTGAGTCGGGTCTTCTGTATTCACATCTTACGTCGGCTAGGACTCGCTTTCGTGGACTCCTTTATATAACTACGCCCTCCCACTTTTTGGACAGCACGGTCTTTGCATTGCAGGCAATATCCTCGATTTGTCGGCCTACGAACTTCGCCCCAACTCTTTTTGGTATCCGGCATCAATATACCGGTCGACCTACATTTGCTGCACCACAGGGGTTGAAAGAAAGCCGAGGAGATGCCATCTGCCACCGCATCTGGCGCCGACAGGCCCAGTGGTGCCCATTCTCGTCAGCACAACCAAGGAAACCAAGACAGAAAATACACCCCAGAACAAAAGGCAGCGGTATTAAGAGTACGGAAATGCTCTGCAACAGCGTTCTATGAGATTCTGGCAGTTGAGAAAACTGCGACAGATGGAGAGATCAAGAAGGCTTATCGGAAGCTCAGCTTGTTGACCCACCCAGACAAGAATGGCTACGAAGGCGCAGATGAAGCGTTCAAGAGTATGTACTCTCTCTATGGATTTAATTTTTGATCCAAAGACCATGCTCTAACAGGGGGTGGGATATATAGTGGTATCGAGGGCATTCCAGATATTATCAGATGCAGATAAGAAAACCAAATATGACAGATTTGGTGGAGATCCTGATAGCAGATTCAACGCTGGGGCATCGACTTCTTCACCATTCGGCGGCTTTGGAGGCTTCCAACAACATCCCGGGCGACAATATGCTTACGAAGAGGAGATTTCGCCGGAAGAACTCTTTAATAGGTTCTTCGGTGGAGCTGCAGGCGGAGGATTCGGGCCGTTCGGTATGGTTTCTAGAGCTTCCAATGGACAATGTGATGAAGTTTCGAACATTTATAACTAACAAACGCTGTAGGAGGTGGCATATTTGACGGCGGCCCCCAGTTTGTCTTCAACATGGGAGGCGGCCCTGGTTTCCGCGTACATCAGTTTGGGGGAAATCGGCCACGACGACGCCCGAGAGACACAAATGAGCCGGATCCTTCTCAGGCACCCCCAGGGGTCGCATCGCTCTCGCAGTTTCTTCCTCTTCTCTTACTATTTATCCTACCTTTCCTTTCAAACCTATTCAGCAACACTTCACCTTCCACGCCGTCTTTCAAACTCCACACCCCCGATCCACCGCATACGCTTCAACGAATGACTCCGAAACTCAAACTCAAATACTTTCTCAATCCAACAGATATTGAAGACTATAGCCCGCGCAAACTCCACCAGCTAGATCAGAGAATCGAGGTTGACTACGTGGCCAACCTACGACGTGAATGCCAGAGTGAGATAAATTATCGCGATCGCCTGGTTCAAGACGCTCAAGGCTGGTTTTTCCCAGATGTTGAGAAGATGAGAGAAGCACAAGATCTAGAGCTCAAGAGTTGCGCAAAGCTAAAAGCACTCAGTAGCTGACGATCTGGCCCTCAACCTCTTACCACTGTATAGCCGACTTTTTTGATTCTCTTATAACTTTGACACGAATAGATAACTAATTATATTTAACTGTACAACGGTTTCTGCATCTTTCTCCTATTAGACGATTGTCCAAATCAGTCATATTCGTGGTGGTAAGATTCGCTTCTTGCTAACCAGCTGTCTACCTAGGTTCACACTGAGCCATCAGATTTCACCAATTCGACACCTAGCACAAAATGGACGATGACATCGAGTCTTTCCCCTTGGTTTAAAAGAGAAATACTATTTTCCAGGCTATGAAGAGTTGTTGTGAGCATCTTATAACTATACCTCGCAGGCCAGCATGATTCGCAAACACTCGATAATGATCATAGATTTCCTATCTGGACAAAGGCTGGACTTTGCCCGGAACCGCATGGAGAGGTTTGCGCGCCTTTCCATACGGAAGTGGTCTTTGGCAAACACAAAGGTTGTGTGAAGGAGACGCTTGATGAGTTTCGCAAGCTGGCATCAACTTCCTGATGCAAACCCTTTGGCCTCGTAACAATCGCTATATCAGCACGCGCTTAGCGCTTAATTTTTCCAACAAACTTGCTTAAATAACTAAGTACCCCAACCTAATTCGGCGCTTCCACAAAGTTAAAGCAGGACAGAGCAACAGCTCAAACACTGGACAAGACCTCGCTCGATATCCATCTAACTACGACTGGTTCAAGTTGTGATGCCTCCCATATTTCAAGCCCATTTTCTATATTCTCGGCTCGTGAGGTGCGACTTTAGTTGTTGTACTTGGTCACCGTCATGGGTTGCGACATGGCTCAAATCGAACTCTATTTGCATATCAACAATGCAACGAGCCTACTATGGGGGTCCGATACTACAAATTACTGCAGAGGACCTTGATGGAACAAGTACATAGCTACGGAGTCCCAGATACTTTATATTTCGACGATGCTAACATTAAATTAGTATTTGTAGCCAAATATATTTCAGAGGAAGAGCTCTTCGAATATACTAGGAATCGTTGGATGTATGTCCCGACTTTAACTAACATCTAATCTCAGTAGTTACTTATCGGTTATAACTAGATATAACGAGACCTTACAGTTATCTATACGATACCTCAAGTTGGATCTTCGGCAACTCCTGGAAGCTGCCGTCAAAGCTGTTTCTAGCAACGGTGCCTAGTACTGTATGCGCCTATAGATCCTTATTCCTTTTGGAACCCCCACTTATTCGTGTCTAGGTCGCAAAGTTTTCAATGCCGTGAAGGGCTAAGTAATAAAGTTCTTATTCTGACTATGGATAATGACATGGAAGTTGTAGCAAAGCTTCCGAATCCAATAGCAGGCCCTGGCTATTATACCACAGCATCTGAAGTCGCCACGCGGGAATTTGTGCGTGTACCGATTATCTTGTCTAACTATTAAACCTACATCAGCTGACATCTGACTTGTTAGCTTCGCGATGTTTTGGATATTCCTACTCCTAGTATAATCGCCTGGTCAGCAGATCGAAGTAATCCGGTTGGTGCGGAATATATATTGGAGGAAAAGGTGCCGGGGACACCGCTGGGGCAGTTGTGGTACCGATGGCCGATGAAGTCGAGACGGAATATGATCGAACAAATCATCCAGATAGAAAGGCGCCTTGCATCTGCCACATTTTCGAGCATCGGCTGCATTTATTTCAAGGACAGTCTTCCAGAAAATGCACTCAGTGGGTCCATTATATCGTCCACTTTGTCATTACGGCCATCGGCAGCTGACAGATTTACGCTGGGGCTTCTTGTGTCAAACGATCTGTGGCGGGGAGAAAGGGCCAATATGAGTATGAATCGTGGACCATGTAAGTGGTTTTTTACTTCCGAGAAGTAATTAATAACTTGAAGAACTCCACTAATTCTAAATAGTCCGCGGACCTTTGGATTTCGTGGAAGCGATGGCCAAAAATGAATTTCTATATACAAAAGAGTACGCCCGCCCCTATATGAATTACCACCGATCATCCACAGAAGCTCAGCTGCCAGACAAGTTTCTTCGGCTGTTGAGACAATATCTGGACCTCAGCCCTGATATGGTCCCACTCAAAGGTGCGGAAGATACGCACTCACCCACACTCTGGCACCCGGACCTCCATCTTGACAACGTATTCGTTGATCCTGAAACACACAATATCAGTCAGATAATTGACTGGCAGTCAGCAGCAGTCATGCCACTCTACTATCAACGTGCCATTCCGAGGATGTTTGAACACCCTAGCGGTGTGCCTTGTGGCTGGACTATGGCACTCCCTGAAAATTACAATGATCTAGACCAAGACGAAAAGGATAAGTTTGAGAGCGACCGGAAGAGCATTGCTTGTCAGAAGTACTATGAGGTTGAGACACGTGTCCATAATCCAAGACATGTGGCTGCTTTCCAGCTCCAGGACCTTGATGTACGAATTGACCCATCTCGCATTGTCGTGGGTGCCTGGGAAGGAGAAGCGATCTTCTTCCTTCGCCGTGCAATCTATAGGATTGTCGACCAGTGGGAGAGTTTATGCCCAGGACTCGGACCATGCCCCATCGGCATTAAAGCCAAAGATCTAGAGTTACATGCTAGCGAAGAGGAGATTTCCAGCAGTGTAGCTGAGATATTAACTCTTTTTCGTGATGCATGGGGCCTGCCTCCTGATGGAATGGTACATCCAGCTGATTTTGAACGAGTAAAGGCTGCAGTAGCAGAGCAAAGAGACGCCTTCTTCGAAAGTGCAGATAATGAGACTGACAAAGAACTTTATAAACGAATATGGCCCTGTCAGGGTAAACAAAAATAAGAAATGGAAGTCTTAATGACTTATATCAGTTGATATTTTGTTTGTTGTTAAGTTGTACTATATATCTTCTATAGTCTACTGAGTAGAACTGTAGCCGTTGGTTGTCTACGCAGTGAGTATATAGCTCTAATGGCGCTTTTGTACGGAAATATGCATTCATGTATAGATATATCTGTTGCGGTGGACTTCTTCTCAAACATTACTATAAGTTTCGATGAACTATCAAATCATCAGCGAAGCGATAACAAATTGGTGATGGTTGCCTGCTCATTTGGGCTTATCTAATCAGCCACCAACGGTCTAACGTAGTTGACTTTATGACGATGTCGACTACCAAACGACACAAGCTTCAAGTTTGAGAAACATTTTCTTCACGCCAACCGTAGAGTTCATGAATGAAGCGCTACAGAAGACGAGAGCTCTCGGAGACATAAAGGGAGAAAGAGCCATCTGCCTTCTAGAGCTAACTAGAAGCTTAGAATATGGACAACATGGACGCCGATCAGGTAACTAACTAGCTAGTTAAAGCTCGCCCACCATCACCACCTAATATCCCGAATTACTATATACGCAGTCACGGAGACCACTGCTCACTCACTATTTTAGATCCGCAATAAGCGGTTGGCTAAACTTGCTTCCCAAGCTGCCAGCTCCTCATCGCCACCGAACGAAGAACCACAGTCTTCCTCTAAGCCCACCTCACCTACTCCGACCCCTCAGCAGCAAGGCCCGCAGCCCAGCTCTTCTAGCGGAACAAACCCAGAATCAGGTTCTGATGCGAATAAACCCTCCGAGATGAAGCGTATCAGAATTACACAAGCAAAAAGTCAAGGCTCAGCAGCTAAAGCCTCCTCTAAGCCTCCAGAGACTATTGACGAGTTTGAAAACCGGATAATGTGTAACATATTTAGGATATCCCTGGACGAAAATTATCAGGCGGATATACATGGCCAAAAACTGACGTATCTGAGTGGAGTACGTCAGGATCTGGAAGAGGAAAAGGCCCCTATACGGATGAGCGTCGCCATTCTCGACCAGGCATTACTTGAAGCTGCATCACAAACGGATAATCAAAAGCCTCTGTCATACTTACTACCATGCTGGAAGAGAATATCCACCTTGTCTAAGGGTTTTAGGAAGCCTGCAGTTGGTGATCCTAAATATGATATTATCCTAGAAGCTCGGAGGTTATGCATGGGTTACTGTATATTTGCAGCAACAATGCCAGAGATGTTTGGGTATGTATCCGCTCTCTGCCGATTACGGTTAACAAAGCCCGTGTTGACAAGCTTAACAGCGTTGAATCACCTCCATCTGCTCCTCTAAAGCCACATCTCTTATTAGACCCGGATGATGATCAAGGGCTCAGCCAGGAATTTATTTTGGACGTCCTCAAGCGCGTAGAGGAAGATGACTCGATTCTCCCCGCATTTGTCACAGCTGTGGAAGAGATAAGCCAGGATCTGTCAAAGATTACCCTTGATGATGATTATCATCCTTATATGATGGTAAGAACATTATATTAAACGTTCCTGGTTGGTCAAGATGTCTAATCCGCCCTTCAAATCCATAGGCTCTGCGGAATCTTGTACGCTATCCAGCAATAGCCACTGCTATTACGGAGTCTCCCAAGTTTAACATGGTGACTTTGGCCCCTTACTATGAGAGCCTAACGATTCTTGGCCCTTGGTTTGCTCTCTCCCCTCTCCATCCTAACGTCACTTTGAAGTATTTCTCAAGTCCGAAAACTCGTGATCAACTCTTTATCCTCAATGCTCAGAGGTCAATGAGGATGACCCAGCAACTGGTTCAAAATGAACTACTCGACATCATCAACCACTTGATCCGAGCTTCAAAGACTGCACGAGAAAACGTCCTGGACTGGTTTGCGGCATCATTGAACTTCAATCACAAGCGCAGGGCTCTCAACGTAGACCCTAAGCGGGTCTCCTCTGATGGGTTTATGTTCAACATCACTACTTGTCTAGACCAGCTTTGTGAACCTTTCATGGATGCCGCTTTTACAAAAGTAAGAAGTCTGGCTTGTTAACAGAAGTTCGAAAATATGCTTACTGAGTCTATCTAGATTGACAGGATAGAGCCGGAATATGTCCAGCGGAAACCGCGAGTCCAAATGAGAGACGAAACAAAGATAAACGCTGATCAAGAAACCTCGGACGCATTTTATGACAAGACCGTAGAGGGCTCGTCAAACTTTATAACCGAAATCTTTTTCCTGACCGTCGCTGCTCACAATTATGGTAGCGAGTCATTGACATCAAAACTTAACGACCTTCATAGACATATTCGAGATATGCAATCTCAAATAGATCGGTTTGAGCTTGAAAGACCCCGATGGGCTTCTAATCCTCCTCAGCTTCGGATGTTTGAGGAAGCCCTCAAAAAGTACAAAGACCGGCTAGAGTTGGGCATCGCTCTTGAATATGCTCTCCAAGGCCTGCTTCTGGACGAAATTTGGCAATCCCGGTCTATGCAATTCATGAGATACGTGATAGTCTGGTTACTACGCTTGATATCTAAGCGTAACTTTCCAAAAGAACAAATTCAGCTCCCTCTACCAGAACAACAATCAGAAGTGCTGAAATTTCTGCCAGAGTATTTCCTTGATGGCATAATCAGCAACTTTAAGTTCATAATATCGAACATGCCCAATATTGTGACTTCAACCCAAGGGGATGAGTTGGTAATTTTCTGCATCACGCTTCTGCAGAGTTCCAATTATATCAAGAATCCTTTCATGAAATCAGGGTTGCTGACCATCCTATATTATGGTACATTAGCTCGACGAAGTGGAAGAGGACCCCTCGTCGACCTGTGCAACTCGATGCCATTCGCCCTGAACAATCTTCTCCACAGTTTGATGACATTTTATATTGAAGCGGAATTCACCGGTACCCATACACAGTTTAGTGATAAATTTAGCATTCGATATGAGATATTCCAGGTCATCAAATGTATCTGGCCCAACCAAGTCTATAGAGACAAACTCTCTGTCGAAGCGAAGAAAAACCTGGACTTCTTTGTTCAATTCGTGAATCTTCTATTGAACGATGTAACCTACATCCTCGACCTATCATTCACGTCATTCATCAAGATCCACGACACTCAAGAGGAATTGAATCGAGAGGGAAGCTCGATGGAGGAGAGCGTTCGACAAGAAAAGCAAGAGTCCCTAGACATGGAGAAACGTCGCGCGAAATCTACTATGCAACTAACCAACGAAACAGTTGCCATGCTAAAGCTTTTTACCCAAGCCTTGGCTGATTCGTTTACCATGAAGGAAATTGTACAGCGTCTGGCCGACATGATCAACTACAACCTTGATGCTATGGTTGGCCCAAAAAGTACCAACCTGCGTGTGGACAACCCTGCTGAGTACGGCTTTAACCCTCGTAATATGTTGAACGAGATCACAGACGTTTATCTGAACCTGATGGGTAAGGAAAGCTTTATTCTAGCTGTTGCTCGTGACGGTCGGTCCTACAAACCGGCGAACTTTGAGAAGGCCGCCGAAATTCTTCGGAAGTTCGCCCTTAAATCCCCTGAGGATTTGGCTAGCTGGGACAAGCTCCAGGCTGCCGTTAAGAAGGCAAAGGAAGAGGATGAGCAAGCAGAAGAGGATCTAGGAGAGATTCCAGATGAGTTCTTAGGTTTGTATTCAAAATTTATCATTGAGAATCATGGTTTTTTACTAACTTTTACCAGACCCTCTTATGTATACGCTCATGGAGGACCCTGTTATTCTACCAAGCTCAAAGGTATCGATCGACAGGTCAACAATCAGGTCCCATCTTCTGAGCGACCCCAACGATCCATTCAACCGAGCTCCTCTAAAAATCGCGGAGGTTGTCCCTGGTAAGCCATGCTAGTTTTTCCTTTTAACTGTCGATTAAGGGGCGTCTACTCACCCGCTCGTCCTTTAGATATCGAGCTCCGAGAAAAGATTGAAGCTTTCAAAGCAGAGAAACGGGCCGCAAGGTTGGCTGAAAAGGCGATGGAGAACAGCGACAAGATGGAGACTGGTGCTGGTTAAACCCGCGCTGTACAACTATTATAGAGATGCAGTCTGCTTTTCAATTGGCTGTGCTATCTAACCGAGCAATTATGTTACTTAGTGCTCATATGAATGATCTGGATTTCCTCATTTTGCTTAAGCGAGATCAGCGTCATCAACTACTCATATTGTAACGTAATAACTAATGGTTGTAGTCAGGGGTAACTATGTATAAGGAAGGACCCGCACAAGCTCCAAACTTAACTGAGCCTAAATTAGTTAAGTTTTCCTCTCCCCAACAACATCACCAGTTCCAACCATCTCCAGCGCTTCTGACCAGAGTCCTTCTGGAGCCTCTCACACCTTTCCATGATGGACGCGATAATGGAATCAGTTACGGAATGGGCCAAGTCCCTTCCGCCACGCGCGGAATTCTTCCCTGTCACTCAGCCAGCGTATGCAGTGCTAATAACAGTCTTTCAATATTTCCTTATTGTGAGAATCGCACGCCTTCAAACGCTCGAAGAGCAGCCTCGCTTTCCTAATAGAAACACTAACGCGCAATGTATTCATCTATAGGCACCGCTATTCCAGCTACTAACGCCATATTACCCCCAAGGCAAAACCTCGATATCAAAATCCTTCCTCAACTTACCCGGTCGATATGCATGGAGCATAATGGAGAGCTTCGGAGTGGCCAATTTCATCTATATAATCTCGACCTCTGAGCAAGGCAATGGGTTCTCCGGCCTATCGGCATGGCATAAAGTGCTTGCCGTGCTATACGTCCTCCACTACGCCAACCGCGCATTAATCACACCCCTATTTCTCGCTCCAAGCATGTCGCCGATCCACATTGAAATCTTCTTCTTCGCTATCTTATTCCACTACCTTGCCTCGAGCACCTTCGCTTCCTGGTTACTTGGATATAAAACCATCTTGGCAACAGCAGGTACCCCCGAGGCGCCGGGAGCCATGTATGACGCTACAATCGCCACCGCGCCCGAATTGACTGGATACATGGTTTATGCCCCTTACGTTGGACTTGCGATCTTTTTAGTTGGAATGTACGGCAACATCCAGTCTGAGAATACTTTATTCGAGTTGCGCAAGGAGGAAGCGCATCGACGACAAAAGAAGCAGGACGAGAGCGCTAATGGCAGCGTGAACGGCAAATCTATCTACGACAAAGTATACGTTCTGCCTCCGGCTGAGGGATATTTCTCCTCGATTCTATACCCTCACTACGCGCTGGAATGGGTTGAATGGACTGGCTTTGTGATCATTGCACTCTCGGTTACTTCTCTTAACGTGGTTTCCGTTACGGCCGAATCAGCTGCCACGACTGGTGTTGTACAGCTTGCGCCATTTTATGCGCCTGTCGCTAAATTCTTTATGAGTACTTGCGGTTTGCCACTCCCGTTCCCTGTCTTGTTGACATGCGTGAATATTTTGACCACTACCGCTGTACGTGCTCGCTGGGGAAGAGCTTGGTATATCGAGCGTTTCGGTGAGAAGGCTGTTGGAGGTAGGGGAGCGTTCATTCCTTATTGCAAGTGGTTGTGATGAAGTGAAATTGTATGGGTAAACTCGGTGGCTGTGGGACTTCATCAATGGGAAAATTTATCAAAATCTGTATAACAGTGTATAAGGTAGGTAAGGCGAAATGATAAAAATGCTCTCTTTCCCGTTATTCTATATGCGTTTTGCTCCTCTTTGTTACCATTACAAGATGGAGATTATTTGAAGTTGTTGAAATATTGCTTTTCATTGATTCAATTGACAGGACCCGTCAAGGGACTTCCTGGGCTAACACGTAGTAGTGTGAGCAATCTCGTAGAAGATCTCTATTAACATAGCATGGAAGTGCAAGAATGAACAAGAGAAAAGGAAAATCATTAGAAGGAAATGAGCTAAGATCTCATGAACTAAACGCCGATGTTGAGATCGTGGGTATTTTTCAATTCAAAGAGAAAACCATTTCCATTCCACTACCAGCCTGACCCGAATATCCGCTATGCATGTTGAAACACTGTGCCTTTTTGATTATTTTGCGTTGAGTAAATTTTTTTTTGGCTTTTTTATTATTTTTTTTTGAACCAGTTCTTATGATGACTCTCAGTAGAGAAGTTTACTTAGAGTACTTCTGGCGGAAGAACTTGGCAGCGTTGACCATGTTGACAAGGGCTGCCTTAGTCTCAGGCCACTTGCGGGTCTTCAAACCGCAGTCGGGGTCGATCCAGAGTTGATCTGGTCGGAGGTACTGAAGCATCTCCTCAATACGGGCCTTGATCTCCTCCTCGCTGGGCACACGGGGGGAGTGGATGTCATAGACACCAGGGCCGATGTGGCGGGGGTAAGCCTCGTCGACGAAGACCTTGAGGAGCTTAGCATCACTCTTGCTGTTCTCGATACTGAGGACATCAGCGTCAAGGGCAGCAATGGCGTGGAAGAAGTCCTGGAATTCAGAGTAGCAGAAATGGGAGTGGATCTGGGTGCCATCCGCAACGCCGGAGGTGGCAAGGCGGAAGGACTCAACAGCCCACTTGAGATAGGCATCGCGGGCAGCTCCAGATCGGAGAGGAAGACCCTCACGGAGAGCAGGCTCGTCGACCTGGATGACGAAGATGCCAGCAGCCTCAAGGTCAACAACCTCGTCACGGAGAGCAAGGGCGAGCTGCTGGGCCTGTACGGACTGATGGACATCATCACGGGGGAAGGACCATCGGAGACAGGTGATGGGTCCAGTAAGCATACCCTTCATTGGCTTCTTGGAGATAGAAGCGGCATACTTGGACTCCTTGACGGTCATAGGAGCGGGGCGGGAGATGTCACCAACGATAATTGGTGGGCGGACACATCGAGAACCGTAACTCTGAACCCAGGCGTGGGTGGTAAAGACATAACCGGTCAAACGCTCACCGAAGTACTGAACCATGTCGTTACGCTCTGGCTCACCGTGGACGAAGACATCCAAGTCGAGTTCCTCCTGGATCTTGACAACATCCTGGATCTCCTTCTCGATGAACTTCTCGTACTCCTCAGCAGTAATATCACCCTTGGTGAACTTGTTTCGCTGAACACGGATCTCAGAAGTCTGGGGGAAAGAACCAATGGTAGTGGTTGGGAACAGAGGGAGGTTGAGTTCCTTCTGCTGGACGGCAATACGAGCAGGGAATTCTGACTTGCGCTTGTGCATTTCAGCAGTGACAGCGGCCTGTCTCTCCTTGACCTTGGGGTCGTTGGTGTGCTTGGAGGAGGCACGAGCCTGGATAGACTTAGCGTTGGCCTCGAGGGCTTCACGGACGGAAGCAGGGCCATCAGTGACAGCCTTAGCGATGACAACCAGTTCACTGGCCTTCTCGACAGCGAAGCTGAACCAGTCGTGGACCTCAGCATCGAGGTTTTTCTCGCTCTCGAGAGTGTGAGGGGTGTGGAGGAGAGAGCTGGAAGTGGCAACGATCACACGCTCCTTTCCGAGCTTCTGGATGGCGAGCTCAACGGTCTCGATGGCCTTCTTGAAGTTGGTCTTCCAGATGTTTCGGCCGTCGACAACACCAGCAGAGAGGACCTGCTGGGGTCCGAGAGCACCAATGACAGTCTCGAGCTGCTCAGGGTTGCGGACAAGGTCAATGTGGATGGCGTGGAGGTTCTGGAGGTTGGCTAGAACGTCAATGTTGTGGACGATGTCACCGAAGTAGGTGGTGAAGACGAGCTTGGGGGCCTTGTCTCCAAGAGCACCGAGCTTCTCGTAGGTAGGCTTGAAGGCAGCCTTGACGGCATCCTTGAGATCGAAGACCAAAACTGGCTCATCAATCTGGACAGACTCAGCGCCAGCCTCCTTGAGCTGGGCCAAAAGCTCAATGTAGAGAGGGATGAGCTTCTCAATGAGAGAGATAGGGTCAACTTTCTGGCCACGGTCAGCCTTGGCAAGAGCCAGGAAAGAGACGGGTCCGAGAAGGACTGGGCGAGTGACAATGCCGGCCTCCTTGGCTTCCTTGAACTCGACAACTGGCTTAGGAGTAGCAGAGAGCTTGAACTCCTGGTTGTCCTGAAGAGTTGGCTTGACATAGTGGTAGTTTGAGTCGAACCATTTCACCATCTCCTAAAAAGAGAAAAAAAAAAAAACACATGTGTTAGCGAGGTACGGTTCACTTCCACACATATGGATGAAAGGAGATAACGTGCGAATCAATGCTGCACAGGTGACACTTACAAGACTGGGAACATCGACAGCGGACTCCTTGTCGGTGGCAGCGGTCTGATGGCCACGGCCCATGGCGAAGTACTCGTCAAGTGGGTCAAGGCCATACTTGGAGTATCTCTCTGGGATAGCCTAAGTACACGCAGATTAGCCATTGAGGGTTCTCTTCCGGACTAAAGGGAGGAGGGGCAGCATAACAAGAACATACTCCGAAAAGCTGGATGTGGTCCAGGACCTGGTCGTAGAAGGCAAAGTCGTTGCTGGGGATGAGGTCGACGCCAGCCTTCTTCTGGATCTGCCAGTGCTCGAGACGGAGTCTCTTACCCTCGCGGAGAAGCTCATCGCGAGAGATCTTGCCACTCCAGTAGCCCTCAGTAGCCTTCTTGAGCTCTCTGAGGCGACCCATACGAGGGAAGCCGAGAATGGACCTGAGCCAGCTAGGTCAGCAAACATGTTTACCACGACAACGCGGGGCCAAACTTACGATTGAACCATTTTCAAGTGAGCTGTCTCTTCACGCAGGTATCTTTATATCTTGTCACGGTCAATTGGTGTGAAGAGAGCGAGGTGAAGATGGAGTGAGGTTGAAGAGGTGAGGTTGAAGAAGTTAAGAAGTTGAGGAGGAGAAGAAGAGGAAGAAAAAGGAGGAGAGCGAGAGGAAGAGGGGTTACCGCCTTGCCTTTTGTGGAGGGGCAGAAAGGAAAAAAAGGAGCGAGAAACTCCGATTCGGAGAGTTTTTTCCTTTTCGTGGTCACGTCATGATGACTAAGCGGGGACGACGAAGACGCAAGGTTGATAGAAGACGACGGCAGCGACGTGGTGAAGATGGTGAAGATGGAGATGGAGAAGGAGAAGATGAAAGAGAAGGAGAAAGAGTGTTCGGCCTCCGAAGATAGTAGACGAGTCGGTAGTTTCCTGCAAGCTGTGGTCGGCGCGAGTAGAGCATCTATCTCCCTCCGACCCCGAACCGCAGCCCTGACTGACACATGAAGATAGGACTGAAGACACGGCAGCCGACAGGAGAACGCATGCAAAGTCATAAAAAGACACGAAGAGTCGCTGAGGAATCCTCAGATATGTCAAGATATCGAGGTGCCAGTGTCTGTCAGTGCCAGTGTCAGAAAGAGCCATCTGGGTATCGATGCCGTGGCTGAAGGGCCGACGCCAGCGCTGTCAGGACGCGCGATGGCTGGCACTGCGGACCGTCCATGGGTGACGATGGCCCAGCTATACCCATCCTCGCGCTGGGCTATATGGACAGCGTACGAGCCTCTCCCTGCTTTTAGATGACAAGACGGAAGTGGTTTCACTGCTGTGTCTCCCTCCTTCCATGTTTCTTCGGCTTCTTGCCCACTTTTCCTGGCTGTACCAGAGGAAGGCCGCCCCCCTGCCATGTCACCAGGCGTATCTCTCTCCAGGGCTCCGGGCGCATACCGTGATACTCCCGTTCACGACTTGAACTCGAGCGTGTAGCCTCGCATCTATACGCGTTGTTTTCCTCTTGCCCCCTTTTCCTTTTTATTCTTTGGTCCTCGATCGAAGGCATCTCTCTTTTTTTTCTTTTCATCTTCCGTCTGATTGTCCCTGCTCTCCATACGCAATCTCGTCCGCAAATCCAAAGATGGTCTCGATATTCTGCCCATGGCGAAGGAAGCCGAAGAAAGTATCGCCTCGTGGCAGTTCTAGCGATCAGACTGAATGTCCTCAGTCGCTACCGCCTGTCTTCGAGCCCATAACATACACGCCCCTTGATTCAGCCTGCGAGGAGCAGCAGATGTTAGATGCTATTTTCTCCTCTGCCAATGCTCCTGCTCCCGACAATGAAGCTCGAGGCGGTCCACCACCAGAAGCAAACTGTACTTTTGCCCGTGCTCATTCGAAGAATGGCAGAAGCCGACTCGGTTCCCTTGGTGGAAGATTCCATAGGCGGTTTTCACGGGATGGTCGATTACAGCCTCCATGTCCAACTCTCGGAGAAAGAGCTTCTATGTGTGATAGTGGCCATGCCAGTATCGAGAACAAGCCCTTTTTTGATGTCCTTGATAGTGGGAATACAAGTGAGAATGCCTATGACAGCGATGCACATAAGCTGCTCACCCCTCAAATCACTGCACGGCTCAAATCCAGTCCTGGGAACCGAACGATACTGGAAAATGTTTGCTCACCACCTGTTCGGGATATCCAAAGCCTGTCGAGGGAGAAATTCTGTCTTGGTCTTGACGGTGCTCCTGCTAGCAACAGAGGGAGCCAGACGACTGAGACAGTCGATTTACGGCAGGCATATCGTTCTGGTGAAGATGGTGTCGAGCGCGAATCCTCCGCTGAACGTTCGAATTCAACAAGAAAAAGTACCTCCATCTACCTTGTGAGCCCTGGCCCCGACTCGGGGCCTGTGACGCCTCTGAAGACCCACATAACAAGGGCCTCTTGTTCGATCGTAGAAGATGATTACAGGAAAACCCCAACGCTGACTCCTAGCGACCTTGGGGCTTCAGATAACCCCGACAAGGAGATTAGTCCCCTCTCTTTGGCGGACTCCCCCGAAAGCATCCAGATTTACACTGAAAGTCAAAAGGCAAGCACTTCACAAGGTGTTTCTCAATCCAGCAGCCCCCAAGCAGATGATACACAGGTCAGAATAAATATTGGAACCTCGGTGTACTCCAGTCAAGCCTCGGAAACTCCCCAACATGAGCGAAATCTTGAATCGTTCTCTGTCATTGAGACTCCAGTACACCAAGTGAAAAAGAGCTTGACTTCCAACAGAGTCTCACCAGAGAACATACCGAAACAACGAGCTCCTGCTAATACCCGTCGAGAGCCTTCAATTGCTACTCAAAGGGACAGCTGTAGCATTGCTAGGAGAAGCCGCTTTATCGAGGACCTGGACGACGTGTTCACATTGAAGTTTGATGAAACTGAGCCTCCAAAGGAGGACTACCCGGAGGAGGAAAATACAAACCGGCGATTGAGTGATGGCTGGTTGTCTGGTGGGAAGAGATTAGGATACGGCTACAATTTTTCCTTGGGTGAACGGTACCCTCGTCTCTCCTGCTCTGAAGGCGCCGCGGACGAGAAATATAACTCAGCCATTCGGCTTCAATCTTATAAGAATTATGAAAACGGGGCTCCTTCGGAATACAGGCTGCCAATTCAGGACTACAAACGTGCCTCACGTCAATCTGATAACCCAGATCTGCATCGACGCTCACGTACAGCTACTAGAGAGGGCAGTCATACCATCCGTCGAGTTTCTCCATTCAATCAGAGTGATCTCGACCGCAGCGACCACTCAAGAAGGGTAACGAGCGCAATTGCTTCCCTAGCAAGAAGGGTACGCAGGCACAGAAGAGACGCCAGTAGTTGCACCGCGTCATCCAGCCGTTCCAACCAATCTCATGGTCTAGAGCCTTTTCCACCACTAGGACCCGAAATTGACCTAGAGATGCCCCTTGGTTTCGACCCAACCCGCCGTGATATAGGAAGTGGTGTATATAACCGCAACCCGGGTACTATCAAGCTTGTCCAGGCGCTTCGAGGCCCCTCGCATCCAGCCGAGGAGAACACTAAGATTTATCCAATGGCATATGACGGCTTTTCGGACAGTGACGATGATGGTGAGGATATCCAGCCTGAGCCAATATCCGCTGAGGTCTGGTCCAGGCTATACGATGATTGCCTCCAAAACAGCTGAAAAACTATTACTCTTCTTGCCTCTTAGTGTTCATTCTCGTGCATCCGTTGCTTTGCTCCCTTTTTTTCATTTGTCTTTTCTGGATACCCGTGCTGGCAGGGGAATAGTCCTTCTTTTCGCTTGATATTCGTGGGGTCGAATTCTTTGGTGTACTGTATAAAATATCTTTGCATCTCATAATAGACACGGTCTTTGTCCTTGCATTTGCTGCTGCTCTGAGGGAAAAGGGCCCTTGACCGTTCGAGCTGGTTACATTTGAAAAGAGGGATAGGATAATAAATAATACAGAGCAAAGCCATTAATATCCCTGATATGCCTGCTTCTATATTTATCGCTTCTGCTTCTTGGTGCTTTTATCACTAACCACGCTGAGAACACTGGCGCTTCGCTTATGTGTAGCTCCGGACCCCTTCATGGGCGAGCCTGCCGCCGCATCTGCTCCATCAGTAACCTTTCCCGCCTTAGCTGAGGCAGCCTTTGCAGGACCAGGAGATGCACTTTTAGCTTCAGCTTCGGCTCCTTCTTTAGTACCCGAAGTCGCAGCCGGATCCGAAGTATTCGCCGTGGCCGGAGCATCCTCGGCACCTTCGTCGCCCTCCGCAGAGGCACTGGCTTTCTCGTTCTCCTTTCTCTCTCTTTCCGCCTTACCGGCCTCCAAAACTCGGATTTCTCCTTCTACCTTCTCGGCAAACTTGCGTGTATCAAGCAACAAGTTAACTTGGTGGATCAGTTTCTCAAATTCCTTGCAGACCCTCTCCGTCGGCATGAAGAGGCGGGGCGGTATATCTAGTTCTGTTAACGCAGCAGCAAGTTTCTGCGACTGGATATTAGATTTGGCCTGTGTGAGTTTTTGGGCTTTATCGTTTCGGAATTGTACACCGGACGTTAAGCGGTCGTGGTGTGAGACGCCGTATTTCACTTCTTCACTCGCCGTGAGAGTTCGGATCGTAGGCTGGGCTGCCGCGTTTGCTGAGGCTCCCTTCTTGTTGTTTGTCGGAGCAGTTGGCGTTGGAGCAGGGGTTTCCGGCCTGCTTTCTCGGGCTGACGGTCCACCTGAAGGAGCGTTTCCTACCGGACTTGATACACCGGTATCCGGGCCAAGAAGTGGGCGACGCTTCTTGTTCCTGTCCGCTTGTAGAAGGGATTGTAGTAATTGTGACAAGCCCTGGCTGGTTTGGTACATGGCGGTATTGCCGGTGCTGACTGGAGCTTCCAGCCGGGCGTATAATTCCTTCCGCTCGTCTATAAACTGGCTTTCGTTGGCAACAATTCTCTTCAATTCTTCGAGCAGTAGAGCTTCTTCGGTGACCTCTTCCTTAGTCCTATTCAACTGAGTGTTGGCCAGCTCCTTTCTCGTCCTCTCTCGTTCGGGGTTAAATTTCATCATCTTTTCGTGTATTTCAAACTCCGCTTCTGACATCTCGGATAGTGGATGCTCAATAGCTAGCATGTGAGCTGCAATGTTATAATACCGCGATTTCATTTCTTCCATTGTTCGACGTTTTGTTGGCGCAACGAGTGCCGTTGAGGAACTTCCATCCGCCGCTGTCCCGATATTGGGTGAGTATTCATATCGGTCTGCAATTATTATCCACCTCAGGTCAAACTCTTCGACGAGGTCCATAAGGTAGTCTGTTTCTTCGCGACTCCAAATATCGCTTTTCAAAAGTTTGTCGTATTCCTCTGACGTATATCTTCGGGGGTGCTGAGCTTTGACATTATATTTCGCAAAGGCAGATGTTTCTTCATTTTCTATAGAGGTGTCCTCCACTGCTTTGTCTGTGGCGTTCTCTTGTCCAGATCCTGCGTTTGGTGGCGGGTTTCTGGCTACGGGTTTCCGCTGCCAGTGATTAAGGACAAGGTCGTCGTTTCGAGCGGCGTTCTTGAACGGAGTAACAGCCCTTGAGAGAACTACGGTTAGCCATGGTATAACAGGTACGGTAAGGCGCATCGGTAAACCACCTACCATGGCCTCACTTTGAGCTTGCTCATCCATTTCCGCCGTCCTTTATATTTGTTCTCATTCAAGGCAATAGGAGGTGCGCGTTCCCCGAGTAAAGCATAGAGCTCTCTAGTAATGCCCTCTATTCAAACAACCATTAGATCTAAAGGACAGACAATATGGAGGTCCGTAGAATCTTACCAGGTCGCTTCTCCACGACTTTCTGCTTTTTTGCTGGCCTGGGTTGCCCGTCCGCAGGCAAATCCAGCATGTCACGAACATCTGCGGCCGCCATGGTTGGTTCACCTGTCGCTGCTTTCCACCCCGGCCCTATACTAGAAACGCTGTTGGATACGGAGATCTCCTTTCACCTAGCCAGAGAAACGGTTGAATATGAGGTGGTAGGAGGCCGGCGGCGCAGGTTTGCTGCGGTTGCCTGTGAATGTTGCTGGTTTGTTCTTGACTCGCTGCTGGCGCGGCGAAAGTGGTTTTTTTAGCTGGTCGCGAGGGCGCACGCTGATTGGTCAGCTCCGGGCCAGGTAAGCGTTTCTTCATCGAGACACTCAAAATCACCGTCGTCAAATCTACCAGCAGCACTTCGCATTCAGACAGCGAGCCTAGAGGAAGATAGGCTGGTTGCCGCGTTGCATTCGATCGTATATTTTGCCGAGGAATATCTACGCAAGATGGCTTTGTCAAGGTCGCAGCCGTCGTGGCTGTCGATGTTCTTCTCCATAGTCGCTCTCCTGACACTCTCTACTCCTGTCCACTCCCTATACTTCTACGTCCACGGACGACAGCCCAAGTGCTTCTATGAGGAATTGCCTAAGGATACTTTGGTAGTCGGTTAGTTGGAGCTTTTTGCAGCCATCCTTGGATATAGCTATTTCTAACGCTCGATAAAAGGAAACTACCAATCCGAAGTCTACAACCCTCATCTAAATGCCTATGCCCCTGACAACAGTATATCTATCACCATTACCGTCGATGAGGTCTTCGATAACGACCACCGGGTTGTGTCTCAGAAGGGAGCTGACAAGGGACGGTACACCTTTTCCACCGCTGATGCGGGACAGCACAAGCTATGCTTCACTGCGGACTCGCATGCCAACAGCGGATGGCTCTCTGGAGCTTCTGGCCCAGTGAAATTAAGTCTCGACATGGCCATCGGCGAGTCCAACCACTTGGAGTCTGGAGACAAGGGCAAGCTCGATGACTTGGTTGAGAGAGTCAAGAACTTGAACGGAAGACTTCAGGACATCCGCCGTGAACAAGTCTTCCAACGTGTAAGTCTATCTGAACAACATAAAAATAAAGTGTAGAGAAATTTTTGGCTAACGTATCTCTTCTTCAATATCAATAGGAACGAGAAGCCCAATTCCGTGACCAGTCTGAAGCTACCAACTCACGTGTCGTCCGATGGGCTTTGATTCAAACCGCTGTCCTCGGAGTAACCTGTGTCTGGCAATTCTCTCATCTACGAAGCTTCTTCATCAAGCAAAAGCTTACTTAAACGTAACGGGAAGTACGGAGTCGACGGAGCATCATGCTGGTTATGAAGTTATGGAGGATTTCTCTAACGTACCAGGCTATCTGTTTTTTTTTCGATTCAAACCTGGTTATTATTTCCTTTCCGTTCATGTGAAAAGAATAAAAGGGGCAAAAATCAACAGTTAACGAAATGAAGACATTTCCTACCATCCTCAATTGAGTTCCTGTTCCTTGTATTTCGCCGTCTCGTTAGGTAGGTTGCCCACTTCCGAGTTCTGAATATATATACAGTTCTAAATTATCAAGTAACCTGGTACATTATTGAGTAACTTCGAGCCTCTTAATAAAGGAAACACACCCGTGCACCTTCCATGCTGCTTATAGATAGATACCCCTCGAGTTGTCTGGTTGTTTATTTTTTACGCGGGCCGTTTCTTGTTGGTTTTCATGCAGCTCGTATTTAACAAATGTACCGCTCCGAAGCCTCGGCTGGTACGGAGTAGTATATATCAAAACTCCAGCGGTCCACCCAACTCACCCGCTGCCTTTCTACCTCATTGACTCATAAATATTCAAAAATCTCAAATTGTCAGGCAACCGAGTACTTACTCAGTAAAACCCGTCAAAAATGCCGTACAGTCTTAAGGGCCGCAATGTCCTCATCACCGGTGGCTCTCGGTGAGAAATCCAATTCCACTCCTTCCCAGCCCCACGTACATACAAATCACGGAGTATGGAGTTGACCTCGCTACTGTAGCGGCCTGGGAGCCATGGTTGCAGAGAAGTTTGCTGCCGAGGGCTCAAATGTGGCTATAAACTACTATTCAAGTGAGGCACAAGCAAAGGAGCTTGCTGCAAAGATAGAGGCAGACCACAAGGTTAAAGCTGTCGTCATTCGGGGAGTAAGTAAAGGACAAATTGAATATACTACGTTATACATATATCAAACTCGACAGGACGTTCGTTAATTGACGAATACACAGGACGTAGCCCTCCGTGCGGATTGCGAGAATTTGGTGAAGAAAACCATTGAGCTCCTGGGAGGAATCGACATTATCATCTCAAACGCTGTGAGACAAAAACCTAATATCCAGTATAGAAGGATTTGCTATTCTGATATCCAAATTCTCAGGGATGGACTAAAATTTCTTTCTTTGGAGACTTGGACGCCCTGACGGATGACGAATGGGACAAGGTATGTATCCGCAATTCGTGAAGCAGTCAAGTACATAGGTAGGTTACACTTACTGATACATATGAAAAACCAGTGCTGGAATACCAACGTGAAAGCAAACTTGCATCTCTTCCGTGAAGCAGAGCCGACTTTCAACGCGAATCCAGAAGGAGGGGCGTTTATTATCACGTCTTCGGTCGCTGTAAGTAACATAGGCAGATTTGTCTGGGGCCTTGGCTAACTCACAAGTAGGGAATCACCCCCGGTGGCAGTAGTATGGCATATTCTGTTAGTAAAGCCGCGAGTATGTATAGATATATCGCCCCTGTATATTATGCCTTTATTTCTAACAAATATATAGGTATTCACCTAATGAAGGGCCTTGCCGCGTCCCAGGGTTCGAAAATCCGTACAAATGCCGTGCTTCCAGGCCTTCTGCTCACTGAATGGGTAAGTTTAACCACTTAATCCGATTAACTCACGGAGCACTGATAGCTATCAATAGGGACAGAGATTCCCCGTTGAAGTACAGAAGGGGTATGCTGAGAAGGCTGTCCTGAAGAGAGTGGTAAACACTTGGCCCGACCCCTGTATGATCGTGGAGTTTAATAACCAATATTTTAGCCCGATCTCGAGGATTGCGCGGATGTTTTCATCTCTATTGCTAAGAACTATTCCATGACTGGACAAGAAATCCAACTCGGTAAGTCCTAGGAAGGGATCCAGACTTGTGTGCGAGAGGCTGATAATCTTATATATAGATTCTGGGTTCCATATAAGGTAAAACCTGATGGGCGCAGCTGGAACAGGGTTGGCAAGTGTGGCCGAAAGCATGACCCAGCAATACCTTTTATAGAAGAGGGCCGTGGAATGGACTGTGCATTGAGCTCCTTGCTGCTACCGGGTCAACAAGTTTAGCCTTCAATGCAGCTCGGTATGCAGGAGCCATCCTGTCCCCTTCAACTTTCATTTCTTCTACTTGAAGGGGTTTCCCATCACTTGTAAACACCAAGAGCCGTCCTTCATCTTTCTTGTTCGCCGGGTCTTTGAATGTAAATGGAACACCAGGCTCAGTAAAAGGTATGGCATCGATACCCCGTATGCTATCGGCCGCTTTCATGTTCCCGAAAATAATTCTCTTTCGCTGCACAAGATGCTCCTCCCCTGGTATGGTAGGTGACAACGCAGCTGTATTCCAGAGTGCGCCTAGCACAGTCTGATGTCGCCGAATTGCATCCCAGCTCCATAATTTCCATATAATATGGCGGTTCTCAGGTTTTATCTTATTGGCAGGCCTTAGAACACTTTCATCCGTAGTTGATTGCTTGATTGGGTTTAATGGAGGAACAAATACACGGTTCCTAATTCCGTTTACAAGCATTTCTGCTCCTTTTGTTGACACAATATTAAGCAGCCGGGGGAGGTCACAAGAATCAGGGTCAGGTATTGGAAATCCTGGGGCAGGTGTCTGATCTAGAATTAAGCCGTGGTCAAATTTAGCAGCGTCGAGCGTCTGCAAAGTGATCCCAGTGGTTTTGTCCCCGGCCAGTAGAGTGTGGTGAAGGGGAGCAGCTCCTCTAAAACTAGGGCAGGAATTAGTTGGGAACCTGTAAAAGCAGGATAACATGCTTACTCTGGTAGGAGTGAAGGATGAACATTAAGTCCACCGTATTTCGCCCCCTTCAATATTCTAGGAGGGATAAAGAGTCCAAATGAGACAGCTATTATCAGGTTAATCGGTTCTCCCTGTGGTTTCGGGGGCTGTGGTCGCAGATTAGAGCAGGAAAGCCATAACAGAACTCATAGCGCCATACCGTCCATTTGGTAAATGTATCTACTTCATGTATTGGAAGGGAAAGTTCATTTGCGACAGCTTTAATAGGCACTAGAGCATACCCGGGCTTAATGAGTACATAGACAAACAATTGGTGTAGACATTGTGACATACCTTCGCGGATTGTTTTCATAGCACGGCCAACCGGCTTACCAGGCCGACATACTACATCAATAGATGCAATTGTATCTGGACTTTCCACACGTTCATTGTGTAGAGCGTTCAAAGATGCTATACTAAACTCATCGGAGCCGCAGAAAAGGATTCTAAGAGGATCGCACGCTTTCGTAGAGTGCCGCCGGTATGAAAAGGCGTAATTGTGCCTTAACGAGCGTAGAATGAGGGCCCTTGGCCTCACAGAGTATAGCATTTCCTCAATGACAGTCTGTGAATGAACGAACGGTAGTTTGGCTAACGTTGAATCGTTTTTTGAAGCTTGAAGCTCCAGGGGCAGCGGATTCGTCACGTGACAGTATTCAAACCTTATGACATCAGAGTATCTGGCGGAGAAACGAACAACGGTGCAGATACATACATTATAGAAATTTCCCATACCAAGTGCAACGAGGGCAGGCAGTTTGAAAATAGGGCGATACCATCATGTGAAATGCCTATGCCTCCGTCTGAACCGCCGTCTGTAATACCGGCACAGCTCTCGTTCCTTACTATATTCAACCCGTCACTTGGGACAACGGACGAGACGCTTCAAGACCAGATCTTGTTTTACTACTCAACACCGACCCAGACAAAATCATCGAAGGATGCCTCCGAAAAGAACACGGCGAGAGCAGACTCCTCCGAGGAAGAGAATAAAAGACTACGCCATGTAGGGCTTGCGCAAGGCATGGTGAGCTTCGCCAAGTGCGTATTAAGAGATGATGAAAACGTAAAAGCAGCACATGGTAGCTAACTGAGTAGCATGCAGGAACTTTTCGAATGGAGAGCCCGTCGATTCAGTTGAGACTGAAAATTCTCGAATTGTGTTGAAAGAGTTGGAGCCTGGCTGGTGGATCCTTGCAGTAAGAATATATTTAATCACCCGTCTCGATCCAGTCATGAGCCCTAACAGATCTGGTAGAGTATCGACTTGACAAAAATAATACATGTCCAAAAAGGATTAACAGGCTCCAAAGAAGAGGCCTCAAATGATACCCAAGTTGAATACTCTTCCAGAGAACTATCACCCCCATATCTCCTTACCCAACAACTGTTGAAGGCATATTCCTTATTCCTGCTACACCACGGCACTTCTTTGGAAAGTCTTTACACAACATTACCAAGGAAAACATTGTGTATCTATCTAGATCGATATTGGACACGGTTCGCGTGGAGTTGGGATGTTTTGCTCAACGGTAACCCGGCGATAGATCTCTTCTCCGGCACCAAGCTTGCTGGAGGGGGAGAGTTAGGGATAGGTGTTGGTGAGGAGGAGTGGGGAAGTGGTGAACGAGAGGTTTTAGAAGGGTTCATCTCAAGGACTGAAGGTTTGGTTGATATGGTAGTCTCGAGGTTTGGTGATGCTCAGAAGCCATTGGCGGACAGGGCTTCTGCCAAAAAGGAACCAACGAAGGCTAGGAAACAAGAGTGGACTGGTTGTATGATGCCACCTGGTCCGCAAGATGGTGTAATATTTTCTGGGACCGGGACATTATCACGGGAGTCTTTAACTCGTGTCTCCCAGTGGATGGAATGGGTGTATAGATACGGCGAGGATACTTATGGAGTACGTGATGATCCTACATCGACTCACCGCCGGAAAAGAAAGAAGCAACGGAAGGGAAAACAGCCCAAGAGCTCCAAATTTGAGGCAAATACCAACCCAATCACAACAACGGCAAATCATAAGTCATCGACCAACCCTCACGAATTTTCTCCACGGATCCCTCCTCCTTTAGTTGTGGCTTCAATGAAGACAAGGAAGGACTCTGAATCTGGAGTTAAGTCCCCAAAGACACCAAATGACAAGCCTACAGATTCATCTACCTTTGGGACGGAAAACCTTCTTAATATCATTACCTTAGGCTATGGATCCGCGTGGGGAAGCACTTCAGATAATCCTTCATCAAACACCGGCACTAGTCCTTCCCAGTCACAAAATACACCACCAACTGCGGCATCTACTCCGCAACAAAAACAATCCAGCTGGGAGGGGGAATCCGCTGGTAGATTTCTAATCGGCCTCCGTGACGACCTTGAAAACGAAGAGAGTGACAGCGAAAACATAAAGGAGGAAACTTCAAAAGCTGATCCTACAAAACATTCTACCTCCAGTAAGATTATTTCCCGGAAAATAGAGGTAACGGTGCAGTCTTCACCGTCCCACAAAGGTACGAAAATCTCCACGTCATGAGCAGAAATATATATAATGACTGATTATTTTGCATAGATACTTCCCCTACACTTGTTCCTAAGACACTGCAAGTGGTTATATATCTGGTACTATCCACACCACCTCCGGAAAGGATAACATCGTATACTAACGACATTCATAGTTCAAACCATTCATGTATACATTTTTGTTCGAGTGCGACACAAAGGCCCTTACATCCGCTACTTTCTACCGAACTATCCACCATCAAATTGGGCCTCTACAGAAACCTCTTCTTTCTTCCACATCACCATTAAAAGTGAGAGAGAGACTCTCCTGCTACGATCTCCATCAGTACCCCAGGGGCCAGGGCAAATTTTCTCCTCCCGAAGAGCCCCTCTACGACATCATCTATGAGCCGTTCCACCAAACTATACGAACCTCACTACCAAACATTCCGGAACCAGACATAACATCTGACCATATCAGGGCGTACAACAATCCAAGGGATGTCGGTCAACTGCCTCCTTGGAGTCGTGCAGATGCTTTCAACGTGTACACCCAGATAATCAACACTTACTTGGAAACCAAGCTTCAACCATCTGAGCTTGAGAGGATATGTAAAACCAACCGTGGATGGTGGGTCCTTTGGATGTGTTTACCCGCAGCACCAAGCAACTCCGGTCCAGACGCGACCTCCAGTAACGCAGAGATTAGCGGCTCTAGCGATGCCCGATCGCAAGCGACAGCTGGAGACTTCCCCAGACAGCCCGGAAGCCATGCGCCAAGGGAAGAACAGTGCGAACCCCCTGCAAACGTCGCATTTCTTGTGAGAAGAGCAAGCGATTCCAAGCAACCGGGGAGAGGACACCTCCGAAGCCAAAGCGGGCCGGGTTTCTTTCGTAGTATTGGCGGTCGATTTGGAAGAGAACTGGAAGGATGGTCCGGGACTCCCGGAAGACTCGTTGAGGGGGTAGGACTTGACGCGAAGAAATACATTGATGCGTTAATCAACCTAAATAGGTAGATGCAAGGCGCTGATAGTCGTGGACAGGAAGGCCTCACTTTTTTTCAGCTTAGCTTAAGATTGGCCAATGAACCCAACAAATATATAGCTGCAGAGTATTTAACGTGTAAATCGTTGCCTTCAAGGGCAGATCTTCCAAGTAAATTTCTCCTTGTCGAGGCTGTTGGCCTTCTAATGTTGCACTACGTTTCTAGGTTGCAACACTAAGCCAAAACTCCCCAGTGATAATGGGCGCTGTATCTACCTAGCCTGGGGTACGGGGTACTCTGCCCCTTGTATCAGTGAATTCCACTCCACCTAGTCTTTCTTTCTTTTCCCGCTGCCGATAAATATGAAGCTGCTCCCAAGTCCTTCAGGATCAGAGGATCTTTGAAACCTCATCCTACAAATTGCCACGGCATATAACTACCAACCATATTATCGTGGGCTATAAGGACTTCCACCTTTCGTCAGGAATCATGGGTTCGGCAGAGTGTCCAAAAATGAACTTCAGTGTAAGCAGCTGTTCGGCGGGGTATTGACTAGTTATCTATCCAGTGGCTTCTTGCTAATACAATATGATAGGAATTCTATAACACAATCGACGGCAAGCTTACTACCACAGCAGTAACTCGCCACGGAATCAACCCGGCCAACAAAAAACCCATTGCCGAAGTTCCTGTCTGCACCCAGGCTGATCTTGATACTGCAGTCACGGCAGCAAGGACCGCGTTCAAACAATGGTCAAAAACCAGCTTCGAAGAGCGTAGGGCAGCTCTTCATAGTTATGCAGATGGCCTTGACCATTACAAGGAGGAGTTTGCCAGTCTCATGGTCAAAGAGCAAGGCAAGCCGTTGGTTCAGGCTCAGATCGAGACAGGGGCAGCAGTGGCCTTTCTCAGGGGCATATCGTCGCTGAACATGAATGAAGAAGTCCTCGAAGACACAGACGAGCACAAGATCATTAGCCGATATACCCCGCTAGGTGTTGCCTGTGGCATTGTTCCATGGAACTACCCTATTCTCCTTGCCTGTGGGAAGATAGCCGCCGCCATCTATACCGGAAACACCATGATCCTGAAGCCGTCACCGTTTACTCCCTATTGTGGCCTGAAATTAGGCGAGCTCGGATTGCAATATTTTCCTCCCGGCGTTTTGCAAGTTCTTAGTGGTGGAGATGATCTAGGTCCGATGATGACCGCCCATACGGGAATTGACAAGATAAGCTTCACCGGCTCAACTGCGACAGGAAAGAAAGTTATAGCGAGCTGTGCAAGCACCCTAAAAAGAGTGACGCTTGAGCTGGGTGGAAACGATGCTGCTGTTGTGTGCGAAGATGTAGACCTTGAGGAAGTCATTCCAAAGGTGAGGGAAAGCCCCGTTTCTTCCAAGTGCTTCGTATTCTATTCCAACTTGTATACTGACGATTCGTGTAGATTGCCACTGCTTGCTTCTACTGCTCCAGCCAGATCTGCATGATGATAAAGCGACTCTATGTTCATGAGAAAATATATGATCAGTTCCGTGATGCCTTGGTCAAACATACTGCTGCCTTAAAGGTAGGCGAAGGCTATGACCCAGATTCGTTTATCGGTCCGATTCAGAATAGGATGCAGTATGAAAGAGTCAAGTCACTTATTAAGGATATCAAGGCGGAAGGTGTCAGGCCTATTCTTGGAGGAGAAGTCGAAGAGTCAGAAGGCTACTATATCAAGCCTACCATTATCGACAACCCGCCAGATACATCCCTTGCAGTGACCGAGGAGCCCTTTGGCCCCGTCCTCCCTCTCCTTAAATGGTCCGACGAGGATGAGGTTATTGCTCGTGCAAATGACTCTAACATGGGCCTTGGAGCCTCCGTGTGGAGTAAAGACCTTGTCCGCGCCGAGAGAATCCTTAGGCAGTTTGATTCTGGTGTTGCCTGGATTAACCGTCATTTCGATGCTCTGCCTCATATCCCGTTTGGGGGTCATAAATACAGTGGTATTGGAACCGAGTTTGGCGTGGAAGGCCTGAAGCAATATTGTAACCACCAATCTCTTTGGCTAAGCAAGAAATAACGGCAATCCGAAATTTGAACCACGGCCAAGAACTTGCCTTATCTAGCTTCATATTCTCTCGTGTTCATAACTGCCTATGTAGTCTTTTCATTTGCGCTATCATTCCACAGCCAGCAATGGACGGTAGCTAATGACATTTTCCGGGGGTATACAAGCAATTTCCATCCAGACATCCCATTAAGTGAATATTTCCACGTAGTTACTAGCATCTCCATTAAACTTGATAGAGTTGGAACAGGGTAGGCAAAATGTCCCGAGAAGTCAACTCTGGTGTCTTGGAGGGTGTCTTAGCGTCCTCCTTTAACTACCCGCTCAACGTCAGAGCTAAGAAGTTAGGCTTCCACATGCTTTTAATGTCGATCATCCACGGATAGACTTCATCCTTCTCTTTTGTTACACCCGCCCGAAATTCATGGGAGCCATCTAGCGAGCCTTGAGAATGAGCTACAGGAAATATTTTCCGGGGAAAAGAGGAATGAGAGTCAGGGGTTGTCTTTTTCCATCGAATAACTGAGTGTTTCGTGGTCCGATACTTCAACCCGGAGCCTCAGTGCTGACGGGGTAAGCTGCAGGAGAGCAATCTCCACCAGCTATCAATTATACGAGGCTCGCTAACCCTATACCAATATCAAGAGGTGAGGGCTCCACCGTCTTCCCTGTCAAGAGAATGGAGTTATGCATGGTATGAGCGAATCCCCGGGTAAAGGGCACCCGCTGCGCGGCATGGCTGTGACCCCCTTTAACAGGATCTTCTCCTGCCAAATTTTGCTGTGAATACGAGAGTTTCTATATATCATCTCGCCCGACGCGGGTCACCATCTTTAAAAAACATTTCACCGTTGAACGGCTGTCGAATTTCATACCTAGAGTTTTTGTCTGTATTTACATACTCACTTTCTCAGGACATATCAGTATCAGTATCAATATCAATATCAATATCAATATCAACCAGAGGCTTAAAATGAAGTGACCCTTTCGGCACGCTCGACCCACCTCGTTGTCACAGAAACAATGCTCTCGCGAACGAAACAGCGGCCGTCAATCTGGCTGACCTTTATCATTATCGCCTTCTTACCAAGTCTCACACATGGCTGGACTTGGTGGTGGACCGACGGCGAGAACAACACCCATATAGATAATGGCAGTGGCAGCCGAAAATGTACAAAAATGAGCCTCCCAGAGGGAAAACAGTATCGATGGGATCCAGAAGGGAGCAAGTACTGCATTTCGGCGTTCTCGGACGACCATTGCGGAGATCGTAACGGCTGGTCTTGTCCTACTTGGGGGCCTCGATACCAGGGACAAAATATATCTTTATCATATCTCGTCAGTATGCAGGGGGAGGACATATCGACAACACCTTCATCAACCGAACCAACACCTACCGGGTCCTCTGGAGGCACCTCTGCCCCTGAGAACACCTCACCATCAACCTCGACAGGTACACCAACACCACCGCCGGCTGGCGGAGTAAGGCTATCCGGCGGGGCCATAGCGGGAATCGTGGTTGGAACCATCGGCCTCATTGCATTTGTGGCCCTCCTCTGCTTTTTATCATACAGACTTGGCCAACGAAATCCCATTGTTAAGGTATCAGAAGAGATCTCCAAAAGCCAGTCTGGGGGATCAGGTTCACCCTCGGCTCATGAACTGCATTCTCCAACGCAACCGTCGATGCTGGAATCCCGAACGATGTCGACCGCATCATCACCCTTATCACCGAGGCCGGAGTTGGCTGATAACAATTTTTTCATCAAACAACAGATGTTGGCCATGTCTCAGCGGCCTAGGATGACCGAACTGCCAGACAACGGACGACAGGAGGTTGCAGCGTAGCATCATGTGGGAGAAAACTGTGGATTTGGAGAAGCGAGCGAGACTAGAGGCACGGTTTTGACTGCTTTTGACTGCTTTTGACAAGGGAAATGCAGGATATCAGATGGGTTTGTATTCAGTTGACTCGACCTAGAGTTGTCTGACCTCAAAAAACGAACATGTAGAACTAATATACCAATTAACGGCTGTACATACTAAATGGGTTATTCTTGGGGGTTTTATTCTCACATCACTGTGCACAGTGTTCAGTGTTCTCTCCCTGCGTCTGTTGTCTTTCTTCTAATGGGGTTTCAGCCTTTCCACGATAGTTACGAAACGGCCTGTCCAACGGAAGGCGAATGTCCAAATGACATTCGGTCACTTCTACTCCGTACAGCTCGGGAATACAGATCCGCCGCTGACAGGTGCTGCCCAAGAATACCTGATCCCCAACTGGGTCCTTTCCAACAGCAACTCTCCATCACCCATGCAACCAGCCGATCTTAGCAACCATACTATTCGTCCTCAACAGGCACTTAACAGAAAGAGCTGGCTAGAATTCCACACCAGCAGCGGTGACAAGGATGAATAAGTTTGTTATGTTATGCGATCCTTCAGAGAGCATGGATTGCTTGATATTCGGTGCCAAAATAGCCTTTACCGGTGTGTTAAGCTTAGCTGCTCCTCTGCATCCGGTTTGCCGGGTAACCAGGACAACATATCTAGCTAGGTACGGCGACGAGCACGGAGAACCAAGCGCTACGAAAGAACGGAAAGATAGCAACTTACAGGCCAAAGGCGGTTTTATTATATGGCTGACGAGGGTTATTATGCCATGGCGATAAACGAACGGGGAAATACAAGAGTACGAAATAGTCGAAAGAAAAGGACAGGATAGGAAGACATGGTCTTGACAGCAGAAAGAAGAATGCGATTTATCAGGTTCAAGCAGAGACGATATGCCGATTTGTAAACCAATATCCGGGAGCAAGCTGTTGATATCAAACCAGATACCTGTTACTGTGATTTAAGAGGACTTGGGGAAGCCGACGTAGGGCTAAAAGAGAAATGAGAAGCAGGCATGAGAAAGGAGATATTGAGATATGTTGAACACACGGCCGTGATATCTCCATAGCGCCTCTTCAGGTAGTGTGTGTGTGGGTGGGCATGAAAGGTCGATTCTGGGTGTTTTTCCATTTTCTTTCGCTCCAGAGGGAGCAGAATTGAGTGAACTAGCAAGCAACATGGGGGATATAGGCAACTAGGTATAAAAAAACACACAAGTCCTCGTTTATCGCTGTCCTCTTTAATACTCCGTCCAGGGTAGAGGAGAAAAGCTGGATGATTTGATAGATAGCAGCTTGCTGGTTCCAGGCTCACAAATTAAAAGAAAACATAATTAAAGGGAACAAAAAAAAGAGGAAAAAGAAAAAAGAAAAGGAGAATAAAGGGGGGAAATGAGATAGGAAAATAGTAAGAGGGTTTAAAGGAAAGACAAACAGAACTGTACTCGTGGTGCTTGAGAGAGCAAAGTTGCATGATCGCCGAATATTGTGCCTGGCAGAAAAGACTACACTCTCCCTTGACATGCTGCTACCCGGATCCTCAGATGGGAGAGAACAACAAGATGGGAGCAAATCTCGTATAACCAGACAGAAACCGTCATGAGGCACATATTGCTTATAGGGTACAGACCACCCTCAACCCACATCAACAAGGAAGAGGGTCAATAGTCAGGGACACATTGCGTTCACGCATTCTTGATCTCGTTTGTCAAAAGTCCTGTCTGCCTGGGCGACTGTTGGAGGTGAAAAATGGCATGATTTGAAGAGAATCGACCGGGTAGATAGACAACTCCTTACAAAAGCCTACACTTGGACTTTTTGGTCTTCTCTTTGGATAGCAAAGCGGCACGGGTGGCGGACTCAAACACTTCACGGACACCCTCGTTTGTTCGGGCAGAGCATTCCAGGTACTTGTATGCGCCGATCTTTTTGCGGACCTCCTCACCCTATGACGTTTGTTAGAAAAAAGAAGTGATAAAATGCGTAAAATAGGGACGTAATGTCACCTACCTGCTCAGGGGTTACAGGCTTCTGGGAAGTCTTGTGCAGCTCCTCAATAGTTCGCTGGTCGTGTCTAAGATCCTTCTTGCATCCAACGAGAATGATGGGGTGGCCGGAGCAGAAATGAAGAACCTCAGAGATCCACTATTATTTCGAGTCCGTTAGTATTCTGGTAAGAACTGTTTTAACCTCTTCTTGATCAGTTAGTTGCAGCTTCTTACCTTCTCTTGAACGTTGTCGAGGGAGTCTGGGGAGTCGATGGCGAAGCAGATCAGGATGACGTGGGAGTCTGGGTATGAAAGTGGGCGAAGACGGTCATAATCTTCCTGGCCAGCAGTATCCCACAGGGCGAGCTCGACGTGCTTTCCATCAACCTCGACATCGGCAACATAGTTCTCGAAGACAGTTGGGACGTAGACCTTTATAGAGAGAAGTGGTGTCAGCCAAGATATTGGATATGTTTATCATAGCCCGAAACGCTCAGTCGATAGATCGGCGGTGGGAGACATCGAGTAGGAACTAACCTCAGGGAAAGTGCCCTTGGAGAAAACGCTATAAAACACAGATTAGCATGGATACAGTCAACGCATAAAACTAGCAAACATGCTGTATAAATGGGGAGAGGAAGGGCAGGGTCTAGTCACCCAAACAAGGGTGTTTTACTTACATCAACAAACATGTCTTTCCGCAGGCACCATCGCCAACAATGACAAGCTTACGACGAATCTCGGCCATCTGTAGAGATCATAACCCAGGACGGGTTTTTCTTATCAGTTTTCTGAAGCAAGCTGAAAATGATAACAGGCAGACAGAACAAGGGATACGGCCAAGGAAACTCTCAACGGGGTCCCACGACAAAGCAAGAGGACAGCACCAGAACCTGGTGGCAAAGAGATATGCTGGAGGGAGGGAAGAAGTGAAAACGTGCAGACAGCTACATACTGTTGTCTTTTTATGTTTCTGGTCAAGGAGGAGTGACTGGAGGAGCTGGTAACAAGGGGAGGGAGAGCAGGGAGAGCAAGGCGGAAAAAAGGGATCGAGTTGAGCAGCACGAGAGGGAAACGAGCTGCAAGGAGAAGTCTATGAGGAGAGCCTTACTGGAGCTGCTTTCTGCTTCGTGCTTTGGCTGATATAAGATGGGCTGTCTGCGTGTGTGATGGAGGTGATGGTTCGAAGGAGAAGAATGAAGAACTGGAGGTTGTTTTAACGGGAGGTTGAGCGTGCACACTTGTCGCTGGTTTTTGGCTCTAGCCCGCTTTGGGTTATTTTGCATCCTTTGGGCGATTTTAAGTGGGGCCCCAGCACTATTGGTCGGCTTAGTCATAGCTTGGGCACACGCACCTGAGCGCCTACGTCCACCGGCTCTGCCTCCGCGGTGCGTGGAGATAACGCGGGCTGGATTACGTCGTCGTGCGTGGCTGCAGGCCGCCTCAGCCTTACCTTAGGTTGCTTACGTAATATTTAACTTGTGTTCACTGCTTTTTTGGCAGCTTGTAGCGTAGCATGTCTAGCTAGTTGATAATAAGCGGTAATGATAAGAATAAGAATAGTACTCCGTACGAATAATAACAATAACAATAGTAGATGCTGCCGCTATCGTGACTAACTCCTCTGTGCCAGATTTATGAGATAAGAGCTGAGGGTCACGCCATCCATCGGCTAGCTTCAGTCACTGTTGGCCTCGCATCTCACAGGGATAGACGCCCTCCGGCCAGCTGGCTGCCGTGAGACAGTTGCGAAGGACTGCCTTGCTGCGACCTTGTTGGAAAGTAAAAGCTGCGCCGGGACATTTGGGGGGGGAGAGGAAAAGGCGTCTAGTTGAGGCTGTAACCTCAAAAAAAGTGATCGAGAAAACATTCTCAAGAGTCACATGTGTACTCAAAGCCGGAGCAACCCGCCCAGCCTAGCGAGGTTCGCTCTCAGCTCGAGACAAGTACTCCGTACGGAGTAGTTAGTTTCTAGTTAGCTCACTTCGTAAGCTTCATCTCCTCCAGGAAGCTTACCACTGCTCATGGCGCACGAGTCCCATCCTAACCTGTCACTTCTTCGTCCTGCCGGCCAGGGCACTGCCAGTCAATACTCAAAGCATAAATGATAACCTGGCTGGTGGCGGTGCTTCGGGAGATTGTGGCTTGTGGTGATGAAACCTCCACACTGTACCCCTTATCTGAACCTCCAGAGCCAATCATTTGTCATTCTATCAGAGTCACTGTTCGAGGTGTCCATTATTTTTATTGGGCCCTTGCTGGGACGTTGAGGCTGGGACTGAGCCTGTCTTTCGTTCCTTTTTCTCCATCTTCCTATTGCGACAATTCAGCTCTGCTAATGCGACGGCTTCGACCTTGTCATATCTTGATGATGAAAGGGGTCTGCCCATTCTTTCTGCTCTCGACTCTTTATGCCAATTACGGGGATTGGAGAGGTCGCACCGCCACACAGCCACACAGCCTATATATGAGTATTAACATTTAAGACAGTTCTTTGTCGTTCAAAAGTGCCTTGACTGACGCGGCCAGCTAGAAGTCGGGGAAGAGGAACCTCCATCCTCCTGCAAGGGTCAAAATATTAGTCTTCCATAGCTAGCACGGAGTACCTGGAGCTAGAGGAGTAACCAACCTTACGTTGATTTCATAGCGAGGACACGGCAGGGGAGATGTGATTTCATCAGTATTCCGTAAGGGAAATCGGCTTATGAATAGTGAAAGGGGTTATATTCCATAAGCTCACATTACCAACCACACTGCATTCCGTTTGCACTATTTAGGCCATTAGCTATCTAGTGTTGCTTTCAAGCTGTCTTTCCAGATGTCGTTGTCAAATTCCCTGTTTGGGCAGAGGCTCGCGCCAAGATATATCTTGATTATCTAAGCGGATCAAAAAATTGTGAGGATCGAAGAAAACTAGACATCGACCTATGGGTGTTTTTTATGTCGATGAAAGACGCATTGCGGCCACCAGACACCAATGGAGAAAGTTTTACGGCGAGCTGCTCTCGCGAGCAACCAGGCTAAACGCAAGGCAAAGGCAGTCCTCGAAAAAGACCGCCGAAACAAGCTTCAGGGAGACCTGAGGGAGAAGTTTGCCTTTAACCGGAGTCTTCTGGATGAAGCAATTGAGGAGCGAAAGAACCGCCGAGAAGACTGGTTGAAAGGGCCTTTGGCTCCTCGGAGGAATTTTGGCGAACGCGATGTGCTTTATGGAACAGTATCGACCAACCGTCTACGATTGCCCAGAGTCCCCGAGGCGAAGAGGGTGAAATATGTGACTTTTGCTCCAGGCGATCGTGTATGCATGGTCAAGGGAAAGGACAAGGGAAAGATCGGTAAAATTCTTCAAGTAGATGAAGAATCTCAAAGTGTCACTGTTGAAGGAGTGAATATGGTAATTCTTTTCCGCGGACACCTAGCCCTTCCCCTTTGTCCTCTTTGCTAATTATCTACTTTATCCAGTTCGACGTGGAATTCCCTTCATTTGCGTTAGCAGAAGACAATGACAAGCGCCCATACCGCCCATATCCTGTTCCAAACTCATTTGAGGACGTTCGGCTCGTGGTCCCCCTCCAGGATCCTGCTACCAACACGGTAAAGGATGTTGTTGTCAAGCATGCCTACGGAGCTGGCCCTTTCCTGGACCGCCCATACGGCTCATCTACTCCACGACACACACGGTATATCTCGGGGCTAGACATTGAGATCCCCTGGCCCGAAACCGAGGAGCCAGACTTCAAGGATCATCCAATTGATACCCTCCAGATCGAAGTGGAAAACAAAACGTACATCCCATCTCTGCAAACGTATCCAATGCCCAGCTCGGTTATAGACGAGCTGAGAAACAAATACTCGAAATTCCGTACCCGGCACGATCCAGAATATATTGCGAAGAAGGAAGAGGAAGCTGCATTTGAACAGTGGTCCAAGCAACGGACGCTCCTGACTCCCCAAACCGAGTATTTGACGAAGAAGGCCGAGGAGAAGCGGCAGCAGAGAGAACAGGAGAAGGATGAAAATGGCAACTTTAAGCTATCTGATGAGACCACTAATTTTATTGAGAATTCCATGGCAAAGAAGCAGCAGCAGGGCCAACGCAGGACAAATGTCGCATAATTCGGCCTGCGAATTATCGATCTTTTTTGTTTGGAAAGCTACGGTAAAAGGGCTCATTGGAATTGTATATTTATCAAGCTGTATTAGAATCTTTTTATGTGTACGATATGTCTTGAAATAGCGCTTCTATTCTGTTGTCATTGCTGTTGACCAAAATCCTCCGATGGGACAGGATCTGAACTCCCTTCTTGGTGATTTGCAATAATGTAGCTGTTCTTCACTATTCATAGTACTTTCCATCTCTTATATGTATGACGGCAACCTATAGAGTTACCGTTTGTCGTTCACTTCATCAATGGGTGTTAAAATAGGCGTTGATGTACGAGTTGTTTATCTGCGCACAGCCCAAGAAAACCTTTATCAACTTCTCGAGCCTCCAACGTGCTTCAACCTTTAAACCAACCACTACCACATCAGGGAACCACCTTGATGCATTCCAGCAAAATGGGGTTCATTACAGTGAACGAAGCCGCTATAGACAAGGCATTCAAATCGAATCCCGCGTTAAAAGGACGCATTCTCGAAGCTATTTGTGAGTGTTTGGGCTTTTCATATCCATGACGCGCGGGGAGTTGCTAAAACTGCCTGACGAACACGAAAAGAAAAAAACATCTTCTCTATCGAATTGTGAGAATGATAAAGGAGTATACTGTATACTTGAATATCTGGCTAACTGTGTTGTTTCATCCAAAATTCAGCCGAGAACCCCCAATGCGTTGGCCTGTTTGAAGATATCGCAAGGTTCATATGTTCCGAACGGGACTCTCACCAGAGCCAGGTTCATAACGCTTACAATATAGCACCTGCTACGGAGAGGCTGCAACAACATCATATCACGCCAGTTGAAGGACCTGCTGCTAAGAAAAGGAAAGTGGCCAATGGGCTTGCCGGGCCCGTTGCGCCTGGGGGAATGGGAGGAGAAGACGCTACATTGATTGCCGGCATACAGGCAGACGCCGATTTGCAATTATACGTGCAGGACCTTTCTTTTACTATTCCACAGAGAAAGAAGCTCAGGCTGGAGTTTACACAGGATCTGGGGGGTGGAAATGAGTATATTAGAGCTAGGAATCAGGCTTCCGGCGAGGTTGAATTCGGTGTACCTGTTGCAAAGATCGGTAAGAGCTCCCTACTTTACCCTCGGAATCCCCTCTCTTTTTGGTAGGAATGATGCTCACAATGCTTTATGGGATATAGAACATGTCCTCTGCCTCCCGGTCCCCGAGAAAGCTCAAAGACAGTTCAATTTCTGCATCATACCTGAGTATAAGGATGGAGTCACCAGTGCTCCAGACGGAATGGTTACATTTGAACCCATGGTTTGGACAGTACCCGACGCTCCCCCACGAAGTGCATACTTGGGCTCAGGAACCCCAGTATCTGAGAGTGCGAGCTTAGCAGAGACATACCAGACATACTTCCAGAGTTTCCTGAACGGAAAACTAAAGCATGTCAAAGTATTGTGTCCCGACGAGAAAGAGTTCGTGAGCGCGACTCCTGAAGCTCATCGAAAGTCCGAGAAGGCGTATCACGTCAAGGCCTTCCGAGGCAGCAAAGAAGGTATATTATTTCTTCCATCAATTACCCATATTAATATGACATTTTCTAACACGGGTTGTATCTGATCCGAGCAGGGTACCTCTTCTTCCTAGCTACGGGAATCTTCTTTGGCTTCAAGAAGCCGGTTATATTCATTGCCTTTGAGAATGTGGAGTCTATTTCATACACGGCTGTGCTTCAGCGGACGTTCAACTTGAACATAACCACACGTTCTGCGGCAAGGCCAGACGAGATCCAGGAGCTGGAGTTCTCAATGATCGACCAAGCTGATTATCCCGGAATCGATGCATATATCAAGAAACACGGCTTACAGGATGCCAGTCTCGCCGAGGAGCGCCGTGCAAAGAGACTTAACATCAATGCACCAAGGGGCGGAGAGGGGGGTGATGATGGGGACGGAATGGATGACGGCAACGCTCCGCAAGCAGTGGAGGAAGAATCCGAGCTGCAGAAGGCTCAGAGGGAGCTGGAGAACCAGCAAGCGGACGAAGAGGATGAAGAGGAGGATGACTATGACCCTGGAAGTGACGGGGAGAGCGAAGGCAGCGGCTCGAGTAGTGAAGAGGAGGAAGACGACAATGCTCAGGGAGCGTGATCCAGTCAGTATCTGGTATAAACGGGGAGAAGGGTTGATGTTTTGTAATTGGTCTAGTACTGGCGTTTTTCGACATTTGGATATTCCCATGCTGGAACATGAGGGGGCTGAACACTGAACAAGCTGTATAATTCACCTTTCTACCTACCTAGTAGGTACTTTTGCTCTCTTATGTATGAACCATATCATCATCTATCGGCCTTTGTCTAAAGGATCCAAAAAAGGCCCATTGGTCATGCGCTGCCTCTGTTGGTCAATACCCTCTATGAGGATAGATCAGGGTCCGTCAGTGATAACAAGCCCCTAGTTAACTGCCATCTCTATCATCCGTGAATTCGGCTATACTCGCCTGTCGATTATAATAAAAAAAAGGTCTGCTGCCATAGAGATTGATACTCAAGCGCGAGCCCCGCTAGCCAAACACTTCGCTTGGCGCTTAAGCTGCGCGTATATGGTAGAGCCAATCATCTCCTCAGGTGGTCATCTCTATCTTGAGAATTTCTTCTTCTTCTCGTCTTCCATTCCAGTCAATTAAAGGACCATCCTTGTGTGCGCAAAGCCTTGAAATTGTCTTTGTTGAGAATCGCATCCGCCTGTTTCCACCACTAGATCTTAGCGCGCCTCCTTAGATATCCATCGTTAGCGGTAACTGGACCCCCTTGACCACCGAGGATAAAGAAAAACAATGAGATAGACGGAATCAAATCAAATTAATATGGAAATCAACTAGAGGACTAGTTAAAACAGCTCTGCCCATCAAACAGCTCCGTACCTTACTGTGTAGTAATTATTATTATGACGATGTCCTGATATAAGTAGTAACCAGCAAGAAGCTTGAGTCGGTTATTTTATACCAAGAAAACAGGCGAGTCAGCCCAACACCCGAAGAAGAGCACTATATATAGAAAGATCACCAACAAGGTCTAGCTGTCCGTCTCTTCCTCACTCTTTTCCCCTGGAGGCAAAAATAACAGAAAGATAACTTTTTTTTCTGATTGATCTTCTCGCCCCTGGCGGCCGTTGGCGAGCCGAGGAGGAGACAGGCGGGAAAAGGTAGTTTAAGCAAAAGTAAGGAACAGGGGAGTTGGGTTGGTTAAAACTAGGTAAGTTAGCCACTCCGTAAAGAGAAACCTGATCCCGATCACCATCCGGCCATCCATCTCCGTATAAAACGGTGTATACGGAGTAGAGGGAGTTGTCGTTTCTCCAGACGGATGCTCAAAGTGATGACATGCATAACATATGACGGAGCCATCTCGTATAACACTCACACACAGACTAGGAGTCTTCCCGAGTATCATCACCACTGACACTTCTCTTTTCGCGGTGTGATGGGGACGGCCCTCTTTCTTGCGCCGGGGCTGGTCAAGGAAGGGGTGGCTGGTTATACACTGCCTTGGCAGCCCGGCGTCTATATAGCCAACCCTGGGAATATGTGGACAAGCAGCCCACAGTCAGGCCAGCAGGCAAGGGAGTCCGAGAAGTCAAGCTGGGGAAAAACGAGAGGATGATGGAAGAGGGTCATGGATGTGCAGGCAGGCAGGCGAGAGTGCAGGCGGGCGTTCTGGCGCAGAGCCCGTCACAGCCCCTGCATGCGCTGCGTATCAGGGCTGGGATGGGATGGATGAACTGCTGGCCCTTCTTGCCGGCCAACCTCCGCCCCATCTACTCGTCTTTTCTTCTTCCTCTTCCTCTTCTTCTTTGCTTCTTCATCATCTTTCTCCCTCTCTCTGGCAACTACTTAGTATCTGCATCGTCATCGTCCATCTTGCATCAAACCAAAAAAATACAAGAGAATAAGAAAAAAAAAAGGAGAAGAAGGTTTCCTGTTTGGGCTTCCTTCCCGTGACTTATGCGCCGTCTGGCCAATAGGCGTGAGAATAGATTACCCAGAGGCGTGGAGTACAGCAGCCTTACGAGACGACCGAGGGACGACCGGGGCCACCGCCCGCCGAACCCAGCGCCGTCTTCCCCCATCATCCCCATCGTCCCCCATCGTCTAGCGGTAATACCAATACGACCCTCTGCGAAAAAGACGAAAAAAGAAAGCGGAAAAGGAAAAAGGAAGAAAAAAAAGCCTCTCTTGGTCTCTCTCTTGGTCGCTTTCTTAGTGTTTCTGTCTTTGGTCTTTCTTTGGTCTCTCTTTATTCTTCTGCTCTGCTTCTTCTGCTTCCGCTCCTGCTTCTTCCTCAACTGCTCAACCTCCTCCTGCTCAGCATCCGACCTGAGTGACGCTGAAGCTGAAGCTGGACGTGGATGGTCCCTCGTCTCGCCTTCTCCCTCTCCCTCTCTCCCTCTCTCTCGCTTTGCTTGCTCGCTGCCGGGCCTCGCTCTCCTGCTCCCCCAGCTAGGCTGTGTCTCGTCGCTCGCTCCCTGACCGACTCGACTTGACCGGCTTGACCGTCCTCCTCCCCTCGTCCGCTGCTGGCTGCTGCTCCTCGGGCTGTAGTCCTCCTCCTCACTCCCTCTGCCCTCGTCTCTTTGACCCTCTAGAGACAGCAGACAGTCGCTCCTGTCGGCCGTTGCTGGTAGTTGGGCTTTGCCGAGTTGCTCGGTTTCTCCTGGATCGCCTCGCCGTGTTGGTTCCCCCTAATAAAACACACCCTCGGGATCTTCGACCTTAAGACACTGCTAGAAGGCGACACACGTATACCCGGTAGACTATAAAAGGCAAAGGAGGAAGAGAAAAATATATACACAGAGAGATAGACTGCTCTGCCTGCCATGTCGTCGAGTTCGTCCAACGTTGTCGGTGTGCATTACCGGGTTGGGAAGAAGATTGGTGAAGGCTCCTTTGGCGTCATCTTCGAAGGCACAAACCTCCTCAACAACCAGCAAGTCGCCATCAAGTTTGTACGTCGCATTTTCCCGCGTCCCTCCCCCCTTCCTGTGACTGTGACTTTGTGTTTTGCGTTGGCCCCCCTTTAGGTCGGGTTTGCTAGGTGGACATGGGAAATCTCTTACACTTGCCACTGTATAGGAACCCCGGAAGAGTGATGCTCCACAGCTTAGAGATGAGTACCGGACGTACAAGATACTCGTCGGATGCCGTAAGTCGTCGACCTTCACCCTCCTGCTCTATTTTTTAATATACTCGGTGGACCGTCTCGTTGACAGCCTTTTTTAGCCGGTATTCCCAATGTCTACTACTTTGGTCAGGAGGGTCTTCACAATATTCTCGTCATCGACTTGCTCGGACCCAGTTTGGAAGACCTCTTCGACCACTGTAACCGCAGATTCTCCATAAAGACAGTCGTCATGGTTGCAAAGCAGATGGTAGGTCAACACTCTACGGTAGAAAAATAAAATGAACCCCAAACAAACTGACATGCCTCTTCTAGTTGTCACGAGTACAAACGATACACGAGAAGAACCTCATCTACCGTGATATCAAACCCGACAACTTCTTAATTGGCCGGCCCAACTCAAAGGCCAGCAATGTTATACATGTCGTTGACTTCGGCATGGCTAAACAGTACCGAGATCCCAAGACTAAACAGCACATCCCTTACCGAGAGAGAAAATCCCTCTCAGGAACTGCTCGGTACATGAGTATCAACACTCACCTGGGTAGAGAACAGTCGCGTCGTGACGACCTCGAAGCCCTCGGCCACGTGTTCATGTATTTCCTTCGTGGTGGTCTACCGTGGCAGGGCCTCAAAGCTGCTACTAACAAACAGAAATACGAAAAGATCGGAGAGAAGAAACAGACTACTGTCATTAAGGACCTTTGCGAAGGTTTCCCTGGTACGTTTCCCCCCTTATATAATATACTCTATAAAAGGAGAAGAAGCCTCCTCAGCTAACCAACATTGCAGAGGAGTTCACCAAGTACCTCACATACGTTCGAAACCTCGGCTTCGAGGACACTCCCGACTACGACTATCTGCGTGACCTCTTCACCCAGGCCCTTAAGAACACGGGTGATGTAGAGGATGGAGAGTACGACTGGATGAAGCTTAACGGAGGCAAGGGTTGGGAGGCGGCAAAGCCATATGCTTCTCACCACCACCTGCACGGCGCCAATGCTCTGCCTAACAGCTCCGCCCGTGACCTCCATGGTTCTGCAGCCCCCCGAGCATCCCATCGGCCTGGTGTCACCGCTGACCGTTTAAACGCCGCGCAGCCCCCGCCCCCTTCTCCTGCAAAAGCCGGAGTTGGGAAAGCGCGAGAGCGGCCAAACGCCTCAGGCGTGCCGCAAGTCAAACGTCAAAACGGAGTGGCGGGGGGTCTCGAGGCCACGACTACAGCTTCGACACAAGCTCAATTCCAAAACTCTAACCTACATCTCCCCGGAAATCGAGTCAACACCCCAGGGAACCAGGCCATGGCTAGCCAGGCACAGCAACCGCGAAGGGCTCCTGAGCCAGAACCTACGTTCGTGCAGAAGATTATGAAGGCGTTGTGTTGTGGTAGGTCTCGAGTCCAGAACGACTCGTAGCGTTTCGTGTTTACTAAGAATGATGCGCTTGTCAAGGTTGATTCCGGGGAATGCATGCATCCTCTCTCTCGCACACCACTCAACAAACGACCACTACAATTCTTTCAACTACCTTTTTTTTTTGAGCCGATGCGAATGACCTCATCTTTACCTCTCTATTCCTCTCTGTGCTGGGGGGGAAGTTCTTGTTACAATCAATCGTTGGTATCCCGGGCCTTCCTCCACTCCAAAGCGTTTTTATATCCGGTTCAGCTAGTTCTTTCGCTGCTGGGATGCTCGTCTTCCGATCGTTACTTGTTCCTGCCACGGTGCCTGCGCTCTTTTACGACCCTAAAAATTCTCTCTACTGTATATGCCGTCTCCCGTGGCTCTGTCTTGGGCCCCTCCTCACATTCACTCTCCTGTTGCACCGCCGATTTGAACACGGTAGACTTTCAGGATCCACCCACACTCTCTCGTTTCCCATACCCCATATACCCGGGCCTTACTTCACGGCTATCTCGCAGGAACAATACAAAAGCAAGACAAAATCTGCTCTCTCCCGTTAGACAGCTGGTTTAGAACGGACCATTTTTAAACCCAGCCGAAGATACCAGAAAATACCCAGAGGGAAAGATCATCAAAAAAAAGGACATTATTTTTCTATCGTTATATTTTTTCATGGGTCACGACATACATTTGAGAATCTTTTTAATCTAACGGCAAGATTAAAAAAGTGCTTGTTTCCGTTATTTTCTTTTACCTCCTTTGATTTCACCTCCATCGGCCATACAGGTATCCATCAAACCACCCTCGACCCGCTTCCCTCGTCTTGGCCGTGATTAAATTCAGCCTTATGGAGCTATATACCTGCTCAGATATACTCCCGATGCTCTCATTTTCCCTACCCTCTCCTCCGTATCAGCACAGTTTTTCCCTTTTTCTCTCTCCTATGTCTCCGTCTGTACTTGGCGTTTTGTCCGCACCAGAAATTCGTCCCCTCTCATCTGCTTCCCCAGTGTTTTATTGTCTTGCACTTATCTCCGATGGTTTGGTTACTCATGTTTTGTCCATTCGTCCGTCTGTTTTTCCTACCGTCCGCTTAATTGCACCTCAATACGATGCAACCGGTTGTGTCCCGCCCAAAAAAAAAAAAAGAATAAACAATAAAAATAACAGCACCTGCATGCATTACCACACTGCACAGCGAGCAAGCAAGCAAGCAATGATGACTCTGTTTTTTTTCTGTTTTCTGCCTCTGTTTTCTGCCCTGCTTTTTGTTTGTCTATGTTTCCTATCCATTTCTCTTCCATTTGCTTTTTCCTTTTCCCGTTCTCTCTTACTAGTATAATATTGAAACTTATTTGGTGATAGACTATAGCTGTTGACGTCTCGTCCTCGTCTTTTCTTTATTATAGCAATAATGAAGAGAGCCGATAATAATATTAATTATATATACGTGTTTATACATACATACATCCATCCATCCACACCCTATCTAATTCTATTCTCCATCACTTCCATGCATTTTAAACTCTTCGATCGGCCTTTTTAGATTTTTTTTCTTCCGCGGCGATAGTAAGAGCCATAGCCGCTCACCCGCGTATACAGCCAGTCAAGTGCTCAAGTGCCTACATACGTATCACAAGTTAAAACCTCCCCAATCCACCCATCCACCCACCATCAGCCGACACGCAAATCTAAACGCCTCCCTGCCTGCCCGCCTACCCAACCCTCCATCGGCAATCTCCTACAAATCCGTCCTCCATGACGTGTAAGAAAACTCAACCGACGAACCGACCAACCAACCCCCTTTTGCCCATCGTCTCAACTCGTGCTCGAGGATCATCCCGGCCACACCTTCCTGGCTCTCCAATCACCTTCACAATCGCCTATTAGGCCCTTCCCGTCCCTCACATTACCGTTCCTTTTCTATTGGGGGGCGATTCCTGATTAGCTAGTGGTCGCGCGTGCCGAGGTGGAAGCTTGGTTTGATATTGGGGGTATAACCTGGCGGGATCTAGCAGGGCAGGGCAAGGCGGTGCAGAACAGGGCACAGCGTGTCGCAGCTGGCTGGTTGTATTGGTATATTCGAACTGAATCTGCCTTGGAGTGAAGATGTTTTGTTTCTTTTTTTTTATTATTATTCTCCTTTAACTTGATATACTTGATGTTTCCTTTTGGTAGCGTAAAGGAGGGAAAAGGAGGTCCAAGTTTTGGCTAGTGTTGATCACGTGGTTGGTATCTGGCCCTTTAACCAGTTCACTAGCCTTCTTTAAGTGTAAAGTCGAAGGTTGAAGTGAACCTCGAGTTAAGAGGATGATGGGAGGCAGGCAGCATGAAACAGCTGAAAGAGGAGAGTGTATGCGTTCATCCCCCGGGCGAGACGGCTTGATTCCTCGTCATATTCAAGGGCCGGCGTTTGGTTGATGGTGGTGGTGTGATACCCAGAGTTGACTAGGAATACAGTCAACATAGCATGGCTTTGGCTGATCAGCTATGTAGGCATAGTTGGTATATATCAGTTATATACTTGCTTCTTGTCTTGATACATCATCAACTCAATCGTTCTATCTGGTCGATCTGCTACAATATGGCCCGACCATACCAAACGATGAAGGTCGTTTGAGGGGGCTAACACGCTGTGTGATCTCTCGGATAGTGCGTTCCGTCCCCAGAATCTGCGGCACACACAGCTTGCCCACCCTTGTTGCCCGGCGATCAAAGCGATCCAGTCCTGATACTTGCCCACTGCGCTTGCGCCATATTCTTTTCACACCTGCTCCCCTGGTTCTGACGTTGTTGTGTGTGTGCCCCTTGCGATACGGCGATGAAATACCAATCGGAGGACTGGGACGCCGGAGGAGGGGGAGGGGTTGGAGGTGAAGAGTGTTTGAAGAGAGTCATGGTGTTCGAAACCTGCCGCCATACATTCGTCAGATGGGGACTTTCTCATTCGAACGGATGTTTCTCCCGCCATGCCTGTCATGAGTACGGGACAAAGATAAGAGCAGACATAAGGGAAACTCTCTGAGGAAAACCTACCACAAACCCAACCTGACTCTTACCCTGCATTTGGTCGCATTTGCAGTCCTTCACTATGCCTTGGCACCGTCTTGGAAAAATGCGCAATACCACCGCCTCAGTTCGTGGCGCCACTTATGGTCTGGTGCTCGGATATTTTATTCTCGGACCTCCCAGTTGATGCGGTTAACCATGTCAACTACCCCACAGCGCTTGGGGCAGGGAAGCCCGTTATGGCTACATATGCTTTGTACGATTCTTCAATTTGAGGGAGGATCTCCAGCCCGTTTGGATATATGGCGCAGCGTCTAAACACCTTTCCCTTTATTTTTTCTTCTGGAAAATGAGGATCAGTCCTTCTCGCCCTGGCTATGGCAAGGACGCTGGCCCGGATGGCAATGGGGCGAGAGGGTTCCAATGCATGCAAGTGTATGATCTGCTCCAACCTTATTTCGGCCGCTGGCTTTGGTTTGGCCGTTCAAGGGGATGGGGGATGTACTTCCCCAAAGCATGTCCCCTGCCTGCTTATCTACTTGTCCTTTTACGTATTTTCATTAATATTGCCTGTCCGTCAAGCCTCTCAAGCAGCGCACCAAAGGAAGGCAGGCATCGATAGATACCTAAACGACCATCCCGCCCTGATTTATTCCGGCCGTGCCTCGGGAGAAAGAAGATCTAGTTCCAGGCTGAGCAAGGCAGTGCGAATCCCGCTGTTTTAACTGCATTGCTTTCCTCTGGGGTAGAATCCAAATTGTTCCAGGGGCTGAACTTAACCCTGCTTCAGCTTAAAGTGGCCATTTTGCCCATCTTTCCTCCAATTGCCAACACATATATTGCTCAACCATATTTTCAAAGAAGCACTCGCTGTCTTCGGCGATTGAGAAAACGCAGACAGCCAGTCAGCCCATCTACAAGGGCTGCAGGGCGGAGCGGAGAAATGGTCTAATAGACGTACGAGTAACCGGAAGTATCCGACCAGGGGCATTAACCGACCATCTCAAATCCCTCATAGATATCCACCAATCCGTAGTTACGGAGCACTCCGTATACGTATTCGAGGCGACTCCCAGACATAAAATGGTATTCCCAATCATTCTTCAAGCATCTGGGGATTTATTATCCCCTTACACGTAACGATAATGGCAGGATACTTTTTCAACGCTCCAATGCCCTGTCTTCTTCTCCTTACATCCCAGCAAGCCCCATCGTTCGAGAAGCTGAGTCTGGAGACGCCTCGGCTCCCCTTCACATGCATGCTTCTCTGCCACTTTTAAAGCCTTACGATGCTATACCAGGACCTGGGTTACCATTGGCATGACTACAAGATACTGCATCTTAACTCAGCAGTGGAAAGATGCTGACGTTGGTGGAGACCAGCTAGCTCAAGCGATGAGGAGTTGAGCCAGGGGGTTTAGCATCTCTCCGTGATCACCCTGCCTCCCTAGCAGCGATGAAATGAAATATCTATACAAAAAAGACTGCGCAAAGCCGAGATATATTATGTAAAATAAAATGTTATTATCGAAGTCTACCCCCACAGGTTTGCGAGAGGGCGCTGGAGAGCGCATTTTGTTGTATTAATCAGTTGAGTATTCTAGATCTAGCATATGTATACATAGATGCTGGATAGTGTGGATGAGATGGAGCGAGCTATTGAGAGCAATCCTTGACCCTGGCCGTTACTTATGTGATGAAATAGGAAATGTCTCGCCAGATACGGATTCAGAGCTGAAATGGTAGCTATATCGAGCTCTGTTAAGGAAACGTGCCTGTGTGTACACCCCTTTTCGGGATATTAAAAGAGATATCCATATATAGACAGAGGACAGCTATAATATCGCTGATATCGGCTGAGCGCCTCTCCTGTTCAGGGCAACATTAGCGGATAACCAAATCAGGACAAGTCTTATCCAATGTCACCCCCTTTCTCCCCTGTAAGTATAGCATCGCGGAGTTGACTCGGCATGCCTAAGAGCTGAATCAAGCTGCCTGGGCCACCGTGAGTTCTCCCTGAACCAAACCAGTCGTCTGCGCCACTAAGTTAACTAGTTGCTATCCCCGAATCACACATGAGATCCCGGAATCCTCTTCCATGGATTTGACCAAAAGCGCCCATCGGGATTACCAATGCACTCTCGCCAGAACAATCAACCCCAACCAGAGGAGTGGTCACCTGGCCAGACATGCCCCCAGGCCTCCATGGCTGCTGGCGTGGGGCCGCTCAAAACCGCACATCCACGGTGGATGCTAGTTACTACCAACAGATGTTGAGAGAGGAGTCGTCCGGTAGTTACGCGTATCGCGGCTAGGGCTAGGTCTGTCACCTGTCGTAGTACGACATTTTCTTATCCGCAAGAGCTTTGAATTGGCCGTATCCCGGTTATGATTAGGAACCGAAGCCGCCAAGATGATATGAGATAGTTGTCCTCAACGGAGTTCAGTCGGCGCCATCGCTGTTGACGATGATGTTATTAATGGCCTGATCTAATTGGATCGGGACCTACAGTCTGTATATCCCCGAGGTATCACGGTTGTTACTTTGTTAATGGCCTTGATATACATATCTCCAGGCTTAAGTCATCCCATATGTTGACGCGGAGATCAATGTCTGCCCGGCAGGAATTTTGATCTCTCGACCGGCATATCGGAGTGCGGCTTGCATATCCTTCAGCCAGGGAGGGAGAAAGAGAACGATACGATTTTATCCGGCTCTTTGGACCCATCTTGCTGGATTCCTTGAAGAGTAGATTAATATTTCACCATAAATAGATTTACTTCCATCCGATAGTGCAGAAAATGATAATAAATGATGCCATTAAGAGAGGCAAAGGAAACGGACACTTACTTTGGTTGATATTAGCCAGCATGTCAACATCGTATGACATGGCAGGAGAGCAGTTAACTTTAAAGCGCACCCTGCAGCCGTTTGAATCCGTGGATGGAAGATAGCCGCCGTCTTTGCCGTTGAAGAGTAATTTGATTCTTCAACGGCTACCCCTTATGTAACTCTCCGGGGCGGATGCAGTTATATATATATAAGTATACATATATAAGTTATAGCTAGCCAATATCAGGACCCTCCGAGATCCTTGAAGATGATTTTGAAAGCAATTAATCTCCACAGCAAGGTATTTATGTCTCGGGTATTTTGGACCTGCAAATCATATAGCTGAGATATAGCATGAATTGACAGTTCCCTGGGAATAGTATGTCTCTTCTTGGCCTCTAAAGCAAGTCAATTAAGACCAGGCGCTTCACTTTGGTAACTAACTAGTTAACTAAACCAATTAGTTAGTTAATGCTGACATGTCTTTGAAATAGGACATTTCTCGGGTATCAACCCGGGGCCCCATTAGATTTCAAAGCGGTTCCCTGGAGAGGGCATCTGGAATTCCACCACGAATACTCCAACAGTGTACGTAGTCCTGGCCGTGAATGACGACGATAGTTTAAATGGAGTATACCGGCACGTAAGTGGTAAATCCATGGGCATATCAAATCCAGGGTACGCATGTACTGTGTAGAAAAGTAAACCTAATTCGTCCTGTAGTTAACTACCATGCCATCGAGCCGAAACAACAGCTTCTTTCAGCTCCGTCTGTCGTTATGATATCGCTTAAACGCCAGCTCTATCAAGGCGTTTCAAGCCTGTGGCTGGTGTACATCACATGACGCGCCCATGGCCCTGCACCTTGACCTTGGGAGCTAACTTACCAGCCATGTCGCTTGATGAGATTCGCACCCTCCCCTGTTTGTTGCCTGCTTCGCTACGGTGCAAGGAGAATATAAGCAGTTGGGATGCATAGGGTGATCCATGTATATTACGTACGTGCAGCTTCCGCGGCGATAGGGAGTGGGAGGTGGGTGATATAAGGCCTTTCATTGTTACGTATGTATGTATTCATATGTATATGTATGCATTATATGTGCAAGGGGGTGGAAGGAATAGAAGCACACGATACGGCTGCAAGGATGATGCTAGTCATTTCATCAAGTCATATTGGTTTGTCCTGGCTAAGAGACAAGGCAGGGCAAACGGAACCTTGCAGTGGTCAAGGTCAGGAGGGAAGTGAGGAAGTGAAGCTAGTTAGATAGGTACATTGGTAGGTGAGGGTGCGGACGGAGGAGGAAATGCTCAGTCATGTCAAGAGAAAGAAAATAATACACGTTCTCCATCAATGGGTTCGCTGTAAACAGAGGAGAAGTACTCCGTACTCCGTAGAGAAGAGAGAGAGAGAGGAAAAAACAATGCTTAATGTTCAATGCCATGGCCATGGGTATAAACTCCGTACAGTGCAAGCAAGGAAATCAACAAAATAGTCCAGACAGAAAAGGAAAAAAAATAATTGTGTGAAGTATGTATAAGAAGAGGAAGAGAAGAGAGGTCTAGAACCACGCCAGCGGTCCGGATTTTGATAAGAAGTTGCTTTTGGCGAAGAATGGGTGAAAAGTCGTTAAGGTTTCTTGATATGCCTTTCGTTCCGGTCGTGTCTGGGATGGGATGGAAATGACGTGCGGTTATAGGTCGGTCGAGCCATGAATGTATACCATATATGCATGGAAGGGACAAGGTAGTAGGGGGAGAGAGGGAGAGAGGATGAGGAGGACATGAGAAAAAGAAAGGAGAAAAAAGCAAAGATTAATACATGTCGTCTTGATATCGGGCGTCCCTGGATGTTGAAGTTGTTGGGCAACCACGACCACCACTGCTGCCACCGGACTTCTTCTTCCAACCAAGCTTCATGCCCATCTTCTTCCAGGCGTTGTCTTGACGGCTCTTGGAATGTTGATGGTGAGGATGATGCATATCACTAGACGGTGGGGTTGTGGGTGGAGTCATGGGATCTCCCGCGCCGGGACTTGAAGGCAGACTGCTGCCGGAGTCGTCGGTCAGAGCGCCTGAGACAGAGTCACCGCTGGTGTAACCGTAGGGCGAAGAGCGGCTGCTGGTTGTTGTTGTCCTGGAGATGGAGGAGGTGTAATGGGAGGAAGGCGGGCTAGTGGAGGGAGTTGAAGTAGAGTGGTATGAGAAGTAGCCGGGAGCAACAGCGGAGCGAGGAGAGGTGACAAAGGAGGATTGCGGTGATAGCCGTTTGCGCATCGACTTGTGACGGCCGACATCACGGTCCTCTGGGGAGCCATCCCGGGAATAGCTCGGCTGTGACTGGGGCGAGGCGTGGCTGTTGAGAAAGGGAATGAAGATGGACTCGTCCATGAGGTCGTGGATTCGCTTGACGGCAGAGTCGAGCGTCTCGGGTGGCGGAGGTCTCCTCAAGTTGGAGTGTCTCAGCAGGGCATCCCTGACGGCGCTTGGAAGGTTGATCTCCCTGGGAGATCCCGGCATGACATAGGCAGAGAGCAGCCTGTGCCAGAGCATGCAGAGGTGGTCCGCCTGCGGCGAGTCCGAGAGGATGGGGAACTCGCCTACCTGGTGGGATATGGAGTTGTAGGTCTCTGCATAGCGTTTGGAGTCCATGGTGAACTCTAGCGTCTCGAGACAGTGGTTCTGCGAGAGGTAGGCCATGAAGGCCGCGAGGGTGTAAGGGGGAGCTGCGGTGTTTGACAGGACATCGTCGAGCGTCGGCCGCGAGGGCAGCGGGCCACCTGGAAGCGCCAGACTAGACGGCCGCGAGAAGTGCCAGCCGTCCATCACCCTCTCCTCGTCCGAATCGAGGACCGAGGGCGCCGGCGAGCTGTATGCAGACGAGTCTGGCGAGAAGACTGGGTTCCAGGTTGACGGTGTGATGGTGATGGTTGAGTAGCGCGAGCCTCTGCCGCCGGATGGCATCCCCTTGGTATTATAGCTGGCTGGCTTCTTGGTGCTGGTGGTGGTGTCTCTTGACCGGATATCTTTCCACACTCTGGCTTTCCTTTCCCCCTCCCCCTTGCTTTTGACGTGGAAGGCCGTGCTGGCCAGGGTTACGGGTGGTATATCTAGGAAGCCGGCTGGGTCCCCTTTGACGCTGGATGGAATAAAGGGGGGGTTGTTCAATGTTCAAGTGTTCAATGGGCGTTTGGAGGCTGAGGGCGGCAGCATCAAGCAGCGATGTGATCTAGTCAACGACGATGTAAACACGGCGCATAAGTCTGGCTGGCGTCTGTCAGTCAGTCAGGTCAGGTCTAGTATCTCTGTCTGCAGCTTCAGGTATGCTGTATGCCTGTTGTATGTGGTTGTATGTTGGTGTATGTTGTTGCTGTGTGTGCTGCTGTGTGTTGTTGACGTTGGTGGTTGGTGGTGGGAAGAAAGAAGAAAGGCGGCGGCTGTTCTTCTAGTTATGTATAAAAACGAACGAGCGATGTCAACCCATCGGCCAAAGGTACCCTGTCTCGCAAAACACAGTGGAGAGATACTTCGAGAGAGTAGCGATGCTCCACCCCCCAGGCTTCTTCTTCTGCTTCTTTTGCTTCTTCGTCTTCTTCCTCGTCTTCGTTGCTTTTTCTTATTTACTTTTGCCTCGTTGCTTTTTGCATCTTCGTTGCTTTTGCTGCTGCGGTAAACTAAACTTGTATCGACCTGGTAAGAAGCCAGCGAGCAGGAGGAAGACGCCAGACCAGAGCAGACACTAGGGAGACCCTCACCCCCCCCTTGCCCTTGTATGACCCCCGGAGCCCTGCCTCTGCCGCCTGCAAGGATGGGGACGTCGTCCTTTTTTGCAGAACGACGGTTTACAAATAAAAGAAGGAGAGACGAAGGCAAGGATGAGGATGCTGCGTCGGGCGAGTCGACCGGTAGGCAGAGGGGAGCTCTCTCTCTCTCTCTCTCTCTCTCCCTCCTTCTGCTGCTCGACTCGATATATCAGACTGAGCCCGAGTCAGGTAAGGGATGCTTTACACCTTCTAGGAAATTGCTAAAGAATGAGTTCCAGATTTTATTATTATTATTATTATATATTGCTTTTCAACCTTCGATTTATAAAGGCTATACACATAGCTATGACATAAGTACCCAGAGCCAGCGACGAATAACAACTTTCTAGCCTTAACTCTCTCTCTTTCTCTAAGAGCGAGGGCCGAGAAGACGAAGAAACAGAGAGAGAAGGGGGAAAAAGCAAACATTAGCAAAAAAAGGCAGATGGAAAGCCCAGTTCCCAGCAGAGATTGGGAAGGAAAAAGCAATGCAGGCAGAAGAAGCCAGCCCAGCAAGCCGACGTTCACGGTCGCCACCCCGGAAGCAAAAAAGAAGCAGAAGAAGAATATCTCCTTGGGCTCTTTTTGGGCTTTTGAACTATTATTTGCTTCTTCGAAACCGATCGCCAGCAAGGGATTTACGGTTTGTGCTTGTTCGATGCCACCCGCAAGTGTGACGCCAACACTCGACGGTGAATAACAAGAGAATGACAGGTAAGCTCAAGAGCTATCCCTTAGAGGTTGATAACCAGCTAGGAGCATCCAGAGAAGAGAAGGAAAAGAGGACAGAGAAAGAATGAAAGAATAGAGAGAGCTGTTGCTTTTTTCCCTCTTTCTCAATTTGGTCGTACCTGAGCCTGTTTCATGCATAATAGACAGCGGCAAGTGGAGATATAGAGATGAGATATTACACGCTCTCTGCTGCTGTTCTGCTGGCCATTCTCAGTTGCCTTGCTTTACCGGAAGCTCCGTTCAAGGAAGAATCTACACAGGATTGAGGTATGATGGCATGGAAATGGGATGGCATGGGATATATTCCCGCAGACAAACACCAGAAAGAACAGGCAGGCTTTGAGTACCTGCTAGCTATTTCCTGAAGATTTCGACCGGGACCAGCTTCCACTTTCCCACCAGCTGGCTAGAACTTGGCCTGGAGCCTTGCCCGGCCTGGTCCTGCTACTGGGTTCGAAGTATCTCACCGGGTCGAGGTTCTCTTGCTGTGCATCTCTCTTGTCCTTGTCAGGACCGCTTCCGGTTGCACAAGACGACAACTAATTAACTTAACTCTTTTCTCATCGCCCAGGAATCATACGTTCATCATCCCACGTTTATCTTCCTTCTCACTCATGCACTCACTCTCGGTCTCTCCTGCTTACCATCCCTATCCTCTTCCTTTCTGCACGGTAGCACCGAGATTGTCCAGGGGGGTGAGTGGGAAGAGCAGTCAAAGCCAAAGCCCCAGAGCCAAAGCCTGAGCGAAAGCGAAAGCCAACCCCCACACTCCGGAACTTCCATGAAAGGTGCAACATTAACAGCAAGAAGAAGAAGAAGAAGCATTAACATATAAAACGAGTTGATCCCATTTCGAACAGGTCCACGGTCAGGTCCAAGCAAGTCTAAGCAGTGTCACGGCCACAGCAGCGCTGTCGTCGCACACCAACGAGAATTTTAAAAGGAGAGCCAGCAAAGCTCAAGAAAGGGATCATACATATGCAAATTAACAACCTTTTTTATTTTATTTCATTTTATGAAGAATCAATCAAGCGCCGAGACGAAGCAGAAGAAAAACAAACGACAAGGATACATTATACATATACATGCTATCCCTCCTGCACATCAGTTCATGCCATAAGCTCGGTTTTGAATCTGGCGGGTAAAAAAAAGAGTGAAAGCTAGGATCAGGCCATAAATCCTCACCAGAAACAACAGTTAAAACGATCAATAAGGAAAAAGAAAGGCTACATGATGCTGCCGGGCAGATGTCCCAAAATGCACATCGACTGCTGAAAGTACCGCAGATTACGTACCCAGAGGACTGAGAGCGCTGCACAGCATAGTACTTACTTATTCGTACTCAAAAGATGTATAAAACTACCAGCAGGGGGCCAACGAAAAGAAAGCGAGTCTCACAGCATCTCGTTACAAGTGGTACCAGCAACGCCCATGTCTATAGCCTATAGAGGAAAGAAAGTGGCCTGCCAAGTCACCTTCAGGGCAAAGCCAGGAGGAAGAGACAAGACAAGGGCCCCATTTCTCCATCAGGAAGAAGACGCAGATGTGCAATGCCTCCGTCGTCTCGTCTGCTGTGGATGACGATGATTATGATGATGATGATGAGAAAATGGTGGCCTGACTGGGCATGCCAGGTCTCATCATCGGCAATTAACCATGAACCGCCTAATAAACTAACGAAACTCACTCAGCTCGAAGCGAGAGGATATCGACTTTTAACTCAAGGAAGAGCAGGGGAAGAGTAAATTCTTAACTATGACTATGGCAGCACTTGCAGGCGCCGTCGGCGACGAAAAAAGAGCCAACTTCCTGGACGCTTTCTTAGCATCGATGACATCCTTACCCGGGCTGCCGATCGCCCTTCTTTTTGCTTCGTCGTTTCTTTTTCCTCGTCGTTTCTTTTTTCTCCCTTTCTCTGCCCCTTCTAGGATATCAGGCCGGGGAGGAAAAGAGATATTACCGCCGATCCCCTGGACACAACCACCGTCATCTTCAATCTCGTTTGGACACACACCATGCACACACACGGAACATCCCAATATTACTATATGCGCTGACAGGAAGCAAAAAAAAGGACTCATACTAATTACGAAGGAAGGGAAGAAAATTCCATGCATGGAGACTGTTCGGGAGGGCAACTGTGACACTATCTCGAAGGGCGTGGGTTGGGTGCCGCCGGTGGCGTGTCTTCCCCTTCTCCTTTCGCTTGTTCTTCTCTCCACAAAGGCGAGCGAGAGGAAGAGACCCGTCGAATAATGCAAGGCATGATGATGTCAGTCGAACGTTGGCCGATAGGGGAATTTAGATAGGGAATCTAAAAATGTCCGGCCGGCTGACGTTACGCCCCTTGTTTCAGGCGATTCTCCAGCCTGACAAACGGATGAAGCAAAAGCAGAACAAGAGGAGTAGCAACACCCCTCTATGGAAGTAATATAATGAGGATTCGAATGTTCGATGCGTGGATGCGTGTTCCTGTATGTGCTGTCATGGGCATGTCACAGATGCGCCATGCAATCGAGATCCATGCGCGATGGACCGGATCTCGCGGCCCATCAAGAGACCATCCATAGCGGTTGCATACATACAACTAACGGAGTACGGAGTACTTTGGCTGAATTACGGCTTTACGACTTTCACTCGCTCTCAACACATAGAATAATATGAAATATGAGACTCCCACGGAGTAAGAAACTTTCCGAGGTGACAAGGGAGAGCTTTGATAAAACAACAACTTATGCTTATACTGTCAGCTAAACCACAGTCGGACTAACGAACGCACCAGGAGGGATGGGCAAAAGGCGAGTTTTCGGCTTCGCTTCCTAGGCGCTGTATATGCAAGGCCTGCAGGCGTAGCGTACCATTGCCATGGGGACTGTCTCTGCGTCGGAATCTCAGGCTTGTATCCGCCCCAGCGCCTTGATACGGGAATATTATACATACAACGAGCACACCACGGCTGCCCTTTTTTTGGCCCCAAGCCAACTATAGGCTGACGTCCTGTCTAAGCGATATGCATGGCGGCGCCTTTTTTTGAGGCTGACTTGGATATCTGCTGTCCTATCCTATCGTGCATCGGGCACTATGCACTACCGTTCTTGTCACCAGCCAGCAAGCAGCAACCACATCTTGCTAACCACTAACTACACCGCTCAAAAGGTGTGTGTCCCGCCGCTAGCTAGTATACGTGCTGGCCAAGCATGGAAGCCTCTTTCCATACGCCTTCTTCGGCGTCAACGCAGGCAGACAGCCTCCAACAAAGAGACCTGCATCCTCAACGTGGGGCCGCAGTTTGAGAAGAGAGAAAAAAAAGAGAGAATTGAAAAAGAAATGCAAAATTAAATCGCGCTATTTCCCTTGACCAAACAAGGGTTCGACATCTCTCTCTCTCTCTCTCTTTTGCTCTCTTGAGTATCCATCCGGAAGTGGGATCATAGGGGTCTGAGATAGATTATCCTGTTCGTTCCAGTCGCGGGATACATAACTATTTCGTAATTGAGACCACGTATATTCCCTCCACCAAATCGCCGATTGGCATGGGAAGGGAGACGGCGTCGATCTGTCTGGATAGAAAAAATAAAATGCCCGCACATGGAGCATCTCCATCAACGTCCAACACGCCATTGACAGAGAGCATCATCTCTCTCCGTATCACTCTCTACATAGCTAGCCTCCAGGCAGATCAACGGATAATTCCAATATCTCACAGATAAGCTTGACCCTCGCCCCCCCTTTGAGATGGTTCTGCGTCCGTAGTATTAACCTGTCGCTTTGATATAGGGCCAGGGATGGAGTGAGAATGGGGTGGTGGATGTCTCTTCCACCAACATCGTTGGCTGAGCATATCACAGGCTACTTCTCTCTCCACCCCCTGAACCCCTGTCGGTATTTAGTACACAACGTACAACAAGGTGTAAGGAACCAAGCAAAGACTGGGAAGAAAAAAAGGCCGCAATCTCCCTTCTAGAAAGGTTCTGGAAGTCGACTCCCGCCGCCCTTCCCCCCCTGTCCCTGTCCGCTTGTCCTTCTAGAATCCTTCTAGCACATGCATCCAATGGACGAGGATGGTTGGCCAGTCACGGTTCCCCGGAACTCGCCGCTCCTTTCTCCCGGTCAAACTTGAGATGGTCCTAGACGGGGAACGCAGACGACATCAAGGTAGTTTGCTATATACGACTCTCTGTCACCTAGCTAGCTAACTAGTTAGCTGTTCGACTCCATCCTGGCAGTTCATGGAAAAAAATCTCTGCTTCTTTTCGCCACTATCAGGTCGTTTTTTCTCTAGTTACGGCTATTGACGACTTCCCGCTGAAGAAAATTTTTTACGGAGTACTCAAGCGGCTGGCGGGCTGGTGGCACCGTCGTCATAAAGTAGGTCATAATAACTATATATTGCCTTTCTCCACGGCAGATAGGACAAACAATAATGTATGTCCCAGCCCTACGCCCGGCCCGGGGGATATATTGATTGCATGCCAATACGGAAGTAGCTCAACGGCAGAGACTTATCGCTGGTATATATTTCTACCTAGATTGTATCCACCTTGCATATCACTACCTGTCCTCCTTCATCTTCACCGTCATCTTCATCACCACATCTGTCACTAGGCGAGTTTATCTCTTTTTTATTTTATTTTATTTTCGCCTCCCAGCTAGTTAACCCGTTGGCCGAAGTGAATTTTGATACCTAACGTCGCTAATATTGACTTCAATCACTGGCTACCTGCTACAATGCCCAGGATACCAACTGGGGCAATCCCGATCTTGTTCCCGAGACTATTGATATCAAACAACGCAGACACGTATATAGACTTACAGACAGAACATTGCCATCGGCTTCGGCCTTGCCCGAGCTAATATAAGTCAAAAGTCAAGCAAGCAAACCAAAAAACAAAACGGGCGAAACGGGGTCTTGAATTATCGTTTAATCCGTCGATTGCTGGCAAACAGTTTATTTTTTGTGAGCTGAAAATAAACCAACAAAACTACCTGCAATCGATCGATAGATGATGGTGATAAGACGATTCCCGTTTTCTAAAGGGGTTGATCTAGATTATCCTTCCCTGAACAGGCATATTGTCCGGATCTGCTTCTGCTACTGCCTCTGAGGCTTGCTTCTGCTGGCTCTGGCACTTGCTTCTTCCCGCGCCTGAACCACCGCCATGGCAAGGCCGTCTTTCTCGGTCGTTGAACCGCCCCTTTCTTACTGGTTGAATGCATTATCTTTCAAATTCGACCCTTTACGCCTCCGTGATTGGGTCGGGGACTGCCTCCCGGTCGAATAGTTCTTCATGGTCGCCTGGCCTTTGACTCGAACAGACGAAAGGCGTTCTTCTTTATAAGAGAAACCCCTTTTTTGCTTTTTTATCAACCTTTTTGCCTCCCTTTACCTTCAACCAGTCCATCTTACCAATTGATTATTCAAGCGCTATACGAGGCGCCTCTCTTTCTTTTCTTTTCTCGCCGGGCTCTCCAGACTCGAAGATTTCCCCAGGCTTGATGCAGGGCTTGGTTGCTCCGAAAACGGCGTTCAGACGGGCTGCAGCCATAAAAAAGGAAGCAGAAGAACAAGACGACGAAGAAGCAACATGAGGTCCCTTTTTTGCTGCAAAGGCTGGTGCTATAAATAACCTAATCTACATTATCATGCATGATGTACTTCGGCGTCTCTCTGGATTCTGGGCCGCCAGGTGTTTGGGCCCTCGGTCAACGGCCTCAGTCTGGACGAGGCGGCGCCTCGGTAGACATGCAATAAAGGCTCTCGAGCAGCCTCTGCAAGCGCCAGAGAGTCTATGCCACGGGGCGCGCTCAAATCTCCTGGCTGCCTGAGTCAAGATTCAAGCCTTTCCTGGGGAGTTTCTTTTAATACCAGCGATGCCTCAAAAGGGTCATCGCAGGGTCCGGCGCTATGTCCGCGCTCCTCTTTTTAACTCATATTATTAATTAAGAATTAAGAACTAATAGGCAGCGAACTTAGGCTACTCTCCAGGCGGCTGAGGGTCGAGCTAGCAGCTGTCGGCGGTTCCCGATGAGTTTGTCGGTCTGCGTCTTCCCTGGCTCTTGGGTCCTGGGGTCCTCGGGTCCTTGGGAGAGCGAGGGAGGGAGGGAGAATCCGGGGAAGGTTGGATGCGATCGTCACAAGACCCGTCTGCTCGGTAGTTAAGGGGCTACGTTTGAGGCTGGCGAGGGTTCGGTAAGGCAGAGCGCAGCAAGAGAGACAGCAATGAGAGGTGAGGAACGCCATGAGTGTTGCCATCGCCATCAAAGAAACAAGAGAAGGTTAAGACTCAAATCTTCAAATTATTAAGGCCGATCGATCTCCGTCATGGGCTCCATCCGACGCAGTTTGATATCTTCGCGCTTGCTGGTGGACTATACATGCTAGACCCTGGCTATCAGCGTATCACATGTCCAACTCGTCTCCAGCTTCGTCTTCAATGGATAGATCGCTGCGTCTCTAGCCCGGGAATATGTCCAGAAGATATACGCTACTATCAATCAATATGCCTATCTCAAGGGTGTGTGGGGGAGGAGCAGTATACTTGCGCCCTATCGCCTGCTCTCTCCAGTGTTAGCCAGAGGATTGCATCAATCTGCAAATAACACAATACCAGTCCGTCGTATTTTCTTGTCAATGACTACTTCGTACAGACCATGATGACATGGCGGCATTCGATTTGATGACTGAAATGACACGAGAGACCAGTGAAAGCGAAGCAGGATGGCCGTCTCTTCTGGCTCCTCTCCTCTCCCTTCCCTCTCTCGGGTCAAAAGGCATGGCAAGGGGATGCAAAGTGAGGACCCTGATGCATACTTCTCGTGTTTATCGGGCCGCACGAAGCTGAACTGAACGAACGGACGGCCAAGAGAGGATGCTTGTCATTTCCCACACACACACATAGGAGACTCAGCTGTTGGAATTATTAATGTATACGAACCAACACCTGGACATGAGCAACCCATACGCTCCCCTCCGGTCACGGTTGATCAGTTTTGATCCCCGGTAGGCTCGGCCAAGGAGGTCGCCGTTGGAAAAAAGGAAGAAGATACCCAGATGGCCAAGCTTTGCGGGGAGGACGAGCATCTGGGGCAATCTTGCCTTCCCTCCCGTACGACGTGTGATCTTGGATGTGTGGATAGGACTGGCGAACCCGTTGAAACTATCGGAGTTCTAGTGCAGGCGGATAGGTTGGCCTGTTATGGCGGTGGTTCTGCCTATGGCTATCATCTGCTTAATGTGGCGTCCCTTCCCTTGACCGTCTTTTATTCCCCCTCCTGCTACTCGGCCTTCTATCGTCCTTGGCTGGGGGATGTGATTGAGGAGAGGCACTCGGAGATTGGATTCTTGGTCTTCCCCCCTGCCCTGCCTGATGCCTGATACATATACCATAACCCATCTCGAAGGATGCACAATGTCATCATCATCAAACGGGATTATTACAACATCCCTCAGCGCTTGTTGACTTTTCTGGGGCTGCCGGAACTGCCGGTGTTCTCTCCCTTGCCTCTTTCGTATACGTGACATACCCAGTATACGGAATACATACCCATACTGAGTTTCTATAAACACATACACATATGCTTATTATGTGTATATATATAGCTGCTTTCTTATCTAACACGACCGAGTCCACTTTCAATCACATTTCACCAAACTAGCGCTGTCAAATATCGCCATGGTTATCTGTTTCCGGCCTTATAGCTGCTGCCCACTATTGGTCGCGGATCAGCGGCCCAGCATGCCGGCAGACTAGGGGCCGTGTTTATTTGGTCTGGGGGAGGAGGGAGTTTATTGCGTGGGCCTCCAAAACCCAAGGGAGAGTTATTCTGGTAACCCCGCGGGCCTGGTGATGGCAGATGGACGGACGATGATGCTTGTTGCTAGTTCATGCAACTATAACCAGATGGTTGGATAGGAACGGCGCCGTTTCAGTAGCCCGATCATGGGACCTATGGAGATATGGGGTCATCTCGTCTATAAATTTTGCAATTGAAGGGCTGACGCATGCCTATCTATAATATTGAACGATGGGGTGGTGGTTCTTCATATCCCGCTATCTATGGATCCATATTTGTGATCCGTGATTGATCGATGTTTCGACGATCATGATGAACCAAGTGGGAAGCGTTGCGTCACTGACAGCTATATCTCAAACAGCATATACGACTGGGTGCTCAAATGTCGAACTTAGAAATCAAGACCGTTTTGCAAAGCGTAAGGCATTACGGGCTTGTTGGCGCTGGGATTTAACAAATTCAACATTCGCTGTCCATCGCTTGCAGGGGCGAATCAATGACACATCACTCCATACGGTATATACTTAGCTACATAAAATGCATACTTTATACATATATATAAAAACCATGTGGCCATGCGCGGCTGCAAGGCACGCAGCCAGACCCTTCGCCTACGCTGACGCCTACGCGTATGACGCTCTAGACAAGCAGCAACAGCGGCATCACCAACATAAGCCTATGCACATGAAAGCCATGGCACAAGATGTGTCCAGAAAACGAGCTGCACGTCATCGTCATAAAAATCTTCCTGCCTGGCTGCCTGCATCTTTTCTTCTTCGCTAAAAAAGAAAACAGATGAATTGGACTACCCAATGCGGCGATTGGTAGCGAAGACACCCGGCTAGGGGCTTCAAGTGTCGGCTTGGTCGGCGAAGAGTCAGGATGCAGGTGGTTACGGCGTATACAGAGATACAGAGATACAGAGACACAGAGAGAAAAGAGAAGAGAGAAGAAGAGACGCGGTCCTGCTTCATCTCGTCTATGCAGGAAGAGCAACTTTTCTTCTTCCCGATGCCTGCAGCGTCCTCCCTATGGGATGGAAGTCGGGCCCGGCCACTCGGCGTCAGCGACTGCTGCTTGCTACTAATTCAACATGAATGACCGGCTAGCAGGGCTGCCATTGTCTTAAGTGGTCGATATACCCCAGGGAAAGCCGCAGATGAAAAAGGAAAAAAGAAGGGAGAGAAAAAGAAAGATATTTGTATCCAGAGACCCGGTATCTGGGAATCCTCGTTCAGGTTCGAATCGATATTATACCATACATTTGGAATTGGCTAGCGACATGAACTGCCAATGATACCCTGGAATTTCCCCTTTAAGGAGGCCCCAAAGGAAGGAAGGACTGTATGGAGTACCTTCGAAGGGAAGGGTCTTGGTTTTACGCACAGCTTATCTGTTGGTTCAAACGGATACGTGAACTCTCCTTCCCGGCTTTGTTTCCAGGGAGGCGATGTCCGTCTGCCAGCCAGCGTGTTCCAGGCGTTTGACCCTGTCGACAAACGTCCTCGTATGCTCTCGCAGCGTGTCTCTCAAAATAGATAGTATCGATACCGGTGGTGACAGCTCACCCTGACCGCCTTGTTTCTCGTTTATGCAAGCAGCTGTGTCATGCTCCTCTCTTGCCAGGTGTCGGGAGACAAGCAGGGCATGGCTCCATGCTTTTAGTTGTGCTTGTGGAGTAGCTCCAGCTTTCAGTACAATGGCCCCTCTACGGGCCGCGGGACTAAAGTAAAGGATGTACTCTTCTTCTTTGAATAGTTCGAGCAGAGCCGACAGACCGGTACTGGCGCCGACCATGGTGGTGTCAGGCTTTTGGCTGGAACCTTGGGCGTTGGTGTTAACCTGCTCGGGAAGGAGTAAGAGCAGCTGCTCGAGAGAGACTCCGATTTGACAGATTCCTAGGGTACCAGTAGCTTTAGCTTTCCATCGAAGTACACCATCTGTCTCAAAGATACGTTCTTCCTCTGAAGCTTGTGCTGGTGTGAGTACTCGATCGTCCTCAAAGAGATAGGAGAAGACAATATTAGCACGCTGGCGGTTTAGAGTCGTCATTTTTACTGCTCTGACTGCTGCGTGGTTTGTCCCCAGATGTACGATGAGTAAAAGGATCAAGGCAATCCACGTTGCTAATGGAGATGAGATGTAGGAAACTACTACACTGCCAACCTGTGTATTATACCCCCTTTAGTCCTGTTCAGTTGCAACAGGCAGGAAGAAGGGGAAAGGAAAGTACATACCAGCATTCCAAAGAGGGATATCACAGTCTCCTGACTTGAATCTTTCTATCCAACCACCATCACCGTCAGCTTTATCATGTCACCTATGATGAATTGAGTTGGAAAATTTCCAGACTTACTGCGTTCAATTCCCCTAGATTCCCCCATCGTGCAAAATGAGCACTCAAGCTGGCCTTGGAGCTACCTGCTGCGACACCACACAGCGCCCTCAGTACACTAGAAAGACTGAGAAGGCCTACCCTGACGGGCTTAGGGAATGCGGGGGACATGCAATCCAGCACTATGGCTGAATCATTGAGAAGGTCGGCAGCCAGCCTGTACATCTTACACTCTGGCTCGAGAGATGTCCCGAGACGATGGGCAAATAGGATGGTGGCTATCCTGCCCATGCTTTCCTGCAGAACATTGAGCAGCAGTGCTGCAGTGGGGGAAGCAGTGGCATCTCCAACACCAACACCTGAGAAGAGATGTCAGTTTAAGCGCCTTTGAGGAGTATAAGCAGCTGGATGTATACCCTGAAGGACTGCTCTGGATGACAGGAGACCAGCAATTGAGCTTGAGAATGCTTGAAGTGAGTCCTGATATCAAGGAGGTTAGCTCTTTCTTCTCATAATCCCTAAATAGAGAGCTGCTTCTGAACTAACATATATTTGATATCTAGACGTCTATAGTTAGCCGAGACTTCCCAACTTGACATGATGCTCTCATCTCAGAACCAAAAGAGTAGAACTTACTCGATATAGTCATCCGTGACACTGTGCGGATATCCAACCGGGAGGAACACGTTCAGGATGGACGTCAGATACGAGCTTGAGGACGGTTTCTGTGGCGGCAACTGCAACAAGTCAGCATCAACTTCAATATATCGGCATATCGTCCTCTATCAATATCCGTCCCCCAGCTACATCCGTCTACCAGCGTTATGATACATCCACAGCCAATATGATATGTCGAGGTATCAGCGTCAATAGTTTATCTCCAATAAAGTGCATCCACAACATCCACAAACAACCCATGAACCGCAACTCAAGCATTGGTACTCCGTATAAGCTTCGGTAACCGGGCTTGTAACAGGATAACATACAATGATTTCCACACTGTCAGCCCGGCGCTTCGACCGCAGCTTGTTGCTTGGACAGACATAGGTCTTGACCGTCGTGCCGACCTCGTTCGTCTCCTTGACGATCAGCTCTGCGTTCGTGGCTGGAGCCATCCAAGCGAGCCGTAGCTATCAGTTGACCCAGCGGGTTGATTGGCCCCAGGGAACTCTTCTTCTTAAGGCAGGTCTTATTTTATGACCAAGGTCGACGGAGAGCAGCTGCGTTTCCAGGGATCAGAGGAAGTTTCTCTGCGAGTTGTGGCTGGTGTTGGCGGGGACGAAGTTGGCCATGCAGTGCATATCAATCAGTCCAGCATACAATCAGCGCAGCAGGACCAGCCGAGCTTTCGTCCTGCTCAACCGCCAGGAAAAGATGTCTCTCTAGAAAGTCGCCACAAGGATCAAACCGACCGTCGCGAGCGGGAGATAACTAACGATTAGACGATTAGATCCCGTCGTCGCTTCGCTCTCGCTGGCTTTGTCTGTTCGGTGTGTTGGGATGGCCGCATCCAGCGAGCTCAGCCATGGCTCGTCGCAGCTTGACAGGCGGATAAGAACGAAAGAGCCTTAAAAGACTACACACTAAAAAAGAAAAAGAGCTACCAGGTATAGAAAGAATCTGGGGTAAAGCTAGCTACTTAAGCTCAAGGACGAGGGATAAAAACCAAAGGCTCATTTATCGCTTACGTTTAGCCGGCAAGGAAGGGTGTAAAAAGATTGGTTCTGGCTGTTGGCTCAGCTTAGGCTGCAAAGCTACCAGATGGCGCGAAGCGAGAAGCATGTTCAAAAAGGTTGACGAGTTACGTAGCTACGTAGTTACGTACAAGAGAGACAAGATAGCAGACAAGGGACCTCGACTGGCACCGGATAAGCCGTGGAAGGCCTGGAAAGACGGTGATCAAATTGGTGGAAGCAGCAGTGGTGTGGCCTCACTCACCCCCCTGTCCGTACTTATGGGGAGTTCGGGATATAGGGAAGTCGGAGGAGACAGGGGAGAGGGCGGCCTGCATGCATGTAGAGAAAACGCCGAAGATCAGCCAGCTCGCGCTCGGGGTTAATTGTGTCCGTCTGGCCGCGGCGCCAGTTCAGAAGAGGGTTGATGCCGGTGCTAGGTCGCCGACGGGGCTGGGGAAGTATACTTGGTGGAAAGGGTATACTAGTTAAATAGTATATTAAAAGGGGATAAAGGCAGGTAAGTACAGTTGAAAGGTAGTACAGTACACAGTGCAGCTCTGTCCGAGTTCCTCCCACCCTCCTCTAGCCAGCATCCCGTCTGCCCGTCTGCCTGCCTGTCGCTCGCTGTCGCTCAGAAAAATCCAGCCCGGCCAACCAAGGCCCAACCAAAGCCCCTCCATAAACCAAACCATGGAAAAAGCAAACAGACAGTTCCCAACCCCAGTGATAAGGAAGTATGTCAAGGGTGGTGGGAAAAAAAGAAAAAGAAAAGAAAGATGATGAACTCCGTCCAGCGCCGATAAGCTGAGAAGACCCAGGCTTCAAGTAAGAAAGAAGAAACGAAAAAAAAAGGGAGAAGGGACAAGAGACTGGAAGACTGTGTTGCTCCGTGTGGTGGTGGTGCGCCGTTCGCTTCGTTGCCATGCTGTATGCTATGCTGGGCTGTTCCGTGCAGCTGCTTTTTTTTACTTCTGCTGTTTCGTGCTCATGCAGGCTGTGCCTTGTTTTTTCTGACTTTTGCAAAAGGGGCGGTATATAAATGACCCGAACGAGAGAGAGAGTGGACGACTGCCATCTCCTGACTCGATCAATCGAAAAAAGTATACAGGGTGTCGTAGATGGGGGGTTGGGTTTTCAGTTAGTGTGTTTTATATATCCCCTTGTCGAAACCAGCTCAGATAGGTGGGTATATGTCTCGTGGCTTGTATTTTGCTGTTTGTTTTTGCTCTCCGTCTGCGTCGTAAGCTCCATCATTCCGTCCAACTCATGCTTGAGGGATAAGGTAAGGTAAGGTAAGTTAAAAGATAAAAGAGAATGCCGTTAGCCAAGATTTGGGGCGGGAGCTCGTTCACGCGAACATGCTTGCCCCGCCGGTCTCGATGGCGTCAATCTCTGCCTGGGACCAGGGAGCACGTCTGAATCTGGCAGGGAGGTCGTTGCGGTCAAAGTACTCGCCCTTCTTGGGAGCAATAGGGCCTAGGGCAGCACCAGGGGAGCCTCCGATGCTGGAGAAGGGGCGGTATGTGGTGTTGAGGGGACCGTGCTGCTGGGCTTTGGCACGGTAGGTGACGAAAGAGTCGGGAAGCTGGTGGGTTGGCGACGCGGGATGGGGTTGGGGAGAGTGGTCAATGGAGGCTAGCAGCAGTCAGTCAGCCAAAAGCGTTCCCAAGTCTCGCTGAGGGGTCCCTTCTGAGCATACCTGGGATGGTGCGCTTGCCCACGAACTTGATCAGAGGCTGGCGAGTGCCGGCAGCAGCGGCAGCGGCAGCTTGGCGGAGAACAGTAGTGGCCTGCATCTTGAGATTGGTCGTAGCTGTTGGCGTAGTGGTTGAAAGTAGAAGTCGTCGAGAGTTGGTCTGTCGTGGTCTGTAGTGGTTGACTGGGGTTGAGCGGCAGCGTCGAATATAAGGAGTTTGCGAAGTTGCGAAGATGTTGAGAAGAAGAAGAAAGTGTGAGAAAAGCGAGAGTTTTCGTGTTGAGCTCCATAGCTTGCGAGCTAGTGGATGACTAAGCGGCGGGAGGAAAAGGAAGGTTGAGCAAGGAAAAAACCGCGTCGGGCGGAGAGATAAGGAAGCAGGGCGCGCGCTGATTGGTGCTTGGCGTGGCGGCCTTATCTCGGTGTTTGGTTCCGTCCTCGGCGCCGGGTCGGCTGCTTAGGTAAGAAGCTTATGTAAACGAACCTCTCGTGCTCTTCGGCGCGATAAGGCGGCGATAGTCAGAAGCAAGCGACAAGAAAGGCCGACGGGAAGACGAACGCAGACGAAGACGACGACGAAGAAGGACGCAGAAGATGCATGAGATCCTCCTGTTCGCCTCCGTCCCCGCGGCCCAGCATGACGACCTGCTGCACCAGCTCGCAGGGTTGGCCGCCATGCAGCCGAAGGAGGTGCTGGAGCGCCGCCTGCTCTTCAAGTCCTTCCGCAAGCCGGGCTACATCAAGCCGCGAGTCGGCGGCAGCCAGGCCCAGGGCCAGGAGGGCGTCAGCGAGGTCCAGCGACTCATCAAGATGCTAGGCTCTGGCATGTATCACATCCAGGTCGTAAGCGATGTCGACAGGGCCGCCAGCAGTGCCGACGCCGGCGGGATGGGCGTCGCGGAGAGCCAGGCGGAGTGGAGGATCGAGTTCAAGGACGTGCCTGACGCCGGAGCTGCGACTGGGGTGACCACGCGGTTTGCGGCCTCTGCTCGGGTGTCCGACGACTACATCTCGTCCTTGAACGCATGGGGATTCAAGTACGTGCTTCTCCGCGATCTCTCTTTTTGCCATCTTTGCTGACGTGAAAATGGATAGCTATTACTCCGAATATGTCGTGGAAGGCAACATCCTCGTTCTCGACGAAGCAGTCCTCTTCCTCCACCGTATACTCGTCATCCCTCCGGAGCTACATAAGCCATCTCAGGCCGGGAAACCTCTCTCCCGCCTGCCGCCATACGACCAGCTAAAACCACTTGACCCCAATGGAGGATATGTCCTGCAGACATGCTTTACGATACAAGACAGCAACAGCCCCGAGCTGCTCAGGTCGACCTCCCAGCGCATGTTGGCGCTCAAGGAGCAGCTACGGCCTGCCATTAGACTCGAACCAGGCGACAGGCTGGCTCTTGATCCCAGGGTGAAAGCAGGCGCTCTCTAGACACAAAAAACAACAACAACCAATTGCATCGCATGCGTAGATTCTGTACTATAGTAGAACCCACCATCACTACGGCCATCTAATGACTGAGCGTTCTCGTAACATATCTACTTTCTTCCTCCCGTCCCTCACTCGACGACTCTTAGTAGCCTTTTGACGCTTTTTGATGTGTTCATATATCTCAAAAGGGTTAAATGGGATTTCTTGACATGTGACTTCGCGTTCGCGTCGGGAAGCTTGAAGTTTAAAGTCAGGCCTTCTTTTTCAGCCTCAACAAGTGTTACTGCCTGGAGTGACGATATCAATGACAAGATAGCTCCATATACATAACATATATCTATGTGGTTGCGGCATCAGCTGGCTCGCCGTGCAGCACATATCTCGATTTACCCTCAAGTTCACTCCGGGACTCTGTCTTCTCATCTCACGATGACCTCACCAGGCTCCAAGCGGCCTATGTCTAGCACAGAACGCGCAATTTCACCTCCAACTAAGAAGAAGCCGAAGGTAGCGGCCTCTGTCACTAGTATGTCCCCTCGTTATTATACATACATATATCACGTCGCTAATAGTGCTATTACAGGCCAAACGGTCGTTAACTTCTTTAAACCTACTTCTCAGAAACCTATACCCAGTCAGTCTAAAAGGAAGATATCATGGCACATAGCGAACAACAGCTGCATTGTCGGCCAATATCTTGTTGGCCAAAAGGATGAAGCACAAAAAGAGGAGCAGAAGGATGGAAATAAGACGCGTATTGCTGCTTTTGACTTTGTACGCATGCCTCAGTTATCCAATGTTTGCCGTCTGGATGCACTGAATCGCTCATCACATTCTGGCCTTGAGGACGAGAAGCTAACCGCAGCCACAGGACCACACACTTATAATGCCCAAATCCAACAGCAAATTCTCCCGCTCTGCCTCTGACTGGAAATGGTGGGATCCCAGTGTCCCATCTAAACTGAAACAACTCGCTGCAGACGGTTACACGCTTGTTATCGTCTCAAACCAAAAGGCAGTCAACTTAAAGCCCGATGCGAAGGCGAAAACGGGCAATTCAGACTCAAAGAGCTTGTCCGTACTGAAGGAGAAGGTTACTATGGTACTGGATACACTGGACTTGGATATCCCAGTTAGCATATATGCTGCCACGCAGTATGACGAATACAGGAAGCCTAGGATGGGGATGTGGAGGGAGATGGTAAAGGATTTGGGACTGGATATTCCTGATGACGTGGAGGGGAAAAAATCGTCAAGGCTAGGACGGACGCTGGATTTGGGAAACTCCATCTTCGTTGGCGATGCTGCGGGTAGAAAGGGTGACCATTCTTGCTGTGATAGGTACGTTGTCAACCAGTCCGCGTGTTTGGCTAGGTTCCCCCAATCAATGAAAATGAAACTAAGTTGACCCTGATTCTTTTTTAGACATTTCGCTGCGAACGTTGGTATACCGTTCAAGACCCCAGAGGAGTTCTTTCGGGATGAACCACCCGTCCCCGTGGGAGTCGACGTGTTCGATCCAAAGAAACATATGGATATGGATACACCATCGACGGACGTGGTGGACAAGATCTCTCCTCCCTTCACAAAACAGAGTGATACAGAACTGGTACTCTTATGTGGCAGTCCGGGGTCAGGGAAGTCGACGTTTTATTGGAAGTACTTACAGCCCCTCGGGTATGAGAGGGTGAATCAAGACATCCTCAAGACGGTACGTTGTCTCTTATCTCCTCTTATTGGCCTGTCAAATGATGCTTCTACCATATAAACATACATATACCGACTAACACGACGAAAACGGATCAGAGACAGAAATGTCTAAAAGTTGCAAACGAGAATCTGCTGGCCGGCAAGTCTGTGGCAGTCGGTAAGTTGCCTACCAATAATAGCCTGCACCAGTTTAATTTTACTATATACGGCAGGTATACCCTGAATTTCTGTTACAAAATGACTGAACTTATGCACGCAGACAACACCAACGCCAACAAAACCACCCGCGCCGAGTGGATATCTCTTGCAAAAACGCTCAACCTGCCAATCAGATGTATCTACCTTACCACTCCAATACCAGTCTGCAAACACAATAATGCCGTACGAGCAGCGAATCCAAACCAGGTCCGTCAACGTCCATCCCTTCAACCAGCCCAGTCCATCTAGACTCCCTTCCCCCCTCCCCCCTCCTCCTTTCCTCTTCCCCGTTCCTATCGATACCCATTTTTAGCACTCAATTTTTGTCCCTCATATGCAGTGTAACGTGCCTCACCCCTCCGTCCATCCATTCTTATTTTTACACCTATCTACAAGGGTTATCTCGTTATCTATCTTGATACCAGCTGCGTTCCGCAGTTCCAGTTTCCCGTTCTTCCGGGCTAAATATCACGTAACGTATATGTGTATTAACGCAGTGAACAAACAGGAGTCGCTGAACCCGGAATCTCGCACCATACTCCCACCAGTCGCATTCAGCGACTATGTGCGCCGTTTTGAAGAGCCGGATGTATCTGAGGGGTTTAAAGACATGATTAATGTTGGGTTTCAGTTTGATGGAGATAAGGAGGCAAGAGAATTATGGGGACAGCATTGGGTATGAAATGCACTCTTAAAAGGGTTTCGGATAGATCCAGTCCATATTTAAACACGACAGCTATGCCTTTTTATTGTCTAGATTATCATTTATATACCTGCTTTTTTATATCTCCATCAATAACTTTTTTGTTTCATTTAATCGTCTCTATGCATATTTTTATTTTAATTTTGGTGGTGCTTGTACCAGCAATGCAGGGTATATAGAACATAGGGATGCCTGAAGGAGCGTGTGTATGGTTACATACATGCGATGATACATCTGGGGAGCAAATAGGTGGGCCTATAGGGATGGATATATGAGGCGAGGGTGTGAACGGGGTATAAGGTAGAGGTATAAGTATGGATATATAAGACAAACTGGAGGGAAATGTATCAGCGGAAGTATGCAATGGAAGATGCTGAGCTGGTCAACGACCTGCTACATGATGACTGAAACATAGAAAGATGCATAATGAAACAGTCGATAGCTAAGGTCGACAGGTAGATAGGTAGTTAAATGCGAGGGCAGGATAGGGGGGTCGGTCGATTGATGAGATAGGACGGGATTAGTATGTTAAACATTAGAAGAGAGGTCAGTGAAGGAGACAATGGATATAGAACAGTTCCAGTGTATCAGAAAGAGAAGCGGGAGAAGAAGGAAAAGTTGTATGTTTCCCCAAGGGCAACGGGAAGACGCCGTATCTTGTCATCCGTCTTGGAATTTGCTCTTCTCTTCGGCACGGGAGCTTGCATATAGATGCGCCCGGTTAACCGCCTTGCCTTGTCTTGCCTGTCGACTTCTTCATTAAAGCGATACCGGGTAAGTCAGAGTGATGCAAAAAAGGAAAATGCATAGTGAAACCTGAAAGATGGATGGTAGATAGGAAAAGAGTTCCACGAGCGTGGACGAAAGTGGCCCCTTTTGTTCCACCTGGCGCCCTGCCCTTGCGCCGTGAACCGTGACCATAAAATGATGATAAGAAATGAGATAGGAAAAGCCATGGGGGTAGCTGGTTTCTATGTATATCCTCTATAACGTATGATGAACAAATGGGCTAAATGGGAAGGGAAAAGGGCAAAGATACATGCAGTAAAGAGGCAAGGGGGTAAGAGGCGGGATTAAGGGAAGGCTGGGCCCTTTTTTAAACGCCACGATTAAAAACATCGACTTAATGAGTGTCATAACAAAGGAGCGTGTGGGTAAGGAGCGTCGTTCATCCATCACGGAGCATATATAAGATATGGCATTCCTCGGTGGATGCAAAAGGGGGCAGAATTTTGGTCATAAGGAGCGTAAGGCATGATTCATGATCGGATGCTGGAATATAAGGAGAGAATAAACAGAACAACACTGGGGGGGAATAAAAACCATAAAAAAACAAGCAAGGCAACATAACTCCAGTCGTCCTTTCTCGCCCAGCTCGGATATGGTGGGAGACGACTATTAATTGCATGCAGGTACCGCAGCAAATCAGGACAAAGGAAAATATAGGGTAAATAGATGATGGAATATGCGGGTATTTGTACAGGATGATGATAGGGATGTAGAAGGTAAAGGGGGGGAAAGGGTTCTGGCTACGAGCTCTTGCGAAGGCTGAAGAGACCGTTCAAGAACTTGAGGATGGATTTTTTAGATAGGATTCTATCATCACCGGACCGACAATGCTGTAGGCCAGGCCCAACTGACATGGGTCCGACGATGTCTTCGTCTCCAAGCTCGGGGAACTTATTCTTGTCATGAAGTCCGGGTATCTTGACGGCATCCTGGGAGCAGTGGAGCACTTCTGACGGGCTGAGTGAGAGACGGTTACCATTGCCATCTTCAAGGTTGGCGATGACATGGTTGTAGCCATTCTTCCACTCGTTGTTGACGGATATCCACTTCTCTTCAGTGAGTTGGTATATGTGCGACGTGGAACCGTAGTGTTCATCAGTACGGGCAAGGTGCTTGGCGTAGTTGCAGCGAGCGAGCTCCCAGTTGGTACGGAAGTTGTTCAAAGCCTCCCTGTCACAGATCTCGGGAATGTATGGCTCGGGATAGATGGTGAAGTTTGCGTGTCCTAGCTTGCAGGACCATTCATCGACGGAGTCAGACATGGCCATGCGAGTTGAGTAGAGGCGAGTCATAGCAAGCTGACGGCTGATGGACGACATGGATGGATGAGTAGAGGTAATAGGTGATGTGGCAGGCATAGAGTCGTATATGGAGGTGATAGGCGGACTGTCGGTGTCCCGGGGGCCTGCCACGGGAGCGATGGAAGGTGACTCCAGCGGGGAATCTATATGCTGTTCCTTGTCGATATGTGGCAGATCCATCATCACCGGTGGAAGAAGCGGTGTCCTGGCATGTCTCTCTGGCTCGCCGTCAAACTGTTGGTTAGCCTTTTCGATGTCGATACCGGCAACGCCAGCCTCGTTCAGGCGTTCCTCAAACGTTGTCCGGGCTGGAGAGGGGGCATAGAGGCTCTGGCGTGCCGATATCAAGCTTGCAGCAGGGCTAGCGAGGGCCGAAGTGGCGGAATTAGCGCGAGATCTGAGTGAGTCTTCGTATCGATCGCGTGTAGCAACTGTATCTGCAATCGACGACGGCTTCGCCTGCTTCCATTTCGATGAGAATGAGGAGAAACGAGTGCTGATCCGGGATATCTGGCGGAGGGACTTGCTGTCCGACCTCCTCTTCTTGAACGAGTCCACAGCCTCGAGGGTATCAATCTGGTCGAAATCGTGTGAGTCCAGTGAGAGGTGACTGTCGTCATATGCAGCAGCGGCAGCGGCGGCATGGAAATCATTAAAGTGAGCTAAGCTTTAAGTTAGTATATTGTTTACTTTCTTGTGTCTTTCTCTTTTCTTTTTCTTCTCCCTTCAACCATGTAATAGATGTAGATGGAGAAGTAGAAGCAGTAGTAAAGGAAAAAAGATGACTTACGAAAGTAACCATCTCCTTCGACGTAGTTGATCTCTCGTTCGCCTGGCTCTTCCTTTACTTCTGTCAACTGCGTCTTGGTGCCGCCAAAGCCGTCGGGCGAGCTGGTGACAGGCGACGACGCCAGCGACGAGACGGAGCTGGGGAACCGAGTATGCGTCCTGGTCGAGAAGAGCGAGGTAACGGGAGACCCCGGATTCGAGGAGCTCATGGATTCTGGAGACTCTGGCGGCGGTCGTGTGAGATAGGATGGGTGGGAGGATGGAGACGCGGCGTCTGCTTCACCTTCGCGCCGGTTGCTAGCTTCGAAGAGGTGTGATAATCGCAGCATAGTGCGCAGTGTCACTGAGGCGCCAGAAGAGCCAGCAATGGAGGTTTTTATCTCTTGTCTCTCCCGACAGCGGCTTCAATTCATATCAGATGGTGCGGGCGTAGCTTGTATGGCGAGGCGTATGTTTGTTTTCAGGACGGCCAGTAGCGAGCGAAGGAAGCTCATGCAGCGAAGGGAAGGGCGCAACGATCGGCCTGAAGGGGTGCAGCGGTAGTCGCGGGCAGCGGACAGAGAGTCTATCTGACGCTGGATATGTAGATGTTGATATTACTTAGTAGTAGAGTCGATGTCGAATGTTGGTGGTGGTGGTTTTGGTGATGTTGGTGAAGGCGAGGTTCGCAGCAGGATTTGAGGCGGCCTGGACGGTCGACTTTCTGCCGGTGACTTGGAAGCGCGCGCAGCTTACAACAGCAGCAGCAGCGCTGGGGAGGTCAGCAAGGCAGGAGAAAAAGGCGAGGACGGGACAAGACGAGACGCTGCAGAGTGACGACGGTGGTGGACAAGAGAGAGATGACTCTTAACTGGTGCAATTGGGCAGAAGTAAGAAAAAAGAGAGAGAGCGAAGCAAAAAGCACGCGACAGGGGGTTGGACTTTTTTCTCTTCACTGCGCAGACACCCAGTCGGCACCCAGCAGAAGACTGCAGCAGGCCAGTGGAAAGACGCAAAAGCCAGGCTGCTCTGCTTCCCCGGGGGACGCCAGAAGGGCCAGAAGGCGAGCTGTCGGGCAACAAGAGGGACTGACGTGGGTGTGCGTGCGGTCGAGAATAGCAGGGCAAAAGAAACGAGAACCCAAGCGGGCTGGGAGCCACTTACAGACGGCCAGCGAGCTTCTCGGGGCGGGTCTCCAGGATAGACACAGCCAGAGAGTGGCCAGAAAGGCAAAGAGACGGTGATGGAGATGCTGGAGGGCAACAGAGATATGACATGGCTGGTGAAGCAGCTCACGGAGAGGCCGTCATTGTGATAGAGACATACATGCAAGCCAACGAGATTTAAAAAAAGACGAAGAGGAAGAGGAAGAAGAAAACGAAGGAAACGAAGACGAAGGCTTGCCCTGACTAAGAAACTCACCGTTATTCTGGTTCCTGGTCCGCTTTGTGGCTCTGCTGCCGATTCTTCTTTCTGCTTCCTTTCATATGCTGATATCCTCAGATGCCTAGGGCTTACAGGAACTACGACTGGCGGGGGGGAGGAGGAGGATTAAGAGCATTTCCTCCTTCCCCCCAAAAGAGGATAGATACTATCAAACAAGCCATGGTGGTGCAGAGACAGGCAGGGAGCTCGCCGGCTGTATCCCCCTCGTTTCGTGAGGTTTCGACGTCTCCGGGTCCTGCTGGCTTGTTGATTGATTGATTGATACGGGCCCCAGCAGCTCGATGTGAAGGAAGCACAGTCAAGCTACGTTTCTTCTTTTCTTGAGAACATAACTTCTACAGGCTGCTGTGTATCTACACATTGTCGAACAGACCGGACTGCCTGCCTACCTGCTTGCTTGCCTGCTTGCTTGTCCACGAAGAAAAAAAGCAAACATCTTCTTGTCCAACCCAGCAAAACCCGTCAGTCTGTCAGGGCCATGACGAGCATCTTCAAGATCCCCAAGATTCACCACACTCTTTTTTCCCTCCTTCTGTTTGCTTCTTTTCTTTTTCCTTCTCTGCTTTTTCTTTTTCCGACGACTTGCTGGTTCCACGATGGCCGAACCAAGGTTGAGGCAAAGCAAAAGGAAAGAAAATTTTATATACTCACCGCGAAGAGAAAAATGGCCCGAAACGTGGCTCCACCCCTTGAGGATGGATATAAGAGGCCAAAAATCCGCCAATACGACTGTGAGAAAATAGGTGAGGAGAAAAGAGTGAAGGGATAAGAAAAAAAAAGGAAGGTTTCTGGGTAAAGAAACGGCGCCCGCTATGGAACCAGGGGGATTTCAACTCCGGCGCCCAAGGGGAAATCGTCTTACTCGCAGCCCAGGGAGGCTTTGCACGAAGAAGAAAGAAACCGTACTCCGTAAAGAGACAAAATAAAAGAGAAAGGCAGAGAAAGAGAAGAAAGCGCAAAAACAAAGAAGAGGGGAGAGTAAGAGAAAAATGAAAGAACGAAGAATGCAAAGGAAGCCGTTGGATTGTTTACTTTCCCTCTCTTCCTCCGCTGCGGATCAGACAACCCTCTTCTTTTCTTTGCTTTTTTTTATTTCCTTCTGCTGCTTCTGCTCATCCATCTGAGAGAAGAAAAGCTGAAGCTGATAGACTTTTCAACAGTTGTTCCTGCGTCAAGGGTGAAGCTCAGTCCGTCCTTACCCGTGGCTGGATACGAGGGAAAAAGGCCGATGTCGATGCCTGAAGTCGTCATCGTCCTTTCGGCCTTCCTCTGGGCCAGAGATCCAGAGATACAGAGATACACTCGTCATGCACATGAAGGAATCATAACTCGGAATGGGCGGGAGTAAGGGGCGCATCTCTCTGACACTTGACGGAGGACTTACCACTCTCCTCTCCCAGCTGCAAATTTCACTGGACCAAAAAGGCAAGCAGCAGAAGCAGGAGAAGCCAGTCTGTGTCGCAACGAGACCAACTCCCTGATTCGTCTCTTTTCCCGGATACTTTACTTTATTTTTCTTTTCCTAGACCGGAATGTTGTATATGTATCTTCTCTACTACTGGAGTCAGAAGAGTTACTCTGCAGTCGCTTATTCTTGTACAAGCCCTAACCTAGGCATCGATCTCTGGATCCTCCTTCGTATACACTTACTAACTCTGTACTTCCGCCGTCATTATGTCAACAGATGGCTGAGGGATAGAAGGAAAACCACCGTGGACGGCCCCCATCCCATGACTATGACGTTCACAGTCCACAGTCACAGCATATCGCAGCCGGGCCACGCATTGCTCTACCTACTCGTCAAACTACGACTGAACCCGTCTTGCTATACTTATGACGATGATGTTGCCATGTACCAGTGGGAAAAGTACATATGTGTGGACGTGGGCGGCTCGGACTGGATCGGACTCCATACCCCCATGTACCCCGTCCACCCCATCCATGCTCATGCTCCATCTTGGGACTCCATAGCATCGACTCCGTAACACTGATCCGACGCAGTCTAGACCACCAGGCATGCCTTCTCTCATATCTTCTCGTGTTCGAACACACACAGAAAAATATGTGGTTGTTCACACACAGTCAGACCGGCAACAGGTAGTTACAACCGCGGGTTCATGGACAAGGGCATTCATCGATCGTGTCAAGTTCAAAAGCGGGTTGAGACGACATCACACTCACCGATGCCCGCCCCCGCGACTCGATGACGTTTTACATAGGGCGTCAGAGATGTAACCGGGATGTCAGCACCTCGGACTGAACAGGTCGAATTGGGCTTTATTCCGAGCAAGGCGACGAAACGGCGACGAAGCTGGCTGGCTTCCTAGTGATAGTCTCCTGCTTCTTAAGCCTTAAAGCCTCCAGGATAATTCCCATCCCTCGGCCTGCCACCCGGTTTTTTTTTGGCATTTGACAGGCATCCAGACCGGTTAGAATTATTAAGCTTGCTTGCCTCAAGGCTACAGGAATTGGTTCGTGAGGTTGGGAAGATATTTTTGGCACTTGGCTGGGGTTCTTCTCTCGCCCTCCAGCCTGAGATCGCCATTCCGGTTTGACCTTCCACATGCAATGCGACGACGGACGGCATCAAACTGTTGGTTGCTGGACGGATAAACGAGCGGCACATCTCCTATGTCTTTGTACTCCATACGGAGAACACTAAGTAAAGACTCTGCCGTCGTTCCTGGGCAAAGACTGTTCCAGCAAATGTTCCGGGCGTCGGATTAGTTCGAGCTTTCGGGTTAAAAAAAGGAATGTAACTTAACCTGCCCGAGCTCGCTTAAGTACTTCGCCTCCAGCCTGTGTGTATGGCATATTCCATAGTACAAGTGGTACGGGGGTACAAGCTCAACTCAACAATGAAATTTTTTCTTGAAGCAAAGTGGACGCTGGCGCACCGCATCTAGGCTCGTGTATGCCGTGGCCCGGCAACTGTTTTATCACCGTCAACCAGATATCACACGGACAATCATGTGCGAGATGGGATAGACGGCTTCTCCATAGTTACTCCCGCTCCAATGGCTAAAGCATTGTTGCATGGGGGTTCTTTCTAAACAAACTATAGGCGGGAGCCAATAACCGTTTGATCACCATATATAGATCGGAACCGGGCTGTCAGCTCGTATAAGAGGATATGTATTATGTACATGCGTATATGTATGATTATATTAATTAGTTACTAGAATAAGCGATGTACACTGTTGATCGCGGGTTAAGTATTATATGCATCGTATCCTCAGCTAATGGTACGGTTGATATTACTGCCATTACCCCTTACGAACATGCGTTCGGATGGAAAGATAATTAGGCACGTCGCTTAATCTCAAGCCATCATTTGGCCCCTTTTCTCCTGCCTGCGATTATCGGGTGGAAAAAGATATCACACCAGCTGAGGAATTTTGTTACTGCATCTTCCTCTTCTTCCTCTACCTCAACGTCGTACCGTCCGGTCGATCTTATTTGTGTAAAACCAGCACCGTGTAACAGTCTGTCTTCCCTAGTGAGGTATGGCCTGTAGAATCCGGTATTCCCTTTGCACCACCACCATCCATAACCCTAGACAGCTAAGGCTAAAATAACAATATGAACCGTCCTATGCTCTCTCCCGCCCCCCAGCCCCCCACGAAAACTGCAATTACCGACCGGCATAACATATATAACCCAACCCGTAAGAGATAGGCGGCATCTCGTATATGTACGGTTCCTTCTCACGTATTATGTATATGTGGTGACTCCCTCCTATTTCGTTTCTTGCCGCCTAGCTCAGCAACGTCCCAACATATTCGGCCTTTCTACCAAATCCAAACCATCCTGAGTAACCAGATAGACCTTCCCACTGCACCAGGAACCGGTCGACGAGGGGGAAGAGTATCTTTCCCGATAAACTGACGGTAGTCACGCGAGCCCATGACTCGATGAATATCGTCCGTAGATATCGCCTGGTTCCACGGCGTTGAGCTCGAAGTTCGGAGTAGGAACGGGACTTAGGGATAGAGGAGGTAGCTAACTTGGGCGTCGACTTGGAAAGGGTGGGAGGTATATCTGATCCGGCTTGTGGCAGGATACGGCATACCAGTTGGTCGAACAGGCGGAGAAGTCGGGCGGCCACAACCACGCAGACTCCCGTGCTAGGCCCGTTGGTAAGAATGATGTCAGGGTATCCAGGGGGAGCAGAACTTGAGCTGGCGGTGAGAGTGAGTTGATCGGGATGTCTGCCCATGAGCACCAGCATGCAGAATCCGAAGCATTGCAACGTAGACAACGGCGCAGTCAGGAAGGATTGATGGACTTTCCTTGCACGAGGGACTGTGATGATGGTATAGTTGCTGTTCCCACTCTCATCTTTGCTGGTTTGTCCACTGCTTTCAATGCTTTTCTCATATTCCCTGGCTTTCCTGGCGCTGAAGGAGTCCCCAGAGCCGACTATGTATGTACGTCTGACATACACGCCTGGGTCTAGCTCAGCATGTCTTAACATAGAGAGCATCTCCTCCGTATGACCTCCACTGCCCAGGACGATTAGAAGATGGACTGAATTGCATAGCTGGCTTTTTTGGGCCTTGCCATCTGTCTTGCTTGACCAGCAAATTATGAGCTACATATCAGTTAGCCATGTATTCAGCATAGCAGGTTTCAAACGTACCGGGACCAAGAAGATAAAGGCCAACAAGGCCACACCCCCAGTGAGGACCAGATACTTCATCATTAAAGCGGCATTCGCTAGGTATCAATAGTATCAATAGCTGTCAATTGTCAATTCAGTCTTCGTTGCGTGTCTCATCTCTCAATCACTAGCGAGACAGATATTCCCCTTCTCACGCTCAACTTGGCTGGCTAGAATTCACGACTGGTGTCCCCTTCCTTCCGGCATCTTCAGCCTCCTACTTGGTTTTGCTGTCTATTCTGTATTGTCTATTGATCTGTTATTATTGTTTATCTCGTCCTTTCTCGTCTCTTCTTGATGTGTTGTGCTGCTCCGTCGGCGATTAACAAGCGCGCGCCTTAAACCCGCCAACGTCAACTTTCAACCGCCAAAAATAGAAAAATAAAAGTTGACGATAACAAAAATAAACCAAAAATAATAACAACCACCTTCTATCACTCCACGGCCTTGAGCTCGCTCGCCGTCTTCCTTGCTTGATGTAGGCCGTGATGGCTCCCTTTTTTCAAAAGCGGCTGCGATGCTTTTACTGCGGCGGAAATTCGAAACAGATATACAAGAACGCCGTCCGGAGGTGGAAATGCGAGCGCTGTCAGGCTGTTAACTATCTAGACGAAGTATGTTGCTTGTTGAAGACAACTTCTATCTACGGGTAAATGGGAATATCTATACTGACGGCCGCATGGTAGAATGGCGAAATAACCGATCCTCCCGTTGCTGAAGTGTCGACGGAGAAACGATTCCATCAGTACGCTGCTCCTATCCCGCCATCGCTATCGCAATCCTTCGAAGAACAGCCAGAGCAACCGAGCACCGCCGACTCTACCATCTTCTGCTCTACGTGCCAGAAGAACCAGTATCTTTTCACCCAGACATTGGCTTCGTACCTCCCCGACCCGTCACACCCCGAATATGCGGCCTACGAAAAGTCGTATCCGTCCTATAAGCGGAGCTTGGAGGAACGCTACCCGCAGGTTTGCGAGAAGTGCAAGCCACGAGTCGTTGATCGCATCAGACAAACTGGGTATGCTGCCAAAACAGATCATCTACGGCGCATGATGGAACGTAGCAAGGGCAGATCGTCCCGACAAAGAAGACAGATGTGGAGATGGAAGGGCCTGTTAGTTTCTACGGGGGCCTTTTCGTTCTGGTCAAGTGTTGCTGGTCAACTGGTCTGGGACGTCGTTGCCTTTGCATCTTCTGCTTACCAGCTACAGGAAGTAGAGGTAGCTTCAATGTCCATGTCCTCGCTCGGAAGCTATTGCGTTGCTAGCTCCATCAACAACCGTCGCATTCCAGGAGAATGTGCCACTTTTCTTGCACCTTACGCCGGGCTTTCATTAATTCTAGGCGCATTTTCTCTCTGGTGGAACCCGAAGTTGAGACTGAAGGTTGAAGGCCATCATGGTCGATTGATTGGGCTACGAGAGTACTACCGTATTCAAATTGTTGCTCTTATGGTCAGGTTTATGGCGTGGGCCGGTTTGCAAGACCCTGCGATTACAGGCCTGCATCCCCAGTTGAACCCGTCTATCCATGCTTTTGTCGCTATATTTACCTTGATTGTAAGTTGCGCTACTTTCCGATTTACCAGGTATTTAAAAATGTTCTAATGCTGGATAGACTACTTTTGCCTCAATATCGACTATCAAATTCGAGAAGAGGCCGCTTGTTGATTGGCATGACAATACTGAGGAGTTGTTATCCGGTACCAACAGCAGGGCTGGAACGCGACCGTCAAGCCCGCAGGAGTCGCAAGCCTCTGAGATGGGCAGGCAGCCAGTTCCTCAGCGATTTCCCATTGCCAGTCTTGCACCACGCCGTTTGGCGACACCCGAACCGCATGTCCCACCGACTCCTCCGCGGGATCTTCGGCGGGATGATATCGATGCAATGGACTGGACTCCATCCCGGCCGTCTCTGAAAGTCCCAGCTAAACCTGTAACCCAACAGACACAGACACTTTCTTCTTCAATGCTCTTTCAGGGTCAGCTGCCTCAGGTGCCAAAACCGCCATCTTGGAATTTGCGGAACCCAGTTGCAGAAAAGGTGGAACAGATCCAGAAAAAGCCAAATCCATTCCATCAAGCGCCTGTTTTGCAGCCTACGCGTCTGTCTTTAGAGGATGATGAGGACGGGGAGGAAGAGGAAGGCCAGGATCATAAGCCAGTTCGAACTAATGCTGTCTTCGCAGCACCTAAATTTTTCCCTCCCGGTCTGACAGCCGAAACTGGTCTCGAGAACCTATTTGACCAAGCGTTCTCAATCGCGGATGGGCCGGGTAACGCCCAGCAGAACCAGTCCGGTCAGGTCTCTATCAATCAGAGGTCTGCGGTTTCTGGTAACAGTCCAACCCATATACTGCGAATTATCCTCCTATCATCTTGCGTGGTCTTGTGGATGAGCACGAAGGTGTATACCGAGCCTGCAAAGTCCATTGAGTCTGTGGTGCTTGGAATATCCTTCCTTGTCGCTGCCTTTTCATTTTTGGAGTCACTGATGAAACCGATGCTGGTCTGGAATGTGACCGAGATCTTGCTATCTCTTTTTGAGCTAGTATCTTGCGTTTACCTGGCAGTTGTGCAGGCTCGTCAACTTGACAGCCCAGTAGGTCTGGATAATGCTGGGATATATCTGGTTTCATTCATGATGGGACACGAGATGTTTGGCCTTGGGCCTCTTCTCTCCCCTTATACCAACCCGACTGAGCCCAAGAAAGCCCCTAAAGCTGCAGAAACTGAGTCTGAGGCACGGACAGAGAAGAAACCTTCTCCTAGTTCATCAGCAGGCGGCTCGTTTACTACATTCAATATGAGCCAAAACAGTCTCTCTCCGGGCAGCAGGTATGCTGGTAGCCCCCAAGCCAGAAGGCCACAGACCGCCAACAACAGAATGAGCCCCAAGAGCAACTCTCCCCCAAGTACCCTCCCCCAAAGACACCACAATATCTTTCCTGACTTTGCCACGAGGATGAAGTCAACACCACAGCCGTCATTTACACCCACCACTTCATTTGCAGGCTATACCCCAGCTACCCGGCGACCAAAACCATCCCTATCGTTTTCTCCATCATTCGACTCAGCTTTGCAAGACAGCCCCTTCTCCCCAACCTCTACAGTATCAGACTCGGCGTCATCAGCTGCATCAGAAGCCCAAACACCCGTTTCTCGACTCAGATTCCCAGACATAAGCCGTGGGAACCCCAGTCCTTCTATGATCAAATCACTAAATCTTGACGACGATCGAGCTCCTCGAGCTACGCCTAATACACGCTACTCTCTGCGTCAGAGGCGGAATTAGAAATGACACCAGACAGACCAATAACGTTTTCTTCTCCGACTACTACTTTTTTTGTGTCCTCCTTCGTTGTCGAAATACATTTTTTGCTTTCTTTATTGGGTGTTACCCTTGATGATTCATATTGACTGGCTTACCCTCCTTCTGTACACAAGTTAGTGCTGCATATTTAGACAGTATATGGCGTTTTGTGGAGATTAGCGTCATACTGTGGATTTTATACCTCACCAACACTCTTTTTTAATACAATCTATGTGATGATATGAATTATATCCTACCCTGTTATACTTATTTAACTAAATACGAAGTGGTTTGGGGGAGTATAAATTTCAACATATATTGGAATCAGAATGTTGAAGTGTCCAATGTAATATGTATTAACAAGTTGACGAGATCTAGATCTTAGTGGTCCCAAAGATAGATAAGGTAAGTAGGTTCATAATAAACTATCCTGGATACTGCTTAACAGAGAAAATGAACAAGTTCACTTTGCCTGTTCGCCTCTATTCTGGGCCGGTGAGGTGATGGTTGGCCGTGTTGGTATCGTCTGCGGTAGTGGAGGGAGCAAGTTCTTCGCGGCCTCCCTTGCGTTCTGTGCCATGAGAGCATCTATGATGACCAGAGCAGCCATAGCCTCGACAATGGGCACAGCTCTCGGTACCACACACGGGTCGTGTCGTCCCTTTGCCTCGAGGATGCCTTCTTCAAAGCTATAAGTGGCGGTGGTCTGAGCCTGTCCAATAGTCGCTGGTGGCTTGAAGGCAACGCGGAAGTAGATGGAAGCTCCGTTGGATATACCTCCCTGGATACCTCCAGAGTTGTTCGTTTTGGTCGTCAGCTTCTTTCCGTTGCCGTTGGTCTCTACCACGAAAGGGTCATTGTGAATTGATCCAGGGATTTCGCAGCCAGGGAAACCAGAACCGATCTCGAAACCCTTGGTAGCGGGGATCGAGAGCATGGCGTGTGCGAGTTTGGCTTCTAGTTTATCGAAGCAGGGCTCTCCCAGGCCAACAGGGACGTTTCTAATGACGCAGGTAACAGTTCCTCCAATACTGTCTGATAGATCACGGTGGTGTTCAATCAGCTTGGTCATCCGATGAGCTGCGTCTGCCTGAGGGCATCGAATAGGGGCGAAAGAGTCCACGGTCTTCCGGTCAATTTTCTCGATGAGCTTGAGGAACTCCGGGTTGGTTGCCGGGCTGGGATGCTCGGCTGTGGGAGGGAAGAGATGCTCATGTCCAACAGAGGAGACAAAGGAGACTATCTCTACGTCATGGGAGAGCTTGAGATACTTTTCCGCAATAGCACCGGCAGCCACTCGACCTAGAATTGTGTTAGCCAAGGAAGAAACTACCAACTGGCTAGGTAGACATACCAATGGTCTCTCGTGCACTGCTTCTGCCACCACCACTGCTGGCTTTGACTCCGTACTTTTCCAGGTAGGTGAAGTCAGCATGGCTGGGTCGAGGGTACATGTCCATGGTGCTGTTTCCATAGTCCTTGGGCCGCTGGTCCTCGTTCCGCACCACCATGCCAATTGGAGTGCCCAGCGTGATGCCGAACTCGGTTCCAGACTGTATTTCGACCTTGTCCTTTTCATTTCGAGGGGTTGTCAGGGCACTCTGTCCCGGCCGTCTTCTTGTCATCTGGGGCTGAATGTCTGCCTCTGTGAGCTCCATGCCAGGCGGGCACCCGTCGACGATACAGCCGACGGAGCGGCAGTGTGATTCGCCATAGCTAAGCCTCGAGTCAGTAAGTCTGGTATCGTGTATTTACTTCAATGAAAGGGGGTCCGTACGTGGTGACTCTGAAATGCTCTCCAAAGGTCGACATCGTGAAGCTCTTCTAGCTAGTTAGCTCTGTAGCTGGACGGTGGGGTTGGATGACAGGCAGGGGTCGGTCTCGTTATATAGAGAGACAGAGATAGGGAGTTGTTGGCTTGCTGTCAGTCAGTGAATACGACAGCCAGTCCGGTCCGTCCAGAGTCCAATCGCTTGATCTCAACTAGCCAGGCTTCTTCTTGTCTACTTTTTGTCTTCATCTTCTTCTTCTGGTCGACTTTTTGTGACTTTTTATTCTTTTTTCTTCCTGCTGGCCCAACGTGGATGACTCAGCGCCGATGACGGATCTCGCTTTAACTAGATAAAACACCAGCGAGAGTGACAATTTGATAGAAGGAGATCGTGAAGGACGGGAAGGAGTTTCGTCTTTTCATCTCTGGCGGACCGAGGGGCCGGCTGTATCTGTCTAATTAATAGGTAGGACGGCATGGTTGAGACGGGCCGTCCTGAATTAAATACTGCATACATGTTCATGTCATCCATCTTCAGTCCGTTAAGGTGGTAGGGCTGTTTAGGGCTGCTTAGGGGCCTTTAACTAGGACTTAGGGGGCAAACCTAGGCCATAAGGGGCTCGTCTTTAACTAACCTTTAGGCTCTAGCGCCTAAAGAAAGCCTAAAGAAAGCCCAAGACGCCCAGACTCGGCGCTGCCAGGGGCCGTCTTAGCTTCCGCCGCAGCTTTTTCGGTCTTTTTCTAGACGACGTCGCTTTCTTTTGCTTGTTCCCGTACTATCATAAACACACCCACGATGCTGCTGTAGCAGGCCAGGTTGGCTTCATGTTTTCAGCCCGTCCTCTACAGCCACTGCAATGGTCGCAGTCTCTCAGACACGGCTGCCAATGGACGGCTAGCAGGCCAGCTTCGACGTTTGCTGCGCTCTGCTCCCGGCCTCAGTCCAGACTCCAGGTCTACCAGTCCCTCTCCAACGACCCTTTTGTCAACCTGTCCCTCGAGAACTTCCTCTACGAACGCTCGCCGCCGGACTCCAAGGTCCTCTTCCTGTACGTGAACAGGCCCTGTGTCGTTATAGGACGGAACCAGAACCCCTGGCTCGAGACAAACCTGCGTCTGCTAAAGAGCAGCACTGGGCATGAAGGCCGTAGAAGTGACGGTAATGCTCTTTTCGTTCGACGACGGTCTGGCGGTGGCTCGGTCTTTCATGACGAAGGAAACCTGAATTTCTGCGTGATTTGCCCAAAGCCGATCTTCCATCGAGATAAACATGCTGAGCTGGTGGTCAGGGCATTGAAGAACGTTGGGGCTTTGAAAACGAGAGTCAACGAGCGTCATGATATCGTACTCGGCCAGGACGCTCAGGAAGAGCCGTCTCCTCGTGTAGTCAAAGCTGGGTCTACAGACCAAGATTCTGAGAGTCCGCCGCTAGAGGAACCTGTTCGGGCAGTCAAGATATCAGGCTCGGCATACAAGCTGTCGAGATTCCGTGCTTTGCACCATGGTACTTGCTTAATTGATTCACCGAACCTCCGGCAGATAGGACTCTTCCTGAGGTCGCCTGCTCGTCCATATATCAAAGCAAGGGGCGTTGAGAGCGTTAGGTCCCCCGTTGGAAATATATCCTCGGCCTTAGACGAATCAGTACGGCCATTCCTCATGCAGCAGATAATTGGAGAAATTATGCAAGAGTTTGCTCTGCTTTACAATCTCGACAGCAATGCTTTACTGAAAGCTCAAAGGGCCCACGCCAACGATCCGGAGTTGTCTTCGGGGGACGACTGGGTTACCGGCATCCTGACCGACGAAGATGCAAGAAACGAGCCTGAAGTGTGCAAAGGCATCCAGGAACTACACGTAAGTCAACGCGTCTCTGCTACCGTATGTCTAATGTATGTAAAAACTGACATTATTTTCAGTCGCTTGAATGGAAATACAACCAATGCCCCCAGTTTACATTCTCCACGCATCCGACGGAGGAAGACCCCCGGCCTAGGCCAGATATATCACCTGCCCTCTCGCCTTCGGTATGTCCCAACCCTGCAAACTCCGCCACATTGCCCTCCGTCTACGTAAGATGATGCACTGGCTAACTACGATTGTCCGTCATGCTGCAGACCAGGGCTTTCTTCCGAGTCAAATCAGGCCTCATCATCGAAAGTCACATTTCTACATCACAAGACCCAGGCACAGCACAATATGAAGCAGCCTGTGTTCATAAAATCCTGCACAACAGGGCGCTGCATGGAATATCAGACTGGGCATCAGTTCTCAGCTCTGCTTCTGCAGTAGCCAGCCAAGAGGGCGTATACCCTGATGCTTTTGCATCGAACTCTCCAGATAACGAGCTCTCGGGCCTTGCCAAGTGGCTTGAGAGTAAGCTAGGACATTAATCTACCAACCTATTCATAGGTGTTGTCAACACTTAGCTATGTACAATATATTAGACGTTGCTTACATTAGACTTGGATATAAATATAGAGCACATCCTTACGCACAAGGTCCTCGTAGCTACTCTATTGTCTACCAACCAGTTCTAGCAGGGTGACTCAGAGAGTGGCTCAAGAAGCTGGCGATATACGAGAGGAATCATGCTGACGAGGGATGAGAGGCCTGGGATACATCACCCTCAATACTGACGGCCCCCTAGAATTACAATACAGTAACTATGTACGTATCCGACTGAATGATAGAGACAGAATCCAAACCAAGTATTCAATCAGTATTGAGAAGCGCCTACTCGTCTGAGGAACCATGTCTTGTAATTTGATAATGAAATCCGTCGTACGGAGTAATGCACACGATCAAATATTACACTCCATCTTGCAGCACTCCATACGTATCCCCCGTCTATGCATATATCTTTGTATTTTTGTCCGATTTGGAATCTTTCATATCTTTCATATAATACTCCGTGCGCAATATTCCCCGGGATACGAAGATGCAACATGGGGGCGCTGTTATCCTGCTCCCGTCTTCAGGATCTTTCTTATATTGCGGCATATAGTTACGATCCTTATATGACAAGGATACCTATTCAACCTTCGCTAACTCATACACAGACATGCTCCAATGACGAAACATATCCCTCCAAAGTTCACTGTAGTTACAAGAGTAGTTAATGAGCTTGCGAATCCAATATATCTTCTTCCGAACTCCTTGCCCGTCGGCAAGCTAGCTGGTTACGAGTGCGCGGGCCCTTTGACAGGGGAACGAATATATATTACCAAACCGCCTCTCACTTGGCCACTCCCCCTGACTAACTGGCTAATTTGCTCTTCAGCCTGGCTAGAACCAACTGGTTAGATAGGCTATGTACTTAATTGGTAGTTTTGTTCTTGTAGTCCCTTGTTGACTGCCCGTATCGAGCAATTGAACTGCCCCCTGTCGGGATCTCCAGCAAGGAACTTGAATGGAAATTGCTATGACTATCATTTGGTTTGCCTTTACCCCAACACGCGGGTTGATCTTCCCTCCCGCTCCCCTGGCTTCGGCCTACGCTGTCCGTCCTCAGTGCAAGGCGGACAAAGTAAGGCAGATAGGCGAACGGGGAACCAAGCGCAGTTGGACCCGGAAAGGCTATTAGATGCTTCATGCACCGTCCCTAGATTACCGAGACGGCACAGGTAATCCTATCATAACTATTGCTAAAGCCTGGATTGAATTGAATTGTTGATTTAAAAGAAAATACTCAAATACATGTATTGAAGAAAAGAAAGTGATAATCAAAAAGAAAAAATTGCCCCTGGAAAACGGCCCGCATATCTGGCTTAGAATCGATATCAAATTCCCATCCTTCCCAAAATCAACCAAGAAGCGCAATTTGTGAGCATATAACCCTAGTAAAAATAAGTGTCTCGGTAATAATAAAGAAGAAAAGAAGTAGACAAGAAGAAATGGGAAGAAAATTTCACTCGGGTACTCCAAGATCTAAACTCCTTGTCGTGCCTACTGTTTTGTCGGCGTTTCGCTGCGCTCCTCAGGAGCGTCTGTAAACACATCATCAAAAGACTTCATAGATTCAGAAACTGGGATTGCTCCCTTCCCTTTATCTCTCTCATGATCATAATCGTTGGTGTCGACTTGTTTTTGTTTCATTTTCTTGTCTTCATCGCGTTCATCATCGTCGTCAATGGTATCTCCGGCGCCTGCGTTGACAACTCTCAACCTTTCCTTGGGCACAGTAAATGTAACTTGTACCACTCTCCCTTCAGCAGCTGCCTCAACATCCCAGTCTTCATCGTCGAAGTCGTAATCATCCTCGCTACTTCTAAAGCTTGCGCCGCCCACGGCGCTTCCGGCCTCGGCGGATGAGGACTCATACCTGGCTTTCCCTTGCCGTAATATTGAACTATCTCCCGATTTGCGGTTTGCATTCCAATCTTTGGCACCTTGCTTGCGCCTAAGGACTGACGAGCTTGTACTGACTGCTCGATGGGGACGTTGTGACACGCCGTGCATGCCTTCCGAATAAGTCTGATTCTCCTCATCTGGTAAACTATAGAAACTTTTCGTCGGGCTTGTACTTGAACTTCGCTGGTTTGACGCGCGAGATTCGGCGTGATTGGGTGTTTTATTCGAATTCCCAGAAGTTTCCGATCTCCTAAGAGAGCCCAGAACGCGCCGAATAGTCCCTGCTAACTCTAAACTTATAGGCCCCTGGCGCTGTTCCGCAGGTTGATTCGGGTCTTGCTGAGGCATCCATGAGGGATTGGTACCTAGCAATGAAGATCCTTCCGCCTGCAGCTGAGCGTAGGAGAGCTGAGAGGAGGGTCTACCAGACAAGACAACTCGGCTAGGGACTGCTTTATCGGAATCAGTTGTATTCGCCCTTTCAGAGCTACTGGAGTTGGAAGGGTTGTCGAAATTGGATCTCTGGGACACTGAACGATCTAGCAACTTTGGATTCGTACGATGCGAGGATGATGAGGTGCCTGAGGTTCCAGATAAGTTGGAGAGCGTGCGATCTTGCTTTTCTGATGCAATACTGGGAAGCTTTTCTAACTTCTCAGTGTTCAACATATCTACCCAATCGTGTATATTCTCGTCGCCGGCCTGCGATCTAGACCGTTCCTGGGGGACAAGGGATGGGAAACATTCCTTGGACGGAGAAGGAGGGTCCTTGAACGGGTCCGAGGTGTTAGAACACTTGCTATCCCGATAACCAGCTGCTCCTGCCTGGACTGGCTGAACGGCATCGTATTCCTCTCCTTCATCAATGGGCTGAATTTGGGAGAATTTAATATTTCGTCTTGGATCATCCTGCAAAATGCCTGGTTGATATCCTCGAGATCGTACACTAGCTCGCAAGCCTCTGGTTGGGCTTGGGTTGTCTACCAAAAGGCCTGTCCTTTCCGCTGCGAATGGAGAGTTTTGAATGTCGCTATATCCGCCATATCCATAGTGATGAGCAGGATCCACTTGCATCATTTGCTGATCAGGCGCTTCGAAGTGAGGCCTTTCAGCACCTAATGCAAGGCTTCGAAGTGTTTGTTCACGAACTTTCCGGTGTTCACTGGTGCGTCGATTGCGGCAGATGAAGAAAGCGGCCAGGGCCAAGACGGCAATCGGAACCCCAACACCAAGGCCTACTCCAAGGCCAACTTTCTGCAGCGTTGTAGATAGGGGGCCTCTGTGGTGCTCCCTTGGAACAGAGGCAGCTTTCGGGGGAGTATACGATGCAGCCCATGTTCCAGAACTGATATTGAAGAGGAAAGTCTGGTCGTTAGCCACAAACTCATTGCTGGATCTCCTGAACAGCCGGGATGGTATTTTGTATCCCCCAGTTATAAGCATTACACCACCAGGAAGCATGGCTGCTCCATGACCAAAAACTCCAGTATTTTTAGAAATTCCGCCTGGTGATTCCTTTGGGACTTCCCAGGTCCAATCGCCAGAACCTCCATAATCCTCGCCAATATTAAGGATAGCTAACTGGGGTTGTGCAGGCACGGAAGTGTCCCCAACCCAGCCCCCGAAGATAATAATTTTGCTGCCGTCCGGTGTAAGGATTGCAGTATGACCAGATCGTGGCTCAATTCCGGAGATACCCTCTGGTAACCTTGCCTGGGATGAACCACTCAATGCTTGGTTGACTGTAACGTAGCTCCATGTCTCCTCGGGGAGGGAAAAGAGTGCTATCTGCGACATGTTGACGAACGCACTTTGCGTATGGCCACCAGCAAGGACGAAACTCTGGTGGCGCAACCTCGCACCAGTCGATGAATTTGAATATGCAGGTACTAGGGGCGTCATGCTGAAACCCGCCTCGGCCACGGGAGGGGATCTGATGGATAACGTTTCGATATTGTAGTCTGGACTAGGAGGGGACATATCTGTTTGAAGATAGGTCATATTTCTGGAGTACTCAGCGTCTAATATCCAGGACATTGGGCTCTCTTCGACCGTTGGACACATCCCGGCAAACACATAAATATCGGGGGCTGAATCACTGTCCGGGGTTGAGAACCCAATCCCAGCTGCGAGGTAGTTTGGCCCTTTCCATGGTATGTCATTGCTGCCTTTCTTTTGCTGTATTGCAGACTCCACCCATTTCCCATTCACATTGGTAGTATTTTCTCCATTTTCGCTTTCAAATCGCCAAACTTCGGCTTTGGAGGACCGACAATCCCCTGTATAGATGGTAGGGACGCCGTCTGGGTCTGCAATGGGAATTATCGATCTTGCATCGTTTGGAGAGATGGGGGGTAGGGCGATGTTCGAGAAGGACGGCGACGCGGCATCGAATGGTCTGGTGAGGTTGACGTATTGAAACTTAACCTCCTTTGATGTTGAGGATAAGAAATAGGCAACTGTTTGATTTTCAGCGGTGTTCGACACCCACAAGGACGAAGGGTTGTATGGTAAGTCTGTTGCTGTTGCCAGCGCAATGAGGGTGCTGGCAGTAAAGGATCTGAACATTCTGAGTCCGCGACCCAAAGTGGTCGATCACCTAGGCCTGTTGTCAACAATAGAACTTGGACCAGTCAACCTTCCATGATCTGTTCCAGCGTGATAATAAAGCAGCGCTGGCCAGTTTGGTAGGTCTGAGTTGCTAACAGTCCGAGGGAGACTCGACGGCTCACGGCATGGTCACAACAAACAGCCGCCCAGCAAGAAGAAGAACAACGAGCAATATAGCCTTTTGAAAATGTTTTCCCAGGATGTGCGGAAATACAAACTGGCGGGGAAGGTGGGAAGGTAGGCGGCAAATGGTAATAACAAGATCGAAATTAATTATTTGATGCAGTGGGGTGGCTGGTTACTCGCATCAAGGGCTGCTGGAGCTGCTGGATCCTGCGGGCTCTAGAACCAGGTTTGACCACCCTACGGCCTAAACTTCATTAGTGTTGCAGAAGACGAAGGCCAGAATGTTTTTGTTTTCTATACTCCGTACTCCGTGTGTGTTCCCACTTGATCGCTTGAGCAACGGTGACATCCTTCCTCCGCCAGCTTCGTATCTCCGCAACCCACGGGCTGATGTCGAGAGGTTGTTTGGGAGTAAACAAAAGAAAATAAGCGCCGCGGTTGCTGGGCAACAGCCGAGGAGCTTTGTCACATGACGGCGGCTCGCGTTTACTTTTAGCCGGCGGACGCGAAGGTTCCCAACCGCAGCCTGGTGATATCAAAAGGAAAGCGACGACAGGGAGGTTGGGGTCCCTTTGTTCTTTCTTTTGCTTTCTTTTCTTTTGCGATCATGATCTGCCTGCTTCACACCCACCGGCGGCGAGCAAGGAACAGGAACTAATCAACCTTACGTCGCCGGGCTGTTGCGAGTGGTGCAGTCACCACTGACTCTCTCGCACCCCCCCCCCCCCCCCTCTACCTACCCTCCTGAACCCTCCCGCAGCCGGGGCATGTCGAGGTCATGCCCGAGTTTCTTCAGCAGTAAGCACAAGGTTAAGGTGGTCTCGGTGTTCTACTTGCGATTCCACGCTATGGGTGTCTTACCTGCCATCGTCCAATGTCGTCATCGAACGCGGGCACTTGCAAGTCGAGGACCACACCACAATCTTCGAGATGGACGGAGCGTCATCCTGACGGCTACAACGGAGCGCTACCACCATTTACGGCACACTCACAAACTATCACATCACAGCCAGAGTCTCTAGACACATACTCCGTACAAGGGTAGAGAGAAGCTTCTGTGCCCTCAAAAGAGCGGCAGGATGGCAGGTTCACATGTCTATAGAAAGAAAGCCTAGATAGGAAATAGAAGAAGGGCTGTGACCAAGTTTATTCGAGCTCTGGGAGTGAATATATGCGTATATTCGTGGCTGTGGCAACCATGGATCCCGCCAGTCCGGTCGTCCGCCTCCTTTGTTGAACAGTTGCAGTTGAAATTATTATTAGTTTCTTACGGTCCCCGGTCGCTTCCGCGGAAAGAAGAGCCAGAGGAGGAGAATGCGTGTATGAAAGCGAGAAGAATGGTGAGTTTCTCATGCCGCAGCCACACGCTCACACGCCTTGCATATCATTGCGGCAATGCTTATGCAAGGGCAAGGCGCGCATACAACGATGGTCAAACAGGGATATGTGAAAGGGTCAACCACACCCTACAGTCCCACGCGTGATAGGAGATGGCAAAGTTTACCTGTTCGACCTTCAATGAAAAGCTGCTCCCAAGGCTGCCAAAGAATATAGGGCCATATGACGAGTTCCATGCACACTCAGTTGCCCCAGAAATGTTGTGACGAACTTCTGGATGTTCAATTTCAGGGCCTGAGCCATACTTCGGCTCCTGGAAAGCTGACTGGCGGATGACATATTCACCCTAAGTTGGCTCTTGTCCTTGAAGCTTCCAAAGTCATGCGACTGAGGCAAAGTCGAGAAGCTTAAAAATCCAATACAAATCTCGATTTTCGGTTGCGCCGGAACGAGCGTCGGGTCTCGAGTGGCCCATTTGTGCTCCCTATACCATGACACGGTCGTCGGGGGACAAAGCTGCGGTCGATCGCCATGTGAGAGCTGTGTAGCTCTGCCGCTCTCCAGCGCAGTATTCTACCCTTTTTTTACGGAGTACTTACGGTTACGAAGCATGGAACCGTGTAGTTGTTCGTCCGTGAGCTGTCTGTGCTATCGGCGCCACGCGATGGAGGACTCGAAAGCGGATGTCAACGTCAAAAACAAAAGAAGAAGAAGAGGAAGCTGTTATCAACGGCATATTGGGGAGGCAAGTAAGAAAACGAAATCCTTCGGAGGAATTATCCAAAAACCAACTTGTTATCACCGGGGGAAAAGCGCCTATCATCCGCTGCCCAGTTATGTACCACACAGTTATGGAGTACATGTGTATGACAGATGTGAATTTAACTTTCGATGAAGCTGGGAATTTCAACAGTTAATACTATCACTCCGTACCGTCATTGTTCCCATCTTCACATTGAAAATTGACGGGATGACGGCTGGTAAAAATGGCCAAACGGTGGGGGAAATGTATCTGCTGTTCCCTTACCAACGCCCAGGTGGAACAAAAATCGGGGATTACACCGGCGATAAGAGAAGGCCAGGTCAGGCAACCGAAGAGAACGGCTCAAGCCCTGTGTAAACAAAATGGTCGTACGGACATGCTCTCGGAAAAGCTATTTCCTGCTATATTTTACGGGGTTGTCCCCCCTCTTCATCCACGAAGCAGGGCGGAGTACGGAGTACTGACGATTGAAAGAAGCATGCAGTGTGGTGCTGTTGTACTATTTCACGGAGCAATGATGCCGTCGTCTGCCAGGTCCTTCCATGCGAAAAAAGGCCGGCGCGGCTTTTCGTTGGCTGCGCTCCGTTTGCGACTTTACCACCTATGACGAGCAAGCGGCAGGCGGGTGTACCGACCAGAAGACCAAGATACCGGGATCTGTTGACTACTCCAGCACCCTCAAGTCACCCCATACATATCCTCAAGGCCCATCCTCTCTCTGCCTCTTGCTGCTGGACAACCCAAAAAAAGGAATTCTTTAGTTGTGGCGGCTGAACCGCCAAAAAAGAAAATATATACACATTCATCAAGTCGTAATCGACAAGATGAGGAAAGTTACATACGGCGTAAGGAGAAGGTATGAAGATAGACGAGAGAAGACAGGGAGAGGGTCAAAGCACAGACAGATGTGAACGGCGTCCTGGTCCAAGGAGAGATTTTCATTTACTTTTTCTTTTGCGTCCCTTTGGCCTTGTTCTTCGTTTCTTTTGGGAGACGTTGCTATGTAAGTGAAGGCTTTCCTCATCTTCCGTTCGGGGTAATCCAACAGGATTGCCTTCTTGGGCTGTTGGCCCTCATGGCGTATCAGATCAACGGTATCTCGCTAGGGTCAAGGAAAGATATCGTTTCTTCTTCGCGAGGAAAGCCGGAGATCTCCCGAATGTACCACACCTCGTTATTTGCATACAATATACGATGTATGTATGTACGTATGAGATGGCCCGTGATATCAGCCCAACCGCAGAGGTGGTTGGCGTATCTTGTTCACTACTCTGTACAGAGTACAAGGTAAACCACCAACCAGACTCAATGTGTTTGAAAGGCACGGCCGAGAGAGGAGGAGGAGGAAAGAAAAAGAAGAAGAGAAGATGCCGTCCATCTTAGCATTTCTAGAAAAACGGGAGGAAATGTATGATATATGGGTCACTTAACAGACATCGGTTATGATGTGTAGATAACTAAAATCAAACGACAGCCGTGACGTTTGGGGGTTAGAGGGAAGTAAGTGAATATCAACTTTAGTTGCTGAAGTGGCCCAGATTGGCGGGAAGAAAGATGCTAGTCAGAAGTACTCTATACCCAGCTGAATACATCGACACTATCCTACCCTTGAACCCCCCCAAATGCATAACTCCCGTAATAACTCTGTAGCGATTCGTCTAACCTGCATGAAGCATCGCAACTTCATGACTTTTATGTCATTCATTAAATGGCCACGAGTGCGGGCTATATCAGAGAGCAGATATAATATCAAACTTGTGCTATGTAATAATGTATGCCACCCTGCGGGAGGCTTGTTTCAAGTTCAAGGTTAAACAGACGGACAGTTAGAAAATCAAAGCGGATCTCACACCACCACCTTCTTTTTCTCTGCTCGTGGGCTTGCGTGAGTTGGACGGGTGGAAGACGTGGTCCCCAATAACGGCCTGGTTTAGTTTCTTCCTGATATTCTTGTTTTCTTCCTTTTGTTCAACTCTTGCCCACTGGTGCGGGACTCTACTAGATCTTAATTGGTAACCCGCCGTTGATACTACCACGAAAATAGCAATAGTATCTCAAGCACCAATAGTGAGTGGTATAGAGCATAGCAACGTAAGAGGGACTTGGCCTATCCTTTGCTTTGACACAGCATGAGATATCTCCCCTGTGTCCGTCGTGTATCAAAACAACAACAACGACAAGCAGAAGCAAGGCCCGAGGAGAAAGACGAGTGCTTGGGCCTCCATCAAGACCCACCCCATGGGCTTCCCTTGGCTGTGCTTTTTCCCTCGCTGCGAGGACAAAGTTGGCTGCGCCGTGCGATTGGCCGAGGACGCGGATGGAGAGTTCTTGGGGATCTTCTGTGTGTCCGTCTCTTCTCCGTCTGTCGAGGGAGTCGAGGAGGGGGAAGACGTTATATCGTCCCGTAGCTCTGATGGGACCGTCTCTTCTCGTACGGGACATTAGCCCGCCGTCAAGAGCGGGGAGGAAAGGAAAGGGAGGGGACACAACCAGTTTAAGGCTCAAGGGAAAAGAAGCCGTATCTTCTTAGCCATCCGCAAGATGACAATGGATGATAATGTATGGAGTAGACGCCCAGGTTAACTCTGTGGCCGTCCTGTATAATGTATGTACGTTGCTGCACGGCGCTCGATAGGGAAGAGCATCCCCCTGTCAACGTTCAGGAATCGACAAGGGCAGGAGACGAAGACGCCGCCAGGGAGTCAGGGATGTAGGAGTAGGAGAAACCACTCCTCCGTCTGCCAGAGGCATCATGCATGTATGTACAGTAACTACCTAGTAATGCCGTAAGTAAGTCAGTAAGTCTAGTACTGAAGTGTATGCAAGTCACTCTCTCATCCGCTGTGGGGGGAAAGGGAGGAGCGTACATCGATGGGATGTCCGTAACTATGCAAGCTCGCCTTTTCTTCTTCTGATGGCTTTTCCTTTTGCTCTCTCTGTTGACATGAGGAAGAAGAAGAAGCGATAACTGCTTCTTTTCTTTTTCACTCTGTTATTTCATCATCATATCATCATCATCATCATTATCATATAGAGGGACTGCCGCAGTTAACCTTCCCGTTATAGTTACCGTGGCAGAAACCGGAATATCAGCATCGACATCATCGTCATTGTTGCTATTATTCTTTCTTCTTCCTGGTCTTATCTCTCTTTTTTACCTTTCTGGCTTCTGTATCTTCATCGTTGGTTTAGCTTTTATGGCCTGCCTGCCTGCCTGGCGTACTCCGTATATGTGGTTTAGTTACGGAGTCGGGGTAGCCAGCCAGTAGGACCTGCGATTTCAATAGCAGCCGGATCTTCCCCAAGGCAGCGAGAGGACCATCTGTAGGCGACTATTACCGTAGCAGCAGGAGAAGCAGATGGTAGGCCAGTCGCCTCCTGCTCTCTTATCCCACGAGTCCTTTGATATTTACTCCATACACAGTGTATCGACGCCGTGCTTAGCGTGGGGAGCGGCCTCGCCTGTAACTTTTTGATGCTGTGCAAGCCTCATCCCTGCGACCTTCGTGACGGGAGAGAAAACAAAAATAACCACATGAAGTTCGATCTGGTCTAGCATGGACATTTTAGTACCCAGCAGGCGAGTAAAGAGAAAGAGAAGGAGAAGAAAGAGAGCGGGAAGTGATAGACGCTGGGAAGGGAGCAAGGGATCAAGGGAGTAAGGGGGACGGGGGGCTGGAAGGCAGAGGAAACGCAGACATGGTTCACGGGCCGTAGCCTGCAGAGAGCTTGAACGGGGGGAGCTTTTCGAGAGACGGCGGCCGACTCCTGAGTTATCGATCTCGACGATGCGCATCTGGGCAGCCAGTTAATTGCTCCGTAGTTAATTACTGAGATCGAGCCAAAGAAGCAAAGAGTGAAGGGGGGACGGACAGCCAGACAGGGTTCTGTTCCAGGCGAGGAGGAGGATGCCTGCTCTGCTACTTGCTCTCTGCTGCCTTCCCGTCTTCACGCCTGCCGTAGGACCGTGTGAAACGATCAGGGCGATCTTCTCTTCTCTTTGGTCTCGTCTCTCTCGTCTAGTCACTTCTCATCTCTCTCAGCTTCGTCTGTGAAATCCCCGGAGTACGGACTCCCCTAGTTGCCTCTACTAATCAATGAAAGTAGCTGCCTCTTCCTTCCCACGCTGATCCTCCGCAGTCGATGTCCGAAGCTAAGGATCCTCCATCGTCCGCAAAGCCGCCCTCTTCATCATCGACCTCGTACTTCATCTACTTCATCTACTTCATCTGCCTCGCCGTCGCTCTTCTTGTCTCTTCTATATAAATATCTGTAATAAAGGCGTAACAAGCAATACAGATAGCGTATCGTGTACTGTAACGTCCTGTAATAACCGTACCTGACCATACACCTTTACCACCCGCTAGCCGCATCTGGTCTAGCGCGCCACTTTTCCCCCCTCCTTCTGCGTTTTTTCTTCTTCTTCTTCCTGCGGTTGAAAAATACAACAAAAAGACGAGCGAGCGAGAAAGCAAACCAGAAAAAGCGTTTTCCTTAACCTTTTGCTGCCTTTTCTCGTCTTCTTCGCCTTCTTCGACTTCCACCAGTTTCAACCACATCGTCAACTGCTTCAACTCCATCGTCAGCGCCAACGCCAGCTCCAGCGTCGAGCGACACCACCAGCGAGCGCGGAAGCTTCAATTGTGCCGCTACTAGTCGCTCTCTGCCGGCCTTGTTCGGGCCTGTGCTGATAAGAGGAGGGAGGGACCCCCTTTCGCCATCCTCTATATATACATAGACATATTAAGCACCAGCGTTCCTATCGAGTCCAACCACTCCACCTCTCGGGGCTTGATCGTGTGCAACGACAAGACCGCAACCTCCCTGCACGGCTGCACGGCTGCACGCCCAACGAATAGCGAATAGGTCGCCAGACAGCTAACTCCTCGAACTGCCCGATCCCCTTCATTGGCGAGTCCCCGGTTGAACGCTGCTGCTTTTGCCGGGTTATATACCTGGCTCTGCTCTGATCGACCGCCTCTCGCTGGCCCCCTTCGAGACCCAACAACCATTCACATTCACCGACGGAGAAGAAGGACAAGACAGTCGACACAAGGACCGATCTTGCTCCCATCTTCAATACCGATCGATCTTCTCTTTTCTTCTTCTCGGGGAGTGGAGGCAATGGCGACCATCTCTCTCTCTAACTAATGCAGGCAAAACTGGCGTCGGTTCGCTGAGATTCGCACACAATCCCAAGAGATGCGGGCTACGGGCATCTCTTCCCTTCACTCCTGGTAAACTGCAGTTTACGGTGACTGTCGAAAGACTCACCTCTGTCACCTTTTTCTTTTTTTTTTATTTAATTTGCCTTCCCTTTTATTTATTCGTTCCTTTCACCTTGCGTCTTTATACTGTTGGGGGAGGGAGGAGCAATTCCTGATTTTAGACCGTTCGCGAGAGAAGGAAGACCAAGACGAAGACGCAGACGAAGAAGAAGGAGAAGAATACAAGAATCATACATGGGAGGCGGAAACCGGGCCGTATCCCCTTAAAAGATGGATTCACAGTCACAGAACGTGAAGACGACGGCCGAGGAAGGAGACGACAGAGGACGGATAAGGAGCTCGAGGTCGAGAAACATTCGACATGACAGACGGGATCAGGATCCCGAGGCCGGCGACGGCGAGTCCTCGAGGCTCTCCTGGATGTCGGCCGGACTCTTGTCGAGGCAGACGTCCAATACTCTGGCTCGCCAGAAGAGCATCCCTAACGACGGCAGGCCGGAGGACCGTCGATCGTTTGCCCAGAAGCTTCACCTCTTTCCCTACAGACCTCACTCGACCAGTACCTCTCGCGAATCCTCGACCAACACTTCGTCAAGCTCTTTGCATTCTCTGGTTGATCCGGCTGTTGGTGGTGAGGCAGGCCCTCCCTCCAGCGCGATACCAGCTTCTTCTTCCTCGACGGCCTCCGCCTCCGATCCCTTCAGCCAGTCTGTCACCACTCCCAGACAGACCGCCGAGACCGGCAATGTTCCTCCCCTGAGTCCACTGACCGAATTGCCGATGGTCGCCCCCCGTGCCACAATTCGCGGCCCATCTCACGACCTCCCTGTCTATCCAAACCAGTCATACGCAATGCTCCAGCAACAGATACATCCTGCGCCTTACAGATCTCCAACTCTGCGCACTCGAAGCTCCTATCCTTCACACTCGGATTTCACTTTTCCCCAACCTACAACTTCTTGGGCGCGAGACTCGAATGCCTCCCCAAATTCACGCACCGTCGGCAACACCCCCATATCTAGTCCGGGGCTCTTCTCTGCACGGACACCTCGCACCTCTCCTTCTATCGGCTCGGAAGATGGACAAGCTGGTGTTCACCTGCACCGAACACATATGCAAGAACCAAAAGAGTACGAATTTTTTTTTACTTCACCCGTCCTCAACGTTCCTCTCCCCGTTTGCCGTTTTGTGATACTGACTGACTTTACTATCGTAGAACGCATACCGTCGAGGTGGATCGCCACGAGCTCACCGGAAACAAGTTAATCAATGAGTACGAGATTCTAGAGGAGCTCGGACGTGGAGAGCATGGCAAAGTCAAATTGGGTCGCCACTTGAAGACCGCCCAGTCCGTCGCCATCAAGATTGTGCAACGATACTCTAAGCGTCGTCGTCTAGGGAAACTAGGTAACCCCGAAGACAAGGTCAAAAAGGAGGTTGCCATCCTCAAGAAGGCCCGCCACCCGAACGTCGTCAGCCTGCTCGAGGTCATCGATGACCCAAACCAGCAAAAGGTCTACATCGTGCTCGAGTACATCGAAAATGGCGAGATCGTGTGGAGAAAGAAGGGACTGAAAGAAATCGTTTTGGTCGATAAACAAAGACTTGATCGTGAAAAACGAGGTATTCCCGACTCTCCTTCTTTCATCGAGAATAGTCAACAGTTTATCCATAATACTCAATTGCGTCGACGGCATATAGAAGCCCTGCGTCAGCGTCAGAAAGCTAAAGGCTCTCAACATGTCGGTGTTTCTGGCTGGAGCTTGGAACATGGCGGCGAGTCGGACAACGAGCTCGATGTCGACTATTCTCCCATGTCCAAGTTTCCCACGGCCTCGTCGGCGCATTCGCAAGATACCCCTGAATTCCAGATTTCTCCGCAACATTCTCTCACCTCGACCGGAGAATTCGACAAGCGGATGCGTGAGATGGCAGGCTTCGGCAGTGATACCGGTTTGTATGGCGGATACGCATCAGACCCAATGTTTGCACGCCGCTACAGCAATGCTTCCAGCCATCTAGCCTTCCAAGCCGAGCCTGACTGGCTGTCTGACGATGATGACATGGGCTATGTACCCTGCCTAACTCTTAGTGAAGCTCGTACTGCCTTCAGAGACGCTGTCTTGGGACTTGAATACCTACATTACCAAGGTATCATCCATCGTGATATCAAACCTGCCAACCTACTTGTTACAGGTAACCATCGAGTAAAGATATCAGACTTTGGAGTCTCATACCTTGGCCGCCCTATTAGGGATGAGGATGAGGAGCAAGTCACGGAGACTGATGCCACTGAATTGGATGATGCCCGTGAACTATCAAAAACCGTCGGGACGCCAGCTTTCTACGCCCCAGAGCTCTGCTACACGGGCGTCGAATGCGAACCTACCATTGGCAAGGATCCCAAGATCACCGGCGCTATTGACGTCTGGGCTCTTGGAGTCACCCTCTACGGGATGATCTATGGCAGGCTGCCCTTCGTTGCCGATGACGAGTTTAGCTTGTTCCAAAACATCGTCAGACACGACGTCTTCATCCCAACCAGGAGGCTCAAGGCTGTTGTGGCTGATGATACTCTACCTGACCACCCTCACAGTCACCCTCACACCCACTCTTATTCTCATTCTTACAACACTCAGAGATCTTCTAGCGTGAGTAGCAGTACACGCTCTGAGGGCGAGCTGGCATATGAGGCTGTAGACGAGGAGTTACGAGACCTTTTGCGTCGCCTCTTGATCAAAAACCCAACAAAACGGATCACTTTGAAGGAAATCAAACATCATCCCTGGATCACCCGGGATATCCAGGACCCGAAGGCTTGGATCGAAGACACCGATCCCGGGTACCAGAGCAAAGGCAAGAAGATCGAGGTTTCCAACGACGATGTTATTCGTGCTGTTACCAAGTTGCCATTTATCGAACGAGTACGCTCCAATGTCGTCAAATGGAGTGGCAATATATTTGGTCGTAGGCGGGCCCCTAGTTCTGCTACATCGGTAGATACTGCACATTCTGCCTCATCCGGTAGCAGCTTAACTATCGGTAAGGATATCATCCGAGAGCTTAGGAGGACTAGTTTACGTGGCGATGAGGAGATCACCAGAACTCCAAGAGGCGCCAGGGAGGGTGAACACCCACTTTCACAGAGCCTGGTGGTCAGCCCTGATTTGCAGGCTGATATCAAACACCCAGATTACTTTGGACGTGTAGCTACATCACGAACTGCACCAACATCAGTGAACTGCTCTCCCATCCAAGAGCCTCGTCCCGATCTACCTGGACGCACCGCCTCGAAACTTTCTAGCGCTGGATCGACAAAGACAATTCGCCCTACTAACTTGGAGATGTCGTTTCTTAACGACCAGTCTTTCACTGCAGCTGGGAACGAGTCGTTCAATTCCTCTCCTGGTGGGATGACCATATTCGGAGGAGCCAGGAATAGACTCGTTAAGAGTTTACATATTCGGGACCGGCGGCACGATAATTGCGAGGCCCCAGAACACAACCCCTTCGACGCAGCATGCCACTCTACGCCCAGTGTAGCTGTCTCTCCCGCCTCAGCTACTGGTCTAGTCAATACTCCAGATCTCATTCATGAGTCAAATAGCACACCGACTCCTCACGCCTCGCCACGAAGGTACACCATTCACAGACGGAGTAAGTCCCATCAGCTTCGACAAGACGCAAATCTCGCCGGACCACCACCTGCCCCCTTGCATCGCGATTTTCTCTTCCGTAACCCCGACTCAACAGCCCATCATCATTTAGGTCAAGACAACGCAACCATCGTCAATGTTGACAAAGATGACTTCCACATCCATGCATCGCCGGTGCACTATTATAACACCCTAGAGGCCGAGAGCTACGATGATGACCCGTTCAAGTATCAGCCAATAGCAAGGCCAATCACGTCTCCTCCATTAGCAATTACCATGTCATCTTCATCCATGGATGATTATCACAGTGAGATGTCCCACTGCGCATCGCACCCAAGCATACCATCCGTGATATCAGGCGCCTCCTCTCTATCTGCTGAAGGCTTCTCAGCGTATCCCGTTGAGCTAAAGTATGAGAAGAAAAGTGAGAAGGAGCATGGTACTTGCTCATGCCCAGTTGTCCCGCCTATGCTTCGAACAGGCGATACAGTTACGGATGAATCCACGCGGACAGCTATGGTTGACAAAGCACGGCCCGAGCCCGTGAAAGTGGAAACTAATGATGATGACCAACGATACCATGGTGATGACGAGGACGAAGAAGACGATTCTAGCGATGAGGGACTTACATTTGGCAGATGCAAGGCCAGCGTCTGATGCATGACCGAACAAACAATAACTCTTATTCACCTTCCCCGTTTGGAACTTTCTGTTCCCTGGATACGGGGGCATATGAAATGAAATAATGACGAGAGATGTGTGAATTGCATACATAATTATATAATCACACCCAACGACACTACCACCGACACCACTCTTCACTCTACACCCATTACTACCGTGCCTCATAAACCACTACTTCTTGATTCCCTACGCTTTCCTTTTTCATCCTTGCATTATATCAAGGTTATACGATATATTCACCACACGACCCCCTATATTTCATACCTTAAGTCATATCCTGCATGGGCATTACGGAGTTTATTCCCATTACCCCTTCTTCACCCCCCATTTGCTGTAAAATTTGGATAGCATACACCTTTGCTTCTTTCTCATCATCTTCTTTTTGACATCCCTCTTTCTTCCCCATTTCGTTTTTTGCCAGCTTTCCTCAGTCAGATATCCCCTTAAACTTTTGTTTTCGTTGTTTATATTACCCTTCTTTAATATTGGGAGAATTGATTGACATGCATGGACTCTGTCCAATGTGGTCAATTGATGGCATTTTCTTCGACCTCTATACTCAAATTTCTTTTTTATGATGTCTTTTGGATTGGGGGTGAGATGGGATTGAAGGGAGGAAGCGTGTACACTGACTGAACTGAATTTAATTGATGAAATGATGGAGAAAAGCGAAGAAACAAAAAGGAAACTTATTCTCCGTTCTCCCTTGCTGGCCTGTTGGCTCGCTCTTACTTGGTGCTTTTATGCGGGAAAGAAAATGACCTGCATCCTGCATATATTCGTTCCCTCTACAGCGACTGATACCGGTTCTACCTTACGTTCCCCAACTTTTTGTTGTAATTTTTTGAGCTGTGTATAATAATATTACATTTGGATGGGGTTGGAATCTTTTTTAAAGACTACTTTACAACTGCACTCGTTCATTGCGATTCAGACTAGCATTGGTGTCTTGATCCTTTGTGGTATATGTATATGTATACCTCAACTTGCTACGAGAGGATATAAAAATAGCAACTATTCCACAGCTTCTCGAAGATCTTCCATGCTGGGAAGGCGATCTTGTGCCTTTGTGGCGCAGTCCATGCATCGCCCATCATCCAATTTATCTACAACACCGGACTCCATAACGGCCCCCAGAATCGGACGTTTCAAGAACGAGAATGAGATTTACGTCAGAAACTCAGTCAATAAGGCAGAATCATTTGCTTCTATAAATAATTCTGCCTTACATGGCTTGCTTCTAGAAAGCGTCTTTACCAGGATGGATGGATCTCAAAAGGTGGCCTGGATGGATTGGGGAGATTCCCCTTTGAAGATCCGAGACGATGATGATTACGGAGTAAGCGAAGTACCGAGTTGCTGGGGCTACTTTCAAACCGGCCTTGAGACCTTCAAAATGGTTCCATCTTTTCAGTTCAGCATGGACAGGAAAAGGGGGAGGTGAACGGGCATCGAGGTTCGCAAGGGAGAAAGAACTATTTGTTTCATTCTAGGGCATGCCTGCGTCAACGGGGCCCCACGACCTCAGCTCTCGGCTTCACTCTCACCGGTCTTTCAGCGAGATAAAAAGACCTGTTCGGCGGACCGGATTGGATGACAATCTGGCGTGTTGCGGTCTCCCTGTCCGACTGGAGAGGCTCCGCCAATCAGGCACCATGTTCAAAGCGATTGGTGGCCTTCAGCCTTGTCCCGTCTTCGTCCCACGCACAGCCCGAATCCAAGTCAACATCCAGCTTGGTCTAGTTGTCGCTCGGGCACAAAGCAGTCGCGTAAATGTGCAGCGAGCAGGCCAGGGATATGACGAGTACCGAGTACTGAGTACTGAGTACTTTGGCCTGTACTTTGGTCTGTACTTTGGCCTGGACTTTGGCCTGTGCAACTTGACTGTAACTAAATCTATGGTACTGCCTTGCTTCCAGGCAGAGACATCTACCAACGCATAGTCGATCATTCGGCCTGCAGGATATTGATCCTAGCCTCTGCACTTCAGCTGCGATGGTCAGTCAGCTTAACTCACGCAAGCTAGCTAGTGGACTCCTTACTTAGATGGCAACCGGGGGCCAAACATTTGTCAACGGTGCCTTGCTTGAGCCGCCAGGGGGAACAAGCACAGGCAGGTTGGTCCAGGGTCGCTGAAACCGTCAGCCACAATTCACTCTTCCCCGGGGTGTCTGCTGCCTGCCTGCTGCCTCCTGCCTTTCACCACTCGGATATCTCCCCCGGGAGCCTAGACGAACCACGCGTGAAAGCAAGAAGCGAGCAGACTGACTGTGCTGCTTCTTTCTAAGGCTCCTGCTGTCAACCCCTTAACTACTTAACTACCGACTTACTAGCGGGAAGAGAGCGCCAAGACTCGCGAAAACGCAAAGTCCAACAACCTCCACGTCTTTTCCTCCGACAAGCTACTTCATCTTCGTCTCTCGCCTTCATCTTCGCCCTCGCTCGCCCTCGTCCTCCCGCCCGCTCGCCTCAGATACCGGCATAGCGACTCCCTGCGTTGGGCCCTGAGACTGCGTTTCGTCTGCTGGATGCTCCCTGTCGGCGGCCTTCTTGTGCGGTTCCTTCATCGTAACACATCTGCTGGAAGCTAGTGGGGTCATTCCAACCTCAGGCGCCCGGTCTATTCTATCTCCCAGGGACACGCAAACGAGCGACCGCCGCGCACCCCCCAGAGTCCTGCGCAGTAAGCGCATCGTCTATGAAGCCGTATGAGCTGACTGGTACGAGGTGGCTTGACTTGCTCTGAAACGCCCGGAAGTTCGTCTCGCGTCGTTCTCGAACGTTTTTCGTGGTGTTAAGAGAAACCGCCAGAGAGAGCGAAGCTCCACCATACTTCACCACTGCCACGTTCCGCTATATACATACATATAGATCACGACTCCGCCACGCCCGCCATCCCAAACAGCCTGAGGGGCCAGTCGATCTGGGTCTGCTCACCCGCGGGTTACGAAACGCTACATCCTGCTGACGGCCGTCTACATCCTATCTACCGCGATCAGCCTCGGCGGTTAGGTAGGACGTGCTTCGCCGGCTGAGCGCTCGGAGAAGCTTGACCCCTGCACCAAGCCAGTCTATTTCTGGTAGACAAGCATCCTGTTGGAAGCAGAACACAAAGCAAAAAGGAATATAAGGATTCTTCGTGCCATGATGGAACCTCCTTCACAGAACGGAAGGGCGAGGTCGTCGTCGACTGCTGCCCAAAACAATAATAATTCCCATTTCGCCCAGGATCATTCCAACAATAATCAGCTTCACACCAGCCAATCGCTCTCGGCGAATACCAACAGTAACAACAATTATCCAACAACAACATCAACAAATAACCAGCAATTCCTCTTCACAACTCCTTACCTGGCAGCTACATCTCAAGAAGGACTTGGATTCACCACCAATGTGACCGGGCCAGAACGCCAGTTCAATCAGCAGGAAGACTTCTCCCAGGCGTTCGATACCAATTTCCTCGACCAACTAGAACAACCTACTTCCGGTATAAACGATAGCAGAGACTCACAGCCGTTTCCAGACTTTGATACATCTGACGCCGGGTTCAACTTTGACGAGTTCAACGCCTTCACACACCAGGATCAGACCTCCGGGTTCAATACATCAACCACCATGATGGGCACTATCCAACAACAGCCTACCATCAACCCGGCAGACTTTGCTCAGCCCCTATCCTCGCCCCCGATGCCAAACTCTCCTCACCTTATTCCTCCCGAGAACACTCCGTCTCCCAACAACCGCCCCAGTTCTCCGGCTGCTGCTTCGAGTCCCGGAACTTTCTACACGCCACAGCATTCACGACATACCTCACTAGACCCGGCCAGTGCCGCATATATCAATACCGATGCGCAGTCTAATTGGCAAGGAATACTTGGGAATAGTTCATTCCAGGGCCATCGTCGTGCACCATCAGAACATTCTGATGTCTCTTCTGTCTCACATTCGCCTTTCTTAGCACAGCATGATACCTTTGATACCTCTGCCCATCCTTCTGCCCAACCATCTCCTCGTCTTCCCCCTCAGACAGACCCAAGCATGTATGACAATGCTTTTGGAATGGAAGCCTTCACTATCTCGGAGCGTGATCACAACAATGGATATAGTCCTGCACATAGTCCGTACATCTCTCCTAGGCTCTCTCCGCAGCTGCAAAACACGGAGCTGGACCCAGAAAGTTCACTGCTTCTGTCCCAAAATATAGCCCAAATACAAGGGACCACTCAAGACCCATATATCGGAACGACAGCCCCGCATGTACCTGGTTTCCCGGCGCAGCAACCCGGGCTTAGTGATATGGGGCAAGCAGCTCAGATGACGCCTCCTTCAATCAACGTTGAATTTGCGCCACCTTCCAGGACATCTACCGTAGAAGGACCCAAGCTAAATGCAGACGGGGATACATTAAGTCCTCCAATGAACCGTATGTTGCCCTATCTATGTCATTGCCTGGTTTAGTAACGCTGACAAATTGAAATAGGCGCTCGAGGACGTAGCAAGTCCGATCCATTCATGTCACGGCCAATGGTTCCATCTTCACTTGGTGTATCTCAAGGAGGTGCAATTATAAACGCAGGCTCTTTGTCGCCATCCAGAGCACCTGTGGGCACTTTCAGCACGCCGTCTTCACGGGAAGTCTCTCCAGTGAGCAAGAATAGACGACAGTCAACCTCTTCACTTGACAGTCGTAGCTATATCTTGGACCTTGCAAACCCTCAGCGGCCTGGATCCAGCACACAAGACTCAAAGAGAGTTCAAAAACACCCTGCAACGTTCCAATGCACACTCTGCCCTAAGAAATTCACACGGGCTTATAACTTGCGCTCTCACCTTCGAACTCACACCGACGAAAGACCCTTTGTTTGTACGGTCTGTGGCAGGGCATTTGCCCGTCAGCATGATAGGAGACGGCACGAAAGCTTACACTCCGGAGAGAGAAGATTTGTCTGCAGAGGGGACATGTCTAGTGGCCGTCAGTGGGGATGTGGGCGGCGGTTTGCCCGCGCGGATGCTCTAGGTCGTCATTTCAGGTCCGAGGCTGGCAGAGTGTGCATTAAACCCCTGCTTGATGAAGAGGCTCTTGAACGCGAAAGCCTCAATCATCATCAGCAGCAACAGCAACAAGGAAACGTTTCCCCAGGGCATTTACAACCGGGCAACCAGCCTCTGACGGTGCCGGGTATGGATGGCTCTGGAGGCTCTTTCACTCTGCCTGCTGCTTTATTGGCACAGTATCCCGCATTACAAGGTTTACAATGGGATCAAATTGCAGCTCCGGTTGATGATAACAGTGACATTGGCGGGCGAAGCAGTTTTGATGCAAGTTCTGGAGGGGAGTTCGGCTTTGGAGACGAAGAGGAGCCCATCAATACTGGATTTTTGAACCAACCACACGTTCAGTCACCACAACACCAGATGGTTGGTGATCAGATTAACCACGGTGCCACCGGAGGTGCTTGGCCACAGTCCAGTCAGGGCTGGACAAACGATTATAATGGCATCAGATAGCATTTACGTCGCTTATTTCGAACATAAGGCTCAGAACTCTTGGTTTCCATTTTCTCCTATCCGTTGTCTTCTTTCTTCCCCTTATTCACTGGATTTTTTTTCTTAGTGCTAAGCTTTTTATTTCGTCTCGCTATTTCTATTTTGTCTCTACCGAGGATGCCCATGCTCCCACACGACACCTTTTGACTGTTATGGCGGCTTTTTCTCAATCTGAATATACCAAAAAAATGCCCCTGTCTATATGACATTGCCATTAATGACTTTCATACGTCTTTTTTCTTCCACCCGAAGTACAGCAGTTATGACAAAATACATACCCAGCCTTGGATGGCCCGTTGGAAATGTTTTCTTTTTGTCTCCTTTCCTTGTGTTAAGCCTCTACGGCTTCTTTTGACTATCCATTCTTGGTTTTATATTATGTTGGGTTTGGTTCTTCCAACCAAATTACATCTATATATATAAGCTTTTGTTTTGCCATTGCTCCTGGAGTTTTAACTGTGAGTCGGTGCGAGTCATTCAATAGCGACTGAAATAGACTGGTCAATCTGGTTAATATTATCATTATCTAGAATGTTTCATTTATAGTGATCATCCAGCAATAAACATGTAGTCTTTGCTGTACTCATAAACCAAACCAGCGTCGGTTTATTGAGTTTTAATTCTGGTGCTCCGGGACGGACGGTTTCTCTAGTCGAAGCAAGAACTGAAGTTCAGCCAGGGAAATATGGCATGGCCTCATGTTTTGAATGCAGTTGCGAATCTTATGCCAGGTCTCATCTGCTAGCATAACTGGAGTTCGTAAAAATAATATTGGACATGATTAGTTGCTTACTTTAAAGACAGCGCTGGCTGATGAGTGACTTACACATGTATCCGTCTTCGACCAACACTAGCTCGTCACGTCATGCCAGGGCAGAAAGCGAAGTAATTCAAGTTCATGCATTCGTTTGCATTCCCTGCCGAATATCCTCGTGGCTGTGGATCTCGATTATCCCACAGCAATCCAGAATCTGAGTTGATGTGATGAACGGTGTTCAGTGGGAATGCCTGATCAGGACTATGCCTAAGCAATGCTTCCACGAGTAAAGGTTCTGACATCTTTGGCACACGGAGTATGATATTTGGTCCCTTTTTGACACAACTAAGTCCTTTGACGTGTTGAAACTGCATCTCCTCCTTTATTGAACCCTGCATTTGCGCAGCAGTAATACATGGTTTGCGATAACGATCAAACCAGGGCGGCCAAGGGAACCATCTCTCTGAGGCACCCAGATGACCAAGCGTTCTCATCAGGCCGTATTTTTCAGCAACCTCCGCTTCCGCCACGAGAAGAGGTATGGCTTGAAGATAATCTCGTGGGAGTAAGAAGTCGTCAACATTCGGGATAGGGCAGGCAGGGCAGTATACGATCCAGCTCACATCGGATCGACCGAGAAAGTCAGAAACCTGGAAATCCGTATGTTCAAACTCTCCTACACGGCACCCTCCTTTTGCCATGGAGTAGACGATTTCGATCCAACGGAGTGGATCGTTAGGAAAATCTTTCTTTCGTTCGCTTTCTGTGTTCCGCAAGACGGTAAATACTATCTCTTTCTGTCCAACTCGTTCCATTCCCTGGGATATATATGTCCAACAAGCAATCTCTCCTTTGCACATTGACGTAATGGTATGATGGACAATAATTGCATGTAGAGGCTCTTTAGGTCGAATAACTGCACGGATAGTCCAGGACGAGGGCTTCTTTTCTTTTTCCTCAACTCTCCTCAGATTGATTTCCTGAGCGCGGACTAAGGATTGGGCAACTGCCTCTGCCTGGTACGAACCAAGCACGGGCTGAAGCCAGTTTGAATCGTCCACCATCTTGTCGCTCGACATTCTCAATGCCTCCGAGAACTCGTATAAATTTCCACTTAAATGTTGAATAAGGTGGACTCAATGGCCCAGTACCCCCATGAGCATATATATCCTCAGTTAGGGAACATGTTGGGAATGTCTTTGGACAAAAAGGCCCCGTATAACTTCTAAACAATCAAGGCTGGTCAACAGTTGAATCCTACCAAGTGTATTTCCCCAACTTTTTATTGGCTAGTACGGTCCCTCAAAACACCGCCACAATAACGAACATATATACCTATATACGAGTTTGCAAATAGGTATGTCGTGCATAAGCAAACGGACTGCACTCCGTGAAGCAGACGAAAAAGGAAGAATTTATATGCAAAGTCGCAAGGAATGTATTTTTAGATCTGATAGCCAAATAGATATCTATGGGCGGGCCCATGTCCCATCACGTGAGGCGGCTCTGCGCCTAACTGGGCGGCTTTTTAAAGTTACAACTTGCAAGCCATGTTTCGCTGTCTCATGCAGAGGCTGGAAAGGATTCTGGATAACTATTTTGAGCGCTCGATAGCCAGAACAGAGGATTGCCTGCTTCGGGATCAGATATTACACCGACGTCATGTCCTTAGGTGCGTTCAGACCCCGTGTTTTACCCTGATTGCTCTGCGTTGGACCCAGACGGTGGAGGGGTGCGATAGCTTGGTGAACTCAGAGACTAACAGCTTCCGCTACGCAGACGAAGAGATTCTGGAGTTGGTCGCGAAAAATGGCCAAATGGACTAGTGAGCTAACTTTTCACCTTTACATCTTCTCCGGCTGCTAACAGGATAATATCTAGTGAGAGATGGCCTGCGCTTTTAGAGCCGTTGCTGGAGCGGCTGGACCATGTACGTCTTACACCCCCTTCCCATTGCTCTAGCCTGATCATTAACAACTATACAGATAGTGCACAATGAATTCCGGATACCACAGATACCAGCATATGCCTCTTTTGAAACCATCCAAACCCTTCCTCTCATGTCACAATCGCAGCCCGCCAGCGAATCCTTGCCCAATAGCAACAAAGAGAATGCTCCTCCATCCCTAGCTCAGTCACCACAGCGGCCACCTGTTCCGTCCTTCTCTTCCCAGGCTTCTGCCTCTATAGATCGGATTCCGGACTCTCAGAATTCCCAGCTACTGTCCAATGGATTACCTCCTCCTCTGATAACGGAGTTATCCGCGATTAAAAGTACTCTGAGGTCCTATTTTTCTCAAAAGCCACCCCATACAATTCAGCGTCTTGCAGAGCTTATACTGCGGCCTACGAAGAATTATAAAACTTTGCCAGCTTACCTACGAGCCGTCGATAGAGTGGTTTCAGTATCTAGCGGTGCAGACATATTCCCACTGCCAGTATCTTTGCCAGCAGATAATTTACTTGATTCATCATTAGCAAACGGCGTCAATGGGTCTACCAGCACTGCTTTCATGCTGAATGACAACTCCCTCGGCAGTGACGAATCTCTTGGAGGCGCCTTATTAACTCCTATTCCCTGGCTCAACAATTCTACGCCATCCTCAGATGATGACGATATAATGCAAGAAGTTGGTGGCCAAACACGGGCCGAAAATCTACCAAATTCGAACCAGGAGACCCAACATATGGGGAACGTTAACCAGGGACAAGATACACCTGCTTCCAGGGTTGACGCAGAAACCGATGCACCTCATGTCCTTGACCCTGAAAATGAAGAAGTACCCCATGCTCGTGGTCCTGATGTACTTGGTGTACAGGATCTCGGCCTTCAAAATGGGAAGGGGGTTACAATGTCGCTTGCCCGGACTTCTCCGCCACCTGGATCGTCTGGAGAAAGTGTACCTGCTACACAAGACGCTTCTGCTGACAAGACGATAGACGAAGATGCACCCGGAGAACCTGACGCTGATGCAGAAGCTGATGCGGATGGTGACATTGACATCATGGACACTGGACCAAAGAATGAATCAGGCCAGATGACTAGTGCAGCTTCCGGAAATCCTGAGGTTGGGGCCGGAGAGAACAATGACAAATAAACAGGGGATGAATGGTACTTCCATTGTTTTTTTATTTTTCTTCCATTTCTTCAGCTTATCATGTACTTTTACTCGTTTATTTTCATATTAGGCGTTAAGCTGGCGGCTTATTAGCGACGAACGAAAAGGGTATATATGGAGTTATGAAATAGTATTTTCCCAATTAAAACAGCAATCTCTGCCGTTGCTTTAATACTAAATATCAATGTATATTGACACTTCATTGCCTGATAAGGCAAGCCAATTATGTAGCACGTGACCACGTGCCTCACCCGCGCGCGGCTTTTTTTAGGTAAATGGGCGTTTAATAAGTTCCTTTAACTCACGAAGGTACTTTCGCTGCCTAGCTGCCTGCTCAGCCAAAACATTCATCTTCGGATATGTGATTCGCCATACAAGGGGTTCGGTAACGAAAATGTAAGTCGACGCGTTTCTCCTTGGACCCTGTTAGTGCTCTGTTTTTAGCTGACTACCTTTATAGGTGTACGTATTAGCCATTAAGAGATATCTATTTCATTCATATGCTAAACTATACAAAAGCGAAAATTGACAAGCTCTCTATCCTTGGGTAAGATGGGAACTAATTCTCTACCGCAAGGATGCATTTACTGATAGATATGATTAGGGTTCGGTCGTTCGACAACACCCGCAGTGAAACCATACAGTTCCATACCCCTCTGACTCTAATTGTCGGGTACAATGGTTCAGGAAAGACGGTATTCAACTAATTAATACGGTAGACTAGAGTTAATTGATGGCTAACAGATAATAGACAATTATTGAATGCCTCAAGTATGCCACGACTGGGGACCTTCCCCCAAACAGCAAGGGTGGTGCTTTTATCCACGACCCAAAGGTAACCTAGCCACCTTCCAAGATCAGGCAGAAGATAATAGTTAACATCAAGATTGCATAAAGCTATGCGGCGAAAAGGAAGTTTTTGCCCAGGTCAAGCTGGCTTTCAAAGCCACCTCGGCTGCCAAAATGGTAGTCACGAGAAGTCTTCAGCTTACCGTCAAGAAGTTGACAAGGCAGCAAAAGACTCTAGAAGGTCAGCTGCTGATGATCAAAGAAGGCGAAAGAACGGCAATATCTTCTCGTGTAGCCGAGTTGGATCAAATAATGCCACAATACTTAGGCGTTTCTAAGGCAGTCCTTGATTCTGTCATCTTTTGCCATCAAGATGAGAGTTTGTGGCCAATGAGCGAACCATCCGTGTTAAAAAAGAAATTTGATGAGATATTTGAAGCATTGAAATATACCAAAGCCATCGACAATATCAAAGCTTTGCGAAAGAAACAGAACGAGGAACTTGCAAAGTACAAGATTATGGAAAACCATGCTAGAGACGACAAAGATAAAGCAGATCGTGTAAGTATTTTGTTGCAACATTGTTGTGCTGATGCCCTTACTAAACCATCACCATAGGCTGAGAAACGGTCTCTCAAACTCCAAGAAGAAATTGAGGCACTTCGAGCTGAGAGCCATGAACTCTCAAAGGAGATGAGACGCGTGGCTGAGCTTGCGGATAAAGCATGGAAGGAGTCTGAAAGTTACGCCGAGATATTAGGTGCACTGGAAGGCAAACGTATTGAAGCAAAGAGCATTCAGACCAGTATCAACAACCTAAGGCAACACCTGGTTGAGGTGGAAGAGTCTGATGAATGGCTCCAGTCAACGCTAGAACAATTCGAGTCACGACAAGCAGAATACCGGAGCCAGGAAGACACTTTGAAAGAGAAATATATGGATCTGAAAGAACTTATTGAACAGAACCGACATAAGCTGGGCTTAAAACAAACCGAATGCGGGAAGAATGAAAATGACAAAGCTCAGTTTGATAGGCAAGTGGAGAGGCGAGTGAGACTAATAAAAGACATAGCCCGGCAAAACAACTTTCGTGGCTATGACGGTGATCTCGATGAAATGGAAATCAACGATTTCATGGATCGAATCCAAAAATTAACAAAAGAACGAAGTCAGGCCTTGGAGAAAGCTAAACAAGAAGCCCAGAGCCAGCTGAAAGATGCGCAATCACTCCTGAACCAACTCAGCCAGCGGAAATCAGCCCTTCAAGAAGCGAAAAACGCTGCAAAGAAACAAATATCCGTGAATGATAAAGAATCAGACACTATTCAACGAAGTATTAATGAGATGGACGTCGATGAAGGAAAACGTGCTGCAATTGAGTCAAGGATGGAGGAGACCGAGAAAATCTTGGAAAAGGAAAAGGAAAAGGCAAAGAATGCTTCTTGGGAGACTGATATCCAACAGAATGATTCGGAGCTCCGATCTCTTGAAGATAAATCTTCCAAGTTGAATGCCGAGTTAATCCAAGGAACCAAAAAAGCTGGTGATCTGGCCCGATTAGATCACCTTAAAAAGGAGTTGAAAGATCGAGACGTAGCCTGAGACCATGTCCGGTGCTCACGGTGACCGAATTTCCAAATTAGTTGATTCGTCCTGGAGTCCAGTTAACATTGAGCAAGGATATCAGGATGTTCTCAAGGAGGCCTCTACTTTGGTTACTACGGCAGAACGAGAGCGTGACGGTACTGGTAAAGAACTCGAGCTCATTGACTTTAAACTCAAAAATGCAAGGAAAAGCCTCCATCAGCACGGGGCAGATGTTGAGAATGCAGCGAAGAAGATCAATGATGTGATTGGAGATGAACCAGAGGAATACCCGCATACCGTTAAGCAGAAGCAAACTGAGTTAGACATGGCTAGAAAGGATGCCGATCAGTACGCTGGTTTAGGTAAATATCTAAACATGTGTCTAGATGCTGTAAACGACAAGAAAGTCTGCAGAACATGTGCTCGCCCTTTCAAGACGGAATCGGAACTCCAGATATTCAAAAACAAGCTGAAAGCTCTGATAAAGAAAGCCACAGATGAGGACGCTGTTGCTGAAATTGAAGCGCGAGAAGCTGAGCTGGAAAACGTTCGAGAAGTGGGAACTTTCTATGAGACATGGAACCGACTCACTAACACGGATATACCTGCCCTTAAGAAGGAACAATCCGATCTAGAGACTGAACGCGAAGTGGTGCTCACAAAACTGGAAGACCATGATAAAATCGTGGCCCAGAGGGTGGAATCCAAAAGAGACATCGAATCTTTATCTAAGAATATCGCAACCATAGTGAGATACAACAATGAAATTTCAACACTTCAAACCCAGATCCAGGAGCTTTCCGCTAAGCAAGAAGAGACTGGAACCTCTCGGACTTTGGAGGACATTCAAGATGAAATTGCTACTCTCGGTGAGAAATCTCGCCAACTCAAACGAGCTTCCAGCAAATTGACTCATGAGTTGAATCAATCTCGCGTTGATGTCGGGAAATTGGAATTGAAACTTCGTGATCTACGCAGAGATCTTGATAACGTTAATTTCCAGCTTGAAAAGAAAGCTACTCTTGTATCTCGAGTGGAGGACTACCGAAATCAAAACTTAAAGCAGCGGGAGGCCATTGAAAAAGCCGACAACGACATTGAGAGCCTTGTTCCTGAGGTCTCCAAGGCTCAAGCAAGACATGATGATATTAGTACTCGTGGTGAACAAAGAGAAAGGGAATTACAACAAGAGGTCTCTGGCCTAAATGATAGTTTGCATCAGTTGGATCTCGCCAGCGAAGATATCACAAATTATATTGAAAGGGGGGGTCCTGCTCAGCTAGAACGCAGCAAGCGTGAACTGCAGAACATATCGGACGAGATCAAACGTTTGGAAGCGGAGCAGACTGATCTCACTCGTGAGCTAAACAGCATTTCTACCCGTTTGAAAGATAGCGAGAGTACTAAACGCCAGTACTCGGATAACCTTCGATATCGACAGGAATCTAAGGCCCTTATTAGCGTGAACCAGGAGATTGCAGACCTCGAGTCCCAGAATGCGGAGGTGGATCGGAGCAGATTCAAGGAAGAATCGGAACGGAACACACGGGAGCACAACGCCCTTGCAGCGAAACAAGCAAGCAAAATGGGTGAAATGAAATCAAAGGACGATCAACTGATGCAACTTCTTGCGGACTGGAATACGGACTATAAGGATGCTGGAGCCAAGTTCAAGGAAGCTCACATAAAGGTTGAAACTACTAAGGCTGCAGTTGATGATCTTGGAAGATACGGCGGAGCTCTAGATAAGGCAATCATGAAATACCATGGCCTGAAGATGGAAGAGATTAACCGTATCATTGGAGAACTATGGCAAAAGACTTACAGGGGAACTGATGTTGACACCATCCTAATTCGGTCTGATAATGAAAGTGCAAGAGGGAACAGATCCTACAACTACCGTGTTTGTATGGTTAAGCAGGATGCCGAGATGGACATGAGGGGGCGTTGCAGTGCTGGCCAGAAAGTTCTGGCTAGTATTATCATTCGTCTAGCGTTGGCCGAATGTTTTGGGGTTAATTGCGGCCTGATTGCGCTTGATGAACCAACTACGAACCTTGACCGTGACAATATCCGTTCTCTTGCTGAATCGTTACACGAGATTATTAGGACCCGCCAGCAGCAGGCAAACTTCCAGTTAATTGTCATCACCCACGATGAAGAGTTCCTTCGAAGTATGCAGTGTGGTGATTTCTGTGATTACTATTATAGGGTGTCACGAAATGAGCGCCAGAAATCTATCATTGAGAGACAATCTATCGCAGAGGTTTGTACACACTCCCTGATTATAGTGGATTGAACTGAAACTAATTTCTTTTTTCACTCCTACTCTAGGTGATGTGATGATGTAGGTCGATATCTTATTTTGTTCGATACAGTGGCTTTTCGATATTAGTAGTAGTTTCGTGTAGCGTCTGGTAACTGGCGCCTGGAGTACTGGACATGAGGCCTCAACGCTAATTCCAATGTTTTATTTCGTCCTGTCTCTTACCAACCAAAGTTGTAACCTCTTTATACCGTCTGCTATGACGGCCTACTGCATGCTACAGGTAAAGCTCAATTATTTCACGAGTGTGTTGAAATTGTAGAGTATTTTAGTTCAATCTACTCGTGTTTAATTTCATTTTGGGGCATCAATGGTAAGAGGTAAAATGTTGAGACTTGGTTATGCATATATAAAACAGCGTACATTCGCTACTACTCATCATCTAAACCTTCAACTTCATCCTTTTCATCAACTAGTGGTACGAAACGAAAATCAATAAAACTAACGTTACCCATGGCTGTTCGAGAAGCACTCTGAGTGGAAAGACCAGGCGCATCAGTGCTAGCATTATCGCCGAGCTCAATCATAAACTGAAGGCTTAAGACACCCTGTTTATCTCCACGTATGCTTACTTTGCTGGATGCTCCCATCGCCCCTAGCGCCTTTTTCAGTAGTGAAAACCGATAACGTTGGGTTATTCGGGATTTTGATGAGGGAGGTTCAACCAGAAAGGTTTCCGTAACTGTCGGTGCAAGCTTGCCTCTCCTAGGCTGCCTGGAGCTCCCATCCTCATTAAATGATTTGTATATGGGGTCGACGCCAGTAGATTCCTTATCAATTGCAAATTCAACAGTGGATTCACTGAATGGGCCCCCAGAGGCGGATAGTGCAAAGAATGGTGCCTTGTTGGGAGACGCAGAGAGTGATAGAACAGCGGGTGAGGTAGAATCCAACTCCATAATTGCGTTGTGGAGCCATGTAGAGCGCATAATTATTTTGAAGATTATGGCATCACGTTGGAGCGGGATATCAAATTCTCCAGGTTCGGAGTCATGGGAAGAATCATCAACCTCATATGTCGTCAACTCGCATGTTGTGGTAACGCCAGCTTCAGTTAAGGTGATGCAGAGGGGAGACCCTTGTCGGTGATAGCCGATGGTACAAGAGCGGTTCATTCCTAGGGCAGGGGTAGAAAATGCATTCATGCTTTGAGTGTTGCCGATATTGGTCATTTGATTTGGTCCTTGCGATGAGTCGCCGATTCCGAATATTTGAAGAGTCTCAAGGAGAGCAGAGAGCGAGATGGTAAACCTGGGGTATAGCGATGTATCGAAAAAATCTCCATCTTCTTCAGGCTGGGTAACGCCATTGTAAACATTTCGTACATTGAATATGTAGCTCGTGAAGAGTGCTTTGTCCAGAAAAGCGAGTCCTTGCACTACTCTCCCTTCCTCGACCGAGAACCGGATTCCCTGTGGGGTTATTTGAACAGATGCCTGGCGAGAAAAGCCAATACATTTAAGTAGGGTATAGAGCTGCTCAGCGGATGTGGAGACAGCCGAAAGAATAGGAGCACTGCCGGTATCCATTGTGGTTGTTGGTGGTGTATTAAGGTGGATAAGCGTGCCTTGTGGATTCCAGATATCGATATTGGCAGGAAACGCTATTTTGAAAAAGCTAGAGAACCTTTAAATTTAAAGGGAAAAAAGATTCCAAATATACAACATAACTAGCAGAAACTGGGTGATATTTGTCAAGTAAAAGCGGCGAACGCGGTATTAAACATACACCCCCACGGCACAGATCATGAACACGGACCCAAATCTACGATAGTTAGAGTGAATAGTGTTTAGACTTCATTAAAAATGCTGAAGTCACTTACCCAAATGCCAACGAGGCTGGAACTCCTAGAACAGCGATGTTTAGAGCGGAGCGATCTAGAAGCTTGTCAGCAACATTCGCCAACGCTCAACTGGTAAGATTGCATACTTAAAGCGAAAATGCCAGTACAAACGAAGCCTGTTAATATATTAGCGAAATGCTTAGTTATATACATATGATTAGGCCAATTGGTTATTTTCTTACCCGTCAGGAGAAGTAGAATAGCTGGAAGGAGCTGGGAATTAGTCGGTACGGTTGAATAGTAAGGGCTCCCAGCTGCAGAGCGCCAGACTTCTTCCAAAGACATCAGGGCTACAATGAAAAATTCAGGCGCAGAGGGTGTGCTGAATTATCAATTGGTGCTTTTATGGTCGCACCGCTGATTGCATCTATCGTTGATCTTTGTAGATGTTGACTTTTGATGTTGATTTAAGAGTCTTGACAGCTTGTAGCTTTGCGGAATTGGGTTAGCGCGGTGGCCTTGCGGATAAACTATTAGCCGAGAGACGCCACCCGCACTTGGCGCGCGGACCTGCAGCTCTGCGACTGACGACATCGAAAGGAGTTTGGGTGAGGAGGACGTAAATTCACGGAATTCAAAACATGGCGCCTGTGGTAGCTGATCGTGAGTTTGCCTATGCTGCATTCGTATGAATATGATTGACTGACATTTTCATTCCCCCTCAGGCGTGAAGCGAAAAGCTTCGGAAGAAGCGACCACACCAGATTCCAAGGCGAACATCAAGAAAGCCAGAACGGAATCTCCAGAAACACACGACCAAGTAGGCCTAGCTTGGAGAATGGAGCGCAATAAGTCTCTATGAAGGATCATGGGCTAACTAATCACTAGGAGGAGACAGATACTGAGAAAGTGAAGCTTGTTCCATATGCCGAGAAGGTCAGCCTTTATTCAATGAGCTATCAACTTTACCTGAACACTACGGCTGACTTGGGTTTACTGTATCGATTATAGCCTGCCGTTTTAGAAGAGCGAGAAGGGAAGATCGAATTCCGTGTCGTTAACAATGACTCCTCCCGAGAGAGTTTCATTATCCTCACCGGTCTCAAGTGCATATTCCAGAAACAACTCCCTAAGATGCCTAAGGATTATATAGCCCGGCTCGTCTACGACCGAACCCATTTGTCTATCGCTATTGTGAAGCATCCATTGGAAGTTGTTGGGTGAGTTTAGGACTTGGAATCGGATGTCGAATGGTAGCGGAGGGTGGACTAATAATGATATAGGGGAATTACCTACCGGCCATTCCATGGACGGAAGTTTGCTGAGATTGTGTTCTGTGCTATTTCCTCTGATCAACAGGTGAAGGGGTATGGAGCGCATCTCATGTCTCATCTAAAAGTGGGTACAATCTACTTACTTATCTATTCCCACCCGTTGATCATATGGGTCAGAACTAAACTTTTTTCAATGTTAATAGGACTATGTTAAGGCGACCTCAGACGTAATGCACTTCTTGACCTATGCGGATAACTATGCAATCGGATACTTCAAGAAGCAGGGCTTTACTAAAGAGATCAGCCTTGAAAAGTCTATATGGATGGGGTATATAAAGGATTACGAGGGCGGTACCATCATGCAGTGCTCCATGCTTCCTAAGATACGTTACCTAGAGGCTGGTCGAATGGTGCTTAAGCAGAAAGAAGCCGTCTACGCCAAGATTCGCGCCTTCAGCCGGTCACATATTGTTCACCAGCCACCAAAGGAATGGAAGAATGGGGTAGTCGAGATCGATCCTTTAAGTATTCCAGCTATTAAGGAGTCTGGGTGGTCACCGGATATGGACGAGCTTGCCCGTCAACCGAGGCACGGCCCCAACTACAACCAGCTCCTCCACCTCCTTAATGACATGCAGAACCACAGTGCCGCGTGGCCTTTTGCGCAGCCTGTCAACCGGGATGAAGTTCCCGATTACTACGAGGTCATCACAGAGCCAATGGATCTGTCGACGATGGAAGAGAAGCACGAAAAGGACATGTATCCCACTCCGCAGGATTTCATCAAGGATGCGAAGTTGATATTCGACAACTGCCGGAAGTATAACAACGAGAGCACGCCCTATGCGAAGAGTGCAAATAAATTGGAGAAGTTCATGTGGCAACAGATCAGAAATATCCCAGAGTGGTCGGTGCGTATAGTAACTCCCATCGTTCTTTTTTTTTTTTTCAAGCAATGAGCGTGGTATGATACTAACCCCTGATTAGCATCTGGCCGATTGATCCCGCCGACCCCCTAACGATTAATGCACGGAGGAACTTTATACTTATGTAACACAGGAGTTTTCTTTTTGGAGGCCTCGGGCAGGCGTAGGAAGGGGCATGTTTGATTTACGGACGGTTATATTGGAATTTTTCTTCTTCTTTTTCTTTTTTATGTACTGAGCAAGCAAATAATGGCTGCCGCTTTCTTGAGTCCATGGGCTCCAACAATACCCTTTTGCCTTTTGTCATACGTCTCATCCCTTCATCCTTTATATACTTTCTGTAACTGTTAAGCTATATATACACATACATCTTGCAAGGTAGGTTGTCCCTGTCCCTGGTTTCTCTTTTTGCTTTCTTTTTCTCTGGTTTGCCCCTGACTGGCCCGAGCGCTAAAATCTTGAGCCTGCGCGGAAGAAAGATAATGCGAGATTGCCCAATCAGGCTCTTCACCTCCTTTAAGCCACAACGCAACGTTCGCCAGCAGCGCAGCCATCTGGATAACTGCTCTTTTAACTATCTTCCTGCGTCACTGTGGCAAGACGCTCTCCTGCTGCAACTGGGAAGAGTAGCTGTTGTTCTTCTTCTTTGCAGGCTGTCTCTCTTTTCTGATATCTTCCCTTGCGCCCCCTGAGCCTGGGCAGTCCCTCCCTCCTCTTGTCCCTGCTCTGTTTTCACCGCTCGCAGCCGGTGTGATTCTCATCGCTCACAGACAGTGTGAAACTAATATCGCTTAGAAGGTCTATCTAAAGGTCTATCTTCACAGGTACACGCCCTAACTGAAGATATCCAGCCTTCCTCTCTTCTATTTAACAGGTTCCTCTGGCTTGTTAAGACACTAGACAGCCATGTCGGCGCCATCTCTTCTGGAGAATGAGTACCGCAACAGACTCCCAACGCTGCTGGAAGTCCTGGGGAGACGGACTCTGGCACCTGTTGACCTGTTTTCATTCTACATCTACATGAGAGACCAGCAATGCTCTGTTGACTACCTCGACTTCTGGTATGTTGTTTTATTTATTTTGTTTTGTCTTGCTTTGTTAAGTGTGCGATGCGAACAGTGGTTGCTGATGGCTGGTCGACACTTTATAGGCTCGATGTCTCCCAGCACATGTCTCTGTGCCGCCACTACGTACGCGAACTACGCCGTTCAGTTCTACTCGAGACTCCAGAACCCGAGAAATTCGATAGCCGACCTTCTACTGCTTCCCAGCGACACCGCGGCGCCCTCCCAGGCGACGGAGATTTTGCAAATGGTGCTGTCAATGGACGTAGTCATGGCAACGGCGAACTCGAGGACTCTGACCAGCGACTATCAGCTTTCCTACGCTCCGAGGGCCAGGCTTCCCTCAGAAACAGCGAAGAGTCCGAATATTCCAGAAGACAAGGCTCTTTTCCCGGCCACGGTCGACGCGTCAGTAATGCGTTGAACGGCAACCACTATGGCAACGGCGTTAGCAACGGCAATGGCAACGACTCAAACTCTCCCGGACATACCGTTGCGCGCTCAGACATCCGTGCAAGTGCTGTCAGGATCCTCTACACATACTTGCTCCCTGGCTCCGAACGTGAGGTTGTTCTGCCAGACAGCATTGTCAATGATATTGTCCATATGATCGAGGAAGAAGGCAGAGACGACCCCGAAGTCTTTGATACCGCAAAGGACTATGTCTTCCAGGCCATGGAGCGAGATGCTTTCCCAGGCTTCCTTCAGGCAAAAGCTCTCGGCAATTTGGTCCCACCAAGCATCCTTGCTCGCCTAGTTATTGCTCTTATCAGCTTCGGTGCTGGTTTCTGGGCTGGATTCTTTGTTATCCTGACCGATACCCCGCGAAACACTCGTTGCTGGGTACGTTGTGTCGACGCTTATATCTCCCCGTGGTAGTTTTCGGTTATACTAACATTTGCTGTACCAGGTAATCCTACCATTCTCCATTGCTGCGTACTTCCTTTCATCCTACCAGTACAAGATTGATCCAATCCTTGCTCTCGCTGGACTCAGCGAGTACACATTCATGAACTGGACGCGCATCCGAGAGCCATATGTTCGTGCTCTCCTCGTCAAGCGAGCCTCAGTCTCCTTGCTCCTTGCGGTAGTCATTGCTCTTGTGCTTTGTCTGCTCTTCATCCTCGTTCCAGGAACCCGCCTGTAAAGGCATACCTCGCTCTCACCTTTCTCCATGAGCTTATCTGCCCTTACCTTTCCTTGTTATCTTTCTTCCGGCTACGGCGCTCCTTTGGTGACTTTTTCCCATTTTCCTATGTTCATTGAGATACAACAATCCTTGCTTTTTCTTTTCCCTTTCTACCCACCTCATTTGTCTCGTCTGCAGTTTCATTTGTGATTGTTTCACCTCTCCAGCATCGGCGCAAGGTATGGTGTTTCCTAGCGTTAACGTTTTTATGATATCTCATGTTGCTACTACAGCAGCAAAATCCTCCTTTCCTATCTGGGCGGCTGTCGATGACTTGATTTTACATACTTATTCAGCTTGCTCCAGTGTCATCAACTCCACCCGAGCTCCTCTGAGATACCCTCAATAATGCCCTTCCTGGACTCTTGTGTTTGTCTTCGCGCCTTTTATTTTCCCTCTTTCTCCTTTTCTTCCTTTTCAAAATTCTGCTCTTTTCTTGCACTTATATCTTTTATGACTTGTTCGATTTCCATCGCCTTTGTCCTTTACATAATGTAATACTTTTTATAGTTAGTTGCTGGGATTCAAAGCCTTTGTCGTCATTAATTTCTACTTCTCGTGTATAACAGTGTATACTCCGGTGCCATCAAGTGGCTTGCTTTTTAGAACCTGTTCATCTAGCAAACGTTCTGTGCTTCAAGCTTAACTTTCATCGATCTCGGGTGGGTCGACGGGTCTACTTCCATGCTATCCTGCCCATTGCCCGAATAACCTCCTGTAGCATGGAACTCTCGCTTATTCCCCTTTGAAGAACTGCCACCCCCAAACAGCCGTCTGGCAGCATTAGCCGCAGTCCCACCAAGCGAGCCTTCTTTGCTGAACGACTTTCGGGACCGCGACTCCTTGGAGCCACTGCCTCCGTCGCCTTCTTTGTCATCGTCTCCCAACCATCCTCCTTCACTCTTTTCAAACCGATATGCTCGATCCTTTTCCATCGCCCGCCTCCTTGCAGCATCAGCTTTGATTGTGTTAATTTCAGCCTCTATTCCCTCAACCGCTTGCTGACATCTCCCATGCCATTCTGTGAGTGTTGATATAATCCTGTCGACCGCTTGAGGACGAACATCGCGAAGAGGAGCCACGGAGATAATATTTATGGTTGGAGGGGTTGTTGTAGGAGATAGACGGGCAGAAATAAGAGAGGAATATATGGCCTTCGTCACAAGAGATTCAAGCTCCACATGATCTTTGAGGGAGAGAGATTTCATCACAATAGGATATGTAAGCGGGTTATGGGTCGTAGAAAGGGTGAGGAGAGATAGCAGTCGAAGTTTCAGTGCTTGGGCTTCGCTTAGGGCGGGGAGATTTGGGGTTGCTTTGAGACTGTTTTTTAGCAGACGTGGAAAGATTAAAGGTTAGCGTTTCTCTTATTCAGAGAAAATCTTACCATGATATTCCTCCCATGAGCCCCAAGCAAATATTTCCAGTAGTTTCAGATAAGACTGGTATTCCTCTGGTGTATCTGGGTGTGCCAGTGATTGGACTGCCTGAGTCTCAAGCAGCTCGGCGAAGATGAAGGTAGTTGGGGCAGAGGTAGCATTTGTAATGATATTAGCAACAAAGCGCGGGCTGTGGGAGGTTGATGAGTTCGCGAGATGAATAAATGGCTGCAATGCTCCCAGGGCTTGCTTCTGTGATTGATCCATACTTGTATAGAGTGACAGTAAACGCCAACCCAGTAGTTGTAGACGGGCTCTTCCTAACCCGTGGGCCGGATGCTATCAGAAACACAAAATCACCGCCCTCGCTGTCCCTGGGAAATCTGCCGCTTCTTCTTGTCAAGTGAAGCAAAGCAGCTCAGGCTGTTTTTTGGTATCTTTTGTATCTTTCTTGCGATCTTCATGAAGTCACAGCGGGAGCTATTAATGTATCACGTGAGATCTAAATTAAGATTTATGCTCGGGTGTGCTACTATTTGAGGAGTTTTTACTGGCTGGGATTTTACCATTTTCCTTAACTCCTATTGGTCTTAAAGAGGTGTGTTTATGGAAAGGCATAGATATTAAATACCAAAAGTCATATCACTCAAGCGGCACATTTAAATCTCTTCAAAGATTATCTAGAGAATATGGGAAGTGGCAGCTGGTTAAGTATAGATTGGGCTCACTGGCTGCGCGTTGGGCTTATCGAGATATTATAATTGCGTAGGGGCTCCGATTAGATTCCCCCTGAGTCCGAGACACCACTGGTCTTGTCTCAATTAAATAGTAGGCCAGTACTCGCTGTAGCAGACAATACTAATGAGCAGATTTGGACATCCATCTCATAGAGTAAGGTGGTGGTTGTACTATCCAAAATGACGGGAGCATAAGATCATCGCTATCAAGCTTCCGTATGACGACACGATATGATCCTTTTGTTATCGGTGATTACCTAATACGTGGTTAAAACATCCTGCTGTCGATCAAACAGCGCTTCTTCACATTGAATACTTCGAATATTGAGAACCGCTCGAAGCAGTCGATAATTGGAGAACAGAAAGCGTCCTTGGTGGGACTTGCAACGAGAGCAACAGTGTCCCCCAGATATTCACCCGTAACGTTTCTCATGGACAAACTACCCGAGAGGATCCCCTGTCAAAGTGCATCCTATGATAACTCTGTTCCTCGTATAACTCCGTACACGGCTCGCAAACGTGAAATCATCTGAGCTGGCTCGGCTATGCCCAATCAAGTGTCTGGCCCGGGGGCTAAGGGTTGAGTCGCCAACGGCCCCTGTTCGATCTCTCATCCTCTGTTCTTGCAACTTTGCCTCTTCGGTGGCCGATTTCGAGACGAGACGGGCGAAGGGGGAATGTGAGGCATAGTTCACAGGCCAGTTATGGTGACCAGCCGCTGTCCTTCGTCCATCTCTTCTAACACGTCCATCACCATTAACTTACCATTATCGCCGTCTTTCTCCCCCTCTTCTACCAGGATCACCACTGCATTCCTGCAAACCCAACAAAAGAAAGTATAAAAAAGGCCAGATGCTGAGTCAGCAATCACTCTCGTCATTGACTTGAATTAGTTATTAAAACTCCGCGCGCTTCCCTCTTCGCAAGGCCGGCGGCAACCTCACCTTTTTATTTCGGGCGTTTTGCTTGTCTTCTTCGCGCCGTCATGATACGATAATTGCATGTATCTGAGGATATTGAGCTGATTCTCCCCCTTCTTCTACCTCTACACCCTTTCCCGGTATCTCTGGTTGATCCGGATCACCCTCTCAGCGGTTGGCTGGTTCCACCCTTCGAACTCTTCGTGAACGATCCGACTGCTTCCCGGCCACCTATTTCAGGGTTTCTCCCTATGACCCTGAGTTAGGCATTAGCCGCGATCTTGAATACCCATGGCGCCATCTATACCACCTGCCGCCGGTAGCGGTACACCGTCGACAGCCGCCGAAACACTTCATATGGCCACCACTACCATTAAAGTTGATGGAATGACATGCGGCGCCTGTACATCGGCGGTAGAATCAGCCTTCGAGGGTGTTGCTGGAGCTGGAGAGGTCTCGGTCAGTTTAATGATGGGAAGGGCGGTAGTACACCACGACCCGGACGTTTTACCTGCCGAAAAGGTTACGGAGATTATTGAAGATCGCGGTTTTGACGCTGAGGTTCTGAGTACGGATATACCAAAAACGGAAAATGATAAATCAATGAAGGATTTCAGACCGTCACAGTGCACGACAACTCTCTCCGTTCAGGGAATGACCTGTGGCGCTTGTACATCCGCAGTTGAGGGCGGGTTCACCGACGTCCCAGGAGTCGAATCGGCAACAGTATCTCTACTCTCGGAACGAGCTGTCGTTATACATGACCCCTCGGTTATAACGGCTGAACAAATCGCAGAGATTATTGAAGACCGAGGTTTTGATGCAAGCGTCATAGAATCGAAAAACTCCGATTCGGATCCTTCGGGAGTCACACCATCGGGGAAATCATCTGCACAAATGAAGTCTACAGTGTCTATCGAAGGAATGACATGTGGAGCCTGTACATCCGCTGTAGAGAACGCTGTAACTGGGCTACCCGGTCTTATCCGTTTTAACATAAGTCTGCTAGCAGAGCGTGCTGTTATTGTCCACGACCCATCCGTTCTTCCAGCATTGAAGATATCTGAGGCTATCGAGGATGCCGGATTTGATGCACGGATCCTGTTCTCCGAGCCCGACAGCTCCATAAACTCCACAACTTCCACGCCTCTCAACTTCAATGTACACGGGATTTCTGACGCAGCCTCCGCGGCAGACCTGGAGGATGTTCTTCGCAAAACACCAGGTATCTTGTCTGCCAGCGTTCGACTATCAAACTCCCAAGCTTCAGTGTCCTTCGACCCATCGCAAATAGGAATCCGGGCTGTAGCCAAAGTGTTCGAGGATGCCGGCTACAATGCTTTACTCGCAGAATCCGACGACAACAACGCTCAACTTGAATCCCTTGCAAAAACACGGGAGATCCAGGAATGGAAAAGGGCCTTCATCATTTCATTATCTTTCGCCGTACCCGTCATGTTAATAAGCATGATCTTCCCCATGTACCTACACTTCCTCGACTTCGGCAGCTTGGAACTAATTCCCGGATTATTCCTCGGAGATGTCGCCTGCATGTTTCTTACGATACCCGTCCAATTCGGCATCGGCATGAGGTTTTATCGGGCAGCCTTCAAGTCGCTAAAGCATCGTTCACCAACCATGGATGTCCTCATCATGCTTAGTACTTCGCTTGCTTTCTCCTTCAGCATCTTAGCAATTCTTGTCTCCGTGCTTCTACCACCGCATAGCAAGCCTAGCACTGTTTTCGAGACCAGCACGATGCTTATCACATTTATTACGTTAGGACGGTGGCTGGAAAATCGGGCCAAGGGCCACACCTCGCGCGCTCTCTCTCGGCTCATGTCTCTTACCCCTTCAATGGCAACAATCTATGACGACCCGGTTGCTGCGGAGAAGGCTGCTGAGAGTTGGAAGAAATCAGCTAGTTCTAAGCCAGTAAATAAGCCCGAGTCAACTTCGGCAGCCGTTCACTCAGGTCAAAAGATCATACCTACCGAACTTATCCAAGTCGGTGATATCGTGTGCATCCGGCCAGGCGATAAAATCGCCGCTGATGGTATCGTTATTCGTGGCGAGATGTATGTCGATGAAAGCATGGTAACAGGTGAAGCCATTCCCATTAACAAAACTACGGGCCACCATGTAATCGCTGGTACGGTCAACGGCACCGGATGGGCAGATTTCCGGGTAACAAGAGCTGGTAGAGACACCCAATTGAGCCAAATCGTTAAGCTGGTTCAGGAAGCACAGACAAACCGTGCACCCATACAGAGAATGGCAGATACCGTCGCTGGGTATTTTGTTCCTACAATTATTACTCTGGGCTTCGTCACCTTTTTCGGATGGATGATACTGAGCCATCTCCTCCCCCACCCTCCTAAAGTTTTTCTTGTCGGAGGTAGCGGAGGAACGTTGATGGTATGTCTGAAGATTTGCATATCTGTCATTGTCTTCGCATGCCCTTGTGCGCTAGGGCTCAGTACCCCAACTGCGGTCATGGTCGGAACTGGTGTTGGTGCTGAACATGGTATCTTGGTCAAGGGTGGTGCCGCGCTGGAAGCCGCCACCAAAGTCAAACATGTTATATTTGATAAGACTGGAACTATAACTATGGGCAAGACAAGCGTTGCAGAGGCAAAAATGGAACCAACATGGTCTACGAATGAATGGCGGCGCCAACTATGGTGGGTTATTGTAGGGTTGACTGAAATGACGAGTGAGCACCCAATTGGCAAAACTATAGTTTCAAAAGCCAAGTCTGAATCAGGGTTATCGAACGATGACCCCCTTGATGGTGCTGTGATCGACTTTGAAGCAGTGGTTGGTAAGGGTGTTTCTGCCACTGTTGAGCCTACCTCTGGTCCCGAACGCCAACGATACATGAGCCACATCGGAAATGCAGTTTTTATGCGTTCTAAGGGAATTAAGATTCCAGACTCTGCCAATCCTGATCTTCAAAAGCAAAAATTTAAATCAGAGGCACTTGAAACGGCAACAGTAATTCATGTTGCCATCAGTGGCCAATACGCCGGAACACTCTGGATACAAGATTCAATCAAACCCTCTGCGAAAGCGGCCGTTGCAGCTCTACACCGCATGGGCCTTACGACTTCGCTTGTGACAGGAGACACTTACGATACTGCACTCGCTGTAGCAAATGAAGTTGGTATACCATCAGACTCCATCCATGCTTCTGTCAGCCCTCTAGAGAAACAGGCAATTATAAGCAAACTCCAAACCCCTGAATACCCTATTGCCATGGTTGGAGATGGCATCAACGACTCTCCTGCGCTAGCCACTGCCTCGGTTGGAATTGCACTCGCGTCCGGTACAGAAGTTGCCATGGAAGCAGCTGACATTGTTCTTATGCGTCCAGAGGATCTACTTTTAGTACCCGCAAGTCTATGTCTGTCAAGATCCATTTTCAACCGTATCAAGATCAACCTTCTTTGGGCCTGCGTATACAATGCCATCGGTATACCATTTGCGATGGGGCTATTCTTGCCTTTCGGTGGTGTGTCTCTTCATCCCATGGCTGCTGGTGCGGCTATGGCAGCTTCGAGTGTCAGTGTGGTTGTTAGCAGTTTACTTCTAAAGTTCTGGAAACGACCTAGCTGGCTTAAGATTGAACGCTTGGAGAGGGAGGTCGATGAGGGTTTGATAGATTCTACGGGCCAGGCGTACGGGAAACGAGAGAAATGGTGGAAGAAATCCCCCTTCACATCTCCGGTATCCCCTGCCAAGAATAATTGGGCCGGTGCCTTCCGGTTTATATCCCGGGCTATGGGAAGAGGCAGCAAACCTACGGAGGAAGACGGTTACGTACCACTACAAACAGTGGATAACGGACAGTAGTACTTCCTCGGTTCTTGGAGACTGTCCGCTCCGGCTTGTCTCTGTTATTTTTGTGTTTTGTTGTTTGCATATGCCTGCGTATACATATCTTCGTTTAGCCTCACGACTCTTGTTTTAGTTATGCCTGAATATAGTTCAATAAACCAAACACCACCCACTTCTACCAAAAGTAGTTTGGACCGGTTGCATATCAAAGTGTCATTGGCTTCCTACTGCTTGATATTAACACCCTGCTACTTAAACATCTCGGATACCTTGATCCCATTAGATCTAAGGAGATCTTCGCCCAGAACCCCCCTGCTGCACTGCCTAGTTCCCGGTGTCAAGACCGTATATTTTTATCTCTTGTCTCCCTATTTGTACCCTAAAAAATAGAAATATTATAATAAAAATATATATTTATATTTGCTAGATTTTTCTCTTATTTATAGTTATATTTATCTTTATAAATTCTTTACTTTTCTTTTAGAGATTTATAATTTTAAATTTTGGTGTAGTGGTTAATGTTATCTAGTAGTAGCGGTCACCTGGTAGTAATATACGTTAGCTGCAGCCTGCCGTGTTGTAGTCGCAAGGCTGAGCAAGACTACAGCGATTTAAAAAGCGTGGAACTGGGCCATTCTTCGTCCTCGACTGCTGCTCAAAGACTCTATACCAGAAGTCGAAGGCATGGAGAGCGCTACTGACCCTTTGCTCTACGAGCTTGATGCCCGTGGAGACATAACGCTGACCTTGAACGAGTCAACTCTCGAATACGAAGATGATGAAGACTTCTTCATGGCACCCGCACTTCCCGCATCCCCGTATGAAATACAAAGAAAGAGGAAGCGCGCTACCTTAGACCTTTCCAGGCGGCTCGAAGGTATGATTGAGACGAAAGGATCACCAGGATTACCTGCTTCCAGCCCACTCGGCCTGAATTTGACCATGTACGGGGACGACCAGCCGGCGGAAGACCCGATCTATACCCAAGAGCCGCCAGCTAAGGGTGATGAAGACAAAGAGAGTGTCATCCAAGAGGACCATGCATCCAAGCCTCTTCCTATCCGGTTTCTGGTGTCCTCCAAACATCTCACACTGGCATCTCCGTTGTTTGCGGCGATGCTGAAACCGACTTGGGCAGAAGGAGCCGCTCTTTATAGCCAAGGGACCGCAGTGATACCTGCTCTCAGTAGCAGCCGGGATAGCCTTCTGCTATTTCTGAACGTTATCCATTGTCGCTCACGGCTTATTCCTCAGTCTATCGATATTGGCCAGCTATGTGAAATCGCCCAACTGGCTGATTATTACCAGTCCAACGATGCCTTTCAATTCCACTTCGAAACTTGGACTCAAAACAGCGGAAACCAGCCGAGCGAGCTGACCAGGGATAGTGTTAGATGGCTCTATATCTCGTGGGTACTCAAAAAGAGGGATTTGTTTACAAGGGTTGCCCGGGTATTGCACCGTGAGGCAAAGGCTCCGCTCCGGGTGTCCAAGCTGTCTATCCCAGATACAGTGATAGGTGAAGTGAAACGCCCTGTAATCTTTCCATATCAGTGCTGATACTGTTGTATAGACAGGATTAATAAGTCAAGAGAGGCCTCTATTAAGAGCGTGATAGCAGGACTTTATGAAATTATAGATAACATCGAAGATGAAGGTAAACGGTGGTGTAGCTATGGGTGCGCATCTTCTAGCCTCGCATTGTCGCTGACGTCGCATATGAGGTTGCTGGGTCTTTACCCACGCCCAACTGCCCCGTATAAGGGATATAGCTTTACTCGGCTCTGTACTAGCCTCCGTTATTCTGAGATTACGGATCCTTATACATCAGCTGGGTACCTTCCTCATCGCTGTCGTATTGAGTCTGAAATCAACTTGGTGATTGATGATGCGACTCGCTCAATTAAAAGTGTTAGACCTCTGGTACTGGGCGGTATCAGAGGTTGGTTCTCCCGTACTTGTTGGGAGAGACTGCAATGGTCCTCGATGACGGATGGGGGAATACTGTAGGGGTCCTGTTGTAACAAGACTAACCGTTGGTCCTTTCAACCCTGGGTCCCCCCAGGGTATCTATAGGACCCGGTGTTCGCTTAGGGTAGTGTGCCCTATACCCTCGGTGGGCATGGTGATTAGTCAGCTCACGGTAGCTGCTGCACCTCGTACCCTTGGTTCGACCCATGGTCGGTTCTACCAGGGGTCGGTTCCTAACATAGATCGAGGAAATAGAGGAGGTTCTAGAGTTTATTAGGCTCCGGATAGCAGTTTAGTTACTCTAATAGGCGGGGTAGGCGGTCCCTAAAGATACCTAGGAGGCCTTAGAGGAGGTCTAAGAGACTATTATAGCTCCCTACTATACTACCTATTCCGATGCGGCTCGTTATAGGGGGTATACTCGGGCCTTAAAGGTAAAATTAGCCCTATACTATTAGGATAGGGAGTCTCGTGTGCCTTATTATAAGGGTGAGGACTTATTCCTCTTTCTAGTAGCTAATAAGCCGTACTAGTATCCCCAGGATTACAATACTATAGAGATAGGGGATTATTTAGAGGAGTTAGGGGAGGAGTAGTATCGGGGTTTGGCCAAAATTAAGGAGGAATAGGGGATAGTTAAGATTTAAGTTTTAAAATTAGGTTAGAATAGAGTTTCTGGTAGTTTTTCCTTTATTATCTCTTATATTTGTAGCGGGAATAGTGTTTAGGTAGCCCGGCGTAGTAGAGATACCCCAGATTTTAAGAATAAAGTAGTAATTTTCCTCTTAAAAAGGTCTTCTATCCCTAATTTATTTAGTATTATATTTTAATTTTTTAAAAAATTATAGTTTAGGTGGTTCGTATAATATTTTGCGTGGTTCCGTAAGTTAAATAAGTTATTTACTTCCTCTAGGTATATAGAGTTTCCTTAAAGTTTTTTAAAATTTCTTAAAGTCTATAGTAGGTTTGATTTTCTAAGTAGATTTCGGAATCCTATATTATTAAGTTATTTACTTATTAATTTTCTTATATATTTCGGGTTTTAATTCTGCATTTAAGCAATCGACGAGATTCGGTATAGTATTCTTAGTAACTTACTTTATAAAAAAGTTAGTATTAGGTATTTTAATAATATAGGGGTTAGGAATACTTAGTCTTATTAGTATTATCTCTATTTTTTATAGGTAGGAGCATTCATCTACTTTAT